ATGCATGGCCTTCTGAAACCTCTAAAATATTTTCTTTGGTTTGTGGTTTATCCACAAATGAGTTTTGTGTAACAAAACGGTCGTTTTCTGTTCAATTCGGGGTCGTGGACGTGTTCAATATAAAAAACACCGAATTAAACAAGTTTTGGACCTTAGAAAAAATTTGGGATCCCAATTTTCAAAACTACAGATCTGGAAAAATTGGTTAAAACCAAAGGGGGGGGTACACGGATTGGTTTTGTGATAAATTTTTTCAACTTTGAGTAAGTATTGTTTCTACTGATATGACAAGTAATTCTTCACCTACTTTTCTTCTCAAATATTCAATAGTCCAAATGGGTCTTTTTATAGACGATAATAAATGTATAGATCCTAATTTTAAGTGTGACATAATTCTTGCACAAATAGAATCTGAGATTCATATTAAGTAGAATGACATTAAATGAGACACTTTGAACAAATTGGAGCTATAGTCAGAGAGATACATGTCACGTGAATCTGTTATGTAATTGGTTAATATATAGGCAATTACTGACGAAGGTGCACAAATATCTTTACATGGCTTGGCGAATACGTATATATATATATATAACGGATGGGAGGGCTTTGGGCTACATTACGCTGTTTCAAGTATAGCTCCGTACTACGTTAACTGGGCCACACACACATCTTTACATCTTGTATTGCACCTGTTTAGATGTTCTATTATAATGTATTATGTTATATATTTTAATGGTTTTATTTATCTAAAACAATTTTTGTTCATCTCCTCGTCTTAATATGTCCTGTTTGTAATATCTATATTTATCAGTTTCTATCACCAACCCACTTTCTTGCGTTCTTGAATAACTTGATCCAAGGACCGTGTTCTCCCCATTGAGCACCTTGATCAGATGGATACCATGAGTTTGATTCCTTTCTAGTCACTCTTTCTGGGTGAGGCATCATAGCCAAAACTCTACCATTAGGAGTAGAAATTCCAGCAATACCACGTGGAGAACCATTTGGATTAGCTGGATATTCCTTAGCAACGTTACCATAGTTATCAACGTATGTGACTGCAGTCAAATTACTGTCAGCGAATTTTTGTTCAGCAGCAGAATCATCTTTGAAGTAGGCTCTACCTTCTCCATGTGCGACGACAATTGGTAATTTGGAACCCTTCATTCCATCCAAGAAGATACTATTAGATTTCTCATCAGTTACTTCAACCATAACGAATCTAGCTTCATATTGTTCAGAAAGATTTCTTTCAAAAGTTGGCCAATCTTCAGTACCTGGGATTAATTCAGCAATTCTGGAAAAGAATTGACAACCGTTACAGGCACCAAATGCAAAGGTATCATCTCTATCTTGGAAAAATCTTCTGAACTCTTCTCTAGCTCTTTCATGGAAAAGTACTGACTTTGCCCAACCTGCACCAGCACCCAAAACATCACCATAAGAGAAACCACCACAAGCAGCTATACCTACGAAGGAGTCCAAGGTAACTCTTCCACTTAAGATATCTGACATGTGTACATCAACGGCATTAAAACCAGCTTGTTGGAATGACCAAGCCATTTCTTGTTGTGAGTTTACACCCTGTTCTCTCAAGATAGCAACCTTTGGTCTAGATTTGTATTCGACACTAGCTGAAGGGTCGAATGTCAATTGATATGAAAGACCAGCATCAGTGTTATCACTGATTCTGGAATATTCTTCATCAGTTGTCTTTGGATTATCTCTCAATCTTTGAATGTGGTATGAAGTGTTAGACCACAATTTCTGTAAATCTGAACGGGTTGATGAGAATACTGCAGTATCGTTGTAAGTGATATCAATGGAGTGCTTTGAGTCCTCAAAGTTTGGTTCACCTATGATTGAAATGTATTTGCTATCAATTCCGTTAGTTTTGAAAATTTCAACGAAAGATTCATAATCAGATTTTTTGATTTGGAAAACAGCACCTAATTCCTCATTGAATAATGTGGTAAGTAAATCTTCCTCGCCTGACAAGTTCAAAGTCAAACCAGTTCTTCCAGCAAATGCCATTTCTAAAATAGTGGTGATCAAACCACCTTCAGATCTGTCATGGTAAGCTAAGACATCAAAGTTCTTATGTAAGACGATCGTAGTTTCGAGGAAATGCTTGAAAATTGAGTGTGAATGCACAGTTGGAGCAGAATCACCAGTTTGGTTATAAACTTGTGCTAAAGCAGAACCACCAAGGGAATGGCCAACTTCTGCTGCCAAGTCAACAAGTACTAAAGCGGTTTCTTCCTTTGGTCTTTGTAAGTAAGGAGTCCAAGTCTTGGAGGTGTCATCAACAGAAGAAAACGAAGTTATAGTCAAAGCTAAAGGAGCGGTAACTTCCTTATCTTCCCATTTCATTTTCATGGACATAGAGTCCTTACCAACTGGAATACTGATACCTAAATCTGGGCATAAGTCCATACCGATGGCTTGTACTGCTTCGTATAACTTAGCACCTTCACCTGGGTGTGATGCAGCAGACATCCAATTGGCAGATAACTTAATTCTGTCCAAAGCTGGAATGTCAGCGGCAATAATATTCATTAAAGATTCAGCAACACACATCTTAGCAGAGGCAGAAGCAGAGATAAGAGCTAAAGTTGGCTTTTCTCCCATGGCCAATGCTTCACCAGTCTTGATAACAGTTTCACCTAACGATGTTGCGGTCACACCAACATCAGCAACAGGAACTTGCCATGGTCCAACCATTTGATCACGATCAACTAAACCTGTAATAAATCTATCACCAATAGTAATAAGGAAGTTCTTAGAACCGACTGAAGGCAATTGAAGCACTCTAGAAATAGAATCTTGTACATTGAGTCCAGAAGTTGAAAATGGGGACAATTGTAATGGAGCAGTAATAGCTTCTCTGGACATCTTTGGCGGCTTACCGAAAAGGACAGACATTTCCAAGTCAATTGGAGTAGATTTTAATAAAGAATCAGTTAATATTAATCTTTGCTCGCTAGTAGCTTCACCGACAACGGCAAATGGGGCTCTTTCTCTTTCACAGATCTTACTAAACATTTCTAAGTTTTCAGGAGAGACACCTAAGACATAACGCTCTTGAGATTCGTTACACCAGATTTCCATAGGTGACATACCTGGTTCTAATGATAAAATTGATCTTAATTCGAATTTAGCACCCAAGTCATTATCATGTACCAATTCAGGTAAAGCGTTAGATAATCCACCAGCACCAACATCGTGAATAGATTGGATTGGATTCTCTTTAGCTCCTAAGGAAACACATACATCAATAACTTGTTGAGCTCTTCTTTGAATTTCAGGATTACCTCTTTGAACAGAAGCAAAATCTAAAGCAGCAGAACCTTCACCTGACAGGATAGATGAAGCAGCACCACCACCTAATCCAATAAGCATACATTGACCACCGAGAACAATAATTTTAGCGCCTGGAGTAATTTTAGTCACAGTTTTAAGTGCTAATTCAGGTCTAATAGCACCAAGACCACCTGCCAACATGATTGGCTTGTGGAAACCTCTGATCTCTTCCTTTCCAGTGCTATTGACAACTTTGGTGGTCAAAGTTCTGAAGTAACCGTTGATAGCTGGTCTACCGAACTCATTGTTGAAGGCAGCAGATCCGATTGGAGCTTCCAACATAATGTCCAAGGAAGAAGCAATGTGACCTGGCTTACCGACATCTATTTCCCATGGTTGAGGTAAGCTAGGAATGTGTAAATCTGAAACACTGAAACCAGATAACCCAGCCTTGGATTTGGAACCACGTCCAACGGCACCTTCATCTCTGATCTCACCACCTGAACCAGTGGCAGCACCAGCAAATGGAGAAACAGCAGTAGGATGGTTATGAGTTTCAACTTTAATTAAAGTGTGGACATTTTCTTTGATAGATTTCCATTCTTTAGTTAAATAATCGGGAGTGAAAACGTAAGCAGATGGGCCTTCTAATACAGCTGCGTTATCACTGTAAGCACTGACAGTGTATTGAGGGGTAATAGCATGTGTGTTTCTAATCATTTTAAAGAGGGAAAGATCTTTCTTGGTGTTGTCAATGGTCCATTCAGCATTAAAAATCTTATGTCTGCAATGTTCAGAATTGACTTGAGCAAACATGAAAAGTTCAACATCGGTTGGGTTTCTGCCAATAACTTGAGTGAATGCATTGATAAGGTAATCGATTTCACCCTGATCCAAAGCCAAACCTAATTCCTTGTTGACCTTGAGAAGATTCTCAGAGGAGGATAAGATATCAACCGACACCAAAGGTTTGGGGGAGTGGTGAGCAAAAAGATCATCATATACTGGTAACTTAGAGTCTGTGTATAATACTTGAGTCATTCTATCGTAAACACTCGATAAGATTTCACCCTTAGGTAATTCTTGTCTGAAGAGGGCATCATGCGATGGGTCGACCTTCACAAGTAAAGTCACTCCTCTTTCAATTCTTTCAATGTGGTCACCAAGACCACAAATCAGGGAGATATCTGTAGCCTTAGATGACCATGGAGAAATAGTTCCAGGTCTTGGAAGAATTCTCACAACGTGGATACCTTCAGGTAACTGAGTCAGATCAGATGCGATGATCTGAGTAAGCTCATCGGTGTTATCAACCGGAGTGTCGTACTCAAGCAAAATCTTGACTAACTTCAATTGACCATCGGTTAAGCTAGAGGCAGCACCCTTAGTAGAAATATAATGGGTGTAACAAGATCTAACATCAACAATCGAACCAGGCTTGTTTAATTTTTTCTCAATTTCTTGAACAAAGTTTGAAACTCTAAAGGGTGACAAGGCTTTAGGTCCAGGCAAGACAAGAAATGATGAAGTAGAAGACATTTAGTCGACAGCACGGAGCAGAATTTGTTTTGTGTTTGGGGAGGAGGCGGGTAGTGTGATAGAATACAAAGTAAAAGAAAAAGAAACCTACAAGTCTAATGTTGTCATAAATTTTTGATAATTTTTCTTGCATCCTCTCGGACTCATTTCTGAAAATTAAAAGGACCAGAGTCAATCGCGCACTAGATGATGCGATGAGGTTTAGCGTTTGGGGGTGTATAGTGAGTCGTGCCGCGACAGGCTGCTGGGAAATGGCGGACTAGACCTAGTAGTGAGGGTATGTATTTTGGAAAGGAGTACACGTGCCAGTGAGCTCTGGGTCAGCTTACATGTAGCTGATGGTTAGGCGATGCGTAGCTGATGTGTAGCCAATGGGGTAGCCAATGGGGTAGCCAAAGGGATATGTTAATATTGTTCTGAACTGCTGGTGTTTGCTGGCGATGGGCGCCATTTTGAGTTTTTCTGAGGAGCAGCGAGGACAAGAAAAGTTGCACCCAAAGTTAGCGAGCACCTCAATTGGTCGGATAGGTAGTGTTACCAACAGTACTTCTTCTTTGCCAAAATGTTCACCGATCAAGGTCTAGGAAGAATCTCGAAACTATAATGAATAGAACACATCTAACGGACAAGAAATTACGATGTCATTCATTGAAGAAAGTTGCTTCATGGCCATACGCCTGCTTTCCCTCTCACAACATTTTTGCACCCATTTTCAAATATTCTAGTGAGCAGCTCCATCTCAAGCATAAAATGAACTTAACAATAGCGCTGCCACCAAGGCAAAGGACAGGTTTGCAAACTAAATACTCCCAATACATCCCATTCACTTGAACTACACGACGTTTCGTGCCCGAACATCAACTACCAGGTTCACACTTCTTTTACTACTTGTCCCACTCTTACCTTACACTGAGCTAGCGAAAGTCGTGTCTTGGCGAGATGAGGCTATCAAACTTCATCCTTTCAAATTAAGAGGAACGCAGGTATAGTATTCTTTACCTTTGTTTGTGGTTAAGTCGTTATCAGAGTATATTATGGCTCAAGGGAAATTGAAGCTTAAGAGTAAAGCTCCAGCAAGAGTCACTAAAAAGCAAAAGAATACCGCAAAGGCTGCAGCACCCAGAGTTTACAAGGCAAGAACCGTTCAAGCCAAACACGCTGAGAAATTAACCAAGATTCAATCTGGTCAATTGGTGTCGTCCACCGAGAAGCTTATTGCCAGTAGAGTTGGTCATTTGGAACTTATCAAAGGATCTAGAAGAGAAATCGAAAGAAAGGACAAAGAAGCCAAGAAGAAAATGGCCGCAAAGAAGTAGACCATGATAACACTAACTGAACTTTTATCTTTCCCGGAAGGGGACAATAGCACTCCTAATGTGCAAGACAAAACTGACGAAGTGAAGGATATCGATATAGCCAACCAAAAAGAAAGACTGGCATTGCAGAGTAGGCTTGAAACGAATGTAATTCAGAGTAAAACCTTCAAGGAAATCAGCATAGAAGAGGTTACTCCAGAGTTGACTGCGTTGGAGCAGGAACTGGCGAAGAGATCTAAGAGGAGAAGATTGTAGCATATTAAGAAGTAAAGAATGACCGAGGGATATTAGGTATCAAAGAAATAAATAACATTGCATTTTGAAGCTTATTGTAATATGACTAATTCTTTCCAGTATTTAGACCCATAATGTTGAAATTAGGAGATGTACTATTAAAAAACAAATCTAAAAGGTTTCTGTATTCTATATTAAGATTTATACTATTACACATCTACACATCTATAAAGGTAGACATTTTGACTTTTGGAGACAGTCAGTTTCTATTTCCTCTGTGGATTCTCCCTCTCTCTCTCTCTCTCAGTCGTGTTTCATCTTAGTGAGGAACATTTCTAATTGACGCCTCCTGTGCTTCCAATTCCAAATTCTTTCTCTTGATTTCCAATTCTTGAGATCTCACATATCCAAGTAACATGAATCCGAAAACTGCCGTTAAAATGGTCAACGTAGCATTAATTGGGGTGGGGTTCATGTGGAAAAGTTCATGGGTAGCTTTGTCCATGAATTGTTGCAAGATGTTACAAACACCCGAGAAACATATAATGGCACCATAGACCGTACCAAAAGTTTCAAATCCAAATACCTTTGCACAAAAATCGGAAACAGCAGTGTAATAGAAAGGTCTGTACATAACCAACAACAAGATACCTGCGTAAGTTGCTGGTAAAAATGAAAGCAATCCCATTACACCAATGAAAATAGATACTACAAGCAAGATAATCAATACGCTTAGAGTGGTGAAATTGTCCAACAAAACCCCAATAAAAGGGATGGAAGCCAAACCTCCCAAAGGTAACGCCAAATCGAAAAACTGATTAATCTTAACTGCCAACTTTTCATCTCCACCATACAAATACAACTCTTGAGACTTAATGGTAGCAACAAAGAAATTTATACGAAGCATTTGAATGGTAGTGAAAAGTGTCATCAAAAAGAACCAAGGTGACTTCAATTGTTCTACAACAGTATAGCCATGCATGATACCGAAAACACCTCCTGAGTTTTCAATCAATTCTTCTTCAGCATCTTGTTCATACACCGACTTGACAGACGTTCTTGAGGTATAGGAAGCTCTAGAAACAGTAGATGCTCTTCTAGCAGAAAGAGATGCTCTTCTCATAAGCAAAGCAGTTGACTCGCTAGGTGTGACAGCTCCCGACCCAGGTGCTGAGTTTGGATCTCTGTCTTCTGGGTAAAGGTTATCAGGGTTTAACGGTCTTCCAGTTTCATCAATGGCCATTTCACCAATTTTAGCAAGGGTACCCATTGTCTTGTATGAATCTCTAGGCATAACGAAAATTTGGCATAAAAATATGAAAATGGGCACAGCAAGGTAATAAGTGAAAAAATGATCAAGGGTGACCTTGTGAATATTAGTATAGATCAATCTGTACACAAGGAAAAGTGCAGAAGAACTATCGAAAGCACCGGTCAAAAGAGCCAAAATCAATCCTGAGTTTTTGGGGAAGCTATTAGCCAACTGGAAAGACGAGATGAATACAAATGGACCACCAAGGGCCAAGGTTGCGTACCCGATACTGTAGGCATCAAAGTAGTTAGAGAGAGGCTTTCCAAACTTCAACAACAATGTAGCAACAAGGATAAGACCAGAACCAATTATTCCACTCACTCTTGGTCCATACTCATCCAAAATGGACCCCACAGGTAATGCTGCAATGTTTGTAACCACAGCAGCCAAAGTGAACATAAAGTTCAACAGGAGGTCTTGTTCAGCGCAAGGTGACAGGTTCTTCTCAATATTGGTAAGCGATAACAAGGAGTTCACTAATGTAGAATTGCCTAGGGTCACCACTAGGTCAGCTTTGGAAGTACATTTTTCTGCATAAACACCTTCTTTGATAAGAATTGGTTTCAAGGCAGCAAACCCAAACACCGGACCAGCAGCAAGCAAGCACCAGGTAATCGCACAGGAGATCTGACCAACTCTTTTAGCCAATGAAGGCAACTCAGTTGAAGACATATTAGATTTATTATAAAAACAATTTCAAAAAAACTGAACTGAAGCCAAGAATGTGCAAAAAAAAATCCAACTTTATTTCTTTGTGGGGGTCGTAGTGGATTTCTTCACCTTTAAGTAGTTGCCCTTAAATTTTCCAGGCCCTTTTTTTTTTTTTGCTTCTATTATCTAGCTGATATCGGAGAAGTGCGAAAAGACTAAACGGGCTAGAAGCTAATTCGTTTCTTTGTTGTTTTCAGTCCTGCTATGGTTATTGTTGGGTAGCAGCCAGTGTATGGGCTGTTCTATCTCGGCGGCATGATTTCTCTTGCTCAATGGTGTAGTTTGTTGTGTATCCTGGTGTAGTGCTGCTCCTTGATAGTGTCTGATGTTCGGTTATTTCCGTGATATGCAAGTATCATTATGCAGCTATGCAGCCTGAGAAAATGCGGTAGACGCATACAAAACAAATGCAGCAATTGCTGGAGATTGAGATGAGCAGTAGCTGCGATGTGGTACGCTAGTTGTAGCATATGCTGTATGTAAGTGGGAAAATGGCGAGTGCAGGGTTTAGTAGAGATGCTAGGGAACAAAAAAAGGGAACAAGGGGAAAGTTCTCATAGGTGCACCAATCTATGGGTGTGTGGTGCTTGGGCATATGTTAGCTCTCTCGTGAGAGCCTGTGAGAGCTTGTGAGAGCTATTACTCTATTGATCTCGACCCGACTTTGACTTCAAGTCTACGCCCGTTTTACTGTGCAAGGATATTTCACTTAGCTTTATATTTCATAGACGCCACAGAGCCGTACTCTTGTTGCACATTGAAGAAGGCAATCAAGTCTGGCAGATGCTATTTTACTACAGACTTTGCACCCAAGTGTGAGCCGAAAGTCTGCACTGGTTTATGGCACCAATACAAGTCTACGCGGATCCTATTCACATGATTTCTTTACTCTTTATTCTTTATTCTTTTATCTACGTACATAGTCCTTAAAATGGTGAAATGTTCTGATCTACATTCCTATAGCGCCTTTGCGAGCCGCTCAACTTTTGGTAGATATGATGAATAACAATTGCAAACATGTTAAGTATGACAAAGGCAGCCAATACAAAGACAAATCTCACCCCAGCTTGATTGTAAAATTTAGTTGGCTTCAGGGCAGCCGTAGTCTCCGACGATTTGGGATTATCAGTAGTCTTTGTAGTCTTTTTATCTGCCCTTCTATCGAATTTCCCGTTGTATTCGGCAGTCTTAGTAGGTAAAATTATGTAGTCTTCTTCTTCCTTCACTTCATTAGCAAAGGTCTTATATGCACCACTGACTATACGACTAACTTCCATGGGTAATGGTGAAGAGGCACTTGGGTCAACGTTATACTCGTTAGCGCCTGCCAAGTCATTCGCATCTGTGTGGCTACACCCGCCACTAAATTCTGGAAGGTGCCTGTATGCTTCAATGAGTATGAACAATACTAGAAAAATCCTTCCTATGTAATCCCACTTGCTTGTTTTCTTCTCAGAATCAAAGCCACTGGTTGCGGAGCACTCTATGCTTGAGGCACTCTCGCTTCTCGTGCGGTTATAGATTTTCTCCGACATTATATATGGGGTAGTTTCACGTCTGCTTGACCTGTTTGTGTATCTGAAGTAAGGACCCACTAAGCTTCCCTTCCCTTTGGCTACGTAAAGCTTATTTACAATTCCTTTTGAAGCAAATCATTAGGCTATTTATAAATTTCCGCTTCAAGATGCAGGAGAAGTAAACAGGGCGAGGAAAATTTTCAAGAGATCAAAATTAGGTGGTTCTATACAGGACTAGACTTTGTAGATGGATCTTACTTGGAAGCTCGGAATCTAGTTACTTCTGAATATCACGATCCATTCATGCGATTGAGGAAAGTCGAAAGGTGGAGTTAGTGTGAGTGTGTTCTCGAAGAATCCCATATATTTGACTTTCCATACACGTAGGACTTCCAAGTCACTTCTCCTGCCCTATGTGATCAATGGTACAAGATACATTCAAACGAACCCATTCAAATATCCTAATGACGTTAAAACTAGCTATCAATACCTCTAAATTTACGGCACACTTCATTACTTCCCTGGCACCTATCGCTTGGTACCTTCCTTTGTAATGAACTGATTCTATCTTGCCCTGTCTTCATCAAGGCTGCAATTATCATAAGTGTCACGTGATCTCATCTGAGAGTGCAACTTTGAAATTTTCTCAGTTTTTTATTTTTTTTTCATTCGATACTGAAGTCACGGACTCTTGCTACAATACTTACACACAAGCATACACATATATACCTATATTGATCATGTCTGCAGTTCTTTTCGATGACATGTTCAATGTCGAATCTGTGGACCACGGAAAATATAACAAAGTTGCTCGTATAAAGGGTCAATCATCCACCTCTAGAGACGTTAAGATTGCACTTGACATAAACAGTGAATTGTTTCCAGTTAAGGAAAATGATTCATTAACTATCACCTTGGCATCTTCCTTGGGTAATGAAGCATCTATGACTACTTCCAATGGTTCATGGAGACCACCAAGATCTGGTGAAGAAAGGTCATTAGCTGATGACTACGATTACGTTATGTATGGTACTGTATACAAGTTCGAAGAGAACTCTGGCTCAGATAATATGTCGGTGTACATTTCATTTGGTGGATTATTGATGTGTTTAGAAGGTGGTTACAGATCTTTATCCAACTTGAAACAAGAAAATGCTTATATTTTGATCCGTCATTACAATGAGTAAGCTTAAAGTGGTGGTGTAAGGTGGTGAATGGTAGACTTTCACACGAGAGTGTATGTAGTATAAATGTATGAAGAAGGTTTCCAAATAAGAAAAACAAGGCTAAAAAAGAAAGACAACCAAATATGGTAATAATACAAAAAATTAGATTATAACCAGCTCATGTAGACAAAGTAGACAGTAGGCTAGAGTATTGCAACTAATAATGCCATCTTAGTCCCGTTACATGAACTATTTTAGAAGGCTGGTAGCTGATGTGTTACATGCACTCCTCAGAACTTCCAGAGGCTAATCGAAAAATGTTAGGTAGAGATGTAATCAATGCACTCAACTTCTTTCCATATTTGAGTCCAATTTCAATTCATTGTTAGTAGTATATGATAATGGATGATACCGAAAAGCGTAAGTGAGTCAATTCAGTGGGCATACAGATAATTTATCTCAGTAATTATGTTTATTTAGAGTACTAACAATTCAAGCTGATCCCGTTCTTATGCAGGTGCCACTCATACGGAATCCTTCGTACCTACCACCAAAGGCAATCACTTTGAATTTAAATTATGGAAAATTGCTACCAACGTTGACCAAATCGGTTGTGCCGCCAAAGGTCAATATCTCAGAAGGTGAATTGAGAAAATGGGAAAAGGATATCGAAGCGGTCAAGTTGAGATTTGAGAAGGCTGATAGTGCAGAGCAAATAAGATACCAGGAATGGGTTAAAAGGAAGCAAACCCAAATTGCACCAGGGTTTGATTCAATGGGAGGTATAATGATGCCTAGCAGAGTAGAGAAGACGGAAGAAGTTACTAAAGCTGAAGAAATTAATGAACTTGATGCTCTTTTTGGGAAAACAAGCATATCAAGTAAAGTTGAGCCCACTGAACATAGCATACATAAAGAAAATCAAGAGTAGCAGGCTGGCCTCACTTTAATCCATATACCTTATTCAATTTTCTTTATTTACAATAAACGCCTACAATTTTGACTAAATTATCAGCACAAGAAAGTGAAAAGGAATATTTAACCATAATTGGACTCCCTTCCATGTAGAAAGCTAATGAGTTGTACGCTCCTTCCCTAGCCATTCTCTTACTGGTGTACTTTAAATTTGGTTCCTGCATGTCCCAATTCTCGATAACCCGAAGTATCAGCAGGGCATTGGAAAATACGAAAAAATTAAACTTAGGGCCCTACTTGAACTGAGCTGTAAAAGCTAATACTAAGAATATATGAGTTCTCTAAGTAACAAGATTAGGTACTTGGCTCCAGTACGGCAAAAAAGAACTTTATTGCTTCTAATATGTGCAATTTTACTATTTATAGCACTTGGATCACTCAAATCATTGTCATTAACGAATTTGCATCAAAATAAAAATACTGAGATTGATATACAATCAGAAAGACTGAAAATAACTAATCCTGGGTATCGAAATTTTGGCACACGGGAGCATGAAAGTTCAATGGGAGACAAATGCACGCTTTATTTTCAAGATTTGGCCAAATCTTCTTATCCTGGTATAAATCTTCAAGATATGGAAGCAAAAGGCTTCAATACGCTTGCGTACAGGAAAGACAAGTGGATAAAAAAGTACAGACGAGACTTAAAGTTGCAATTGAAGAGACAGAAGGCCCAATACACAAATGAACATGACGCTGAAGGAATGAGACGCCTCCTTGAAGAGAGTATGAAGATTGTACAAATTGAAACGAAAATGACCCTTGATTTCAATCATATGAGAGTCTTTGGAAGCTGTTTGGCTGCAAATGCAATTGAAAATGTGAAAAATGTCCAATCCGTGGAGAGTGAGATATTCCCCTGGCTTTCAACCAAGTGCCCCAAATTTGAAGATATGAGTGGGAATGTTCTTGAATATGGGAAGACACCATCCAATTCTGAACTGAGTCCATTCTCAGAGGCTGAGAAGAGGAGTTTCCTTCAATATTGGAAGGATACTAGTAGCGGAAAGGGGATAGTCATACCTATTACCAAGAATGAAAATATTCAGGTAGATCACATCAAGCGACTCCTTAGAACGTTTTCTTCTTTAAAAAATACACTCCCGATACAGATCTTGTACATAAATAACGATGTTGGCTTTAAAGAATCAATAATCCAAGCTGCTAAGGAATCTAATCAAGCTGTGTGGTTTGTTGATCTTCTGCCTGTTATCGCATCTTCACTAATCGAGAATAAAAACGGTGTTGTATATTCACCGAACTTTATCTTGGGCTTATCGACCATATTTCATTCCTTTGAGGATGCAGTCATATTGTCGTATCAGGCGATTCCATTGTTAGAAGATTTTGCTAATAAATTGTTTGAATCGGAGAACTATTTGTACTACGGCTTAAAGTTTTTTAAAAAGCCTTCATATCAGACGTTAAAGAGGACGAAGTTCCCTGATGGATTCTTCGAAGTAACCAATTTAATAAGAACTCAACTTATGCCTAACAAGGATGATTCACGTGTATTTGGGATGTTTCAGAGACTGGAAAAAATCTCTTCAACGAAGAGAGTACTTGAAGATACGTTCCAAGAGTATATTGATCCAAATATGATGGTTATCAATAAGGTTAAAGTTATGAGTGGCTTGCTTGTTGGTTGCAATTTACAATTTTATAGAATGTTTAATGTCAGATTTGATGAACAGTGGCCAGTACGTCAACCTGAATTTCTATGGTTGGGCCAAGAGATTGCTGGTACCAATCAGAAGGTGAACTTCAATGCATATCATGGTACTGGTATGGGGGTTTTAACACCCGCATTAAAAAAACCAACTAAGGTGGTAACCACCTCCGAAGAGCTCTGCTCATCATCTTGGGGCCAAATCGATGAAAAGGATGCGTTTACGTTGTTGTATTTAACGAGTCATCAGGCTGAAAACTGGAAAAGCATAAAAAAGTTTCAGTTAGACTTAGAAGAGAAGTTTGGAATTCCAATTACCAAAGAAATAAAGAATAACATGGATACAAGTGGGGACGAACCTGGAATGCTTACGATTACTGATAACAATTATGAACTATTCCGCAATACATTTGAAAAGAATGTCTTGACTGTGAATGATGTAATGATTCCTGCTACGATAAACAAAAATGCAGGTGAAATGAACTCTGTAGAGCCAAAATTTGCTTGGTTGCAACAAAGGGAATTTGGTGCAGGTGGGCATATGTATTGGTGTTGTTATAATGTTGTGGGTAAAGTAGGTATTGGTAAGGAAGGAATGATCATAAAATATAGTGAGCAAGATAGAGAGAGGATGAATCGGATTACGAGTGTATGGATGAAAGATGTGTAGAGTTAACTGATAGATGTCATTTAGGACAATGAAAAATATATATATATATATATATATATATATTTATTTATAGGGAGCATGTCAGTTGACATCCCGAAATGCGTGTAGATGGAAAGATGTAAACCGTAAAACAGAGTTTGCACCCTATTGTATCAGCTTTGTAGTATCAGCTCAAGTGTCTTTGCATCAAGCAAAAAAAAATGACGTCACAGACAGGATTCGAACCTGCGCAGGCAGAACCCAACGCCTAACAGCTGCTAAATTAGCAGGGCGTCGCCTTAACCACTCGGCCACTGTAACAATTCCACAAAGAAAATCTCTAAAAAGCATTACATAATGTGAGTGGACTTTCCTCCCTGAACCCATATAAGTGCAGAAAAGATCAGATAATCGTAACCATAAAAATAATGGCACCACCACGAGGAGTAGCAAAAGACATGGCGCAGACAAAAATTCATCTGTTCCTCTTTGGAAATGACCTGAGGATGTTTTCTTAGTGGCGCCCGATTGACGAGTTCACTGGTATAGTTAGCGCCAAGAGGCTCTATCTAAATTTTTCATTCATTTGATCCCCCAAGGCTGAACTATCGTATATCTCCTCTATTTTTCCTTAGGGCGTATTTATCCGAAAGACATCTGACCTACTTTTACAAGGCAGGGGAACAGAAGAATGTGAAATAGCACGGCGAAATAAAAGAAAAATAGAAGGAGAAAAAACAAAAAAGCAAGAAAGCAAAGAAAGCAAAGAAAGAAGAGAATGAAGTGAAAGAAGAGAAAGAAGAGACTTGAGGAAGGTATGGAACATCATGCTGTGTAGCCACGTTGCGCCGCTATCCCCCGTGTTCTACGCTAAAGTAAGTTACCAAAAAAAGCTTCGAGAATAATGCATGAAATTTATTGTTCTCTCACATATTTGGATTTTTTTTCTTCGTCAATCACTTGCCTTTTTCATCCACTAGCGTCAAGGGCTCCAGGCGATTGCTAAGTAGACCATGTAAATTGCTCGGAACAACTGGAGCAAATTTACAATTTTCGCTCTATTACTTCGAGACCATTAACATTCACATTCTCTTTCTCGTTCTCTCCCACCTTGCAACCTGTATATATTGGTATGGCTTACCCCACCCAACACTTTCTTTTTTGCTAGTTTCCCGTTTTCTTTTCTATCCCCCATCATTTTTCCATTCCTCCCCTCATTTTTCCAGCAGCCATGCCACCACTACAGCATCAGCAAAATACTCCGAAAAATTATTTTGTAGCTATGTGCATTTCCTGCACGCAACCCCACTACACGACCAACCAAATGAATTTTAAGCAACCCACTCACACATCGAGCGATCATCTCCACTTTCGATTCCGATTTAAACAAGCTTCCCCTTCTTTTCGAGTGGTTTATAGAGAATTGCAATTCCTTAAAAGTTATTTTTCTTTTTTGTTAATACTTTTCTTACTAAATTGTTATTATCATATACTATAAGCAATGTCTTCTGTTGGAAAGAAACACACCAAGACCCAGTCAACTTATGTATGTATTTGCTTTCATTTGTGGTAGTACTGAAAAAAGCGAAAATCGAGTGATTCTCTGATGCAAGGACAAATTGGTGTCAGCAGCAAGGGAGGAATTAGGACCCAATTTCGAATGCGGATGAGCCCTAGGAGTATGAGTAAAGGTGCTTAAGCTAATACATTCTTCAATCGATCACTTAATCGATTTGTCCAAGACACTATTTGCGTGTTCTCGATCCATGGGCCGCAGTCTGGCGATAAAATTTGGCTTGCTTCGTGTATCACTATTTTTTTGCTTGGGTTCAGTTTTTTTTTTGGGGAGAATTTTGTGACCTGACCTTGAAAGATTGCTAGAAGTGCTCCAAATCTATGTAGCAACTGAAGACCTGGAATAGTGAGTAGGCATTTAGGAGGAAAGTTATATCGATAGATATGTCGTGTTCATTGAGCCCGTTCCCCACACTCCTACTGCCAAATCTTTTTAGATTTCATGCAATTTGGCATACCAAGGAGATCTAAAGGTTTTCAGTCTTTTCAATTATGTTTTTTTTTTTTTTTTGGTTCTTTTGTTCTATTTTGCATGTACTAACATAGTATTCAGGCGTTCGACAATACCGCAACTAACGTTGCCGCATCTCAAATGCGTAACTCCTTGAACAGTCTTGCTGACACTGTCAGTGATCAAGACAAGCAAGCCAGATTTGAAAATGAAATGGACTCATTTTTCGCCCTTTTCAGAAGATATCTTACTGATAAGGCTTCTGGCTCAACTTTAGACTGGGACAAGATCAAATCTCCAAGTCCAAGTGAAGTTGTTCAATACGGATCTTTGAAATCGGAAGAATCCAGTAACTTGAGCAAATTGGCAGTTTTGAAGTTGAATGGTGGGTTAGGTACTTCTATGGGATGTGTTGGACCAAAATCTGTCATTGAAGTTAGAGATGGAAATACCTTCTTGGATTTATCTGTTAGACAAATTGAACACTTGAACAGAAAGTATGATGCTGATGTTCCATTATTGTTAATGAACTCTTTCAATACTGATAACGATACCGCCAAGATCATTAAGAAATACCAGGGTCACAGAATCAGAGTTAGAACCTTTAATCAATCTAGATTCCCAAGAATCTACAAGGATTCCTTATTGCCAGTTCCAGAAACGTTTGATGACGATTTAGAAAAGTGGTACCCACCAGGACATGGTGATTTGTTTGAAGCTTTAGTCTCTTCAGGTGAATTAGACAACTTATTAAGTCAAGGTAGAGAAATTTTGTTCGTCTCCAATGGTGATAACTTGGGTGCTACTGTCGATACCAAGATTTTAGATCACATGATTGAAACAAATAGTGAGTACCTTATGGAATTGACTAACAAGACAAGAGCTGATGTCAAGGGTGGTACTTTAATCAACTACGATGGTCAAGTTAGATTATTGGAAATTGCACAAGTTCCAAAGGAACACGTTGAAGATTTCAAGTCCATTAAGAAATTCAAATACTTCAATACTAATAATTTATGGATCAATTTAAAGGCCATCAAAAAATTGGTTGAAGGCAATGAAATTCAAGCTGAAATTATTCCAAATCTGAAGACCATTGTCACTGGAAAGCTGGAAATCAATGTCTTACAATTGGAAACCGCAGTCGGTGCAGCCATTAGACACTTCAATGGAGCACACGGTGTTGTGGTGCCTAGATCTAGATTCTTACCAGTTAAGACATGTTCAGACTTATTGTTGGTTAAGTCCGATTTATTCTTCTTAGAACATGGTGCATTGAAATTGGACCCAACCAGAGAAGGATTTGCAAACCCATTGATCAAATTAGGTTCCCACTTTAAGAAGGTTAGCGGTTTCCAAGCTAGAATCAGTCATATGCCAAAGATTTTAGAATTAGACCATTTGACCATTACAGGAAATGTCACATTGGGTAGAGACGTCACCTTGAAGGGAACTGTTATTGTTGTTTGTAACGATGGGGATAAGATTGATATTCCAAATGGGTCCATCTTGGAAAATGTGGTTGTAACTGGTAACTTGACTATCTTGGAGCATTGAAGAAAGTTAATTGAGTTGAAGATTGAGAATGGAATATTTAGAAAAACTTCTCTTTACGTAGGCATGTGTATTTATGCATGCGAGTTGGCAATTTATAAGAATATATATGTTGTTTAAAACGTTAGATCAGCAAGGCAATGTACACCCAGTAAATAAGACGATTATAACGATAATCTTCTTTGCTGTATGTGGTTTCCGACCATTTTGTCATGGCAACATTAGCAAAAAAAACAGTTAATGCTTCGTTCCTCATGGCCCAATGGTCAAGGCGTCTGGCTACGATTACGTAACCACTTCCGGTTGGAACCAGAAGATTCCAGGTTCGACTCCTGGTGGGGAAGCTTTTTTTTTATATCATATATGTATCTGAAACTAGGAAGTCAGCATGGACGGTTTGATGCATTATGCACCGTCTACTGATGTTTTATGTTGCTCCCTCATCCTGAGGTAGTGCTGCCTTGTCTCAACCGTCTTCTTCCTTTCGAGTGACTCTTTCTTTTAATTACCGGTGTAAGGATGTATGACAAATTATCAAATCTTTTTTTTTTCACCTTCTTCAGATATGGTCCGATCCGATCGTACATAAATATCCTGTGGTAGGCAGTTCTCCTGTGATAATTTGACAGTTTTTTCTTCTGAAGTTATTCAGCATCGTTATGTTAACTCCTCCTATCAATATCCAAAAATGGGTTGAAGAAAATAAGCATTTACTTCAACCGCCTGTAAATAATTTTTGTCTTCATAGAGGAGGGTTCACAGTCATGATCGTCGGTGGGCCAAACGAGAGAACCGATTATCATGTTAACCAAACTCCAGAATATTTCCACCAATTAAAGGGTAAAATGTGTCTTAAGGTAGTGGACGAAGGAGAATTCAAAGATGTCATTATCGATGAAGGCGACTCGTTTCTTTTGCCAGGGAACGTACCCCACAATCCTGTGAGGTTTGCTGATACTATTGGGTTAGTAGTCGAGCAAGACAGACCTGAGGGTATCAACGACAAGATAAGATGGTACTGTCTGAAATGTAAAGAAATTGTACATGAAAAGGAGTTCTACTGTACGAACTTGGGTACTCAGATCAAGGAAGCTATCTTAGAGTTCGATGGTAACGACGAAGCAAGGACCTGTTCCGCATGTGGAACCTACAACCACTCAAAACCACAGTAAGTGAGGACATGTAACGAATATGAACAATACTTTAATGGCGAATTCGCACAATTGATAGATAAAAGCGTAATATATATGACTATGATATGACTTGGATGTGACCAGGATGAGTAGTACTGATATAAGATGAAGGACTACAGGTCTCCGGGTCTCCGGTGCCATCAGTTGCCTGGATTCACTTTGTATAATATATATTTGTATGTATGTATGTCTGGCTAAGCAAGTTTCGCATTCAGCTTCTTATAGAATTCTTCACCTTTGTCGAAGATATAATCAATGGCCAATTCACAAGGTTCATCGAAGACGTACGGAAGCAACGGGACAATACCCAAACCGATCGCCACGGGACCATAGGTCTTCAAGGCTGAAATTGAAGAGTTTTTGAATAAAAGAGAAGAATATCTAACGGCAGAATGAATAGTGAAGGCTGGGAGACCCATTGAGGCGATACTTTGGAAAACACCTCTCTTCAATCCGACCAATCTCCAGTCGGAGTCGACCAATTTGTCTCCAGCGACGTCAGAGTGGATCTTAGCGGCTATTGGATTGGGTGGTGGGTATGGGAAATTCCAAGGCTTCAATCCTGGGGTATATCTTCCTTCTGTCTTCATTTTAGCAGTCCAAGCAGCGTACAGGACATCAGCCAAAATATAAGCCCAGGAAACACCATAACCAAGAGTGACTAAGAAGGGATGAGCGACTGGACGGAAAGATTCTCCGATATCTGACGTGTACGCAACATAACGGTGTGAAGCTAACAAAATGGTTCTGAATCTGTTGGCGTATGCAGCGTATCTTAAGCTGCTCTCATCGGTAGCTGAATCATTTTCGGAACCAAGGGAAGCTGTGACTTGCTCCATCTTTTCAGGAATGTCGGAGGAACCCATATTCAATTAGTAGCAATTGCAAATTTAATAGTTTGTGTAAATGTTTAGTATGTAATACGTAAAGTACTAATATAGCTAGGCTGGTAAGTGCTGGAGCTGTAACGTTTGCTTTTTTCCTTGCCTGGGCGTGTTCCATGTCCCGCCTATCGATAATTATATGTTGGAAGTGTGTGCAGGATTGCCATTGAGTTTCGCCATGATAGTATTGTTGATATTATTATTTGCCTGCTTGGGACGTACGCATGACGAATCCCGAAACTAATCGACTAAAGGCAAATGGTAAGTGGTATGCACATCTGTTATTGTCACTGTTGCTAGTATGAATAAATTTGTTTTAAGTGTTAGCATTGTAGTGTTTTAGATGCTCTAAGAGAAGGCCCTACCCCGGAATATTATTTCATATGAGAAAATGAGAGAAACAGTGGTAAATTAATAAAACAAAGATAAAATTGCACCTTTGAAAAAGTTTCAGCCTTCCATTCCGTTTCTGATGATTGTTACTAGGATACAGTTATCGGAATGAATTCACAAAATTGAAGGGCAACAAGTCATCAGTGAATGTGTTCATCGTAGTCATCTGGTTGAATGCAACCGTTTCAATGCAGTCCACCCTACACCTGCACCACATGCAGGACCTAAATTGCCACAGGCAATTTTCTGTGTGTGAAGAAAATTGCAATTGGCAAATCCAAATAGGAACATGATATGCTTTTGTCATTGCTTGGTAGATAAGGAAAACTGACATCAAAATATGAGATTTGTTATTACCATAAGGTTCACAAATCCTCAAGATATACGGAGCCAAATAAAAGACTTGGACGTGGTCTCTTCCAACGAAATAGATGAGTCCACTTTCAACACTTCCTGGCTAAGGAATGCTATACGGAGTAAAGTTCCTGAATGCTCCACAAGACGACTTCGGTTAATTTACGGTGGTAAGGTACTAAACGAGAATTCTAACCTTAAGAGCGAATTGATAGTGCCATTTGTAAGACAACAGCAGCTTCAACAACAGCAACAACTGCAAGCTGAGATTGCTAATGCTCCCCCTAGTAAACTCTTCATACACTGTCTTATTGGAGACACCCTTACACCCAGCCAATTGTCGGAGGAAAGTCGACTTGACACTACGGTTCAGAGGACCACTGCCCCGGAGGTTGTTGGATTTGACAGACTTTTATTACAAGGGTTTACTCAAGACGATGTCAGGGATTTAAGAAGACAATTTCAGACAATATATACTCCTGAGGAGCTTCAATCTGGCTCTTCTGGAGTGGACATTCAGGATTTGGAAGAAGAAGAGAGAAGACAAGCGCATATAAGACAGTTGGAGGAAAGATGGATTGAATCCACTGTGACCCCCGCATCAGTAGATCAAGGTGCGACTGGCATTGGTAGTAGAGCTGGTGGTGGACCTGTTAGACCATTGAACTCCGGTGGGACTGACAATCAATCCATAGCGGGTGTAGGAGGATCCGCTGGAGAAGGAGGTGTCGCTGGAAATGGGACTGATGCAGCAGCACTTGAGCTTGAAGAAAATAGTGGTAATGAAGACTTATTGCTTGGGTTATTAGTTGGAGTTTTCCTTGGAGTGCTCAGCTTAATATTCTTAGCAGTGGACGACACAGTCTTCAACAAAAGGCAGAAGATGTCGATAATTGCTGGAATCTTTATAAACTGCTCGTTTGCAATCGTGAGAGGTCAGTGGGTTTAAAAGCAAAAAGAAGCTACCTTGGAAGGAATAGTTACACATGTAGGCAGGCTATACATATCAGTTAACATTCTAACTGCAAATAGACTAAGCTATCAGCAAAGAAGAAGAAGAAGAAGTGCAGAATACATAGGTAAATTTGTAAATAAATAAAATACAGTGAATACAGTATGAAATGTTTGGCCCACCAGCCCTTGCTAATTCCAAATTATAATATCCATACAGATACTAAAACGCTACAAACTAACAAAAGGGCGTTAAGATGGCCTAATTTCCTCCAAAAGAAGGATATCGTTCTCGCCAGGAACTTGACGCTCGCCAATCCGTAGGGATTACGAAAATAGACAAGCAACACGGTAATAGTTCTGGCTGCCGCACGAAGAAGAAGAGGATGAAAAGTTTTGAAAAATCCAGACTGCTTTTTTCAAATATATACTACAGCTGCGATGGTGTTACCCGGATTTTTCATGGCTTTTCAGGTAAAGGTGCAAGATGCTGCTGCGAAGAAGGCTGGAGGTTTAGGTGAGCAAGAATTATACTAAAAAGAGAAAATTAAGAGGAAGGATGAGTTGGAGAATTGGGTTCTCTGCAAGGGAAAGCCAACGAACTACAATGATAAAGGGAACCTGGAAGGTGAGAGAGAGTTTACGTTATAGCTGGTAATGAGTCAAGTAAACCAAACAAAAAAAATAAAATAAAATAAAGAAAAAAAATGGGTTGGCGCCACATGCAGGCACCAAAGATCACAAAGTTAGTGAGGTGCTTGTGCTCGTGCCCGTGCTCTTGCTACTTCGAATAGGGCGTATCTCCTGCCGTAGAGACTCCATATCACTCTATTTGAACTCAATAATTGCTGTCCCTGACTTATTTCCATCCGTTGAGTCTTCTACTCCTCTGTGTGCTAAACTCCAGTGTGTTCCCCTCTAAGGTCGGGGCGGTATTCGAGAAGCCAGAGGACTCGGATTTATCAGGTTTATGGCCATATCACGTGAATATAAATAAGATGCACTGCTGCATATGCAACAGCGTTATTGTTTGAATCACCAGCTAGCGATGGTGGAGAGTAGGCGCCAAAAGATGTGTTGACAGTGAACATGCAGCTTCTCCTGTTGCTTAGCTCCAACGAGAGACCATAAAGAGAGTGTACCCGTAACCTTAATACCGGACCCATCGAGAGCGTCCCTTCCAATACATACGACCTGATATCTCAGTGCTGCACGCCAGATATGAAGCCACTAAAATAATGCACATGGAATTATAGATCGACTCGTATACAGCACGAGCACTGCAACGTTGGCCAATCAACAACCTATTTTGTTCAGCTAGCAGATCTTTTCATATAAAAATCGAAAAATAAATCTGTGCAATTCCTCTTACCCATCTCTTCTGCGTAGCTCTTCTCTGCCCAGGCTCCTCTTTAAATCGCTTGGAGTTATCTTTCTGTCTTCCCAATCTTATCTCCCCACTATTCTTCACCAATTTTTTTTTTCTTTTTTTTTCCCATTTTTTTTTTTTTTTTCCAGATTTTCATCCCGGTAGCGCTCGTCCAACAAATTTGTTATCCCACCAATACAAACCAAGAAGAGTAATAGCACATATATACTAGTATAGGGCCATTATTTTATTCATTTCTATATAACAATTGAATTGAAACATTGTTTATAACAACTATTTATTTTTTTTTTCATTTCAAATCAATTACGTAGTTAGCAATGTCAGACCCAAAACCACTCCCATTCATTTATCAGTTCGGTGCAGGTGCCATCGCTGGTGTCAGTGAAATCTTAGTTATGTACCCATTGGATGTCGTTAAGACCAGACAACAATTGGATAACACTAACGCATACAACGGTACCATCAACTGTATCAAAAAGATCGTCAAAGAAGAAGGATTCTCAAGATTATACAAGGGGATCTCTGCTCCGATCTTGATGGAAGCTCCAAAGAGAGCCACCAAGTTTGCAGCTAACGATGAATGGGGAAAGATTTATAAGAAGGCATTTGGTGTGACTGCCATGACCCAAGGGTTATCCATTTTAACAGGTGCCACTGCTGGTGCAACTGAATCATTCGTCGTGGTTCCATTTGAATTGATCAAGATCAAGTTACAAGACAAGACCTCAAAGTTCAACGGTATGGGAGAAGTAGCAAAGCATATTATCAAGGAAAACGGTGTTCTTGGTTTATATAAGGGTTTAGAGTCAACTTTGTGGAGACACGTTCTGTGGAATGCTGGTTATTTTGGATGTATTTTCCAAGTTAAGAGTTTGATGCCTAAACCAAAGACTTCTACTGAGAAGACCTTGTCGGATTTGACATCTGGTGCCATTGGTGGAACTTTTGGTACTATTTTGAATACCCCATTTGATGTTGTCAAGTCAAGAATCCAAGCTGGTTCCACTAGATACGTCTGGACCTTACCATCTTTGGCTACTGTGGCCAAGGAAGAAGGATTCGGTGCGTTATATAAGGGTTTCATTCCAAAGGTGTTGAGATTGGGACCAGGTGGTGGTATTTTGTTGGTTGTTTTCACGGCTTGTATGGATTTCTTCAGATCTTACCACGAGGGTAATTAGGTAAAGGATGATTATAAGACGGAACGGTGACAATAGGCCGGCTCCGATTAGATACTTGATCACTTACATTATTTAAGTTTGGCTAATTTATACTATATATATATATATATTATATTCTATTGATTTTATCTTATTTATTCTATGTATGCAAGATGCTCCCTTTTCTATGCCGTAATCTTTTTCTTTTCCTTCTTCTTTTGCTCTCATTCAGAAACTATTTAATGTTGAATCGATAATCTTGAATATGTCCGCCTTACTTCCAATTTGTGCTTCTAAATCCATATCAGCATATTTAAAAGTCTCTGGGGAAAGAACCGTACTACTACTTTCATCAGTTCCGTCATTAAGTTTTTCACACTTGAATCCACTTAATAAGCTGAAAAATTCGGGTGATTCGTAGTCTAGATCAAGTATGTTGAAAACGACGTCTCCCTTCAGAGTTGCCTTGGAATTATTGAATTTCTCGCCTAAGTAGGCCAAGCATTGCGACAAGTACGTCAAATTAGTTAACTTGAGTCCCCTGGCAGTAACAAGTTCTTGAATGGTTTGTTGGTGAAGTAAAAGGTTATAAATTAGGTCAAATGTAATAGACTTGGACGTGTCTTCAACCAGCTGAACCGATTCATACTTAAAGAGCATCAAATCAACTATAACTAGGATTTCTTCCACAAGAACAGCAGATTCTTCGCCCAAGTTTTGCTTCTTAATAAATAGAAGAACATTAAAAATAGTCTTGAAGAAATCATTCCATTGATAGGACGAGAATCCTGCTACTGAATCAGGCGAAATATCTTTTAGAACTTGGTACAAGATACTGTTGCACATTTGATAACTAGTGATATCCAATTTCTTCGTCATATTGAATCTCATAAACACCTGAATCAGATCTATTATGTACAAAGAACTTGATTTATAGCCCTTATATCCAGCATGGTACTTGTTGATTGGAATTATGGGGTCCTTTTGATGGCATAACTTCCACTTGTACTCATTTATTTGAAATTGAACGGTTCTGTCCTGGAGTGCCACATACTCGGTGTAGTCAGTTTCACCCGCTTCCTTCGCTAATAAGACATTCTTGGAAGTCAACTTAATGAAAAGCTGAAGCAAAACTCTTGAAGTTGACTTCATTACGGAGAAATTATGGTGATAAAAAAACACATATGATGATAATCCAAGTAAGATATCCAAGAGTTCAATATGAGTATTGGCAACGGGCGCTGGCAGAGATGCCGTAGTTAAGGCGAAGAAGAATGAAGAGTTCTTAAAATGAGCATTAAGGAAAAGGAGTATTGGTAGTAAAGTCGAGGAAATTAAAGTGACATCATGATTTTTACCCTTTTTTTCTTCTTCCAGAGCTTCATTCGAGGCGTTTTGCTTCATTTTCTTGTACCTTGTCAAGTAAAAGTCTTCTAATTCTTTCAACACATCTTCATCCTTGTCCATTTTTTTGAACTCTGCTCGGTTATTGCTCACGCTTGTTGTTTCCACACTAGTATCATAGTTAAGGAAGTCTGATGCACTTAGTAGATTTCCTGTAAACCAACTGATGAACGAGCCCCTGGTTAGGGAAGCTTCAAGCAAGTCCGGTCTGTATTCATACCAGAACTTAAAGTCCATGCTAAGCAAACTGTTAACTTTAAAAGTGATTTGACTTTGAAAATCAAGGTAATCAAATATCTTTATATCGTTGAAATAGGTTGAGTTCGATGTAGAAACTGAATGCAATGGATGGTGCTGCAAATTTGTTATATCCGAAGAGTCTAGCTTCTTGGAAGATGATGCAGATGTGGAAGATGTCAACACACTTTCTAGAAGTGATAGTATACCTATAACGCTGTATATCTTAACACGTGAGTATAAATTCAAGTTGAATGACAGTTTTGGGTTCGAAGATGCGATGAGGAGCTTATCTAACTCTGGAGCAAAATCTGCCTTAAGAAGAGTAAGAATGAATTGGTTATTTTTGTGAAACTGATAATGATATTGTTTTAACAATGTCTTTACCATGGCATACAATGTGGATATACTTGCCAAAATTGCAGAGTAGTTAGTATCATCTCCTAGCTTGAATTGGTATTGCAAATACCACTGAATACAAGACAATAAATTTAGCAAACTCTGTTGAGTGAGTGGAAGACTGTTTTCTCCACCAACAGATCCTCTGCTCGAGATTTCAAACAAACTGGTCAAGAGGTCTGCTGAAGTTGAGGATATCCCCAAGCTTTCCTTTGATTTCCTTAGCACAATGCTTGACTTGGTCACATTATTGAACCATACTTCTAAGATTCTTAAGATATTCGTTATAAGCTCAGCTCGTAAACCAGGGTCGATATCACCGAAATGTGGACGATTCAATGGAGATATTATGGCAGAGGCGGCTGTGTTTGCTACTTCACTATTTCTTCTCGAGCTTGAGGGCCCTACTCTAGAAACATTTGAGGTTGATTTCGCCAACAAGGTGATATCACCTTCTTCGTCTAAATGAGCCAATGACGAAGATACTTTCCCTGTCATAGAAGTAATATCGTTACTCTCGTCCTCGTCTCCGTTGGCGCTGCTGGCCAACAGGCTCATGGAGAGCTTCCTAAAACTAGCACCCTCGAATTTGTCATTAGATTCGGCATTTTCTGTCGCTGGATACTGCATGGCATCCACTAGAAACTCTAGGCCATAGCTGTATATCTCCTGTAACACCGTAACGTTTGTGGTCAATAGCTGAGAAGATGTTCCAATTGACTCGGTATTGACTGAGAACACCGAGCGAAGCGCCAGCTCATGGACAGGAGTCGTGTAAAACGACTTGTAGTAGTCCAAATCTTTCACGTAGAGCGGGTCAAATAGCTTCGAGTAGATACTAATAGTGATATTCATGTCAATTGAGTATAATATCCAACCAATATACAATGTCTATTCCAACTCGTACTGAGTATAGCGCTTCAATATCCTCGAAGCGAAGTATCGTAAAATTTCAAGTTCCTGCGTAAACATGTACACTACATGCAGGATTATACACAGAAATTTAAACTAGGAACACGGTGAGCTAGGTGATGTAGCGTTCACTGTGATCCTTCTTTGGCAATTTCGTCAATTGATTTGGGATTTGTATCGTTACGCAGCTCTTAAGGATCGGAAAAGCAACCAAGTTAAGGCAGCCTTATTTTAGGTGCATTTATATTTGATTTGACCAGACCTGAATCATGTCTGACCAAGAGTATGAATTGGTAGATCAGCTGCAGAATCGCGCAAGGTTGGAACAAGAATATAGAGCGCCTTCATATTCACAGTCTAGCTCGCATGATAGTCTATCGACTAGATCATCACAGGACTCAACTTCTTCTGAAGTATTCGATAATATCGACTCCGCTACTAATCAAAGAGGTGATGCGGATGATAACTTCTACTGGGATGATTCATTTCAGCTCATATGGCATAATTACGGAAAAGACAATGGGCGAAAGTATTTTAAGTTCTTTAGTCTGAAGTATAGCTGCTACATACTCCTAGGAATTTCAATTGTTCTTTGGTTTCTTGCGTTGTTTTTTTATTCTAAGGAAAATCACTCCAAAATAATGAAACTAATAAAACCAGATGGGGCCAATGCTAAAGTAGTGCAAACCGCAGATCGAAACATAACTCTAAGTCAGTATGACCCACAATTTAAAAATATTACATTGGCTTCCTTTTACAACGGAGAGTATCTTCCTCTGAAAATTGAAGTTAATTGGTTGGATAAAAGGCAATACCCCACCAAATCACAAAATACAATCAAAAATGGTGGTGGCTACTACCTCACAAGGACCAGTGGTTCATATATTGTAAAGCAAATGGACTCTTCTCTAGAAAAATCTGGGAAGATCGATATATTTATAAATTTCAATAGGTTTGCTTATGAAAATGACTTCTTCACGATAAAAGACGTCATTTTGAATCCAGCTAGGCCAGTTGATCAGTTAGACAACTGGCACATACTAGTCACAGACTCTTCAGTGCAATGGAGACACCTGAGTTTTGCCTTATTTTGGGTGTTCAATCCGCTAAAGCATGAGTTTATCCCCATCCAGCCACCGCTGTTGTCTACTGAAAACTCATCCACAGAATCAGAGCTATTCAAAACTAAAAAATTGTATAAGCTTCATTTTGCAGAATTTTCACCCAAAGGAAACTATATAGTCTTTGGATATGACCATGACTTGTTCATTTATACACTTGTTTCAGGAGAAGTGAAACAAATAACAAATACTGGCTCCAAGGACATATTCAACGGTAAAGCTGATTGGCTCTATGAAGAAGATATAATATCTGACGATAAACTCTTTTGGTGGTCGCCAGACGAGGCTCATTTAATATATGCTAAGTTGAATGATACCCAAGTACACGATTATGATCTAAATTACTACGTGAAAAGTGCTGACGAAATATTTAATACCTATGAGGAACCAACTTCTTCAAAAAAAGTTCATCATTTGAACCAATATCCCGTAAAGTCCACTATCAAGTACTCAAAACCCGGAACTCCGAATCCGAGAGCATCAATATTTCACTACAAAATGTCAGATCTGACTACAACTGAAGTAATAGCTGACGACGGAGGACCAAGGAGCGAGTTTATTGTGTACTCAGGTCAATGGTTGGGTAGTGATTCATTTATTCTAAAGTTGTCTGATAGGGAAAGTAGATTTTTAAGGAAAAAAGTGTTTAATGCAAAGGATGAGAAGATGAAAGACATCAATGAAGTAGACACGTACACTGCGTTTGGAGGATGGGTATCACAGCCAGTCCCATTGATTAAAGTAGGAGAAGGTTATGTTGACTTAATGGTTGAAGGCAATAGAAGTCACCTTTTTTACTTTGAAAGCGTAATTTCAGACCACCCATCGTATGCATTAACTCAGTCGTCGGAATGGGAGGTGCTTGACACGGAGCCTCTTGCGTATGATGAGCTAAATAACTGCATTTACTTTTTATCTTCCAAAAGAAGTTCAATGGACGTACATTTAATGTCAGTGGACCTCACCGAACACAATATAAAGGAAATTACGGGTACGAGTAAGGATGGTAAATATGTCGTTAACTTTTCTGATGATGGTCAATACTTGGACTTGATTTACGAGGGACCCTCTATCCCATGGCAAAGATTAATAAACATGGCGGTTTTGCATGAACATGAACACGAAAAAGAATCTACCGATTGTGACTCAATTATTGAGGAAGTTCCAATTTTCAACAGCGAAAAACCATTAGCAGATAAGTTGACAAAATCAAATTTACCTACAAAAGTATATCGTAAGATCCTAATTAATCCAGGAAATATCTTTGTGGACGTTGTTGAGATATTGCCTCCAAACTTTAACCCTGGAAAAGTGGGCAACAAGTATCCTATTTTCGTGAACATTTACGCTGGCCCAGGATCTCAGATGACTTTGAAAACATTTTCAATTGGATTTGTTGAAGTTGTTAGTGCTACATTGAATGCAATCGTTCTTATAATTGATCCGAGAGGGACTGGGCCAAATTGGGCAAGTAGGTCATTCTCAGGCCATGGTCAATTGGGTACTTGGGAATCGAAAGATATAATAGCTGTCACCAAACAATACATCAAAGTTAATGAAGCTTTTGTAAACGAGGATAGAGTTGCAATCTGGGGCTGGTCTTACGGAGCTTATACTACCTTAAAAACATTAGAACTCGATAACGGTGAGACATTCAAGTATGGAATGGCAGTTGCGCCAGTGACTAATTGGTTATTCTATGATTCTGTGTACGCTGAGAGATACTTATGGTTACCTCAAGAAGAAGGTGAGGATTCATATAAAAGAAGTCAAATTAGCGACTTTGCAAATTTCAAGAATATCAAGAGACTTTTGTTGGTACAGGGTACATCAGACGACAATGTTCATATTCAAAACTTGTATTGGTTATTGGATCAGTTCAATTTGGCGCAAGTGGAGAACTATGATCTTCAAATTTTCCCTGATAGTGATCATTCAATAGCGTACCATAGTGCGTCGGTTATCATTTATGACAAGTTAATGCACTGGTTAAACGATGCATTTAGCGGTAAGTTCGATGGGTTGGTGTAGGTAATAAGAGCCATTGAAGCTTTCCCTTTTGTATATATAGATAACTAAGGTCTCTTATCGTTCGTTGCCTCAATATAAGAAAAGCACGTGGACATGAACGCTATCGTGTAAGTATTGATATTGACTGAGCCAGGCACTTATCTTTCGCAGCCATTTAAATAGACAGCACTACATGCTATGTACATAATTGCCATTTTGGATAAGACAAAACCTTGTCGCAAAAATGATACAGCAATGTTTAGTCCACATTTCTGAAGAGAAAACCCGGTTTAGTAAACACCACTGCCATTCTTGTCAGATGCCAACCGCCCATAGATAGTAGAGTTAATATACTTACCAGTACCACCAATATACTATATACCATCACATCCTGCATGTAATACTCATCTCATTGAAATGTTACACAAAGCTTCTCATCGCATAACCCATGATTTTTTTTTTCAGTACGTTTTTTTTATCTATAGCTGGTGGATCTTGACAGCCAAGAAGTATCATCACCACCTTCAATCATGGCTAAACCTTCTAAATCTACCAAGAAGTTTCAAAGTAAACACTTGAAGCATACTCTCGACCACCGTCGTGAGGTGCAAAAGCACAACAAAAAAATGCAAACTCGTAAGAAGTCAAAGAAGACTGGCGATGAGGAAGAAGAAGCCAAGCCAAAAACTGCCCAACCAAAGGAAGTCTTCAACGATATGTCAGTAGACGAATTCTTTGCTGGTGGGTTCGAAGTTCCTAAGGAAAAGAAGTTTAAGAACAAGAAGACTACCGATGATAATGACGATGAGGAAGAATCATCCTCCGACGAAGAGGATGAAGAAGCCATGAAGGCCGACTTGAAGAACTTGGCAGACAAAGATCCGGAATTCTATAAATATTTACAAAATAATGATAAGGACTTATTAGATTTCGAAGGTGTTAATCCATTAGATGCCATGAGCGAAGACGAAGATGACGAAGAAGATGAAGAAGATGAAGAAGAAGCGGATGCATCTTCCAAATCTAAGAAAGCCAAGAAGGCTGCTGCACAGGAAGAAGAAGCTTCCAACAAGGTCGAAATCACTACTAAGCTTGTAAAGCAATGGGAAACCCAATTAGCCGCCAAGCCAAACATAAAGTTGATCAAAAATATAGCTATTGCCTTCAAGGCAGCCGTAAACATTCAAAATGCCCAAGATGAAGACTATAAATACGCTGTCACCGACCCCACTGCCTTCAACATGCTCATGTTGTTAACCTTGCAAAAAGTCCCAGAGGCTATCCAAAAAATCATAAAATATAAGGTACATGCTGGAACAGGTGCTAGATCAGTTCCAGAGAAGAACTCTAGCGTTAAGCCAATTGGTGCAATTTTAAAGTCAATGGCCGGATCTTACATCACATTGTTAAAGGATATCAACAACACAGAGACTGCAGCATTAGTTCTTGTTTCGTTACAAGAGATCTTCCCATATTACTTGTCATACAGAAGATTGTTGAAGGAAATTTTGGGTGCTGTTGTTCAAGTATGGTCTAGTACTGGAGATGTTCAAACACAAATTGCCACTTTTGCTTTCTTAAATAACGCAGCTCGTGAATATCCAAAGACTATCTTGGAGACTGTCTTGAAGTTGACATACTCCACATTCTTGAAAAACTGTCGTCAGACTAATGTCCATACTATGCCAAAGATTAATTTCTGTAAAAACTCGGCCCTGGAATTGTTTGGAATTGACGAAACTTTGGGCTATCAAGTTGGTTTCGAATACGTTAGACAATTGGCCATCCACTTAAGAAACTCCATCAATGCTACTTCCAATGCTAAGGAAGGCTACAAGACTGTATATAACTGGCAGTACTGCCATAGTTTAGATTTTTGGTCACGTGTCTTGGCTAGACAGTGTCAACCTGATCAAGAGCTGTTGAACAAGAAGGAATCCCCCTTAAGACAATTAATCTACCCGTTAGTCCAAGTTACTTTGGGAACCATCAGACTTATTCCAACCGCCCAATTCTTCCCATTGAGATTCTATTTAATTAAATCATTGATTAGATTGCAACAAGGGTCTGGTGTGTACATACCAATTTTCCCTCTCTTATCAGAAATTTTAACGTCAACTGCCATAACGAAACCACCAAGAAAGGGTGTCAAGTTAGAAGCCATTGACTTTGAAAACAACATTAAAGTTAACCAAGCTTACTTAGGAACTAAATCATATCAAGATGGATTATGTGAACAATTCATAGAATTGTCCAGTGAGTTTTTCGTTATGTACACCAAATCTATTGCATTCCCTGAATTAGCAACCCCTGCCATCTTACTGTTAAGAAGGTTTACCAAGAAGCTGAAGAATATCAAGTTCAACAAGCAATTGCAGCAATTTGTTGAAAAGCTTTCCACCAACTCCGAATTTATTTCTGCCAAGAGATCCAACGTTGAATATGGCCCTTCTAACAAGAATGAAGTTAACAATTTCTTGAAGGATTTATCATGGGAAAAGACTCCATTGGGACAATATGTTGTAGTGCAGAGACAAACCAAGGAAGAGAAGTTGAGAATCTTGAAGGAAGCTTTGGCCGATGAGGAAGAAGCCAAGAAAGCCCAAAAGGAGCGCGAAGCCAACGATGAAGACGATGACATTGAAATTGACGAGGAGGACGAGGAAGACGAAGAAGAAGAGGACGACGAAGAAGAATAGGCATAACATAAACGAGTGTATAAGTTAAATACATCTTAATCAGCAAACTATCGTAAACTATCGTAGACAAAAGCTCTCTCTGCATAGTTTGCAGAGTTGCATAGGTTGCATTTCCTTCATGCCACTGTGGTTTCGTATTTTTCGGAGTATTTTAGGAATCCTGATAAAAGAAAATGGCTGCAAATCATATATGCGTCCGTGTCGGGGCCGGGATCAAGACCCGGTGCTTTTCGGGGAAAAATTTGGTTTACGGTGCGCGTATTTCCCCACCTTTTAAATTTTGGGTTTAGGACGGGGAAACTAGGAGCTTTAGAAATGCAACATTAGATGGACTAGTTAAGTGTTGCATTATCTCATTCCGATTTGATTGGCAGGATTACGGAAGAAGCAGGGCGATTAGTGTCGCTTATTTAAGATGGAAAGCTTATTTTCGAGGAAAGAGGCTAAAATGGCTGCGAATTGAAAACAAAGGTGAAATTTCATTTCTCTATTTCAAGTAGGGGATAATTCATGCCATTGTCTTACATATTCATTAGTAGGCTAGGGGCATTTGATTTATTTGTTTATTTTAGTAAACTTTTGGCTTTTTAATAGTAATACAACAAATATTATACAAAAGGTATAGGTAAGGGGGAGAAAATAATAACCCTTCAGCTCGTATTCCTTTTCTTTTCTTTTCTTTTCCTCTTCATTTTCTTTCTAATTCTCTTCTTTCTTATGCTCTCAGTTTAGTTCGTAGGGTCAATTGGAATGAAATTTCCAACTATGCAACTGGGAATATTATACCTATCTCTTCTGATAGTGAAACTGAAGCAGCAACTTTTCCTTTTAATTCCGTCTTTTGTTCTCAAGTTACAACTTGTTAGCACGGCCTTTTGACCCTTGTCGAAGGCAATGGCACCATACTTCTCCCAAAAGTTCACCGCACTGTCTTCACTCATTAATTCATAAATAGCCAACTTCCCGTCCTTCAAATCATCAGTCGAAACTCCAACCAACAGAGCAAATTCCTTATTACCTCTATATATCTCTCCAGTACGTCTCCAGAGGCACGCAGGTATCGCCATTGACGTGAAAACTCTATCATAATCTAGTAACATTCTCTCAAAGCTTTCTTCTACAAGTACTAAATCCACATCTTTCAAGGTCCTGGCAATTGCTCTGAAAGCAGGGCGGAAGATTTGTAGCGGCTTCAAGATTCTTTGCCTGGAAGAAACATTCATGTAATTATCCATGTAGCTTTGAAGCCTGGCATAACCCTTAGCGTAATTATATGGCTGTAAAAGCCCAGCGTCAAGTTTGGCTTTAATAACTTGTTTCAATCTCTCCTCAGGTGATATTTCTGTAGTGGGATCTGCGGCCGTAAGGAAGAACTTATCCCTAGCTGAATCAGATATCACTGGTTGGTGTGAAGAGGCCTGTGAGTCATTAGTATTGTCATTATTGGTCTTATTATTATTGTTGATATTGGCGTTAGATACGTTGGAGGCGCCATACGGAGCTTTTGAGTATGAATAGAGAGAGGTGTGTACCGATTGAGGACCGGAGCTCCCTGTTTGGGATTGAACTTGTTGTTGTTGTGGTTGTTGTTGCTGTTGTTGCTGTTGCTCCTGTTGTTGAAGTTGCTGTTGTTGTTGCAGTTGATCAATGTACGGAATCTGCTGCTGTGGTTGGTTCAAGCTGTCCTGGATCTTTGTTTCGTTCAAGGATTGGGGGAACACAGAAGCACCACCTGGTGAGTACGCTAGTATGTTCGAGAGACTGTTGCTGTTTTCGTTTCCAATGTTCGCAGCAGTAGAGGAACCTCCACCTATCTCTAGCTGGTTATTGTTATTATTATTGTTGTTCATATTCATACGAGAGCCCATTCCAAATTGAAGTAGAGGATCACCCCCAGCATCGTTTAGACTGCCATTCACCAACTCAGGGTCATCAATCATGGAAAGGAAATCGTTCAAGGAACTAAATTCACTTCCTGCGTGCTCCGAGTAAAAGAATGGCTCTTGGTTATACGTGAGAGTTTGAGATAACACTGAGTTGGTCTTTGGCTGTTGTTGTTGCTGCTGTGGTTGAAGTTGCTGTTGCTGCAGCACTGGGAATTGAGGCGATATAAACGCACTCTGGTTATGCATAGTCTGCTGTTGCTTATACTGAGACAAGGATTGGTTCTCAGGGAAGAGTGTAGATTGTGACGTTGAAACTCTAGCTAACTGTCTTGGAGTATTGACCCCACTCGAAGGAGACGTAGGCTGAGGTGAAAAACCATCATCTACTCGAGCTAAAATAGGTTGACCAACGTCAATGCTTCCCGAGCCACCGACTACTCCAGTGGTGTTGGAGGTGCTACCGCCCTTTTTCATAGATGCAACTTTTTGTCTCTGTCTCGAGTTTGAGGGCTCATCATAACAAAGATGTCCTATACCTCTCTTTATGCATCGCTGGCACGGTCTTGTGTCATCGCAAATCATATGAGACCGTCTGCAGTATACGCAAGCCATCTCTACCTTCTTCTTCTTTCTTTTAAGTGGTTTGATCTTTTTCGTTGGTGAGTCCGCTTGTAAGCTTTGGTCTTGCGCTGAGATCTGGGGTTCAGCCAGACTAGATGGCTCTTGCTCTGCCATTTCCACCCCTCTTTAAAAGTTTCAAGGAGAATCTATATATATATATATATATATATAAATATATATGTTACACACAAATATACACAAGATGGAAAAACCTAGTCCAAAACGGGAATTATTGCAAAAAAAAAAGAAAGAACGTAATAGTAAGCTTAAGAATGACCCGGAGAAAGTCGAGTTGACTGTATAGCTTGAAGATTTGGCGTTATATGCCTCACTTTTGCTCTGCAGTACTTCCATTTTATTTATTTTTTCTCACATTGCATACGGTTTTGCTGCCAAAGGTATTTGGACATACACGACTTTGTGGAGAAGGGCAGGATGAGGGCAGAAAAGGTAAATACGCAAACCCTTGAAAACAGGACGTTGGGAGCTGTACTACAAGAACCAAATCCGAAAAGAGCTGAGCCGGGAAGAGTAGATAAGATTCTACCGTATTATGAGCAGATAAGAGTGCTCTTTGTACATTATGGCGATGATGCTCCTGGGATATTCAAATTGAAGAATTGGATTTTGCGTTCTTGTTCCTATCTTGTGGGGCATCTCTCTGTTGCTTGTACTGGTCTCAGTAGTCACACGATGTTGAAAAATTCGAGGTGCAACTGCATTCTTTACTAAAAATGAGTGCGTATGAAGTTGCACCATCTGTCTATATATACGCATACGTTTTCTGCCTTTTCTTTGCTACACTAGAGTTTTCCTATTCTTATTATTGCCGTTAACCTATCATTATATCACTACTCACTGATCATTGGATCCGTACCCATCAAGGGTAAGGTCACTATGATATGAAGCTACATCAGTCTCGTTATCGTTTCCATCACCTTCTTGAATATCCGTCTCTGCTATTTGACTTGCCTTCTCCTGGCTACTTGAACTGGGAGACAAATATTCTTCATCAATGCTTGAACTCAACTCTTTAACACTATCTACTCCTCCGCCATATTGACTAAGAATATCAGATGGTTTGCTATAAAGTCTATATTTGGTGGACGAAGATGTTCTGGAAGGAGGTTGTGGTCTACCAGAAACCTCTGAAACCGCGGAATAAAATGATGCGTCATCTGTATCATGAGTGGTAAGCGATTCTCTAGTAGTGGTTGGTTCGCTCGGCGACTCAACATCTAATACGACCGTGGAGGATGAGGGATCAACTACGCCTGCTGGTGGGTCCACCATAACGGGCTGATCAAAAACCTCAATTTGCACACCTGTTTCTACACCTCTTTCCACACCTCTTTCCACACTGCTTTCCCTATCAGACTCTCTATGACTTCCGTTTTCATATATGCCTTCTCTTTCGTCGTCATCCTCAACATCAAGCTGAGACTCCAAGTCAAAACTTCCATACCCAGTAGCACCACCTTCTAATAAGCCCTGATGACTCTTAAATGCGGAATTGCACAATGGGCAATTTCTTCTAAAATTAATCAACCAATTCGACAAACATGCTTGGTGAAAGAAATGTTTGCACTCAAGTACTAACACTTTTGACCTTAATGGCTTGAAATGATCAAGACAAATTGAACATTTATAGGCAGGATAATAATCATCTGGCGAAAACAAAAGGGTGGATTCAGGAAACAATGTGGTTGCCTTGAGATCTATTCCGTTAATGATTATCGGGGAGTGTGGTAAGGAGTGCGTGGATCCATTGTGAGGAGACGGCATGTTTTCAATTAATGACTGGGCTGCTGAAGAAATGTTCGACGACGAATCATGATCATACTGCAGCTCCTGTTGATTTGTGAGCTTGAGGTATTCTTTAAATTTGCTGATAATGATCAAATGCTTAATGTTATATATGTAAACGGGCAAGCTGTTTACGAGTTTAACGTTATTTCTCGATTTCTGTTTAGTTCTGCATCTTTGGCATAACTTTATAAGGGTATAGAATGAGAGGATCAATAGTGGTGGAGACAATGCCATAGATAAAACGAGGTTAATCCAAGACCCAATAGATGCGGTAGAAATTGAAATTTTAACACCTTCAACTAACAGATCTAATCTTTCATAGTCTTCCAAAGTGATAAAGAGTATTGGGGTTTTCATTGATCCATCCAGATTATAAGTACCAGAGTACATGGTGATTAAGCCTGCTGAATACTCATCATTACCAACTATTATTGCCTTTGGCTCTAAGTTTAGGTCAACCACATTCTTGACTTTGTCAACAAAGGTGCAATCGCCCCTTTGCAAAATAATTATCTTGTTATAGAAATCAGGAGCATTGATAGTTTCATTCAAATCTGAAGAGCAACCATTGTTGGGGAATATTTTAAACTCTGAGATAACTTCGGTTTCTATAATGTTCGAAAATGAAGCATATCTGCCCACAAACCGAACGGTGTTGTGTTCGTTAAGGTCATCGTCTAGGTTAGATCCGATTGTGGTTGTAGTATTATACTCAATCAATGCATCTACCGGGAAAAAGGTATTGACCACGTTGTTAAATGGGTATTCAGGGTCAAAACCCACTGCGTTATTGTTATTTCCCGAATACGGAGGAGAATGGAGCGAACCAGTTGAAGCAGTAGCAAAGCTATGGAAAGTTTGAGATGCCACCGAAATGGATCTAGATAATCCGAAACTCCATGTGAAAATGATGGATGAAATGACTAGCCACGCTCCTATGGCGATCAAAGGAACCATCATATTGGAAGTTGGATAAAAGGTTAGTCTATTTATTAGTTACTAAATATTTTTTTGTAGTGTTGCCTTTTGCTAGCTTGGATCATGTAGATAACAATACTATGCAGGATCAACAAATTATCACCAAATCCCCCTTACCAAAGAAGAGAGAAAAGTATAGCAACAAAGGGTGGAGAATAAAGTGTGTGCTTAGCAGCTAATCTAGAACAATTAACAGGTCTAAGCTTTTAGTCGATGTATGTGAATGCAGCAGATAATTTCAACCAAAATTTGTGAAGGACGGACTATATGGGTATATATTGCCTGTTTTATCCTCTCAAAGTAATGTGGAGAGATACAAAACCTAAAAATACGCGAGAAATCAACAGTGGCTCTGAGTTGAGTAGTAGTACCAAAAAATGTCAGTAGATCAGCTCTTACTTAGTGACTATGTATGTAAATACAGAAATATACACAAATAATTTGGAAACAGATAAGTGGTGCCTAAATAGCGGGACTCCATGTGTTGTGCTTCTGCTTTCTTCTCCTGATTTTGCCTTCACTGGGAACTCTGGGGATGGTCGTCACGAGGGGCTGCTAGAAACTAAAAAATAGGCCAAAAAAAAAAAAAAAACATGATCCCAGCCAGAATTGAATAAGAGGTGCAGCATCTCCCACAGTGCAACACAGTGTGGGAGCAACTGTCGTCGGTTTTGTGTAATGATGTGGAATGCGGCAGCTTTGTCCTAATTGGGAAAAATGGGACTGGCGAAAAGGTTGCAACTTCGGTGAATACGCTGCAATAGTTGATAGTTGTATGCTCAAAAGGCTCAGAAGGGGGTGGTACAGATCAAGTGCCTCATTTAGAGAGAGATCATGGTGTTTTCAGTGAGTTAGAATGAAAAAAACTGTTGTACAACTCAAGCTGTACGCATTTTGCAGTTTCGTCGATTTTGCAGCCAATGTTGAAAACTCGCTAAAGCGGCTTTTTACTAGCTGATAAGTTTTGGAAATTCAGTACGAATTATTAAAAGTTTACAATTTGTATAATAAAAACTGGTAAATAGATTAATCTAATCATTCTGAAAGAGATTTGTATGGGACACTTAGGACTAACTGTAGTATATAAGGATATCTACTAGTGTCTTATGGTAAGCTAATTTGCTAAACCACAGTCCGAGTATGCAGGATACAACACTATTCTTCTTTATGAGCCTCAAAGGAAAACTGCTGCAGCTCATGTCCGTCGAGACCGGTGCCCCTAGTCGTCATCTCGTAAATGTGCGCTACGGTATGCAATTTATTAGACAGGGTGGACAGCTCTTCTCTCTACATCTTTTATTTGGTCAGTGTAATTTTCTCAATTGATATATGATTTACAGCACGGCAAGCTCTCTTCTTTCAGTTCTCTTCTTCCTGTTCTCTATAATTCGTTTATTTATCTTAATTAATTTACTATTTTATTTTACTAATCTATGTATACATTTTCATTCGGGCCTGTTTTTTTTTGTTTTATATATAGATAAAACCAGCTCACCGAAACTCCTCTAGAACACATCCCCCAACTTCAATCTTGGTGCAATATTCATTGAAAGTAACTCTTGGAATAACAACTTCGCGGCATACGGAATTGTCATTTTAATAATATACTCAGAACTCAGACATGTCTTACACCAACTATTGTAACCCATCAATCCGCAATTGTTACAAACATCAACTTCAAAGGCATCTGAAGATAGCATCAATCTCTCTAAAAGTAATTGTGAAGCACCGTATGCAATAACACAATCTCTTTCCATTTCACCCAATCTCAAACCACCATCTCTAGATCTACCTTCAGTAGGTTGTCTAGTCAAGACGGCACGAGGACCCCTTGCTCTAGCATGCATTTTATCCAAGACCATATGCTTCAATTTTTGGTAATATATTGGACCAAAAAAGATATATGCTTGCAAGCACTCACCAGTAATACCAGAATAAAGCATGTCTTTACCAGAATATGAAAACCCTTTATCAACAAGGATTTGAGACATTTCCTCGAGATCTGAACCCCCGAAACAAGTACCATACTCTAAACTTCCATTTAAGACACCAGCCTTACCCGAGATCAATTCAATCATCTTACCAACCGTCATACGAGATGGGAAACCATGCGGATTCATAATTATATCAGGACACACCCCATCATCGTTAAATGGAAGATCTTCTTGTTGAACAATGATACCACAAACACCCTTTTGACCGTGTCTGGAAGAGAATTTATCACCCAATTCAGGTCTTCTAGTTTGACGAAGGAGAACCTTGATGAGTGCTTGATCATTATCAGATACTGACATCATCACTTGATCAATGTACGAAGGTTCAGGTCCTTTATAGTACGATGGTGCTTCTCTATGACTTTCTGCTGGTGTTGGCGATGACCTATCGCCTGGTCCGCCTAAAACATTATCTAAAGTATTGTTTGGAACAGATTTATTTACAAATACTTGACCACTTTCCACTCTCATACCGACTTCTCCTAATCCATCTGGGCCCAATGATGCGTGTGGGAAAATTGGTTCTCCATTTTCATCCACTCTCATACCTGAAACGATATCTTTAGTATGATTTTGATATCTTTTCAAAGTAATTGTATTCTTTCTGACCACTTGACATCTACCAAAGCCTCTATCAATAGATGATTTGTTCAACACTAAAGCATCTTCAATATCGTAACCAGAATAAGACATAACAGCAACAGTAGCATTCTGTCCTGCTGGCAACTTATCATAGTCTATTAATTCAATAGTTTTTGTTTTAACCATAGGTTGCTGAGGATATACCATGAAGTAAAGCAAAGTATCTATCCTACGGAACTGGTTATATGCAATAGCACCTATTGCTTGCTTACCCATAGCACACTGATATGTGTTTCTTGGAGATTGGTTATGGTGTGGATAAGGAATTAAGCCCGCAACTGCCCCCAATACAGTGAAAGGTTCAACTTCCAAGTGAGTGAATGTACCCTCAATAGTACTATTGATGAGGTCATCTTCGTATAATGCAATCAAGGAATCGTTTTCTTCATTGACATCCAAATATTCAACCAATCCATGAGTTAAGAAATCATCAAAAACCCATTCCCCATCAAGAAGCTTCTTCAAGTGACTTGCTCTCACCTTTGGAGTATTATTTTGAACAATAATCAATGGTCTACAAATTCTTCCCCCATCCGTGGCAATGTGGACTGCCTGCTGATGAGAATTAGCATAAATGGAGACAAATGCAGATATTTTCCCGTTTCTTCTAAGAGATCTGAAATTCAGTACAAATTTAATAGGAAATTTGGTGGTACCCATCAAGGTACCATTAAGGTAGACACCATAGTTACCTGGTTGATGTAAATTGGCACTGTCAATGGAGAGAATATCTTCGCAACCTAACACATAACATAATTTCTTGACTGGCAATTCTTCATCGTCAGTGGTGATATGTGTCATAAGTGCCAAGTTCTTCACCAACCCACAGGCTTCACCTTCAGGTGTATCAGACGTACACAACATACCAAATTGAGACGGCTGTAAGGCACGAGGTCCAGAAACTTTTCTAGATTTCTCGAATTGAGATGAAATTCTAGTCATCATACCCAATGCTGAGATGTACGAAAGTCTTGAAAGAACATGAGTGACACCTGCTCTTTCCATTCTGAATCTCTTCAAAGACCAATTTCCTGTAGAAATGGCTCTGTTCATCCCCATAGTAATATGGTTAGAATGAATGTTTATAGACAATAAGGCGTCGAATTCAGATGTTCTATTATTCTTCTTTAAAGCTTTGTCGATACTTGACTTGAAATCAGAGTTAAATCTCTTGAACAAATCTTCGAAAAGTAAAGACATCAATTGTCCCGCCAATTCCAATCTTTTATTACCAACATAATCTCTGTCATCAACCATCTTTGGGTTGTGCATAGTCATCAAGACACGACGTGCCATGGTTGCTATGTAAATGGCTTTGCTTCTGAACTGCAAGTCTGATACGGTCAAATGGGCAATAATGGTTGTTGCAATGGCTTCAACACCTTCTTGGAATGTCAGCAACTTTGGTGCCCCTGCTCTTCTGATAGTCTTGACTCTTTTACCCAAATAATTCAAAGCCTGGTTTTGGGTGAAAATATCCAACTTTGCTGCTTCTTCAAAGTTAATGGCAAATAAATCTTGGTACTGAGCATCGTTACCACAAACCAATTGTAAAATTTCTAAATCAGACGTAATACCAGCAGCCTTCAAGACAATGACAATCGGAATATCTTCACTAATAGAGTTGTGCTTCAAGTAGATCTTATCGTTCTTGGTTATGATATATGTTTTACTCTTTCTTTCATGAGTGGACGAAGTGACTGACGCTTGTACGATTCCCTTCTTCTCATCAGCTTCCACAATAATTCTATTTTTACTCAACTGTTCTTGAATCAATATAACCTTCTCAGTACCATTCACAATAAAATATCCACCAGGGTCTAAAGGACATTCGTCATATCTGGCCATTTCTTGCTCTGTGAGTCCTTCTAAAATACATTTCTCTGATCTCAACATGATTGGCATTCTTCCGATTTCCAAGTCCTTGTGCATGATGATCTTTCTACCTCTGGTATATTCTACATCGACGTAAATTGGAGCCGAGTAAGTCAAGTCTCTCAATCTACATTCGTGGGGTGGGAGGAACAATTCCTTGGTCCCTGGAGGTGACGTCAGCTTGTGACCAACTCTGATGTCAAGATATTTGAGATAAAACTCAGGGTCCACATCAGAGAGTACCAATTCATTTGCCTTAATGATCTTTTTCAAGTCCACATCCACAAAGTAGTTAAATGAATCTAAATGCTGCTTGACGAGCCCCTTTACTTTCAAAAATGCAGGAAGTAAGTTCCACTTGTCTTTGGCAGTGCTGATTGGATCAGTCAATTTCTTTCCTTTGTACACCGGCTGAAGTAAGTCGTTAAACGACTCATCAGAAGCAGATTTTCTCTTCATCTAAAATATATTTTCAAAGTTAGAAGCCAACCGAGAGACTAAATCACTGTTCAAATTACGATGCTTCCTTTGAAAGTTGTCCTGAAAATCTCGGTGTTCGTCTTAGTCTTGAGCTTGTTGTAACTTGCATTTTTTCGAAGACTGCCCTTACTAATGAGATGAGGAAAAGAGTGAAAAATTTGACAACATGCAGGAAAACACTAAGTACGTAACTGGGACCTCAGAAGAGGGATGATAGTTTCAACTGGTACTCCAGATAGTGAATATTCAGGAGATGGCTGCTGATAAGACTGGAGAAATAGAGATGGGAATGGGAAAAAATATATAAAACATGGATAATATCAAGGATATTTGGGAAATAGTTCACATACATACACTTCGATATTTGAGGTTATTGTTCTTAAACAAGATTGGGTGCAAATGTCCGCTGAACACATCGAACACATTGAACAACTGGCTCTATTATACGCATTTTTATTTCGTTCCTTTCCAGTGGTGACCCTAGAGAGACTGCAAATAACTCGATAAGTAACTTTATAGCCCATTTCGTGAGCTCCTTAATTCTACTTCTTACCCCCCTAATCCATCCACTGCAATGTACCAGCTCTTGTATAGGTGCACTGATGTATGATTTTGTGCCACAATTTTCAGATACGGTTCTATATCAAACTGGCAATGAAAAAAAAGATCACTAGGTACCCTTTAGCGTACTAGTTGCTGCTCGTTACTCGTAGACATTTCCTTAGCCTTTTCATAACGTAGTCCTTTGCTCTTTATAACTTAGCCACCATGTCTTCCAACTTGTTTAAGGCCACAGTAAATGAGCACTTAGAAAGTCTACCTGAGTCAATGCAGTCCAGGTTGTATGAGGCACCTGCAACATGTCTATCCATTTACAGATTGTTGCCGCCTATTGCTAAATTTTTTATCATGTCGATGTTGTTTAGCGAAAGGCCAGTTCTTCTCAGAGACTTGGATAAATGGTGCAAACCAGGAACAAGGAAAGTGCAATTCGAATCGTTGAAAAGATTGAAGTCATTGCACTTGGTGCTTGAAGATAAACTAGGAACGTATATAACGTTACATCCGACATTCCGGAAAAACTTCAGAGCCTGCCTAACTGGGAGTCAACAGGCAAATGCATTCGGGAACTTGGCCAATGATAGCGCAGATGATAATGCTGGTGTGACCATTTCATTCCTTGATTCATTTGCATTGAATAAATGGGAAACTATATTGCATTTCATGGTGGGGACAGATCTGACGCCAACGCCATCGGCTTCTGTATTATCATTACTCAGACTGGGAGGATTGATGGAGACCAGTGCAAGTGAGGATATAAGCGGTCTTCGAATCTCCAACACCGGGTTCCAGTTTCTTTTGCAAGACTCCAATGCACAGATTTGGACCATATTACTTGAATACCTTAAGATCTCAGAAGAGTTGAATATGGACCCTGTTGACGTTTTGAATTTTATTTTCATACTCGGAAGTTTAGAATTGGGTAAAGGTTACATAGTCTCCTCGTTAAGTACCACTCAGCAAAACATGTTGGCAGATTTGAAGGATTACGGACTCATTTACCAAAAATCAAGTGGACTGGGGAAATTTTATCCGACAAGACTAGCAACCACATTAACCTCGGATTCAGTAGCATTGAAATCTCCAGCAATGGCTATCGAAGATGCGAACAACCAAGCGGATTCAGATTCTGCTGCAGCTGTGGCGGCAGCTGCCAGTACAGCAGACAGTTCCAGTTCTTCTGGATCCATCATTCTTGAAACCAATTTCAAGCTCTATGCATATACGAACTCACCCCTAGAAATTGCCATTCTCAATTTATTCGTTCAGTTAAAGACAAGATTTGCTAATATGGTATGCGGCCAGGTGACTAGAGAATCCATCCGGAAGGCTTTGTACAATGGGATCACCTCTCAGCAAATCATCAAGTTTTTAGAGACCCATGCCCATCCCCAGTTGAAGATTTTGGCCAGGGAGAAATTAGACAAGAAGATTGAATTCGATACTAATAATAATATCAACACTGCCGGTGGAGCACCACAATCACAGCAGCAAAGAAATGAAGCTTCAGCTTCTCATAGACTTGAAATCTTACCGCCGACTGTAGTTGATCAAATCAAGCTTTGGCAATTAGAATTGGATAGAATCCAAACTTTTGAAGGATATCTCTTCAAAGATTTTGCTAGTCAGCAAGAGTATGATGTGCTCAGCAATTATGCTTCAGAAATTGGAGTTTTGATTTGGGCTGATAAGGGTAAGAAGAAGTTTTTCATTACAGAGCAAGGGAAGTCCCAAGTGGTGGACTTCGCAAATAGAAAGTTACAGCGGTAGGTAGCTATAGCATATAGAATAATAAACAAAAAGGGCATTTTCAGTTGATTGTGTTACTCAATAAACCTTCGAAAGGGTAACTCTCCTCTTGTGTAATTTCAAGTAGCGAAGCAAAAGAAATAGACATCCATTTGACCAGCCTTCTTCAAACCTTTTGTTACTAGCTTATGGACTACTGCTGCACAGTTGCAGCCTACTGGGCAGTCGGCGAGAAGAATCAGCCTCAGATGTATTGTCAAAAAAAAAAAAAAAAAACGCCCAAACGAAGAGTGATTATTATCTTTTACCCAATCCCAATCTGCTCTCATGATAGCACATCACAACTGCCTTTGCTATGCCCAGTGTACCAATCTTCCAAGCATTCATCACCTTCTGCAACAGCACTGGCTCTCACAGCTGATTCTTCAACTATCTGCAGGACGTACTTATATACAGTACACACCGACTCATTTATTATTGCCTTCGACTTTAACTGTTTTCTAACTACCTTTCCTTTCTTCTGTTCTGCAAGCTGATTTATCGTACTAATGGCTATCAGTATTAGAGGTTGGCTCCGAGGGATAGTTGGAGGTGGAAATGGCGGTGAACGTTTAGGAAACGCGAATGTAGCATACCAACCAGTGGAGGGTAACACAACCATGCCTGGTGGGTACGCTCAAGCTTCTCCCCCAGCATCCATTCTTCCAACAGCATCTTTGAGAAGCACCGCTTCAGGTGGATACACTAGGCAAGGAAGCGCGGAGTCATTTGGTGCAGAATCACTAAGATGGCTCCAGTTTCTAATCATTAAGCCCATTATTATATTGTTACAACTTATATTCCGGATACTAGCTAAAGTGCTTAACATCATATACTTCCAAGATGGCACTTCTGCGGGCCAGAACGGCATATTGCGGGGAAATGTGGGTGGTAGAGGAGCAATGGGCTCTAATGTAAGGGTCGGAAGGAGTAGAAGCGGGTTGACATCACAGCTAAGAAGGTCCGCCGCAGTGCTTCCTCACAATTCTTCCTCTTCTTCATTATCGCCCAATTGCGATCCAATAGACAAGGTGAACAAGTTTGTATGCGAGTTGGAAGATAATCTAACGCTAGAACAGTTGCACAACCAGCAATACAGCACCATAGATGGCAACAATAGCAGTAATAATACCAGCACTGTGCTCCCACCCTTCTACCAAGGAAGCTATACACAAGCACTTTACATGGCCACCAGCAGAGCCAAGTTCTTATACGTGTACTTGACCAACTCCAAAAACGAAAACTCATCGATAATATTTGAAAAAATTGTAACAAACCCAGAGTTTACTAATATTTTCAACTCCAATAACCCAGACGTCATCATATGGGGAGGAGACTTGACCAACCCTGAGGCATACCAGCTTGCTAATAGTCTCAGTTTAACTAAATTCCCATTCTTGGGAATTTTATGTCTCACCAGGTCGACTAATATGACACCACAGGGCCCTACGAAGACGCTGCCTCGAATTTCTTTGATTCTGAAGATTCAAGGTGGTATTAACCCAAATGTTAACCCCAGCACAATAATAGATAGCAAATTTATAAAGAAAATGGCTCGATACGCCCCGGAACTCGCAAGTATCAGGGTTGAATTACGGGAAAAGTTCATGAACAGAGCTATTTTGAAGCAACAGAACATGAATTATGAAATGTCGTTGGCTCGCGATAAGCTTAAGAAACAAGAAAAGCTAGACGAACAACGGAAGGGGGTATACTACCAGTGGAGATCGAACTACTTCCGCAAGCTAATTGCAGAGGGTAGCGATAACCACAATGGTCAAGTAGACAAAGCTAGAATCGCGATTAAACTCAAGAACGGTGAAAGAAAGACTTTGTACTTTCCCAGCGAAAGCGATGTGCGGGACATCTTTGAGTTTACAGAGATGTGCCAGCGTGGCTTACTAAACGATGACGATTCTGGTGACGCTGCCAATGTTGAGGAAGAGGATTGGTTCGACGAGTTCAAACCGAGTTTCAATTTCAAGCTTGTTTCTCCGTTACCACCTAAAGTAACCATCAATGAATATCTTGCTGATAACGCTGGCGTGATGATTAAGAATATAGCATGTGTGTATCCAAATGGGCTTCTCATTGTGGAAGATTGATAGAAATTAAGGAGGATATTTGCCAGTGCCACTAGCTATTCAAATTAAAAAAAAAACAGAATCTACTGGGCTTACATTTCTATATACTGCAAGTAAATGAATTAGCTTATTAATATTGTATAAGTGTTATTGTATATTACTCTCGTTTTCCTATTTACTCACCTTACCCTTCTTACTCTTCTTCTTTTCTTTCTTTTTCAACCCCACAAATCCGTTTTTGATGACGTTTATGTAATCGGACCAGAACAGGTCTAAGGTGTCGTGCTCCACAACAGTAGAGAGCTTCAGTCTTTGCTTGGACAGATGCTTCTTCGATCTCGAGGCGCCGGCTCCACCAGTGGATATTCTTACAAGAATCGGATATTTTGTGGTATTTATATTGTCGCCGCTGGCTTGAGGTATGACATTACTTGGCAAATCATTGAATGCTGAAGGTGAGGTTGGTGGATCAAGGTCCAATGCAGGAGATAACCTTTTTTGTGTTAAATAGATAGAAGAATTTCCGCTGTTTGCTTCCAAGATATCAGACAATTGAGCCAAGAAGGCTGTATTAGACAAACGACCCATATTTTACCTGATAAACTGTGTCTGTTGTGTCAGCTGAGCCAGTGGAACAAGTCGTTGACCAGAAAAACGAAGAAAAGTTGAGCGGTGAGCAAAAAAAAAATGGAAAATCATATTGAAGTTATATGCAGGTCACGAAGGTTGGTAGGAATAAGAGCAGCCTACAACGGTGAGAAGAGAGAGGAAGAGAAGACAGAGGAAGACAGAAGATGACAGAAGAATTGTACATGCGAGCAAGCAAGCAAGCGAGCAACTGGGAAGTGGACTAAGAATAAGACAGACTGCGTTTTGAGCTGGGCTGATAGGTTTTTTCGCATCTGTTCCGGTAAGAAAGGTAGAGGGCATGTGTCTCATGTAACACTACTCTATGGCAACTAGTGCTTGGTGCCGCAGATAAATCGGTCTGATTAGGATGCATGTAAAAAGACGTAACATTTTACACACCTCGACCGTGTTCTTCCCCATTCCACTTCTTAGACAAAACATATATCTGTAGGTCCACATAAATGCGGAGTCCACCACCTCGAAGGCTTCGCTGTGACAAGCTGCAACGCCTAACAACGATATCTCTACTCCGTCGAAGAGTAAACCACAGTTTCTCTGGAACCGAATTGCTTACAATTTTTCTTTCCTCTCTGGTTTATTTTTTCCTGATGATGTAAATACGCGTTTCCTGTACATCGTTTTTATTACTCTAATTTATCTCTGGCATAGTTTCTTATCAAAAATTCCAGTTCGAAAATACCCCTCTCTCTTCCAGGACTCATTGCTATACCTAGTTGTTTGTAGAAAGTTTCACTCCCTTACTGACTGCTATTTCCATAACGCTGCAACGTGATATGTCTAATCTCGTCAATGCTAACAATAGCCGTGCAAACCATATCTATGGTAGGCTGGTTGCTTTGGTGGTGTCTATTTTTGTGTGCTTAGCTGCAGGAACTCCATATTTGTATGGTGTATATGGACCACAATTGATCAAGCAGTGTGGCCTTACTGCAACGGATTCTGCGACCATTTCCTTGTGTACCAATATCGGTGCAGGGTTTGGTGGGCTACCTGGTGGTGTTATTATCGATAGGTTTGGCCCGCAGCTTGCCATTTTGTTTGGTTCTGTTTTCATAACTGTGGGCTACTTTGGTGTGTATAGAATCTACCAAGCGGCCTTGTCAAGTTTACCATTAATATGTATTTTCATGTGTATTATGGGATTTGGGTCTATCACAAGTTATTTCGCTACTTTGAAGGCAGCGCAGGCAAATTTTCCCAAACACAGAGGCTCTGCTGGTGCTGTTCCTGTGTCATGTTATGGATTGAGTGCAACTTTGTTGTCTATCATTGCTGCCTCTTACTTCAATGGCAATTCTGGAGGTTTCATTGGATTTTTATCTATATATTGTGGTGGTTTTACTTTCATAGGATCATGGTTTGTTCACATCTATTTAGATGAGGAAGATGCTGATAAGTCCCTTCAACATCTGCCACTGATTCTGCTGCAATTCTTGAACAATGAGAATGCAATTGATAGTACAAATGACGAAGAGGCTGTCTTATTACTTTCCAGGGATAATTCAGGCTCCAATTTGAAGGATATGGTTACCAATAATACAGGAGGTAATCCTGGTGGGGCCTCTTCAGTCACAGACACTTTGGGACCTGTCCCAGATAATACGGTCCCACCTCCTCCGCCTGAGCGCTCAAACTCACTTCATGGATCGTTCTCCTTCTGGGGTATCGGTAGTCGTACTCCACGTTCATCAGCAGCGTCTATATCTTCCTCCCAAGCTCCGTTGATTAATTCTCTCCGCGATCTGTACGAGAATTCGCAGTCATCTAGGGCTCCGGCGATGTCAAAGCAACAATCTCTTGCTTCATTAAACTCTACTTCAACAGCACTTGGAGTCAGCAAGCGCCCGACTCCTAAAAGCTCTTTACAAATTGTTGTTGAACTTTTGAAGAACAAGAATTTCATTGTACATTATTCAATCGTATCTGTATTGTCTGGAATTGGACAAATGTATATCTACACTGTCGGATTTATAGTCATTGCACAGTATTACTATGGGAAGGAGCCGGGTTCAAATGAAAGTATCGATACTGACAGCCATCAGATTATTCGCAGATTATTACAGAAAATGTCTGGTGGTGCTCCCCCTGGATCAGATAAAATGGCAGCGGCGCTTCAGGCACTTCAAGTCTCAGTTATTTCAATTTCATCTTTCTCTGGACGTTTAATTGCAGGTGTGCTATCAGATTTTATTCATAAAAGGTATCATATTCAAAGACTTTGGATAGTTTTAGTGACCATCATATTCTTCTCTGGTGGTCAGTTGCTCATAATGAATCTTCAGAGAGCCGATCTTATCATAATCCCTTCTATTATAGTTGGTGCCAGTTATGGTTTAATCTTTGGAACATACCCAGCAGTCATTGCCGACGAATTTGGAACAAAAACATTTTCCACTACTTGGGGATTAATTTGCACTGGTCCATTAATCACACTTTTCATTTTGAACAAGTATTTTGGAATGATTTATGATCATAATACGGATCCTGGAACTGGAATCTGCTATAAGGGTAACGATTGTTACAGGGGGGCATTCGAGCTTTCATTTGGATTATGCCTCCTCTTCTTTGCAGTAACTTTATGCGTTATATATGTAAAAAGAAAACCTTAAAAGCAGTGCTATAGAGCTGATTCGACAATTAAGAGGGGATCAGACATTCAGAAGAATACGCATTCCCGAGCATACAAAAAGATATGTTTAGAGCATAAATAGTTTATAATTACATATATAACTTTACATATATATTATCCATATGAATGAGTTAAGGTTGTAATACATTTCTTAATTGGAATATTAATATTTTGAACAAGAATAGGGTTTAACTTTCTTTAACCTTTTTTATTATATTTAAAATTTTCTAAATTACTGTTTAATATATACATAGAATTAGATATTGACTGCAACATAATGCCCCTTCATAATTTTGAGATACTTGAAATGTTACTCTTCAATCCCATTTTCATTACTAATCTACTAAATTGACACTTTCCAAGTCAATTTCTTCGACGATTTTCTTTTGATACTGGATCTTATTTAAAAGTGCTTGGAAGTATCCAAAGCTGATTTCAGCATCTGCAATTGATTTTTCAATTTTTTCTTTTTCAACAGACCTTTTGTCAATTGAAGTCTGGAAATTGGTCATCACTTGTCTAGCAGGATAGTTTAAAACTTGTCTGCATTCTTGAGAAATTCTGTATGCGTTCACATGTGGGTAGTCGAATTCAATCAATTGTTTTCTCAATTTTCTTGCTTGTTTCCTTGGAAATGCATTAGGGACGTCAGTGATGAGATACACTATCGAAATTCCACCAATACCTAACACAACTGGTAATGCAACCTTTCTGAGAACATCAGTCAGGATGTAATGAGTAGCGGTGTACGCTTTTTGAGCTAAAGCTCCAGCAGTGAGCAACTTTGTAGATGAGTAGAGTGTCTGTAATGTTAACTGAGTTGGGATTTGTTGCTTGATTGACACAGCGGTTGATGTAAGCGAATGGACAAATGTAAATGGATTGAAATATGCCATCTGTGAGTTTGCAGTTTCAACCAAGTCTTCCGGAATTCCGAGCCACAAAACGAATGATTCGAACGATGGATCAAAGAAATCACCAACTTCAATCAGTACATCAAGCTGTGAGCTCAACTGATGACTTTTCCTAGTAAACATCAAGTCAGACTTAAAAACTTTATCATTTAAAAATTCATCACCAAGGGTAGATTGCCCAACCTTAATAACTTCATCAACTTTAGACGCCGTCTTGAATTTAGCTTGGCCCTCACAGTACTCAACTGAGGATACCACCGTATCAATCATTGCTCTCTGGGTAGCTACTGCATACTCATATAAGTATTGTAATCCCATATATGGTACACATTGTTTATCACCAAACTTGTAAATAGTCTCTTGGATTTCTTTCTTCGAAGAATCATATATATCGGTGCAGAGATTTTCAATTGAGTTGTTTACTGATTCATTGATCTTGGATGATTTGAGTAAAATGCTATCATAGGAAGGAATAATTTGGGATTGTAATTTTTTAGACAATACTTTTAATTCTTGAGAATAAACCTTACCATTTAAATTGGAAAGAGTCTCTAAGTCATTAAGTAAGTTCAAAAGATAACTTTTAGCTGGGAGGAGTTTTGAAATGGATCTTTTTTCAAGTAAGAACTTACGGAGAGATGCTTCAAGATGATCAAAACGACCTTCATTGTTATCATCTTCGTCGTTATCATCGTCATTACCATCGTCACCGTCATCATCACCTGGATAGTCTAACTCGCTATTCACAAAATGAACAAACTCATTAGAGTTTTTGTAACTATCTGGACTCAATCCCTTAACTTGATCTAAAATTTTCTCTTTACACTTTTCTTTGTTCTTGATATGATCAAATTTGTTCACCACAATGAAAACATATCTCTTTTCTGCGGCAGCTGCTCCAATGAATTCTTTGGCTGATAATGTGAAATGATTTTCACTGTTTACTACAAACACAACCAAGTCAATTTCTTCTTGCCTGGAGAACACTTGAGTTGTTTGGTACAGATCCATGTTTAAACCTGGAGCATCAATCAACTTTACATCGATGATACCATTCCTTAATAAACTCATCTCGGCGGACCTACGATCGATCACATACACCTTCAAGAGGGCATATTTATCGCATTCATACACGAGGGTTTCTAAATCCTTAAGCTGAAAAGCCTCGAAGGTGGATTCATCAGTGGTACTGTATTCCTTCAGTTGTCCAATGGGGATTGCATGTACTTCCTCAATTCCTCTGTTTTCCCTAGTTGCATCTATTACCTCACAGAAAACACTAGTACATGGTTGTTGATCCTCGGGCAAAACCTTTCTTCTCAAAAGAGAATTACAAAATGTAGATTTTCCGGCGTTCAAATCACCAGTAACAAATACTTTAGAGGATGTATCATCCACTCTATCCTTTAAATTCAACAAGTATTTCACCTGAGATTGAAATTGCTGATCAAGCAATTTAGATACAGTTTGCTTATCAAAGACTACAGAGTTTGGCGATGAGGAGTGGCCGAACTTAAGTTGGAGCTTGATAATTTTGAAGCTAGAAGCGGTAGTGGCATCATCTTCTTCTTCGTCTTCGTCTTGATCTAAGATCTTTTTCTTTTCCAACTTCACTTTGCTTTCCTTGTCCCTTACTAGCGCCAAATGTGCTCTTCTGCTGTTCAACAATAAATTGTTATTGTCATCTTCAGTATTAGCAGGGTAAAATATAGGTCTTTGCTTGTTTTCACCTGATAACTCGCCAAGCAATTCAATCGATTGGTTTATAGCACGATCCAAAGATATTCTATTTTCGTTGTAACGAAGCTGCTGGATGGAAGGATCCATATCGCTAGCCTTGCTGAATCCAGCACTGCCACCATTGGCGAACTTTCTGATGTTTTTTGAAGTAGATCCATCGCCATCAAACAATGTACTAGAATCATTGGTAAATGATCCATCTTCCGGCATATAAGTCACAGTATTTGGGCGTGGAGCTCCACCATTAAGCAAGGTTTTTTCGTCATCGTCTTCGTACCCACGAATTGACTTAGAGTCTCCGCTTCCATTACTGGAACTGAAATCGTCACCGGACATATTTAGGGTATATTATGGTGCCAGTTTGAAGGAGTGGCGGGAAGTACAGAGCAACAAAAAAAAAAAAGGTGATTTCATTACAAAAAGAAAATAAAAAATAGAGAGAGACGAAAAATTACGTTTTCTACATGCAGGAATCTATATAAGGGAAAGCGTACATAATGGTAGAATGAAAACAGGTTATCACTTTAAGTCATGCTGAAGATATACGTTAGCTCTATATATGTGTTAGATAGCTTCTCTAGGGTCTACTTTGGTAGAACCATTATAAATATTTGAAATACATCGTGTTTTTTATTTTGTTGTACTAGCCCTGTTCTCCCCACATTGAAGAACTCACAAGCTATTAAGTATTTTGTACACGTGATGATCTCGGATTCTACCGAACATGATAATGGGCACCTACAAATTTAAGATAAGAGTAGGTGCTGGTGACCAGTCTGTTTCTTTCTTCATCTCAGACTTCAGATTTACTGTTCGTTATGCCCTTGAAAACCTATGAAGTAAGCTCTTACCCAAGTATCGTCGCAAAACCACTCACACCTGAGTCTTTTGCCAAGTATGGTGGGGTTATTTCGGCAGATCATCAGATCAAAGCAGTGAAAAGTTCAGCTGCAAATTACGGAACTGCAGTTAAAATGCACAAGGTAGCACCAATAGTGAACAATTTTGCGAAATCTCCGAGCGGGAAGCCGGCTACAGCAAACTGGAACATATTCAGGTGCTCTGCTCCGAAGCACTTGATAAAGAGCTCGGTTTCTTCGTCTACTGATAAGACTTACACATCTAAGGTGTTGGAAAGGCACCCATTTTCTACCCAAACGTTTATTCCAATGGGACAAAATTTGAACAAAATATCTTTCTTAGTAATTGTAGCTAAAACAGATTACTCTACGTCTCCGGATGATCTCCCAGACCCCTCTCAAGTTGAGGCTTTCATTTGTAAGGGGAACCAGTCTATTACTTACGGAGCTGGTACTTGGCATGCTCCAATGGTGGTGGTCGATGAAAACATTCCATACATAGATTTTGCCGTATTCATCCACGAGAACGGAGTAGATGACGAAGATTGCCAGGAGTGCTATTTCAATCCTGGCTACACCATAGAATACAAAGTGGACGGAGCCAGTAAGTTGTAGATAGAGGGATATGCTAGCAGGAAAAGAGCTTGTATTGAAATTTAATAAAATATTGCTTCATTAAAAGGTATAGATAGTCTACTTACAGACTTCATATGTAGTTCATTACATCTGCAATTACTTTATTTGCATACTCTTCCCTTTCATTTTCGTTCATTCCCTGTATCTCTTCTTTGGCAATGTTCAACTTCAGCAAGATGGTACTGAAGTCAAGCTTGTCCAATTCTTCACCTTCAACTTCACCTTGGCCTTCGCTCTCATTGCCGTCTTCATAGTCATTGCTCTGTAGTAACGGCACAGTCATACCTAACTTGCTTATCTTGTCTCTCTTGCGGGATTCGAATAGGTTGTCGTCATCTACACTCAGCACTTTGGCGTTCCTCTCCATTTGTTTCCACTCATGCGTTTCGAATAGCTCCTTCAATCTCTCCTTTCCAACTTTATCCTTAAACTCATTTACGCCTGAACTACTTATACTAATAAACTCAAAGCCATGTGCTATGCTCAAGTCTTCTATATCATTATCATCTTGAGGAGACACGACAGCAAGGAATCCTGGCCACATTCCATCCACTGATTCCTCATCCAATGTACTCCTAATTCTGCTTAATTCTTCTAGACTACTCTCTATATAATCTACGGTAGACTTTGCTGCATCTATACAGAACACCAAGCCTTCAAGGCATTCTCTCAATTCCTTCGTTTCATCAGAAGTGAATTCTTTCCCCCAAGAACGTAGCGAAGAGAGGATCTCATTTTGTTTCATTAAATGCAATCCCTCTCGACTCGCCGGATATTCGTCTATCAAAAGCTTACCATTTACATTATAATAGGCTGTGCTTAGCTCAAATGGAACTATAAGACCACTGTGAGAATCATTATGTTCCACTTTCTCAAGATCTAGAGTGGTGAATTCCTTACAAATTCTTAATTTTCCTGTACCAGGTCCACCCAACACTAACACATGACTGGGAAACATTTCCAATCACTTATACTACACAGTAATTGCGTTTGAATGGGGTACGTCTGCCAGCCTTGGTAAGTCCCATGTAGACCTCGATATTGATGGTGCTATGCAGGACTATATATCCTGCATACAACACCACATTTTCATCTGAAATGTTTTGGAATTTTCTTTGTTGTTGTCAAGAAGGGACAAGACAAGTTGAACAATACTCCACGTACTCGAGCAATTCGGAGCTTTTCCAATCTGTAATTAGTTTAGATGGCACCTGCATTGATAGAGTCAAATTCCGGTACCGTTTCTAAGGAAAAATCCTACGGAGACGGCAACCCCAGCATCTCTAATGGGATCAGCAAAAGTAATGGGGCAGTACCAAACGGAACCGGGAAGGAAGACCAAGGAAGGACAATGTTGGAAAACTTACTCCTTAGGGACGAGGATATTTTCCAGACCTCTCTTAATTCTGAAGACTATCTTGAAAGTTTGGCTCCCATAATCAAAGATTCATTGCGTTCCAATGGGTTGTCTCAATTGATCACCAAGTTGAATGAAATTGTGCAGGATAAGGACGAGGAGTTGAACACTTTATCGTTGAATTCCACTCGTGACATTGACACTTCTATCGATGGAATCGATAGCATTCACATTGAGAGTGACGACTTGAACAAAGCCTTACTAAGAATCAATTCATCGCTCAACAAATCCGTGTTTGAGTTGATTCTGAAGAAGAAGCTATTGATCAAATTCAAGGAAGTTTCCAGTAAGATTGGTGAAACGAATAATACACTCAACTTATGTCTTCAAGTATTGGAGATCACAAACAAATCACATGAACTTATCAAGCAAAATAAATATTTCTCAGCCCTCAAGCTTATTGATGAATTAACAGGGTTGCACTTACCTAAGGTGAAAGATTTCAGTTTTGCAATGAAGATATATGATAGTATTCCCTTGTTAAGGAAGATGATTCAGGACGAAAGTTTTGAGAACTTGGGCAAGTGGCTCTCGATAAATTTGGAGAGGAAACTTTTGGCGATAGGAGAAGGTGGGTTTGAAGGCATATACGTCTTGCAAGATGACTGGGAAAGAAGAAGAAGTGAGAGCGGAACAACAGGCTCCAACTTAGTTTTTCTCCCCTACAAGGTGAATCTGCCCATAGAAATAGCCTCACGAGACCCCAAGTTAAACTATGACATCTTCGAGGACGAAAGCCTTCAAATAAGCCTTACCATACTTTACGACGTGATATTAGTTTACCAAACACTTAACGAGGAGGAGCTATTGATAAAGTTATATAATAAAGAGTGGATGAAGAAATACAATAGGATAATATACCCGATAACCAGTACCACTGCTGCGCACAATACGTCCAAATCGAATAATAACAACAATTTACCTACATTCACTATAGCGTCTCTTGAAGATTATCTCAAGAAGATTGCAGCATTTTTCATCATGGACATTCAAATCAATCGTACGACCAAATTCCAGCTCCGTACCGAGACTTCTTCTCACGATCTTTGGGAATCATATTCAGTTAAATTAAAACCAGTACTATTTAACCATCTACAACTAATCAGGTCGAACCCAAATTCCCACATAGACGATATCATTATATTCAAAGACCTCATTGGTAACTTCATGCAGGTTATGGAGAATTCAGGATATAAAATTACAGATTTGTATGATGTTTTGATGGTAACTTTCCGTGAGTATTATGCTCCAGAATTGATCGACCAATTTAGATTGGAGTTCTTAGAGTCGATTCAGAGTGATCACTACATGCCTCTTATAGTACAAGATAGACAAGATTATGACAACGTAATGAAGATTTGCTGGTACAAGGCAGGATCACCATTCGCGCCTAATTTTGTGAAGCTGATGCCCATCAGCTTTCCCTTTAGTGAGGATTACGTCCACTATTGTTTGGGAATCAGATCCCTTTTAGAAGATATCATTACCTTTATTAGCAAGTACTACGGGTATGAATTAAATCAGCTAAATGAAATTATCTTGAATGACATATTTGAAAAGGTGCTTGGTGAAGTAAAAGGTAAGGGTATAGGGCTGGATTTGAAAGATTTTATTAGCAGGAATGAAAACAATAAGGAAATTATATCACAGAGCTATACTAATTTGGAATACTATTTGTACAGTTTGTATGAATTAGGTAAACTCTTGAATAGGAGATTGAGACAACATACTGGAGTAGGAGTTGGTTTGCAAGCGCTGACGAGTGCACAATCACAAAACCAACAACAAATTCAGCCAGCGGGTGTAGAGCAAGGTGGTCCAGTGCTCAAGGCAGTAGCTACATTCACCGCAATCAGAAAGTTTGCCGAAAATACCATATTCAAGATGGTTGATTCTAAGATTCGTGAACTTTTAGATATGGTTGAGTATGATGACTGGATGCCACAACATCGGAACTTGGAACCAAATTACTCCATTAAGGATTTCGCTCTTTTCCTTGATAATCTTTTCACATCGATTTTCCACTCGCTCCCACTGTCTTTCAGAACACTAGGTCTCTTTAGGTCGTACGATTTCGTTGCAGAACACTTCCTTAACATTTTGAAAGATGTACCACGTTACAACCGTACTGCCATCGAGAACTTTGACCTTGACATCAACCATTTAGAAGAATCTATGAGTAAATTATACTCTGAGGAATTGGAGATGCCTGAAGATCTCGGTGCTGACGAATCAGCGGGAGGTGCTGTTGCATTACAGTCTACATTTACTGAGCTTCGTCAATGTATCGACTTGCTCTTACTTGAAAACTATGAGGACTTTATTAAAAATCTGACAAATAGAATGAGAAAGTTCGATAGAGTGAAGTATGAAGATGGTGTTCAGTTAATCTCCAAGATCTATCCACCACCAAATATCAATGGAGCAGGTGGTAGCGGAGTCGGTGGGGAAACCGGCGGTCTAGGTGGAAGTCTTGATGGACTCGACCAGAACCATTCTGGAAGTACTATTGGACTCGTCGATTCATCTGGTAACGCATCTCCAGCAAGGCTCGGCCTGCCAGGACCACTGCTTATGTCGTCATCCACGGCTCAAAAATTTGCTAAATTCAGCAGCAAGTTCCGCCCACAAAACCAATGAGTGGCTTGTGAAGTAGAAAGCTACTGCTTTGGGATATTTTGTAAGTGTATATTTGTACAAGATGCGATGTTATATGTACAAGAAATGAATAAGAATGTGTAGGATATGGGAAGCAATCCATAGATCTCTACTTCCAAAACTGAAACCATCTTCTTCGAGGGATCTCTGCCTTTTTAGAGTCAACCAATTCCTGGATCTTATTTTCCAAATCTACAGTTCTTTGTAAAAGTTCATTCTCTTTTTGGGTGTACTCTAGAAGAACCCAGGTGGTGTGTAGGCCGATATATGTCGTGGAGGCGATCAAGAAAAAGTGGTATAAAGCACTGCTGAACTGACGTATGGATGGTTTGTGAGCAACTGGAGTATCCGAACTTGATTTCATGGCAGCTTCGGGGAATTTCACTGAAGAGTACTTCCTAACGGGGATTCTGAGCGACGATCTGAGCATCTTAGAAATAGAGTCAGTTGAATAATCAAGGAAGAGCAGTAAAGTGTGGAATTTTTTTTATGATAAGCTGCCTCTGGGTCGCTTCTGAGCTTTCTATAAGCTGTATGAAATCACCAGTGCCAGAATAACCTGTTCTCTTGTGGGGCTCCTTCGGCGTAGTTCTTCTTCCACTTCTTCACTAAAAAGTTAGGCTCACATATCTGGAGAAAGACTATCTGCAGTACGCGATACTAAAGAAGCTCTAGAGTGTGCAGCACACCCAGCACAGCTATGAGCAACGAAAGTACACCATTTTTCTCCCTCTTTTTCTTTCGAATGATGGAAAGCACTTGGTTCATGTGCTATCATGCTATTCACAGCCTTGACCTCAGATCTATCAACAGCACGCTACAAAATGCCCCATTATACCAGTCCTTCTTCAGCCTACCTACACTAGCTTTTCATCTACCAGTCACACAATATGCAGGACACGGTGGCGATCTCTCTGACTTTTTTTTCCTTTTTCCAAACAAAATCCACCGACTCAATCGAACAACCAGTGAGCAACGCCGCCAGACACCGTAGCCGAAGTATAATAGTTCAAAAAGAAATAGAAAAGTCCTCCAATCAGACTCGCACAGCCATTGAAGAATTGACGGACATCTTAGAAGAACAAAACGCAACATTGAACCAGAAATTGAAGTAACGTAAAGTAAAGTAAGGATTACCAAACCTCGACCCCAAATCTCCATAAATTTAATATTGCAACTATGTTCAGAAATAATTATGATAATGACTCTGTCACCTACTCTCCTACTGGTAGACTTTTCCAAGTGGAATATGCCCTTGAAGCGATAAAGCAAGGAAGTGCTGCCGTTGGAATTGTGTCTTCTACACATGTCGCTCTTGTAGCTCTTAAGAGGAACGCCGAAGAATTGGGATCGTATCAAAAGAAGATCATCAAGATTGACGACCACATGGGAATTGCATTGGCAGGATTGGCTCCAGATGCCAGAGTGCTTTCTAATTTCCTCAGAAAGCAAGCCATGACAAGCAAGATGATATACAACAAACCAATCTCAACACAGAGTGCGGTGTTGTCCATTGCTGATAAAGCACAAGAAAACACGCAATCGTACGGTTCCAGACCATACGGGGTTGGTTTATTAGTCGGAGGTTACGACGAGTCTACCGATTCCTGTCATCTCTACGAGTTCCAGCCTTCCGGAAGCGTCTTGGAGTACTATGGTGCTGCCATCGGAGCTAGACTGCAAGCTGCCAGAACTTACTTGGAGAGAAACTTGGATACCATTCGTGGCAGTGAGGCACACTTGAGTCAAGAGGAACTCATTGTACATGCGCTCAATGCCTTAAGAGATACACTTGCTCAAGACGTCGAGTTGACCTACAAAAATACTTCTGTAAGTATTGTAGGGAAGAACACTCCATTCGCCTTGTACGACGATGAGAATGTGCAACAGTGGATAGACAAGTTGGATGCTGTATCGAACTCAAGAAATAGATCAAACGGCGATGATGACGACGATGACGAAGATGATAACGATGACAATAAGGATGATGCAGTCAAGACAGAGACTGGAGCTACCGCTGATGCTGGCGAAAGTGCTGCTGATTCAGCCGTCGGTGCAAACATCCAAACTGATGCTGGTCAGGAAGATAGAATGGAAACTGAGTAGAATAGTATATAAAAAATAATAAAGTTATAAAGTAGGAAACAAGTAAAACATTGTTATAGACGAGTATTCCTTAGAGCTGGCTATGTTCAAGTGGCGCACTGAAGCGAAGAGATGGTTGCACAAGTAGTAATAACTTATAAGGAACCAACGTTACAGCTCATATTTAACAATTCATCGTGTTTCATAACTATACAAGGTTGTCACGTTTAATATTATATACATTACCAGTCGGATTCATCTACTTCTTTTCTTGTTGCTGTTGCTTGACAGCGACTTTCTTTATAGCTTCAAGGCATAAGTTCTGCATGACACCAACTTCAGCGTTGATCTCTTCAATGGAGTATGTCTTAACATCCTGCCTGATGTCATTAATTTTAGACTTCAAAGAGTTAACCAATGCCATAATTTCGTCCTTTTCTTGGGCTTCCATTAGGCCACCAAATTGCTCTACAGCATTTTCAGTGTCAACGCATAGAATATCAGCTCTGCTTGCGTTTTCAAAATGCTGTCTCCTCTCAGCATCTTCTTTAGAGTGTTCACTACTCTCTGCGATCATTCGTTGGATTTCCTCGTCTGTCAAACCAGTCTCGGACGATACTTGAATTGAAACAGTGTTGTTTTCAGCTTCATCAACCGCCTCCCTTGGCGTTTTGTCGGTGGCACTTACATTCATAATTCCATCGGCATCAATCTCAAAAGAAACAGCAATTTGTGGCTCTCCTTTTAAAGCTCTGGGTATTCCAGAAAGTTGGAAATTGCCGATCATCTTATTGTCTCTGACCAAAGTCCTTTCACCTTGGTATACTCTAATCTCGACCCCAGTTTGACCGTCTACAGCGGTGGAGAACATAGTTTGTTTTTTGATTGGAACGGCACTATTTCTAGGAATTAATGGACTGAATATACCCCCGTAAGTTTCAATACCCAAAGATAAGGGTGTTACGTCAAGAAGAACAACATTTTGGATTTGTCCACTTAAAATGGCACCTTGAATAGATGCACCAAGTGCCACAGCTTCGTCCGGATTCACTACAGTATTTGGCTTTTTACCAAACAATTCTTCAACAACTTTTCTAATCTTTGGCATCCTGGTCATCCCTCCAACTAAGATCACTTCATCTATATCTTTTATCTTCAATTCTGCATCTCTGATGCATTTTTTCACTGGATTTACCGTCCTTTCTATTAAATCTTTAGCCATTTCATCCAATTCTTCTTCCGTTACTGTCAATTTAATATGTTTATCGCCAGATATGAAAGGAATATTAATTTCAGTGCTGGTGACATGAGAAAGCTCAATTTTGCATTTTTCAGCAGCCTCTCTTATTCTTTGGATGGCAAGTCTATCGGACCAAAGGTCGATCAGAGAATTCTCATTCTCCAGCTCAAAGGATTCGACTATTTTCTTCATAAGGATAATGTCCAAGTCTTCACCACCTAAATGAGTATTACCATTTGTTGCTCTTACTTCGAACACTCCATCTTCGATGTCTAGGATGGATATATCAAACGTTCCTCCTCCAAGATCGAATACGGCAATTACCCCATCTTTTTGACGCTTATCAATTCCATAGGCCAATGCAGCGGCTGTTGGCTCATTGATAACTCGTAGTACATTCAACCCTACTATTTTAGCAGCGGCTTTTGTAGCTTGCCTTTGAGAATCGTTGAAGTACGCAGGCACAGTAACTACAGCAGATATATCTTCAGCCTCCAGCAGCCCCTCCTTCCGAAAATGATCCTGAGCAATCTCCTTCATGTTGCGTAATATATAGCCACTAATCTGTGACGGTGGTAGCTTTCTACCGTTGGTAGTCTCCAACCAGGCATCACCATTGGCTTCATGGTCAATGATCTTATATGCAGTATTATTTAAATCCTTTTGTACTTCTTCATCAGTGAACTTTCTACCAATCAATCTCTTGGTGGCAAAGAAAGTGTTTTGAGGATTTACAGCAGCTTGTCTCTTTGCCGGTGTCCCCACTAAGATTTCCTGGTCCTTTTTGGTAAAAGCGACAACTGAAGGTGTGGTTCTATTACCATCTTTATTCTCCAAGATCTTGGGCTGGTTATTCTCAACTACAGCAACAGCAGAATTGGTAGTTCCTAAATCAATTCCAATTACTTTGTTATGGTTGTAACGTAGATGGTGTAAACCACCAGTACTACTCCTTTTAACACAAGAGCGAGCTAGTCTTGAAAGCATTGTGACGAGGTGAATTAAATATTGAAACAAAAGTAGTAGAGTCAGTTCAGGATTTTTTTGATGAGGCTCGGATCGCAACTAAATCCATACCGGCATTGGTATGGTTTCTCCTATATACAGGATACAAGTACTATGACATAATGGTCATAGGGTATACAACCAATATGTTTAGCTTAAGATCGGGATGTTGTAGATGTGTATCTGAGTTATGAAGATGTCTCTCTTTACGATATCTGTTTATTTACAAGTGTTTCTAAAATTGAAATTAATGCATTATTGTACTTGTCACTCTTAGGTATAAAATTCGAATGTCCTTCCGTTAAACGCTTTTACATACTGTAACCCTACTATGTCAAGTGAAGCTTCACTAAAAAATCTCTTGAGTCTATTAATTTCTCGACATTCTGTAAGGCTGGATTCTTTGAAAACCATTCTAGTCCCTTGCTTGGTCAAGACTTCTAAATACCATCCAAAATCCGTTCTCTTTTTAGCTATGATAATTCCGTCGATATCAAGTCTACTATTATGAACAAACATTCCAAGCTCAAATGGTGCAGTTTTGGTCGATTCTTCTTCCTTATTCAAATCTACTCTCCAGACAAAAAGCAGATTCAATTTTGAACTGGGGTCACTTCTCCCGAATGCAGCCTCTAGGGGAATTAGTCCTCTCATAGTCGATAACTTGCCCGAGAATAGATCCTTGATACGTTCATAGTTTTCTTCATGAAATCCAGTTTTAGATTTCGGAAACCAAGAAGTTACCTTTGTCTTATCGACTATAGAAAGAAAAAAGGATTTCCTTACAGGCCCATTAAGATAAAGTACGTATTGTAGAAGGTAGAAAATGCTCATAGGTGAAACGTATCGTGCTGCATCGTCGTTGCTTGCAAAGTGATGGACTGAAACTAGCCGAGACTCTATAGTTGAAGTGTGGAATATACGCAATTCATTATCAGATCTAGAGCTTTTCTCAAGAATGCTTATGGAGCAAGAATTTACACTAAGAAAATTCTTACTTAAGCTTACCTTAATAGGCCCAATCTTCTCATCCACTCCTTTAACAAAGATGGACATTCCTTTGAAGAACTGTGAAATCACCTTCATCACTATAGCATTTCTGAGAAAGGTGTGTCCTATAACTTCGTTGGAATAAATTCTGAGGATACTAAAATCTTCTAAATAGTATCCACCCATGTAGGTCTCAGAATGACCATCATGTACTTTTATTGTTAGTTTCTTTAAAATAAGACGAACAACACGATACAAAAAGGCTTCAAAACTGGACTGCTCTTCGAAGTAAATTGTCCTATTTGAGGTATCATATTTAAGAATACCGCCATTCTCTTCGTGTAGTAGCATACCCACGTAGATCCTTTTACGTAATATTTCGGAAATTTCTGATAGCTTCTTTCTTCTAGCTTCTACAAGTCGATGAGATGCATCGTCAAATAGACTGAATCTGAACCAAAACTGCTCATAGTCAGGCAGCACATCTAGGTTTCGTACCGCTTTTACCATATTTTTGCCTGCCATTTCCTCAATCAAAGGATGGAAATATATTATCCCTAAATGTCGAATGGCTGCTACCAACAACTTCGTAGCAAGGGAAATTTCAGTTAAACCTATGGGATTAAATTCATCAACACAGATTTCATTTTCCTTGCAATAATTGTAAAGAATTGGGATGAATTTTGGATCAGTACTGAATCTTTCCTCAAAATAGTCATAATTGTGTTCGCTATTAGGGTCATACAACTCCAATTGCAGAATAAAAAGACACTGATCTCCATAGTAGAGCCTTGCCTTGTCGTACCCTTTGCAGGTGTACGGTATGGGTATTTCATAATCCGCATACACACGTTCCCACCTATCAAAGCATACAAAGTTCCAAAGGTATTCGTCGTCAATTAATTGAGAATGTATCGTTCTACTTAATGACGTGATACAAAGCAAGTCTTGAAAAGAAAGTCCGCATCTTACTATACGGAGCCATATGTCAGCAGGTACTTGTTCGAGAGACATATTTCTCCACAAGCACCGAATCTATGCTAGAGGGCAAGTTAGCGAACCAGCAATATGAAAATCAATGCACTAATAAATAAGCTCTTTTCTTTATTTTGGCGGATCCACAGGCAAGCAAAATCAAGTATAATAGCAGTAATGCTCAAATCGACACCAATGTATTGGCAAATAAATAGAAATCAAATCAAAACACACTTGGTTTGGCGCTCCAGGTTCTACATTTTCATGTTTCCCCATTTGGTGCAACTCTCGCTTATCGAGAATTTTTCATGCATGAAGCTCATCTCATCACATCTACTCTTTCTTAATCGTTGGATTAGTTCACTTTTAAAATAGTTGAATATATATTGTAGTATGGGTAAAAGGAAAGGAGGCTCTTCAGGTGGTGGTAAATCCAAAAAGTTCAAAGTTGGTGGCTTCATTGACCCATATACAAGTGGTGTGTACGCAACTTGCACTCGTGGAAGAGAGCAACAATGTAGAAAAGAGTTGATGAATTTATTCTCTGAAAAGATTGAACAGTATTTTGATCTTGAAAACCTTGAAAATAGCGAAGAAGATGTAGAAGGAGAATCTGAAGAACTTTCCATTGAGGATCAAATAAAGAAAGAACTTGGTGAAATGAAAGAAAGCACCGTCACCAAGAAAGAGCTTTTAACTCCTATTGATTTGGGCTGCGAATGTCTTGTCTTTATTAAGACTAGATACCCCGTGAAACCGGAAACATTGATACAAAAACTTGTAGAAGAATCGGCATCCCTGGCTCAAAAGACAACTAGATTCACTCAAAGATTGACCCCTATATCATTTTCGTGTTCTGCAACAAACGAAGAATTGATCAAATTGGCCAAACGTGTATTGAAACCGCACTTCCATAAGGAAGAAGGCCAGGAGCCATACAAGTTTGCTATTCAGGTATCCAAAAGAAACTTTAATGCTATCCCAAAACTTGATATAATAAAGCGTATAGCTGAATGTGTAGGTAGAGAACATGGACACTCTGTTGATTTGAAGAAATATGACAAGTTAATCATGGTCGAGTGCTATAAGAGTAACATTGGAATGAGTGTTGTGGACAAGTACGAAGAATATGACAAATTCAACTTGCAGCAAATCTTTGATAAGACATTAGGAAATGACAAGGACGATAATTCATCGAGAGTGAAGAATAGTCGAGTAAATGTAGCAACTGAGGAGGAGGAAGGTGAAAAGGAAGAATTCCATACTGATAAAGAAATTGAAGGTGGAGAGAAGACAGCAGAAGGTGATGAACAAAAATCTTTCGAAAAGGAAGCATAAACAGACTTACTAATTATAATTGTGCTGATAGGCAACTGTATATTATTTGAACTAATGGAAATCAATCAAACTCAAGTATTTATGATCGAGGTTAGTACGTACAATAAAATTTCATTACTTTTAATATATTTTTATATACAAATTTATTCTCTTGGTATATTTGGAGCTTGTTCAAAATATTGAACTCCACTCTTTCACTTGTACAACTTCTTCCCAGGCTAGCCAATCACTTCTATGCCTAGGAATCAAGCCCATGGTATTAAGCTTCCACACACCTACAGACATACATGCAAGCTGACACAACACAAATATCGCCTTAGCAACCAAAATATCATTAGAATTCTCAGGCGTGATCAACTGCTTGAAGTTCTTATTAGTTTCTGTGAAAATTGCTTTAAGTGGGCTCATGAATAAATTGAAGGCCATCATGATTGGGATAATCTGCAAGGAATTCCCTGTCATATAACTCATAAATAAGTTCATTGGTATCGATTTAGCAGGACCCATGGCAATTTCCCAGGCTTTTTTGGCTTTCAAATCTGATATAGCCTTGGGGTCTTGTTTCTTAATTTGAGCTGCTGTGTCTGATTTCTTAGATCCAGTGGATAGTTCAAACCCTGGAGGCGATTTATAGGATTTTGGGGTCTTAATGACGCTGATGCTTTCGAAATCAGACATGTTAAATATATGACACAGATTATATAGCTACAAAAACTACAGAATGGTCTACGTATGCTGGAGAACCCCATCAACAAAATACTGCTGGAGCTTGGAAGGTTCTAATACGCATGTTGGAGGGAGAAGTCCTGCACAATGTCACGAAATTATTCAGTGGGAAAGGGCTGGGCAACGGTTGCAGCACTATGGCCACATAAAAGAGATCAGAATCTGTAATAAAAAGGTGGAATATTTTACAGGAAGCCCAATAAGTAGAGCATTCTAGAGTAATCTAACGTCTTCCTTTGATTTACCCTTCGTTAGCAGAACTATCATTGCTACTAAAACCGTGTGTGTTGGCTAATCAAGGCTTGGAATATATAGTATATGCAGTACCACTTCTCAATTTTCGCCTCAAAAAGTCGGAGTGATAGTTACGATAGATAGTTTAACAGAGGACCATTCCCAGTATAGGTAGTTAATTCTGTTATCTAGTGTGCCTTGGTCATGAACTCAACGACGTCTTTCAAGTTGAATCCACTCAACAAAATCATTGGGTTATCCATAGTCTTGTCTATGGGATTTCTTTTGGTTGTACTTGCTGGTATATACGGGAACTGGTTCCCCATAATAATCGGGATTGTCTTCGCATTTGCGCATATACCAATTATTGTATCAAATGTGTTGTCTGAGGGATACGGTGACTACGACTTTAACTTTGATACCACCTCTTCCAATTCACCCAATGCAGCCAAGGAAGTTGGCTTATTTCTTTCGGCGTTCTTACTTATAAGTGCATTATCATTGCCAGTACTTCTTCACCATTCGCGCATACTTACCACCACGGCAATGGTGTTGACTATTATCGGCGGAGGACTCATTTACGGGACTGTGTACACATTTAGTCTGTTCTTCCGTGATGAGGAGGAGGAGGAGCTTGAAGATATCGGTGGAGGAGTAATCTAGTCATGAAATGTCGTCGTATGGTTATAGCCCTTTCTTTCAAGATCGCTGCCGAGAAGAATTGCTTTTTCGCATCTAGTCTGTTTCAAGCACTGTGGGAGTTTTGAAACATGTTAGTGTAGAAACACATCGCTGCTGAACACTCTATCTATTAATTCACTATCAGATCCAGCCCCGAGCTCCCAAGGGCACCAACTGCAATCTCAAGATTTCATTTTACTTCTGCCGGAAAACAGCCATCATATATGTTTCCGTCTGGTCATATGGTAATATGTACATAATTAAAAGCTACAGAAATAATCATGAAATGTGTATCAGTATTCTTAGAAGTAGTTCTTTTCTTTTCTTTCTTTTTTTTTTTTTTTTGTTGAACCGCTTCTAGTATCTATCGTTCCACTCTCCACTCGCATTGCTTCAATAGTCTAATAATAAAGAACTACCAGGCACGATGCCCCCAAGTCTTTCGTAGCATATCCGTCACTGGCATCTGTTGCACCCTGTCATGCAGGTGCATGCATTCCTCTTTTTACGCTGTGTCCGTGTAATTTTTAGGTATCGCGTTTTTTTCCTACAGAGGCCCAAATTTAGCAGAGACGTTAATCGATATTCATGTCTATGTTGATTCTTTCTCCTTACTGAACTATATCCATCATGACTACTGATTTGGAGTTGGCTTCTGCCCAGAGAGAAGTGTTGAGTGAACTCCAAACGGGAGAAAAATTGAAAAACGAGGAATTCAAGATCTGGAAGAAGACTGTGCCATTACTCTACGATACTATTCAATCGCACGCATTGGAAAGACCAGTATTGTCATTACTGTGGTTACCTACGTATGACATTTCTGAAAACAAAAATGTGATTTCTGTTAAGATATTGATTGGACTTTCTTCAGACGAGTCGATCGAGCCAGTTACAAGCACTGCAGCTCCAACTGCAACAACTTCCTCAAAGCAAAAGTCTCAAGAGTATTTGAAAATCGTGCTGTTCAGCTTACCTAGTACCATGGCACCAGATTTCCAGAAGTTCTTGCCTAACGCACAAGGTGTTCCTATCCCATTATCATCTTCTCGTGAAGGAAGCACAAGCGTGAGAAGCAGCAACGACGATAAAAGTGGTAACGATACAAACACCAGCTCTCGTGGCAATGTAGATGGGTTCAGCACTGTAAAAGATTATAGCCACAACGGTGAAGTTAACAAGTTAAAACTCTCACCAAATGGTTCCAAATTTCTCACTTTTGACAAGGAAGGAGTTATTCATTTATATGATTTTGAATCCAGTGTACCCATTGCTTCTTTCAAGTATCATAAGGCAGAAGGATTTGCGTTAGAATGGGTTGATGAAGATCTGTTCCTCTCTGGTGCAAATGATTCTCAGATTGCACTTTGGGATGTGAATAAGCCCCTGACTCCTATTCAAATATTCAAGACACATAGTGGGGCTATTAATGATATTTCATACACGGGAACGGGCCCCAGAAAGAATGGTGAGAAGAAAGATGAAGATGCCATGGAAACAGAAGAAGAAAATACTACTGGTGGTCTTTTCATATCTGTATCTGACGACTATACCACTCAAATTCATGAAATAGTGTCACCAGTACTGTCATCATCTACAACGTCTTCTACCCCAGCAGTGATCAAGATTGAAAACAAACGTATTCAAAACGCTGCTGCTTTTCATCCAGATATTCCAACCCTTTTTTTAACCGCTGGACAGGACAATGTTATATCGCTTTACGACTTAAGGAATACCAAAGTTCCGATCAGGAAGTTTTTTGGGCATACGGAGAGCGTAATTGGAGTTAAATGGGACAAGAACCAAGATCCTAACGTTTTCTATTCGTGGGCTTTAGATAAGAGGGTAATTCAGTGGGACTTGGGATCACTTGATGAAGATTTTACTTACCCTGAAGATAATTCAAGCTCTAGTAATGGTAGCGGGAACGGTGCACCAGGTGCATCTACTGGAGTCGGTAAAAAGAAGAGTTCCAAGACGATTGAAGATCCATGCATGAAATTTATTCACGGGGGACACACGAACAGGGTGAATGATATTGACTTGCACCCAAAGATTTCAGGATTGTTGACAAGCTCCGGAAATGATAGCTTGCTAGAAGTATGGAGATCAAAAACGATATTTGAAGATGTTGAAGCTGATGAGGACGAAAGGGAATGATAAGATCCCGAAAATGAAAAATGAAAAATAAACGAAAATAGTACTTTAGTTAGAAAAAAAGTTTAATAGTGTAAAGATACGGCTGTATAATATCACGTCGGGATGTAGCATCTACCTTGTATTCCTTAGGTCAATGTGGTAGTAGCCATATGTAAGGCGATCTAGGGAAGGCTCTGAATATTTATGCAGTGTTGATCGGTCACGTGCTTTTTTTATCTACAGGACGATTTGATTTACATCAAGAAAACAAACCTACAAGAGGATGATGTGAAGTAGAGCTCCACAGACTCGTTAAATACAAACAGCAGGCATGGAAGTTATTGATAGTAGGTCTGGTGATGAGACTGACTTGCCACTGTCTGCGCTTTCAACAGATAAATCCTTTTTATCAGACTCTGATGTTGACAATAAGAAAAGGTCTCTAGAAGAGGAAGTGGTAATCAAGAATGAGACGAGTGGTGAACCATCTTCACCTAAAAAGAACTCCGAGCCATCATCTAAAAAAGTAAAGTTGGAAGTCGATAACAATATTTTACCCCCCATAAAACAAGAAGCTCCCAAAGAGAAGAAGAAACTGTATAGTAGGCGGAAGGTGGAGAAGGAAAAGGAAGAGCCAGACTCTCATGACTTCTCAAATGAATCCGAAGATATTTCTAAACAATACAAAAAGTTCAAAAATGCGCCGAGGTTCAATTTGAATAGTGAGGAGGTCTTTTGTATATGTAGAAAGCCAGATCATGGAGGCTTGCTTATGATTTCTTGTGATGGCTGTGACGAATGGTTTCATTTTAGCTGTATGAAGTTGAATATGCAATACCAGAACTTGATATCTAAATTCTATTGTAAGTTTTGTCTGTGGAAAGAAGTCGGACAAACACAGTGGAAGAGAAAATGTAGATTGGATACATGTTATGAGCCGATCTCTGCAGAGGGGAATTCAAAATACTGTTCTGAAAAATGTGGGATAGACTATATCAAGGGAAAGCTAGTCACTTCGAACGGCGGACTTCTGCATAGCACGTCGATAAATTCGAAACATGACTCTAAAAGTGGTGCATCCAACTCAGATGTTAAGTCACTGAGTTTGACTGTGCCTGAAATCAAATCAATTTTGATCTACAGTACTAATAACGGCACCACTGACGATGAACAGTACAGAAATCTAAAACTTTTGGGTTCAAAACTACCCCAGTTGCCAGAAGTGATGGCATATCACTCAGATCCTCTGGTTCTAAGCAGGTTTCCAGAACCTCTTCAGTCTGAAATCAAGCTCTTGAATGAAAAATCCTCGAGCTTTCAAGACTTACTTAAAGTGTACATGAACAGATTGGATCTCCTTGTGAAGATGCGTGAAAAATTAAGAATCATCAACGAAAAATTACAAGAAAGGGACCAGACTGCAAGTTCAAAAGCAACTGAAGCGCCGACGGGTACAAAGTCTAAGAAGGGTAAGTCAAGCAAAGCGAAAAAGATTGAGATATGCGGTTACGAGAAGATATTCAGCGCTGATCAAGAGGAATGGATACGATACTCTGAAACGCATGAGGATGAGATTAACGCTCTTTTAGATAATTCATCCTTGTCGTACGACAATATTCATGAAAATATGCGGAAGCAAATTGACGAGTTAGTGGAGTTTTACAATAGTAAGGAAGACGAGTTGCAGTGGTTTGATGAGAAGATTTGCATTAATGACAAGAGGAAATGTGCTAGACATGGAGGGTGGTGGAGCTTAATACAAGACGAGATCTCCAACAAGATAAACGAATTCCATTCAGATATAAGATCATTGGAAAGGGAAAAGCAGCAATTACTTAGAGAGTACAGTATCCTGGTGTTTGAAAGTGGATCTAAGATACCCCAGTAGTTAGATCAGATAAATCGAAAACTCTTACTTACCATTGATACGTAAAGTGTCATTGAATTGTGTATTTAGTATTTAGGTATTGGTATTGGTCTATTTCTTCTTCATTCCGTTGATTGTAGCAACTATCTTACGGGTGTGTTCGTAGTCTCTGAATTCACAGAACCAAACACCTTGCCAGGTTCCAAGAGCTAACTGTCCCTTGGAGATGGGAATCGTTAAGGAAGTTCCAACTAGGGTAGATTTGATATGTCCGGGCATGTCATCTGGACCTTCATCCGCATGGATATAAAAATCACCTTCGGGCACAATTCTATTCAAAGAGTTGGTCATATCTTCTCTAACATCAGGGTCGCAATTCTCGTTCAAAGTTAAACCTGCTGAGGAATGCTGTAAGAACAAGTGCAATTGCCCAATCTCGTATTCATGAATTTGGGGCACCTTACGAAGAATTTCATTTGTGATGAGGTACGATCCTCTTGAACGAGGAGTTAAAGAGAACTTTGTTTGATCCCAAGACGACATTTAGTATATTCTGACCTGAAAGTATGATGCACTGTTGCTTTGTTCTTATCTTTACTGGCTCGTAAGCAGGGCCCTTCGCCAGTAGTTTTATATTGAAAAATCTTACCTGCATATAGCGCAAGAAATGCAACACTTTCAAACTTTAATTTTGCTTTCCTTTGGTTGCTCTGCTTGCTCTGAATGGCTCCATTGCTATACTGTGGGCAGATGTGGAATAGTGCTAAAGTTACTTTTGCTTGATGTTCACTACCTTATTAATGTACCATACAATGGAAAAATGTAATGTTTATAGCTTTAAGGAGAAGAAAAGTATGTCAAACCTAAAAATTAATGTCTTTCGCAGCTTCTCTTTCTTCTGTCGTATATTACTCTATCTCTATGTTTTGTTTTATTTTATTATAATTTACTTCATCTTATGTTTACTACCCTTTGGAACTCTCGTTAACCAATAAAAGAATACCGTACCGATCATATCGATGAAAATGAAAGCAGAAAATATCCCAATATCTCTACCTCTATTTTTATATATAGCTTTGACTTCTTCCAAGAACACATTCGTAGTGGCCATACTACAAAACTGGCATACTGTAGTAGAATTTTCATCCACCAAATATCCACCTGCCACTGACATATATGCCGCCATGTATTCTCCACAAGTGTATCCATCTACAGGAGCAAACTGCGCTAATTCATTTGTTGCACAAACCACGTCCGAATTAGCAAGACCAATGGAAAGCATCGCAGATACACAGTAGGTGAAAGGATTGCACCTATACATAAATATCCAAAATCCTGGCAATGGCTTCTCTGCTGATAAGACTCCACAGAACCCTAACAATATGGTGAATAAAATGGTACTTAAATCTGCCGCATTATCTGCTAACTCAATAAATGAAATACATAGTTGACCCATGGTTGAGGTGTATACGTAGAATAATACAATTGTAATCCACATCAAAGCTCCTCTTTCGTGAACCGTGTTCGTGGGTACTGCATTTTCATACAATCCAATAGGATAGTACCAACAAAAAAATGCAACAGTACCTACTCCAATTTGCCAAGGAATTTCAACAGTAATTTGTGCTGCAATGAAAGCTTGCCAGCTAAATGTTTTCGAAGGTCTCTCTCTAACTTCATATAAGTCTCTTTGGCTAACAAAATGTGGTAAATACTGTTGAACTAAAGTAATGAAGACAACAAGGAACATAAATACTGAAAACATTTGATTTTGTAACCCTTGGATAGACTTATCAGCTTTGAAGAATGAAAAACCATTGAAAATGGCTGAGAGAACGCATAGTGATACTTTAGAATATGTATATGAAGGAGTTCTCCAGTACTGTTCAAATACTCTTTTGGTGACTATCAAATATTGTAACCAAAATGGGGCAGCAAATTCTTTCAAGTTTTCTGGATCTTTCTCGACTGGTAGTTTGACAAGCTCCTTCTCCATTTCGTCAAGTTCCCTATTGACCTCGGCAAATTCTGATGAATTTCTCCAAACTTCAAAATAATCTTGTGTTGCTTTAGACCCAGGTGCGGCACCAATGACTTCGAGCATCCACTCAGCAGGATTGGCCTCTGGTGGACATGGATGACCCCCGTACTTTTCAAAATAATCAATTAAAGTTTGGCAGTTTTTTCCTAAATCTCCGAAGTACACAGTTTGTCCCCCTTTCTGAAGAAACAATAATCTATCGAACTCTTGAAGTAATATAGCCGAGGGTTGATGAATTGTACATAAAATTGATTGTCCGTGATCTGCTAGCTTTCTGATTAATTTACAGATAGACCAAGCAGTTTGTGAATCTAGACCAGAAGTAGGTTCATCTAAAAATACTAAAAGCTTCGGCTTAGCGACTAGTTCAACTCCGATTGTCAATCTTTTACGTTGCTCGACGTTTAATCCTTCTCCTGTTACACCAACTACAGCATTGGCATATTTTTCCATTTCAAGTAACACTATAATCTGGTCAACGTAGGCATCTTTTTCCTTCTTAGATACTGATTTAGGTTGACGCAAATACGCAGAAAACGTAAGAGCTTCACGAACGGTGGATGTCGTTAAATGTAAATCTTGTTGCTGAACGTACCCAATTGACCTTTGGAAAGATGAATCTGTCGAGTGTCCGTTGACCATACGAACACCTGAAGTGATCTCTCCACTCGTCAATCTCTCAGATAAAGCATTAAGCAAGGTAGTCTTACCAGCACCAGAAGCACCCATCAACGCAGTGACTTGACCAGGCTTAACCCATCCATCGATACCATTAAGAATTACTCGATTTTCTTTCTTGATTTTAACTTCATACCTCAAATTTCTCCAATGGAAAATGTCAGATTGCTTAGGAATATCAATACCATCTAGATCAGAGCTCGTTCCACTTTCCTTGCCCACTTCTTCTGGTGATACTTTTTCTAATATGGCTCCGCTCGAAGTGGCTGAAGACTCCACGTCTTGACTTCTTTTCTGCTTTTTCAATTTTTTCAAATCCTTCTGTTGGAAAAGTAAAATTTCACCTTTTTGCATGGCACCCTTGTTAAACTCACATATAATAACGTATGATACAAGGAAGAATAGAACATATGCAACTATAATACCCCAATTTCTCCACTTATGGCTGTCATAATATTCGTATGAATCGTTTATGTAATTATCCCCATTCACATAGTGGCTACCTAGCTGAGCACCCACACTGCTACAGATGTAGTTATCTTGACCTTCAATATTTGTATAATTACCACCTGTAGGAATGAATTGTGAACAAGCGAATTCACGACCACTAAATTCATTGGCTACAAGAGATTCGAAGGCATAGGCAATTGGATCAATATAATTAATCCAACGGCACCACCCGTGCATATGTGGAGTAGGAATAACAAAGCCGGTGAAAATCGTTAATGCTAATAACAAAATAGAAGCAGGTGTCATAGCTTGCGATAAAGTTTTAGTTGAAGCACCAATTGTTCTGAATAAATGGGACATGGCCAATGTCGATGTAAAGTTGACAAGTAGATAGAAAAAGAAGTGGCCAGCATCTCTTCTAAAGTTCACCATGAAGTACAAAGTTATATTGAATGTAATACAGACGAACAATTTTGTAGGCATCTCTGTAATAATTGACGCTAGAGCATCTGCAGAAGGATGATATAAAGCATATTTCTTATGCTTTTCGACAATCGGACGAGCTTCATAAAGCGAAAAGATCTCTAAAACAGAACTAAATGCATTGAATAAAACAGCAAAGAATAAAGCAGCAGTTCTCGAATAAAAGGAATGAGTATTTGCCAGCATATTGTAAAAAATTGAGGATAAAATCAATCCAATCAAGAAATGCCCGATGATGTTAAATAAAGTAATGGATGGATCTCCCCTAGTTCTTCTGAAGTTTCTAAACATCACATATTTGACTTGCATGAAAAATGACACAGTCATTGGAGAGCTTTTATTCAAGTTCTTAGATTGCTTAGCTCTATGAGCTTGACTAAACTGCGAGACTGCCTTATCACTATCAACCGCAGATAAATACTCGTCAATATCTTCAACTAGAAGTGCCTTTTCAGGAGAATTGTTCCAGTATTCATAAAATTCTAATGGAGTTCTGGGCACTTTATGTTCAAAGCCCTCTTTTACGATTCTTTCTGCAGGGTTTGTCAAAGATGTCAAGAAATCTGCAGTAGTTTGACGTTGAGGGCATGAATATCCCATTTCAAGGAAGTATTTCTTAGCATCTTTTGCCTTTCCATAAAAAATTTGATATCCTTCGTATAAAAGTATAACATTATCGAATAAATCGTAAGCATCTTGGGAGCACTGATAAATTGCGATTAACGGTGTTGCTTCCATAACGGTCGCTGAGACTTTCAAGGACTTAAGAAATTCTAGTGCAGTGGCTGCATCCAAACCTCTTGTGGAGTTATCCCAGCATTGAACAGCAGAACGAGATAAAGCAACTTCTGCAATTGATACTCTTTTCCTTTCCCCTCCAGAAACTCCTCTGATAAAGTCGTTCCCAACTTTGGTGTCCTTAGTGTGTGACAACCCGTAAGTTGCCATGACCACTGCCGCCATATGCTTAGCATAGTCTTCTCTGGAAACCCCAGGTGGTCTATTTCTTGGTGTCTTCATTCGAGCCACGAATTCTAAAGTGTCCTTTACCGATAAGTGAGGAAAGTGAATTTCAGTTTCTGCACAATAAGTCACTTCACCTCTGAAATGATTTTCAATCTGTTTAGGTGTGATCCCATCGTATGAAATTACAGACTTTTCATCTAAATTGAATCCGTGCGTTTGATTGGCAATCGCCTTTAAAAATGTAGAGCAACCGGCACCAGGTCTTCCTAATACAATAGTCAACTCCCCTGCTTTTATTAGTCCATCCATCGGCTTCAAAATGTCGAAAGTTGAATCGTCAGAATGTCTCAAGTACTTCATTATTTGTCTGTATGCAAATTTGACTATAAGGTTGTCAAAAGTGGACTGGTAGTCCAAATCTGTGGCTTCCCCATAGGCCCTCAAGTCCTTATAGGCAAGCCCGAGTTTGGCAGGATGGTAAAACTCCACATCAGATTCTATGAGCTTTCGCATGTTCATAACCCAGTACTTGGAGTCAAACTCTGGACTATCAGGGTCGAGCTTGGTACTTATTCCAGCTCCATTGGTAGTCATTGGAATTTCTCCTGCTATCTGCGACATACCTGTTAGTGTTCTCATGAGCTCCAAATTAGCCACAGACTTCACTTCACCGTCTTCTTCATCGTTCAGTGCAGCGTCACCGTCTGCTCGGACTCCACTAATGTGAGAAAATGTTCTGGCTAAGTTTCTAATTTCATTGGAAACCTCATTATCGTAACCTTTGTAATTATTTGCAGCTTCCTCTTCACCATCTAAATCTTCCTCGCGGTAGACTGAGTTGCCCGCTGGGTGTGCAGTGGGAGGATCATGAATCGAAACCATCTATTTTAGTATCTCTCTAAGTCTGAATGGTTTTCAAGATATTCAGAAAACGAAAAGCGATCGCAAAAAAGAAAGTATTTTGAAATTAAGAACATTCAGCCAAATAATAAATACATGAAGAAAAGTCAGTACCGGCTTCAAATACACTGACAATAACACACTAGCCATACTGAAAGCCCTGGCATATGTGCACAAGTTACCGTATGTGGGCTGATTTATGTAGCACGCATCACACATCTGGAAATTCGTGCCAATCACCTTAGCAAAGAAAAAAACCAAATGCAACCAATGCGGCTTTAGATTGGAAGAGTGGTGTTTATCCCGAGGTCCAAACCATCTTAGTACTGGCCGGTAACATGAGGGTCAAAAGTGTAATAAAGTATAATCTGTTGCGATGTAGTTATAGTTCTCGTACACTGTTCAACCATATGTTCTCCTTTGAACTGATGAGCAAGGGGTAGGTAGCATCTGGGACTAAAAAAGCACACTAGCGAAACATTTTTTTGACGTTCTAAAGGTAAATGCAAAATGTTAGGTGACGACTCTCGACCAATATGGTGGTATTCGTGACTGCATCAAACTAGACGAGGAAATACACACCTGGTCTTGTTCCATATGGGACAAGGACTTGCCCAAGCGCTTTTATTATGAAAAACGTTGTGATGATGTTTGTATTTCATTTCAGCACTTCTGGTGCGGAAATACGAGATGATCGTGCATAATCATCACCATCTACTGCATATTCCGCTCCCATTCTTTGTGGAGAACGCAGCTCGAAATATTTTGTCTGGAGATAAGAACAGCTTGATGCGTACTATGTTCAGTATTCAATAATCCAGGGACATGGTTTACAGGTGCAATGCAGTCCAATTAAGTTAACTAAATGGCTTAAAAATGTTTTCAAATAAAAATGTAGAAGAAATGTCATTTACCTTACGCTCAAGTCTATCTCATCTTCTGCTTGCTTCCTTTTGGAACTCTTGTAAGCCAATAAAAAAATATAGTTCCTGCGATATTTATAAAGATGAAAGCAGAAAATATCCCAATATCTCTTTTTCTTTTATCATAATACGCATGAACGGTACTCAAGAACGTGTCCGTTGAGCTAAGTGCGCAATATTGGCAAATTCCTGTAGTACTTGAATCAACCAAATACCCACCTGCGAAATCTATATAATTCTTCATGTACTCACCACAGGTTTGACCGTCGGTAGGATAAAATTTCGATAACTCAGTCAGATCGCATTGTACTTCAGCTCTAGCGAGCCCAATTGATAACATTGCCGAAACACAATAAGTAAATGGATTGATTCTATACATAAATATCCAAAATCCCGGCAATGGTGAAGCCGCAGATAGTACACCACAAAATATTAAGCACATAGTAAACAAAAGGGAACTCAAATTTGCAGCATTGTCAGCAAGCTCATTGAATGAAATACACAATTGACCCATAGTAGAGGCATACACATAAAATATTACAGCCGTGAGCCACATCAAGGCTCCTCTTTCGTGAACATCGTGTGTCAATTTCCCATTTCGATATAATCCAATAGGATAATACCAACAGAAAAACGATAAAGTACCAGCGAAAATTTGCCATGGAATTTCAACTGTGATTTGAGCCGCTATGAATGTTTGCCAGCTGAAAGTCTTGGATGGCCTTTCTCGAACTTCGTATAAGTCTCTCTGGGTAACAAACTGCGGCAAATATTGCTGAACCAAGGTATTAAAAGCAACAAGAAATGTGAATATAGAAAACATCTGATTTTGTAAACCCTGTATAGTCTTTTCAGCATTGAAAAACGCAAATCCGTTGTATAGCGCAGTTATAGCTGATAACAAAATTTTTGAGTACGTGTAAGAAGGTGTTCGCCAATATTGTTCAAACAATCTTTTAGTGACGACAAGGTACTGGAACCAGAATGGTGTTGCAAATTCTTTTAAATTTTCTGGATTATCATCAACTGGCTTTTCGATAAGTTCCTGTTCCATTCTGTCAAGTTCTTTGTTGATAAGAATGTACTCATCTGAGTTCCGCCAAACTTCAAAATAATCTTGTGTTGCTTTAGACCCAGGTGCTGCACCAATTACTTCGAGCATCCACTCAGCAGGATTGGCCTCTGGCGGACATGGGTGACCCCCGTACTTTTCAAAATAATCAATTAAAGTTTGGCAGTTTTTTCCTAAATCTCCGAAGTACACAGTTTCACCCCCTTTCTGAAGAAACAATAATCTGTCGAACTCTTGAAGTAGTATAGCCGAGGGTTGATGGATTGTACATAAAATAGATTGTCCGTGATCTGCTAGCTTTCTGATTAATTTACAGATAGACCAAGCAGTTTGTGAATCTAGACCAGAAGTAGGTTCATCTAAAAATACTAAAAGCTTCGGCTTAGCGACTAGTTCAACTCCGATTGTCAATCTTTTACGTTGCTCGACGTTTAATCCTTCTCCTGTTACACCAACTACAGCATTGGCATATTTTTCCATTTCAAGTAACACTATAATCTGGTCAACGTAGGCATCTTTTTCCTTCTTAGATACTGATTTAGGTTGACGCAAATACGCAGAAAACGTAAGAGCTTCACGAACGGTGGATGTCGTTAAATGTAAATCTTGTTGCTGAACGTACCCAATTGACCTTTGGAAAGATGAATCTGTCGAGTGTCCGTTGACCATACGAACACCTGAAGTGATCTCTCCACTCGTCAATCTCTCAGATAACGCATTAAGTAAGGTAGTCTTACCAGCACCAGAAGCACCCATCAACGCAGTGACTTGACCAGGCTTAACCCATCCGTCGATATTGTTAAGAATAACTCTATTTTCCTTTTGAATCTTTACTTCATATGTTAAACTTCTCCAGTGGAAAATATTTGACTGAATTGGCAAGCCAATTACTGAACTTGAATCAGATCTTGAATTTGAGTCTTCTATTGGTGTCAGTTCATTTTCGGGCAGAACCTTTTCTACTAAGATCTTTCCCGAATTAGCTCCATTTGACTCTATGTCTTGTTTACGAACCTGGCGTCTCAACTTCTTTAGTTCTCGCTTCTGGAACAATAAAATTTCACCTTTTTGCATCGCACCTTTGTTATATTCACAGGTAACAATATATGTTATAAGAAAGAAAATGGTGTAAGCTAGTAAAATCCCAAAATTTCTCCATTTGTTTTTATTATAATACTCGTATGCAGTGTTTATATAAGCATCACCATTAACATAGTGACTACCCAACACCGCACCAACTTGAGGACAAATATAATTATCATCTCCTACAATATTCGTATAATTTCCACCTGTTGGAACAAATGCAGAACATTCAAATTCACGTTCGTGAAATTCATTTGAAATAAGTGCTTCAAATGCATAAGCTACGGGGTCAATATAATTTATCCATCGGCACCAACCATGCATCTTGGGAGTAGGAATAACAAATCCAGTAAAAAAGGTAAGTGAGTATAGTAAGATGGACGCTGGAGTCATAGCCTGCGACAATGTCTTAAACGACGCACCTATTGTTCTGAAAAGGTGTGACATTGCTAGGGTAGCAAAGAAGTTTATCAATAAGTAAAAGAAGAAATGGCCGGGCTCTCTTCTGAAGTTAATCATGAAGTATAAAACTAAATTAAATGCTATGCATACCAGAATCTTTGCTGGTAATTCTGTAATAATGGACGCTAAGGCATCTGCAGAAGGGTGGTACAATGCATACTTTTTATGTTTCTCGACTATGGGGCGAGCTTCATAAAGTGAAAATATTTCCAACATGGAAGCGAATGCATTAAATAACACGGCAAAAAATAGGCCTGCACTTCTTGAGTAGAAAGATTGAGTATTGGGTTGCAAGTTGTAGAAGACAGACGACAATATCAAGCCCATAACTGTGTTCCCTACGACGTTGAAGATGGTAATGGAAGGGTCACCTTTTATTCTTCTAAAATTACGAAATATGATGTATTTCACTTGCATGAAATATGAAACAGTCATAGGTGAATTTCTTCGTAAATTATTGGATTGCTTGGCTCTATGAGCTTGAGCAAAATGGGAGCTTGCTTCTTTTCCATTCACGGCTAATAGGTACTCATCCACTTCTTTAGCTACTTCAAGTCTCTCAGGTGAGTTATTCCAATACTCATAAAACTCAAGAGGTGTTCTGGGAACTTTATTTTCATAGCCCTTCTTCACAATCCGTTCCACAGGGTTGGTCAAAGATGTTAAAAAATCTGCAGTTGTTTGGCGTTGAGGGCATTCATAACCCATTTCCAAAAAATACCGCTTTGCTACTCTAGAGTTTCCAAAGAATATTTGATATCCATCATAAAGTACAATTACTTTGTCAAACAAATCGTATGAATCTTGAGAACACTGATAAATTGCAATCAATGGTGTTGATTGCAATACAGTCGCAGAAACTTTGAGCGCTTTAAGAAATTCTAATGCAGTGGCTGAATCCAAGCCTCTCGTAGAATTATCCCAACATTGTAGGGCCGATCTAACTAAAGCAACTTCTGCAATTGACACTCTCTTCCTTTCCCCTCCGGAAACACCTCTAATGAAATCATTTCCTACCTTTGTATTTCGAGTGTGAGATAAGCCGTATGCTGCCATGACCACGGCTGCCATGTGCTTGGCATACATTTCTCTTGAAACTCCTGGTGGTCTGTTCTTTGGAGTTTTCATTCTTGCAACAAATTCCAATGTGATCCCTACACTTAATTGTGGAAAATGATTCTCAGTTTCTGCACAATACGTTACATCACCCCTGAAGTGCTTTTGAATTTGCTTAGGGGTGATTCCATCATAGGAAATTATAGATTTTGGGTCGACGTTGAAACCGTAAGTCTGATTGGCAATAGTTTTCAAAAAAGTTGAACATCCAGCGCCGGGTCTACCTAGCACTACGGTTAACTCACCGGGCTTTACAATGCCTTCCATGGGTTTTAAGATGTCAAAATAAGTTCCTTGGCTGAACCGGAATAGTTTTCGTAACCCTCTTTCAGTATATTTCAATAAAAAGTTAGAAAAAGTCGACTGGTAATCAGAATCTGTTGCGATTCCGTATGCTCTTAAATTCTTGTAAGCGACCCCGAGTTTAGCTGGTCTATAAAAGTCTACGTCAGAGTCCATGAGTTTTCTCATATTCAATACCCAGAACTTGGAGTCGAATTCGGAAGAGTTGGGGTCTAACCTTGGGTCAATGACATCCTTTGACATAGGGATAGCGCCAGGTACGTCTGATAAGCTCGTAAGAGTGCGCATAAGTTCCAAATTTGCAGTCGATTTCACCTCTCCATAATCTTCATCTCCAATTGATCGTTCATTCACTAGTGATCTTGCTAGATCTTTAATTTCGTTAGCAGTACCTGCATTGAAACCATCATACTCTTTTGCACTTTCATCGTCTGGTTCATCATACCTATCGTTAGATAGCGGTTCCTTGTTGATCTGGAAGGACAGTGAACTCATTATTCAGAGCAGCAAAATTGATTTTGAGACAGATTAAATAAAATGGGAAGAAAGTTCAAAAATTGCTACATTTGAAACTCGAAATAATGATTTATATAACTTTCTGGATACCATCCCCGTATTTCCCCGGACTTAGAAATTAAGCTATTTGCTTTTGAATAAAGGTGGAGTTGAAGCCCAGAGGAAAAAAAAAAATGTTACACATATGTCACATATTCGAGAGATGTCACTCGAAAATCGATAATAAAAACAAAAAAAAAGGTCGATGAAAAGGTTTGTGCGCTCCTAGTCAGCCTCATAAAATTGCAATATGGCTGGCAAGAAGCGGAAGAATGAGTATGTAGATCCTTTCAAAGCATTTGAGATGGAGCGCGAAGCAAACACACAGCGTTTGTTGAAAGACAGGAAGTTAGTTATCAATAGAGGGGCAACAGCCGCAAACTCTGGTACTACACCTGAAACACTTGTTGGTAAGTCCAGAAATACAAGTTCAAGGAATCAGCAACCACAACCACAACATAAACAGCCAATAGATAGTTCTTCTCTGGGATGCAAAACTCCTACGGATGAAAGTAAAATATCTATGTCTAACATTAGAGAGACTATATTTACACTCCATACAAATCCGGACGCTTCAACTCGTCCTCGAGCGCCTTTTTCTGAGGCACATGCTGAGTGCGTAAACCCCACGATAAATCCGACCGGCAGGAAAGAAAAGACTCGAATTGGAGTTCAAAAGCTTGGAAGTCTAATTAGGAAGTCCGAAATTTCTAAAGCTGCTTCAAAAACGGGAGCGCATGCAAGAGTTAATCATTTCATCGAGCAATTGCTTTTTCATTTCAGCTTCTCGGAAGCGCAGCTGGTTACCAAGTATCTAGTATATTCAAATATATATAGACTAATAGCTTGGTTTAAAAATAATCGGTTTGAATTTATTAATGTGCACGACAACATTGATGATCTAAGAGATGCTGCCCAGTATAAGCTAATGGCACCAGAAATGAGGCCTCGACTAGAAACGTCTCTCAAAAATTTGCTAGCAAAAGCAACTGAAAAAACTGATAATGGAGAAAACACTATAATTTCCCGCGTCCTTAACATGAGGTATATTCCGAAGGATCTACGCAGGAACAAAGAAGAAGCACCTCCAACTCATATAGTAGAAGGCGCGAAAAGAGTAGGTATATATATGGTTGGCGCAAAGTTGAAAGATATTCAAACCAAGGAGTCTCTTGCTGTGCTATTGATGAAACCAGGTAGCAGAATAAATTTTTTAGTTGGTGATTTGCTTAGCTTACCTGACAAGCCTAAGTATACTCAACTCATTGATGAGAAAGAGTTTCCGGTATACTTGACTTTTCAGATATTTCGGGAGCCTAGTAGTAATCATTAGAGTTCAATTCGTAGTTCAAGTAAGTTGGGCGAGAATTGATAGTCCACCGTTTGACTCCGGTTTCGATCTCTGTGGTTTACCCTCCCCACACTTTATAAGCCCTTCAGAAAAGCGAAGGTCACCGCGTAAAAAATATTTTTTAAACAATTAGTATAAATGCAGAAGCAGGCAAGGATGAAACCGAAATTAAGTTTGTTTTCTGTAATCGGTGGTATAGCTAAAAATGTTCTCAAAGGCAGAATTAGAAGTAAATTTATTTGCTAAGAGCCATTTTGGACCAAATGATATTGTTAAAGGTGAGGTAGTGGTGACAGCTAAGAAAAGCTTCTCTCTAAATGTATTGCAATGTACGTTTCGCGGTGAAGTGGTGCTTACCATGAAACGTACTACAGAAGGGAAGTATATTGGGGAGAGCTATATTCCACCACTGAAAGAAACTCTTGTTGACAACCATCTTCTAATTAATAATGATATAGATTTAGGAGTAGGATCTGAGAGTGTGATAATGAATAAGGGGGATTCAAGGAGCTTTAAATTCGAGTTTGTTTTTCCCGAATTCGTCAAATGTCACAAATGTCACGAGGGTACTAGATTACCATCTACCAATTTTAGTGCAGGTGGCAGTGATAATGGGGTGGATTGCCGAGTAGTTGTAACATATACGCTAAATGCCACCGCAGAGCCGGACTCAACTCTTGGAAAAGTGAGAGGAGGAGCACTGTTGAAATTTACTCAAACCGGAGATGAGAAATTAATGCTTTACACGGATATTGCCCTGTCTTATAGGAATGTGCAACTATGGGAAGGTAAAATTAAAAAGTTTGTTGATCTGAACTACGAAGATTATGGGGAGGAGAATGTTGCTACTGAAGGAGTTGAGTGTATTAGGAATCCTCTTGATGAAGCTCACAATCATAGTAGGTCTATAAGGAAATTTTTTAATAGTAGCTACAAGAAGGAGAATTATAGTAAGCTAGTTGGAGATGTCGGTTTGGAACTTGAGCTTTTTGTAATGAATAGGGTAATTTATGCTTCCCAAGATGTTCGAGATTGCTTTTCTTTAGTATTCCGAACAAGGGCGCCCTATTTTCAGCCGGACTACTTACTTTACTCTAAAAAATCCTCTCAGTTAGGTCTTTTTTCAATAAGATCGGCCACAATAGCACTTATCAGAAAGTACACCATTACAGCTAACGTTATGACAAGAACTTTTGAAAAAAGGACAAATCTCATCACGAAAAGGTATGGACACGAGCTCACTTTTGACATAGTTGACTTTACACCTAACTACCAAGACCCTACTTTATTGGAATGGGCTATACCATTGAAAGAGATACTATTTCCTGAGGAAATTTTGATCACATCTAACATCTCTAACTACAGGCCAAACTACTTGAGTGGTTGCGGTACAATAGACATAACTCACCAATTAAATGTAACTTTGGGTGTGTCTGAAGATTTTGAAGCCACTCCAAAATCAATTGAGTTCGTATATGATATTAAAGTGATGTAAATTAGAGCCTATCATAAGTTCAAGAAACTAAGAAGATATATTCATTTCTGTTTTGAAGTTATAGTACATAACAGGGCTCGTATGATCATAATTTTTCCAATTTTTTTGTATTTGGTTTTATGGTTTATATGGTACCATTGTCCAAAGTATTTTTTTCTTCCTAAGTGTAATCAAAATTGCACAAGCAGCAATATTCGCTTAAACTTCCTCACCACTAAGCCCCTTCGGATGAAAGGTCACTCGCATAAAAAATATTTTTTAAACACTTTAACTATAAATGCAGAAGCAGAAACGGCTGAACCGAAATATGCTCTACTTCTTATATATGGTGGTATAGCCTAAGATGTTCTCAAAGGCAGAAGTAGTAATAGTTCTAACTGGTACGAACCATTTTAGACCAAACGAAATTGTGAAAGGTGAGGTAGTGGTGACAGCTAAGAAGGACTTCTTTCTTGACGTATTGGAATGTGTGTTTCGTGGTGAATTGGAGATTTTTATGAAACGTTATGTAGAAAAGAGGCAGGGACTAAATAATAGGAGATACACTGAAACTTACTGTGACAACCATCTTTTGATAAATAATTATGTGGATTTGGGAGTAGGATCTGATGGCGTGATGATGAATAAGGGGGATTCAAAGAGCTTTAAATTCGAGTTCATTTTTCCCGAGTTTGCTACTTGTAGAAGTTGTGGAAGAGGTACTAGATTACCGTCTACTAATTTTAGTACGTTTGGCAGTGTGGATAATGTAATTAGTACATTTGGCAGTCTGGATAGTGTAGAATGCCGAGTATCTGTCGCATATACGCTAAATGCCTCTGCAGAGCCGGACTCAACTTTTGGAAAATCGAGAGGAAGAGCACTTTTAATTTTTACTCAGACCGGGGATAAGAAATTAATGCTATACTCGGATAATGCCCTGTCTTATAGTAATGTGCAATTATGGAAAGGTAAAATTAAAAAGTTTGTTGATCTGAACTACGAAGAGTATGGGGAGGAGAATGTTGCTACTGAAGGAGTTGAGTGTATTAGGAATCCTCTTGATGAAGCTCACAATCATAGTAGGTCTGTAAGGAAACTCTTCAATGGTAGCTACAAGAAGGAGAATTATAGTAAGCTAGTTGGAGATGTCCGTTTGGAACTTGAACTTTTTGTAAAGAATAGGGTAATTTATGCTTCCCAAGATGTTCGAGATTGTTTTTTTATAGTAATTCGAACAAGGATACCCCATCTACAGCCGAACTACTTACTTTACTCTAAAAAATCCTCTCAGTTAGGTCTTTTTTCAATAAGATCGGCCACAATAGCACTTATCAGAAAGTACACCGTGACAGCTGAGGACATGAGAAGGACTTTTGAAGAAAGGACAAATATTATCATGAAAAGATACGGACACGAGCTTACGTTTGACATAGTTGACTTTACACCTAACTACCAAGATCCTACCTTATTGGAATGGGCGATACCATTGAAAGAAATATTATTTCCTGAGAATGTTTTGATCACATCTAACATATCTAACTACAGGCCAAACTACTTGAGTGGTTGCAGTTTACTAGACATAACTCACCTATTAAGTGTAACTTTGAGTGTGTCTGAAGATTTTGAGGACACTCCAAAATCAATTGAGTTCGTATATGCTGTTAAATTGATGTAAACTAGAACCTATCATAAGTTCATAAGAAGACATATTCATTTCTATTTTAAAGTTGTAGTCATAAAAGCACTCGTATGATCAATAATTTTCTGAATTTTTTGTATCTAGGTATCCCATTACTGAAAAAAGCAAGTAAAGTCACATAGAATAATCCTGTGGTTGTTACAAAAATGTACTGGATTGTTAGGCGAGGAGTGATAGCCCACCGTTTGGCTTTGTCTGCGATGTGATGAGCTCTGAGGTTTACCCCGCGCGGCTGAGCTTTTAATGGAACACTAGTACTTAGTGACCTCGAATTCTTTGCTACGCATCATCGCGTAAAAAAAATAATTTATACGAGACAAAATTTACCAAAGTAGCTGAAATTCATTGTAGAACGATATTCTTCTAGGACGTTGGTATGTGCAGTTCAGTCTTCTGATCAACGTTGTAAACAGAATTCAAGTAAAATTCTTTCAAGCTAGGTTTTCAAGTATAAGGAAGACCAATTGCCTTACAGCATCTCAGTAGAGTTCAAGTAATAGATCAACACAATTGTATAAACATTTTGTTTGGCGTTGTAAGAATTATTAGATTAGATGAATATTAATGGAAGGCAACTGTGCCACTGTCCAAATTATTGCTTTCGTCCTAAGTGTAATCTTTTATTTTACAAGCAGCAATATTTCACTCAAACCACCTACCCACGATTTTTTTAAGCCCCTCAGATGACCGAAAAGCGAGTGTCACTTGCATAAAAAATACTTTTTAAACAATTCAGTATAAATGCAAAAGCAGGGAAGGCTGAATCCGAAAATATGTTCGTTTTCTGTAATTGGTGGTATAGCTAAAAATGTTCTCAAAGGCAGAAGTAGAAATAGTTTTAGCTGGTAAGAACCATTTTAGGCCAAATGATATTGTGAAAGGTGAGGTAGTGGTGACCGCAAAGAAAGACTTCTCTCTTAATGTATTGCAATTTGTATTCCGCAGTGAATTGGTAAATACTATGAAACAAGTAATTGAGGCAAGTCGATTACATACTGGTGAAATTCTTTCATCGCGGGTTCAAACTCATACTGACAGGCAAATTTTAATTAATAATAATATTGATTTGGGAGTAGGGTTGGATGATGTGAATATGAATATGAAAAAGGGGGATTCAAAGCGCTTTGGCTTCGAGTTTCCATTTCCTGAGTTTGCTACCTGTAAAAGTTGTGGGAGAGGTACTAGATTGCCATCTACCAATTTTAGTACAACTAGCACTGTGAATTCATTGGGTTGCAAAGTTGCTGTAGTCCATTTTTTAACTGCAACTGTGGAGCCAAGTTCAAGTCTAGGAAAAGGACAAGCTGAAATTTTTTTGAGGTTTAGACAAACCGGGGATGAGAATTTATTGGTGAACTCGGAATCATTGTCTTACAGGAGTGTGCAATTATGGGAAGGTAAAATTAAAAAGTTTGTTGATCTGAACTACGAAGATTATGGAGATGACAATGTTGCTACTGAAGGCGTTGAGTGTATTGCGAACCCTCTTGATGAAGCTCACAATCATAGTAGGTCTATAAGGAAATTTTTCAATAGTAGCTACAAAAAGGAAAATTACGGTAAATTAGTTGGAGATGTCGAATTTGAGCTTGAACTACTTGTAAAGAAGAAGATAGTCTACGTTAAACAAGATGTTCGAGATTTTTTTTCGTTGACATTTCGAACAAGGGTGCCCTATTTACAGCCTGACTACTTGCTCTACTCTAAAAAATCCTCTCAGCTAGGTCTTTTTTCAATAAGATCGGCTTCAATAGTACTTATCAGAAAGTACTTGATTACTGCTAACAGTCAAGAGGGAGTTTTTGAGCAAAGGACAAACCTCTTCAACACAAGGTATGGACATGAACTCACCTTTGACATAGTTGATTTTACACCCAATTACCAAGATCCCACTTTGTTGGAATGGACTATACCAATAAAAGAACTACTATTTTCAAAGGAAATTTTGTTTTCATCAGATAAACCTAACTACGTGAATGGTTGTGGTAAGCTAAATATAAGCCACTATTTAAGCGTGACTTTAAGCGTTTCAGAAGATTTTGAGGCCACTCCAAAACCAATTGAGCTCGTATTTGATATTAAAGTGATGTAAATTAGGATAAGTTCAAGAAACTAAGAAGACATATTCATTTCTATCTTAAAGCTGTTGTACATAAATGGACTCGAATGATCAATAACTCTCTGATTTTTTTGTATTTGTTTTTAATCGTATCACTGTACAAAGCATTTCTTTCTTCCTGAGTGTAATCAAAATTATAAAGCAATACTTCACAAACCACCTACCTTTCTAAGCCCCTTCAGATGACCGAAAAGCGAAGGTCACTCGCATAAAAAATATTTTTTAAACAATTTAACTATAAAGTAGAAGCAGGAACGGCTGAAACCGAAAGTATGCTCTACTTCTTATATATGGTGGTATAGCCAAAAATGTTCAGAAAGGCAGAATTACAAGTAAAATTAGCTGGTAAAAACCATTTTAGACCAAATGAAATGGTGAAAGGAGAGGTAGTAGTGACGGCTAAGAAGAACTTCACTCTTAACGTATTACAATGTACGTTTCGCGGTGAAGTGGTGATTACCATAAAGCAACGAATAGAATCGAGGGGGGGAGTAGCTTCAGAGAGAGTCCCAGGTCACACTGAAACTTATTGTGACAACCATCTTTTGATAAATAATTATGTAGATTTGGGAGTAGGATCTGAGGGGGTGATAATGAATAAGGGAGATTCAAGGAGCTTTGAATTCGAATTCGTTTTTCCCGAGTTTGTTATTTGTCACAAATGTCACCAAAGTACTAGATTACCTTCTACCAATTTTAGTACGGTTGGCGGTGTGGAAAATGTAAATTGCCAAGTATCCGTAGCATATGTCTTAACTGCCACTGCAGAGCCGGACTCAACTTTTGGAAATGCACAAGGAGAAATTAGTTTGATGTTTACTCAAACCAGGGATGAGAATTTAATGCTATTCACGCACATTGCCCTGTCTTATAGGAATGGGCAAGTATGGGAAGGAAAAATGAAAAAGTTTGTTGATCTGAACTACAAAGATTACGGGAAGGAAAATGTTGCTACTGAAGGAGTTGAGTGTATTAGGAATCCTCTTGATGAAGCTCACAATCATAGTAGGTCTATAAGGAAAATTTTTAATAGTAGCTACAAGAAGGAGAATTATAGTAAGCTAGTTGGAGATGTCGGTTTGGAACTTGAGCTTTTTATAAAGAATAGGGTAATTTATGCTTCTCAAGATGTTCGAGATTGCTTTTCGTTAACATTTCGAGCAAGTGTACCCCATCTACAACCGGACTATTTGCTTTACTCTAAAAAATCCTCTCAGTTAGGTCTTTTTTCAATAAGATCGGCCACAATAGCACTTATCAGAAATTATACCGTTACAGCCAACGTTATGACAGGGACTTTCCCACAAAGGGCAAATCTCTTCAACAAAAATTATGGACACGAGCTCTCGTTTGACATAGTTGACTTTAAACCTAACTATGAAGATCCTACTCTATTGGAATGGACTATACCATTGAAAGAAATATTATTTTCAAAGGAAATTATTATCTCCTCTACTAAAGCTACCTACAAGCCTAACTACTTAAGTGGTTGTGATATTCTAGGCATAGCCCACCAATTAAGTGTAACTTTAAGTGTCGCTAATGATTTTGAAGAAACTCCAAGACCAATTGAGATCATATATGATATTCAAGTCATGTAATTACAACCTATCATAAGTTCAAGAAACTAAGAAAAGACATATGCATTTCCATTTTAAAATTTTAGTACATAAAGTGACTTGTATGATCAAAACTTTTCTGTCTTTGAAATCATTAGATGACCAATCGCAAAAATCTATCCCCAAAATACCATCTTTATGGTGATAAGCAAGTAAATAGCAAAAGTCAGGTAGAATAGCCCAGCAGCTGTTTTAGAATAGCTCACAGAAATGTACTGGAATGACTTCAGGATCAAGTGACGATATTGAGGTGATGCTAAGGAATAAAATACTGTAGTTATCAATATGAAAAGGAATGAAACTCCAGCTGAGACTTGTCTTAAAACTTTCAGATTACCCTTAATATAGTTCTGTATGGTCAATCCGAGAGTGACACTGAAAAACAATAAGCTTAGAACAAAAAATGGCTGAATTACCTTGTTAGCATTATATGAAGTTTTCATGTCCATCGAACTATCTATTTGCCAATAGGAACCCGAACCTAGGTACGCCTCTAGATTCGGAAGTACAATCTTAATGCTGGAATTTACTTTCATAACATCATTATTTATAACTTCTACTAGGTTCAATGCATCGCTGGTACTCTTTTGAGGTCCTACTGTGAAGTTATTAATATCCCCATCTTTGCTAACATCCCATTTCAACCAATTCCAGAGCCCCACTTGATAAACTCCATAAATATTTAATGATTCTCTGGAATAAGAATCTGAAGATGTATCATTTGTAGGTATCAAGTATACGTAGGACTTGTCTTCGTAATTAACCTTCGACTCTATGAATCTAGCGTTAGAAAAATCAAATTCAAGTATGAAAGCCCATTTCATGGGTTTGCTCACCGAGCTTATAGTTAATAACAACAAAGATACGAAGATGTAAAACAATAGGAGGATGTTGAAGCTTCGAGATTTAAGCTTTGGAAGTTTCTTGAACTTTTCGTATTTAGTAGGATCATGAAGCTTATATGCTTTTTCTTCCTGCACTTTTTCTATGTCTATTGGATTACCCATTTTGCTTGGTGTATATTTTTTGCAAGAAACTAAATAAAATGGATAAACGCTCCCCTTGCCTTATATATGTAAAGAACTATTCAGCCACTATCTAGCCGCTAACTCGGAACATCATCTCTATTGTTCCACTCTTGGGTTCATTAGATTGTAGTTGTTTGTTTCCTGAAATCATGCATCAGATTCAGTGATACATTGACTATTGTTAGATTTCGGCGTCTTATTGATTGAGGTACCATTACATCATCATCTCCGAGTTTCTCGTATTTTTTATTTAATCTCAACCACGAAATATCCAAGTAGGTTGAAAACGTGATCATTCATGATGCCCATATGCAATTAAGAATGATTTCTTGCTTCCCTTTGAAGAATCGGTCCATAGTGATAAAGCCGATTACTTTTCGTCAATCTTATTTTTTTCACTATTTCCACGTTCCACGGGGTCATGGATATTTCCCCATTGACTTATGTGGGCATGGGAGTAGTGATTGATTACACCAGTAGGTAAGCTTGGCAATTCTCCTTGCAGTGAATTTTCAAGTCGGCTCTTTTTGAGTCGGCTATTTTGTTTTCTTTATGGTTCCTGTTCCAAGTATGAGAGAAAGGTATTGGCAGTAATTTGCCAAATTTGGAGCTCTTTACACTTCTCTACAAAACAGGTCCTGAAAGATAAAACTCATCTGCGAAAACGAATTCCCACTCATTTTTTTTTTTTCACTGAACACATTAATAATACATATTTTAGCCAAAATGTTTTACATAGGAGCTTACAATGTTAACTTATGTGCTGCAAGGGCTGAACATGAGTGTTCTATGGTCTGAATTGGTGGTCTGCTCTCAAGTGACTTGAAAATTAGTAATCTCAAATTATTTGTAATCTGCTTATTCTTCTCAGTACAATTTTCGGAGATAGTTTTTCATACCGAGCACAATTATGTCAGATATGAAAATGATAAATAGACACGAATTGGTTGCCATTTCTATCATTCAAAGATCAAAATATACTATCTCTCTCTATAAATACTAAAATGACACAATTGGTCGACAACGAAAACTTGAACAGATTTTTGAACGGATTTTACAGGGAATCTGACGTAAAGCCTCCTGTAGAAAATGACCCATACTTGTCTTACTTAACAAATGAAGCCAAGTTGGTAATGGGTAGCACGGTGTTCGATGGAAAAGCTGAAATTGCTCAAATGAGACAAAACATGTGGACAAAGGTAACTAAGAGACATCATGTTGTGGAAAAGGTGGCCTTCGTTAATCCAAAAGAAGTGTTATTGACTGGGTACGTGGAATACACTTTATTCAATGGGAAGACTTTGACAAGTGCTTTTGCAGGTAATGCGGTTTTCGAAAACGATGATTTCAAAAAAATGTCGTTATATCATGTTTACCTTGATACTGCTCCTATGGCTGCTGCTTTATCTAGTTAATGAATGAGCACAATTATATGCATAGCTGTTTAGATTGTAGGAAAAGAAAACTGATCGTTTAGTTGCATCTCTTCTTCTGTTAGCTAAGAATATGCGGCTGGGCTTAGTTTTTGTGGGGTAGCGTATGCTCATTGAGTTTTAATTAAAGGCATACGAAGTGAGTTTTTTTTTTTTTATTTTAAATTGTTCCTAAGCAGATCCTTAGAGAGAGCCAGGTATCCTGCTGAAGTTACCATTGGAATCACGTATAAATAAATGAAGTATAGGGGGAGCTTGGTCAGTACTTTCTTGTCAGGAATAGAAGATTTCAGATAACATAAATGGTTCCGTCTGAGACAAAAGCCCCAAAAATGTATTATCGAATTTCATTCATGGCAGTTGTAGATTAAATAGAGTAGTAAGGATTGAAATTCGCAATTTTGTCTCGCATTATGCCAATCGTCTTAGTGCCTTGGTAGATTTCTTTCTTTAGATAATTAGTATATGCAAGCCAAAATCCCTTAGGTTTTATGTACTAAGGCTTTAATTAAAAGGATGCAAACGCTGATTAAAGTATCATTATTCAAAAATTACAGATCTACTGAGATCAACATTAGTTCTACGTCTTGAAAAGAAATATCTAAATCCATATCGAATTAGTATATAAAGTACGCCCATGTCCGTGAGATTAGTAATAAACAAACGCTTCTTAGAAACTTAAGAAAAATGATCACCAGCTTTTGGAATCATAAAATCTTTAGCTTTCAACAGTTTAACAAGGAAGTTAGGGACACTCCAGCCAAACATCAACCCAATACCTCCCTTCTTGGAGATTGGAATAAGAGTTGTCGTTTTTCCTCTCGCATAGGCAAGTAAGCTAACATCTTGATTGAAGATATTCTTTTTGACTGTTTGAGTGAATGGTTTAGTTTGCAGAAGTTTGATATCAACAACGGTCTTCTCAGTAATGGATGCAATATCTCCAAAGCCAATAACTTCAGGGTGACCCTCGACGACTAAGTTTTCATTGACGACGAGATATCCTGAGTCGTTTAAATATTTAGAATCGATGAACGATGAATTAGGATATAATCCATAGGATGGAATATAGAGGTCGAATTTTTCAGTCGAACCATCGTCAAATGAAATATTAGAAGCACCAGTTTCAGAGGTATCTATCGAGCTAAACTTCTTGTTGTTAACAATTTTAACTCCAAGGTCCTCTAACTTTGAAGTGGCAGGGGCTGACTTACCAATCCCAGCCAAAGGACCAGTTGTACCCGTGAATAAGGTAACATTTTTCTTGGGGTAGGTGTATGCAATTTCTGCAGCTGTTTCAACTCCAGTGGCCCCACCTCCTAAAATGGCGATGCTTCCTGAATCTTTAATTGTCTTGTTTAACTGTTTAACAGCATTTCTAGATTCAACATAGTCACCGTCTAACTTGAAAGCTGGATTGTCAGCACGAGAACCAGATGCAACGACTAAGTAATCGTACTTCAACTTCTTCCCTCCAGATAATTCTAATGTCTTGGAGCTGAAATTGGCCTTGTCAACTGAAGCGTGAATGAACTCATATTTGGTTCCATTCGAATGCTTCTTTAAGTACTCTTCAACGGAGAAAAAGACTTTTTCTAAGTGTTCTGGCTCTACAAATAAACGTGGTGAAGATGGATTAGCGTAGAAGTGAGTGGATTTTGAAACAACAGTAACGGAATACTCAGTTTCCTTACCTGTAGCCTTAATTTCCTTGAAGATGGTCTCAAGGGCAACAGCACCGGCATAGTTAGCACCAATAAGAACGATAGACATTTTTTTTCAATGTTATTAATGAGATAAGTCTAAACGGTAGTCGAAATGATAAGATTTAGAATTGTTTATATACATTCGGCGACAGGAGATAACTACTGCAGTAGATGGACAAACTAAGGTGTTAGTAGTGCATATAGTATGAAAAATACTCGCTTAAATCCTTAACTCCAGATGTCAATACTTTAATTAGTAATACAGCCGTATCTCCACTATGGCAGTCAGATTTCTAAATTTTAGTAATTCAGAAGGTGTTACTTCTTTAACACCTTGGAAAGAGGATAGTTACTAAGCCAATGGCACAGTTGTCTGACTAAATGAGTTGTGTCTCAAATTCTTGATTTTTGGAGTTATCAGACCATATTCACTTTCGCTTTTCGTTTTTGCAGCTTTTTTTATGCACATCTAACTTGCATTTGACATATCAAGGTGCATAAAATAAGTAGCGAAATTATTCGAAGGTGTTTACAAGATGTGAATAAGTAGTGGATACAACGATTTAGTGCTGTTTGGTGCTATTATGAAGTCAACATATGTCTACTTCTTTTCTCGGGGCCTCCTTTCTCAAATTCCAAGGACATAATAACGATGGTGAAAAATTACGAGATTTTCATTGGCTTAGAGTAATATTCTAAAAAGCTATTTAGCAATCAATCTCTGCAGATTAGTATGGTGACAAGAACGGGAATTTTGACTCTTAATAACTACTACTCCAAATGCGATTTTTCATACGCGCTATTTGCCATATGTGAGTTGAATCTGGGGGGATTTGACTTTGGAAGTTTTGTATTCTATGTCTTGAAGAAATGCTAACTTCTGCATAAGTTTTGGAAATTATTTCGGTCGAACGTCTTTCCTTGAACATACAGCAATTTAAGTAGGGGAGAAGAATAGATTCCCCGCAGGGTATTTTGTGAAACATATTCAGGCTCTTTGCATCGATAACCTGTCAAATATTGGTGCTTTCAGCAAATTACCGGGTGTCAGATTTACGGTATAACGAAAAGAGTCTGGAAAGGTCAAAGGTTGAATTTGAGGTAGAATTGCATTGGAATTGGACAGAGACTTTGCGGAATCGTGCTCCATTTTAAGGTCGGTGAGAAGATACTGTCTGCAGAGAGGCTAATGGGCAATATTAGTCTATTTAATATTTAAACAAGTCCACAGAGAGGTAAGGCCCACGCTAGTTTTAAAGAAATCGCTATTCTATACGCTAAGCAAAATATGGAGAGCTGGCTCTGTTTCTTCTTCCTCTTCTTTTTTCTTCTTTATTTTGAAGTATTGGTATATTCCAACTCGTGAGATGAACTAATTGCTTGAATAGAAAGACTAGTTTTATCCTTTGAACTATGCGAAAATTTAGGCAGCCTTTTTCTTTTTTCTTGCCCTCTTTTTAACAAATAGAGTACGCCATCTGTGCGGTGATGGAATAATTACCAATTTATCTAGGCACTGTTTCATCACGTACGACGCTTCTTCTCCCTTGATACAGGTTAAGCGCCCCTTGTTTCCACAGAAGAGGATGTTCTCAATTCTTGGTACGAGATAAGCGCCTATTGTATATCACAGAAAGGGGCTGCTCTCTTCTCTTGGTACGAGTTGAGCGCCCGTTGAAGATTGTCGCAGTTCTAAATATTTTATGGTGCATGATGCATACGGTACATCGCATCCACAGTTAGGTTTTGATGAGCATTGAACCACACTTCAAATTAACTTTAAACTTTGATCACTTTGATCTTCATGCAACCTTATTTTCAGTCTCACGACTTCAATCACCGGTGATATATAAGAACTGGTCCTTTAGGTTTTCTATTGCTAAAATGAAAACTAAGGTTATACAGCTTAAGTTGGCCAAATTCTTTATTGCAATACCTTTTGACGTGATTTGAGGCTTAGATTCCGTTCTATAAGTTCACTTCCAGATGCTCCCCTGTAGGACTCGTAAACTTTCTTAGCATGCTTGGCACAAATCACATTTTAGTGACATTTCATGCAAAGTAATTGAAATTGTGGCATAATATTCGCAATTCGATGAGGCTAAAACTTAATGGTCGCAGCTATAACCTTTTATCGGTTAAGTTAGGCATATTCCGAATAGGTAAGCATTCCCTACACTTAGAGCTATAAAAGATGAAGATAATTTGCAACTAAATCATCTTGGTAAGTGTTTCTTTCTGCACAATAAAACATGGCTTCGACTATTCAAGAAAAGGAAGCTGCTACTTTTCAAGATGATGTTGTGTCTGCTTCAAGTCTAGGCTCATCAGAATCTAACACAATCGTGGTAAGCGTTGACAATGGAAAGTTTGAAACAGTGGTAAAGAACTGGACTGATGAGGAAGAGAAGAGAGTGGATAGGAAGATAGATTTCCTAGTGATGCCTTTGTTGATGTTTGCTTTCTTTATATTACAAGTTGATAGAGGAAACATCTCAAATGCTTTGACCTCAACTTTGAAGGAAGATATTGGCTTGGACATTAATAAGGTGAATGCTGGGACAGCTTTGTTTAACGTCGGGATTGTTCTTTTCGAAATTCCAAGTAACATTTTGTTACAAAAATTTGGAGCCGCTAAATGGTTAAGTTTCCAAATTGTCGTCTGGTCGCTCTGCGCTACTTTGCAATCATTGATAACCAATTATAGATCATTCCTTGCAACAAGGTTTTTAATGGGAATGCTCGAATCAGGATATATACCAGGTGGGTTGTACTACATAAGTACTTGGTACACCAGAAAGCAGTTGACTTCTCGTTACACCTACTATTTTGTGGGTAACTTGTCAGCGATTGCATCTAGCTCGCTTATTGCAGCTGGTATTTTGAAAAATGTGGCAGGGAACTCTGGTTTAGCTGGCTGGAAATGGATCTTTATAATTGAAGGCGTGATGGGAATTGGTTACGGTTTAATATTCGCTGCATTATTACCGAATTCACCTACTGATCCAAGACCATTCTGGAAAGGGTTCAGAATGTTTACCGAAAGAGAATCTCAAATAATCAGAGGGAAGGTTCTCTTAGATGATCCAGAAAAGTTGAATGGTTCCGAAAATATCTCATGGTCAGATATCAAGGAGACTATCTCTCAATGGAGGGTGTGGATGCATTTCCTTTTCACCTTATCCTATATGCAATCTGGACAGGCATTGGGTACTTACGTGCCAACTATTGTTAAAAGCTTAGGATATTCTAGTGTTGCCGCTAATGCAATGACTTCCATTGGATATTGGTGTGCAGTAGTAGTAATGATCATTTTGACATTGATATGTAACTATCTGAAGCTAAGGTCACCATCAATTATCTTCCTCGTCATTTGGCAGTTGGCAACTAACATAGGGCTTTACTCAGTCGCTAAAACAAGCAAGTCCAATGCAAAATTTGGACTCTTAGTGTTGTCCTGTATTAGTTCTGTAATTGGACATGTTTTAAACTTAGGCTGGGCTAGTAGCAATGTCAAAACGCCTGTGCATCGTAGTATAACGATGGCGATGATAGTCATGGCTGCAAACATGGCAGGTATTTGCGGTGGTCAAATCTTAAGAACCAATGACTCTCCAAATTATGTCCATGCATTCTTAGCATTGATGATTGTAAGTATATTTACTTTATGTCTTGCTGTATTCATGACGGTTCAATATATATACAGTAATAAGCAGTTGGATTTGAAATATCCAAATTTGGCGATACAAGCTGAAAGTGACCACGAAACTCAGATTGAAAAGGTCTACAATAACAGAATTGTTATTATTGGTAAAAATACCGAGAATTCGAATGTTAAAAGCATTCTTTCAGGAGTCAATACTAATGGCTACTCTATTGAATATGAGAAAGCCAGATCTATTGTTGGTGATGAGCAATTTAGATTCAAATTGTAGGAGTAAGTGAAAGAGGGATATTCAATCCACATTATATAGGTAAAACGTTAATACTTCATTGAAATACAAAAGACAATGTAAAAATCAGCTCTAGACTAAACTGACCGATTTTTAGTGAAAGGAATAGATATTTATATAAGAGACAAAATCCAAAAGAAGAGCCACTATTATGTAAACATTAACACTGTGATGAAATACAAATGCCACACCTTGAGGTACACAGTCTTGATCCCTCTTGACTAATAGGCTGGTATGTTTATGTGAACCCACAGTTAAACAGGTCTCCAATTACATGTAAGCCGATAGAGGAACTAAAAATCATAGTCTTATTAGCGTCTGCGATTACGTAAACTTGCAAAAACAAAATATAACTGGAGTACTATGAAAGAATATGTACTCTTGTTTAATATTTGAATTCGCAAAAGCGAGAAGGCAGCTTTCACCAAATCTCTGTGGTATGGGGAGCTTCATTCTCAAGACACTAGTGGGATCTCTATTTCTTTTATCTTTTCTCTTTATCGATGTAATAGTATTAGTCTATCGCATCATTTAATATAGTTCCATATATTCTACTTCTCTGACCAATTACTGTATGGGAGAAATGTAATGGATAAAGGCGAGTTTGTTCAAGAATTGGCGTGGATATGCGCCGCAAGTGGAATGTTGCAGCAAAAACCTTATTTTAAGGTACATCACGCACAGCGCTACAGCAACGGCTGCAAAGTGTCTAATTCTCGGATAGTGTCAGACTTAGGAAAGATCCTTTCAAGTCGCTAAATAGCAAATTTTGGATTTTCAACTTTTATTTACAAATTTTTCTTACTAAACTGAGCCTGAAAATGTCTACTTCACGAGCGGATACTAAGGTATATTTTTTACTTAGTATAGTCAAATACCAAAGGTAGATCAATATGAGTAAAAGTATGGGTACTTTTTAGATGTATAATTTCGACGTATCCACCATATGTGAATGAAAGCACTTATTTCAATATGGCATGAGTTTGCATCGTTGATCAAAGTAAGAAAAACTTCACCTTTCTTAACATTGTAGTTGCAGTTTAAAAAAGAACATTCAGATGACAGATAATACAATGCACTTAGTTATTACACACATATTTATCGTTCCTTAGCATGATCTCAAACAACGAAGAAGAGGATGTGTCAGCTCTAAGACGTAGCCACATTTCCTCTACAGACTCAGGCTCATCAAATACGAGAACTATCGTTGTTAGTGTAGATGATGGAAAATTTGAGACAGTTGTGAAGATTGGACTGATGAGGAAGAGAAGAGAGTAGATAGGAAAATAGATTTCCCGGTGATGCCTTTGTCGATGTTTGCTTTATTTGTTTTACAAATTGATAGAAGAAATATCTCAAATGCTTTGACCTCAACTTTGAAGGAAAGCTTGGACAACTAGAAGGTAAATTCTGTGACTGGTTGTTTCACGTCGGGATTGTTCTTTTGGAAATTCAAGTAACATTTTATTACAAAGGTTAGATGGTTAAGTTTACAGATTGTCATCTGGTCTTTCTGTGCTACCTTGCAATCTTTGAGAACTAACTATAGATCATTACTTGCTTTTTAATGGGAATGCTCGAGTCGGGGTATATACCGAGTGGATTGTACTACATAAGTACTTTGTACACCAGGAAACAATAAACTTCTCGTTACACCTTCTACTTTATTGGCAATTTGTCTGGTTCTCTAAAAAAGCAGCCGGGATTTTGAAGAATGTGGCAGGTAACTTCGGTTTAGCTGGCTGGAAATGTATCTTCATAATTGAAGGTGTGGTGGGAATTGGTTACAGTTTAATATTCGCTGCATTATTTCCGAACTCACTTACGGATATCAAGGAGACTATTTCTCAATGGGGGGTGGGGATGCATTTCCTTTTCGCCTTATCCTATATGCAAATTGGACAGGATTGGGTTTTTAAAGCTTAGGGTATTTTAGTGTCGCCGCTAACACTATGTCTTCCATAGGATATTGGGCATCGATAATTAAGTGATCATTTTGTCTCTCGTAACTAATTATTTGAAGTTGGGATCGCTACCAATACTATTTATCACAGTGTGGCAGTTAGTTGCTAGCGTAGCACTTTATAGCGTTTCCGACACAACAGAAAACACCGCTAAGTTTACACTTCTAACTTTGGTTATTATCAGCGATAGTAATGGTCATGTTTTGAACCTAGCTTGGGCTAGTAGTAATGTCAAAAGACCTGTTCATTGTAGTATATCGATGGCAATGATAGTCATGGCTGCAAACGTGACTGGGTGGTGGTCAAATCTTGAGAACCAATGACCCCCAGTTTTCATGATGCATTTTCAGCACTAATGATGTTCTTTGCTTGTTGCTGCTTTGTTAGCAGCCCAATATATGTATTGTAACAAAAGGTTGGAATCAAAATATTCAAGAACAGAGTATCAAAAAGACATAAATCCAAGAAGCGCATTTAGGTAGGAACATCAGTAGCACTATAGTTATTATTGAAAAACATTCCGATAGTTCGAATGCGAAAAGGATTCTATCTGGAGTCAGTGCTGATGGATACAAGGTTGAATACGGCCTATCAAGGCCTATTATCGGTAGAGAGGAATTAAGGTATAAATTATAGACAAATCGTGCATGATATTTATGTATGTACAATAGAATACATTAAGAAGAACAAAATGTAAGACAGAATGAGGCATCATAAAAGTCTAAACAGCTTGCCTACTGATGCAATGGTAGATGACTTAATTTGAGTTCTTCAATTGAACTTTTGTCCAAGGTCAGTGATAAATAAAATGTTTAGAAAAAAAAGAAGTAATATTACCCTCAAAGAAATGCAAACAGAGAAATAAATTAATATCTTATACTTCTTCATCAATACTCCTTCTAGTAATACCCTACGATGATAATAATTAATTCTTCTTCTTTGTAGATACCTCCCCTTCACACGTTTAAATAGTCAAATTAGTGCAAAATGTCTTCGGATATGCCACATTTATATCTGCACTAATTTAAACGTACATATCGTCCTAAGCAGGGCCTGCTTTGGCCTACTACTTTGGGAAGAGTCCAGACCGAAAAATTTGATCACTAGACCTTGAAATGAGCTTAATTGGTCCTTATCCTTATGTAACAGACCAGATACGAGTATTTCCTAGATTTTCATTTCCTTATTCGCGACCTTGCATGAGTCGCATCTGAAATTCTTCAGCGCTATTGCGTAATTTATGATGAAATCTATAATTCCGTGAGGATCCACACCACTGAAGTATATATTTGGGCAGAGTAGCCGAGACTATGAAGTATTCGGCAATGAAGTTCTCGTTTCAAAACGAAAGAGTTGCGTAAAACAAGGATGAGTTTAGAGAAAAGACCCAATTTCTTAATTATTGTTGCTGATGATCTAGGATTCACCGATGTGAGTGCATTCGGAGGAGAGATACATACTCCGAACCTAAAGAAGTTAGGTACCAACGGAATTCGGTTTACAGATTTTCATACAGCACTGGCATGTTCTCCTACACGTTCAATGTTGTTCTCAGGAACTGATAACCATATTGCTGGTTTGGGACAAATGAGAGAATTTGCTGTGAGACATCCTAAGAAGTTCAGCGGAAAGCCGGGGTATGAGGGCTATTTGAACGAGAGAGTTGCTCCACTTCCGGAAATCTTGCGTGATGATGGATATTACACTTTCATATCTGGGAAATGGCACTTAGGTTTGGAGCCTGACAGCTGGCCAGTCAAGAGAGGGTTCGAAAAGGCTTGGACTCTTTTACCTGGTGCTGGTAATCATTTCAAGTACATTCCTAGAGATGAAAACGGTGGGCAGATGAACTTCACGCCTTGGCTATATGCTGATGATGATAGAGAAGTAGACTGCGACAAGGAAATACCTGAGGATTTTTATTCTACCAATTACTTCACTGATAAAGGAATTGAATTTCTTACTGATGATGTTCAGCGTCAAGGTAGACCATTTTTCGGCTGCTTGACCTATACAGCTCCTCACTGGCCGTACCAAGCTCACCGTGAGAAGATTGACAAGTATAAGGGGAAATATGATGCTGGTCCTGAAGACTTGAGACAAAAACGTTTGAAGCAAGCCATTGGAGCAGGAATCCTCCCCGATGGCATTGAACCTCACCAGTTGACTACGTATCAAGACAGAAGGTGGCATCAACTTTCTGATGAAGAGAGAGCAATTTCTTCTAGGATTATGGAAACCTACGCTGCAATGGTAGAAATTTTAGACGATAATATCGGTAGAGTTATTGATATATTAGAGAAGAAGGGAGAATTGGATAACACTTTCGTTTTGTTTATGTCTGACAATGGAGCTGAAGGTCTGTTAATGGAGGCTCTCCCACTTCAAATAGTCAATGTCAAGAATGAAATTGCAAAATATTATCATAATGAATTAGAAAATATCGGAAACAAGGATTCTTGGACCTTTTATGGGGATCAATGGGCACAAGCAGCTACAGCGCCATCTTATATGTGTAAAGGTTGGAATTCTGAAGGAGGAATCAGGTGCCCCTTGATTTTGCATTATCCACCATTACATGACGCAGGAAAGAAGCAATATATTGCAAGAGCTTTTACAACTGTAATGGATATCTTGCCAACAGTTTTGGAATTGGCAGAAGTACAACATCCCGGTACTGAATATAAGGGGAGAAAAGTGGTTCTTCCAAAAGGAAAATCTTGGGTTCCATACTTGCAGGATAAGGCAGAGCAAATTCACTCCGAAGATCATGTAACAGGCTGGGAATTATTCGGCCAACAGGCTGTGAGAAAGGGTCCATACAAGGCTCTTTTCATCCCTAAACCATTTGGCCCAGCCAAATGGCAGTTGTTCCATATAAGAAATGATCCTGGCGAAACAAAAGATTTAGCTGAAGTTGAACCTGAGAGGCTACAAACTATGCTAAATCATTGGGCAGAATATGTCGCAGAGACTGGTTTGGTCGAATTAGGATCGGACTTTCTCTTCAATGATGACGACGAAGGTGGCCATGTAGTTAATTTCACTTACGTTGACTAGAAACAGAGAATATTGAATAATTATGTGCCTTTTAAAATTAGATTTACAAATGTATATATGCCCTAACTATTTTTTGCTCTTCTTATGTTTCTTATCCTTCTTATCCTTCTTACTGCTTCTTCCCACATCTTCACCACCTTCAACTGGAACCCATATGCTACCGTCACCTTCAACTTCTTCAGGCGCTTTTCTGGACTTCCCAAAAGTTTCCTTTCTCCACTCTTTCAAATGCTTAGACTTGGTGTACTTTCTTTTATCCTTCATTCTCAATTCCTTTGCTCTATAAGGTGCAAATTTTTTCAACCCTATGAATTCATTCAATTGTTTGTCATCAGCTAATATAATATCTCTTGTTGTTAAACCAAATGCCTCTGGAGAAACTTCTCTGTACTTGAACTTCACCTCTGCATCTACGTCCTTCTTCTTTGACCGACCTCTTTCTTCTACGACTTCGCCGAGTAATCTCAAAGTGTTGGCTTCTACAATTTCTTGAGCCTTTTCCTTGATAGATTCCTTTTCCTTCTTTGCTGTCTTTTTGTCCTTGAGCTTATCCTTCTTAGATTTCTTCACAGGTGGTTCTGCGTCCATTTCCTCTTCTCCAACTTCTACATCTTCTTCATTGTCGGACCACTCAGGCTTTGCTACTTCAACCTCGTAGTACTGCTCATCGAAAATTTGAGCCATTTTGCTGTCCCAATCGGTATCATCAAAGTCATCATTTAGCAACGAGTTTCCAAACACTTTCTCAATCACTTCGTCAGGCACTTCATCGCCAACGGCTTCTTTTATCTTCTTTAGTCTATCAGCAACTTCGTTAACCTTGGATATCTTTTTCTTTTTCAAATGCTCTTGCTTTTCCTTTTCAGCTTGCTCTCTTTCTTCGTTTTCCTTTTCTCTCTGTCTCTTACGGCTGTTCGTAGCAGATCTCCTTAATGTAGCCTGATTTCTCGCATATGAAACAATCTCTGCAGCATTAGGGTCTTCATATCTGAAATTATATGCGTGTTCGAATTGTTCAACAGCATCGTCAAAGTCTTCATCGTCCTCATCTTCAACTCTATCCAAGTTTATAACCTTATCATTCTCCTTGGGGATCCATGCCTTCTTATCAACAAAAGCACTCAAGAATTCGTTCTCGTCTTTGTTAGGATCCGGCAAGCTGCCAGTAGACTCATCTAAAAGCTCACGTCTAGTCTTAGCAACCTTTTTCTTAAGAAATCCGTCGTCACTGTCATCATCTCCCTCGTCATCATTGAAGGCATTTTTGATGTCTGAAAGTAATTTGTTTCTGTCTTCTCTTTCAGTTACTACGAATGGTTTTTCACCATCTACGGTGCCAAATTCATTGTCTTCATCTTCAACGTCATTCTTGTAATCACCAGAAAGTAAATTCATTCTATGGTAATCCTTTAAATAGATTGGCTTATCTTCTTTTCCCTTCACCTTCTCACCACCAACAGCAATTGGATCATTGAAAAATTTTACATTTGGATCCAAGAGACTTTTGGGATTTGTCTTGATGGCATTTAAAACCTCATTGATACCATTTTCAATCCCCTCAGTGATAAGTTCTCCGTATTCATCTTCGGATTCATCAGATGAGCCTGATTCAGATTCTGAGTATTCTTGTTCTTGAACTCTTTGAGGAGCTTCTGCAGTTTTTTCTACATTTTTCGTAATTTCCGGTTTATCAGATTGCTCAGCGGCCTCTCTTGCCTTTTTGGCAGCAGACTTCTTTCTAGCCATCGTTAATTGTTGATGTTAATGTGAAGTAAACGAAGCGATGAGCTGCTCTTAAATCTGTCAAAAATAAAAATTAAAAATTAAAAAATTAAAAAAAAAAAAAAAAAAATTTGATGTTGAAAGTCCTGCATATACACAAGCCTCTGCCTACTGTACCTACTCTGCCTATTCTGTACTAGCCTTACGTTGAAAAATGTACCACTTCGTAATTACTGTCATCATATTAGAGAAGAAAGCTATGGAGAGGTCGCTAGTTGGCCTTAGTTCTATCAGGCGGAATAATATATCACAATTTCTCAGGAATCTTCTTTTCTTCGTACCACCAAGTGTATGCCAATTCACATCTATTCAAATCCAAGTTCTCACTGATAACTCTCCACAAAATCTTGATTAAGAATTGACCCTCAGATGGGTTACTTTTTTCAATCAAAATCCATATTTTCTCTAACCAATCTGTGAGAATACTCAAGGGCAAGTATGGAATAAGATTTATGAAAGAAAACACCAACGCTTCTCTTATTGTCTCCGGAGAAAGTCTTTCTTGAAAAGCCTCAGATGCCCTTTCTTTCTCTCGCTGCTGTTGCTTTTCCTTTTTGCTCTTTTCCCATTGGGGACCAAAGTACAAGTCCTTAGGCTTCTTCTTTTTATTTGAGTCAATAATATCTATCATATTATCACCAGCACTTTCATCCTCAATGTGCAGCATGGTTGAGTTTGCCTCATATTTAGCAATTGGTTGTGCAGTGTTAATGGTAGTAAACAGGTTGTTCAGTCCAATATTGAGGCCTGGCTTAGCATGAAAGCAACGATTGAAAAGGAAGTCCAAAAACTCAAGTCCAGATTGCACGTATTCCATATTCTCGATCCCGTCCAAATTTGGACGAGACATGTTTGATAATATAAATTTCCCAATAGTTTCTATGGCAATACTCAATTGATTAGCAGATAAAAGAAGGGGAAATTGTTCCAAGACAAGATTAATATATTCCATAACTTCTTGAGTATTCACGTCCTTTTTGTTTCGAGAAAACAATGATAAAAGTACGGAGTGTGCACTTTCGATGACATCAAAGTCGACGCCAGCAGGGTGATTTTGCGCCAATGAGAAGCATACAGGAGATATTTGCTCCTGGGCAAACTTCACGTTCTTATTTCTTTGCTGTTGATTCAAATAATTTTCCCACAATCCCATCACAAATAGTACCTTTGATCTCATGATATAGTTTCGGTGAACGTTAAATAAATTTAATTCCCTGTAATCGCCGATTAAGTAAGACGTAAGGTGCTCAAACTGTCCCAGAGCTCCACCATCAAGAGCAACCTCAATAGTAAGATAGTACACAAAATTATAGCTGTCAAAACCACCTTGTCCAATGGAAAGAAGAATGAAATTGAGATAGTATAAATTTTGAAGTATTTTCAAGGCAATATCCTTGTACAAAGGTATAATGCTGTTTCTGTTGGTCACAAATCCCGTAAGAATTCCTTGGAAGATTAACGTTTGGCCGAACAAGACAGATTTCATCACATACCAGTAATTGTCCATTGCTGGTTCCTTGACTATCCCCCTATTTGGCGTGTTATACTTTATCGAGTTTTGAGACATATGATTGATAATTCGATTGAATTCCAAGATTCTCCCCACAGTGTACGACACAAACTCATAGTTGACATCGGTCTGCCTGCCAGTAGTTATGGGCAATCTTTTCAAGTAACTTTCCAAAAGTAGCGATATCTTATTGATATGCTTAAGGATAGGATCATTGAAAATAATGGTGGTGTCGGCAATGTCTTGCTCAAAAAATGTGTGTCGGATTTTAGGTTCAATGGAGACCAACATGTCAACTAATCGATGTACCACGAACTTCTCCGAGGTCAAGCCCTCAGTAAACGACAAGATATTCTGATCAACATCATGAAAGATTCCCAAGCTCATTAAACTTAAATTGGTAATATCTGTAGGATAGATATCCGACAAACAGCCGCTCAGCAATCCAGTCTTGAACAATTGAGTCATTTTGGAGTCCCAATCAGAGAAGAACCAGCCATAAGAAATGTAATTCCTCTTGGTGTATAAATCATCTCTTAGAGGACTGGATAACTTCAAACCAGCAATAATTGGTAAAACCTTCCAGCCGTTTACCGTTGGATCAAACGCCAAAAAATTGTGTAGCTCCTTGCCTACCACAGTATACCATTTCTTTATCGATATTGAAGGTTGTGAAATTTTCAACTTGGTGTCTGCCACCATTTTGAAAACCTCAATTATAAGGTAGATTTCATCGAAATTAGCAGGTGCTTGGATGCTATTGCGTACCAGACCGAAGCATGTTGGATTATTCAAGAAAGCGGACAATAAAAGGCGAAGATTTTGCTCCTGCTTGACATACGGCAAGTAGTGGAGTATGTAACCGAGGACCTTCTTCACAGACATGTTTTGGGGTGGAAACCTCAAGTCATTTATAAGGAAATCAAGATCCTGCGGAACAGGTTGGTTAGTCTGCTGCTGTGAGAGCGAACTATAAGACGACATAATAATTCGAGCTGTGGAATCGTGCTATCTTCCGTCTAGTAACCCATGGCAATGAAATGTGGAGAAGTTCAGTTTGGAGCAAAGTTTCTGATCGTACAGCGGTGCCGTATGCAGGAATATATTTGATTTTTGTTTTAGGTATGCAGGAGCAAAGCTACTACTCGAGCAAGGAATTGGTTAGGGGGAGTCTATTGGGAAGACCAATACACCAGGCAATCAGTTAGAATTGGCACATTTGCGTCGAGCTAGAAATATACACTGGTGCGGTCTGAACGTTTCTATTGTATCCACCTAAGGGCAAATCATATACCGGTGAAACGGAAGTGTTGCACCTCGTTCCCTTCCTCTTCCTCATCGCAATTTGCAGCCAATGTGAGAGCGCTGTGGTTAGTACTACAGTACGCGAAGAGACTGGACTGGATGGTGGTAGTATTCTTACTTGTACATATACAAACACCCCCATCATATCGCCCAAAAGTCTCCCACAAATCAAAATATCGCATGAGCTGCGTATAGCAGCACTATGAGGAGTATTCGCCTCCTCTGTCCTCTTCTACAATACCCTTGGGACCATTAAAAAGTCGTACTATAAAAAGCGCACTCGCACGACCACCCGATATGGATTTTTTTTCTTCATTAGATTTTCCAGTACTGAAGGTGGATCAGATACACCAGAGCCCAGTGTTGTACGGATTGCAGCTCCATATACCTATCCCGATGATTTAAGATCCATTACCGAACTACCACTACATATAGGATATAATACGCGATGATTCGACATTTTCCCTTTACTCAAACGTACAAAAACCTTGCATTCAACTTAAAGAACTTCAAACCCTCTTCGCATAGACCTTCGTTCAAGTCGGTCAACCACCCATTTATGCCCAATTCACAACTCCAAGACTCCCTGTATGCCAAGTGGATAGTGGAGGCATCTTCAAAGTTACCGGGACGCATAATACACCATATGAAGACACAAAAGAAGCCGACGCGGAAGACCTCGTCTTTGGTGGATCCATACCCACAGGTAGGTGGCTACCATGGCATTGAGAACAGCAGTGACAACAGTGGACTGTACTACTATATTCCTAGTGATTACACTATAGACGATATCCAGAAGCCAAATAGCATATCAGAAACAATTTTAATGGCATTTGAAGAGGGAAATCTACCCAAAGTAGCGGCATTGTTACAGTCACACAAGGACTCATCTCCGGGGATAATCATAGAGCCCGATTTGGTCAGTATCATAGTTAAACTCACCCTCAGTGAGATACCACTCCCAGATTTCCATGTTTCGGATTTGCAGGTGGAAGTACCGATGTATAGGAAGCATTTACACGCCCTGCAGACGGACTCTCTATTCTACTCATTCATTTACGAACGAATACCATGTCTATACAAGATATGTAAAACGTACGAGCGGGTGATGTTCAACGATCGTGATTTTCAGGAATATTATACATGGTTGTGCTTCCATCAAAATGACAGGGAGACATTGAATCTCCTTACCAGAGCTTACCTCAAACAGCAAGAAGACTGCGATTCCAAGGTTCTCGCCTACGCTGTCTGTTCTCATTTAATGAACTATGATACCGTGACAGCTATGGACATCTATAGTGAGATATTATCCAGCAGCAAAGATTTAGATAGTGTGTTCTTGGAACTGGTGCTTCAACTGGCCATTCAGTTCGACAGTTTGTTTGAGCACATTCAAAAGATTTCACAGATGTGGATCAATACTAATCGTAAATTGCTGCCGAAGAGTGCTGCATTGATACTCAAAGTCAACAAAAGGTATCTCGGAGACGAAAAAGCAGTCAATGACTCCCACATTCTTCCACTTTCCCAACATTACATGGTTAGAACACAACTTTTGAAAAATCGAATCTTAAGTAGATATCCCACTCATTCGTATAAGCCAATATTGGAAGAAGACATTATAGAAATCAACGAGATAGCGAAGAATCTTAGTGAGAAGGAGGGAGATATCGCTTCATTAAAGAACTTTTACTATCAATTGATGAAGTTCTTCGGTCAGAGAAAACATATGAATATGGTCCTCTTCGTTCTGCACAAGATGAAGAAAGATCAAATTAGTATCGATGAAGATTTCGTGAAGATCATTCTGAAATTTTACTCCAGATCTGAAAAATTCATGAACTTATTAGAATTTTTGGAATTTTCAGCACAAAGAGGGGTACCCTTCAATAGACAGTACGTGACTGATATATATGAAGGGTTTGTAAAGACATACCCCTATTATGGAGGTGAGTTTGATCTCAAGTATAAAAGTTGGGCAGCCCTGAAGCCAGAAGAAATTACGGCCCTAGACTGTCTGGTAATTTCCACTAAGTCAAGTTTGACTCCCTTCAATCCTAAAGTAAGACATGTCTTGGATCCCTTCAAATACGATCTCAATAAATGGACTTACCCTCTTACCGACAGATCAGCTGACTCACAATTACAATACAGATTCAACCAGGGGTTCCCTGAATTATCCATGAAAGGTGTAAAACCAGATTTCCGATTGATCAAAGAGTCGTATGAGAATCTCCCAAGAAATGAAAGACATCGCATTTTAGACATCATGAAACGGACAAGGACAGACTCTCCAAAGAAAATCCTTGCTGTGAGTAGATTGAATAAGGACAAATATACAAAGAAATATTTGAGTGATTTCATCAAGAATGAAGGAAATGGACTAGATGCACAGAATAGATTGAATATTCTGTCGTTATTGATGAATAAGGGATTAGGCAAATTATCCACGAAACTATTAGATTCAATAAAATTAGAGGAATTGAACGATAGAGGGTACATGATCAGATTACAAAAATTACTTAGATTAAACATAGCAACTTTCCAACTAAGGAAATTTGTTTTCAATATTGACGAATTTCCTATTAATGAAGTGGTATTAAGTCCCTACATTTACGATAAATGCTGCATTTTAGAAAATTTATTGGTGAAACAAATGGTAAAACAGAATATGAAAATGAAAGCAGAATTAATGGAAGAAGAAAAAACGGACATCTTGACTATAGTGGACAGTGATGGTAAATTAGTCGAATGTAAATTAGTTGAAGTCCCAGATGAGCCTATGGCTGTGCAAATGGAAAGGGCTCTAGCAAGATTGCAGAGCTTCATAGCAGATATTCAACTTCGTTTAGATAGCGACAAGTTGGAAATTGGACAAAAGATTGAAGAAACTTTCAATTTTTTGAACAAGTGGATGAAGGAGAACAATAATGATGAGAGGAAGGTGTAATAAAAAGTACCTGGTGTGAAAACAGATGGGTGCAAAAAGCGAAAAATCGATTTTCATTTATCGATAAAAGAGCCCCTGCATATAATATCCTGTATATACTGTAAATATTTAATGATGATATAGATAATAGTTTAAGCTTCAGGACGTGGGTGTAATTCGTATTAATTCGATTAAGGAGATAGAGGGAGGACTTGTGCTGTCAAATAATCAGGAGAGAAATACACTGGAAGAAACAGATATGAGTTCTCTAGAAGATAACCAGAGGATATGGAACGGAGTCGTATGTATATGGAAGCGAGATGAGGTTACTTAGATGAGGTAGTATTGTTAACTTCTGTTTTTGATGTAAAAGCTGTATATATGAATACAAGTTTCAGGAAATTCGCAAAAATTGAAGGTTTTAATGGAGTGGGAAAGTGTCAAATGTCAAAGCTTTGCGAGGGTACCACATTTCGCTGGCATTGTATTGTTGAGTGTGCCAGGCAAAACTCAAAAGTGACCCATGAAGGAGCTTTGTTTGGGTCGCTAAGGATCAAGCCTCAAACATCCGGCAGCTTAACTGTTAACTTTACTTTAATGTGTCAATAGCAATTAACTCTTCAATGTCTCACATTAATGTTTACTAACAATATAGGATTCGCAACTCCTTTCCGGACTTCTTGCTAAGATAAATACTTCATTGGAATGTGCTATATGCTCTGAGCTAATGCACATTCCCTTTATAACCTCATGTGGGCATTCATTTTGCTACGAATGTTTGACATCATGGTTTCAAAATAAATTGAATTGCCCTACTTGCAGAAGAGATTTAGAGCAACCACCGACTCTAAATGTCCAGTTGAAGACGATTAGTCGAAATATCACAGATTTGATGATAGAGATTGATAATGACCAAAAGGAAGAAATAATAAATTCTCGAAATACAGCCGATTCCGAATACCTACAAGCTTTGGAGAACAGAACTCTATTTGATGAGATTTTCAAGAGAGCAATTACCTTAATAGATAATTCTGATGGAGTCCCTAGATGCGGGAATTGTCATTGGGAGGCGCATGGATCTGTATGCTTACATTGCGGTACGAGATTCCGAATCCCCATGGATGACGACTATTATGATTCCGATAATGGTGATGCATATGATGAAGATGACCAAGAAGAAGATGATGGAAGATTGTTGAGACATGCCAATGAAATGTACGATTCAGAAGATAGTTTTATAGATGAAAGAAGTATGTTGGATATAGAGGCAGATTTAGATGGTGAAGTGGATATATTATCTACTGATGAAGAAGATTGGGCTGGTTTTGAACCAGATGAGCATGAGGGCCATAGTCAGGCTGATCTGGAAGGAGAAGGTGGAGAAGGGGAGAGCGAAGACCTAGAGAATGCTCTAAACCGCTTTGACGATGGAATTGAAGCAGCCCAAAGTCCAGAATTTGTACATAGTGACGAGGACGAAGGTGTAGCCTCCAGTAGAGGTAGTGTGCGTAGAGGAAGAAGAACAATCGAAGATGAAGACGAAGATGATTAAAGTTACGATTCATGATGACCAAGCATTAACGTTGAAATGATAATGCCTAATAATACATAATGAAATAAAATAAAAAAGACACGAAAAGAAGTGAAAAGAAGTGAACAGAACAGGATATAAAAATATGTAGCTTTTATTGTAGAGTCCTAAGGATAAGTTTTAACAAAACAACTAAATCAATATTCACGAGATTATGGAACAATTGAGAAAAAATTAATCTTTTACCAAAAGGCGAATTCTACTCATAGGAAGAAAAGCTAGTACAATAACAACACTATACATCTCAATTTCTTACACCTTACATCTCTCATGGGAGTACTTGAGTGTGATATCGTCTACCTATACCAGTGAACCTTCTAGTGCTACAGCGTATTATGCAACACATCCTGCACATAAAAATCTGATCATCCTGCACACGTTATTATTGCAGGTCTATTATTGGCTCGCCTTGGTTCACGCCCTTCTGGGAAATAGAAAAGAAAAAAATGAACTGATACTTATTTACATCGAAAGAAGTCCTTATATAACAGCAGGATAAGTAAGTAGAAATAAGAGTTCTCTAGGTGGAATCTTGTTCTTCATATAAGTACTAACAAATTGAAACTAGAAAATGGCTATCGACCCACAAAGAATTATTGACTTACAAAGAGAATATCAAAACTCTTCTAAGAGATTATGGTACAGAGGTCGTAACGGTAAGGCTTTGGTTTTACCATTCTACGCATTATTCACATTAACCACCGTCGTTCCATTATACTACACTGGTAGAGCTATCTTCGGTATCAAAGATGAGTAGATTAGGTTAGGTTAGCACATACAAAAGGATAGATAAAACACATATTGAATACATTACGTTAGTAGAAGTAGAACTATTTATTGTAAGAGTACCGTATACAGGACATGTAACTGAAAAATGGGAGGAAGAGGAAGAGAAGGAGCGAACGACAGTCGAGAGCTGCATCTTCCACACATGCAATTGTAAGCAATAAGTGAAAATGATAGGGCAAGAGACATTCACCAACTCCAGAAGATGCTAGTCTGTTTCTGGTTGACCTTTAGACATATATGACGTTATAGCAAAATGTACACCAACTGTATTGTAGTTCGTCTTTTTTCACACGTGATTTTTGTTGGGGCATGATGCAGACCCAATTCTATTCTATCTTGCCCCATCTTCTCTTTGCTTAGACACAATTGAACACTTCTGTGTCTGCTTTTTCAACATTGGCATCATATCTATGTACGGTGGCTACGAATATGTTGACCGAACTCCCCACGTCCGTAATCTCCAAAGTAATTTCATTGCTACCTCAACAGGATGTGGTGAATTTATCTCAAACGAGCTTTAAATTTTACGAGCCTTGTACTCACAAGTTGTACAAGAAGATTCTGATTCAGCGCAACCCACTTCTCAAGGAGAAAAATGTAAGAGGTAGGCTGTTTAAGCTGTCAAAATTCACAGTGATTGCAGGTCATAGCAGATTGGAATTGCCTGAACTGGTGCAATTGAAGTTAATCAACGATAGACTACAGGTGCTCATTCAGTCGTTGAGCATCAATGCAAAATTAATTGACCACATCGAAGAATTGGTGATCATTGGCAACTTTCACGATGATAAGATTAATACCGCTTTAGCAGAATTTTGGAAAATTGTTCGAAAGAGCGAGACTATCAAAAGGGTCCAAGCTGACGACCAAGATGCGAGGAAAATGTTCTTCAATGGAGATGTGATGCCAGCAAGTCTAACCAACTATTACGTAGATGGCCGTGCTTCTGTATTCGAGAAGGGAATGCATATAAAAGAATTGTCCATATCATATACAGAAGATGAGATTCCTCGATCTATATTAAAAAATATCGAACACTTGCATATAAAAGAGAATGGAAACTATTCTTTAAAAAGAGCAGAGCTACAGGAATGCAATAGCGGGCTCAAGAACATACCTGGAAAGAGTAAATTAGTGGGAACAGAAATTGAGGGCTTTTCAGGTAGTGCCCTTTCATTCAGCCAAAAGATACCGCAGCTGAGCCTTTCCAAGTTGAGACTGTTAACACTTCAAATATACCACAGTCCTCAGCAGCAAGCCAAGACTAATTTTTTACCACTTGTGAAAAATTTCCCGTGGCGTGACTTACAAGCTATCGATTTGAAGATAGGCTGTGATAACATTGCATGCAGCCAAAGCTGTGTTGCGCAGTTTTTGGATTGTGTTTCATTGGAATTGATATGCTCAAATGAGGCTAAGTTGAGACTGCTAACACTACTGCAGTGCAAAGTTGCGCATGAATCGTATAACCAAACTCATGAGTTTGATGTAGAGTGGGACTTGGCCATTTTTGGATTTTTAACTACCTTGATGTACACCAAGAAGTACAAGTTATCGTTCCTCTCTATATCCAATGAAGCTGCAATTGGCGCTGTATACTCTGATGGAGTAGAGGGTAACTACCTCAAAAGAATACATCTATATACAAGAACATTACTGAACTTATTGTCATTCAATTTGCAGCCAATACAATTGGAATTGCCTACATTTTTCACCACGCTAGCTAACTACGAACAGCCTATGAACAATTTGCTTTGGAATGGATGTAAATGTGTACACTGCGAACGCACTCTTGAAGTCTTAGACGAGTTGCTAATGACACACAAATATATTGCGTCAGTTTGGAAAGATTTGACTAGTTGCCAGTTAATGGCTGCAATAGGAGATCGCTTACATGAAAGAACCACCACGAACACGGCTGGATTAACTGCGGTTGACTGGGATTTGCATAGCAACAGATTTGGATTGCCTTTCCTCTGCTTGAATCATAAGACATTTGAAGAGGGGGAGTTTGAGCGTGGAAGCAATGACGATGAAGAAGAAGAAGAATCCGAATATGAGGCTTTTTTTGATACCGAGGAGCTGCAGCTAGAATGTCCTTTAAAAAATAGGGTAAGATTCAGCGACGTTAGTGTTTCAATCTCGCATTACGTTGCAGATATACTTTTACGAATGTTAAATTTGAACAGAGGTGACGCTGAGGGGATAGATTTGGGAGGAGAATTTGAAAATGACGGAGGGTCTGGGGAGCAGACATACTCAGAAATAATCGTCAATGGCATTCAATTTGCTATTGGAAAGGAGCGCAATGGAACTAACTGGTTGAGCTGTGTGCTGGATTAAAATGAACATTTGGCTCTCCCCCACGCGCCTATTTTCGAAATCTCCCCGACAATAGTAAAATTTTAAGGACTTCATATTTTTTAGGTAGTCATGGAGCCTTCAAGAATGTTTTTCTTAAAAATATTATTTGAACATGTACGTTCGAGTGTAGTTCATTTTTGGTAGAATGTGCCAATAAGTGCAGACATGCGCACATTATTCTAATTTTCCATTGTGCTGAAAGAGAGACTCTTCGTCGAAGTATGCAAGGCTCATCTCTATCTTAAAGTTAAAAAGAAGATTTCAATTACCCCTTTGGGTGATCTCAATAGAAGGAATGAAACATTGAAGGAACTTATTATTTATTTATAATATCTTGCAGTTGGCTGGAACACGCATGGCGGAGATTGTGGCCCAGCACAAGTGAAATTTTCTTCGAAAATTATTCCTCATGGCTCCGATTACCATCTTGTGTTATTCGAGAATCAATGCATTAATTTTTTCGTATAGTTGATTTATAGAGAGAATCCCTAGCCACAGCTATTTTTTTTTTTTTTTTTTTTGTTATTTTAGCTTTGAGGTATCTTGTGGTACATAATGCAAATAGAAAACTTCAAATATTATTCGCCTGTGATAGCAATGTAAAATAAAGTGTCACACAAATGTGATAGACAACGCCCTACATATAACTTTTCTTACTTATTATGAACAATAGTTCTAAACAGTGGCTCACAGCTGTATCCAAAAAGGGAAATAATTCCGATATCAAAAAAGTTGAATCTTCTTTAGCATATTCATCGTTTTTCGTACCTACGAAACTGGCCCAAGAAACTGACGTATTACAACATGGAATTCTTTTCGGGAAACAGATGTGTGCAGTAATGCAGAAAAAATGGCATGATATGTAAAACAGGGTTCGCAGGGGCATGCAGAGCTTTTTATTGTTTCAAGTTATTATTTAATTCCTGATCAGTGTCTACATGCAGCAGCATATTAGTGCATGAGCAAGACAAATTTCTCAAAAATTGTGAGAGAAGTAAGAAATTTAGGTTAATGTTTACCAACCCTTAGGATTTGAGTTATCATTATGCGTTTCTAGAACTGACCCTAGCAACACTCTTATGTTTGAATTTTGTTTACTTGCTTTTCTCAATCCCTTTTGTTTTCTAATATCCACCGGCATTTCAAAATGTTATGTAGGCTAAGTAGAAATTGACACCGAAGAATGTACGGCGCCAATCAAGACTTTAATTTCTTCTAAACCGTTCAATTTCATAAAAGCGTCAAAATCGCGCTGTAATGGAGGGGTTGTCGGTCAATATTTTCTTTCTTACTAATGGATTTAATGTTCCAGAATGTCTTCGGGGTTCTCGCTTTTAACTTACATTCTCGAATAAGAAATTTAATCTGGAGTGCTGATTATGCAAGATCGTCTAACAGATCGTCTTTGACGGGAAACTCATAGCTTTAGGTTATGAGCACCAATTTTATTACCGATAGCTACATAAAAAATTCAACCAAACATTTTATTCTTAGATGAAATATGCAGAAAAAGGGTATCTGCTTGGCGCGCAGAATTGTCCCCAAGCTGAAAATAGGAAGAAGTTGCCAGGTACGAACGGGTGTCCCCAATATTTTGGCAAGTGCTTCATTGAGTATGCTAGAACAAAAGATTGTCAGAAGTGTGTAGAGAAAGTAGATCAATTTTAACGCGAACAGGCTAAATTAATACACCTTGCATATCATGTAGGAACATAAGTACTAACGAGATCAATAGCATCACATTTTAGCTCGGCAATAAAACCACTATATTCTGATTTTTTTGTCCTGTAGTAATCTAGGAAACAAAAAATCACTTGACGCTGTTTAATTACCAATTAAGTGATGTGTTATCTCACTGCTCTTGATGGTTTTTCTGCTGGATAAATGCAATTGTATATTTTTTTACTGTAGAATAAGTATCTCTATATAAATAATGTAGGCCATTGGAACGATCCAGCTTATACTAGGCACTCTTCTTCTTTTTAGTTTTCCCATTTGTGTGAGTCTTGTAATGCTGCATGCAGTTGTCTTGTCTGGCAAACCTGGTTTCACACAGTGGCCAGGGACATAAGTGCTTCCTTTCGCCTGTATGAATTCTATTGTGTCTAGCTAAGTGTCCGGAGGTAGTGAATACTCGAGAGCATGTCTTACATATATTTTTCTTCCTAGGTTCAGGAGATATAGGTCGTATAGTCTCAAAGTTTGAGGAAGAGAACGAACTTTCCGAAGATGCAGACGAAATCGATGATCTGTTTGTATCAAATACCAGATTAGCTGATAAGATTCTAGGGAGAGGTGGTGGTGTTATATTTTGGCGCATGATCTCTGAAGTGTAATGGGAATGATGACTTTCATTCAGAAGATGATATTGAATAGGCATTGGCGACACTACATATTGATGTGGCACATAACATGGGGGCGCATAATGCTGGGGTGTCACATAGGGATACATCACTGCATTTTGCGGTGCATGCTGTGGATTTTGTGATTTAATTGATGGCGCTTGACTTTGACTTGGAATGACCTGATGCTGTACCTGGCATTTCTGTCGTATTGAATGATTCAGGGATACTGCCGTTTCTTGGTTGAGTGAGTTAGAATGTAAGGGGGAATGCGATGATGTGGGAAAATGACTTACTTGCACTTTATTTGTCACTACCAGAGGACTGGATTTTTTGGTGAGTGGAATCGTGGTGAGCAATTCCGTAAAAGATGGAAGAACTGTGGTGGGGGGAGCCTGAAAAGCCATTTGAAGTTTTCGTCAGTGCAGATTATTTAAAGAATGATATGTTTGATTTAAAGGTAATACACTAGGGTAAAGTGAGTTGTGAGTTGTGAGTTGTGAACTGTGAGTTGTGAGTTTGAGTGAACTAATGGTATTAAATAATGGTATTAAATGAAATGAAGTAAATGAGCAGTATACTTTAAGAGAGCCATTCTAAAATTTGAGTCTCATTTATTTTGTCCTGACATTTTTTCAGTTTATATAAAACTAATGCAGGCTTTAAAGTTATGTCTTTCTTCTTGTCATTCAAAGGGCAAAAAGAAAAAAAAAATGCAAGTAAAAAAATAAACTTTAAAATGGATTGTGAGAAAAAGGGACGTGCGTCATTTTGAATGCGCTAAGATTTTTTACATGCAACGCATGAAGCCGGTATTAGGCATCTTCCGTTTCTACTTAGCTTACACATATGAAAAGCAATTCCAACGGACACGACCGACCTACTGCTTAATAATAATGCGCTCCTTGCAAGAAATTAAGGTTCTTTGCTCGCATTTTATATTTTCAAAGCGGAAAGAGATCTTGACACACGTAAACTTGAGAAATTTTTGGCACTTACGAGATTTCTTTCTTTTTTCTCGGGATACGGAGTAGATTTTCCCGTTCATTTTTAACCACATCTAAGTAGCAGTCTTATAGACGACATTTTCTTATACCACTTAGTCTTTACAGGCATTACAGGCATATAAGTAGTGGCAAATGAAATTGGGGTTCAAATTGATACTTCTTTAACGCCGGTTTGTAAATTTTTTTGGGATTCAATATGTAAGATGCTCACTGCCGTTCCCAAAGCGGATGCGAACGATTTCTTTAATGCACAATAAAACATCTCAGTTAGGCTTGTTATATCGGCATGTTGAGAAAACCCGATCCGTATCTCTTATGTTTTCATGTCAAGAGCCAACAGCAGAGGACAAAGCAGCACCCTATTGAGTTCTCTTTGTCCACTCTGATCTACTGATGCTTGGCGCATACATGATTCTGTCACTTTAAAATTCTAGATTACTCTTCAGGTATTTAACTTTAGTGGTAGTCGTTTTTCTGGTGTATTTTTTTCATGAATAATCTGCATGAAACTTCGTTCTCTGCGAGGTATTCCACAAGTAACCCCTTTATAATGAATTTGGTGAAAATAGCCCCACTGTGCAAGCTGTTCTATCTTATCTCCACGTAAATTCTAATCGTGCATGGGCCCTTGAGATACATTTCCTAGTACCAAAACACATCTTAAGATGTGTCCTCCTACTTCGTATAGCTCACTGAAGTTTCTAAACTGTGATGTAATTGGCTGGGGCTAGCCCTCTCAGATGAAGTCCAATGTGAATATACTAGTACCAGAGTAAAAAAAGGAGCTTGCATATTCTTCAAACTCTCTAATTGAGCCCCGATTTTCTCAAATGCCGAAAAAAAGGAAAAGAAAGATGGAGCAGTAGGAACCCTGATTAGTACGGTCAGCATAAGATGCATATACGAATACCTAAAAGATGAAGGTGATACCTGAAAATCTCCATTTTGTACATAAGGGAAGCTGCGAGTAAAATTAAAGTTTTGTTAGAATCCCGGTGTTTAGCTGAAAAGGATTACATTTTTTCAGTCTTCAGATATTTGGAATTCTAAAGAAAAGAGCGGAAACATCGTTCCTCCCCCCCTCAGCAGTGCATTAGTGTATAACTATTTATTATCGAGCTGAACTGCAGAGAGAAGACTTATACCTGTTTATTTGTGTTATTTGCATAATAGGCGAAAGAAAATGAACAAGCAGGTCGACTGACGAAATGCGTTATGCTTTTTTTTTTTTGGCTTTATTTTTTATGTGAATAACACACAATTTTTGTGCAGTACGCGTGCGGCATACCCTAATTCATTTTCCGACAGTTTCTTCTTGAAACATTGTCGGCGAACAAGCGGAATTTTACCGTTTGAATAAAGAAATAAAATAAGTGCAGCAGTTTGTGGACAAAACACGAAAATCCCTGTTCAGGCGACAACAAAGCACGTGATCATTCCGTTGAAGGGATTTCAAGTCGAGTCACGTGTAAATCACCTCTTTAGCTCATTGATCCAAATTATGGTCACGTGAGAAACGTATCACGTGAAATCTCAAAATTTCACAGGAGCGAACGATTACTCCACCAACTGGAATTGAAAATCTACGTTAACGAGAGCATAAGCAAAGTATTAAGGCTCTACTAAGTTGAAGTTGACTGTAGAATTGTAACGGATGTTGAAATCAACTGGTAACTCCCTTCTTAAGAGGTCGATCAGAAAGTTTTCTGAGCAATCATTCAAATTGCCTTTCATTCCATTGACTGCTCAAAATGGCTTCGCAGACGCAATCGGAAATACCCCATTGATTAGGTTACCACAAATTTCTAAAGAATGTGGAAGAAATATTTATGCCAAAGCAGAATTTATGAATCCAGGTGGCTCTATTAAGGACAGAGCAGCATTATATGTTGTAAAAGATGCGGAAGAGAAGGGCTTAATCCAGCCTGGAGGAACTGTTGTAGAAGGTACTGCAGGTAACACCGGAATTGGGTTGGCTCATGTATGCAGGTCGAGAGGGTATAAGTGTGTAATCTACATGCCGAACACCCAAGCTCAGCTGAAGATAGATACATTGAGATTATTGGGAGCTGAAGTTCACCCCGTGCCAGCGGTAGCATTCACCGATCCTCAAAATTATAACCATCAAGCTAAAAGGCACGCCGAACTGTTGGAAAATGCAGTTTGGACCAACCAGTTTGACAATGTCGCAAACAGACAGGCCCATATTGAAACGACTGGACCGGAAATTTGGGCCCAATTGGATGGAAAAGTTGACGCCTTCACTTGTTCAACAGGTACTGGTGGAACATTTGCTGGAACATCGAGATATTTACATGATATTTCCAACGGAAAGGTGAAATCTGTCTTAGCGGATCCTCCAGGCTCGGTGTTGTATTCCTATATCAAATCTAACGGGAAGGATTTGGTCAGAGGAGGCTCCTCATTTACCGAAGGTATTGGGCAAGGTAGAGTAACCGACAATTTGGCGCCAGACTTGGATATAATTGACGATGCCTTGAAGATTCCTGACCTGGCGTCCATTGAAATGTTGTATAAGTTGTTAGACGTCGAGGGGATTTATGTGGGTGGTACTGGAGCTTTAAATGTGGTTGCTGCTGTAGAGGTTGCCAAGACTTTACCTGAAGGATCCAATGTTGTGACGATCTTGGCCGACTCTGCACACAAGTACAGCGACAGGATCTTCTCTAAGAAGTGGTTAAAGTCCAAGGAATTGTATGATGCTATTCCTGAACATCTTAAGAAGTATGCCATCTTGGATTGAGAGTGCCAATGCGAATTCCAGTGAGCGAGCTACTAAGCGTATAGAACATCTTCTGACAACGAAAAGGGCAGGAATCGAAAGTAGTATAGCACTAGTACAGTTTCACTACTATCTTACATAAATAGAATATATATCCGTGTATTTAAGAGAACCAGTGAACGTCGAACGTAGCTTCCTCCACGACACCATGGGACCTTTTTTCTTTTTTGCAACTTTGGAATCCTGTATACAAACAGCACTTGCATAAACTCATACAGCTGATACAATTCTGTGCACAAGTGTAAGCAGCAAATCACTGCACCAGAATACTACATCACCTCCGTAACTAAATTTACCTAGCTGTATTTCGAATATCACCCCATCGCACTCCCCACTTCCACGCCAGTCTCCTTCTCTTGTGCACCAACGTACGCTAGAACCAGCATAGCTCGACTTCCCAGGGTCCTTACCTTGAACAACCTCACCAGTCGTGCGTGTACCACTAATCAAATTTTCAGCTCTGATGAAAAAAAAATCAGAACTCTCGCGACAAAAAGCCAAAGCGAATTTTGATGGCGCAAAGAGAACAACAGACTTGCTTCATCTGCAACGCTTCGTAGATCCAATACATAGACCTAGATATCAGTTCTACCAAGGGCAGACAGGAGGAGTGACTAATATAACGCACTAGTAAAAATCCCGAAAATAGAAAGAGAAAGTGCGATAATTTATTACCATCAAGACGAATCAGGAACTAATTTTTTCATACTTTCCAAAATTTTTCTCGTCTTCTCGTTTCTCCATACCAAAGTAAACACCTGTAAATATAAAGAGGAAATAGAAGACAGTACATTTAGTGATAGTTGATGGACTCGCAAATACTTCAAGCAGTTGAGATCGCTCTTAGCGGAACGGCAGATGCGGCTTTAAAACAACAAGCGTACGACTTCATCGAGCAAATCAAGACCACCCAAGAAGGCTACACCTCGTGCGTTGATATTCTTGTCAAACAGGGGAATACTCTTAACGAACAGTTCAAGTTTTTCATTTACCAAGTTATTGACGAAAACATCCAGAAATTATCTGCGGATGAGTTGTATAAACTCTCCGATACTTTGTTCGAGTGCTTGAAGAGAGAAGACGTAAACACACCGGTCTACCTCAAGAACAAATTAGCTGGGACCTTGGGTAACTTGTTCTGCTTTGTATACTTAGAAGTACGTCCTTCATTTTTGAAGGACTTGTTATCTATGAGCGAAGAGAGCTCTTTATTGACTGACTACTACACCAGAATCATTTTAGCAATCCATAGCGAAATCGGGGACAAATTCATCTCCAGATCAAGAAAAGTGCAAGAAAGAAATGTCAGCCTCAAGGACAAGATCAGAGTCACAGACATGGCTTCCTTGGTGGCAAACTGGAAGAGTATTTTGAACGCAGGGGCTACTAAGGATACTTCTGATGCAGCAGCTACTGCAACAACTTCAGATGTCTTGAACAACACTTTAAAGATCGTAGGCTCATATATTGAATGGATGGATATAACCCTTTTCGTTTCAGAACCTGCATTCATTAACTGCATTTTCCAATACTTGACCAAACCATACCAGCGTATAACCACCTGCTCTACATTGATTGAAATCATCAGTAAGAAGATGCAACCCGCCAATAAGCTTGAATTGCTTTCCTTATTGAATTTGACACTGGTGATCAATTCTATATTGCAAGGAGATGACGACGATTTGGAGTTTGCAGAAAGCATTGCCAAATTGGTCAACCAGATCGGATTGGAGTTGATCATAGTATTAGAAGGTAACCCTAGCTTGGAAGGCGGGGAGATCAACAGGCAGATCATCAATTTATGGCCATTTATTTTCAACTTCTTGGGCCATGAGTACGACGATGTTACTCAGCAGGTATTCCCCTTCATTTCGCAATACTTGTTGGCTTGTAAGAAGTTCCAATCTATCGTGTCTATAGAGTTATTGAGTAATTTATTGAACAAGATCATTATTAAGATGAAATACGACGACGATACTGATGGAAGAGACGAAGATGAAGACAACGAAGAATTTATAGAAGTCAGGTCAAAATTAAAGAACTTCCAAGATACCATTGCAGTATTGAAACCTGATTTGTATCTTGAAGCGATACCAGTGGTGATTAACGAACTGTTGAAAGAAGACGGGAACAATGACTGGAGAAGAATTGAATTGGGCCTTTACGAGTTAGGAAATTTTGCTGATTCATTAAGAAACAACTTGATTAATTTGCCAAAGCATACCATCTCGTCTTCGGAACCGTTTTTACTTTTCCAGGATTTCCTAGTTAAGTTAGTTAACTCTAACTTTATAATCAATATAGATCACCCAAAGATTCAATTAGAGTTCTTTGAGTTGATTGTTCGTCATTACAGTTTTTTAAACAATAACCAAGCTTTGACGTTGAGAACCTTAGAGATTTTCACATCGCCATTGGGCTTATTTAACCAGCTGGAAAAAGTTAGATTGAGAAGTTGGTATTTGTTCTTTAGGTTTGTCAAATTGACTAAACCTAGACTATCAAAATCCGAAGTGAATTTCATTGAGAATACTTTGAAGAAGGTCCAACCTCTTTTAGTGATCAAAGCAATACTCCCAACCAATGACGAAGATGGTGCGGTTGTAGTGGAAGACATTTTCAACAACCAACTATACCTTTTCGAAACGATGGGGTTGCTTATATCCTTGGGATCATCTGAAGTTGACTCGAAATTGAAGTTGATCGATTTGATTTTCCAACCATTATTCAGAAACCTTGAAGAATGCGTGGAGGCGTCGCAGGCCGGAGGTGCTCTGAACATGAACTTGATTGCATTACAAGCACATCACTTACTAATGGCAATTGGTACTTTCGCAAGAGGGTACGACTACGACTACAATAATAAGTATAGTCAAGAAATTGTATCCAAAATTGATACTGCTGCCTCGATTGTTATCTTCACATTATTAAACTTTGTCAAGTTTGAAAAAATCAGAGATGCATCGAGATTTGCATTTGCAAGATTCATTCCAATTTTGGGCAAAGATATCAATAATCATTTATCTAAACTTGTATCATTAATATTAAGTTCAAATGACTTAAAGTATAATGAGTTGACGGACTTCTTGGGTTTCTTAGGACAAATTGTACACAAGTTTAAAGCTGACGACAATATTTACCAGTTACTTAATGATTTGATTCTGCCTCTTTTTGATAAGATTTTCAACATGCTTAAGTTTAATGGAGAGAACAATGATTTCGATAACATTCCCGATATCCAGAGAGATAAGAACAGTTTGAAAAAGCTGTTTATGAATTTACTTTCCACCATGATCTTGAATCATAATTCTTCATTACTTGTAAGTCAGACTAATAAGCAAAAGTTCCCACAAGTTGTAGATAGCTTATTTGAATTTGCATATGATTTATCAGACCCTACAGTTTCAAGAGCTGCAATCATTCAATTGGTAAACTTCATCTTGATTATGGGTAAAGGTAGAATTGAAGATCCGGAAGATTCGATGGGTACCGCATTGCCACCAATCGAAGGGATGGAAGACTATCTCATGAACAAATCAATATCAGTATGCTTCGAATTGCCTTTTCAAAATGGAGGAGGTTTCGACATTAAGGATGCTCAATTCAGAATCATTGCTCAGGAAATAGCTACGCTTTTGAAAACATATCATAAGGTAAAGGGAGATGAGTTTTTGAGCGTCCTTTCTACATATTTGACCAACATGGGATTATCACAAGAATTAATGAATGATTTTGGTACAAACTTGGTTAAGCTGGATCAAAGAGAATTCAAAAAATACTTCATAACCTTTGTTACCCAGCTCAAGAGTTAAAACGATTTAGTTTGGAATCGATTGAACAATCAAAAATCAAAAGCAAAAACAAAAATGCATAAACATAAAAGTTTCATAAGAAGAAATAGCATAAATTTCCTTTTTTTTTTATTGGTTAGCCATGAGTTAGCATGAGAAGTATAACTTCTCCATTACTCACTTGCATATAGAATATTAATACATAATACATCAAATAGAAGTACTTATAAAATACTGCCAGTAGAATATCCAAAGCAGTAGGCCATCCAAGAAACCACCAAATACGGCGTTCCCCACTACCTCTGATACATTTTCAAAACATTCCCTTTCCAATCAATTCCTGCTGAATTATGAACTGCAGCCCCTCCGTGCAAACATACTACACCCCACCCGAGTTCCATCGATAAGTCCCTTCAGTGCCTAACAGTTTCCGAACCTCTACAGAACCCGATCAACCAAGCATTTCATCACTCATCTCGAGTCACATGACCCAAATCACCTGACACACTTTTTTTTCCACTCGATGAGCTGCGCAGACCAATCTGAAAAAAAACTTGGTGGTACATCAATCTTGCACTTCAGCAGCAAACAATTCATAAATAGTACATAATTATGGCTGGTTCGAAGGCATTACCGAATGTCAAGGTCCCTCCAAAGGACGAGGAAGAACTCTTGCTCGAAAAATTGGTGTTTGGAGACTCTGAAGGATTTGAATCCAACTTGAAAAAGATTGATAACTTATACGATTTTTCAGATGATGAGGATAACGACAATGCTAGTAGTTTAAGCGACAGTGACGACGAGGGCAGTGATCTCGATGGGGTCCAAGACGAAGACTTGTTCTTCATAGATGACAATGGAGATAATGGAGAAGATGCCATGGAGATAGACGGACATGACCAAAGCAACGATAGTGACAGTGATGAAGACGACAATGAAGATGAAGATGAAGATGCCTGGATTGACAGCGACGACGAAAAGGTCACAATCTCCTTACTATCGTCCGATAGGATCCGTAAACTCAGAAAGACTGAGGCTGATTCGATAATAAGCGGTAACACATACTCAAAAAGAATAAGGTCACAGTTTGAAAAGATCTACCCTAGACCCGAGTGGATCACCAAGCTCGAGGAGAGGCTTGAAGCCGGAGAGAACGATGAAGACGATAATGAAGATTTGGAAGAAGCAGATGGAGATTCAGCACCAGAGCCAACTGATTCGAACGCCATCTTAAACCTCCTCTCAACCTCCGCTTCATTCATAATAACCAAACAGTTGAAATTAATTGCACCCAATAGAATATCCATAACCCGTCTTCAGAATGCCAACCATGTCAAGCCATCGAAGGGTGCCATCCAGACATTATCCTTCCATCACTCTCATCCATTATTGATGACCGGCGGGTTCGATAGAACGTTGAGAATCTACCATATCGATGGTAAGACGAATAACTTGGTGACGAGTTTGCATTTAAGAAACTCTCCAATCACGTCGCTGTCATTCTCGCCTCTCTCGGCTAATTCCAATTTAATCTTCGCCGGTGGTAGAAGAAGATACATGAATAAGTGGGACTTGAACTCAGGTGAAGTAGAGAAGATCTCTCGTATGTACGGGCATGAACAAACACAAAAGTCCTTTGAGTACTTCAAGATATCGCCAAAGGGTAACTACATTGGATTAACTGGTAACAGTGGGTGGTGTAACATATTGAACGGTGTCACCGGACAATGGATTCGTGGGTTCAAGATAGAGGGAACAATAATTGACTTCGAATTTGGATTTGATGAGTCCTTCATTATCATTGTAAATACAGCAGGTGAAGTGTGGGAGTTCGAATTGAACTCCAAGTCGAAAACAAAAAAGGTGGATAACGGTGTGATAATCAACAAATGGCAAGACGATGCCGGAGTTGGAATCACTAAGATCAAGCTTGGCGGACCTAAAAACAGATGGCTCGCCATTGGTACCAGCAACGGTATAGTTAATATCTACGACCGCAACAGTAACAACTTGAAGCCGTTCAAGTGTGTCGAAAATTTGGTTACGTCCATTTCATCGCTTGCATTTTCACCAGACGGGCAAATCTTGGCTATAGCCTCAAGGGCCAAGAAAGATGCCTTTAGGTTGGTGCATTTACCATCTGGAACTGTATATTCTAACTGGCCAACATCAGGAACTCCATTAGGAAGAGTGACGGCTGTTTCATTTTCACCAAACAACGAAATGTTGGCAATTGGTAATGAGGGAGGGAAAGTCACGTTGTGGAGACTTAACCACTATTAATGAAAGAGAAGTCGAGGGGAAAACACAACTTTCACCTTGGATAGAATGCATATAGTAGCATAGAATAGATTAGATATCAAGGTACAGTATGTATAAACACAGACCGTACAACAGAGGAGGAAACATCTTGTCAGTTTCGTGTAGCCTGTAGTGAGTAAGTACATCTGTCTCAACTGAAGACGACATGGACGATGCGTCGTTGGAGAGAAGCCTTGATCTTGCTGAGGCTTCTTCCTCAGAGCCAAAGTTGCAGCCGTTCTGAGTGAACAGACTGCGGCGTAGCACTTAGTGTAAATCAGCACAGAAAGCAACATTAACCCATAAACTGACTAAAACCATTCTTCTTTTGCCCATTTATTTTTCCTTCCAGCCAACCAGGACATCGACTAAAGCCCACATGGTAATACTACAGAAGTCTTTCTACACCACCATCTCTCCACCACAACACCACTGCACCTTATCACCAATTTGGGTGCGCAGGAAAATCAAAATCCAAAATCTTTAGGTGAAAAGTATCGAAAAATTAGTAAATCAGATCGTACCATCATACTTCTACTCCACACAACATCATCCAATAACCAAATATGGGGTTTAAACTATCGTAAGTACACCTGTAAAGCATGACCAAGGAATACCAGAGACTTTTCGAACCGCTGTGGTATCGAAAACGTATATATTGCACCTACTAACATACTTCTAGCGATTCGCAAGCTCGTTACAGAGATCCGCTGACTTTCGAAATGAGTCCAGCATTATTGAGAGTTCGTGCTCCCTTTTTCTGGAGAAACACCGTTGGACTTTTGTTTGTAGCTGCTGTTCCCTTAGGTGTATACGCTTATACCTGGAATATCTTAACCAAGGATGAGTTTGAAGACATTCCTATCCCACCAATCTCTGACGCAGAGTTGGCCAAGTTGAGAAGAGAGTACGAAGAAAAAAAGAAGAGCGGTAACCTTTAAGCAAGGGAAAGTGCTAATGTAAATAGGAATCCAATAATAGTAATAATAATAGTGATAAGAATAAAAATAAAAATACGAGAATCTGATATCATAGTAGAAGACGCTATGACTGGGTCTCTTGATTGTTCCTTGGGCGTTAGTGTACCTTATGTAGTCCCCTTACGATTATGTACGCATACTATTTTCATCTGAGCTCACGAAATTTACATTTTAAATTTTAACCTGCTAGTGACATGAAAGTAATGGACAACTGCTTGATCAAAACTGTGAGAGAAGTACAGTGCTCGAAGAAGTGAATTAGCTGCACACAATTTAAACACTTAAAGTTAAACATCAGATTTCATATACAATTTATAGTAATTGGTATTACTAACTATTCACGTAAATTCACATTTGAATTCATATACATTCACTAATTTTTTTAATTTTATCTCTTCTTCCTCTTGAGGAAGGTCAAATCAGGAAACAACGATCCCTGTCTATACCTAAAAAACCAGAATAAAAAGAGCATCGCAACGACGTCAAAGATCACATAAATGCAGTAGAACCCTAAGTTTCTCCACCGGTGCGAATATTTCATTCCAAGAGACGCCATATAAGTGTCACTGCTACTATAAGCACAGTAACTACACTCACTAGTTGCATCTGGATTCTGAAGATATCCACCTGTAGCATTCAAATATGGCCCTGCGAATTCCATACATGTTTGTCCAGTTGGCGGATTGAAAAATGCATACTCTGACTTGGAACACTTTACTTCTCTACCACTCAAAAGCGTAGTAGTTAAATTCTCAATAAAGTACGTGTAAGGGCTCGCCTTGTTCATGAAAGTCCAAAAACCTGGCATCAAAGAAGTGGGTTGAACCACTCCACTGAAAGCAACTATGAAGGTATAGAAGAACGAAACTAGGATGGCGGCTGATTCGACATCTGGTGAACAATAAAGTAACATCAATCCAAAAGTGACATAGTAAAATTGAAAGAAAACACCTAATGTTAAGTAAAAGGTACCAGCATGAGGACCTGAAGTATCTGCTTGGGTGGGAAAGTAGATCGAAACGAACTGGATGGCTGATCCTACTATGCTATAAGGCATTTCATTAATGCACTGACTAAGCATCATCAAAGACCAGTGATATGTATTCGACATCTTTTCTCTTACTTCATATATGTCACGGCCCTTGATAGCATGTGCTTGGGATTGGTTAATTAATGGTGCAGCAACGACAACTGATAAAAAGGCAGCAAACAGAGCATTTTGCATTCCAATGATACTATCCTTTATGCCAAAAAAGGTGAATCCTATGAACAAACCCGATGACGCGTATAGTCCGAGCTTTGAACCAATATACTCGGTGTTTCTGAAAAAGGTCAGAGCATTTCGACGAAGTACAATCATAAATTGGTAACTATACGGAGTCGCATACTTGTTAATCATTTCCTTAGTATCTTTGTCACCGAATGTTTCTTTCTCAGCTTTGATTTTGTATTTAGATATGAGATCATCTCCTGTCTTATCAGCTTCTTTCTTCTCAGGAGAAGCAATCCAAATTTCATGCCAGTCTTCTTTCACAGAGGCAGTGGCCCCAGCTCCAATAGCTTCAAGGATATATTCCGCTGGATTCTCCGAGTCCTCGCAATGTCTTGCTCCATTGCGTTCAAAGTAATCTAATAAGACCTGAGACCGATTTCCTATATCACCAAAATAAACAGTCTGACCTCCTTTTTTCAACAACAATAGTCTGTCAAATTCTTCAAATAAGGTGGCTGAAGGTTGATGTATGGTGCATAGAATAGACTGGCCCGCATTTGCCAAGTCTCTTAATAATTTGACAATAGCCCAAGCAGATTGAGAGTCAAGACCAGAAGTTGGTTCATCCAAGAATAATAACAATGACGGTTTAGCAACCAATTCAACCCCAATACTTAACTTTTTACGTTGTTCGACATTAAGACCTTCACCAGCATTTCCTACAATAGCATCTGCATATTCTTCCATATCTAGAACAGAAATAATTTTTTCAACATAGTCTAGTTTTTCTTGATCACTGATATCATTTGATCTTCTGAGTCTTGCAGAAAACACCAATGATTCTCTAACTGTGACTTCACTAATGTGAACATCTTGTTGTTGAACATATCCAGTTCTCCTACTAAAACTTTCATCTAAAGGTTTGCCATTAACTAGCATGTCACCAGAGATGACACCCATGGTGATTCTCTGAGCTAATGTATTCAACAAAGTTGTCTTTCCAGCTCCTGACTCACCCATAAGTGCAGTCAACGTACCCGGAATACAGTATCCAGATACGCAATCCAACAAGGTCCTTTCCTTGCCATCGTAAGGAATGACGTAATCGACATTCTTCCATGCAAATAAGTCTTGTGACTTCAAGTCATCGAAGACAACTACCTTCTTGTTCTCATTTTCCAATGAAGTGGGAGTGTCTGTAGTTGACTTTTCATTAGGTAGGACTACAGAATCTGGAACTTTTCCACTGATGTAGATTAATTTATCCCCTCTTCCGATGACTGGCTTAAGGAATTCGCTGGCGAAGGCATTCAAGCAGTTGAAAAAGACATAAAATCCCAAAAGAATTCCAAAGTTTCTCCACACGTGTGAAAAGCTATAGGCGAAAGCTTCTCTAACATAGTCATCGCCTAAGACCCAATTCTGACCTTGAACTGAGCCAACAAATGAACAAACCTGCTGACCAGTAGCTAAATTTTCGTACCCAGGACCGGTTGGCGTTAAATATTTTCCATCACATTCCATATGTCTACCATGAAATTCCGATGCAATCATTGATTCAAAGCCATAGAGTAATGGGTTAATATAAGAAATCCATTTGAACCAAGGATGCATCGATGGTCTCTGGATCATGTACGAAGCATACATAAGTAGCGCGAGTAGAAATACACCTGAGACCATATTTGCTCCAGCAATTGTTTTGTTTAGTGAAGCTAATGTTTTGAATAAAGAATTGACAGTGTTCGAAAGCAAAATGGTGAAGAGGAAGAATAGGAAAAACTTCCCAGCTTCACGACTCAAATTCGAAAGGAAATATAAGACAATAATGAAAGCAAAATTCACCACAATACTGACCGGTATAGTGGTAACAGAATAGGCCAATGCATCAGCTGAGAGATGATACATGGAATAATTATTTTGCTTGGTTAAAATCAGTCTCGTACTGAAAGCAGCAGTGACTTCTGCAAGACTCATCAATGTGACACACAATGCTGAGAAAAACACCACCCCTCCACGAGAAAATGAACCACTGACACTATCAGGAGTATTATAATACAAAGAACCAGCAATAAGACCTTGAGAGAGTGCGGCTATTAATTGAGCAACTGTGTATGTTTTATCACCCTTGATAGCTTGGAATCTTCTGATAGTACACAACTTCAACTGTGCAAAGTAATTCATAGTAAACCTAGAGGTCATACGCAGGTATTTCATCTTTTCTTGCCTGATTGAGGTATAATAAGACTCTCTTGTTTCATCCTCATCAACATTAGCACTATAGACGTCAATTTCATCCTGTAATTTTGCAAATTCTGGAGAATTCAACCAATATCTCTCAAAATCTTCGGCAGTTCTTGGTACTTTGTGTTCAAAGCCTGGTTTTGGGAAACGGCCAATTGGGTCTGTAATTGCTGTTAAGAACTCAGCTGTTGTCTGCCTAGCAGGACATTCCCAGCCCATATCTTCAAAATAGCTCTTGGCTAACTCCGTTGGTCCAAAATAGATTTGAAGGCCACGATATAAAATGGTGACTTTATCAAATGTCTCGTAAATGTTTTCACCAGCTTGATAAATTGTAACGAAGGCTGTTGATTTCAATAAGTTGGTAGAAGTTCGAATTGCTTTTGCATACTCCAATGCGGTCGATGAATCCAAACCTCTTGTGGCATTATCCCAACAATAAATTGAAGCACGACAAGCCAATGCTTCGGCAATCGAAACTCTTTTACGTTCACCTCCTGACACACCTCTCACAAAATCATTACCGACCTTTGTGTGATAAGTATGTCTTAAGCCGAAGACAGTTCCTAAGATTTCCTTCATGCCCTCTATGAACTCTTCACGGGTAATGCCGTTCACTCTCATATGAGGTGTCTTACAGGCAATTGCAAACTTCAATGTTTGTTCAACAGTCAAGTGAGGCATATGTTCGTCTAACTCAGGACTATAAATCAAATCTGATCTAAAATTCTTCAACATTTCTGCTTGAGGTAAGCCGTCATATCTAATATCTCCAGAGACAGATTCAAAACCGTCAATGTCTGTTCCTCCTAAAGTTTTCAATAATGAAGAACATCCAGCCCCGGGTCTCCCAAGAACTAAAACCATTTCACCAGGTCTGGCCAAACCGCTGACATTTTTCAAAATGACTCTATTAGGAGTTCTCTTTTTAAGTCTTGCTGCCTGAATAGCGCCGATAGGCCCCTTCAAAAGATCAAGGGCAGTAGGCGCTACAGAAAATGATTCATCTACGCCCGTCACTTCAATGTTTGAGAAGGTAACCCCAGACCTACGCAAATGAATCCCTTGCTCTTGGGCTAAATTTGTAAAAAGTGATAGAATGCTATGTAGATCGAAATCATCCGGATCGATTTTGAGTTCAGGATTCTTCTTGGAAAGTTCTCTAGAAATTATAGATAATCTTTGTAAGACATCTTCATCATGAAGACTAGTTACAGACTTGATCAACTGAAGTCTGTTATGCTCTTCCACTGCATTTCCATCGTATTGATCAATACTGCTGGGGGAAGATGTGGGACTAATTTCATCCATCACACCAGAAAGACAGAGAAATAGAAGGAAGATAGGCTTGAAATGGCTACATCTATTACAATATTCGGAATTACAAGAATATAAACGTTACTTAAGTACTGTGAGCTATGGTATGTGAATGCTGCAAATATCGAGACAAAAGAGACCTAATAGTTCTCTTAGAGAGGAGGTCTAGTTCAGCTGACTTACGGCCGCAGCTTAAACTGGATATGGTGCATTCTATACTTTTCACGTTCTTTTCAATTCCAGTACCTTCGTTTGCACCTCAGAACCAATTAATCCCGGTTAGATATGTACTAACCCATACGGCCGTAAGAAATATTCTTTCTTTTCAACGACGGCTGAATATTTTCTGCAACTCCAAATGCAGGTGAGTTGCCTAATGCGGCGAGTGTTCCGTCAAAAAAATGAAAAGTGTTCCACATCAAGGTTACGCCATATGCATGTAGTGTTTTCCAAGATGGAATCGAACCTTGAAGATTCTTCCATAAAGCATCTACTGTCCTATTTTGATATGAAAACGCCGAATCGTGCAGTACGATGATAAACTTCCACACAAGATACCTTAGTAATGTTAATATCGGATTTATAATACGCCCGAGTAGATACACCACTTTGGTGTGCTGCGGGAGAATACGAAATGCGTCAAACTAACCAGTGCTTTCAAATACGAGACTGAAAAATAAGTCATGTATGACCATTCTCTCGAGTTAAGTCAGTTACTCTATAATTCGACATGTCTTTGTATATGACAGAGTACACGACGCTTGCCTCAGTAGAAATACGTTCACATGAGTTTTGCGTAGCACTTCGGCATTTTGGCCCTCACTCATAAAGATTAATATTATATTCTTCCTAGAAGCCAGTTCTCCTTTTTAGCTATAAGGTTTTCTTTGCTTCCTTCTCCTTTGGTGTACATTACTACGTTAAATAATTCGTTCGTTTACAGATGTGATTCTCTCCGTCCCAATTGTAATTAAACTATACTTCTATCAAATTAAATGCAGAAAATATGTGCAAGTGTTCTATCTATCCTTATTGATTCTAGTTAGACTGTCCATGCTGTAATTGTTTTCACTTGTAATATCATTACTGTCTTCCCTTTTTCTGTAATCGGCCAAGTTTGCTGAGTAATCGAAATTGTCCAAGACGGATGATCCTCTTGCCGGGTATGGAAGTGGTTCATCAACTCCCACGTTCAACTTTAAGGTTGATCCCGAATTCCCATACTTCTGGGAGTAGGGCACATGGGGTTGCGAAGGTGCTCCCGAATATCCTTCAAGTAACAGTTCAGAGTATGTAGATTTTGTTTCGAAATGCTCAGAATCTTTCACTAACGGGGTATCTACCGAGAATGATGATTCCTGATCAGTTGGGTGAAATTGTTCAAACTGCTCGGGCCTGTACTGAGATTGATATGAGTGCTTAGTTGGTGGCATGGACGACTGAGATACAGTTGCCGCATTGGACGCTATTCCTGAGCCCAAACGATCCTGTGAAGCTACGTGACCAGGTCTATAGGGCTCGTACGGTTGTGAGACTAGCTGGCGTTGTTTACCCAGATCCGAAACCAACGAGTCTGTGCTGTTCATAAGATTTTCCCTACTTTCAAAAGGATTTTGGAAGAGCTGCCCAGGGGCCGCATCTGACCTATGCATCATACCAGTAGTCGCTGGCAATGGCTGTGTTGGAGCCTTCCTCAAGGGAGCCATATTTAAAGAAGTTGTGGGCAACTTTGCATCAGAAGCATACGTAAGATCAGATCTAGAATCCTTCCGTGGAACAAGTTGATGGTATTCAAAGTCAGACCTCTTGAACCTATCAGCAAAAGGGTTCTCCTTGAAATCGTCAATACTGGCATTATAACCATCGAATGTACCATTGAAAGTGCTAGTAGAGTGGAGTAATGGATTTCGGGCGATTTCGTCTCTATCAAGGATACCCTCGCTAAGCAACGCCTTCTTACTCTTGTGGTACTTTCTGACTAGCATCCTCACTCTCTGGTTAACAAGGTGACAACAGTACTTCTTCAACAGCGAATAACCTCTCTTTTTCACCCCAAAATAGACAGGGAAGAAGAATATCATCCCCAAGCAAAACTTGAAGAAGAAAATACACCAAATTACGAACGACAAGCACATGAATGACAAAATGATGGAAAGCTTTAAGTTGGTGGTGGCTATTTCTTTAATATTTGATATGATATCGTTCAGTGTATCTTCTCCGGTAGCATAGTATCTTAATGTTAAAATATTGATAACTTGTCTTGGAGCGTCAGCGACAAGAACCTGTAATGCATTGTCCAATTCGTTGTAACTCAAAAAGCATGCCCAGTCGAAGAAGTTATCTTGTTCAATCTTGAAGAACAAACAATGAAATTTATAGGACTTGAGCGTATAGAGCATTTTGGCAAAGTGGTTAACATAGACAAGAGCAATGTTTCTTGTTTTGAACGTTTTGATGGCCCATATCCAGTGGTATAGAATTAGAACAAACTGAAACAATATGCAACCCGTAAAGATCCACTTCGCCACGGAGTATGCGTATGGCTCGTACAGGTTACTGCCCCATTTATGGAACACCAAGATCATCAAACATGTGTATATATCCGAACCTATCAATGCAAGTGCAAGGAGTAGCATACACCACTCATATAAAAACGAAAGGATAGTGGAAAAGTTATTATTATAGAACAGGTTCATGTCCACGACATCAAACGTTGTAGTGTCAAGGTCATATCTGTCGATTTGCTTATCTGGATTGAAGTAGGTGTCCATGGTAAGGTCGTTCCGCTTGATAAAGAATGCAATCAAACGGGTACTCACACACAGGTCAAGCGTTTGAAGGAAAGAAGAACAAGTATGAAGTAATCAAATCAAATCAATCAAAAGAAAAAAGAGCTAGATGTAAATGTTTGTATACCTTTCCTGCACATAGAACACTGATCTAAATATAGCCAGATAGTGGAGTATGTCAACTTTAAAGGTAAACCAAAAAGAGAGTTTAAGATACTGAGAGAGCCAGAAAATAAGTTGAAGCAACCTAGTGGTATCTAAGTATCTCTGGGTTGAGAGATCACGATCGAATCTCAGATTTTTTAGATGATGAAACACCCAAAGTGGAGATCTCCTCGTGTAGCTTAGCATCTTTGGTTTCATGTGAGTCTCATTGCTCGTCTGCGTGAAGAATGTAAGCACGTCAAAAAAAAAAGAGAGACGCGGCGGGTTCATAAGCCCCCGAGAATCTACAGGAAAGGTAAACGGAAAGAGCAAAGGGACTGGAGAAGTGTTTGCTGGGTTTGGAAAGGTTACGGATATCGCACTTGTAGTGTGCTACAGTGACGGGCTCAATATGGTTTTCCACACCTTTTCTTTTTTTAAGTAAATGCGTACTGCCTCTGAACGTTGGCCTGGTGATTTGCCCATCTCAAACCTTATAGTCGGGGTGAAAAATTCCACTTATACGAATTCTAGGCACTTATCGAACGTACTGCAATGCACAGTCGCTACCGATATGCATTGGTAAATACCACACGGTAATTCTGTACAAGGTTATGCTACACTCTTATCGGCACACTATACGTGCAACGAAACCCACAGTATTACTGTATACCTCTGCACTCTTGCTTCTACATTGTTGCTTCCGCTCTCTTGCTCGGGCAGTCTTACTTCTGCGCTGCGGCGCTGCTGCACTCTTGATTCTACGATGTTGCTTCATAGTGATGGAATACACCACTACCACTCTACAATCCATTCAAGCTGTTACAATGTATATTATTCCTATATAAAGGTATGTCTGGAAACTCACTATCAGTCTTTCTCTCCCTCTACTAAGCACCAAGTGTTGACTTAGAACTCACTAGTGGTCGTTTTCTCGCTCTACAACTGTTCTTACTGTTATACTCTATATTATTCCTATATAAAGGTATGACTTGGAATCCAATGCTACTCTTTCTCCTTCAATTAAGCAACGGTTTCCGGCTTATACTTCTTCAACAACTTCTCACTTTCCTCTCTCAAATCTTCTTGATCACTCTTACTCAACTCTTCCAAAATCCCGATACAGGCATCTTTGACTGGAGGTCTGTACATAATCAAGAACTGCAATGATAAAAAGCCAATCTTGGACCTAACCGGGTCAAAGCAAAGACTCTTGATTCTATCTACCAATTCTCCGTTCAAGTACGGCAAATCAGAAAGCAACCTAATAAATATTTTACGATCGTTTGGCTCCAAAAATGGAATCATCGCATCCAATACCTTCCCAGTCCAGTCGTTATATAGGGGTGTCGGAATTGTCGCCTGTGAGAGTTCTTGTTGAACCTTAGCTTCATCGTTGGAATGCTTCTCTCTTAATTCTTCAATCAATTTGTCCTCATTAAAAACTTTCTCGCTGTACCATTCTTCACTTAACCATTCTATAATCAAATCGATTCTAGAATGAATGTTGTCGAGGAAGTGATCAAAGAGAGCTTTTCGAATAATATTAGAGATATTTTCATTCTGTTTAAAATCTCCCCCTTCTTCATCTCCATCGACTCCCCTCATTCCTCTGGTTGCAAGTCTTGTAAGTAATATCAACCAGGAATCCTTTTTCCAACTTTTGATTGCAATTCTTGTTAGTTCACTATCAACTCCAGTTTTGTCACTTTCTGCAATTGGGTCGACATTTGCTCCCCCGTCATTTACAGGTTTCTCTGAAAGCCTGAAGAAGTTTTTGATGATAATGTTGACATGAGACTTTTTCTCCTCAAACGAAAGTTCCTTAGGAGGAGGAAGAGTGAACACAGTTTCAGAATAATCATCTTCATTACTTCCTTCTCTGTCAGCATCGTCGTCATCTTCATCGTCATCATCGTCATCTTCGTCATTCTCATCACCGTATTCGTTTTTAATCCAATTATCTCCACCTTTCTTAGCTGCTTGTCTCTGGAATTTTGGATCGTTCAAGGTATTCTTATACCTGTCTACGATGATATTTAATGCCTTGGTCAATCTTTCTACACTGACCTTATTTAATGAGTTCAAAGTCATCGAGATTAAAATATGCTGTGGTAATGTAGTCAAATCAAAGTTATTCAACTCATTGCTAGGATCCTGTAAGGAATACAAGTTCTTGTAGTCTGCGGTTTTCAATTTTTTCAGGACATTGACAAACCCACCTTCAAATTTCCTCTTTTTGATGTTAGAATCTTGCAGACTAGGTGCCAAGATGTTCTTCTTTCTTATTTCGTCACCTCTAGATATGAGTAAATTAAGTTTCTTATTTATCCATTGCAGCATCTGTGGCGTGGGTGCCAACTGGTTTCTTAAGACGTAACTGAAGAATACTTTCAATGATCTGTCTATGTATTTTCTAGAGAGTTTGAATTCCTCCACCGTTTCGTAATTGGATTGATTCTTCCTCTGGGTATCATAAGATTCCAAAGTGTTTAAGATCTTCAGGATGAAATGAGAGGACTTTTTTGACACGATGACCGACAAATGACTTAAACTGGCAGTGATGAGTGGTGTTACAAGGATGTCTTGATTGAATACAGACAATATCACATCCAAGTGATTATAAGATTGCTTTTCTAAGACCGATGGAATTATAAGCGTATGGTTGGAAGGCACATCGTCAAGATTAAATTGGTTCCTAATAACCAATTTCTTCTTCCCATTACCATTACTGTTACTTTGAGGCTGGTTTGGACTTCCATAGTCAATCACCAAGACGATGAACTTCATCAATTCAATCTTACAGTCAATGGCTCTTCTTAAATCACTTTCCTCGTCGATATGATCCAACGGAAAACTTGACTTATATTTACTGAGTAAGTTTTGAATGATTTGGTTTAATTTAACCCACACATCTTTACAGCCATCGTTCTCCACGACATACTTGAACACTAACTTATAAACCACTATGGCAGTCTCAACCGAATCTTTGAAGATCTCTAGATTCTTAACCTCCAACAAGAATAATAAACTATCAAGTGCATCTATGGCCAAATCGATCTTATCTGTTATTCCCAACACATCATTGGATGAAGTGAACGAGTCTTTGAAAAATTTAGCACACCATTTTTGAACTTCTATGTCTGGATTCGTCGAAAGCTTCAACACTTGTGAAAGAACTTGAGGGAAAGTTGATTTATTGGAGAAAGCCAAAGATTTGGCCTGTTCTAGCTGAGTTATAATCGAAGACATACAATAGAGGGAATGAATATGAAAAAAGGCTTAAAGGCTAATGAAATCAAAGGTAATTTTATGAATATTTATAAAAAGGTATGGCAGAATACTTTTGGAGTGCAGTTCAAGTATCCAATGGAATTTCTTCTTGTATTGTACTTTCTTATTTTGTAAGAGTAAGTCTTTTAAGATTTAGAATTGAGATACACTAACTTTTTTTTTTTTCGCTTTCCCTTCTTCTTCTACTTGATGGTAGCCACAGTACTATTATGTGATATATGTATATGTATATATACGGCTCAAACAACCAGAATGTCAGTCTTTGTTGTGGGTAAGGGTATGCCAAAGGTCGCTACTCGAGACTTGAAAAAATAGCTATGAGAGTAGGGCGTTACCCGGATATCGGATGTATGCAGGAACGATTTATGCAATGCTTCGAGAGAGAGAGAGAGAGAGAGAGAGAGAGAGAGAGAGAGAGAGAGAGAGAGAGAGAGAGAGAGAGAGAGAGAAAGAGAGGAACTACTACAGACATTACAAGGTTCCGCGGCTCCGTGTTAGTGGGATCTACGACGGCGCTGTACTGCTTTTGCGGAGATCTTCATTTAAGGTAATCAATTTTGGGTTTTCCTCGTAGCTCAGCTCCACACTAGTGCTCAGCTCCTCGCTACTGTTCAGCTTTTCGCAGTGCCAAATTCTGATGCGCATGATCTGGGACCAGAAATTCCGCTCATATGTAGACGAAACCGAATCCAAAGGTCTAAGAATGTGGCATACACTCAGAGCTGTCCAGCGGTCCTGTAGTTCTGTATCCTGTTCGTTGCAATTCTATCGCTCCTTGTGAGTCATTACATAGACTCACCCCGTTTTTGCGTGGACGACCGTATCTTCTGTGCTCTGGAAGAAGCGGTTACTCTTCTACTACGAGCCTTATCTGAAATTCTCACGCTGGGAGAGCAGCCCTTAATTTTTTGGATTCTTTTTTTTTTTTTTTTCGTCTTCCTTTGCTCGCTTGACGTCTGCTGTCCCAGCACCAATAGTAAATGCATACGAGATGTGTCAACTGTGTGTCGTAGATTTCATACCCTGGCGACCATTCGTGTGACAGGATCCTTCGGGTTGCGGCATTACCGCCGTGTTGGCTTATCAGCTACTTCCTCCGCTTCTTGCAAATATTCATATCTCATACAAAGTAATTGATTTTGTTTTGGCACTTCCACAGTCGCATTGCCCTACTGCCCCATTTTAGCGTCTATCTTTGTAGATCTTTACTTTTCTGCAGTTTTACTTTTTTCCAAAGGCTCCCCCCTTGAAAATTCAACGGTTATCGTGTTTATCTTATCTTTTTTTCTGATTTATTTAGGCTCTTTTTTCCCTTCACCCTTATTAAGCTTTTTTCCCTGACTGGGTTTAATTTATCATTGTTTTATTGCTGCTGAAAGCCATTCAACCGGTAGTAGCACATACGCATAATATATGTTTATGGATAGAATAAATTCTGAGTCTTCTGTGGCCATATCGGTGAGGAGCCCATCGCCAATCCCATCGGAGGCACAGTCACCACCCCACGACTTGAACATATCTATTCGACTGTCCACCCCCAAGCGTGATTTGGCCTCAGACATTAGCACAAGCTCCAGCCTCAGCTCAAGCAATGCCTCTCTAAGTAGCTTGCCGAGATCTAGCAAGAGGTCTTCTTCAACATCGAATGACTTGATATATGAACGGGATAGGTTTAGGGCAAGGCTCCACACCTTAAATGGGAGCTCATGCTTTCTGACCGAACCCGAGGACGCTGCAACTTGTGACCAGGTCTGCGAAGTATGTGACGAAGTAGGGAGGAAAACAACTAAATTGATGAGCGAGAGAGATACTGATGAAAGCGAGAAAGAAATAGAGACGGGGGATGAAGGTGAAGTAGAAGAAGGGGAAGAAGACGGAGAGGAAGAAGTAGGTGAAGAAGAATCGGAAGCTGTTGATTCGGAGTCGTTTGGTTCAACTTTGACAATGTCCAGCGGAATATCTCCCTTGGATCCCCAGTCGTCATTTTACGCCTCATTGAAGCCTGTAGACTCATCCAGTTTACATCTTAAGCATATGTCGTTCTCTCAGGTGGAACAAGTCTTTTCATGGTACTTTAACAGACCGCTTCCTCCTACCGATGTCATGTTTCCGTGGCTACATGGCTTGCATATGGATAACTTCGCTCAAAGGCAGTTCTTTGTCTACCAACAGCAACAACAGCAACAACAACAGCAGCAAAACAAACAAGTTCAAGTAAGCGAGAGCCATTATGCAAGCACACTGTCTAATTACCAGGACATCTCCAGAAAACCAGAAGGTTCACGCTTTCTAATGACAATAAATGCTGACCACCATATTCCCAAGGGAGGCAGAGGAAGATCTAACTCCACCGATGAATACGGAGATAAGTCATTTGCATATCTGCCTGTGTTGAAGAATAGCGTATCTCTATCTGAGATTCTTCTGCCCATAGACATTTCCAGAGTGGAAATGGTAGAGATGATTGAGTCGCTTGTGCTAAAGTTGTTTCCAGAAGAGTTAGGTGACGACGAAAAGCAAGAATTGGTTAATCAGTTCGTAAGCGATTGTATTAAGGTTAACCATTTACCCACGTTTCTCTATCTTGATCCAGATACGGGAGTATCGCTACGGAACTTCCACATTCAAGTATCCAAGCTGGCGACATTCTCAGATTTTGTCATCTATCGTTATAACACTGTGACTCCGACTTCCGAAGAGAAGGTGTGTGACGATCTGAAGGATAGTATGAGCTATTCGATTGCAAGAGTACTATGGTTGGCCCAAAGAAATGAATCATTCGTAAATGGTCTCTCAGCCACTTCGCCATATAATATATTTGTCGCCAATGAGATCATGGATATCAAGGAACTTGTAAAATCATACAATGACCTTTTCACAGTGAAGCCGAGTAACACATTACCATCGGCATTTCATGCTGCATCTATTACTGCATATCGCCACACCAATCACAATATAAGCAGTGCTTATACTTCAACTGATGATGGTGAAAATTTTCATTTTGATCCGTCTGTATTGACCAGCTTGGCAATATGGGATGGTGATTATCAAGTGAAGGAGAGACTAGAGACTATTACAATGTCATCTGCGACTAAGATTAGTAAAAACGTATGGATAGGGAATATTTGGGACTGCCATATAATGATGGAATCATTGAAGCACAAGACCAACAACTTTTACACTGAATTAGTTGCTTCTGATTATGGACACAAGTATTGTAGTCCAGATAATCTGGTAATAATCAAAGATTTAACCAAATTTTCTAATCCTAATGAAATCCTCAACCACCTTTCAAAGCCAAGAGCTAATTGGAGATTGTTTGTCCATTGTAATGACAGAGCTAATTTCCCTGCCCTTTCTACCCTCAGTAATTTGTTGTTTCAATTCAGCATCTCACCAAGAATAAACTCTGATGCTGATTCAGAAGAATATCACGTTATAGAATTTCCCCCTTCTGGATCTGTCGGTTTGGGTAATTGCAAAGTTGAAAACTTAATGTCCATCATTAATTTATGCAAATTATTGTTCCTTTTCAGTTCATCAACACTGAAGGCACAAGGTGTCATGCTGTCTTTAATATATTGCTCTGATGGGTTCACCGAGCTGTCATTAATTGTTTTGTGCTATCTAATTTACTCTGATAACATAAGGCTTGATCAGGCAATGCTCAAGCTTCACTTAGACTTTGGCAGACCATTCTACATATTTGGTAGCGATGTGCAAATCTTAAGAAAGTTAGAACCTTTATTAAGAAAGTTTAGCCCCCTGAATCCATCTAATAAAGGTAACATATCATGGGGAGAATTAGAAGTGCTAAGTAATGAGGAGATTAATGACTTTCTATTGGGTAGTAATGCCATGAACCAAAGCGTTAGGCTAGGCTACATAGATAATGGTGATGATGATGAGAATGAAAATGAAAATGAGGAAGAAGATGAAGCGGGAACAAGCGACGAAAAGGACGATGTTGAAATTGATGAGGAAACTAACAGTGATTCAGACAGTTCTCTAGTTCACAGCTTCATCAAGAAAAATATTTCCAAGCCTCAGTCGAGTTTAAACCAAACCTCTAGATGGGTGGAAGACGTTGAAGGCTCGCTCCCATCAAGAATACTATCGTACCTTTACCTTGGGTCGTTAAAGCATGCTAATAACTTGACACTCATGAGTAGGCTAGGAATCCAGCACATAATATCTGCTGGCGAACAGCTAGACTGGATTCATGGGTATAAATTCAGAGAAGTTTATGACGTTGAGATTGAGAAGATAAACGATGGCAGTATTGAAATCTACAGAATTAGCAAAAAAGAAGCTCCAGAGAAGAAAAAGGCGAAGAAGAACGAGTATCCTTGCTCTATTACTACAGTTATGAAAGTAAACAATCTTCAAGACGATGGCATCGATGAGCTTTCTACTTCTTTGCCTACCGTCCTCGCGTATATTAATGAAAGATACGAGGAAGAGAAGAATGGGGAAGGAGGTAAAATCTTGGTTCATTGCCGCGTGGGGGTTTCTAGGTCGGCCACCATAGTGATATCTGAGGTAATGAGAAGACTCAACATTAACTTGGCAAGAGCTTATCTTTACGTGCGTGTCAGGAGATTGAACATTGTCATACAACCGAATTTACGATTTATGTACGAGTTATTTAAGTGGGAGGAAAAGGTCAAAGAAGATAAGAGGCTAGTGGGTGATGTGGAGCCAGAGCCGGAGAAATTGAGAGAAATTGACTGGTTTGTGATGTGTAGGGAGATCATGAGATTGAACTTCCCATATTTAAACTCATGAGCCAGAAAGCAAACAGTAAAGCGTTCTGCGTAGCAGAAACATGACGAAGACCAAAAATGTCCACCGTATTTTGAGTCAGAGCATATATAGACTAGCTTCACCAAATGTATTATTATAATGAAACGAGATATAACGAACCAAGGTGCCAGGACACTTGTAAGCCTATGTGTAATCCCTACCACAAAAGACAGTGAGAGAGACCAGACCACTTTACTTTCTCGCATATTTGAAGCTACCGCATTCCTGCAGCACAAAATCATGTCAGTCTACCTAGCCTCACTTTAATGATACTCCTTTTCCCCCATATCCATTCGCCGCCGTTAGTGATGCACCAGCTGCCTCATCTCCCTCCCCAAAGCGGCCCCCAATTCGCAGCCATGCCGCACCTTCTTGCACCAACTTGAAACAGAATTGTGCCCTACACTACAAAATACCCAGCGCTAGAAAGGGAAGGTAGCGATTTTTTCTTGCTGTCTTCTCAATTTGCGGCAAGGAGTCACACCAAAAAAAATTTACAACAGCGGTCCATTTCTTTCACCATTTCCCTTGAGTTTAGTTCATTTCAAGCCAATTGAATTTAAATATCTTCAGATCGTACCCCGTGTGCATAAATTGCGTGTATATAAGCCACTGTATAAAGTAGGAACTGTAAAATATCCCAAAAAGAATAAGCTTCTAGCACACATACCTACAAGCATTCACTCACTTAGTCACTTTGGTTTTTTTAAACCTTCAGAATCCATCACATAGTCATGTCTAATTCATTACTATCCGATCCCTCGATCATACAAGTATCCTCATCGGGCCACTCCACTATACAGAGCCCAATTCCAACAGGAATCGACTCATCTAGCACCGGATCTGCTGGAGCTGGTAGCTCCAATAACCTTGAACCCGGCAGTGCACTCTCGAAATTACTCGACTCAGCTATGGCGAAGGCAGCTAGCGAATCCACACCGGAATTTGAACCAAGATCCAACTCCAACACCCCTAATCAAGCAAGTTTAGACTCTCCTTCATTCTCATCTACTTCTGGGGACAAGGCATCATCAGCGAAGAACCCAGACTTTGTTTACTCGATTGAATTCCTTTTGACATTGAGAGATCTGCCACTAGTAAAACCACATAAAAATTTACCCTTTATAAATGATAAGCATACCAGGGCACCCTCAGGCCGTGAATCCAAAAAACAGCAACAAAATAACAGCAGTAATAATAATGCAAGAACAGGCAAAAAGTCGAAAAAACATGATTCCTTTTTGAATGACTACAAGCCAGGTTATATTAAAGCGGAAGATCTAGATTCACTTCCAGCAGACAAGATTTCGCATTTGTTAGGTGAAAACCCCGATGAAATAGAGCCTGAATGGGATTCTGTTGACATCAACTCGAATAACCCACTTAACATGAGTATGAGCCAAACGGTGGAAGAGTTTGAAAGATGGAAACTTGAAATGAGGAAAGAAGAGCGTCGTCTTAACGGTGAAGAGATCGATGAAAGATTGGAAAGAGAAAGCAAACAGAGCCAGAAGCCAGTTGAAAACGAGGTTGATAATTTCTTTTCCTATGTCAAGCCAACTGTAGCTGGATCTAGTTCGGCTAGTGCAACTCCCGCTCCGGTTGTCTCTAGGAAAGTGTCTGAGACAGGATCCGGATCTGGATCTGGATCAGGTTCAAGTACTCCAAAGATTGCAAATAACGAGGCAAAAAGCTCAAAGTTTTCCTCTTTCTTTAATGCGCCATCCATGCTGCAGCCTCATAGAGCAGCACAACAACAACAACAACAACAACAACAACAACAACAACAACAACAACAACAACAACAACAACAACAACAACAGCAGCAGCACCAACACCAACAACAGCAACAACAACAACAGCAGCAGCAACAACAACAGCAACCAATTGATGAAAACCACTCTAGATTTTTAATGATGATGAAACAAAACCCACAAGGGAATAGTCAAAGTCTCCCACGTACGCCAGGCCAACAGGGCCCTCCTGCAATTTTACGTCAAGCAAGCGGCCCAACAGCAAATGGCGCTCCAGGAACTCCAAGCACTCCAGGTGCACCAGGGCCGCCTGGATTCATTCAAAATGGTAGACCAGGCCCAATGGGTCCAATGGGTCCAATGGGTCCAATGGGACACATGGGACCAATGGGAGCAGGACCTATGGGACCACCAGGAGCCATGGGACCACCGGGACTTTCGATGAACAATGATTCTTTCTTTATGTCATTGATGAGCAAAAAACCCGAGCAACAAGCTCAGGACTCCAAATCTCCATCTAAACCTTCATTAGGTGGCAAGGCAGGCACACCTCAAGGAACTCAACAGAGTCCTTCTCAAGCATCTAACCAGCAACAAGAGATGCCTCCGTGGATGAAGCAATTTCAGCATGCTCCACCAGGAATGGGGGGCCAATTCCCACCGCAAGGGATGAATGGTATGCCACCTGGCATGAGCAGACCTCCCCCACAGATACAGGGACAAATGCCAGGTCAAATGCAGGGCCAAATTCCTCCACAATATGCCAATGGGCCACCAATGAATGGTGGGTTCCCTCCAGGGTTTATGCCACCACCAGGAATGTCAATTCCACAATTTAATGGGCAGATTCCAAGTGGTGTACCACCTCCACCTCATTTCTTCCAAGGTATGCCACAAGGCCAGCCTGGTCAACCACAGAGTCCTCAGGTGCACCAGGGCCGTGGTCCACAAACACAGCCTCCCGGTGGATATCAGGGACAAGCACAACCTCGCCCCAAATATTGAAGAAAAAGAAGCTACAAGAGAATGCTAGATTAAGTCATTGTATATGTTTTAATTTAAAGCGAGCTATAAAATATAATATGTATCTGTAGATGCAGTGAGCCAACCTCGCTGTTGCATAATATTGCTGTAGTGTACAAGAACTGCTTAAGTATAGGGGCACCTTTAGTATAGGGATTACCTTAGCGTACGGACTCCTTTGAGATACGGACTCCTTTGGGATACGGACAGCTTTGACGTACCAAGTCGTATTCGAAAAGCCACGCTCTAAGTATGTCACACAGCTTCTCAGACGTGGGATGAAATCAGCAAGCACAAATTAAGAAGCTGGATATGCTCGTCAGTCCCATTGTTTAACTTCTTATCAGTGGAAAATAAGTCCTGGGAAATGGAGTTCTTTATTTCGGAGCTAATGTCTTCGTTCAAGATGAAACTATCATGCAATTGGTCAATCAACTGTTGAGCACCCCAGCCCTGGAGTATAATTTCGTGCACATACAGCACTAAAGCCTGAGAATCCTTTGAGTTGATCTTTGATATAAGTTCTACTACGAGATCATCCGGTACCACACCTGCAATTTCTTGGATAGTGGATTTGGAAACGTCTGTTTGCATTCCACTAGTAGAGCTCAACTCGTCAAGTCTCTTCGCGGATTGCAAGTAGGTGATAGCCTTTCTCAAATCACCGTTGGACAACCGCAACACCTCTGGCAACACCTGGTCATTTTCCAAAGGAACATTCTCCATTTCCAGTATATACTTCAATCTATTCAATGCATTTTCATTATCCAACAGCCTGTACCTAAACTTGCTACACCTCAGAGCCAAAGGCTCTATGATTCTTGTGATGTAGTTACAGATCAAGCAAAACCGTGTCACGGCAGAGTAAGTTTCCATGGTTCTTCTCAATGCAGATTGGGCGTCATTGGTCATGGAATCTGCTTCATCCAATATAATTATCTTATACGGTGGGCATGGGTAGTTTGCCAAATCTTCAGCTGTTGGATTGGAGATAGTCAACCGGGCAAAGTTCTTGATCTTCTGTCTTACTATCGAGATCCCACGTTCATCGGAAGCATTTAATTCAAGGACTCTGCTCTTGAACAATCTGGGGCCGTACAATTGCTTGGCCAACGCCAAAACAGTTGACGTTTTCCCTGTACCGGGTGGACCACAGAATAACATGTGAGGCAAGTTGGCATTCTGCAAGGCTTTCTTTAAAACTTTCACGGCATGGTCTTGCGACGCAACATCGTCCAAGTTCTTCGGTCTATACTTTTCTACCCAGGGTGTGTGCTGGAGCTTTTCTTCTGCGTAAGTGCTCATGATTTGACTGTAAAGTGGGCAATTACAATACCTATTGGTGGAGTTCTCTCTTCTGTACGCGTTGTCTCTCTGGTGCCTTGACTGTTTTCGTTTTAATTGAAATTTTTCACGCGCTCCAAAAAAAAAAAAAAATCAAGACTGAAAAATTCACTGCTGTGGAGCAAAGCTGGAACACTGTACTCTGAGAGGAGGCCATTGTGATACTGACCACTCTAGGTAAGACCATTTAGACACTGACCACTCTAAGAGGAGATCATTGCGATACTACTACTTAACTGAAGCCCATTGTGACACTGACTACTGAATATTATGAACACTGGCTGCTAATTACTTTGAACACTGACTACTCTGACTCACCACTTTGGACATCTACAAAGGCTGGCCCTTCTATACTGTGTTTATTAGGTTATTAAGGTACTTTATCGAATTATTACGCATTAGCTTTTTGTTTCTTCCTAGCTTATTTTTCTTCTGATTCTCCTTCTTATTCTCCTCCAATTCCCAGAAGTTATGCTGAGCTAAATGCTTTTGGTAGTTGGGAGTTCTTGATGTCACCAGTGCAAACTATAGCTTGCAAGGAATCAAATACTTGGTTGCTTTTGTATTATTTTTAGTTTTATTATTGTTTGTGCTCTCTTTCCATTTTGCTACTGCTCTACTGAACTCCAATCACGCTCAACTCCAAAGTCCACACCCTTCTAATATGAACCTTTACGGTAATGTTGTGTAACGCTTCCCCCTTTACAACCATTCCGCTTACATCTATTTCTATAGTTTCATTGCTCCACCAACACTTTCTGGCAGGCTTCCTCCAAAATAATAACAATTTGGTGTGACTTGAATCGGGATTCTGAGATCTACTCTTAGATAAACTTCTCGAGGCTGCACGGCTAGCACTTGATGCCAACGTTGCTATTCTCGATCTAGATTTTCTATTCGTACTGGAAACAGATGCGTTGGATTGCACAGGCGCTAACTGGGGTGACATTGGTGGAGTTTCATTCTCCAATTCCTTTTGTTTCCGCTGCGCAGCCAGTTGCAATCTTACCAACAGCAATGATGAAACGACACACTTACCTGGCTCCAAGGACCTTGACCCCCATTCTCCATCAACTTCAAATCCAGATGAGCATAACATATCCAACAAGTGCTGTTCGGCAGGTCCCAAATGTTGAGGTATTTTAGGATCTAATTTCGTATTGTAGCCTAATCCACTGAAAATTTGCTTATTTTCAAGCAAGTACAGCGCTACGTTTATTTTACAATGCCTGAAGTTGTCGGCATCAAACCCTTCCATGGGAGGAATGATATAGTAGTCTAAATCTTCTCTCAACACTATGATTGCAGGCTTGTGTTGTAAGACCGAGGCGGCGGTTTCCTGCTGAGTAGAACTACCATACAGCTGTTGAGGAGATAATTGAGGCATCTCAAGCAAGTCCTTTCTAGCCCTACCGAAATTATCAATTATGTACTCAAAACATGAAGGCTCAAAATTGACAAACACCGTATCATCTTCAGTCAAATTGGTAATTGCTTGACCAGAAGCATCCAAAAAGACCCCGTTGGGGAAAAGACAAAGCAATATGCTTTCAGGCAAACTCATAAGTTCTTCCCTTGTTATAGTGAAGTTGTTATTTCTAACGTTTAAATGAATTTTCGAGTCATAGTCCACCTGGTTCTGGCGTTCATAGCTTCGGTTATAAGAGGGTGACTCTTGAGTCACCTGGGTAATGATATCGGCCATGACGAGGAAGAATTAAATAGATTGATAAATGTATAAAGGGAAAAGAAAATGTTAAAATAAATAAAATCTAAGAAAAAATGCTTCTTGATACTGTTGATAATTTGAAGAAACCTCTAGCTCCCGTTATGCCTATACTTTGTCAAAGTTGGATGTTTCACCTTCGGTAACTTTTTCCTCTTCGTTTTTTTTTTTTGCTCTTTTGCTTTTTGGATTTTCCTCGCTCTTGTGTTATCTAAACTAAGATGTTAGTCCTGCACCTTGACACCAGCAATAGGGAGAGCTTGTGGTAAAGTGATAGTAGGGGGAATAGTTGCCCCTCTTCCAGCTTTGCTTCTAAAATTCAGCTCAGGTGCTGTGGAATTTTCGGAAATAGAATGTGTTTCTCAGTATATACTTATACTGGGATGGCTTATGTACGCAAGGTGTTAGATAAGATAAAGAAGAAGGTGGGAAAAAATATCTAGCGTTTGCTGTTTCTTTTTTTTCCGTTCCCTTTCTTTTTTTTTTTTTGTTTGTACGTGAATGTGTATCTATATGCCGGACCAGATTAGGCGTAGATCTTAGACCGGAATTAAAACTAGAGTTAACAATAGGGGGTCGACAGCTAGCTGAGTTGTTGAAAGAAATAGTAGAGACTTGGTCCTTCTCTACTAAGTTGCTCTTTAAATGCCCTGTGTTGTTTACTGAGCGAGTGTGCCTCTTTTTTTTTGTGTATTAGAGTAGTTGTTCTATAGCTGGCTCACTGGCCATGTGGCTCCGGTTCTTGGTGTTCCTCTTACGCTTAAGCCCACAGGTGAAATTGACTGTATGCACTACTACATATACTGACATATGCAGCATACAGATGAGGCCCGAGATGATCAGATTCGATGGACTCAGCTACACCAGTACCAGCTATCTGCTTCCTACAACCCACGGCGTAAAAACATGAGCTGTTCAGGGAACTGTTCCTCTTCTTCCAAAATACCTATAGGTGTATCGATAACGTCGAAGCAAGACCCGGAGCATGAATCCGAACTCTGGTGCGATGCCGAAGTCACATCCACTAATCATTTGAAGCGCACGCACATCAAGCAAGGATACGTTGATGGGCTCTCCAATGCCAAGGAGGCCAGTCTACAAACTGGCTTTGATGACGGATATCCTATAGGTGCGCAGTTCGGTATACGAGTAGGTAGCATTCTTTCCAAGCTAGCACTCCGAGGTGATATAGAAACGTTTGAAGCGGCGAAGAGAGAATTGAACATTACTAATATGCTAAAGAAAAGCTATTTCAATGAGCATCTTGATCTTCCTGAAGGAGAAGACCATCCGATACTTTCCAAATGGGAAGCGATTTTGAATTAGCTTGGTAAACTACTGTAATATGCCGATGTACGACTCTGAACTGCAAGCACTGATCATTTCTACGCTAGTAACTAGCTATGAACCAGCACATTATATAGACAATAACCGCAGGTAGTACCTTGGAAGCGATCTGTCTATAAATAATTATGAAATTTAACACTTCACTCTACTTTCTACGTGGTAGCTCAGTCCATCTCTCTGGTGCCCTCTGGAACACCAATACGGAGATACACTCTTTCGTGAGCTTGAAACGAGCCTCCTACTGTTTGCAATGGGGTGCTTACATTCATTTGAACTCATTAATAGCTCTAGCTGAGAACAAATCCTTCATTAACTAAGTGGATGTGTTTACTAAATAGTAGGTGTTTTACTAGAATTAAACTATGCATTAAATACTTCCTTTGGGTCTTTTTAACGTGTAAGAACTTTTTATCCTGATCGTTTTCTTGATTCGATATGTTTACCCAGTTATATGCCTGGGTGTCTATTTATATTATCATAATCTATGTTCAAATTATTTATTTTTGTTTTGATTTTTACATTTAAGCGGTCCACCAACGCTATTTAGTAGGCATATCTCCAACAACATCTTTACTTAAAACCTCACTCAATCCGAAATATTTCTCTTGGAATTTCAATCTTCCCTTAGACCAGTCGATCCAAAGTTCGCTGATCAAGTACTGCGTCTTCTGAAACATTATAAATTCTTTAAAGCAACATTCTTTTATGAGCCAATCTTTATTAAGTTGTTGGAAAATCTCTTGCTTATCATTAATAATCACTTGCCTCAACTTGGCTAATTCACTCCCTTTGATATCTACGTCATCTGTAGATAATTTCTGGTACCTCTTCTCGTTTTCTTGGATCCTATTTTGTAATTGAGGTATATTATTTATCAGCAACTTCTTCGATCTCTCAAATAACTCCTGCAATGAGTACAAGTAGTCTAAATAATTCTTAAACTTTTCTAATATAGTAGTGTTAATGAGAAAACTCTCATCAATTAATAATTGCGACGATTTATTAAAAAAGTCCAGGATGGATCCTAAGGAGTCATTAATTGCAGACATGTCATCTTTGTTGGAAGTTGACACGATTTTGCTGTCTTCGTTGTTTTCACTATTGGTATCATGAGGATAAACAGCTTCATTCAAAGAAGAAAACTTGTTTATCATCTCAACAAATTTTCCATTATCCAATGAGATTTGCTGTTGCCTCTTCTCGTACCTTTCTACAAGCAAGACACATTTTGTCCAAACTTCGATTAATTTGTTGATGTTGAGTTCAGATTGCTTCCAATCTTTCAAGAACTCATCTCCTATGGTGGGCCATACAGAGTTTATAAAATGAGTCAGGATTTTCATTCCCTTAAACTCTAAGGAATAGTCAACCTTGGCCTGTTTCTTCCATGTTGCCAAATCAGTTGGCACGGAAAGGAAGGTAACTACTACCGAGTCTAAAACTAGAACAGGGTGTTTTACCAACTGGTTTAAAAATCTGTTCAAACCCCTCCGACGCTTTTGCAAGAACTGTGAATCGGGAGCTGATCCTACTATAAGATTAGTATAAAGGAGAAAGAAAAACTAATAAAAAATTGAATCACTGCCAGGACTCGAACCATAAAAAAAAACAAATACATACCAGTAAACTTCTTAGGTGGTAATCCAGGAATTATTCTAAACGGGTACTTTTTCAACAAATATTCAAGTAGCCAAACGAAGTCTGAATATCTTCTAATAACTTTTTTGCTCCCTGCTGGACTCATTAGTCCGAGTTTAATCTCATGTGATATGATATAATTTGTATGTTTGAAAAGGAGTCCTTCCTTCTCTGGCACCTCTTTGATACGGACAAGGTCTTTGCTCCCAACAACAGGCTCGAAGGTATCCTTTATTTCTGTGATGTATTTGGTTATTTCATTAAACAGAATTGGATCGTTGGGCCCACTAATACCTGCACCATCTTGGTGCTGTCTCTTTTGAATCGAAGAATGGTCCGTCAAGATAGGGTCAATAATAGACGAGGGAAGCTGATTGTGCTGATGCTGTTGGTCCTGGTCGTCTTCCGAGATAGAAGTGTTTGCTAATTGAGCATTAAGGGGATCGGGAGAGTATGATCTAACATAATTGCTGTTATTATTAGTACTATTATCAGTACTTTCGTCGTTGACTATTGATTTGACGATCGATGGAGACAATTGGGGCAAGTCATTTATTCTGAATTGCAATGTAACGAAGTCACCAGAGCCAGGCAACTCCAACTCCAATGCGACAAGACCTAAAATCTGATAAAAATTAACAGGTCTCGACGGTGGTAGCAAGTTGTGGTCATACATTATGTCAACAATCTTCAGCTTTTGGTATGGAGTAAGCCCATCCTGGTCACGTGATATAATCTTATTGAAAACAAGTGATTCCAACTCGTTGGTGGTTGAACAGAGTTCACCTACTCTGGTGTAGATTTCCTTGTAAGACAAAGGGACGTTGTCAATGACAGGGGTAGCCGATGACAAGGGTGTGTCGTGAACCGAAGTCCTTACAGGGGGTGAAGGGGTATGTGTTGCTAAAAGTTGGGAGGGCGATAAATATGAGGAGGCGATCCCGAATCCTCCACTATTGCTTCCTGCCTCTCGTCCAGAGGAGGTATTTACAATTGAGCTTGTTGGTTCAGAATTGGCCCAACCATTGTCCCAGGGATCTTCGTGATCATTATTTCCGAATATACTATTATTCATTTGGAAATGTTTGCTATGAATCTATACTGTAAGTTGCAAGTAGACCGATAAGAGTTGTTTTCAAGATGGTCGAGCTAGGAAAGAAAATTCGGGACCCTGTTTATATGCAGTACACTGCTATGGGCACTGAGGAACATGGCTGCAAATGATAAGGAAGTGGTAATTGGATAAAGAGGAGGAAGGCATAGCAAGTTAACTTTTACAGGTTTGCTAGTGGTATTTAGTAGGCACATAAAAATTTGCATATTAACAATCAATTGTAAGCTCACCTCTCTAGGCTAATTTTGCATGTTTCCTTGTTCATCATCTTTTTTTTCCACTTTTAGTCAGGAACTTCAGGTTTAGTTGGATGAAACTACTCATGATAATGGAGTTTGAAAGAAAGTATCATTGTCAATCTGCATTGCCGAGGCAGATAAGTACAAAAGAGCACTCTTGGGGTGTTCCTCTTAGGGCGCGGGGAACTGCTCACCACTCAATATACGGAATGCTCCCAACAAGAAAAGACAATACAGAGAAGATCATTATTCTCCTTTCAAGATCACAAGCAGTCTGAGAATTGGCTTCAACAACATAGATGTTATTGCGTCCTAAGGCATCCATTGACCGATGAATGCGACAGTAGTTTATTTTACCTTCTTGATTGAGTCGGACTTTTCCCCCGCATATTGTTAGAAACCCTAGACACTGCATATGCAGACTGAGATTAAAGGTGGTCTTAGTAAACGAAGCTCATTCAAACTGGCGGACACATACGAAGAGACCAACTCTCCCGATTTCTATATGACCAGATAGTAAAAAATATGGTAATTGTCCGAGGCTGGTTGCATATGGGCATGTATATTTTTGATTCGTACGTGAATACGACTACTGTCACTTATCGTGTACCTTATGGGATGCGTCAAGGTGCGCATGTTGCTGTAGCTCGGGAAGCATTCTAAATACATCTCATCACAGATATTTGACAATAAGTGAGATACTCCTATTGTCCAACGATCTACTCTGATACTACTATGCACTTCGTGCTATACTCTGTTTCTCTTTCTCCTCTTTAATTTCTACGTAATGGTTTTTTAGTTGTAGACTATTGAGACTGCGACAAGTAATGTTTCCTAATTAGGAAACGGCTGCAAAACCTGCTAACTAAAGGGTAACTAAAGTATCTTCATATTGACAAGAGCTGAAAACTCCAATAAACCAAACTAGCTTCTACACGGTGTCTCTATAGCCTATATAATGACAAGAATGATCTCCTTTAGAAACCAGGTCTGCCTAACTTGTCATGAATTTCGGTGACTTAACATGAAATTACTTACTCTTTACTCATATGTGTGTGTATTATTCCACTGTGTTGCATGTGCTCCTGCAATTATGGAGCAACCTTTGCTTCCAGAAGATGACTCATTCTATACTTACCCCGATAATCTCCAAGACTACCAGCTAGGTGAAGTTATTAAGCTTAGAAAGACTCCTCATGCTCTCAGATCTGTTTTATTTCCGTTGCAAGTAAAAAACTCATGGCAAATTTTGACTAGGTCTTCTGATACATTCGGAAACGCTACAGGAGTAGTCTCAACTGTAATTGAACCTTATAATGCCAACCCAAGGAAGTTACTCAGCTATCAAACACCACAAGATTCACCTACGGACAAATGTGCTCCTTCATATGCCCTTCAATGTGGATTAAGCTTAGCTACCCTAAGTTTACAGGGTGATATGCTTCTCGTTCAAATGGCATTAAATGAAGGTTGGTGGGTCATCATTCCTGATTATGAGTCAAAGAAGCTGGCATTCACTGCTGGAAGATTGGCAGGTAAGTGCGTTCTTGACTCAATTAGGGGTATTCTTAATATGGCTGAGGAATTTGGGCTCGACCCACAAGCACAAGTTGCGATGTGGGGTTTCAGTGGGGGGTCGCTAGCTTCTGGATGGGCAGCAGCATTACAACCTCAATATGCTCCTGAGCTAAAGGAAACAATTCGTGGTGCAGCATTAGGAGGGTTCTTTGTGAATATCACCGAAACTTTTATGTCCTGTGACACAACACTTTATGCTGGGTTAATCCCAACTTCAATGATAGGTCTAAGTCGTGAATATCCACAAATAGGAACATTGATTGACGAATATATCAATCCAGATTACATTGATGTATTTAAAGCAAATAGCGAAAATTGTTTAGTGCCATCAATTGCATTTAATGCTTATGCTACCGTATTCGAAGGTGCTCTGGAAGATAAGCTTTGGTTCAAAAACGGAACAGCGATTTTACAAACAAAAACATTCAAAAACATTATTACTGACATCACTTTAGGCAACGATGATAATGCTGTACCCCAGATACCCATTTTCGTCTACCAAGGCCTTGATGATCAAATTGTGCCACTGATCAATACTTTCAAGATTTATGAGACTTGGAAAAGGTTAGGAATTGCTTCAATGGAGGTAAGTATAAGCAATTCAACAAGACATATAACAGAATTCATACTTGGCGCACCAGCTGCTTTTACTTTCCTTAAAAGGGCATTTTCTGGAGATGTTGTAAATGGAACAGTGTTGGATTACAGATATAGTAACTTGGACTATCCAGACGTTGAGCCGCAAGTTATTGAGTTACTATTTGGTAGTTTAAGGTCTCTCCTTGGCACTAGGCTCGGACCATTGGTTTCTTCCAGTAGTCAATTTCTTTCAACTGAAACATTTTCGGATAGTAATTCTACCTCAGAAGAGTATTTTAATCTGAAGAAGAGGAGTGTGATTGATTTCGATGACCTTCTTGAGCGGTATTTAGAATCTTGAATCCTGATTCATATATATATCAATATTATACCAATTTAGAATGGGTGCAAAGTATAGAACAATTGTCAACAAAATAAATCAAAAAGCAGCAACGTTTCAATCCTAGGTCATTGATTCTAGGTGTTCCATTGATATCAGCCAAGACAGCTCTTGACTGTTGAGCTTTCACTTTGATTGTAAAGAATTAGTCTTCGAGTTGCTGAGAACAGTACATTTATTTGTGCCAACTCAACACTGCTCAGTTGCATTCTCCTCCAACAGTGATAGCAAATAGTTCCAAATTCAGCCGCACAAAACGTGCTGCTGAGGTAAGCTGCATGTTCAATTATGCATTTCATTGTCACAACTTAGAGTTAGTGAGTAGCGATGTAAACCTCATCAATGTCTTTAACCACTTTTAGAACCTTTTCCAGGTATTGTAGTTATTTTGAAATTGAGTCAAGTAAATTAAAGCGTCGATTGTAAAAAAGTGTCACCACATACCGTAGTTGGCTACCTGCTAATTTTACCCCAATCAAGAAAACGTACTAACTTTGTCTATATGCAGTATTGGAGTCAAAGTATCTTAATTCGCTTGATAAAAAAAATCCAACAACAACAATTCAAAGTGGAAGTAAAGTCTATCAGAGTAGCATTCAATTGACTGAGACATATACGAGTGATGGCTCTCCAGGATAGGTTGTATGACTTTGTGAATTTTTTCCATGTCGAAGGGAGAATTAACAGATATACTTTAGGGTTAGATAAATATCCACGTTTTAGTTTCTTCCTTCAATGGAGGATTGCAGATCTATTATTTTTATTGGTGTTATTTATCTCATTTTTTGCTACCAATAAGTTGCAGCCCTTTCAAAGACAATTCAATATTAATGATTTGACGATTCTGCACCCATTCGCAGAGCATGAAAGAGTCACAGACTCGCAATTATTTTTCTATGCTAGCTGGGTACCAATCTCAGTGGTAGGTGTGATTGGATTGCTCATTACTAAACCAAAGAATAAAATCTATTTCACGTACATTTCTCTCATTGGATTGTGTATTTCTATTTTACTCACTAGCTCTGTTACAAATATCTTGAAAAATAGTATCGGTAGATTGAGGCCAGATTTCTTAGCCAGATGTATCCCCAAGAAGGGAACTCCAATAGATGTCATGGTATTTGCCAAGGATGTCTGTACAACAACAAACACGTCGTTATTGTTGGATGGTTTTAGAACTACACCTTCAGGACACTCGAGTTTGAGTTTTGCTGGTTTAGGCTATCTCTCATTGTGGCTTAGTGGACAATTTGTAGTTGCAAATCATTCTGTGGGCTCATGGAGGAGTGTAGTTAGTGCCATACCTGCATTTGGAGCAGCTTTGATTGCACTTAGTAGGACAGAAGATTACAGACACCATTTTATTGATGTCCTCATAGGAAGTGTTCTTGGTATTTTAATCTCGTGGTGGAGTTACAGACGGTACTTCCCCTCGATAACTGATGAAAAGAGCTATGTACCCTACTTAATCCAAGACGGTGAGAGGGAAGATGAGGAAAATCATTTCTACGATAGGTTAGAGAGACAACAGGGGCAACAAGAGGATGTGTAGCAATTAGATGACTTGAATGGGTAGGATGGAAGAGAAATATTTAGCATTAGTTTCATACCATCAAAAAAGAAACGTTCATCATTCAGCTTATGTCAACTACCCATGTAGCTCAAGTCGATCTCATACCGATTTGGCGGGGCTTAAAAATACCCGGCATATCTGTCTCGGGTGTGCATTTTGGCGATAAAAGGAATATACTCATGAAACTGAAATCACTATGTAAGCGACAACTTCACTTTTTCATCTTTTTTTTCTAATTATTTCATTGGCTTTTTTCTTCCACAGCATTTCCATGCTGACCGCCTCTGTTCGGATAAGTGTATAGTTGCTAAGGGGAGTGTAGTTCGTATCGAGTGGTCGAAAGGGCCACAGCAAAGCACCATTTGTCTTGTGACAATACTACGTTCTATGTACAGGAGGTGTTCGCATACTTACGCAGGAAGAGTAAGCAGAAACGGTGATTCGTAAGAGAACAGAAGGGGAGCGAGGTAGGAAGAATGGTAGAAAGGAAAATGTATGGCATCAGAGAAAGCGAGCTGGACAAAGACACATGAACGCGTACACAAATATTTACAATATGTACCAAATTTTGTTGGCACATTGTCCACACTACGGTACACAAGCATATGATGCTATCTTTTATTATCAGTGAAGGCCCTGTTTCTGAGCGCTAGCAAACCACGCACAATAAACTTTTTCGAGCCAGTAGTGAGAAAAGGGAAAGAGTTAATTAGCCATAGCCATGAATTAGTTTGGCTAGCCTGCATACCATTTTTCACTTGCTACTGCCCTTTTCTCGCCTTATCGAGTTTCCGCTTATATCTCGTGTATGCTTATTAGTATTCGATACCAAGACTTCCAGTTTCAGTACTTTAATTTTCTTTTTTTTTTTCTTTTTTTTCGTTTATTTTCATTTTTCATTTTAACTGTTTAATTTTTTTTTTTTTTTTTAAACTTTCATCTACCTAAAGTAGTTGGGAACGGCTTGACCATTCAGGACTATTCTTCGGTAATTTGATACGCTTATTTCATTCCACCATTGCAGTCGTATTTATTTTTATAATTTAACTTCATTTTCCTTTCGTTATTCCGCACACAGTAAACTATAGTAATGGCTACTCAAATGTACTGCTTCGTGTCAGGTGGTGACGTTCATTGTGTCCCTGTGGAAGAGGACACCTCCATAGCAACCACGTCGACGGACACACCACAGGCTGCATTGAATGGATCGAAAAACGGGACAAACGGCAAACTTAACGGAGACATATCATTATTGGTACCTCCCCAAAACTTACTTAAAATTAGAAATAAGAATCTCATTTACTCCTTGAATGACCCGTCGTTATCAGACTTTGAGTCTGCTGGTGAAAATGATACGTCTATAAACGAAGACGACGAAGACGAAGACGAAGATGATGATGATGATGACGATGATGATGATCAGAACCTGAACGGAAGGGCCACCACTGCCTCCATCAAAAAGTCATTATACTTACCCCAGTTTACTGTAGACTTGCCGACAAACCTTGCCCAAGACTTTGCTCAAGTAAAACTGCTCTTGACCAGCGTCTTTCCTTGGATAATGAGCCCCAACGAAATAACTGTCAAGGAATTGACCGGGGGTATCACTAATATGCTCCTTTCTTGTAAGCACACTCCTTCAGGTTTCACGGTGCTCATGAGGGTCTATGGCCAAGGAACCAACCTCATTATCGATAGACATAGGGAATTCGTCCTGCAACTCATTCTTAACTCATTGAACTTGGCACCTCCCATATTCGCTCGATTTTCCAATGGTCTCGTTTATGGGTTTTTGCCAGGCAGGTCTTTGCAACCTGAGGAATTGCAAAATGAAAAATTATACCCACTTATTGCTCAACAGTTGGGGATTTGGCATAACAGGATCTCTGGTGAAGACATCGACGAAGGTGTTGAGAAGTTGAGGAAAATCACCATAAGTTTGAAGAAGCAGCACTCTGGTGATGGTAGGCCCTCAATGTCGAGATCTTCCTCTAGAAGAAGACTGCTGCTGACTGGTAACCACCCTAGAATTGGTCATAATCATCCAAAGAAGTCGATCTCTTTTGTGTGGGAGTTAATTGAAGATTGGATGAATATCGTTCCTATTATCCCTGGATTAATAGAGTCATTCCAGGAGAATGATGACTTGAGAGATAATAAAACAGAATTAAACGTGGATACCACGCGTTCTATAGTACAAGCCGAGTTTGAATGGTTAAGAACAGAATTGACCGAAAAATCAAAATCTCCTATAGTGTCTTGCCATTGTGATTTGCTCAGTGGTAACATAATCATTCCTGAGGATTTCTTATCGTCAACAACTCCCCCAACCCAAAATCCCGTCCAGTTCATCGACTACGAGTATATGCTATCTGGACCTCGAGCGTTTGATATTGCCAACCATTTGGCCGAATGGCAAGGATTTAATTGTGACCGTAGTGCCATTCCACTCCCTTCTCCTTCAAACCCTGTTATGGTAAAGTGGGTTCAAGGGTACTTAAATAAACCCAACGCAACCAAAGAAGAGGTTGAAGAAGTTATAGAGGAAATTTCCATGTTCTACGGAATGCCAGGATTCTACTGGGGAGTATGGGCCATGATTCAAAGCGAAATATCTACAATTGACTTTGACTACGCCAATTACAGTAAATTGAGATTCCAAGAGTACTGGGATTGGAAGAAAGATTATTTGAGTAAAACATAATTGCATAATTAGAGCATTATAGACAAATTGAGTTTAGTTTTATATATCTGACTTGTATGTTATTTATCTATGTAAGAAATGTGTATTGTCTTCATTTTACAGTACCATATTTTCATTTGCGTCTATTATAGTACTCATAAGATCTACGAAGCTGTATGGTACAATTTTTGCTTGTGTGCCTCTCTTTAATTTCATGAGTCCTTCCTTCTATCAACTCCTGAGTCAGGATCTAAACAAGGTCAGAGCCGTGGATCGGAGATGTGTATTGGATGACTATCTGTCGAGATCAATAATGGTTGTACTTTGAGTCTTTGTGGAATATAAAACTACCCATCTGGACCCTCTAGACCTCTCTTTGCACATACTATTATAAATATTTACTGCGTAACTTCTAGGAAAGTTTGAAGAAGATAATGTCACCTTTTTGATGAATTCATCCTTCTGCTCTAATGACGTTATCAGAATCATCTTGATTACCTCATCCCTGGCATCAATAGATATAATTGGTGCATTAGCCAAAGATTTCATCAAAGATGAACTTGCGATCTTTGCATCGTTCTCTGTCTCCCACTTGTCACGTTTGTTGTTGTTCTTTCGACCTCTTGGTGCATCATTAGGGACAACTGTCACTTTCTGAGACAAATCTACAGAAAATAATGGTGCAAGACTATCTGAGGTGTCACCTGCAGAATGATGGTTGTCATCCATTGAGAGAACTGATGAAGTAGATGCTGTTGATATTATTTTCAGCTTTGAATTCAATTGAGGTATTCCTGATTCATCGGTATTTCTTTCACTTATCTCACTTCTAAGATATTCGCTTAATTCTTCATATTCGATATCAACATCTTTATTTGTAGAAACATCTCTGATTCTCAACGGTTTGAAATTTCTCTTGGCCCTTCTCTGAATCGTCGATTGAGGATTTTTCACAAGTACGATCCAGTTTGCTCCATCTAATTGCGCTTGATCTAATATATCTTCAATGGTATCGTTGTTGTCGGTCATGAATATATCTGATGAGATGTCATACATTCTAAGGCTCCTTAGTATATCATAACCTGATTCTCTGATATACTGTGGGTTCAAACTTGTTACAAGAACGTCGCATCTCGATCTTCTCCATCCAGTTAATCCACTTCCAAAATGCTGCAAATTCTTCTTTAAAAGTAAGAACATAAAAGTTGATGATAATTGAAACCCAACGGCATAGGGAGTCATGGATTTAACAATATCCTTATTTCCAAAAGATTCAATCAAACTATCGTATCTTCCACCCGATATTATTCTTGCCTTTCTCCTATCCACGCGGAGAACAGCTTGGAACATTACACCACCTCTGTAATACTTATTGTTGTAGTTACTCAATGGATTAAACAATATTGTTGTTGACCCACCTAACCTCTTAAATATCAGGAGGATTTCAGTCAAATAATTAAGCGCTCTTTCGAGTCTGGCAAAATGAGGAGAATCCATCATTGCCTTCCTCAACTTAATCTTAACTTGTTCAATTGGAAGAGTGAAATTGAACTTGTCAATTAAATCCTTAGTGACTGTATATGGAACGTCAGCATCTTCTCGTAGTCTTTTCTTAATTTGTTCAGTCTCAGTTTCAATCCCTAATTGTGATAAAATTCCAATTACTTCAATTCTTTTCCTTTCGTCAATTCCAACATTTTCAAATGAAAAACTAATAATAGAATTCAAGATATCTGAATGATTGATCAATATAACTGCCTCGTCGCTAATGTTACTGCCCTTCTTTGCTTTCTTTGCAAGAGGCAAAATCAGAATAATTTCATCTATTACGTGTAAGCATTCTGCATCGTGAGTAAGCTTCAAATTTGAGTCATGTGTAACTAAGTCGAAGCTCACAGCGCTGTATTTGTCTGGCATTGAACCTGGTCTTTTGTTGGGTCCAGGTTGTCTATATACAAATGCATTCTTGAAGACTTTAACAAATGGTGCATTGTTCTTACTCAAAAATCTTGCCAATGGTAGAGTAAGGTCATACGGTAATTGTAAAATGGATCCACTCTTGTCCAATACTTCATAGACATTCTCTCTAGAATAAAAGGGCAGTTTAGGAAATAATACATTAGTGGTATTATTATTGAAGTCTTCTAAAGCCCCATGTCTCTTGAATATTCTCTTCAATTGATCAATCATCTTATCATAAAGTAAGTAATCATGGGCTCCAACACCAGTGCCAGCTCTCTTATCATCGAAAAGTAAATCTCTGGCCAACACATAAGGTTGCTTAAACAATGTTTCTCTCACTTGTTGTTGCCAAGGAGATGCAGGATCTGCCAAAGACTTTAAAGCTTCTTTAATTACTTGATCTTGATGTTCCACTGGCAAAAGTCCACTGGAAAGTAATTCGGTTGCCCCAGGTCTTTTGGTAGGATCGTGATCTAACAATTTTGTTATAATCTTTCTTTCCAACTTTTGCAGTTGTGGTTTCCAATCTTTAGGGAATTCTATGGTACTTAATCTTAATCCATTCAAAGTATGTGCTCTTTCCATTCCAGTTCCTAAGCTCCAGCACATCTCGAAAAATATGATTCCGAGTGCATACATATCCACTTTTTCATCATAATTACCCGTAGAAATCTCTTTGGCAGTATAAAACAAAGTTCCAACAACAGTAGACCAATCTTTATTTTTTGGTTGTTGGATCTGGTTGTCTTTCAGTACGATCAAGTCAGAAGTTTGGGCGCCAGAAGATGAATTTTTTGCTAAACCAAAGTCTCCCACTTTAACATTATTAGATTTGTCTATGAAAATATTCATTGGCTTTAAATCTCTGTGAATAAAACCTTCTCTATGGATGTATGATACAGCCTCGAGAAGTTGGCGCATCAATCTCCAATATTCATGGGGGTTCTTTGGTAAGCCTTGTTCGATTAAGTTTTGAAGCGTGTTATTCTCGCAGAATTCCATCTGGATATAGAGAATTGATTTAACTTGCAGTTGGAGTAAACGACTATTCGTTAATTGGTTCATAGATCTGGATTGGTTTGCGCTGGTAGAAACTGATTTTGTTGTAGTTAATGCATCTGATGTAGAAGTCTCAGAATCGTCTTCATCTTCGTATTCATCGGTTGAATAGCCAAATTCTATAATCGGATCATTGGAGATGAAATCCACTTGAAAGGAATTATCATGGGTTCCTAAAAATGACGTACTTCTCGAAAAATAGGAATGCAGACCTAGATTCAGATCCAGGAACTCGTCCTCTCCATCTAAAGAATGCTCCAGGCTATGAGTTTCATCCAGGCTATTCTCGGTACCATCATCTAACTCTTCTACCTTTGAATTTACTTCCTTCTTTTCTTCGGGTATCTCTTCGACCCAGGTCCCGTAGTATCTCACGATATACTGATGATTTAGTCTAGATAACGATAAGACCTCACTCAACAAACTATCCAATTTGTGCGCTCTATGTTTAATTTTTTTTATTGCATAGAACGTACCTTCAATCCTATTTCTAGCCTTTACTACTTCACCGAAACCACCCTTACCTAGTTTTCCAACTTCCTCAAAATCTCTTTCATATCTTCCTAAGTTCCTCAAGTTATATGTGTTTGAAGTGTCGGCGTATGATGCTGATGGTCTTCTTCCATTGTTACCAGTAGTATTTCCTATTGTTCCAGCAGGAAGTACGAATGCAGCACCAGGTTGATGAGTTGAAAAATTATAGGGATCATCGTGATTATCACCATTCCATTTTGTGACCGCTTCATTCAATACGGGACCATCTCTAAGGAACTTCACAGCATTCAATTCCATGGGACTGGGTCTCTTTGAAGGCTTAACCTGCAACATCTTACAAAATAAGTCAAATACAATATCTCCGTATTGTTCTTCTCCAGGATAATCCAGCGGGTTGAATTTTGCATAAAATTCACTAGGAGTTTTGAATTTAGTATTCAAAACATCGTAATTTAGCATTATTCGCATGAATAATAGACTTAGGTCCCATATATCGGTCTTCATTACGTGGCCTGAGCTCGAAAATGAGCATTCTCCCAGTAGTTCAGGTGCTCTCCAGTTTATTGGAATCAAATCATCAAAGTATGAGCCTGTATCCACATGAAGCAGTTCATTATTTGGGTGAGCCTTCAACATTTTCAACAATCTGAAGCCATATGAGGCATGAGATATTCTCAAAACTGCAGTTACGGGACTTTCGACATCGAAAACAGAATCATCGACATTTTCATTTTCATCGTCATAGTCTAGACTGTTTTGCTCTTCATTCCATACGCTTATAGTCAATGGACATACTAACTTATGGATAACACCACAGTTTTGCAAATGTTCAAAACCAGGAATTAATTGAATGAGCCATGTTCTGGCCAATGCCCAGCTAATTCTATGGTGCTCACCATCTCCTTTACCAGAGATTAAATCTTTTATCAGTTCAGACGTAGAAGAATATTCCGTAAGTAGTCTTATCTGCCAGCCTCCACTTCCACTGTTATTGGTAGTCTCATCTATTTGAAATCCAATTAAGCTTGCGATATTTTCATGGTTTATGTTCACTATGGACTGCAATTCTGATTCAAGGTCCTGTATATGTTTCTTACCATCATCGGTCTTCCAGAATGGGTTCGTCAAGCTGATTTCTGATAATAAATATGACAATTCTTCGTTTGTAGGATTTATTTTCTGGCTGATATCATGGGGAAAGTATGGTCGGACTATGAATTGTTTACTTATAGGTGAAAGTAAGTCTTTCTTAATAGCAGGTACAAATCCCATCACGGTTTTGAATTTGAACTTCAGCCTATGCATCAATGCAGATGATCTGGAAGGCAATTGACCAACCATTGTATTTGCAAATATAAAATAATCGTTCTTTTTCCATTCTGCTAAATACTTGGCAGAAGGTACTAGGCTTACATCATCATCTTCATTTAAATCATATCCTCCGTTGGTCTCATCGCCATCACTCATATCGTCACCATTACTATTTCCAACGCTGTTGTAATACTCACCTCGTATTTTCAAGATCTGTTTGTTCAATTCTGCATTTTGTTTCTGTTGTTCTACTTTCATTTGCTTCTCTCGTTCAGCTTCCCTCTTCTCCAATTCCAATCTTTCGTTCTTCAATCGTAATTCTCTTTCCTCTTCAAGCGATAGCACCTTTTCGGTAGTAGATTGAAATTCATCCAACATGTCTTTCAAATCTGATATTATTACAAAACATACTTCTTCTTCTACAAACTCCTTTATAAGATCATCGATTTTACACTTCAACTGCTCAACCTTCGCATTCAAGATGTTCTTGGGTTGTAAGATTTTGATCTTAGGTGGCAGGAGAGGGTACGTTGGAGTGAATTCGAAATCCAATAGTATTGATATAGTGGGCCTATCCGAGTGCTGTGAACTTTGCAAAAAGATTTGAAAGTGTGGACTTGGCTTTTTATTCCATACTAATCCTTTCGGAGTGATATCCGTAAAGATGTCTCCATAGATGGAAGATATCGAGTTGAATTCATCTTGCTGTCGAGCTTCTAATGAAGAAGATATAGAATCTTCCTTCATGACACTAAAGACAGCCTATGAACAATTGAATCTGAAGAAGGTAATGCAATTGCAACTGGGTATCCAATTCTCCGTAGCGGAATGTGCATCCATCACTTCAATGATCCATTTATCGTTCCGATCTGTACATCGGGGTTAGTACATAGAAATGGTACTGCATACGAGTGCCGATGATCACCTGCATGGTTAACTAGTGGACCACAGAAGATGCAGAGGAAGACTGGAAGAGAGACGCCACGACGAAGGTTTACAAGATAAGCACATAGAATTCGTTGCGTAGTGAAGTAGTTGGCTGGTATCATGGCAGGCTGTATACCTTTCTACTTTAAATGGGATGAAGATATTTGAAAATGGTTCCTAGTTGTACTGGTGCAATTCGCAGTTTGCAGCCCATTTCTTAATGTGCACCGGCTATATGCAATACCAAGAGCATAGTAGCCATGAAGCAGTATGCGTTTAGAGTATCTTGTACTACTTATCTGTGAACTATTGTGCTTTCTCCTCCGTACTGCCCCAATAATGCATGTTTCTTCTCTACCTAAAGGGCCAGATACTGTACGTATCCTTATCACAACTGATAATCACGTAGGGTATAACGAGAACGACCCAATTCGTTCAGACGATTCTTGGAAAACTTTCCAGGAAATCACCTACTTGGCCAAATGCAAAGATGTAGACATGGTGTTGCAAAGTGGGGATTTGTTCCATATAAATAAACCTTCGAAGAAGTCAATGTATCACGTAATGAGATCCTTGAGATTGAATTGTATGGGGGATAGGCCATGTGAATTGGAACTATTGAGCGACCCAGGGTTGGTCTTTGGGGACGGCTTTAACACTGTAAATTACGAGGACCCGAATTTGAATATCTCAATTCCAGTTTTTGCAATAAGTGGTAACCACGATGATGCTACAGGTGAAGGGTTGCTCCTGCCAATGGATTTACTATCGGTGGCTGGTTTGGTGAATCATTTCGGTAAAGTGAAGGATAATGACAACATAACATTGTCTCCCTTGCTCTTCCAAAAGGGTTCCACAAAATTATCGCTATATGGATTGGCTAATGTGAGGGATGAAAGATTATTCAAGCTGTTCAGGGATGGGAAAGTCAAATTCCTCAGACCAAATTTAGCGGTTGATGACTGGTTCAACTTGATATGTGTCCATCAGAACCACCTGGCTCACACCAATACCTCGTATTTGCCAGAGCTGTTCTTGCCGAGTTTTTTAGATTTAATAATCTGGGGCCATGAGCACGAATGCATACCGTATCCTGTGCATAATTCAGAAATGGGGTTTGAAACTTTGCAGCCGGGCTCTTCAGTGGCTACGAGTTTGTCAGAAGGTGAGGCAGCTGAGAAGAATGTTTTTATATTGAATATCAAAGGCAACGATTACCTGTTGGAAACGATACCCTTGAAAACGGTAAGACCATTTGTAATGGAAGAAGTTAGCTTAAGACTGGAAGATATAATCCCTGGGCCAGCTTCTAAGGATGAGATCAGTCAATTTTTAACTGGTAAAATTGAAGATTTGATTAGAAGGGCAAGTGTACAGTTTAAGCTATCAAACCCTGACTTGTTCGATGATGATGAAGAAGACGGAATACTGGAAGAGGAAATTATGAAGAAAATTCCTTTACCTTTAGTACGATTGAGAGTTGAGTATTCCGGTGGATACGAAGTCGGGAATCCAAGAAGATTTTCGAATAAGTTTGTAGGAAGAGTTGCAAACGTTAATGATGTTGTACAGTTTTACAAGAAAAGAGGAGGAGATACCAGTCATAATAGCAGGAAAAATGGAATAACTGGCAAAAATGGGCAAAACGTTAGGTTCGATGACCCAACAGATTCTATCGATGTAGGATCAGAATCAATCTCATCGGAGATACATGTGCAAGAACTTATGAATGAGTTCCTCAAACAAACCCAGTTGGCATTATTACCCGAAGATGGTATGAATAATGCGGTTGCTAATTTTCTTAATCAAGAAGATAAGCGTAGTTTAAAAAAGTATATCGATAACGAAATGAAACAAGAGACTCAGCTTTTACTCGATGTTAATATTGATTATGACCTGTTGCATGATGGTAATGACCTAAGGGCGGGACAAATATTCAAGAGTGTTCTCTCGGAAATAAAGCGTGACAACAAAAAGAAGTTGCTGGAATCCCTCTGGGATGATATTGATGCGTCGAAATTTAAGTCCCCATCGACTAAGACTAAAGCAGTGTCCGGAAAGGAAAGCAAAAAGAGAACCACTAGTAAATCCATAGTGAGCGATAGCGATTTAGAGGATGAAGAGGATGATGAAGACGACGTTGATGACTTAGATGTGATTGAACTAGATGATGATGATGATGATGACGATGAGCAAATATTATTATCAGATAGTGAAGAAGAAGAAGAAGTCATAACGAAGAAAAGTACCACCAGAACCAGAGCTGGTAGAGCAGCTCCAGGGGCTACTAAACCTGTAAATCCGCCTGCTGCGAAGACTACTACCAGGAAGCCTGCTACTAAAACACCACGGGCTAGACCTGCAAAATCAAAGACAACTAAAGCAACTAAGCCGCCAGCAAAGAGTAAAGATAAGGCAGCAGCGACTCAATCGGGTAAGAGAAGTGTATTGGATGATCTAATGGATATTTGAGGAGATCAGGATAGTTGGAGTACTCACACGTACAATATATAGCTACTATAATTTAGTCACTATATACCCTAGAGTATTTATTATTGAAATATATATACAAGTCCTTATGGTTCTCTATCTATCTTCTGTACTCTTAGTCCATTGATGAAGCTTCAGCAATCAACTTTTCAATATCAAATTCTGAAGAGCCAATTGTAAAGTGATGCAATAATTCTGCTTTTCTCTTAGCACCTTCTTGGTCTCCAATCCCACCATAAAATCTTTGTACATTCAAGACTAACAATGTCGCTTCATCCAAAGTTAAGTTTGCTTCCTGTTCAAGTTGCCCATTCATGAGTACTAAGTCGTGTGTATTGGAAATATCTTGGTGGAACATCAACGTCGTGTGAGGTTTGGCGAATTCTTTATGAAGTTTATATTCAGCTACTGTAGTAATCATACAATAAGTGGTCTGGGGGCCTACAAATGACCATTGCACAAAATGCATTTCATAACCGGTACTACCATCTTCAGTTTGAGCTGAAGCTCGAGGCAATGGAAGAATGAAATTCGGGTTCTTGAAAGCAGCAGCATAGATTTTTGCGAATTGCAAATTGTTCAATATAGCGTGAATGTTTCTTTCTCTATTTTGGAATCTTGCTCTCCAAAGAAATTCAACCTCCTTGGATGGTAATTCCTGAATCTTCTCTACATCTACAAAGGAGGACATGGTCTTGTATGGGAGTTTTGGGGTATCTTTAGATATTGGAGATCTAACTTTTATTGTATTAGCATCTCTTTCCTTTGCAATTTCTTCGGCTTGTCTTCTTTCGTAATCTTCAAGTTCCTTTAAGGGATCAATTTTGTTTAAATCCTTTTTCTTCTGTTCTATCTCGTCTTTGAGCTTAACTTGCAACTCTTGGACTGATCCTGCACCGACTTCTTTAGCCTTCTGCTCAAGTTTTTCTTTGTAACGATCGAGTGGGGAAGTAGTCGAGTTGAAACGTTGAAAATTAATAGGCGATCTGATGAGTGATCTGTAGATGTGCTTACTGGATAAACGAATCATCATGTTACTGGGTTTAGCAATGTGGAGAAGGTACAAACAGAAAGAGGTTCAAGTGAAAAATTTTGGAACGCTATAACTGTGATGTCATATTGGGTTATATGCAGGGTTATATAGTGGATATAGAGAGTCCACCAAGAGGCGCTTACTGATGAATGTAACTAGAAGAAGCATACCTGATGGTATAGAATCGTTCAGTCTATATGTGCTGGTATTTGATTAAAGAGATCCGTATGTATTTCTCGAAGGGATACTCTTACATTTCTCGTACAATGAGGGTATTAGTTTGGCACTGATGCTCAGTCTTCGCTTACCGTTTCTACTATTTGCAGCCATTCATTAGCTGATATTCATTAACATATTTACGCTGGTTTCCCTATATATACCACATTTGTGATACTACTACTTCTATTTGTTAGGTAATCCCTTTGTGTCGTTTTCATTTTCATCTTTTGAATATTCTTCCGGCGCATCTTTGGCATAGTGTCCCAAGGTGCCCTTTAACGATTCCGGTATGTCTTCAAAGACCAAATCGTTAGTAGTTGTGTCAACTGATTCGCCCTTCGCCCTCAATATATCCTCCAAGTTGAATTTATTATCATCAAAGATTTTCAAATTATCGGCGATTAAGTGTCGATTTTTACACCCAGGGCATTGGATGGCTACAGTTCCCTTCGTATATGCTTGTTTCGAAAATGTGTGGGATGATCTGGTATCACACTTTTTACAGGTGAACGCAATCATCATTTGTTGATTTTCAGGCTTAAATTGCGCACTAGAGTTAAATCTAATAGATCCAATTCGGTCACAGTTGAAAATTGCACTGTTCATAGGTTTAGTAATGGCTGGTGCCAAACTAAGTTGTCTAACGTTCAAGACAGGCCATAAATTCCTTGCTGCAAGTAAGTTTCTGGACACATTTTTAGACAAAGACCTCAACATTTTTTTTATTATTTCGTTTCTAATGTATTTTTGTTGTTGAGTTATACCAGGCTGAAGGAAAAGAAACAAAGCTTTGAATGAATACAATACTACGAAGGGATCAGGATAGCTCGGACAAGCTCTCCATCATCATTAGAGAGAAGAAAGAAAAAAAGAATGTTCTACATATTTCATGTGACGGTGCTCGTAACCTCTTGAGATTTGAATTAAAGGCACATTTTATGTACTCGCCAAACAGCATCAATCGCAGCAGAAATGTGTTTGAGGGCTCTAGGGCATATTGCAACACTCACTTGGGACCATTCTAAGATTCTTTCGCTTGAATTACACCATTCTGCCTTGAATAATTTACTGTTGACATCTCTAGCTAGTTTGATGGAGTTTGATCCTGTACATTGTAGCATCTCTCAAATCTCACGCCAGTACGCGTTCAATTTGTTTGGATCGGACTATATGCAGCACCAATATAAACAACAGTATGGATTTGGAACAGATTGGATATCACTAATCGTTTTCTCCATGCTTTCAGGGTCTAGACCATCTTATACTGATATCACTCTTTAGATATGTATGGTAACATTGCCAATAAACTTATCCTTGACGCTAAAAGATCGTCAAATCTTTCTGACATTCCTCTTTATCAACATGAACTTGTAAGAGATATAGTGAAGGAAACCAGTGATTTAAATAAAGACGTAGAATATCTCACAGAGCAACAGCAACTAGATGAGGAAAATTATCTGAGCAACTCCGAGCAAGCCAAGATAAACCAGTGCCAGTTATTTGTAACGCATTTGTGCATGAGAAGGAATAAACGATGCCTATTAGCATACGAGAAATTGCGGGCTGATAAGATCGATGAGTTTACTTGGCTCAACATTGATCCTATAGTAAATACTGAAGACCAAGACAACCAAATAAGGGGAAATAATCAACTAGATGCATCTAACGGTTCAGCAAATAGTAATGTAAATAGTACAGCTTCCAATTCTGCCATAGGAGCGACCTCAGTCTCTGTCAGTGCTGGTGGTGGTGACTTTGGTCCTGGTACCACTAGACTTTCTCTTGATAACTTGAACCACGCCGAACAGGAGTATTTCAAGAACTATCAAAAATTAATAATGCAGTATAAATCGAATTTTCCGGATTTAGATCTCTCCGGTGATTTGGAGCCTCCTACTAACATCTTCATTGATGTTAGAGTGTTAAGGGACGGGGGAGAAGTGCAAACAGAATATGGGGTATTCAATCTCATAAAGGATTCTCAGTTTTATGTTCGTAAGTCGGATGTGGAGAGATTGATACAGCAAGGGTATCTCGAGGAGATATAGGAAAATATCTATTCTGTAGTCCCATAGTCCTGGTCACAGTTGGGGTAGGAAAACAGCATCAGTCATTAGGCTGGTATGAGAATATGCATAAGAGAATAGAAATCTATATTGACATATCTGTATCAGTGTCATAAGAGAATAGAAGCATATATCATATCAGTATCAGTGTTATAAGAGAATAAAACTCTACATTAACATATCTATATCAGTTTCATCAATTTAATATCATAATATACACAAGAGAATACTACTCTAAAAGAACATATCTGTATCAGCATCGTCATCCCCAAAAAGCATGTCATCTTCGAATGTCTCTGTACCAGGTATTGTTTTTGTAGGATCTTCTTCTTCCTTTAGGGCTCCTTCAGCAGGAACTTCCTTCATCTCAGTATCCTGACCCTCGTCAGTCTTTGTGGTAGTTTCGTCTACTGGCTCCTGTTTGACTTCTGGTTCTGGAATTGGAGTATTGATACTAGTTATATTCATATCATCATCAGAGTTAAGTTTTGTCTGATTTTCCAGATCTATGGCATGTGAAGTAGCCGGAGCTTCTTCTGGGACTACGTCTGGGACAATTGTCAGATCCTTGGTGCTATCACTGTCCTCTTCCTCCTTGACTTCTTTGAATGTTGGTTCACTGCTTGCCTCTTCTTTTTTGAGCTCTGTTGGTTTTTCTTCAACCTCCCTCTCTACTACTTCTACGGGTTTACGCTCTATATGTATAATCTTATCCATCTGGCTCAATTCATATTTCATCTTTTTATCTCCAAGTGTTGAATTCTTTTGATCGACACTAATAGGCAATATCATTACCCCATCTTCATTTTTATCGTACACTCCTATGTTATCATCCATGACCTTCACCTCTTTCCTGAGATCTATGGCAACAGTACTCACTAAGTTATATATGGATTTCGTCTGCAACTCGAATTGCTCTCTCAACTCATTCTGAGAAAGAGCATCCAGCAGTTTAGGTGTAGTGTATGTCTGGAAAATTGTAGACATAGAGTCTAAAAGTGAAACTATCTTGCAGTCAATCTCGTGAAGAGAGTTCAACCTCTCTTGAATGAACGTATCTGGCATTATTGTGATACCTTAGCGGAAGCTTCAACAGGAGTAGGTCAACCTTAATTTGATTAGCAAGATGCTCAAATCGGAAAATCGATACTGAATAAAATTCGCGATTTCGTGCCTCTCAGTGCTTTAGTGAAGACTAAGAAGCAGTGGTAATAGCAGGCTCAAGAGCTTGCGATAAGAGCAGAAATGCAGTATACGAAAGCTGCTGTAAGTATAAGAAGTAGACAATAGCAATTCCTCGAGGAAGAATATGAAGAAGCTGAATTGAGTACTTTGGCGGAAATATGCCCTTCTTCCGATCTGAGCTATCTCAAATTTCACTATGGGTGCAAAATGAGCCTAGAGTGATGTTTAGAGCGATGGAGTTCAACCAGACCTTATTAGTATGAAGCTCCTGAGCTCTGAAATTCTATCTGACTGTAGTTGTCGCGACATCTTTGTTTACCTTAGCTCGTTGTCAAACAAATTGTCTCTGATTTACCTCATCCTAACCTTCTTATCTTCAACACTAAAATAAATGGCATGCACTATTTTTTTTCACAGGCTCGCAGGCATGGAACTCATCGAAACTTGATTGTAGTTCTTTTCAGAACCACACGTTTTTCTATACAGACATCAATTTCTTTTCTTTAAAACGTCTCGTTCTTGTTTTGTCCAAATCCATTAACACTTGCTCACATCCAGTATGCCAATTGACTTGGGTTTAACTAGGGTGTCAACCCTCTTAAAGCGACTTGGGAACCCTCACCTTGCATATAATACTATCCACATCGCAGGTACCAACGGTAAAGGTTCTACAATTGCATATCTCTCATCTATTTTCACAAAAGCAGGTATTAAGAATGGTAGATTCACATCCCCTCATATGCTATACTACAATGATTGCATTTCAATGGACGAAAACATATACCCACTCTCTAAGTTCGAGGAGATATCCACCTTGGTAAAACAGGTGAATGTCTCCTTTGAATTGGGATGCACAGAATTTGAGCTTTTAACTGCCACAGCATATAAAATATTTGAAGTAGAGAAGATTTCTTTGGCTATAATTGAGGTAGGATTGGGCGGCAGGTTAGATGCAACTAATGTCTTGGAACCACCTACTCTCTTGGCCACCGGGATAACCAAAATTGCCTTTGACCATGAAAACTTATTGGGAAACACATTAAAAGAGATCGCATTCGAGAAGGCCGGTATAATCAAAAGTAGAGTCCCTGTTGTTGTAGATGGAAGCAATAATAAGGAAGTAATTGATGTAGTTGAGTCACGAGCAAATGCCCTAGACTCTCCCTTGACATTAGTTGATCCGGCAGTTTCAGGTGCTGTTACTGAACTAATTGAATTCTCTCCATTGAAAGGGGCTTACCAAGTTCAAAATTTAGGAATTGCTTTGAAAATAGTAGACATAATATGTTCACATTCGACTTATCAGCTCTGTGTTACACCGGATTCAATAAAGGAAGGTATTAAGGCAACCAAGTGGCCCGGAAGGTTGCAATCTGTAGACGTGCCACTTTCTACGGGATCTACCGTTGAGATTTTGTTGGATGGTGCCCATAATGAAAGTGCAGCGATTGAATTGGGAAAGTATCTTGATTCTAAACCAAACAGGTCAGAAAACGGACTTGTGTATATCATAGCAATGACAAAGGGTAAGAATATAGATTCCTTACTCAAGTACTTGCTATCAAAAGATGATACGGTGATATTAACAGGGTTCTCGACTCCAGAAAATATGCCATGGATCCAAAGTTCCGCTTTGGGGGACCTTGAGGCAATTGCAAGAAAGTACACTGAAAACGTCTACCATGGCAATGAGGGCAGTATTGAAAAGGTCATTTCTCAAGCACAGCGACTCAGTGAAAAACGTGGGAGTGAGATCGTTGTGTGCGGGAGTCTCTATTTATGTTCTGATGTCTTGCGATATGTGGACTCTTACCATAAATGAGCAACATAGGAGGCAGCTTCTCTCCAAGATCTGAACAGTTGAGTGTTCTAGGTCTAGGATAGATTTTGTGTGAGAACCAGGACAAATAGAGCAATAGGCAAACTGAAAATAATTCTTACTTCACAATTATAGAAAATAGATCTACTATATATCTAATACCTAAGCCTTTGGATACCTATATTCACATACCCTTAATGAGCTATCAACTACACTTGTACAAACTTTGTTCTTCTCTGCCCTAACAAATTTGCAGCCATCCATAAGCTCTTGATTTTCCTGCATATTGTGTTGATATGAATGTCTTCATGATTCCTTTACCACGACGCGTACATACTCTTAATTCTTCTTGTAATTCAGTATTTTTTAGGTGTTGGCTTCAGTTTATGAGCAATTGTTAGACTCTAGTAATACAGCAATGGCTATCTCCGATTTTGAAAAGCAAAGACAGGAAAATATCCAGAGAAATAAGGAGTTGCTTCGACTGTTGAATCTTGACTCTATTTCGAATTCCATAAAGAAAGAGCTCCCTTCAAGTCCTAGTCCTTCAACTCTGAAGAGGCAAAAGAGAACTAAAATTTCCCCTGCTACATCCACTCGTGAATCTAATGAACCCTCTAGGAGATCGAGAAGATTAGCTGGTGTTAAGGTTGAGAATTCTGAAGAATATGCTAAGTTACAAAGGGAAGCCGATGCGCAAGAGGAGAAGAAGAAACAGGTTGAAAAATTAAAGCAAACACGGTTATATGGGAACTACCACCTCATAGATTTGGTTACAGATCCAAAGGGTGACTTAAAGAGTGGAGAGAAGGTGTTCAAGAAGGAAGAACACGATGGAATCGACGATCGTAGTAATGGCGGTGTAGATGATGTTAAAGCCGATAGCGCCGTTTTGGACATTTTGAAAGATTTGGGTGCAAAATTCTCTGCTGGCGATTTCTATGATCTTATTCGAGACAAAGTCAGTACCACAGACGACGATTATGATTTAGAAAAGAAAAGGAAAGAATTTGATGATTTAAAGCTTTATGAAAGGTTTGACCCATTAGACATCAAGATCACTCATCAAAGAATATCAGCCGTCACATTCCATCCAGCGACTGAAGATAGAGTAATTGCGGTAGGTGATACAGTTGGGGACTTAGGAATATGGGCTGTTGATTCAAAGAGCGAGAGTAACGAGGATGAAGATGAAGATGAGCCAACGATCTCCATAGTGAAACCTCACGGTAAACTTATATCCAGGCTACTCACGCCTACTGCAGAACCCACCAAGATCTTCTCTGCTTCGTACGATGGTTCAGTGAGGAGCTTAGACCTCAACAAGTTAAAGTCTAGTGAATTGGCATACCTAAATGATCCTTTTGTAGATGGTGACCATCCCTTGGGAGTTTCAGATATAAACGTGTGTGCTGATAACCAAAATATTTTATATATGACTACGTTGTCAGGAAACTTCTATCAGCACGATATTAGACAACCATTTAAGGCTACAGCAGAAAAGTCTTTACTTCGACTCCATGACAAGAAGATTGGATCTTTCTCTGTTAGCCCCAATAAGTCGTACCAGATAGCCACTGCATCTTTGGATCGTACCCTTAAGATATGGGATTTAAGAAATATATCTGCTGCTAACTCATATTGGTCAGACTATGAATTAGATAACCAACAGTCTCCCCATTGCTATGGAAGTTACTCGTCTAAATTATCAGTCTCTTGTGTAGATTGGAACCTGGATGATAGGCTAGTTTGCAATGGGTATGATGATCAGATTGCAGTTTTCGATTTGACAGAGGGAGAGAAACCTGTGGCAAAGTGGGCGGATACGTATCAGCCAAATGTACCAGCCAAAAAGAAATCTAGAAGGAGCTCACCTGAAGAAAATGAAATTCCTGTAAACTTGACTCCCTTCACAAAGATCAGACACAACTGTCAAACGGGAAGGTGGGTTTCCATATTGAAATCGAAATGGCAGCAAGCACCAGCTGATGGAGTTCAAAAATTCTGTATTTCTAATATGAACAGAGGTATCGATGTCTATGACCAAAAGGGACAAATTCTAGCTCATTTGACAGAAGAAAAGGTAGGAGCAGTTCCAGCAGTAGTAGCTATGCATCCACTGCAAAACTGGTGTGTGGGAGGAAGTGCAAGCGGGAAGCTATACTTCTTTGAGTGAAGTTGAATGCCTTTTTCGCTCTATGCATGTTGCTTTAGAAATGAAAATCATTGACATACATACCAACTTCAATATAACACACAATAATGTTACATAGAACTACAAGCTTTTTCTTTCGATTCTTTTTTTTATCTTACACGTTTATTATTTCCTCATAACTAAACTAGAGAAGCTTAAGCAGATGAGGTCATAACTTGCCAGACTCTGATAACGTTATCAGTGTAACCAGCAAATAAGTTTTGACCGTCAGCAGACCAAGCTAAAGAGATAGCTTCTGGGTCCTTAGCCTTAGAACCGATGGCGAATTCTGGCTTTAATTCGTCTAACAAGGTTCTTTCTTCTAAGTTGAAGATCTTGATTCCGGAAGCGGTGGCAGCAGCTAACCAGTATCTGTTTGGAGAGAAAGCTAAAGCATGGACTTCGGAAGAAGCAGCTAAAGTGTATAAGGTTCTGTTTGAGTTTAAGTCCCATAAGATGATAACACCGTCCTTACCAGCGGAAGCACAAAGGGATCCATCTGGAGAGATAGTGATACATGAAACGTAACCGGTGTGACCGATGAAGTCAGCGTTGACGTTGTAGTCGTTTAAGTCCCAAGACTAAATTGAATATGTTAGTAAATCTTGATTTTGGAAGATAAGTTTTAAGAGGAAAAATCATGAACTTTCACCACACCTTCAAGGACATCGGGAGGATTCTATATCAGAGATCTTGGTGATTAAAATATGTCTCATTCGCCGGCTGTGCCAACGTCTGAAGTAGCAAATATGTGTGTACATCATCTAGAATCCGTGATGCAAGAAGATGTGAGGTCAAAATTTAAGAGAGAGTGAAAAGACTTGGAAAGTTCGAGCGCCTACTTGCTCGATCCAGTTCGTTCGTTCGTTCGTTAGTACATACCTTGACAGTCTTATCCCATGAAGCGGAGATGACGGTGGAAGTTTCTTCAGATGGGGAGAATCTAACAGCAGAAACCCAATCGGAGTGACCGGTTAAAGTTTGCATACATTCACCAATGGTGTTCCAAACCTTGACGGTCTTATCTCTAGAAGCAGAGACAATTTGTCTCAAGTTCTTGGCAATAGAGACAGATAAGACATCACCAGTGTGGCCAACAAATCTCTTGGTTGATTCACCGGATTCTAAGTCCCATAATCTTAAAGTCTTATCCCAAGAAGCAGATAAAGCGTAAGCACCATCAGCAGAAATGGTAACATCTTGGATAATGTGAGAGTGACCCTTGAAGGACTTCTTTGGGACACCGTATTGGTTGTCTTCACCTCCAGTTAACTTCCATCTGATTAAAGTCTTATCTCTTGAACCGGACAATAATAAGTCTGGGTGAGCTGGGGTGGTGGCAAGGGAAGTGACCCATCCGTTGTGACCTTCTAAGGTACCTCTTAAAACTAAAACTTCTTGGTTAGACATAGTGAATTGATGTTTGTTTCTAAAGAATAGAAAAGAACTCGACCGTAGAAGCTGAAAATTCTTAGTGAAAAATTTTTTCTGCCAGAGGGTGTTGAAAAATTTCGATGTGGCAGTGTGCAGGATCTCTGCATATTTTTTTTCATTTGGGGTGCATTGGTTTATGTGCAGGACTTTGAATTTTGAGTCTCGAAATTTTTAAAGTGTAAAAATTTGAATTTCATGTTACACAAAGTCGTGTATTATATACAGTCTGAGAATTGGAGAGGATCCGTTCTGAGATAAACTGCGGCAGCGTGCTCGGAACTACACTTGAGGTGGTGACTGTGTTTTTACCGAGCTACATGCAGGCTGTTGAATGCAACTGGTGTGTGCTAAGGAAGTTCAGAGTTGGGTAGTGGGTGGTAATGAGTGGTAGTAGATGGCATTAGGTGAGATAGGAGTCAGTCTGTATGGCTGGGATGTCCTTGGTAAAGAGGAGATAGAGGAAGGGATGTTAAATCTTCCAGTGGCCAGCTCTTGTATATTCACCTACTTAGCGTTAATCACCAGTGAAGGTGTGGTGCTTGACTAGTTTTCTACTTTTTACATGCTAAGCAGATTAAACGGAATTTCTCAGATCTTCTCAATTGAACTCAACTGCTCTCTATGAACTTCCTGGAAGCATATTCAGGTGCTAGATTCAGGCATGCTCTACATATTTAAATTACTGCATATATAATTCGATATTTTCACGTGATCAATATATGTCTGGTGCATCTCTCACGTTCCAGATCTTAGTAAGTAGGGCACAGCTTCTCTTGCAACTAACTTTCTTCTCTGGTATTTACGCTTTCTTTCTCACTTTGGTAATCCAAATAAATATATATATCTTCTGCAAAATTTACTAAACTTGTCACTGTTCACCGTTTTTTACTCATAAAATGGAACAATTGATTAAGAATTTTGAGTTCAGTAGAATTCTCACCACAAACCCTCAAACTAAAAGCATTGTGCTCTTAGGTAAAATAGATGGGGAAAGTGCCATTGTTAGTATAGAAAAGTCTCATTTCATAGTGGAGGATGAAGAGAATTTGGACCTTAATCAATTTGTGGACAGCGTTAGGTTAATCAACGAAAACGATATCTATCGCTGGTCATCAATTAATTTGGTTCAAGATCTTGCCAATAGTCCAGGAGCAAAGTTGAACATCATCTACCCATGTACAGAGACCCACATTAGAAAGTATTCCAGTCAGGAGCAACACTATGTCTTAGAAACCCCAAGTATGTACGAAAAGTATACAAAACCTTACATTGAGTCCATGAAAGGTGATAGAATCAAATGGGTCTACAATATCTTGTATGAAGGTAAAGAGTCGGAAACATTTGTCTATCACGATAAAGACCCTGTTAATGGCTTTGTCTTGCTTCCAGACATGAAGTGGGATAAATTAAATATGGATGCATTATACTTATGTTGCATTGTAAATAGAAAAGATATTAGTAGTATAAGAGATATCAGAGGAGTCCATGTCAACTTCTTGGAGAGCATCCAACAACGTATTAAGGAAGTAGTTTCCAAGGAGTTTCCTGCCATTTCTTCTCCAGACAAATTGAGGATCTTCATTCATTACCAGCCTTCATATTATCATTTCCATATACATGTGGTTAATGTGAAACATCCTGGGTTAGGAGATGGGATTGCTATTGGTAAGGCTGTTTTATTGGATGATGTAATTGAAAATGTAAAGCTTATGGATGACTATTATGAGAAGAGATCCTTGGGTTACTTAATTGGTGAAAACCATGGGCTCTGGAACTTTCCTGGGTTTAAAGAAGAACATTATAAAAGGGAAGGAAAGAGAGAAGCAGATATTGAAATCGGCAATGAATTGAAAAAGACGGATATATAGGTACGTGAGTTTCTTTCCGTATCTATCCATGGTTTCAATATTTATTTGAAAGTATAGTTGTACAATATCAACAGAGTATCTATGCAATTTGAAGTATGTTTTATTCTAATATACATTAATAGTTAAATTCATCACTATTTGAATTAACAGCCATTTTAGCCATTCTTAACATCTTCTTTCTTGGATCTTCATTCTTTCTTCTAGGTTGAATACCCTCTTGGATTGTAGTATTTGTTCCGACAGATTTTCCTAATTTCTTTGGCGTTTCTCTAAGACCAAAACTTTTGGCTAAATGACCCAAGTGCAAAAGTTTGATATTGAAAAATTGTCTCTCGGTAGACAAATGTGTAGCATAAGCACGGATATGAGAAGTGAAAGCTTGGACCGCAAGGTCATGTGCTGACTGATCTTCAAGCAACCATCTTTCTACATCTAAATGCCATGTCGTGGCGTGTACATCCCACTTACCATCCTTGTGCTTGGGATCCTTCTTTGCAGTACTTGCGGACGAGGATGTATCAGAAAAGCCTTCCTTCAAGATGTTTTCATAACCTATAATTCTCAAGTTGCTGCTCTTCGGGTGTACGATCGTAAGCTTTCCTTCTACGTACGCTTCTTCGTTTCCTGGAAGTAAGAATAAAGTGGCTTCACCTTCACGGCCCACACGGGCAGTTCTACCAATTCTGTGCAAATGATCTTCAATAGTGAATGGAGGATCAAATTCAATAACTTGTGAAATACTAGGCAAATCCAAACCTCTAGATGCAACATCGGTACAGAACAAAATTGAGTGCTTGCTGACAACAGCGTCAGCACTTTCTTCTCTACCGTTTGGAAACTTACCCTTTACAAAGGATTGTAAGGTAGAAGTACGAATCTGTTGAGATAAAGAACCATGGAGCTTATGAATAATGACATTATTACTTCCCAAAATTGGGGCCGTCAATACACTTGCAGTTTCATCTCTTTCTGCATCATCCTTGTCATACGGAATCATTTCAACATCATATTTATCGGTTTCTTGGTTTCTAATCTTTTTGAATTGACGTCCCCCTCTGGTAAATGTGTCAAAGTGGAAATCAACAGAATCTGAACACGAAAAAAAGACAATCGTACGGGTATTTAAGTCAGAATTTTCAGTTTTGACTATACGCTTCAAAAGAGCAGATAATGTAACAAGCCTTAATTTGGGAGGTACGACTACGACCTTTTGAATCAACTGATCTGGAGCATGCATAGCTTGAATGTCTATTTCTTCACCATCATCCCCAGTTATTGGTTTTTCATAGTCAGTGTTAAACTCTGTAGTACCTACAGGTCCATCTCTTTCAATATTGATCATTTCTGCATTGTTCAACACGATACCACCTAATTTCTTGACATTTCCTTGCATGGTAGCTGAACACAATACATTGACTCTCTTGTGAGGTAAGTTATTCCATTTCAACTTAGTTTCGTATATCCTAGATTCCTCGTCAATCTTTGTGATAATCTTAGTGATTGTCTCTTCGAATCCCAATTCCATTAACTTATCACCTTCATCTAAGATTAGCCATCTTAGTTGGCTGACATTGAAAGTTTCTGTGTTCTCCATATGATCAGCCAAACGACCAGGTGTGGCTACGAGTATGTTCACACCCTTTCTTAACCTAGCCTTTTCAGATTTCTTCTTCTCTCCACCAATAACAATACCAGGAACTATATGATGGTAGCAACGGGTTAATGACTCCATGACCCCATAGATTTGAGTGGCTAATTCTCTGGTAGGGACCAAGATAATGGCAAATAACCCCAGCTCTCTATTGATACGGTTAGCTTCTGGGGTAGTCATGAGCTTATGGAAGAGAGGTAACAAAAATGAAAGTGTTTTACCAGAACCAGTTTGTGCCTTCACAAACAAATCTCTAGTTACGGCATTAAGAGCCAATTTGGGGATCACTGCTTGTTGCACTTTGGTAGGGTGCTTGAAACGAAGAGACTCAGCCAAATGAGAAGCCAATCTGGTGTTTAATCCAAGTCCGTCAAATGAATTGGTATCCAAAGGAGCATTAGAGGCAGCCTCTGTTGACTTCTCATTGTTGTTATCTTGAGCCAGGAGCTTGGACTCTTCATTGGAGGTGAAAAGAGATGAAACATATGAATTGTTCTTTCCTCCAGATTCTCCACCTGATTCTGCAAACTTGATTGATCTCAGAGAAGGACCCCCTGTACTTGTAGTATGTCTCTTTTTTGGTCCTGGAGCAGATGCATCTCCTGTTTGGGGCCTCTTTTTTTCAAGTTTGGTATTATTAACTCCACTTGCTACAGACTTTTCCTTGTTGCTTCCTCTACCTCTACCTTGAAGCGAAAGCTGCAATTTTCTACGATCTTTCCATTTACCACCAGTAACTTTGGAGACCGCCTTTTTCGTGCTGGCAGCCGATGGTGCTGCAAAGTTCAACAAAATCCCGTCGTCTTCCATGATACTAGATTCTGGAATGGTACAGTTATAGCCAACTAGCTCGAGTCAAAAGCACTACACAAATCTACATGGTGGTTTCGTCTGCAGCAGAAACTTTCGCCAGATGCGATGAGTGTGTATATGCAGGACGTGATGATGGTTTAGAATGGGGTCGACTCAATTCAATCTATATACTCTAGCTAGTCGAGTAGACGGGATGTGATAGTTGTGAGGGCTCTCAGTCGTAATGAGCTAACTTGTTTTGGTCTCCAATGCAAAAAAAAAGGGTAAAAAAAATGAAAAATTCGGTTTCGTGCATTATTACGCTCATTGGCCATGATGGGGGGAGCAGTCCCGGTCTTTTGTTGCGGTTTGCTCAGTTCTGTGGTTGAGCTTATCGGTCTCACTCTGCTCCTTCACGAAGCTTAAGCTCGATGTTTGTGTGTTCTCGTGTTTCATCTTCAATCTCCTTATACCTTCGTCAACTCACTGATATACTCGCTCATGGTCAGCTTACTCTTCAATTCCGTCTCAACAACGTTGGTATACAATTCTTTTCTCGTCTTCTGGGCTTCCTCTCCGTCTTCAAATTTCAACGGAGTCCAACGCTCTTCGTCAAATTTCTTGATGCACCGTAAGGATTCGCCTAATGCATTGTTGGCAAACCCCTCGCCTGTGTTCCCTTGAGCGGCAGCGGACTTGGCATTGGACGTCTGTAACACTTGGACGCTGGCAGGTTTCAGCTGCTCCAAGAAATCATTTCTTCTTTGCGCTTGCCTTGCTACTTCCAAATCATCCAAATATTTGAATGAAGGTCTCAACTGGGCGGTGGAGTCCAATGGGATAAGGATGAGCTTGCCGTCTTCTCGCACCATTCCAGCGTACATTCCCCCCTCTGTCTTGTTGAGCACTCCATGGAGTCCATGTTCTTCTATTTGGTGGCTTACCCCCCAGTCTTCCGATCTTGACTGGTCGTAAAATCTACTTGTGTCCAAAGGGATCTTGAATTCCAAGAATGCTGAATCTTCCTTGATGGAAGGCTTGAGGTTATCTTTGTAAGGAAGGGTTTTTGGTCTTCCAGGATACTGTATTAAATGTAATGATTGAGACGATGGGTTAGGCACCTGACTCAAGATTAATGGTATTGACGAGACGATTGGGTCGTCGTCTTCCTGTTCGTCCATGTCAGGAGAGGAAGCGGATGATGTGGAGGATGATGATGTGTGCTGTGGTTGTTCTTCGAGGGCCTCATGGAACAGACTAGGCGATTCATCGACGTTCATGTGGTCGTCCTCTTCTGCTACGAAAAGCGACATGGTCTAGTAGTGTTGTCAGGGGTGTGGTGGCTGGGAAGAAGGGTGCTTCGATCTGTGGTGAAGATGAGATGCTTGAAATGCTGAAAAATAACCAAAAAAAAAAAAAAAAAAAAAAAAATACGCAGCGCTAAAAAATGAAAAATAGCGGCGCGAGCGCTGGAGCCGGGGCGAGTACTGGGGATCAATGCGGTAATCTAGGGGCGCGAGTCTGGTGAAGAACGGAAATTTTGAAGTTAGGGGAGGGTGGCCCAAGCTAAGCAGAGAAGGTATAGAATGAGATGAGATGTGACATAAGTCGACGCTTTTTGGACTTTTTCTTCTACTTTCATAGACTCATGGTAGTCAGTGGAGATTTTATATAGCAGAATATCAAAAAAACATCCAGAAAGTCTTTTTGGCCTCGTTTTACTTAGCTACTCTTCATCAATTGGTTCCACAGCAGTGTGAGATCTCACAAGTCTCTATTCAATTTTCGCACCAATTCGCAGCCTTCTGGCGCCTACTCTTGTTTTGGAACATGTCTACGTACTTGTAGATATACAATTTGTCTGATGGTAGTCCACACTCAATTCTCTTTCGAAACCTCTTTCGTTGGACAATTGGAATTCTTTTCACTACCCACTGCTTCTCAAAATAGCTCTTCGAGCTTTCGTTAAACATCTACTGGAAACCCTTAACTCTGCTCCTTTCTCTCTGCCTCTCTATCAGTATTCTCGAGTACCTGCAGGACATATGAATTTTCCATATAGCACCAAATTTTTAGACTCATCATGAATCATTTTTTAAAGATCTTCTCTTCGGTTTGATTGTACATTCGTCACATATACAATGAGCTCCTTTAACATAACGGAAGCTTATCTTAAGTTCTTAGAAGATGACCCAGACTTGACTATGCCGATCGCTGCAATCGAGTCCTTGGTTACCATGCTTAGAGTCAAGCAGCCTTCTACCTCTTCCGAATTGATCAATTTGGTCAAATCGAACATCGAAGTCCTTAAATCCTCTATCTCCAACGCCATTTCTCTTTCCGCAGGTTGTGATTTATTCATGAGATTCGTCTTAAGAAACACAAACTTATATTCGGATTGGGAATCTTGTAAGAAAAATTTGGTGGAGAATGGTGAGTTGTTTGTACAAAGAGCTAAGGAATCAAGATTTAAACTGGCTGAATTTGGTATACCATTCATTAAAGATGACGACACTATTTTAGTGCACTCATTCTCTCGTGTTGTGTATCAGTTATTGTTGTTAAGTAAAAAGGAAAAAATGATCAGGTTCAGAGTCATAGTGACTGAATCGAGACCAACAGGTAAGGGCTACCATATGGCCAAACTATTGCAAGAGGCTGGCATCCCCGTAGAATTAATCGTAGATAACGCTGTTGGATTTGTGTTGCATAAGGTGGACAAGATCCTTGTAGGAGCTGAAGGTGTGGCTGAGAGTGGTGGTATTATAAATCATATTGGTTCGTATCAGATTGGGTGCTTGGCCAAGGCTAACAACAAGCCATTCTACGTGGCCACCGAGTCTCATAAGTTCGTAAGATTATTCCCCTTGTCACCAAACGATTTACCGGAAGAGATCAATAAGTTGATCGCATCTCAGGTGCCCTCTGAGTCAAACACAGACGTTGCATTAAATACTCCATTAATCGACTTCACTCCACATGAGTACATCACTGCATTGATCACTGACTTGGGAGTATTGACGCCGTCGGCTGTTTCTGAGGAATTGATCAAGATGTGGTATGATTAAGAAAGAATTAATAGAAATGACTACAATACAGTATAAAGGTGATTACATATTTCAATGTAGGAATAAAATTTAGTTTATATTTTGCATATATCGATTCCCATTCTAAACTTCCATGATTACTGCTTTGAGCTTCTTCTCCAAATCATCTGGATCGTAGTAATTCAGGTCTCCTAGTCTCTTCACTTCTACACAGTTGATCCCTTTACTCTTTAAACTTTCCTGGTCTACAAGAATCTGTGAGTCTTCAAGATAAACTATGTGGCTAACAACATTGGTCCATGGAACGTCCTTTCCAGCGGTTGCCGCTCCGCCATCTGCATTGGTGCTGTGCCCAAGTGAATAGACTGTCAGCTTGACAAGAACATCTACAAAGTCAATAGCGCACATGCCATTGGTTTCTCTATCGTGGCAGCCGTTGAGAAGTAGAATTTTCTTCTTGACAGGATTGTTCAAGATAGCCTTGCCTACACCCTTAAGGATAACAACAGGGACCACACTTGTCATAAGTGAGCCTATTGAGAACACAATGCAATCGGCTTTAGAAAGTGTAGTTGTAACTCTGTTGTGAGCAATTGGACATATTTCTTCTCCATGTGGCGAAATATAAAATATCCTTTCAATAGGCGAAAGTAAAGGCTCAATGTTGTCAGACTTGCTGATGTGAAGCTGAGATATTTTTAAATCAGGGTGGATGTACTGGGGCGTGTTTCCTGACTCTTCATCATCTGATGAAACAGCTGAATGGAAGCTTGAAGCCCTGAGAGGAAACTTCTTCTGTTGTACGTTAAGTTTTAAATCCAGGTGGAAGTCCAAGATTTCCCCGCTGTCATTCGAAGGTGGGATCGTAGGGCTTGGTGGTCTGGTCTTATTGATTACAGGGGGATAACTCTTGTTATCCAGAGGATGAGATATCTGTGATTGTCCTGTTATAATCAACCCATTCTCCAATAATGCACTGATATGGTAGGGGAAATTAGTATTAATACAAGGCAATACATGAATGTCAGAGCTGATCCCAGTCAATCTGATGAACAATTCAATGGCCGAGTCCAACGAGCCGATAAACAACCTAACACCTGTCAAAAACAAATTTCCAACATTAGCCAATTCGTATCGGAATTGCTTGTTGGTGTTATGCATTTTAGACCTTTTCAAAAGCTCCGTGTGAACATGAATAAAAAATGAACGGAAGATTTCCTTTGTGGATGGGTTGATGCCATTCCAAAGTTCATGAGACCCCTCGACTATTTCATTCCACTCAATTTTAGCCAGTCTGGGATCCAGCGATAATCTGAATGATAGCAACTTTCTTAAAGGTTCTTGGTTGGTAGGAATCAACCGAGTTAATCTCGATCTAATGTCCCCTATGGCAGGTCCACCGATTATGCGAATGATCTCTGATGTGGAACCACCGTTATCAGATATGGGTAAAATATACGTGATCTTGTTAGAAATCGAGGAAAATAACGGTACGAGTTCATTTGTTGCTGTTCCCCCACTAATGACTGCTATAGACATGTTGCAGAGATGGTAGATTCGTACTAGGAGGAAAAGGTATGACCGTTTGTTTGTATTTTAAGAACAAGCTGTGCACAATTCGCAACCAAACCTTAAAATGAAAAATCTTGGGAACAGCACCAAGTCCGCACACGCGCTAAACATCGGAGTATCTACAGGTCACTGCGGAGAGTTTACTTGCCTCTATTCGCACGATAAGGTTGTTCTATTACTATTTACAAATGTGGTGATATTTAGAGGGCCGTTCGTCTTTTTTTTAAAAAAAATTGAGTTTCACTCGTCATCGCTTTCATCTCCATCACCCATATCTAGGCAGATCCAACTGGGCCATGCCACCTCGTCTCTGAGTATGGTTCTTAGCTGTTCAACCAAGAACTTTTCCACTTTTCCTACGTTTCTTAAAACATTTTGCTCAACTTCACCGATTTCACTCTCAATTCTAACTCTTTTGATAATGTCAATTCTCTCTTGCTGTCCACCAGAAAAGTATTCCACGAAATTACCACCAGAAGGATTGCTGGCGCCATGGTTCGTATTGAAGTAGTCCATCGAGTTGTTGTCATCTATATCACATAAGAACGATAAAAAGACCGAGTTAGACAAGTAAGCAATGGCCACAATGGAATGGATGTTCAAGTCAGTTACATGTAACTTAATAGGCAATGTGATGAAATTTGGAGAAGGGTAATTTACTAGCAAATTCACGTTAATTTCAAGATGAAGATCGCCCTGGTACTTGATCTCTGCTATGAACTGGATATCGTTGTCACTCTTACTGTTGTTGACATCACTTACAGCTTTCCTCTGCATTAGGGTACTAGAGTACGGGTTTTGGGGGTGGCTTAAGATGTTTGTAGGCGTTTCTGATCTATTTATGTTATTTAATATTCCAAGGTTATTCATGCTGTAGTTAAGACCATTTAAAAGTCCTGTAGTTGGGTCTCCGCTACTTCCTGTTTGTATCAGTGCCTGGACCAGGCTTTCCTCTTGTTTGATTTGATTCTGAATTTCACGATCTCCTGGGCCTCCCATAGTAGTATTGCTTCTGATCTCTCGATCTTCACTCAAGTCTTGTAAGTCGTATTCCTCACCTTCGTCATCAGAGTCTGAATCTGAATCGCTCTCTACATGGAAAACTTCTTTGTTGCTATTGCTATTGTTATTATTGTTATTGCTATTGCTGTTGACATTACTGTTAGTATTCTCATCTTCGTCATCTTCCTTTTTATAGAACTCTTCAAAGGGATCTCCGATGTGCCGTATTGTGACTTCCGGAGGGTTTGTTCCTAGACTAAAGGCTTTCACTGAGAGATCATTTATGTACGAGGGCAACACTAAGTCGCTGAATTGCTTATCAAGGAATTGTTTAATGGACTCATTAACGGATCCATCGCCTACTAGATGTTCCCAATTGATCTCAAATGACATTTTCAACAAGATTCAATGACTTTAGGCTGTTCCAATCTACCTTGGCAAACCACTCTACAAGAATTCGGGGTCTGTGCTTCGAAATCAATATATGTGTGTTTGTATGCAGGATAGTAATTCGTTATAAAAGCAACCGTTGGGTGCAAATTCAAGCTTCATACTGCAAGCATACAGCGTCATTTTGAAACTATAATTATCACAAGAGCCCTTGTTTTGCTGAATTAGAAGCTAATTATTGAAGTGATTTCACTTTGGTCGAATTCAGGCTAATCTAGCATAAAAAGACAAGTTAAAATTTCTGTCTATGAAGGTTGATTGTAACCTAAACTACTGGTGAGGTAGAGATTCTATAGACGCTATTTGGAATACTTTATTGCATCTCAGACAGCTTGTCATTGGATTCAAAGAAAAATTTACCAAAGTACTGGAATACTGCTGAACGTATTGTTATCCTTCGTGTTTTTGTTAATAATCGAGCGACTCTCCTACCACACTAACGCACAATCTATAGCTTAGCCGCCAAACCACTCAAATTAATTGACTGAACTTGTTATGTTTGTTATTAAGAAACGCATTAAGTGTGAACAACTTGTTATAGTTCTAAAGTTACCCTTCATTCCCTTTCAGAATCCGTCTTTTACCACTTATAAAGTTTTGATTTGAATTGATCCAGGACAGTAAGCTGGATATATAATCAGTATGAAGCTTAATTTGTCAATTGCTACTGTGCTACTCCTTTTAATCGTATCTACTGTTTCCTCAGTAAAAGAAAAGTCAACATCGGAGTTTCCTCAGCATAAAGCTTCAGTATTGCTCGAGAATAGGTCTGATAATCTGAACATTGCACAGCAGGTTTTACTCGATGGTTACCCTGAGCAAGCAATCTACCTTTGGAGAACTTTTGGTTAGAGTTGATAATTGTCAACTATGAGAATCCAGAAGCATATGGCCAGATTTCTTCACTGTAGCCATTAGATATAATCAGGTGCTTCAAGCTTATCGCTTTAATGTACAGCTCTCGCTGCAAGTCAGCACTTACAGCACATACAGCACCAACTGCACTTTCAATGCTACTGCTGAGAAGAACGAAATCACTGGAAAGTAAATGAACAATAATCTGATTAATTACCATATTTTAAAGTGGCCGCTGGATTTAAATCACTTGATGAGAGACGTTGTTGCAAGATCTTCATCCATATGAGTGATACAATCGAGAATTATTAAGATTGATCATTCGGTAGTCTCATTCTTCTTTCACCTACAGCCAGAATGAGAGTCGAGTCGAATTGACCAATAATCAGGGAAGAGTTTTGCCAGAGGCACAGACAGGCGACTCTTCACGTAACTCAGCTGCTACCCCTTACCTTTTCTGCAATTGACACCAGACTGAAAAATAAACAATAAAAATTCGCTAGATATTTATGCCCTCTTTCAGCAATATGCCTGTAATTTAATATATGTATAAAAAGCAGTAGTAGCAGGAATTGCAGAGTCTACCTCGTAGCCTTCCTTCCTTCCCCATCTAAGCACCAAAAAGATATAAATATCGCCATTAATTCATGCCCTTGCCCCATCTGATTATCCATACATACCTAATACTACGAGTAGCCTGCAACCTTCTGGCCCTACTTCCCCATGCAACAAACCTGTGAAGCCCTGGGCCCTGCATGAAAAATGTAACTAAAACCGGTTTTACGATCCCACCCTGCACATAATCCAGTTTAAACACAATTTCTGCACTAATTCTTTCCCGTTTCTCCGGAAAGAAAAAGAAACGTGCGTTTCTAGACATACCGGTTTCGGTGCGAATAAATTTTTCACTGGATTTGTATAGACTCATCTTCTGAGGTGATTGAAGTGTGGAGTAGCACAGTGTCAAAAAAATAAGAAAGAAAAAATTTATTTATACCTTTTCTCCTCTTGAACTTCATTATCATCATATTGTATGATATAACACACCACAACTATTATTTCCCGTTCGATAATATCACATCACGAGCCAACTGGTTGCTAAACATTTATACTTTAGCAAAATCAGCCCTCTGAAATTTCCTATAAGAATTTCATCACTGTCTCGCACTTCCCCAATTACCACAACCAGTTACAGTAGACTCTACCGTATCAAAATCAATTGCTAACTACACCTTGAAACTCCAGCTACCGCTTAGCCCAATTTTGAGGTATTATCATTCATTTTGTTTATTTCCCTCATCAGTTTAAAACAAGAGGTACATACTCATTCACCCAATTTCACTTTGCACAAACATTAAACGAAAAAAATAAAAAATACTCGAGTATTGAGTCATAAGACAGAAAATTGCGCACACTCACATTGAACACAGCACACATACACACAGATATACCACTAGAACATGATATCACCCATTACTATTAAGATCGTAATCATTGGAGTCGGCATCATTGGACCCCGCCATGCTGCACACGTCAAGAAAAGCAAATCCACTGAGCTTTTCGGAATTGTTGATCCGTCCGCTGCTGGTCCCAAAGTTGCTAACGAATTGCAAGTACCACATTTCAACTCAATCCAGGAAATGATCCAGGAATGCGAGGGAACCGGAACTCAGTATCCGGATGGTGCTATAGTTTGCACACCTAACTCCACTCATGTAAAAATATCGGCAGAATTGGCTTCGCATGGAATCCATTTGCTTGTTGAAAAGCCATTGTCCCCCACACCAGCTGAGGCAATGGCGCTCAAAAACTATTGCGACCTGAAGGGCGTGAAACTTTTGGTGGGACATCATAGGAGATTCAACCCTCATATTGTAGCAACCAAGGAGAATTTGCATAAGGTTGGCAAGATCATTGCTATCCAAGGAACCTGGACTTTAAGAAAGCCCTCTGCGTATTTCGAAAGTGCTGCATGGAGAACTGACATAAGTACTGGTGGAGGGGTCTTACTTATCAATTTGATCCATGATATAGATCTCTTACAGTACATGTTTGGACCAATTGAAAGAGTGTACGCAGAGCTCCTTTCCAAGCAGAAATTGCAGTACCCAAACGTAGACGAAGGGGCATGCTTAACAATAAGGTTCAAGAATGGAATTTGCGGAACTTTTGTATGCTCAGACAGTGTTACTTCACCATTTAACTTTGAAAGTGGGACTGGAGAGAATCCAACTATCCCATACAACGATGGGTTAGAGGGGTTATATAGGATTTTCGGTACCGATGGTACGTTGTCAGTGCCCGATTTCAACTTATACCATCAAAATTCAAGTGAGAAGCAAGAGGAGCCTTCGTGGTTGAACCCTATTCAAAAGGAATGTATCATAGAAAATCGTGACGAAAAACTTCTCACACAGCAACCATTTGACTTGCAATTGGCACATTTTGTTGATGTGATCCGTGGTAACCAGGAGCCATTCTGCAGTGCATTGGACGGTATGTCTTCACTGCTTTGCATTCAGGCTGTGCTCAATAGTATTGAAACGGAACTCCCGCAAAGAGTACCTGACTGTGAGAGTATTAAGCCTGACTATAGTTCATTAGGTGTCAAGACATTCCCATTGGATAAAAAATTAAACAGTTGAATAAAAAAAAGTCCGGGAAAGGACACATAGAGGCATTACAATTTCAACTTCATAAAAGCTTGTTTTTCAAAGAAATATGATCAATATCAACAATATCAAACACTTAAAAGTTTAAATAGACAATAAAAGTATAGTTAACCACTGAAAGTGTAAGAGTTGACGGTGTAAGTTCTCTTACGAGCTCATCGATTGCAACCTTTCTGTAGTGCATGAAATTCGCAGCCATTTCTTTCACTTGCCCTTTTTTCGTCCTTGTGTGCACAATAATTTTTGTCTGTACACGACCCGCTCCATCCAATTAACCAACAGTAAAAACCAATTCTAAATATCGAAGTGCTAGAGAAACGAACAGCTTCGATATACTGCTTTACTCAGCTAAAATTACTAGAGAACATCATGTCAAAATTTGTGATTCCAACCGCTTTGAAGGAGTTAAGATTCCACTTGTCTCAAACAGGTGAAGCCTCCGTTCCATTAAGAAATTTCTTGACAACTAACTATGCTACTATTAAGAAGGGATCTCCATCTTTACCAGTTTTAATTAGAGAAGCTTACGGAGTTCCTCCAAGTGTTACTGCCAGATTTGAAAAAGGTAGAGAAGTCAAGAGCAATTTAGAAGGTTTGGATGGTAAGGCCATCGAGTCCTCTTTAATAAGTTTATTGAAGAACTAAGTGTAGGGTTAGCGTACCCAGAGAGTGAAGCAGGCAGACAGATGGAGAGAGACACAGAGAGAGAGAGAGAGAGAGAAAGAGTTCAAAAGGCAGATGAAAAATAGATTTCCTGCATTTAGCGAATTTTGGTGTAACCAACCAAAAGAACGACCCAAGCATAAAAGGTACAAGTTGGCATCAAGCAATTAGGTGGACTCGTCCTTGATAGATTAAAAACGAATATATACAAGTAATAAAAACAGATATAAAGGAATAATTAAGAATGGAACATAGTAGGATAAACTTTAGAGACTCTACATTGTGTTTACTGGGTGCAGGAACTTCAATATGTTTCGTAATCTGATTTTGCAGAAGTCCTATGCCTATGAAGTAGTTCATACATAACCAACTTACATCTTAGGTAATTAAGTTTTTAAATTGAATTTCAATAGTCTATTTGGCAGTAGATTCAAGCTAATCTTCCTTCATTGCCACTATAAGTTTTAAACTCTGAGTTACCAGCAGTCTATTATTTGGGAGTGAACTCATACATACCCCATGCTAGACTTCCATCATAGGCATTATATAATTCTTTTGGTGTATCATTTGCATTGCTAGCAATTCCACTGGCAACTACAATAGGCACAAAATGCTCTGTAGTTGGGTGAGACAGATACAATAACTTACTGTAAGTAGGATTTGTTTGCAATTCTTTGTATGCGCTCAAGTAGTCGCTGTCTTTCGTAAGCACAAGCTTAGATAAAAGTTCACCAAATGGCTTGGTATATGGGGCAATTTTACCCTCGAAAACATACCCCAAGTCACGCAAATTGTGAACACTCATACCAGAGCAAACAATCATACCATTCAAATATCTGCCTTGGTCTTCGTCCCATATTGAATTCTTTCTAAAGAAGTCTAACTGTTGACCCAACTTAAAATGGGTCTCAAAATCTCTATCCTTTGAAGTAAGCGAAACTTGAATGACCTTGGTATCAGGCAAATCCCAGCCAATAGATTCTACGGATGGTTGAGGGTTGGTCAATGTGGTGAAATTAGAAAAGGCAATATTGAATGGAACCCAAACACCGTGATCAATTCCTCTAGGAGTTATGCGTGACTTGAAGGTGCCTTCTTCCTGTAATTTCTCCTGGATTTGAGAAGCAATAGATTTGGAGCCCTTCGTGTGGAATTCTTCTCTGTACATGTTTTTAGGGAAACCATAGAAATCATACACCAATGGGTTTTCAATTTCCGGATCAAGGAGTCTTGATTGGGCTTCACCAGAACTGAACGAATTGGTATTACCCAATGCATGAGGCTTGGGGGGTACGGCAATCTCGATGAGGTTAGAAGCAGAGGATTGCCAATGAGCAGAAACGACTATGATATAGTCGGGCTTCAACTCATTCTTGATTCTTTTCCCGAGTTTCTTCACTGCATCATAGGCACCTTTGTTCACGAAGTCCTGGTCTCTGTACATAAAAGTTGGACCACCGTGCGAAAGAAAGAACGTCGGAAACGGATTAGGGTTGGGGATTGAAGAAGCCTTAGTCATCTTGGTTATTGTACTTGCCGAGCTAGAAGGTTTGAAAATTTTGGTCCCAAACAAAATGGCTGCAAATGATATACAAATTGACACAAAACTCACTGTCAAGTTCATGCAAGGGAAGGCTGCACCTGGAAAATAAAAAATATCTAGCTGGAAAAATTCTGGTCTAAGCAACACTACAAGCTATAGTTCTGTGTGTGAAACTTATGAAGAAAACTAGGATAGGTAAAATGAATCAGTCGCAGAGTGAAGAATTGAAAGAGAGTAGCAAGAAAAATAGAAGAGATAGCTGATTACTTTATATATTAATCGAACGCCTACTGGCTGAGGTGATTACTCAGTTTTACTAAAATTACTAAGACTGTGTACTGCAGGTAACACGTAATGACTCCCAGCGAAATTCGAAAGAAAAATAAAATCTGATGGTTAACTTAGTTTGGTTCTGTATATAACCCAGCCTGATCCTCAGTTTCAATTAGTTTCATTGACCTGTGCAGTGAGGCATTACGGTTTTGACACAAAGCAAGCGTATGCCCACTAAACACTAGCGTCTCATTGCCAATAGCTTATTTTCCATCATATGGCAGTAGAGGTCGACTGAGAAGTCGAAAGCTAGCAAAAAATAAAAAACAAGCTTAAACGAATAACAGTGGGAGAAAATGGCCCTGCTGTTTTTACCCTCACTGTATGTAAGTATGTGAATGCATCATGTAGTTCTTCTTTCCAGCTTCGCTCTCAGTTCATAGGTGGCTTCGAAATACGAACTCTAGGCAGGCCCTTGGAATTTCCAGTTTTGATCAATTAAACAACACCTCGCTAAAAAAGAAAATTATAACAGCGAGTGAAGGAACCGATCGCCAACTGCCGCCCTCATACAGGAATACAATGTACCTTTTTAATTATTTCTAATGATCATTCAATTATACCTGCCCCTAGCAATTCTAACTTCTTTCTCCGTTCTAAGTGTAATCCTGGAATTTCAGATTCTCCCTGTCCGCGAACGGTAATCCATTGAAGTCGAATTTCAGAAAAACTGTTCCTTAGACTGTGACCTTCTGCTGTACTTCGAAGAGCAACACTGAGAGAACAATACCTTGAAAGGTTAAAACTCCCAAAAAAAAAAAAAAATAAAATAAAATAAAGTTGACATCATTAAAGTTTCAAGCGGAGAGGTGTCAGAATTTTCACTCACGAAACTCAGAAAAAGGAAAGGTCAATTGATACTGTTCAGAGGGCAGAAGTCATATTTCACTTTAGTAGTTACATTCAATTAAAAGAACTAGGAAACCCCCTCCTACTGCAGCAGATAAACGCTGCACTCCAGATTCATTATAGTATCTATTTAACATGGTTGGATTCTTCTCAAGGAGAGTATGTACTTAGAAAACACCACAATTATTAATTTGGCCATCTTCTTCTATTTTATTTACTAACATGGTATAGAAACCTGAGAGGCAGGGATTCAATCGCTACTCGGAGGAATTGAACCGCTACCAACAGAACAGTGTCGCTGGTCTCCCTAACAATGGGCTTGATAGGAACGATTCGCTAAGCAATGGGGCAGGACTGGCTGCTCTAGCAGCATTGAGAATGCATTCTCCTCAAACCCAAGCACCCCCACAACGCCAGTCGCAGTACGCTCGTTCCAATTCTCTTACCTCTGCTGCGGTCTCCAGGCAGCCTGTAAGAACTAATTCCTTATCCCTGGGAAACGGCCGGGCCAACTCCTTAAGAACCTATGTCTACACGCCCAAGGCGTCATACGTTGCTGGTCAACCGACACAGGCACCACTGCCTCAGCGTCAACCACAACCTAGACTTAACTCGTTGAATAGCAATTCATCGGCTCCTCCAAGACGGAACTCTCTACGTACCAATTCTTTGAATAGTCAATCCTCGCTCAGGAGGCAACTGCACCAGCCGCAGCAGCAACTGTCTGGGCACCAAAAATTCGCCAACGATACGCTATTTGAAGAAGAGGATGACGATAATATAGTGGGTGTTGTTACCACTACAAAGACTACCAAGGTTGTGGATGCTCAAGGTAGAACTCAATCAATAACTACCGAGACGATTAAGACACTTCCCGATGGTTCAAATATTATAGAAACAAGAACTAAAAACATCTCTAGATCCAATTCATTGAATGCAGTGAATAATGGCGGTAATAATAACAATGGAAGTAATAGAGCTAGCTCATTACTTTCCAATCAGGCCGGGGGTTATAACTTGAAAAAGATAGACGAACACTTGCATGACTTTGATTACAGCTATCATGACGGAATTACCAACAAACGTGCTCCAGATCAAGACCCCAATTCCAATTTAAATGGAGTCCAAACTAATTTCGAAAACTCTCCACCTACCTCTCCAATTGTGGACGGGACTATTTCTGGAGACGGATCTCCAAATCCAAAGCCATTAAGATCTATACTAAAAAATAGCGCCAAAAATGTGGAATCAATTCAAGAGAAGTATGCAGAACCAGATTCTGCAAAGCTTGCAGCAGCAGCCGCTGCTCAAGACCATGAGCCTTCGTCATCTCCAAGCCAGGTCGAAGAGTCTAAATCTCCTTCTGCCGCTGCATATAAAGCAGCTCAAATGCACGGTTCGCCTGTTAGTGTTACATCAACTAAAGGAGTTCTGAGTTCTGTTGCTGCTGCTGCCGCCGCTGCTGCATCATTATCTAAAATGGTGACATCTACTCCACTTTCGACCCAAAGTGATAATGAATATACTCCGACTGAAGAGCAATTTAGCGATGCACTTGAGACCCTCGATAAAAGGAAGTCTTTTATTGAAGTGGAAAAATCCTTGGATCCACGTGAAGGAACTGACTCAACACTATCCTCCCATCCATATCAAAACTTAAAGACAAAAGAGAATGATGCGGAATTCAAGGTTCCAAATTTGACTCATGAGTCTATTACCCCTGTGACGTTACAACCATCTCCGGTCCTTACCACTACCAGGAAGTTCAGTAATAGTGTTGAGCAACAGCAAACTACACCTTCAAATATCCCACTTTCAGCATCCTCATCTATATCAGGCTCAATTAAATTCAATGATAAAGTTGAAACTATTGGTTATGCTTCTTCTTATCAGAAACCATTACAACCCCCTCCTTCAAAAGCTATATCGGAAGAAGAAATGTACGAGAGAGCACTTGAAGCTGCCAAAATCAGGGTGTTCGGTGAGACGAATGAAGTAAGCCCACAAATTCAAAGGAATTCTGTAAGGGCCCCTTCGCCTCCACAACAACAACAGACGAAAGATAAAAGAACAATGTCAATCACTTCAAACCTTTCTTCACTTCTTGATGAAGCCAGAAGGAATAAAAAACTGAATATGGGTTCTCCATCTTATCAGCAACAATCGCCTCCAGCACAGGTACCTCATTTTAATACTGACGAAGTCATTACTGGATCTGGTGTAAAGGACGACTACCACTATCAAAATCACCATAAAGATTTTAGTAGGCATTCTATGAGAGGGGCTCCACAGGGCCCTGTTGTCGATTCCACAAGAAAGGATAGGGCTAAGGAAGAGAAAAACTTTGCGAAGCAAAGAGCCAAAGAAGAAAAGCTTGCTAAGAAGCAAGCTTCAAAGGATGCTGTTGATGCAAAGAAAAAGGCAGAAAGGGAAGAAAAGCAGTCAGCTAAAACAGGAAAGAGATCGGCAATTTCCTTCTTCACCAAGAAGAAGGACAAACAGTCAAGCATTTATTCTAGCTCTTCCTTAGGAAATGGAAGCATTGACTATGAAACACCTCAAGTTACGGATACTACCGGGACTACTTTTGACTCGATTGATGAAACTCCTATAAGTACTAATCCATTATCAGGGAGTGATCAACCATTAAGAGTAAGTGAGCAACTTGCAGTTTCACTGCCCATCACACCTGTTCCGGTACAGGTGAGATCTACTTCTTCATCTCCAAGAACTCCACTAGCTGGACCTGTCATAATTGAAGAAGAAGGCGAAGAAGGGGAAGAAGGCGACGTGGAGGATTCTAGAGTGGAACAGCTTGTGCAGCGGAATAATACAGTACCACTGAACGAAGTGCAGGAAAATGTGACTCTGTCTCCAATGACCCCCAAAGAACAACATATTGTTCATGTTCCTGAAATAAATGGAAAGAAACAAAAGCGGGGACTTTTCAGTAAGCTACTGGGCAAGAAGAAATCTGAGCTTTCCAAAAAAGAAACAATTTCGGTTTTACCTTCGATAAATGTGAAACCAGTCGAGCCAGAAGTAGAGAGAAAGCTAAGTGAGAAAGAGTCATCGATTGAAAACACTCCGGTATCTAATGTTGAATTACCTGAGCCTGTGCTTATTGATCAGAAACTGCCAGCAGCTCCTCAAGTTAACTTAGACTCATATTCGGATGAGATTAAGAATACTTCATTAGAAGTAGATCAAATTCCCCCATACCTTAAACTAGAGGATGCCAATGCAGAAAGAGTAGCTAAGTCTACAAGTAATCCTGTTGAGGATGCTGAGGAAGTTGTCGAACCAGCGGCGGAATCGCTCTATTCCGATTCTGTACCAAATGCATACGAGCCAGAAGCACTCAAGAATGAGGAGGATTTCAAAGAGCCTCTGCCTCACCCTTCTGTAATTGATGTTGAATCCATTCATAAATCTATATCAGAAAGTATGGAGGTAGGTGAAGTACAGAGTGATGCTGATGACGAGTCCATGTTAGATGAATTCACCAAGAAATTGAGAGCAGCAGCTCAAACTGTTACTAGGGATGACGGTGAAGCTGATGAAACATTCGATGAGACTTTTGATCGTGATGACAATGAGGATCTCAATTTGGAGTATGATAATGATTTGGAAAACAAGAATATTCTTGGTGAAATTTCTCCAGCTAAGGAACTGCCCAAAGAAAATGTTGTAATTAAAGAAACGGAGAATAATTATTCTCCACCTGATGTGATTTACATTCCAAAGGGAGAAGCACCCCTATCTCCTGCCTCTGAATTGCCGCCAGTATTGGGTCCCGCAATCAAAACTGTTCCTTCTTCTAAGCCTAAACCAAAACAAGATTTGATTAATGGTCAAATTAAAAAGCCTGTCCAAGAACTAGAGTCTTCCTTTGTGAATTCTAAATTGGTAAGTGAAGAGAAAAGCGAAGCATCTAATACTGATTATCTTAAGGACTTTGTTCCTCCCTCAGCTCCTGCCTTGAACAATCATAACAGTACGAGCTCTCCTGGTAGCGTTCACCGCAATAGTTCTACAATAGATCCAATAGAAGGGTCGCCTAAATCTGTCCAATCAACTGACAGCAGGAAGTCTAGATTTAGACAAAAAATACTTAAGTATTTTGTTCATACTTACGAGAAGTAATCTGTATGGGATTCACTGTTCTTTGAAGTTTGAGTTAGTTAATTATTATTTATATTTTTTTATTCTGTATGTATGTATTATATGTTTATTTAAATTGTATAGAGTGCTTGACTTTCTCGTCTTCTAATTATGTGTAAGGTGTGTTTGTTCGTATATTAGGTTCCACGCATATGCTCAAGCACTTATAATCCTATACCTGCATAATAATTTTCAATAGAACTGACATTTCATTCATCAACCCCAGTGGTAGGTGCTAGACTTATTCTGTTGACCTGAAGTAGCTAGCCATGGCAGAGCCTGTTACACTTCCTCTTAACTATTCCAGAAGGAGATTGGATAATTCCCTCACCGATGAAGACGAACTTTCTCCATTAGATAGAGCTTATCAAGAATTGTGCTTAGCATGTAGAGCAGGGGATTTGGACACGGTAGATTCTCTAACTTCCACTGCAAACTTGAATATTAACTACGTAGATGAATGGGATTATTCTCCTCTAATATTAGCTTCATTGTGTGGACATCGAGATATTGTAGAGTTGCTTTTACTTCGAGGTGCGGTTTGTGATAGAGACACTTTCGAAGGAGCCAGAAGTATATATGGAGCTTTAAACGATGAGATCAGAGATTTATTGATAAGCTTCGATGTTTCTAAGAAGGTAGACATCCTGCAACCATTTGCAGCCCATATTTCATCATTGCTAAATCCACAGGTTAAAATCAAAACTAGAGACATCACATTCAAATTTCCTCAAGTCCATGGGGTTTTAAACAGAGATTATCAGGCCTTCCTGTTGAACAAGTTTTTACTTATAGCCCGTAGTCCCTATTTCAGAGAAAAGCTTTCAGAGGGTGGCGATTGGTTTGGTATTGAAGATGTCAAAATGAGTCCAACAATAGATCCAGCTGCTTTTAAGTGTTTCGTAGATTATGTCTACGTGAGAACGGATTCCGTGTTCGTAGATGAAAATAGTAAACTAGGTGACTTGGCAGCACTTTATAAACTTGACGACTTGACCGAAGCTATTCAACTGATAGATACTGCCACGACCCCGGAACAGAGATCAAAATTGAAGAATGAAAGTTCTGTAAAGCTTATGGAAGCCGCCAGGCAAGATATGAGAAACTTCTTGCAGAATGAAATTTTTGGAAACATGAAGTCTGTGGCGATTGTTGAAGAAGCCGTTGAGGAAAACGGGGAAATAGACGCAGAGGATATAAGCGTTGAAAAATATATAACTCAACAGGAAAGAGCTCAACTTATTGGAAAAAATGCCAACGCTGATATAATTGTATCTGTAATTGACATCGACCTGGAGTCAGTGTGCTATTACCCAGTCCATAAGTCAATATTATCAAGATCACCTTATTTTGAGACTATGATTCTTTCTGACATTTTCAATCAAAGTAAAGATCAGATTCCTGTCATTCAGTTATCTTCAAGTACTTCCTCCACTATCGTTGCTGAAATGGTACTCTCCTTTTTGTATCACGATGACGTTGAAAATATGCCCCTCAAGCTAACAATTGACTTGTTATTTGCAGCCGATGAACTCTTCTTAGACAGATTGAAGACAATGGCCGCGGTAAGAATTACCTCAGAGTTCAAAAACCTCGACCATTCCACGATTTCTGAGTTGCAAGAGAAAGTTGGATACAATCCATATGAGTTAATTAGAGTTTCATGGCAAACACATTCTGACAGACTAGAACAGCACATGAGTCGGTTTTTGGCGTACAACTTAAGGTATATCTATGAAAATCTGGACGAAAGGAAATTGTTGTTAGAATTAATTGAAGAAAGTGCTGATAGAATTAAAGATAGACAAGATACAGATACAATTGAGTTGATTGATGATATTAGATACTACTTGGTCAAGAAGTATGGCATAGAGAGTAGTGATTTTGAACCTGATAGTGACAAATTTGAGGAGTTGAATTTGTTTACTACAACTGACAAGTTGGAAGACATTAGACTATATAAGAAAGCAGTGATAGAGTATGAGAGGGACATAGCCTTGATTGAGAGTTTGCTTGAGGAAGTTAATCTTGAGGCATGATCTTATACACACAGCAAAGTATGCAACAAACTAAATAACTAAATAGAGACACTAGAAAAAATTAGCGAATACCCAAGGTTTATTGTAAGCCGTCTTCAATATCCCCCCCCCCCCTCTCTTCATCCTAAGATCCTCTACCACTCTTGACCTTAGTCCAGCTTATTTCAGCTCCGCTGAAATTCGCAGCCATCACCAAAAATTCTGCAACCCTTCGCTACAATAGTTTAATTTGTTCCTGCATGTAAACCTCATCTCATTGCAACATTTTTTGGATCTACCATAGAAAAATGGAAGAGGTGAAAAATTTAGAGGCCACCACTGTTGTAGTTTAGTCCAGCTTTATAACCAAAGATATCATGGACAATAACCCTGACGGAGGTGAAAATCCAGATTTCTTCCTTTTGGAAGACAAATTAGCAAAAATCCGTACACAGATCAATTCCAAGCTTGAAAACCAAAAGAACTTGGCGATCATTTTATCTGCTATTGAAGAAAACATAGAAGAGCAAAAGAATGAGAAGACACCTGTAGCTTATTTCGTTTCATTCTTGTCAGTATTGGATCAGTGCGTTTCAGAAGACAAGATACTTGATGTTGGATTAGCCACATCAATTTCATATTTTTTGGACTTGGTTTTCCCATTCACACCAAAGGGTATATTGAGATCTAGGTTCAGTGAAATCTTGACCAAATTGGCACCTTCTTTGTCAAACCCTGACGCTGAAGCACCTTTAGTTAGATCTACCATCGGTGCCTTGGAAAGCTTGTTATTGGCCCAGGACAATCAACAATGGTTAAACATGAGTAATAGTAACACTATTTCACCAAAGAGAGCTCTTGTTGGTTTACTTGAACTCTCCTTTGACCCAAGGCCAAAGGTTAGAAGAAGGGCCCAAGATTCGATCAAGAACTTGTTGCTGAACCCTCCTCCTTCCCCATCTCCTATACATGCTGCTTCTAATATGTGTGCCGAGTTAGCCATGAACAGGTTGACCCAATTGATGAAAGAGAGAATGATCACTAAGAACAAGAAGAATGAAAATAATAACAGTGTCATAATTCATAACTTACAATTAATTTCTGCTATTACGTCCGCCAATGCTTGGCCATCTGCATATATCAGCAATCTTTGTGATATTCTCCTTGAAGTATCTAAAACATCAGACCAATATTTGGTTTCGCTGGCATTCTCAGCATTTGAAGGGCTCTTTGAATCAATGTCCAACGAAATTGATATCGAAAGGTTTACTAACGTTCTTGATGTCATTTTCGATTTAAAACCTTCTGTGAACGACTCGCACTTGGCTGCATCGTGGTTGGCAGTTATTGCCAAGGCGTTGGAAAGTTTTGCAAAGTTGTCTCCTAAGGAATGTATTGAAAGAATTCCTCAAATTTTTCCAATTGTTACATCATTCTTATCATCTGAAGTCAAAGACATTTACGTATCAGCTTCTCAATGTTTAATTGCTATCATAACTCAAACCATCCCATCTGAATATCTCTTACAACCTACCTCAACAAACGGCATTACTAATGAGATCTATGAATTAGTAGATGATGTTATTTCCTTTTTAGCTGAGCATACCCAAAAGGAATTGTTATCTGTGAAATACCAGCATGCAACTTTAGAAATCTTGGAATTCCTCACTGCTGTGATCTTTAAGTTACGTACTAGAAGTAATCCTGATTTCTTAGAAAGCATCCAAATTGTTGGTGATTGGAGAACAAATGAAAAGGATTCTTTCCCACATAACAAGCAGGCCGAAGACTTAATTAGCGCTGGGATTTCTGAATTAGGCCCTGACGTTATATTATCGATTCTCCCATTAAACTTGGACAGTAAGGGCCAAGGTCAAACTGGTAGAGCTTGGTTGTTACCACTATTAAGAGAAAACGTACGTTTTGCCAACTTGAATTTCTATAAGACTGATATCTTACCTTTGGTTGAACTTTACGATTCCAAGATTAACTCTGAAGGCGTCTCAGCAATCCATAGTAAGATTTTTCAAACCATTGTTGACCAAGTTTGGTCGTTGTTACCACACTTCTGTGATTTGCCAAAAGATTTAACAGTGGCTTTTGACGACAAATTTGCAGCTCAATTATCTGACTTAATGTACAGTAAGGTTGAATTGAGAGTGCCTGTCTGTCATGCTTTAAAGCTTTTGGTAGAATCTAACTTAGCATACAGCGAAGGTGCTTTGGCTGATGACTTATTGATTCAGGAAGAATTGACAATTGAACAGTCAAAGAAGAACTTACAATACTTAGGTACTAAGGCAGGTAATATTTTAAGTGTTTTGTTCAACGTATTTTCGTCCACTGTTCCAGGTTCTAGAAACTTTGTCTTGGAAACTATCGACGCTTATTTGCAAATTGTTCCAAAGACGGACTTGGAAGCTACTTTCAATAAGGTTTGTGGTTTATTGAAGAACGCTATGGACGAAGAAGCTGCTGCTTCTGCTAGATCTAGTGGTAAGCAAAAGGAAAAGAAGGGTGGTGAAGAAACCAAGCTTAGTGCAACCATGTTAGATTTGGTAGTTGCCATGAGTAAATATGTTCCTCAAAGTTCCCACAATGCTCTTTTTGCTATATTTTCTACTACAGTTTCACTTCCAAATGATTCTCTTCTTCAAAAAAGATCTTATAGAATCATTTCTAGGCTCATGGAATCTGAAATTGGAACTCAATCAATTCTTCAATTTATTTCAAATATTGAAGAAGTTTTAGTTAACACTACAGAAACAACTCACACTTCTGCTAGATCTTCAAGATTGTCTGCTATGCATTCTATTTTGACTGTCTTACCATCCACCGATTTGCATTTCATTCCAGCTATTTTACAAGAAATTATTATGTCAACCAAGGACGTGAACGAAAAAACTAGAGAATTATCGTATCAAATTTTAATTCAAATGGGTCACAAGATGGAGCTTGGTGGTGTTATCGAAAATGGTAAGGTCCCAGGTTTTGACCCTGCCACTCCATCCTCGGAAGCCTCTTTAACTGAATTCTTCACAATGGTAAGTGCCGGGTTAGCTGCTCAGACTCCTCATATGATTTCTGCTACTATTACTGCTGTTTCTTGTCTCGTTTTCGAGTTTAAAGATAAGTTGCCTACTGAAGTCTTGTTAGAGATTTCTTCCACAGTCGAATTGTTTTTAACTCATAATTCAAGGGAAATTGCTAAATCTGCCATTGGTTTCGTTAAGGTGGAAGTTTTGTCATTGCCAGAAGATATCGTTAGAGCAAACTTAAACGAGTTGTTGGCCAAATTAATGAGATGGTCGCATGAACATAAGGGACATTTCAAGTCTAAAGTAAAGCACATCTTGGAAAGATTAATTAGAAAATTTGGAATTGAAACTGTTGAGCAAGCCATTCCTGAGGATGATAGAAAATTAGTTGCCAATATCAAGAAGAGTAGAAACAGAGCAAAGAGAAGAGAAGATGAAGAAGAAGGTGCTGCTGAAGGTGCTGGTAAGTCAGCATTTACTTCCGCTTACGAAGAAGCCTTATATGATTCAGATGATTCAGATGATGATGAACAACAACCTTCTGAAGCTACAAAGGGTAAGAAGGCCAGTCAATTTATTTTAGAAACTGGTGATGAACCATTGAATTTATTAGATCGTCAAGCCTTAGCACATATTTCATCATCTAAACCTAAGAAGTTTGGAAAGAAGGATCTTGCATCCAAGATGAAGACTCAAGATGGTAAATTTGTGTTCAGAGAGGGTAAGGAAGAAGAGGATCCTTTGGCCAGAGGTGGATCGGGTATCGATGCTTATGTTGATGCTATAAAACAAGCTCCAGTTAGGGGTCAAAGAAATAAAATGAAATATAAGAAGTCTAGTAAGGAAGAAGTCGACTGGTCTGATGATGAAGGGGAAGCCAAGAAGCAGCCATCCAAAAAGTTTTTGGGTAAGGGAAGTATTTCTAAGCCAAAGCAAAAGTTTAAGGCTAGAAAGAAGCTTTAAGCTTTACGGAGGTGTAAACTTAGCATTTAGTTTGAAAAATATGTATAGTAAATTCAGTAATAAAAAAAAGAATGATAACTAATGGAAAAGTGGGCCGGTGAATACGAATACACCCTAGAACAAATTATACAATAATCCGATAGTATGGGATTTTCATCTTTCGTATTATGCGGATTGCAACCGTTTCTTTGCTTCTCTGAGTGTGTAGCATTTTTTTTTTTTCAGGTCGTGCTCATTTCAAACCATTCTTCAATTTTTCATATGGATCTTCAATCAAAGCTAGTGTGATCAAAGACTAACCATTCCACCATTCAGTTAAACGTTTGAAATAGATTAAGTATGACTCTTAAGATAAGATTAGCTCGTTTCGGAAGGAAGTTCCAACCTATGTATAATATTGTAGTGGCCAAGCAAAAATCAGGCCGTAATAAGTTACCCATTGAAGTTTTGGGAACATACAACCCAACACCAATGCCTTTGACTAGTGAGGAAAGATTAAATGGTGTGAAACCTTATAAGCATATAGAACTTGACTTTGACAGATCCAAGTATTGGTTAGGTGTTGGAGCCGAAGTTTCTGATCGTGTAGGCTTCCTTTTCAAGAGGGCAGGCTTGTTACCTGAGCAATGGCCCAAGCCTTCTAAGTTGACTCAGCACATTCAAAAGGAAGAAGTAGCAGAGCCAAAGGTTGTATTTGAGGAACAAAAGGAACTTGTTAGACCAAGGGATTAAGCATATAACCACATTTAGAAAAAAGTATCAAAAAAGACCTGGAGATGTACTTCTTCAGGTAGGCAAGGAAGAGCAGTGCTGAAAGGGAGAGGGGTCTCCATGAGTGGGTCCTTACCACTTGTTCTTTGAAATTTAAGCAATCAGACTGTCTATCACTCACTCTTCCACATCATGTATATATATATATCATAATAATATCAGTTTAATTTGATTTTGCTGTAGGGATATATTCATCTTTTTCTGTGGGCTCTGCCTTTTCTTAGGTACTTGAAAAGTGATTTCTTGCTTGGTGCTGTAGATTTAGATTTGTCTGTTTCTGCTTGGGCAGATGGAGATTCTTCACCCTTGGGCCCGTCATTATTACCCAGTGTAGACTTTTCTTCTTCTGGTCTACCTGTGATGTGTGGAGCAGGAGCTTTTACAATTGGTTTTGGTTCGTCTGTGCTATCCAAGGTAGTGGTTTCAGTTTTTGCTTGTTCAAATTCATTTGGAGCCTTTACAAAAGACTCCAGAGTGGTCTGCTGTGGTAATTCGTGATTTAGCTGACCGTTAATGTATCTGAACCGTAGTATTAACTTGTTGATGCTCCTGGCAAGCAAACAAAGCTCTAGCGTTAAGTTTTCTTCATCATTCAGAATTATCCTATTCCTTAATTCGACAAGCTGGCCAATTTTGGCAGTACCATCGTGCTGAGAGCCTGGCATTACGTCTCTGTGTTGCCAGCTGCCCATGTAGCCTCTTATTAGGAACAACTTGACTTCCTTTCTGAATGAGTTTGCAGCCAAATACTTTTCCGTGAGGTAGCGTACTATCTCCACTGATGGTGATACGTCCTCATGTAGCACCTTTTCAATGCACATTTCAAAGAGGTTTAGCGAGCTTTTAATCTTAGTAGTTTCGTAATTGGACGGTGATGAGGATTCTGGAAGTGATTTTGACCTATAGAGCTCTGGGTGCTGTGCCGAAACTACGAACAACTTATCTATGATTTCAATTTTATTGGAATCAGTTATCAGAAGGATCCCATTAGCGTTGTCGTTATTGTCATCATTATCGTCAGTCTTCCTGCACGTCTTGGGAAGTCTTGAATTCAAGGCGTTTGCAATTATCGCTATGGTCTTGAAGAACGTAACAAATGAAACAAATACCTCAGCGTGTAGCCTTTGGCTCCACATTTCGGTTATACAGGTATCTAGAAACGATTTTATGAGTATTCTGGATACAATTTTATTTAGCCTTGGCACCAAGTACTCTGAAAGAGTACCCAGAAGAAGTGCATCTCTATCGATAATGGCAGCCAGAATGCTAAGCAACTCAGTTACTCGCACAAGAGCACTACATGAGTCTTCATAGGTAGATAGTGGAGCATCGTCTGTCACACACGAGATTTTGGCAAAGATGAACGATAAATCGACTCTAGTTTCGAAACGAGGGTCTGAAAGGCTCGAAATTGTGCTGGACATCAAGCAGTACTTATGTTGGCAACACCCTACTATCTATCAAGAGGAAGGTTTACAAAGGTGGCCCTCTCTTCATTTGCAGCCAAGCGAGCCGTGGAGAAGTGAAAAATTGTTACAAATGCGTACATCCGTACACCACTCTAGGCTCACTTCTGGAGAGTTTGGGAGAGAGTTTGACTGAAGAGTGAGGTGGTGCACTGGTACACCAGGTTGCGCTATTGGCTACAGTTATATCAGTTAGAAGAATGTTTGTTTATTTTAGATTGTTTTGCAAATTAACTTAATAACTCAGTACGTTTAATCGAATAAACCGAATCCCATGTCATCATCGGATTCTTCAGCTTCTTCAGCAGCTTCTTCTTCAGCTGGAGCATCGGAAGAACCAGAAGCAGCAGCGGCACCAGCAGCTGGAGCAGCAGCAGCGTAAGCATCTGGGTTAGCTAATCTGTCCTTGATAGCTTCAGAACCTTCAAAAGTGTAGTCAGTAGCAATAGATAAAGCCAAGACGTTCTTGTAGTGGTTGACAACAGAGTGACCAACAGATGGTAAAGTTGGGTAACCAACAGCCAAGGAGACGGAAGCAATGGTGTTGATAGCGGCAACGAAGTGACCGACTAATTCAGCATCAGTGATATCCAAGATGGATGATGGGAAGACTTGACCATTGTCGTAGACTTGAACGACAGTCATACCGTAGGTGAATGGAGAGATGTTCAACATGTTCAATAAGGTAGCTTCAGATGGACCAACCTTTTGGTTGGCTTCGACAACCTTGACATCGGAAACAATTTCAATGGTACCTCTGGCAATCTTGGTTGGGACACCTAAGGCTTGGAAGAAAGAGGTCTTACCTGGTTCCATACCAGTGTTACCGGCTGGAATCCAGACATCAGCTGGAGCAACGGCACCGGCTCTGGCTGGAGCGGCAACAACGTTAGCGACAATGGTGTCTCTGATGGTCTTCAAGTCAGCGTTGGTGAAAATGAAACCAACGTTACCCTTAACGAAAGGTAATAACTTTTCGTATTCTGGTAAGTCAGATAAGAAACCTCTGATGGCTCTTCTAACCATGGTGTTCTTACCCATCAACACAACAGCATCAGCTCTTAAAGCCTTTCTGATTTCGTGCATTTGTTGGGAAGAAACATTGTCAACACCAACGACGAAGATGGACTTGTATTCTTCTAATAATTCTCTTAATTTAGTGAAGTATTGGGACTTCTTTTCTCTGATACCACCCATTTCGATTTGATTTATAATTGGAACGATAGGAATTTAATGGTTCTATACGGAGAAAGAAAGGAGAAGGGTGTTTCTACTGGTGAGTTTGCAATTTTCACTTTTTTTGTTCCAGCGAAGTTGAAAAAAAAAAAAATCAAAAAAAAAAAAAAAAAAAATTGCTAAAGGGATGAGCCCTAATGGTCACGTGTGTTCTTTGGGCCTACTCAAAATGGTTGCATCAGTAGCAGGTATGTGGTACCAGATCTGTCCAGTCCAGTCCAGCTCAGTCCAGTCCAGTCCAGCTCAGTCCAGTCCAGTCCAGTTCGCTCATCACTAATTGCCTACACTCTCTATCTTTGTTTGTATTTCCCCTCCTCTTTACGGGACTTTTTGTATATTTGCATGTATTTATTTTCTATAGTTACACGTTTTTCAGACCCTTTGTGTTGTCCTCTCATTGTTTCACCGTTTCTCTATAATCCCATGTTTTCGTAATCTGAATCAATAAAACTATGCCTCAAATAACTCTTCCAGATGTTTTCCAATTGAGCATAACGATCTTCCTTCTGGTTTTTCTTGTTTTTGCTATTCTTATTCTTCTTATTCTTATTTCTCTTTTTGCCTGCTTTCTCTGCCTTCAAATTATTCACGGGCTCTCCTAACTTCCTACCAAATTTGAGCCATTCATCCACCGTCAAGTTCTCCATTTCGTAATCCTTGTCGTCAGTCATATACTCTATTTCATATCCAAACTTCTTATTTCCCTCGCTGATACCCTTCAAATCCGCAAAATACTGTACATATCTTTCAGGTGTGAATAATTGAGGTACGTAGGCTGGACCAAGCGGCAAATTTTTAGGTTTCTTTGGGGGGATGGTCTTATCCTTCTTGAAAGCCGTTAATTGGTCATTCATTGAAGAGTATACTGGCTCGTGATCTTCTTCTCCCTCGCTTTCCTCCTCAAGCTTATTATTCAGTTCTATCAATTGGTTTACCCCAGCAAAAAACTCATCCCATGCAGCGTACTTAATCTTGGAATTAACCGCTTCTGCTAGGTGGGTGGTATTGTACTCCCAAACTCTCAATCCAGGGTTGAAAGTAGGTACAATACTAGCCGTGACGTGTGCTACTGCGTAACGCTCCGAAGATACTCCACTCCTCTTCTTCTTTTTAATCGCCGCGTAGTAAAGCTCTCGAAGACTGTTGAGGTAATCGACCTTGTTATGCGGTATTCCACCTTGTATAGAGAATGAAGGTGAGTAGAATGATGGTGTGAAGTTCGACTCATTCACGTCTTCATGTATGGTAACATTCCATTTCCTGTACAAATCTTCAAGAGAATCGTCCACTTCTTCATCCTCATCCCCATCCTCGTCTTCTGAATCTGAGTCGGAATTTGAATCGTATTCAAGATCGAAGTCATCACCAAATTCTTCAAGCAAAGCAACATCATTGGTGCCATAAAGCTTAGCTAACTTCCCCTTCAAACTCTTGTACGCCGCTTTGGAGTCTAAGGGTATAAAATGATCTATATTCATGTGTCCATAGACTCCTCCGATGATGATATCTCTGTACTCGTAGGTCCACACTATGTACTTTCTCAAGCATGTAAGGTCAAAGTTCTTTTCGTTTGGTGGCACATGGCCAGATAGCCAAACTTTCATATTCCTCTGTCTTAACTCCTTCAACACATACCCCAACCATTCAAACAATTTGTATCCTGGGTCTTTCTTATTGTCGCAGCTGTCGACAAGTGGGTTGCTTTGGAACCAGTACAAGGTATTGACCGACAATACCGCCAATTCCCCAGGAACTACCTCCTGAAAGAAATATGCTCCCCTTGCAAAAGTGTGCAACTGCAGTTGTGGGATGAAGTTGGACCAAATCTTGTAGAACTCTCTGGTCTGTAAAGTAGGGCCAGGTGAAAATAAATTATGAGGGTACACATCATTGTTTCCCAATGAGGGAATCAAGTCTACCAGCATATCCCTGGGATCATCGGGGTTCTTATTGTTCTTGAATGTCTTATACATTAGGTCTGCAACTTCCTGGTTCATATCGAAGATGTGCATTTCAGATCTCGGATACCGTCTGTCGTTATCATGCCTGATGTTGTCACCAGTCCAAAGGACGAAGTCAACCTTGTCCTTCAAGTTATCCTTGATCCATTGGATAGTGTCTTCCATGAGCGCCATGGGGGAGTCGCACCCTCCTACAGCGTTACCATACTTGGCGGCGTCACCCTTACCGCCGTGGCACAATTCTGTTTCTCTGTCAGAACCGACTTTATAGTAGGGGTCTGGGTGAATGTCGGTGATGTGAACGAACCTCCCATGGATCTTTCTGCTAAATCCGTTGGTATCTTTAACTATGGTCACGTTCTTGGGGGTGAGTCCGAGTCTGGTGATGTTCTGTTGGTCTGCAGGTGCCAACAGCTCTGTGTGGGCCGTGAATGTGTTGCATGCCACCAGAAGGCGGTCATGATGGGCTCCGTGCTGGCTGGTAAGAAGAAGCAATACAGCTACCGCAAACACTGAAGCAGTTGCCAATTTGGGGATCAGAATGTTGTTACCCATACTCCAAGCGCAAAAGGAAGTAAACTAGCTAGACTTTGCCGTGTAATTGACTTGGCTTGAACAGAAGCCTGCCTGTTGTGTATCCACGAGGACAGAATTACTCCATATCTTCAAAACATTTTGTTCCACAAAGACAGATCCTGCATGTAGCGAGACCTATTGTGTGAATAAATGGGCCTATTTCGGACAGGAATCTGTGGGGCAGATCTCAGCCAATTAACGCCTAGTAGGGAGGGAAGTGTAGAGAGGAGAGATGATGGTAGAGGATGGACTAGTGGAGGGAGTAGAGGAGAGATTAAGGAGAGAGTCTTGCTAGAGCGTTGCCCAGTCGGGGACCAGGAAGAATAGATAATGGTGTTGAGTGGAACTTGCGAGATGTGCTCGTGTTTGTTCCCCTGGCCTTTTGTGAGGTCTTGGCTGTCAGAGAGAGTGAGAGTACTGCACAGGTAACACCTGAGAGATGTGGTCTGAGATAGCGAAATGTGCTACCTTTATGGTTCTGGAATACGAGGTGGGCCTGCCAGGCAGCAGTTCCACAGCGTCAAATATTTTCTACGGTTCATCATTATCTATATTATTTCTTTTTTCCCCTTCCGTGATTTGAGCTGTGAGCTGTGAGCTGTGAGCGTGGGCCATTTCATTCGATCTCTCTTTACGCTGGACAGCCACTAGAGCCTTCCTTCCCTTTCGCCTCTTCAGGCAAAAGACGGTCCTGCATGTAGCCTCGGAGATATCAATGCAACTCTAAATGGTTGATCTTGCCTTCATATTCTTCTCCTTTGCTACTCTTGTCGGGCCCCTTCCGTAATTCATGTCATCTTCCGATGAAAGTATAACTGATGACACTGAAGAGTTTATTCTTCCGAAAAAGAGAAAATTAAGGGTCAAGGAGAGTCGGAATGTTCCTAAACGTGACTTACTTGCAAGCACCGATGGATCCTCTCTGACCTCATGGATCGATCAATACTCACCTCGAAATACTTCCGAGTTGTGCCTTCATCCCAGGAAATTGTCTGACTTGAGGAAAGTCATGCTGTCAATGGTAAATGGTGGTGCGAATGCCCCAAAATTGTTGATCCTTCATGGTCCATCCGGGTGTGGTAAATCCACCAGTGCCAAGTTGTTGGCCCAAGATCTAATTGCATCGTCTGAGACTTCATTGATTGAATATACAGAGTCGAATCTGTTTGTGGAATTCTTGCATGATGCCAGGTACAGAGTGGGGTACAATAAATGTGTAATACTAGTGGAAGAGTATCCCAATGTGTTCCACGAACCGACCCACCAACTGTTCAAGGACTCTCTCTGGGAATGGTTGCACATTGATGAACCCCTCCCGCCGCTAATATTGTGTGTGACTGAAGTGGAGCACCAGAGCGATGACAACCATGGCAGGGAATTCTTTAACATTCAAAATAACTGGACCGTAGACACCCTAGTTGGTAAACGAATTTCAAACCATACCGAAGTAGCTAAAGTTAAATTCAACCCAATCGCCATGACATACATTAAGAAGGCATTGAATAGGCTAATTCAATCAGAATCCAAGCTGGTGTTCAATAGGATACCGAAACTGGAAACCAGCGAATTTGTAGATAGCATTGGAAAATGTGGAGACATCCGATCTTCCATAGCCAATTTGCAATTCTGGTCCACTATGAGATCCAAGTTACCTGCAAGGGACGAGAAGCTGATGGAATTGTATAGCATTGGTAAAGAGACCCATCTTAACTTATTTCATGCCGTAGGGAAGATCATTTATGGACTGACAAATAACGCATACGGTGAAGTTGGCGATGATGAATTCGATATAGACTATTTCACAATATTAGATGTGCTATCGACTTATCCCTCGAACAATCTACTTCAGCTTTCTTTACTTGAAAACTATGGGATTTTCAATAATGTCGATTTTGACATTGAGCAGGCTACTAAGATTGTTGATAATCTAAGTTTAGGTGATGTTCTTGGTGGTAGCTCAGCTGAAGGAGCGAACAAAGAGATAGGTATACGAGGAGTAAGGTCTATATTGGGCCTGGTGGGTAGCCATCAGACAATGAGCAAGGGAACCAAAGGAGCAGCTACACTGATTAAATTTCCTAGACACTTCAAAATCATTCGTGAGTATAATCGGATAACGCTGGAGATCAGAGAATACCAAAAGTACGTAAGGAGTGGAATTTCCTTTCAAGACTTGAACCTTATCTATGGATTTTACGAACCCAAGATATACAATTCAATTAAATGGAAGACGAAAAACGGAATTCCTAATACAAGGCTGAATTACAATAGGCTAGGAGGTAAATTCAAGGAGATATATCCTACTGAGGGCCTTCCCATTGCAGATTTGGAAGAGGAAGAGGAAGAAGAAAGGTTGCGTGCTGTATATGATCAATACAGGATTCAGATCAAAACTCAAATGAACGAAGGTGCAGGCATGGATCATGAAACTGATGATGGCGGTCTCAGTGATCCGATCGAAGAAAGCGATAGCGACTTCGACTTCGACGATTCCATTGGAGATATGGAGCTAAACAACATTTTGAGCCAAACAAAGAGTCAGCAGGTAGTACCGCCAGGTCGAAGTCACGTTGCAGGTAGCGATGGTGACAGCGACAGCGACGTATTCCTGTCAGACGAAGAACTAGACGAGCTTATAAGGAAAAGGAATTTATAGAAATAGCACGTATAATACATAGAGCAAAATTAACAAATTAATGGTGGTATATTTACCTAAGTAGGATGGATGGTTAATATATAATATGATACAGTTTATGCGGTAGTGGCCTCAAAGAATTTTGGATCTTCTTCAAGAGATTCCTTTATGATATCCAATCCACCTTGAAGCTCTCCATTCATGTACAATTGGGGGAAAGTTGGCCAGTCTGAGTACTCCTTTAAACCCTGTCTGACCGAGTCGTCCTTGAGGATGTCAAAGAACCCAAATCTAACCTGGTGTTCACGTAAGATTGCTACAAGCTGACGGGAGAATCCACACTGTGGCGCAGATGGAGAGCCCTTCATAAAGAGCATAACTGGGGCAGCACTGACCAACTTTTCAAGCCTTGCATTAAGCTCGTCTTTAGACTCTTCCTTCGCAGGGGCAGCAGCACCATTGGAAGAAGAAGAAGAAGCTGCTGCTGCTGCAATAGGTGCCACTGGGGTGGTGGTTGGAGTGGTAGAGCTAGAGGCATTAGATGCAGGATCGGCATCTTTCTTGGTGAATTCATTCACAGCAGCAACAAGCTCCTTGGCATCAGCACCAGATATTTCCTTCAATATGGTGGAGTCCTTCACAAGAACGAAGAAAGGAACAGCTGACACTTCGAAAAGTTCACTGATCTCGGCGTGATCGTCAGCGTTGACAGATATAAATACAGATTCGGGGTTAGCTTCAGCCAATGTCTTGAAGACAGTAGCCATAAGCTGGCAAGGACCAGCCCAAGGAGTGTGGAAATAGATTATAACCAATTTGGAAGCTTCATCCTGAGTGATTTTGGTGAATTGCTCTTCAGATTCTATCTCAATAACCGACATACTATACTTGACTGCTTGAATGTGGTACTATTTGGACGATTAGTAAGGCAAAATAGGAAGAAATCCAAAGGGAGAAAATGAAGCTCCAAAAAAAATAAAAATTCGATACGAAAAAAAAAAGTTCCACAGAAAAAAAAAAAAAGTAGCTGAAGAGATTATGATGGATCACGTGATTTGATTGGTGTGGTGACAAGATGGCAGTGGCCCGTATGCTGAGTGTGTGGGGAGATATGTGGGTGGGTGAGTGTGCAAGTAGGGGTCTGGGTAGGTGAGTGTATCGAGGCGGGAAAAAGAAAACGAAGAAAACAGCAACTGGTGGTCATACCTGTTGCTGTTGGAGCTAGACAGTACTGCAGTGGGTGGTGCGAGAAACTGTGAAAAATCAATGCACCAAATTGCAGCCCTGCCAGAAGGTGAAGACGTTGGGAACAAACGATAGGATGACAAAAGATAAAGGATTTCTGCCAGGAGTCTGGCTCGAGCTGGGGGGGGATGAACTGGGTGGCTCAGCTGGAAGCGGCCAGCTGGAAGTGGACACCTGGATGTGGACACCTGGAAGTGTAGGAGGTAAACCTAACAGAAAGAGTATGTGTCTATATGCAGGATTTCAGATAAGAGCGTTATGTTCAAATGTATTGACTGATATAAATATATTACAAGCTATATAAAGGCGATGTTATTCGGCAAAAAAGCTCAAGCAGGTCGCTGAGGATGATTTCTAGTGAACCCCCATGTCCATATTTGGTACTATTTCTCAGAATAATTCAATAAAATGGTAAAGACTCATACCTTCTTGGTCTTCCTGGTAGGACTAGAGCTATTGATTTCCAGTCCGGTACTGGTCTTGACGTCGTCTTCTTCTTCACTCTTCTCCTCGTTACTCTTCTTTTCCTGGCTCTCCTTTTCCAACTCCAAGTTCTTGTTCAATTTGGCCTGTTGCAATTCACCTATAAACCACACCACAGTCCCGTATAATAAGCAGGCAATAACTAGTAAATTAATAAAATGGATCGATCTCGTCATGTATATCAACGCCAACAAAGATAAAATCAAGAGCACAAAAGACCCATGGGTAGCTTTAATCAACGCAGGGTTGGTACCAGGTTGGAACACAGAGTCCCATAATTCAGTTACAAAGGAAGCCATTCTATCCTGAAAGAAACTACTAAACCTTGGAACTGTGCAAAAGAATGCCTCTACAAGTAAGTAACCGTGCACTGGGTTGCTCACTCATTTTCCACTCCAGCCAGTACGACCATTTTCTCCTCTGTCATACACAGGCCTGCATATAGCGCGCTTATGTAAGCGCTTTTCCTCCAAGCTTCAATGATTTTTCTTCCTTTTTGCCATTTCTTCAATTTTACCCATTAATAAGCTAACTTAGATAGTACAAGTAGAACTAAGTACAAAGCAGTGTATATTACTCAACTTATAGCCGATCCGATACAATTCAAGAAAGAATTTAATTATTAACAAGAAAAAATAGAAAAATGATTCCTAGCGACGATTCCTTTATTAGTGATGAAGAAGAAGAATTCTGGTACGTACTTGAGGATTACATAATGGCCGGTGGAGGAAGCCAAAACAGTCAGAAAGAGCCAGCAAGTGATACTCGACTTGTGATGATGTGTTTTAGTTAGGTATTGAGAGGAGGATCTCGAAACTTTCGAATAGCCTGAGGTTTCTAATGGGGAGTTATTTCGGCGGAGGAGACCGCGATCTGGTGCTCATATATCTCAGCATGATGAGTTAGCTCTGCCACCTTCGAGAGACCCGGAGCTAAAGGTCACCTAGATTCATAGATTTCTACGCGGTTAGCTCCTAGCACATCATGTCATACTGTTGGGCTCACTTCTGTCTCTATCTCTGCTTTCAACTCTACTGCGTTCTACGCTCTCGGTGGTTTGGCTATGTCCTTTCACCGTTCTCTCTAAAGCTTAGTACTAACATAATATAGCCCACTTTGCGTGGAAGAAATGGATATTTCAGATAAAAACTTCAAGCCTTGCCCATGTGGTTATCAGATCTGTCAGTTTTGTTACAATAACATTCGTCAGAATCCAGAGTTAAACGGTAGGTGCCCCGCCTGTAGAAGACTTTATGACGACGAAAGTGTCGAGTACAAGTCCATCAGCACGGAAGAATACCGCTCGCAGCAGGCCAAGCGTGAAAAAAGAGAAAGAGAGAAGAAGCAAAAGGAAAAGGAAAAGAAGGAGAATGAAATGGCCAACAAGAAGCACTTGGCAGGTTTAAGAGTGGTGCAGAAGAATTTGGTCTACGTTACTGGCTTGAACCCGCCTTGTAGTGCGGATGATTTGCATTCTGTTTTAAGATCTGACAAATACTTCGGACAGTATGGGAAGATCTCTAAAATAGTCATAAATAGAAAAACCCCGGGCCCTGGTGGAAACAGCGGTAATAACCCTGGAGGACAGCTTGGCGCAATCCCGAATTTACCAGCCTCAGCTATGGCATCATCAGCAAGCCACCTGAACTCAGGTCTTGTAGTTTACGTTACATTTGTGAAGAAAGAGGATGCTTTGAAGTGTATTAATGAGTTAGACGGATCGTTGTGTGATGGTAGAGTGTTACGAGCTGCACATGGTACCACCAAGTACTGTTCGTCCTACCTTAGAGGTCATCCATGTCCTAATCCTAATTGTATGTTCTTACATGAGCCTGGTGAAGAAGCAGACTCGTATACCAGAAAGGACTTATCTACCCAACAGGGTATCAAGATGGGTATGATGGGAATGGGATCTTCTAAACATCAACAGAACCTGTCATTACATGGACAATCTGGTAATACAAGTCAAAACGAAAGCGGGGACGAGTACGACCAACATACTGTCAGTGGTGGTAATTCAGATGAGGAAGGGGAAGGTTTAGAATCAAATCTCTTGCATAATCAACAAACTGCGGCTGCAGCTGCTGCGGTTGCGGCTGCCGCTGCTACAACTGGAGCTATTGGAGCTAACTCTGTTCCTGGTCCTGTATTACCTGCTAGTGCGCATTGGGCTAAAGGTTCCAACTCTGCAAGTGTTTCGCCTGCGGTCAACAATAATGCAGCATTAGCAAATGTTGCTGCTTTCCCTACCTTGGGAGAAATCTTCAAGGAACAGAAAAACCAACAAAGCAAGGACTCCAAACAAACAAAAGCAAAGAACGTCAACAAATCTTCAATCTTACTTCCCGATGATATTGATATTGATGACGACTCTGCAATTCAATTTATTGAGGATACAACTAGGCACTTGAAGAATCTTTCTGAAAAGAAAGAAAAATTGGCAGTTCATTTCAAGAAATTGAGTACTGGAGGTTCGAGTATTCCATTATTTTCATTCAATAAAAGCGTAGAATACACTAACAATACAAAGCTCGAAGAAGAAAAGTTAATTGCAAGACAGGTTATTGAAAGATTTATTTTAAGACCGATTAAGAATTACCATTTAGCATATCAAAATCACCCTATTAGTCAACAGCAGATATTGTTACAACAGGCTCAGCTTCAACAACAGCAACAACAGCAACAAGTTCAAGCTCAACAAGCGCACTTGACTCCAAGCATCCAAGTAGCTCAATTGCAGCAATTGCAATTAGAACAGCAGAAGAGGGCCCTAGAAGGTCAACAACAAGGAGGAAATACACCTAATTCTAGCCACATTAATGTAAATGAGGAACCTCATCAATACCATCAGCACTTGTTATTGCAACAGTTACAGCAGCAACAAGCTCAGCAACAGCAACAGCAACAACTCCAACAACTTCAATTCCAACAAGCTCAATCCCAGCAATTTCAACAACAAGGTCAAGCACAGGTGAATATGTTGAAAATGAATGAAAGATCTTCCAATGCTACCCCACCACCACCGGGATTGTTTGCAGGAGGCATGAAGCAAGCACAAGGTCCTCCTCAGCAACAGGTTTCCAACTCAGCCGGAAATCAATCCTCTTCTTCTCAATTGTTAACACAATTAATGAGCGGAAAGAAGTAATAGGTGAACTTGCAGAGAGATTATTGTTAGAGAAGGTTAGAAAATTGAGACCAAGCTAAAATCAAATTGTATATTATCTAAACTGTACTAATTTATATTTTTAATTATTTACATGTAATTCAGCTCTCTATGTACAAAGTTATTCCTATTGCCTGTTTTGCTCAGTCACAACATCATCACATCTTCCACAAAGTTCATCTTTCTTAGGTGCCACATACTTCCAACATCTTGGACACTTCTCATGCGAAGAGGGTTTCACATTAATGACGACTTCAGTACCATCGATATTGATTGTAGTATTTATTTGGACTGGTGTTGTTTGGGTTGCGTCACTTCCTAGGGAAGCGTTAGATACTAGGAAATAATCACCAAGCCACTCTTCATGTCTGTTAAGGATATCATATATTTTTGAGTTTTCATCCTTCACATTTAAGTCAATGGAAAGTTCAAGGTTACTTTTGATATTTGCTTCTTGACGGAATTGTTCCAATGTTTTGTAAAGATGCGATTTTATGCACCAAATTTGTTCAAATTCTGCTTCAATTGCAGGATTTCTATAGTTCTCTGGAAGTCTATAGAATGATGACCACGAACCTGCTGTGTATGGAGAACTGCCCTTTTTCTGATGGAAATTGTTCCAAACCTCTTGCGTTAATATGGGTTGGATTGGGGCTAACAACCCGACCTGAGTTCTTAACAATATTTCCAAAACAGTCTGGATACTTCGTCTTTTGTGTGAATTAATCGAATCTGTGTAAAGACTATCTTTCGATATATCGAAATAAGAAGAACTCAAATCAGTACTGATAAAATGGTTGATATCCTTAACAACTCTCTGGAAATTGTGTTCCTTGTAGTACTCTATGCAAGTTTCTTGAAGGGTACTAAGTTTGCTCAAAATATACTTATCTAATGGGTTAAGCTGATCATATGGTACTGTTTCCTTGAACCCATTGATATTACCTAATAGATACTTCAAGGTGATTCGAAATTTTTTAAGGTTTTCGAATACTCTAGTAAGAACTTCACTGGTTACGTTAACGTCTTGTGTGTAATTTGAAGAAGCAACCCATAATCGTAATCCGTCAGTTCCCAATGTAGGTAAAAATGGTTTACCTCCGCCAATCATAGCATGCTTTGGTGAAATTACATTACCCTTTGATTTAGACATCTTGTTATTTTTGGCATCAAGAGTAAACCCATGGGTGATAATTTCCTTAAAGGGAGCCACTGGCTTGAAGTTTTCACCGTGTGAACCTGACGCAATAATCTTATTTAAAAGCGAAGATTGGAACCAACCTCTATGTTGATCAGATCCTTCCAAGTAAATGTCTGCTAACGGTGTACTGGAGGCAAACGATTCGTCCACATCCGATGATAAAGTTGACCATGACGTACCTGAATCAAACCAAACATCCATTGTATCTGTTCCCTTTATTAATTCCGATGCCCTGTTTTGTAATTCTTCCGGAAGCCACCTTGATATATCTTCTTCCTCAACAAACCATTCATCTGTACCATATTTATCAATCATATTAACAATGTGTGTCATTAATTCCTTCACTTGCACTGGTTCCTTGGTCAGTTTGTCATAGATGATAGGTAATGGAACCCCCCACACTCTTTGTCTGGATATACACCACTCATTCCTATTTTTAATAAACAGAAGTAGTCTGTTTTTTCCAGATTCGGGGAAGAATTTAACATCATCCAAGGACTTTACTGCTGTATCCTTTATCTTTTCTACATTGATAAACCATTGTGGGGTAGCTCTTTGGATCACAGGTTTATTAGATCTCCAGTCGTATGGGTACGAGTGCTTAAACTTCTTGTTTTTGTGGAAAATCAACCCTTGCTCGTCAAATTGGTCGATTATTGGCCAAATGGAATCATCGAATCTCTTCCCTATCAAGTGTTTGAATTCTTGAGGAATTCCCAACCCATGGTATATACCCTTGTCGTCAACCAGTGAAACGATTTGCAACCCACTCTTTTTACCAATTAAATAATCGTCACCTCCATGAGCTGGTGCAGTGTGGACGAGCCCAGTACCTGCTGTAGCTGTGACGTGGTCTCCGTGCAAAATAGGGAACAAAACGTTCTTATTTTCCACTATAGGATTTGAATAAGAGAGGCCAATCAAGTCTGCACCCAGAATGGAAACTCCTTCTTTGGTCAATTTCCAGAGATCTTCTTCATCTTCGACCTTTTTATTACCCTTTTCTAAGACATCCTCAGCTAAATCTTCTGCTACAAGAAGATGCTCGTTCGATCTTTTCTTGTACAACAAGGTGTACTTCAAGTTCTCGTTCACACATATTGCTTTGTTTGCAGGCAATGTCCAAGGAGTAGATGTCCATATAAGCAACTTGATGTTATCGTACTTTTCCAAGAACGTTCCTTCCAATTTCAATTGATACTTGACGTAAACAGCAGTAGAAACATGGTTGTTATTGTACTCCAACTCAGCTTCAGCTAAAGCAGTCTCTGTTTCAACACCCCACCAGACTGGTTTTTGTTGTCGAGAAAGTAACCCGTTTTCGGTCAATTTCTGAAATATTTTCAATTGGTTTATCTCATACTCGTGGTTCAAGGTGATGTATGGATTTTCGAAGTCAGTCATGATCCCGAACTCCGTGAACTGTTCTCTCTGCTTGTCAATCATTGTTTGCGCCAAGTTTCTACAAAGTTTCCTGATCTCCACAGCAGTTAATTTGTCCTTGTTTTCGGTGGATGTTATGGCCTTCATTTCAATGGGAAGTCCGTGACAGTCCCAACCTGGTTGATATAATACTTTCTTGTTATGGTAAAGTAATTCAAACCGGTTTATGATATCCTTTGTGATCTTGTTCAAGGCATGGCCCATATGTAAGTCACCGTTGGCGTAGGGAGGCCCATCATGTAGCACAAATTTCCCAGAATACTCCAGCTCCGGCCGTTTGAATTGCCACTTATACAAATCCTGACTACTTTGGTTAATCAATGATTTATTCTCTTCCGCATTGGGTAGCTTGGGTCCGAATGAAGTTTGTGGAAGCTGAAGTGTCTTAGAGTACGATACAGCCTTCAAGCACAACAGAGTATACGAAATTCCTCTAGTAGAAGATCGGAGCATATTGTTGGGTATGTCTGCTCGGTACCTCTACGGCAATACTGTAATTGCTAAAGCTCTAAACTGTTCTTTTACGACAATCATCAACAGTCAGGTCGAGTCGAGAGGAAGAGTGAAAAATATTTGATTATGTGTGTACTGCATATAGAGCGTGACTAATGAAGACTCTGCAACTCTAAGCTCCCACGTCGGTGTTCTCTCTACGATACTCTTTTAGTGGACTTGCGTTCCTTGTAGGTGTCTTACAGGTTGATGTGTTAGCTAAATAAATAATCATTCTTTTCAAAAATAAACAGCTTTTTTCTCAATATATAATAGTAGTATATAATATATAATAATAAATACAGTACATCAAGTTCATTAAATCATGTTCTTAGTTAGTTTTCGGATATGTTCTCTACCTTATTTCTTAGCGATGTTCTTAACTAATTCAATGTACTTTTCAGTAGAGAATGACTTTGGTCTTTCTAATGCCATACCTAAACCACGGTCCAAGATCAATTGTGGTAAGACACCGAAGGCTCTGGAAACACCGAATAAAACAGTGTAGAAAGATTGTTCAGTTAATCCGTAGTATTGTAACAAGACACCGGAGTGAGAGTCAACATTTGGCCATGGGTTCTTGGTCTTACCGTGCTTGGTAAGAACACCTGGGGCAACTTCGTAAATGTTGGAAACTAACTTGAATAATTCATAGTCTGGCATGTGCTTTAAGGCGAATTCTCTTTGAGCAGTGTATCTTGGATCAGTCTTTCTTAAGACAGCATGACCGTAACCTGGAACAACTCTACCGGCGTTTAAGGTTTCCCACAAGTACTTTTCGATGTTTTCCTTGGAGTAATCTTCGTTTAATTCCTCTCTCATTTGGAATAACCATTCCAAGACTTCTTGGTTGGCTCTACCATGTAATGGACCGGCTAAACCGTTTAAACCAGCGGCCAAGGACAAGAATGGAGAAGATAAGGCTGAACCAACCAAGTGGGTGGTGTGAGCAGAAACATTACCACCTTCGTGATCGGAGTGGATAGTTAAGTATAATCTCATCAATTCAAGGAATTCTTGGTTTTCACCGTAACCTAACAAGTTAGCTAAGTTAGCACCGTAATCCAACTTTGGGTCAACGGCAGCTAATTTACCATCTTTGAAGACATTTCTATAAATTCTAGCAGCAATGTTTGGTAACTTAGCTAATAATTCAATGGAATCTTCGTAGGTGTACTTCCAGTAGTCCTTCTTGTTGACACCCTTGGCGTAAGCTTCAGCGAATTGGGATTCGGATTCTAAAGCAGTGACGGCAATGGAGAATTGGGCCATTGGATGTAAGTGAGATGGAGATCTGTCGATCAATTCTTCAACGTGCTTTGGTAAAGCAGATCTAGCGGCTAATTCTTCAGAGAAGGCCTTAGTTTGAGCTTCGCTTGGGACTTCACCGGTCAATAACAACCAGAATAAAGCTTCTGGTAATGGTTCTTGTCCACCTGGAGCCTTTGGCAATTCCTTTTGGATGTCTGGAATGGTTCTACCTCTGAAACGGATCCCCTCAATTGGATCTAAAACGGAACCTTCCCAAACTAAACCCTTGATACCTCTCATACCACCATAGGCTTGTTCAAGGAGAACTTCTCCAATAACGGTCTTACCATATTCTTTCTTTAATTGCTTGACTTCTTCGATCTTTTCTGGGAGAATGGCTTCTAAACGAGCTTTAAGAGTCTATAGAATTGTTAGTACAATGATTTCCAAAATAAGGGCCATTTTTCTCGGCGCTTTCCAGCAAAAGAAATCCAAACAGCATGAAAAATGGTACTTTCAAGGTGCAAAAAAAAAAACAATTCCCGTCAACCTCGACTGGTTCCAATCGAGAGATATGAAAACTGGCAGAAGAATACAATAAAAACGGTACTTGTTCATCCAAATTACCGAGGGTTAAGAAATTGCCCATTTGAGTCACCCGAGATCAGTTGGTCGAAGAGCGATCACATGCGAAAAATTCTCATCTCACTTTTCAGCCATAGATTGACAGCCTCGGGCAAACGATTTACTAAGCTACAACATTCAGCTGTAGTTCCAATGGCACTGCAGCATTCTTACCCGTGTCCAGTTGACTTGTTCTGACTGGCACCAGTACCATTCTCATCTCAAAATAAAAACAAAAAATATATAAAAAAATCTCTTTCGGTTCTACTTACTGGTTCGGTAGCGTAGCTTCTAACAAAACGCTTGGTTAACAAAGAACGCTGAGCAGTACGGATTGCGGACATCTCTAATAATGGAAATAAATATAAATATCAAATATATAAATAGATATATATAAGAAAGAAGGAAGAGAAGAAGAGAAAAAAAAAAGGAAAAGAAGGGGGAGCCATCTTTTGCTATTCCATGGGGAAAACTGTGCGTTTAAATAGAAATTGGTGTCGAGTGCGCGGCCAATCACAGCGGTCGATTTCTTCCGTGGATGTAGCTACCACGGACTTTGTTACCGAATGCAACCGAACAGTGAAAAACGGTGGAAAACCTGGGGGAAAAGGGAGTGGTATGAAAGAGTACTGGAAGACTCTGATGGGCCAGTAGCGTATGCTGAGCCTAAAGAGAAACTGAGAGGCTAACGGGGTGGTTCTCTGAACCACTGTAGAAAAAGACATTTAGCTTCGGGTCGGTTTTGTGTCATATTTTCCCCAGATTTCATCGGAGTGCAAATGCTTTTCCGAAGTAGAAAATAGGTCGATTAAGAAAAGCTGGGCTCTAACTGGTGTGCTTTTAACTCCAGTGTGGGGGTGATGGTAAACAAAACAAAAACGGGAAATTGGTGGGAAAAGTGGGCAGATGTGCGACTGCAGTGGGTTTCTGATATCGAATTGGAATTTGTAGGTCTGCTGGCCACAAGTAGCATGGAAGTCAGAGTTTCCAATTGGCAAGGAGCCATGGATACTGAGTGTTGTTTTTTTTTTTTTTTTTTTTTTTTTCCATTCCAGCTTCTCTATCCCTTTTGATCTACCACCGGTGCTCTTTCATTCTTTTTTTTTTTTTGCTTTTTTTTTTTTCACCACGGAGCTAAAGTGCCGCTGCTCGGTCATTTAATAGGGTTTTAAACTTTGGGATGTATGCACGACTAAATAACGTCATAGCGTTTGTATGGGGTAAGCCGGGTACAGCTTAGTTGTACAAGAAATTTTGTGGTGCACTTAATGCCAGATAATCACGGTGTGCGTTTGGGTGGATCGTGGACGTAGGGGAAGTTAGGAGCTACGGGACGGTACGGTATTTATTATTTGGCTTTTTGGTTTTCCAAATTGGCTTGTTCCAGCTCCTGTTGTGTTGAAGTATGGTAGGGTGAGGTGCTCAGTGGAATCTCGGTAGCTCGCAACCTAATCACAACGCTAGGGCCGCGGCTCAAGGGCTAAGGGAAAAAATAGGAAGAGAGCTACGAAGAATGTAATAGTGGTGCAGTAACAATGCACTGGTATGGGTTTCAAGGTCTTAGGTGAGATACTTGACAAAAAAAGCCGCTACCCCTAAAGCTCATTGGTGGTGTGGTGGTTGTGCGCAGATGGGGCATTTACGAGCCAGTGTCTATCTTCCTTGTGCAGTTCTGGGAGTGTGGGGCACCCTTCTTGGTTGGTATTTCCCGTCCCGGGATCCTCTCCATGCCATTCCACATCGCCAGCTAGGCGAGATCATTGGCCGAATAAGCATGTTACGAAGAGCCCTACTTTTCATTGGGCCAGACGCTTAGTGTGGGGCAGATTTTTCATCATCAATTATTGTCCTGCATACTGTCTAAACTTTTACGAGCTCTCACTCCCATAGACTAGGTGAGTACCATGCCGTGCAAACGTCCCACCCTGCTGATCTGCGTGTATCTGGACCGCTGTATATCTAGTTCTGGGCCATTAAGTATCAAGACTATCCTTCCTCTATTTTTTTTTTTTTTTTTTGCTACGGTTCTGCCGTGTGCAACATCTCTAACCCTCTTCACCTCATCGCATCACTATGAAAATTTCTTTGCATGCCTAACCGTATCTTGTCTTCTCGTATCAGTGCCTCAGTTCCTAGTAATATAAGATGCTCTACAGAATCTTAGGTGCTATTTACCTCTCCTCACTCGACCCGCTAACTAGCGGAGAAGATTTGAAGGCGAAGTATGGAATTACCCACATTCTCTCTGTTCTTCCTGGAACCATACCATCTCAGTATACTGAGAATTACATACACAAGCAGATCGAAATAACCGACGAAGAGTCTTCGAATATACTCCAATTTTTACCAGAAACGAACTCCTTTATTGAAGCTGCATTATTTCCACCAGCTGTGTCTACCTCTAGATTCGAATCGGGCACCAATGCACCACCAAACAAGATTCTCGTACACTGTGCACAGGGAGTCTCAAGATCTCCTACAGTCATCATGGCGTACCTTTTGCAAAAGTACAGGTTGACTTTTGAGCAAGCGCTTCACGCCCTTAAGAGAAAGAACCCTGCAGTGGAACCAAACGACTCATTCATCAACCAAATCAAATTGTTCAAGAAGATGCTCGATCTTAAATTGGATCAGTCATCAAAGTTGTATAGGCAATTTCTCGTGGAAATAACTCTCTTGCAAGATCCAACGGGAGAGTCTCTCAAGGAGTTGAACTTATTCAAGAAGAATGCTCAGCTGACTCACAATACCTCACCATCGACCATAAAGTATAGATGTAAGAGGTGCCGTCACGTTCTTGCAACTAACCACAACGTAGAATACCATGACCAACCAACAGAAGACTCGCACCAGTCTAAGTTTATCAAGAGAGGACACACGAATAGAATTATCTCTGTGGAACAGGGATCCACCACCTGTTCTCACCATTTCCTTTCTGAGCCGTTGGACTGGATGATGGCTGAATTGGACAAATCTGAGTTAGAAGGTAAGTTTAACTGTCCGAACGACAAATGTGGAGCAAAGATTGGCGCTTATTCTTGGAGAGGATCTAGATGCTCGTGTGGGAAGTGGGTAATCCCTGCTTTCCACTTACAAAGTAATAAAGTAGATGAAGTTAAGGTTTTGGAACGTGCGCCCAATGTTCCCACAAGTATATAAATTAGATAAAGTAATAATGCAAACTACCTATTGCTACGTCTGTATGTGTGTACGTCTGTATGTGTGTATGTATTTACGGATAGATGGACGTATGTATGGGGGTTATAGATGTATGGATCTAGTCCATGTCCATTGATTCGTCATCCAAGTTCGAATGGTTGTACTCGGTTTCGTTTTCATTCTCCCGATCATTCTCTGCATTTTCCTCCATTGCAGATACGGCAGACCCACTGCCCACTCTGTCATTTCCTCGGATCGCATTCAATATAGTATTGGTGCTAACAGATGTAATTCTGCCTCTGCTCATGTCTGCAGTGGATATGCTATGATCGTCCTGGTATTCCACTTCTTCCGCCATAAAGCCTTCGTCTTCGTCAACATCGTCATAGATCTCATTCTCATTTATGACGCCTTCATTGTCGATGTCAGCACCAGCCTGGTTAGGTCCGGTCATAGCTCCAGCTCCCTGACCGCTCTCTCTCTGTTCACCTTCTCCCTCTTCTCCATCTTCCTCTTCTCCATCCTCTTCTCCCTCTTCCCGGCTATGGAAGTCTATGTCGGGAACGTCTGCATCCAAGTCTATGTCCTCAGGCTGCTCCAATATGCTGTTCGATGTGTTCCCCACAGTAGGTATGTTAGAGTCGTCCTGTCCCAAGGTATCTTGGTTAATATGCAGTTGCAGCTGCAGTTGCAGATGCAGATTCTGCTGCTGTTGCTGCTGTTCATAGTAAGCAGCTCTTCTTCTCTCTTCGAATTCCAATTCTCCCATAGTCTTGTTAATCCCAACAGGAGCAATGGAATGGTAGCCTACCTTCGATATTGATTGCAACTTGTTCAACTTCTTAACTACAAGAGGTGTAAGTAAGTTATTCGAAGGTATTGCATTCCCGTTCAACGATTTGGTTCGTATTATATAGTCCAATTGCGTGACATTTGGGCCGGGGTTCTCCACCGAATATGCCAGCAATGGTGGAGCAAACAAATGGCGCAAATGTTGGTGGTGCCCTCGTTGATCTTCTATCAAGGGACTACTATTAGGTTGCGAACGAAATCGGGCATTCGATGCGTTGTGAGTGTCATTCTGAAGCCAGAGATGATTGAAATCACCCGAAAATAAGTTCGGCGAGTACATGAAGCCGTGGTGACACTCTAAAGTGGTTGTTTTGTTGGATGGCTCTTCTTCTGATCACCAAAGCGCATACAAGTGTGTTTTTCACACTTAACATCAGTACACCCATATTTGAAGAGAGCTTTGCACAGTTCCTGGTAGTGAGGAGTGCAAGGCTGCTCTCTGGGAGTGTTTGATAAGCAATCTGGTCTATGAGGCGTGCTGACTTCTTAACAGTGGAAGATTGGCAGTTGAGAGGTTGTTGAGAGGTCTATGTTGTTCAAAAAGAGCTGTATCCATTGGGACTAGGGAAAATAAAAGTAACGAAACACACAAATTAGTTGAGCCTTTGTATATTCACCAGCATATGCAAAAACCGACCCTAAACATTTTTAGTATAGGTCTTCTTTTCTACCCCATACCAGCTCTGATAGTACCACATTAGTCACCTATTCTCTTAAAATACCAGCCTTTTAGCCGTGCCTTGACAGGACTACAGTCCCATCTACTTAGTTGGCCCTTCGTGATAGTCTGCAGCAATTTCCGGGTAACCCACGGTCCCACTATAAAAGCTCTTCGAAGTGCTCCTAAAATTTTCATCGTTAGTGCTTTTCTTCTCTAGAAACCAACAACAATAGTACCAATAAACACTTAGACACAGAACTCTTTTGTAGACTCGCTGCCTCTATACTTATCTGGGATATATCACCACGGACATGCCAATCACCAGGTGTTCGGAGGTAAACGAATCCCAAACATCGAACCTAATGTATCTAGCAGAATAATTAATGATTTTTAGTGCATTAATTTACTTTGATGATATTTTACATTCCGTATTGTAGTTCTGGGGTATGAGTTTAGAAATCTAACCAATCTACATGCATCGTTGAGCATTCTTTGTGATATTCTATATTCGTTTTTTGTATGAAATGTATATAAAAGGTATGTGGGATGACCATGTCAAAGAGTCATCGTACTTTCCGAAAGGCACAGCAATTAGTAAGTCGGAAGCTGCGATTCAAACTAGTGAAAGCGGAGTATCTTTATCTTCCTTCTTTCTTTCTTTCTTTAGTGAATACCTCTCTTCAACTTCAATGAATCTCTCTTCTTTTCACTTAAACTAAACTGACTTGGCAAATTGATAGAATCCTTGTTTGCAGGTGCAGCTGCTCCAGTAGATGCGCTTGCACTAGGAGGATTGGTCCCAGTACTCGACAATGAAGAGTTCATTGCGGGGTTTAATCCAGAACCGCTGGATCCCGGACTGTTAGTCACTGTAGTCAAGGTTGGAGTGGCTCCACTAATAACCGTAGCAATTCCTGTGCCTCTTAATGATCCAGTAGATGACGCAGATGAGATGGACGAGTTGTCATTATCGTACATAGGACTGTGAGGAATATTGCCGTTTTGACTCACTGGGAATCCGTTGGTGAAGTATCCACAATCGTCGGATGTCTTACTGGACGACATGAAAGGTGAATCCAAAGTGTCAGTAGTACCATTGATGCTACTAGCGCTACTGAAGCTTCCGTTTTTACTGGCGTTGTGCACAGCATCTGTGTTTATGTGCAATGCTTTTGGTAAAGTGGTACCTCTCGATGAAGATCTGGATCTACTCAGATAGAAGCTGAAATCATCAACCATATTTTCATTACCGGAATTAAATATTTGATGTGACGATGAAGAATTTGATGGAGGAGTGATCTGATGAGAAATAGAACCCTTTTGAGAACTAGGTGGAGTTTGATAGTCCATCATCATAGAATTGAAACCATTAGAATTGGAAAGTGAAGGATGAAGTGAATTGTTGTTGTTGTTGTTGTTGTTGTTGTTGTTGTTGTTGTTGTTGTTGTTGAGGTTACTATTGCTATTGCTTGTGCTGTTGTTCGTTCCACTCTTGTTGATGAAAGATTGAGGAACGTAGTATTGTATTGACTGCAACGAATCGGTACTCAAATTGTCGTTATGCATAGTAGAGTACTTTGGATGGGGGGCCTCAGGCTTGATGGTGTTGAGGTTTCCAACATGCAACCAGTTGTTCCCTGAGTATGAATTGTTTCTTGTCAAAGACTGTTTACGCAAGCTTATGGACGAGGATCTTGAGCGGTTATCCATGGCAGCAGCAGCAGCAACAGCAGAGTTCTTGGTCCCATTCAGTGCATTGTAGTTCGAGATGTTGAGCTCGGTCAACGAAAGGTTCGATATAGATGACTGTCTGATGTTTGGTGGCATGCCATTATTACTGTTGCTGGCTGTAGTAGTGGTGGTGAAGGGCATCCCATTGCCACCGCCACTTGTAACAGTTATGGTGATACTGGTGGACTGTGGTAATGGCAAGCCGTTCTGGTGACAGCTACACAAATCGATCAATCTTTTCCTTATCAATTGCAAGAAGATCGGCTTGTACGAGTGGTTTCTCAAGAAGTCATGAGAGACAATGTTCTGATGGTCGAATGAAGGTGGGTTGGATGCGGAAGATGAAGTAGATTGAATGAGCTTGCTCATGGTATCGTTGGATACCTTGGAAACAAGCCCACTGGGAGGAATAGTGCCCAGAAAGGGCGTAGTGGTAGGCAACCCAAGGAAGTATTGATATGTGGAGAGTAAAAGCTGATCGAAATTTTGGTTGAAGTTGACGGTGTAATTTTTTGTTGTCTTGAACGAGCCAAAAAGTGGCTCGTCAATGTCGGTCAAAATGTCATCAGACTCGTTGTAGTGGGGGTTCTGGTAGAGTGTGTGGCTGTTTATAGACGTATTGGAGTCGTTTCGGGCAAAGTAGTCCATACCGCCGCCATTATGTTGTCCGTTTTGGTAGCCTGGGTGATGCTGTGGGGTGTGCAACAACATGGGTTGGTCTATGGGCGTTTTCATCGTCTGTTCCAACGGAGTAAACGGTTGGTCTCCCCCACCCAAGGAAGAAAACGAGTTGTTTAGCTTAAGCGAAAGATTCAATTTTTTATTTATCATCACGGATAGGCTGATATTGTAGATTGAAAAGTGTAAGTTGGTTTCTTTAATTAGCGTACTCTATCTTTATGAGAGAGAGAGTACGTCTGTTAAGGAAATAAAGGTTTCAATTTATCGAATATGGAAATTTCTGTCCTTGTCAAATTTTAAGGTACTTGCGACTTTTTCTTTTGTCACAGTTTTTTTTTTTTTTTTTGGCAAGGTTTAGGTTATATGCAAAACCAATTCACGTAAGTTAAAAGGGGTCGTATAGCAGGGAGTAAAAATAGCAAATGTAAATAAGTAGGTACGGTACAGTATTATATGTTAAGACTGGCTGTACGATCTGTGAATGAGCAGAGTGGCTGAATAATATTTTCTTACTCTGAAGACTTCTTAAGGTTGCTCTGTGTGTGCTAGCGTGGTTGCACTTTATGCTCTTCTCCTGTTTTTCGCTCTCTCTCTCTCTTGTAGTAGATTCCTTGTCTGGTTCGAGACAGTGACACAAGAATGAGGGCGAGGTAGAGGGAAAAAGACAAAAAAAAAAAAAAACGCGTCCAGGGTTCCAAAAGTATAACGCGTGCTTTTTCTTTCTTTTTTGTTTTTAGCTCTGATACTGCAAATTAAAAATGGACTGGTGGACCAAGTTCTATTGTCGTTTAGTAGTGTAGATGAATTTGAAGAACTAGCAGATTAGACTTTGCTTTCGTACTAGTATATTGGATTTATATTGAGGTTACTTGATGGGCCTTTCCTATCTGTATGCAAGTGAGCTAGTGTGTGCGTTGGTGTGTGTATATTATGGCTCTCAGTTTATTTTCAAACCCGCTATTCTATTCTGCACAGTGGTCGTATACTTTATGTTTTGCTTTTTTCTAGTGTTTCTTTCCTAAAATTTCACAAGTCGTATGCGCTCTGTGCCATATATATTTGCTTTTCGACTTATAGTAACTATTGGAGTTGCAAGCGTTGTTTCCCAATGCGGGCAAATTGGATGCATTGTTCCGAAAATATTATTTAGTTGCCAGTCAAATAGAATTTAGAAAAAATGATGCATAAAGTGTATGTTCTCTTTGATTACATGCGTCAAAAGGGCAGCGCTCATAATTTCAGTCTTTTAGCACTGAAGTCTCGCTTGCCTTAGAGAATGAAAAAGTGGAAGTATTTGGAGAATGGGAGTTATGTCGAACTACTTAGCCTGGTGAACAAGGCCCAAAATTGCGACATGAAACTAAAGACAAAGAGAACTTGATATATATTTGATAAGATGATAATGCTTTTCAAAAGAACAATGCGATAGGAGGTGGATCGTGGGCAGGAAATCAATTTTCTTCAGATTCACTCAAATCTACCGTAGCCCTTTAGCAAGTTGAGACACATTCAACTAGATAATGTAGATTGCTGCCTTGCTTAGATTTGGGTGCTAAAGTGAAAATGGACAAGAAGGTGAAAAAAAGTAAAAAAATAAAAATAAAAAAAGAAACAGAGGAAGGTAAAAGAGCAGCCCTAGGGCGATTGAAGATAGGTCTTGACTGGCACTTTCTCCTGTTACTGAGTGAACTTTACATCACGCTTTTTACTCTTATACGTACTAGATTCATCACGCATTTCTACAATCTTACAGACGACCTCTTACGTGCTTACTTGCGTTCTCAAATAACTCTATTACAATGTGCCCAATTTCATATTGCAGCTTAAACAATCGACATCGATCGCGTTCTCCTACTTGTCCCAAAATTATTTTTCATTTTGGCCCTGTACTAAATGCACCGATGACATGTCAACCGATATTCAAGTCTATCTATCTTTCAACGCTCTAAATACACCCTACCTTCCTCCACTATTGTACATTATGTAGATAATGACGACTTATCATGCCATTCAAGACGCACTTAGCATTTTAAACTTCACCTTACACCTTTTGGGCTCTATTTCGTTGGCGTTTTAATGTGCGACTACAGATCGCATATGCGGCTTATTTCTATTATGCCCTTATTTTTTACTTTAGTGCTCTTATTTTTTTACATGCTGCTGCCCTGTTTTATTCAATCCCTACATCTAAGGTACTTTATCTCGCCTATGTACATATGGCACTTAGGTAAATAAGACGCTGCGCGCTTAAATGATCCCTGCGCCATAGTGGTATAAAATAACATTGCTGGAGCATGTGTATCTGTATATGGGGCCCTAACTTTCTACTTGTGTGACATCATAGTTGTACTTTTTATTTGCTAACTAAATCTATGTACATATTCGCAATTGATAATCCTCTAGTAATCACACAATTGGGCTTCATAAATTCTTGCGATTTGTTGGGCGGAAATGTGAAATGAAATGGACTATTTTGGGACCGTGCTACTAGACCGTGCTACTATTCCTGAATCTTCCGTGGAGAATAGTCTTTGATTCCCTTGTCGTCAAGCCAATTCATGGAATAGTTCTCGAACTATTTTTCCCCACGCTTCAAATGGAATAAAGCTTAAACTTAATATCAGCAAAATACGACGGTCTTGATTTAAGGTATATTTTGCCGGGAATCAGTACCTTACACTAATTTTACGCGAATAAAGCTAAAAGTCGTTACCCATATGCTCAAAAACAGGGGTCGCAAAGGTACATTCAAAATGCAATTAAGCAAAGAGTTGATTCTCTGTTAGTGATGTCGGTCTCTCTCATTATCCACTATTCCCATAGGGTGGGGGATCATGATTTATATGTCCGTCGACCATGCAGAGTATACATGCACACGTCTGTATACGTCTGTATACTACCCAACCTCGTATATATTTGTGGATGTTGTGTCGTGGGTTAAACGCACCCAGTCTCGTATATCGAGGAAGGAATAAATCTGTATTCCGTAGACATGTCTAAGCTCGTATAATTAGGTTGGAAGATTTGAGTTCAATTTGATCTAGTCTCGCCTCCTATTCTTAGAAAACCAAACTCCTTTAGTAAAGTAGTCTATGTTGCTACACTCTCCGAACTATGCTCAATGTTATTTCCTGAGTTATCTTGTGTGCTTTTGCCTGTAGGCAAGTCTGCTTCCAGGTTATTCTCTTGTACCTCTAACTCTTCTTCACCCTCTTCTTCCCTTTTCCGTTGTGTATACTCGTAATATTCATCTAGTGGCTCCTCAAGTAGAATCTTATTGTATTTCAAATTGTAAGGCAACGCTTTCGACAATTCGGGAGTCACTGTAACGCCACTAACATTGGAATTTGTGTTGCTATTATTTGCATTGTTTGCGCCTGTGGTGTTGCCATTTACTTCATCCTCAATCTCTATTAAAATATGGTCAAACTTGTAGAGATTGTTCAAATGTGCCTGCAATTTCTGCTCCATGTTCTCAATGGGGTGCAAGTTTTCGTTGGGTAACAGCTGCCTTATTTCCGAATCAAGAGCACTATTGATGAACTTCATATCGTATCCAAGCTTGAGATCCTTTTCAGAGATATAATTGAGCCAGGTGAACTGATCGAGGTCTTCGTCATCTTCGTCTACATCTCTAGCAAGCAGAAGCTTCTCAGTCTTGTCAGCACCTGAAGGGTCTTTAAAGTGATTATAGTAATCCTGTTTCTCCTTTAACCTCTTACTTTTCTTATCTTTTGTATCTTTGTCTTGCTCATCAGTATTATCAATCTTCCTCTTCTCTATTAAATTCTTGATCAAAGGCTTGGGTACTTTGGTCAATCTTTTCAGCGTAGTGAAGCCATCACTGTACAATATCCAGTTTTTGAAGGATTTGGCAGACTTAGTGCTATAATCTTTGACATTGGAGTAAGGCGGCGTATCAAACGCATCTAAAATATTCTCCCCCAGTGATGGTTTAAGAAAGCCGATATCAAGCATTGCTTGAGTGATATCTTGGACAGAAAGACCATCATTTCCTGCCAGCTGTCCTATAGAGCCCACCTCCAGCAGGTTTTCTAGTCGGTGATTGGCATATTTTAGGCTCTTCAAGAGTAAAAGCTTGAAGTAATGGATGTATAAATCTGTAAGGATGTTGACCACCGAAGGTTTACATTTGTCAAAACCAGACGCCTTTAAGATCTGTATTATCGAAACTCTTAGAAGAGCAAAGTGAAAGGACGACTCTTCAACCATTTCCGGAACTTTCTGCGATAGAATGACCGATATACTGTGTGATAGATGGATCTTAACGACTCCACAACAAGCCTGAGAGAAGAAGCTTCCAAAAAAAAAAAGTCTAACGGTAGTTGATATTGCACTATATGCAGGACCAATACATATCACTCTTCCCAGTCTATTAAGGTCTAGTTCAAGGTTCTTGCTTAGGAGGGAGAGATCATAGTCATTTAAATTACAAGATTCAATTTAGAGTGCCCTTTATGGAATGAGCCAACTTAGTCAGAAAATGTTCCAAAATAGGTGTATATTGGGTGGATTATCGAGATAACTTTAGCTTATACTCTCCGTTAACCTTCTGTGCGGGAATGAGCTGCACCCGCCAGTCACGCATGGAGGAAAGTCACTAGTCAAGCTCTGTATAGTTTCTGGACCCTGCAGCTCGGAGACTGAAGTGTTGCTCGATTGCTGTCCCATCCCAGATACATTTTCAACCGCCTTCATCCTACAGACGCAGAACAGATTTTCAATGTATTAACTATATGTATATATGTATAAGCATACGATCGAAGTCGAATCTCAGAGCCACTGATCTACACCAAATTGTTTTCTCTTTCCTCTTTTTTTTTTTTTTTATAATTCTTTCAATTTATTGTCTTCCATAATTTTCACCTTCGTTCTTACAAACCCTGTTGTAATCTCTCACCAATCTTCTTTGATGCAAACGATAATGCGTTGAACAAACCCTTTTCACTCAAGTCAATCTTGTTTAACGATATCTCGCCGACAGCTGCGTTGTTGGCGTTTCTTGGGTTGGTGACCCTGGAAACAATGATGGCAGGATCAATTTCCAAAATGATCCCATCGTCAATGGTTTCGTCAATACACAAACTCACCAAGTCGTATTTCTCCAAGATAGTGGCCTCGTCCAAAGTATTGTCCAATAAAATGTTCAATGCCTCAATTAAGTTGTTGGTTAAAGAGTAAATCATGGATTCATTTTCATGGATCAGTGCCACAAGGATCAATATGATGTCGTTTGATTGCTTGTAAGTAATCAAATGGTTATCATAGAGAATGATATCTTGGTTTTGCTTGAACACCTTCTTGAATACATTCTTTTCGAACTCCAACTGTTGCAATGGTGACAACGTAGGTATAGCGGATGGTGAATTGGAATTAGATGCGTTGGTGCTGGTTTGTGCTTCCGGCGTATAGTACTTGGCATAAAGCCTAGACCCGTTGGAGTCTAGGATAATGGTAGCTGTGACAGTCTTTAGAGAAACGTTAGACATGGAATAGATGAACGCTAATGGCTTCGTTTCGGTACAGAAAGAAGACACCGGCCACCGTTTACCTTTGTAAGGTCGATGAATTTGATGTTGCCAAAGTTTGGTTGGACACGTACAAACTCGCGAAAAATGAGGTTTGGCAGTGTGCTATATGCAGGCAAAATTATGGTAGATTCTACCTGAGGCTAGGTAGGAGGTGGATGGGGTGTTAGTGGGTATGGGAGGGGTCTGCTGATGATATTGTTGTCTTATACATGATAGGAAGTGTGTCGTGGGATTGGAAGATGTAGTGGTCGCTAGAAATTTGGAATTTCGAGCTGCGTTCAAAGGGTCCGTGTGAACTGATCGTCAAGAAGAGGCTGCAAAATGAGATAGTGCCATCCCCAGCACAGCGGTTTCGCGTATGGTGTTACACTGCTAGGTCCCGCTCTCACAAGAGTCTAGTTGTAGGTGGCCATGCAGGTATAATGTATCAACGTGATTGCTGCCGCAATTGGATAATTTTTAAGCTGAATGTGCACAGTTGTACCGCTGAGCACAGGTTGCTTAGAAGTGTGAGATCTCCGACTGGTTTCAGTGCTGCGAATGCGTAGTTTTCATTTCCTGTATATAAACACTCATTTTTAGAGCTGAATCAGGGCTAACTGGCAAGACAAGCGGCAAGAAAACTGGCTACAGCTGCTATATGGCAGGGTGTGGAATGATGGTAGGTGCCTGCTATTGACTCTCGAGTACGCTTAACTGCAATTTGAGGGATCATATCGTCAAGCAAGGGAGCCCCACCGTAGTAGAAAGACAGCAGGGTGAGCACAGTAGAGCTAGCCACCTCCAAAACGGAAGAAAGGCGCCAAAATCCCAGTACGAACTGAGTGTGGTTCCAACGACACGAAATTTCCAACCAAAATCTACTGAATTTTCCAACGACAAGATATTTCGAACCAAAAGGCCGGAAACTACAATCATTTCAGTCCAGTAGCCAGATCTCATCACACCGTCGTGCAACATCTCACGCTATGAATTTCTAAATCGAGAAGAGTGATTCTGCATATAATACCCATCAATTGTGCGGCTCCTCTGTGAAGGCTGGCAGAATTTTCTTACTGAGGACGGGAACTGGCCTGAAACAGAGGGCTCGAGAATCTGAGAGACGTAGCATTGTCGTGCCCACTGCCCTACGGTCGTACTCTCTGCGCATCACTCACATAACCAATAGTAGTACTCGGGATGCAACTGAAGTAATCGAAGAAGAAGAAAACTTCGTGGTGCGCATAAATAGCACCTTCATTCTGCATGCAGAAAACTGGCTCCATAAAAACACCGATCGTTGCTTAACAGCTACCCAACCTAGCCAACCCCAGTGGTACGCCACTGACCCCTATCGCTCACACATTTCACTGGCCTCATCCTATCCACCTGAACCCTCTCTCTGAGCAAAACTACACTGTTTACAGATGTTCGCCGAACCTCGACACTCTTCCAATGGTGCGTCACTTTACGAGCTCCAAGCTCGTGGCCTGCATGTGGTGTATCAGAGCTGCATCCATCCTAAACCTAAATGCAGAGCCACGTGGGTTCAATACCCAGTGGGTAATAATTGGGGAGACGAAGTATTTTAATCGACGTGAAACTAAATTTAAAATCGAAATTATCATACTCTCCGTAGCAAAAGGAGCCTAACCATAGAGAAAAGCGAGCTCCCAACACTTTTGGAGCCATGATTTACGTATGTATTAAACCAACCCACTCTACCCACCCTTCCCTGGATACTGCATATGGTTTGCATATCTCTGCAATTTTGAGTTGTCTTGGGCCTGCCCTTCTGCCTTGAATCTCCACCGGAATTCAGTGATAGCGCTGCAGATACATAAAAAAAAAAAAAAAAGAAAGAAAAAAAAAAAAAAAATAAATTAGTGCACTCCCACGGGCAGTGAAAATTGAGGTGGTGCAGTAGATAGGTGACTAGCAATCCGATTAATTTACTCTTTTTGCTGTTGGATTTTCTTTTCTTGGAAGTCCATTTAGCAGTTGTTTAGATTCGAGTATTAGACTAACGCAGGAAAGATGTTATTTGGATCGAAGCTCGACAATGAGGTGTATGAACCTTGGAAGGAATACTACATGAACTACACTTCCCTCAAGAAGTTGCTTAAGGAAGGTGTAATTCTCAAAAATAGCTGGACCGAAAAGGACGAACAGAACTTCGTATCGGCATTGGACGCTGACTTGGACAAGGTATACACATTCCAGCTGCAGAAGTATGACCAATTGAACGATATCTTGGAAGGCTTGCAAATCCAAACTGAAACAGCCCTGCAACAGTTTGATGAGAAGAAATTTTCGGTCAAGTTGGATGAGACCTTGGCGGTTGCACAGGAATTGGAGCACTTCCAGAGATTGAATTACACTGGTTTCACCAAGATTGTCAAGAAGCACGACAGAATCCACCCGGAGTTCAGTGTCAAGCCATTGTTGAACGTTAGGTTGAAGAACTTGCCCTACCACAATGAGGACTACAGTCCCTTGTTGTACAAGATCTCCGCTTTGTTTCAATTTTTAAGAGACAATTACAAGGTGGACCAAAGCTTGAGTAAGTTATCGTCATTCCACGAGGATATCACCAAGCAAGAGTTTGAGCTGTTCAAATTTTGGATCCACAAGGACAACTTGATGGAAGTCAAGACAAACATCTTGAGACACTTACCGGTTTTGGTGTATAGAAAGGATACAAAGCAGCATCAGACCATGGAAGAATTAATGAACAATGATTCCGATGACGATGAAAACGAAGATGAGGACTACAACAACCCAATTATCAACTGTTTATATTTCGATTCTCCATCGTTCGAGCTTTATAACGACAAGTTAATCAAGGCAAACAATTCCTCTTCCCTTCGTATTAAGTGGGTCGGTAAGCTTCTTGATAAGCCAAAGATCATCATTGAAAAGAAGGTCTTTGACCAGACTAGCCAGGACTTTAATGTTGGTGAAAAGTTAAGCATCAAGGAGAAGTACTTGGACTCTTTCGTTCAAGGTGATTTTGACTCGACCAAGTTCGTTAAGAAGATGAATAAGAGAGGGTCCAGTAAGGAAGAAATCGAAAGTTTTGAAAAAGTTGTCAATAACTTGGAAAGTTTCATAAAGGACCACGACTTACAGCCATGCGTTCGTTCTACCTACAAAAGAACTGCGTTCCAGATTCCAGGAGATGACAAGGTTAGAATTGTTATTGACTCAGATTTGACTTTCATCAGAGAAGATGCTTTTGACCATGAAAGACCTATTAGAGACCCTTCCAAGTGGCACAGAACAGATATTGACTCCAAGATCAACAATCCATTTAGTTTGTTAAGAAAGGGCGAATACCTGAAGTTCCCATATTCAGTTATGGAAATTAAGATCAAAAAGAATAACAATAAGCAAAGAAGTCATTGGATTAACGAATTGGTCTCTTCGCATTTGGTCAAGGAAATCCCTAACTTCTCAAAGTTTATTCAAGGTATAGCGTCATTATTTTTGGAAGATGATAAGTTGGATAATATCCCATTATGGTTCCACGACTTGGAAGGTGACATCAAGGTAGATCCCGAACAAGCTTATATTGATAGTAAGAATGTTAAAAAACATAACGATGAAGACAACTTATTGAAATTTAAGACTATGATCAGTAACAGCGCCAGTGCTGCAACGTTCAGCCCAAGGAGTAAATCATTTTCTGGATCATTGCTTCCACAAGGAACACCTCCAATTAGCGAATTGAAGCTTTCAGAGGTTGAAGGTCAAATTGTACCTGAAGAAGGAAGATCACCACCAACAGGTGCTGCTAATCCAGCATCATCAAGATTAGACGAAAGCTCTGATGAGGACGAAGACGACGAAGAGGAATTGCCTCCACTTACTCCACAGCACTTTATAAATAAGATTACTGGAGGAAGAGATGCAGTAGCCAAACTTATTGATGTTGACTCTGAAGAAGAAGAGATCCAGTTACCAGAAGGTGTCAGCAAGCCAGACTCCTACATCAAGAATGCAGGACCATTGAAGATTGAACCAAAGGTTTGGATGGCCAATGAAAGAACATTTAACAGATGGTTACATGTTACTACTTTGCTCTCAAGTTTGACTTTTGTTGTGTATTCATCAGCCAAGAAATCTAATTCTTTCCAAGTTGCTGAAGGATTGGCTTACTTCTACTTTGCCTTAACATTGTTCTCTGGTGTCTGGGGCTACTACACCTTCAATAAAAGAAGAGAGATTATTATTGAAAGGTCTGAAAAGCATCTTGATAACATTGTTGGTCCCTTGATTATTTCCATTGGATTAATCTTAGCGTTAGTAATTAATTTTATCTTTGGATTTAAGCATTTGGCTCAGAAGCAGAAGGTTAACAATTTCACCGTTGCTGGTTTGAATGATACATTTTACGCTGAGCATCCATTCCATAAGGCTGTTCATGAATTTGTATTCAGACTTGTGGGGTACTAACCAACAACTAAATACATAAATAAATAAATAGATAAGAAAAGAAAAACCTACTTAATAAACACCGACTATCTGAAGAAAATGCACTAGACCAAGAACGATACCTTCCCTCATCGACCCGCTTCTCTTACTCTGCCGTACTTCTCCCTCTTGTCGGAGTCTCTGCTCATGTAGCTCTCGTACCAAGCAAAGTACCTGTGTACCAATCACGTGACCACATATGAAAATCAAAATAGTGCTGGAAAGTAGAAAGGGCACAGTCCAAGGCAACCTGACTTCGTTTTGCTTCAAGGTCTCAAGATGGATTTGAATAATCCCATTTTCTTCAAGGAAAGAGGCAATAGCTTCCAAAGAAGTGGTTTTCGGACCGAAAATAGGCGCAAAACGAGAAAAACTAGTAGCTCTACTGTAGAAGATAGTCCTGTGGGTGAAACTCATCAAACAGTGACAGGTTCAAGTTATAACCATATAATGTTTGAGAAGGTGACCATATTACTAACGCAGTTGCTTGTATTGATATCATCAGTTGCTAGCTTTGGAAAAAAGATATACCAGGAGAGATTTGTAGGAGAGAACACTGTTGCAATAGAGAGTGGTGGATCTGGAACTTACACAGCTAACACGAAGAAGGGAAAAGAAGCTGGAGCCAAAGTTTCTGCTGAAAAACATTCCAATCTGGCTAAATATGTAACAAATCCAGTAGATGATGAAAGAATGTCTACTAAATTATATAACGATAGTCCTTCATTGGACTTGATTTCGATCTTATGTCCAGATCTCAATGCTTCGGACTCGGAGGAAAGTGAGTCCGATGGTAAACAATACGGAACTAGAATCAAGTTGGTGAGGAAAAGAAGGACTACAGAAGTAATAACCAACGAGTCTATAGTTGAAGATATTCTTTCTCAGCAACCAAAAACTCCTTCTCCACGCTCTTCACTCACTACTTCTTCTGTTGATTCCTCAATCGTATTCGATACCAGCAGCATCTACCCTTCAACTCCTAGCAAAAGGTCAGCGCAGCTCCAACCCCAGCAACAACCACAATCTCCGGTCCAAAGTCCAAATTCATATGATGCTGCAGTGGCTCGATACTACCTTCCTAGTATTCCACCAAAACATCACTCCCTCGTAGATTCCCTCTTGTCTTCGTTCAAGCCAACGGAAAACTGGCTCTTTGACTTGAAGCGGAAACAAGAGCTCATCACTAAGGAAAGAATATCGTCCACGTCTCTCATAGAGCCACTAACTGTGGAGCAGCTAGCTAAAATAAAGAAAGTGTGGAACTCGTCCAACCTCTCGATTGTTGTCTCGTCAGCATTCCAGATTGATATTACATGTAGAGACCTTCAGACCCTTTGCGATGGGCTGTGGCTCAATGACAATGTAATTGACTTCTACCTGAGTCTCATCACGAATGATAAGCCTTCAGTATTCTGCTGGACAACTCATTTCTTCACAACCTTACAGTCCAAGGGATACACTGGAGTTGCACGCTGGGCCAAGCGTAAGAAGTTGGATGTGACTCAAATGGAATTAGTATTGGTGCCTATAAATATAATGGGAACGCACTGGGCTTTGGCCGCAGTTGATAATAAGCTAAAAGAATTCCAATACTACGACTCCCTCTCATCCCTGGGTAACTTGAAAGCGCTTCAAATCTTGAAAACGTACATGCAAGAAGAGGGTAAAAGATTAAACTCATCCATCGACTTCAATGAATATAAACTTGTCCCGCTTATGGACTCTCCTCAACAGCTGAATGGGTACGATTGTGGAGTGTTTACCTGTACTTCTGCATTTTTCGTTTCCGGGCGAAAGCCATTAAATTTTAGTCAAAAGGACATGAAACTTTTAAGAAGAAAGATGGCATATGAGATCCTTACAAAAGAATTATTATAAACATGAATTGACGACACTAAATAACACATAGAAATACTAATTACAAGCATTAAACAAAAAATTTCCTAATAGTAGCATCTTAAAGCTGTTAAAGCACAAATTTCTAAAGATATACCAGCAGGTCCCTAATATCAGAGCCCAATCTTTGACCACATTCCGTCACTTTTCTTAGTTACACCGATATCCTTTATGCAAGATTCATAATTGATGATATTTTCAGTGGAGGCTGAAATTTTATCGTGGACATACTCCAATCTATTCTTTAGCAACTTCGCATCGCTGAGATGCGATATCTTGCTAATTTCATCTTCCAATTTAGCAATCTTGTTATTTTCAATTTGGATCAAATCGGCAAAATAGTCACTTTCGTAGATCTTGAAGATATTATCATCGTAAACTAAGTTTTTGAAAGCTTCTCTATACAAAGGTCTACCCGTTGAAATTGTGCTCAAGATTCCCTTATCTCTCGCCAAAGATATAAGATCATGCTTTTCTAAGGTTGATAAAGTTGATAAAGTGTCTTTATTGGATTTGAAAAGTGGATTCTTTGTAAGTTCCGTATAGTCAATTTTATCTTTCAGACATAAAATTTTCATGATTGCCCAAACTTGAGCTGGCAGCCAGTTATCTTCGGAGGCTGCGGTACTTTTAATGCTCTTGTTAAGGAAAAATGTTGTAATTTGTTCTGCTGCCTGATTTACCATCTCATCAAGAGCCTCATCAGGAGATTCGCCTGATTTCACACGTCTAATGAATGCTTGTAAGTCAAGCATTCTACCGCCTATTGGTTCTAAGCACATATCAATATTTCCACTTCTACTATAGTTCGTACCATTCAATTGGTTCAACACGTATTGCTTGGAAGACTTAGCAGTTGCATCCGATAATCCAATGGTTTTGAAAACCTGGTTGGGCAAGGAATCAGTCAAATGTTGTACACTTCCGACGTCGTGTGTAATATAAATAACATGTGCAATATTCGATTGTACAACTTGAGAAGTCCAATCAGCAATCATTTTATAAATGAAGTCTTGATTGCTATCCGACTTAAGCAAAAATTTATTAATAACAATAATCGGTTTACATTCTGGATGTTGCTGTAAGTACTGATCTTCCTTTAAAAGCTCATCCTCAAGAAGAGGCGAAGTATCATCATCGGCTTCTGGCTTCTTACCGTCCCTTTCTTTTCTTCTTTGCTTTCTCAAAACAGCCTTCTTGTACGTGGAGTAATCTTCTAATGCTACCTTCCTTAAGGCTTGGGTCGTTAACAGGAACATGTTTTTCAATTGAGTTTCCTTTGATTCACTTAATCCAGACTTTTGACCGGTAATACCCTGGACACCCAAGTCGATGAACTGCAGAATAGAGTTCGTCCAAGTAAACAAAGGGAAGTAACCCAACTGATGAGCAGTTGCCTGCAACATTGCATTATCAGATCTAGCCTTGACAAGATTATCACAATCAATGTAAAGGATCTTCTTTTTCAATTTTTCATCTGGTAGCAAGGTATGGTCTAAGACAAACTCTTGTTTCCCAGAGCCCTTTGGCCCCTTGACAACGATAAATGTATTAATATTTTCATAAATCCATAGTTTCAATTGTTTTACCTTTTCAAATCTTTCCATCCAGAGTATATTTGGATGCGCTGAATCATCATCGGAATCATCATCATCATCATCAAAGTCCGTACCATTAAATTGGTTACCATCTTTCAATGCTAGACTGAAATTTCTCTGTAACAATTCTTTGGATTTCTCACAGTTGGCATTTACCCTGTCATCTATATAGTCATAACCACTTCCTAACCATGACACAATACTTTTGTATGGCATGTAAACATACTTGAAGTATCTGTTGTCTTTGTAAGTCTCAATAGAGTATTTATGGGTAACCTTCTGTTGAATGAACCATTCTCTGATGGGATCGAACACTAAAACGGCTAAAGTGGTCAAAAGGGCTAAAATGGCTGGAACAGAAATTCTTTGATGATTAACAATAAAATCAGTAAGATAGTTCATTTTCTTCAACTGTTCATATTGTAAGTGCAATGAAGTTTTGCCCTTGTTCAACTTGATTCCCGTTATACAGTTCTTAGCGGAAATGGCCGATCTGAAATTTCTGAACAAAATAATTGCATAAGACTGAGTGCTGGTCGGAGGGAGAATATCTACGATTAAACCGTATCTTCTGAAAAGAAAATACAACTCTTCCTCAGTCAAAGGTTCCCCTTCAAATTTGACCTTCAATCTGGGACTAGGGTATCTTCTCAAATCCTCAATCCATGGGGTACCCTTGACTTGGAAGCACTTAGGGTAATAATCCACCAACTTATTTAACAACTTATATTGGTAGCCCTCCGTCAGCTCATTTTTCTTGAAGTTATCGCAGATCTGGTTAATCAATTCCTTTGGTGTGGAGTCATGTGGAACCTGGAACTTTACAAAAGCTCCTCCGTCCCTCTTAATGGGGATGAAGTCAATGATCTTCGTTTCAGGAGAGAGAGGGCTTTCAGAAGTATTAGCTAGTTTCATCACCCTTGCCTTTATGGTGGAATCTTCATAGTAATGCTGGAACCGACTAAACCAGTAAAAGTAGTGCTTTAGCGAGTATTTGGAAAGAGCCAAAGGGTAGATCTGGTCAAAGTATATGATCACCTCTTCACGGTCCTTAACGTCAATTACACCGGTAGAGGAAGCAGAAATATCAGTTTCATTCTTGTCTTCACTTTTCAACTCCTCTACATCGCTTGAAAACAATCTTTTCAGTGTTAAAAGTGGGGGGATTCTGTTCAAGGGCCTTGTCAAGAGGTTTGACTTTGATCTTATCGCGAGAAGTGGCCTAACCCCAGCTCTCACGAAAGATCCGACATTGGGTCTAACAGATAAGCCAATTGTCCGTATCATAATCCATGTGGTATCAGTGATAGTTCTGATACAGTATTATAAGACGTTATAGGAATGAGAAACAGTCAATGTAAGAGAAGTAAGAGAAAGCAAGTTGCCACTAGGACTTTTCTAAAGGGAGCAGGAACGGCGAAAGCACTGGTTGCTATAATCATATTCCTGCATGTAGCACGGCTTTACGAAGATGGGGCATGATGCTTAGCGCTGAAGCTTAATGTTGGTGTCAAGGTATAGGTTGCTCTTGCAGAGGATATGAAGGACTTGGAGAATGGAGTGTGGATCTAGTTGCATCTAGTTCAACGCTGCATAGGGCTTTTCGAAGAAGATTTAGCGCTTTTTGTGGGGGTTATTTTTGGGGTTCCCACCCTACCCTTTCTCTCTCAGTCTTCCATGCTCTCACCTCTCTCAAATCTATTCACTATTGTTGCGGAAGGTACTGACGATACTGGAAATAGTTTTACTTACATTTGTTTACATTTGTTTGCTGATACTGGCCGTACCAGTAGTTCCCCATAAAACATGCCCATGGACAAACTAGTTACAGCATATTAATCTTGGCCTCGCTTTGAATCATTGCGCCACGGAAAGTCACAAAGATCTTCGAAGAGGTCATCGGAATACAAACTATGAATTAGTTGCATTTAAAGAAAAGAAAATCAAGGTTTTTATGGGAATTTTCCATAGGTCAGAGAAAATACATGAAACTAGACTATTCTGGATATCGTATATTAGATAGTTACCAAAACATTGATACTTTCCACTGAAGAAGAAGAGTGTTAGTTGAACATTTTCTGTTTTTTTTTTTTCTTTCATCTTCGTACCGACTTCTGGTCGTGCGCGGACGAATCCGGGTTACGCATATGCTTAGGGTTGCAGATGAGCAGGCTGATAGTGGAGCAAATGGTGAAGAGTCCTGGCTACACTGTATTGATCCTAGGTGTTTCGTATTCCCTTAAATTCCATTGTATCTCGAGTATTAGCATACAGAATGGACTAACTAAAAAAATTATGTACACTTTCCAGAATTAACATTCCATAAATAACAACTATCTATCCAGTAAAAACAGCCCAACGACGAAGCTCAGCAGCCAAGTGAATGAGGCATGTAGCCTAGCTAAGATTCTTCTCTCCCGTTCCTTCCCTCCATTATTAATCGATGTTAGATGGTGGTATTTCTGCCAACTCAGGGAAGAAGTCGCTTGTTCTCAATGGCCTCACACTTCCCTTATCGTCCACTGGAGAGTCCAACTTCTTCCCGTTCTTGTAGTTCTTTCTTATAAATTCTCTCATAGCACTTAGCGCAGCTTCTCTAGAAAGCTCTTTCAAATCCAGTCCCAGCATACCCTGGCTGTGATTCACAATATAATCTAGATTGAATTCTACTGGGTCCAACTCAGTACTCGATAAGATCTTGTTCAAAATAGATCTTCTCTGTTGGCTATTGGGCTTTCCAATGGCAAACTTCTTTGGCAATCTTCTTAAAAAGGCGCTGTCAATGTCATTTTGTCTGTTAGTGGCACCCATAACCATGATTTGTCCGTTGCTAACCAATCCGTCCCATAAAGTCATAAATTCAGCTTTAAGCATTGAACTCACTTCGTGGTCAGTTGAGGATCTATCTCTGAGAAACGAATCTATTTCGTCGATAAATATAATACATGGCTGCAATTTATTGGCCAAAGAGAAGATTGCATCAACTATTTTATTCAGCTCTCCGTACCATTTATCCATTATAGTTGACATTCTGATCAGAAGGAAAAATGCACCACTTTCTTTAGCGATTGCCTTAGCAAGCATAGTCTTCCCACATCCTGGGGGGCCATGGAACAACACACCCTTAGGAGATTGAATCAACAGCAGGTGCGTGGCGAAAATATGAGGTTCTGTCAAGGGGAGAATTACCAGTTCTCTTAAGTCTTCAATAATCAGCTGCAATCCACCAATATCGTCAAAGGTAACAGATATATCCTCGGGTATAATTAATGAGTTTAGCAAGTTCTTCTCATATTCATCGAATGTTAAATTCTGTAGATTTGGATTAGACGATTGTATTTTCTTTAATATATTGGACAGCTTTTTCTTAGACTCTCTAGCTTTGATAGTATTTTCATTTCCTGGTGAAGATTCATTGAGGAGGTGGTTCACCAAATAGTACATAGAAAGACCTGCACCAGTGAGGAAGAACAAGTCTCCCAAGAGCTTGAGATCAACCTTAAATTTGCCTAAATCGATTTTTAGCTTGTTCATGGCTCTTTTGAGTACAAGCAAGAAACTTCTTGTAGTATCTAGGCGTTTGGAAGCAATGTGGAGCTGTTCTTTTTCATGTTTTGGAGTTTCGGGTTTCTTGGATTTTGGCTTATGAAAATGCACGTACTGCATATAATACAGTGCCACTGATTTAGGGGACTGGGTGAGCTTGGAGGTGTGGGGGTTATGAACAGGAACGGTGAAGAAGGATAGCAAGTCATGTTAGTTGTGTGTTGAGTGAGTTGCGTAGGGGTAAAACCAATGTCTCTTGCATTCGAAGGATAGCTCAATGTATCTTGATCCGTGCTTTTATTTTTCGAATCAAATGAATAAAATGAACAGTGTAATAAATTTTTCGAATCCTTCGGCTAAGTGAACGGTGTAGCGCATGCTGGTGCTGGCGTAATGAATGATATACATTCTCAGATACCAATTCTTCGTTCTTACTTCGCTTGAAAATGAGCGTTTCAGGTGAAGAGATTCTATGTATCTAGATGCAGCACTAAGCACCTGATATTTTTAGCAGTTGATTGTGTTCTTCCTGCTCAATAGTAGAGAGATCAATAAAGCCAAATAGATGGAGGAGAGAAGAACAACCAATACACCAAATTTATGTCCTATTTTTAGTCTTTTGGCAGTTTTTATTTCGAAGCTCCACTACTACTTCTAAATTCTACAGTATAACACACTAAAAATGCGAATAGAATCTACATTCAACACCGCTGTATACATTGTGTTCGCCTCGCTCTGTTGCCCTATGGTTCTCCATTTGCAGCCATTTTCGTTTTTCTGTCCTACCAAAATTTCCCGTTCCATCACTATACGATTATATGCAGTACAAGATGAGATGCAGATATAAGACCGATGAGATGATGAAAGATTCAGCTTTAGCACAGGTGAAGTTGTAGTAATAGTAGTAATAGTCAGTTGAAAAGCTCAAGCCTAAACGTATTTGAAAATTCGTCATGTCCAACGAAGAAGAGCCTCATGGCATCAGATTACCTACTTCATTATTAGACCAAATTCAGCAGAAAGAAGACAAAGGTGACTATAAGGAAGACAATTCACGATTCACCAAGTTTGACTCAAGCAATAAGAAGAGGAAGCAAGGGCCAGTTGTCTCGAGAAAAGAAAAGCGTCAACAGGAAAGAGAATTAAAGAAGCAGAAGAGGTCAAAGAAGCAGCAGAAGGCAAAAGATGTAGCCCTCAGCAAGAGAGACGTAGATAGTAAGACCAAGAAGAGTAACAGCAAAAAGAGCAAGAAGCTGGACAAGAAGAAAGAAGACAAAGATACCGGAAAGCATGATGTTTCGCAAGGACTTAATGAAGATGCATATGATTCAAATGAAGATCCAATGGAAGAACTTCGCAGGATAAAACAGCTTAAGTCGAAGACCAAGAAGGGCTCTAGCGACCTGGGGATACGAATTGTGAAGGAGGATGATTTGAAAGACGATTCATTCGATGAAGATGATTCGTTTGGCGAAGGGGAATTTTACTCTGATAATAATGAAATTGTAGATGAAGATGAAAACCTTGGAGATGAGGTTGACGACAATCTTGATTATGACGATGACGATGAGGAAGATCCAATGGAACAACTTCGTAAACTCAAGGCAAACAGCAAGAAGAAAAATGTAGTGCAAGAGATAAGAATTGTTAGGGAAGACGACTTAGCTGACGACTCTTTCGACAGCGATGAGCTCAACGAAGAAGAGGATGTAAGTGAAGATCCAATGGAACAACTTAGAAAACTTAAAGAACGTCTGAAGCTGAAAAATGTGTCTGCTTCTGATGTTAGAATTGTAAAAGAAGATGACATGGAAGAAGATGATTCTTTCGATGAAGATGACTTCGGACAGAGCGAAGAGCTCGAAGAAGAAGAAGAAGAAGAAGAAGAAGAAGAAGAAGAAGAAGTTATACAAGAGCCTAAAGAAGCCAAGTCTATAAAGCCAGTAAAGGAAAAAAAGGAAAAGAAGCCAAAGAAAGACTCTGCGCATGACATATTGATTTCAAGTGGTCAACTTGAATTAATGAAGAGAGATGAAGATGATATGGCTTACTATGCCAAAAAATTAGGATTAAAGAATGGTAAGAAAGCTAAGTTATCCAAACAAGGTGATGATGATATGATTGGTGGCCTTTTGGATGGCTTAGACTTCTTAAATGACTCCTACGAGGAAGAAAAGAATGATCTGAGTGAAGAAGAAGAGGAAGAAGAAGAAGAAGAAGTTTCTCTGCACGAGCAAGATGTAGAAGATGTGAAAGAAGGAGAAGACAACTCGGGCTATGTTTCCTTTGATGAAGGTGACTTTGATGAAGATGAACTTAGAGAACTTCGTGAAATGGAAGAATTAGAAAACTCTTCCAATGATGAACAAGATGATGGTGAGACGCATATGGTTTCTGCCAAGGAAAATCCTTATATGGCACCTGAGACCTCAACTTCTGGTGGTTACATCCCCCCTGCATTACGTAGAAAGATGGCTCTCGAATCCAATGATGTTTCTGAAGAAACCCTTGATCTTCAGAGGTCTATCAAACGTCAATTGAACAAGCTCTCTGAAGCTAACATAACATCTATTGTAAATGAAGTGAACCAGTTGTATCTTCATAACCCAAGACAATTGGTGACAGAAAATTTAACTACCATTATCATGGACTCAATTCAACAACAAGGTAGACTTTTAGATACCTTTGTGTACCTTCACGCATGCTTGGTAGTGGCGATCCATAGGTTGCAGGGCGTTGAGTTTGGTGCATATTTCATCCAGACATTAATTGAAAAAGTGGACACTCATCTAAAAGATCTCTCTGGTAATAATAAGGAGATTTCGAATTTAATTTCCCTTTTGTCTTCAGTTTATACCTTTCAACTCATTTCATCCAGGTTACTTTATGACTTAATTAAAGAACTTATCAATGATCTTAACGAGTCTAATGCTGAATTGTTATTAAGATTGATTCAGAATTCTGGTAATCAAATGAGATCAGATGATCCACAATCTTTAAAAGAAATAATATTGCTTGTCAATAAAAAATCTAGTTCTGGCTCTTTTCAGTCAAACCCTAGAACTCAATTCCTTATCGAGACGATTACATCCTTGAAGAACAATAAATTAAAGGTACACAATGAAGGCAGCCAACAACTAATTATTAGAATGAAAAGAGTTTTAGGAAGTTCACTTAACAGTAAAAACAATGACCCCTTACAAGTATCTTTAGAAGATATCAGAAACGTCGAAGAAAGAGGAAAATGGTGGCTTGTTGGTTCAGCTTGGAAGGGTTATGATAATGAAAATAATCCTGTTTCGTTAAATGGAGATGGTTTAGACTTTGATACCCAGGTCTTGAATGATATTTTAGATAATGCAGAGCCAAACTGGGTGGAATTGGCAAGGTCACAAAGAATGAACACTGACATTAGAAGGGCAATTTTCATCTCAATAATGTCTGCTAATGACTACATAGATGCAATGACAAAATTAGATAAATTGGCTTTGAAAAGATCCCAAGAAAGAGAAATCCCAAGAATAATATTGCATTGCACAGGCATAGAGCCAATTTGGAACCCATACTACGGTGTTTTAGCTAGTAAGTTGTGTGACTCTCATTCGTATAGAAAGACATTCCAGTTCATGTTATGGGACTTACTAAAGGAATTCGAAGGTGCCGATAGAAATGGAGGAAGCGATGATGAGGAAGAGGTAGAGGATTTCTTAGGCTTTGATTCTAACAGTGATGACATTGATGATGAAACTAAGTTAAAGAAAATTCTTAATCTTGGTAGATTCTTCGGCTATTTACTCGCAGAAGGTTGTTTGCCTTTAAACATACTCAGGACTGTAAACTTTTTGACTGCAAATGGTGACACATTACTTTTCCTGGAAATTCTTTTCATTACATTCTTGGACAACATTGCAAAGAAGTCACAAATAAATTCAGTTGGTGCCGGAACTAAGACGTCTATTAAACCTAAGATGTTTGATGTAAAGTTTGAACCAAATGTTATGATAGAAAGAGTCGGCAAGGCACAAGAACAACCTGTATTATTGAAAGGAATAGAATATTTTCTCAGTACTAAAGTAAAGAAAAGTGCTTTTATTACTGGAAGGAGGCAAAGAGATAGAATAGAATGGGGCATTTCGACAATGAGTGAACTTATTGACAACTTACTTAAAAACTAATTCCTCCAAAGGTAATAGAATAGAAGCAATTCCTACCAAAAAGATCAATTCCCTCCAAGGTAATAGGATGAAACAATAGTAATCAAAAGAATCAATTTGACTATAACTCCGATTTTTGTAAGAGTGAACCTTAAATTTTAGGTATTAATGCAAGACCGGCACCTCCATTGGTTGAGGTACCTGTGCATTTTACGAAGGAGTGAGAACTAAAAATGATAGAACGAGCTTCACCCAGAATGCAACAAAGTTTAGAGCGCTTTATTTAAGAATTGTACTGATACAAGAATACTCGTGAATCTAATGTAAGAAGCCACGATCAATTCATGGTTTGATAGCACAATGCCCGAGAACAGTAAATACTATCTGTTACCTCTTTATTGATGACTTGAGTTGCAAATTCCCCATCAACCACGTAGTAGAGCCTTTGGATTGTTCTCGATATGTACATATCCCTATGGGGAATGCTAAATTTAAAACAGTACACAGCAGAGAGGAGACAACTTTAAAGCTAAACTAGAAATATATATACTAAATCAAGTAAGAAACCTTCGAAAAGTTTCGGTTTCAGCCCATTGTGGTTTAATGCTTGTAGGGATCTACTTTGCCGCTTGACCAGATGACCAGATGCTATTGACATAAACTGACCTGCGTTTTAAGCCTAAAGGTGCATCAAACGAAATGGTATAAATAGAGTTACATTCTTCACACGAGTCATGTAATATCTAAGATAATTGTATATATAGGGACTGCCTTCATCTGTTGATATCAATCGCTTTTCTAAAACAGATACTACCTTATTAAACTTCTTGTTTGACGCTGAAATGAAATTATTTACTTTGGTGTTCTATTCCTTCCTCATAAGGTGTGTGTTTGCAGCACCCATGATTAATCCTCGTGCGTCATTGACCTTACCAGCCGATGATCCTTTCTATAGTCCTCCTAGTGGCTACGAAAACGAAGAACTAGGTGCAATATTGAGAGTTAGGCAACTTGACCCTTCCACTGTCGGATTAATCGATTTTTCGGTAAATGTAAAGGAAATTTATCAACTTCTTGTTCATTCTCAGGATACACACAACCAGTCCAATGCAATTGTGACAACAGTTTTCGTTCCATATAATGCAGACCCTGATAAGTTAGTATCATATCACATGGCAGAAGATACTGCTTCTATTAATTGTGCTCCATCATATGCCATGCAATTAGACTCGGATATTTTAAGTTGGATTACACCCCAGGTTGAATTGTTACTTGTTGTACCACCTTTACAAGAAGGATACATTGTAATAGTCCCAGATCATGAGGGTCCAAAATCTACGTATGCTGCTGGTTATCAAGCTGGTCATGCTATATTGAATTCGATTAGAGCAACAATAAATTTAGGGACTGAAATCGGTATTAGTCAAAATCCTGATGTAGCATTGTGGGGATATTCCGGTGGAGCATTTTCTACTTCGTGGGCAGCATCTTTGGCGCCTACCTATGCACCAGAATTAAATATAATTGGTGCTGCCATGGGTGGGGTTCCTGTGAGCCTTCAGCACTTGGCAATACATTGTATGGGTAACTTGTTCTCAGGGTTCATGTTTGCAGCCATCCTTGCACTTTCTCACGAATACCCAGAACTTGCTGAGGAGCTTCCAAAATTAATCATTCCAGAGAAACTCGATTATTTGTATACAGCTCAGGATCACTGTCTCGTTGAGACCATCGCTTTCTTTGCCTACGCAACTTGGGATCAATATTGCATTGACGGGGTTGGAATTTTAGACAATCCAGTAGTAAAGAGTGTCTTAGATCAAAATAACTTACTAACCAGTGGATTACTTCCAAACTGCCCTTTCATTATATATTCGAGTACACATGATGAAGTAGTTCCAATTGAAGATACAAATGAATTGGTGGAATATTGGTGTTCTCAGGGCATAAATGTTGAACTTAGAAGAGATGTCTTTTCTGGTCATGTTATAACTGCAATTGATGGAACTGGTTTAGCTTTCAACTTTATTAAGGATAGGTTCAATAATGTCGAACTCAACCCCACATGTCAAAACTCTACTATTAGTTTTGACTTATTAAACGAAGGTAGTCTTGCTGGCTTCGGCGACATTGCCGTGGATGATATTGAATGGCTTTTTGGAGGCGACATAGGTCCTTCTTCGCCATCTTTAAACTCTAGCTCTTCATCTCCAGGTTCACCTGCTGGTAAGCTGGGTATTATTGATGCTGCTGTCAACTATATTCTGCAAATCATTGCTTCTGTAACAACTCCAGACGACCCTGACAATGTAACAACAAATCAGATTTATGACTTATTGGCAAGCTACATTACAACAATCGCGAACAGTGTCTCTTCTGTGACCGATTTTATTTCTAATATTTTTGGTTTTGGTTCCAGTGATTCTGCATTATCCAATAATTCAACTGGTTCCCTGGCTGGTAGTATTGTTTCTTCGTTATTATCTACGGCAGGAAGCCTCATTTCTGGTCCTTCCAGTAATTCTACGACTGATGGCTCATCCTCTTCAAGCGGTGGAAGTTTGATATCATCACTCGTATCAACAGGGCAGAGCTTAGCTTCTGACCTTTTCAGTAACTCTACAACTGATTCTAGTTCTCTGGGTGGTGGAGGCTTATTATCATCACTTTTGTCAACAGGAACAGGAATTGTATCCAGCCTTTTGAGTGGTTCTACTTAGTCGAGTATTGTTCAGCAGCAACATACCCATGGAAATGTATAATACAATGGCAGTTCAACTGCAAGCAAATGACATAAAAATCACTAATTAAGAATAGTTTAATTCAAAAGTCGAATGATATAAATGTAGGAAACTTTTAGCTTCTTCTAAGAATTCCAATTAGGCTGTGTAATTAGATCGAAAGTACAAGGAGACGAAAGATTAAGCTTTTCACTATAGTTCCATTTAGGAAATTCAATTCGTATCGAGTAAGCTCTTAAAGTATTAGATTTGTAAGAGTCAATTCGAAACTGCATTCAAGAATTTCAATAGACCTTTGCTAGTAAAATTTGGTCGAAATTTATCAAAGTCTGGGGTTTCAATCGCACGTTTACATTATTATATCCTTTCCCAGCATATTTTCAGACTCCGAGCCTAAACCTTAAAGTTTAAATTTAAAGAATTACTGCAAAGGGAATAAAATAGAATTCTATGAAGCAAAAGAATATTTACTTTTCAACAAGTTTACCTAGGAAGTAAGCGATATCCAAGTAAATTCTAAGTTGCACCATATGATTTCATATCTTAATCATTATATATTGGAATAAGATTTCCACACATTGAACTGTGCAAACAGAAACTACTCTTTGACTCTTCAGCAATAAAAATACCCCGGATTTCGCTTAATAAATTGATTGCAAATCTTTAAAGTGATGAACTTAGTTTATTTAATCCTAAGCACAATATTTGTAAGCGTTGGCTTAGCAGCGCCGCTAATTAATCCTCGTGCAGGTGTTACGTTACCGAGTGAAGATCCTTTCTATAGTCCTCCTAGTGGCTACGAAAACGAAGAGTTAGGAGCTATATTGAGAGTTAGGCAACTTAACGATTCTATTGGAGTAATCGAATTTGAATTAAATGTCCAAGCAACTTATCAAATTCTTGTTCATTCTCAGGATTCACACAACCGGTCCAATGCGATTGTCGCAACCGTTTTTGTTCCATATAATGCTGACCCTAATAAGCTAGTGTCGTATCAGATGGCGGAGGATACAGCTTCTCCCGACTGTGCACCATCGTATGCCATGCAATTAGACTCGGACATTTTAAGTTGGATTACGCCCCAGGTTGAATTGTTACTTGTTGTACCATTATTACAAGAAGGATACTACGTGGTAGTCCCAGATCATGAGGGTCCAAAAGCTACATATGTTGCGGGTTATCAAGCAGGTCATGCTGTATTGAATTCACTCCGAGGAGCAATAAACTTAGGGACTGAAATCGGTATTAATCAAAATCCTGAAATAGCATTGTGGGGATATTCCGGTGGAGCACTTGCTACGGCCTGGACTGCAGCTTTGCAGCCTACTTACGCTCCAGAATTAAATGTCATCGGAACTGCAATGGGTGGTGTTCCCGTGGATCTTGCAAGCACAGCAAAGCATTGTATGGGTAACTTATTCTCAGGTTTCATGTATGCAGCAATCCTTGGACTTAGCCACGAATACCCAGAACTTGCTGAAGAATTGCCAAGTTTAGTGGTCTCTGATAGATTTGAATATTTGAAGAAAGCTGAAGAAAATTGTCTTGTTGAGACTCTCGCTTACTTCGCCTACTCGCAATGGGGTCAATATAGTGTTGATGGGGTTGGAATATTAGATAATCCAGTAGTAAAGGATGTCATCAATCAAAATAATTTATTGAAGAGTGGTTTACTTCCCGATTGTCCTATCCTCATTTATTCCAGTGAAAGCGATGAAATTATTCCAATTGAAGATACAGATAGCTTATTTGAATTGTATTGTTCGAATGGTGTAAACGTTGAGTACAGAAAAGACGTATTTTCTGGTCATATTATAACTGCAATAGATGGAGTTGGCTTGGCTTTCAATTTTATTAGGGATAGGTTCAATAAAGTTGAACTCTACCCTACTTGTCAAAATTCCACCGTTGCATTAGACGCATTCAATGAAGGAGGTCTCGTTGGTTTGGGAGACATTCTTGTAGATGATGTTGAATGGCTCTTCGGAGGCAAAATAGGCCCTTCTTCGCCATATTCAAATACTACTTCTTCATCATCAGGATCGCCTGCGGGATCTCTGGGACTCATTGCAACCATTGTCAATTTTGCTCTGAAATTCATTTCAAACGCTATAACTCCAGATAATGCAGAGAACTTGACAGATCAAGAGATTTATGATATATTGGGAGGTTACATAACAACAGCCATTGGGGTTGTGACTTCCGCAACCGATTTTGTTTCAAGTATTTTCGGCTTTGGATCAAGTGACACCAGTTCATCTACAACTTCGTCCAATAGTACTGGTACTTCTCTGGGTGGAAGTTTACTTTCAACGTTATTATCTACAGGGGAAAGCTTAATTTCTGGCCTCCTGGGCAATTCGACGACTGAAGGCTCTGCTTCATCCTCACTGGGAGGTGGAATATTATCATCCTTATTATCATCAGGTACAAGTATATTGTCCAACTTACTCAGTAGCAAATGAGCACAAAAGTTTACATAGTTAAGTTAATTAGACATGCAGATTATGAATAGAACGATCCAACTTAAAGGAACTTCTCTTAACCACTCAATAGTGGTCATATTACTTTAAGGTTTGTGTTTTCGCTTTTTTACTTTGGTGACTTTAATTATTTCGGAAATGATTTGCAGCCTTTCATATTTTATTCTTTATTTATTGACTTGAAACCTTGCAGTGTAAAATTGCTTCTCGTTAGAGTAATTCGTACAATACCTCTAGGTTAACCTTTATCTCCGTTTCTGGCATGTTAGGAGGCTGCAACCGAATATGGGACCTTAGCCTGAACTTAAAAGTCTAAATATGTAGAAAATACTCTTTTCGGTATTCTGAAAACGCCAATATATATTCTCCTCCTCCAAAGAATACTTATACTACTAAATGTAAACTTCTATGTTCTACCATATGACTTATATAATCTGGTATAACATTCAAAAGCAATGATATTCAACCAAAAGACTACTCTGTCATTTGGAATACATAATCTCCACTGAACTGAGGCAAAATATAGGATTTAGAGATGAGGATTTCACATTTAATCATTGGCATATTCTTAAGATTAGTCTTTGCAGCTCCAACAATAAATCCCCGTGCTGGTTTGGTAGCACCAAGCGATGATCCCTTCTATACACCGCCCACTGGGTATGAGGATGCAGAATTGGGCTCTATTTTAAGAATTAGGAAACCTGAAAGTCCATTGGCGATTATTACTCTTGAATTGGATTTGCAAGAAGTATATCAAATACTTGTTCGTTCTGAAGATACTTTCCATCAACCCAATGCTGTTGTTGCAACAGTTTTAGTTCCATTCAATGCAGATCCTGGGAAATTAGTTTCATTTCACCTGGCAGAAGATACTGCTTCGCCTAACTGTGCACCATCTTATGCAATGCAAGTTGACTCACCTGCTCTGACTTGGATCACTCCTCAAGCGGAATTGGCGTTGATTATTCCACTCTTAGACGAAGGTTATTTTGTGATTGTTCCCGATTATGAGGGGCCAAAAGCAGCATTTATCGCTGGTTACCAAACTGGACACGCCGTGTTAAATTGTATAAGAGGTGCTTTAAATTTAGGGTCTCAGATAGGCCTCAATTCAGATGCTGAAGTTGTTCTCACAGGGTATTCCGGTGGAGGATTTGCGGTTGCTTGGGCTGCTGCTTTACATCCAACTTATGCGCCCGAGTTGAGCATCCTTGGTGGTGCTATGGGTGGAATCCCAGTGGAACCTTTAGAAACGGCCAAAAATACTATGGGTACATTATTCGCCGGGTTCATCGTCGCAGCAGTTTTAGGTCTTAGTCATGAGTATCCACAACTTGCTGAAGAACTCCCAAGTTTGCTTATTCCGGATCAACAAGAATACTTCTACAGTGCCCAAGATATATGTCTTGTTGAAATTCTTGCATTCTTTGCCTATGCAACGTGGGATCAATATTGCATTGAAGGAGACAATGTGTTGGATAACCCAGTGGTACAGAATATCACAAGTCAGAATAGTCTATTGGAGAATGGGTTACTTCCTACCATTCCTTTGTTTATATATTCAAGTGAAATGGATGAGATCAATCCCATTGAAAGTACAGATAAATTATACGATTTATACTGCTCCAATGGTGTAAATGTTGAATATAGAAAAGATGTGTTTTCTGAACACATCGTAACAGTAGTTGAAGGAAGTGGTCTTGCAGTTAACTTTGTTAAAGATAGATTCAATAAAGTTGAACTCAACCCTACATGCCAAAATTCTACTGTTGCTTTCGACTTATTGAATGAAGGTGGGCTTGTTGGATTGGGCGACATTATACTGGGAGTTGTTGATGTGGCACTTGGAAGCGAATTAGGACCTTCATCGCCATATTCAAATACTACTTCAGCATTATCTGGTTCACCTGCTGGCTCACTGGGAATTATTGCAACAGTTGTTAATTTTGTGCTGAACATTATTCAAAAGGCTATAACTCCAGATGACCCCGACAATTTAACTAAAGAAGAATTCATTGATATCTTAGCAGGTTACATAAATTCGATTGGTAATGGTATATCATTTGCATCCAATTTAATATCGAGTATTTTTGGCTTTGGGTCGAGCGACACCACTTCATCTACAGCTTCTTCCAATAGTACAGGTACCTCTCTGGGTGGGGGTTTAATTTCAACGTTATTGTCCACGGGAGGGAGTCTCGTTTCCAGCCTTTTGAGCAATTCAACAACTGATGGTTCCACTTCCTCTTCTCTGAGTGGTGGAATATTATCATCCTTATTATCATCAGCTACAAGCATAATATCCAGCCTCTTTACAAGCAAATAAAGACAAGGAATCAATATATACAGATTATAGTTAGTTATGAACAGCTACTTCTCAAAATTCAGGTTTCAACTGAGCCCGTACAGCTTATTTTCTTGCTTAATTACCATCTTTCTATTTCTTAAGGGTATGGAGAGACGAGTCTTATTTTGAATAGAAAGTCATGAAGATTCACATAATCATAACACTTCATTTGATTGAATATTATCTTTTTCATTAGGTTTCACTTGGTTTCATGACAGAAATGGAACAAATAGGGCTAAATCCATTGCCGAAGGAATACAAAGTGGGTGGCTAGCGTAGTCAATAACATGTCTTAGTAATGTTCACCAAAGGTGTAATTCACTAACAAAACATTTCATGAGGAGTTAATTTGGTCCTTATAGTCTACTCGGAATGCACCATGGAAAAAATCCCTACTTGAAGCTAGATTGTCTTCAGTAATATTGAACGCCCATGATGCTGAAATTTCCTCGATGGTATACTACAACTATGATGCAAAATGGTAAGTTTAAATAGACGGTTGAAAATAATATGAATTGAATAATTTTCATTATTTAGCATATTATTCAAATTCTTGGTCAAGTTCAAGATTCAGCTTTAATCCAAACCCAACACGGTTAGATTACATATGCATTGTTATCTTTTTGCTGCTGTACTATACCTTTTCCAAAACTGAGACAGTTTCTACATGTTTGGTCTGTGGGAAAAAATCAAATCCGGTAATATCTTTGACTCTATACTTCGAATAATAAGAATTACTGTCTTGGAGCTTCGCAAAGTTGGCTAAATCTCTGGCTTGGGTGAATACATTGCAACTAATGTAGATTATCATTTCCGGTTCAAACTCCAATAGTTGCTTTAGAAAGTTGTCATTTGATCCTTTTCTTGATGGATCCATTATAACTACTGAATTATCGCCCTTTATTCCAGAATTAAGAAATTCTGCGTTATGAAACATCTCATCCGCCTTTCCCTGAATGAACTGGATTTTATCAGGAACTTGAATCCCATTCAACTTTGCATTATGGGTAGCATACTTAATGGAGGAATTAGATATTTCAATGCCGAATACTTTACCTGAAATTTCCTTTGAGAGAGAAATCGCAAAGAAACCTGAACCACAATAGGTGTCAACTAAGTTTTCAGCCCCGGAATTATGCAAATGGTACTTAACGTAGTTCAATATTTCTGGTAGAATGCTATTGTTGTTTTGGAAAAACTCTGAAGCGGGAAACTGAAATACGTTGTCTTCTATCTTCTCTGTAACAACATTCTTATAGTCAGTGAGGCAAACGTTATCAAACTCCCCTGTCTTATGGTCTACTCTAATACTTTCTCTCAAAATGTACGTTTCATCTCGAATTCTTTCGTTATTATCCAATTTTGTAATAATTTTATTTCGTATAGATTGACGAAGTGAGGGAAGTCTATTATTAATAGATCTAGAGGCAATAGGGCAATTAGTTATGTCAACAATAGAACGATGGTCGATACCATTAAACCCGACTCTTAATAATCTGTCATGCTTTAGATAGCTAGAATGTGGGGTAAGTTTTGTCCTATAGCTGTATTGAAACGGAGAGTCTACCACTACTATATCCTCGTCTAGTTTGAGTTCCGGGTAGTACATATTGAATGCTCTTTTTATTATATTCCTCTTGAAATTTAACTGTTCATCGTAAGGTAACATCTGAAGCTGGCAACCAGAACATACATCAAATTTTTCACATAGGATCAAGTCATCTTTCCGAAGTTGTGATTTTTTGTTTAAAGATAAAGCAAGTCCTTCGGCATAATATTCATAATTCCTCTTTATTTCTACCTTAACTCTGTCCCCAGGTATAGTTTTAGCAATTTTGAGAATCATTGTATTTCCCTCATCAGTCTGCGCAATTCCAAGACCATCACCCTCCAGCGTTTGATAAATGATAGGGACGTCTTCTAAAATAAGTTTAGGTCTATCTCGTGAAAATAGAAATTTTTTAATGTTTGCATCCGATATTTTTATATCCTCAAGTGTTAGTCCCGTAGAGGCTTGTTGTAATGCAATCGCTATTTCTTTTTGCAATATACTGTCTCGTGAGGTATGGTCCACAGTATCTCGCTTTGTCTTCTTTAAAAACTTCTTGAGGTTTGGTCTTCTTGATTCTGTCTGAAACGATCTGCGCAAAATACCTGGACCTCCATTTCCTCCTTGAGACTTTATTAGCGATAAATATCGGAACATCGGCCATACAAATGTCAGATCTACCTGTAGAAAGAAACTACTATAAAAGTATGTGTTGCAAAAAAAAAAAAATGGTTGATATAGATGGTTTTGTTATATGCAGGATTGAATGCTTAGTATCAAATTGCTGCACATCGGGTTCAACTTACACTCATGGTTGGTAATGCTTACTTTATATATGTAATATCATTATTTATATGTATATATGTATCTTATTGTATATTTAAGCTTCAACTTGTTGGGTACGTATATCTTGAGTCAAAGGTTCTTCAGGGTACTCTCTCAAATCTAATGTGACAGTTCTTGAGCTATTCTCAACTTGATCTCTATATATGCCTAGAAGTGCATCAGATTTTTCAAATAGAGAATTCTTGAGTGAAATGACAATAAATTGGAAATGTGGACCGGCATGTTTCCTTATGTAATTAGCAATCTTAGCTACGTTAGAATTATCCAATGCAGCATCTACTTCGTCAAGAACAAAAAATGGGGACGGTTGGAAGGAATGAATTGCAAATAAGAGCGCTAATGCAGCGATAGTTTTCTCACCACCTGAAAGTAATTCCATGTCTCTGAATCTTTTCATTGGAGGCATCGCATGGTACTTTATTCCAGCTAAGTATGGTTCGTCTTCATCTTCCAATGTCAAGTAAGCAGACCCTCCAAGCGTAGATAATTTAGATTTAGTTAATTCTTTATAAGTATTGTCAATTTGTTCCAGTATATGCTTAAAGGCACCCATGAACAACTCATACCTTTTATTCTTTACTGAGTTGAATTTTTCAAGTATCTTATTCTCCTTTTGTCTAGCTTTTGTGAAATCTCTATCGAATTCTTTAAGTTTTGTTTCAGCACTTCTCAATCTTTCCACGGCTTTAGCATTTGGGGTGAGGGACTCCAAGTCGATCAACACTTGTTCCAATTTACTCTGTAATTCAGCTTCAACTTTAGTTGAAAAGCCTGCTTCTCTCAATTTAGTGCCAACCATATCATAATCTATGTCAATGCCATAACAGTCGACTTCTTCACTTCCCCCTTCAATAGAAAGTTGATCTAATTCACCTTCCTTCAATGGTAAGATAATATTTTCAATCTTACAATTTTTTAATATATTCAATCTTTCAGAGTCTATTTTTAATAGATTCTCCTCCAAGCTAAGGATTGTTTTATTCTCTTCGCTTGTTTCGTTTTGAATATCTTCAACATTAGATTCAAAAGACTTAATAAATTTGAATTTCTCCGCCGTCTTTTTGGATAAGACTTTCAATTGCTCCTCGGTTAATATTTCAAGTTCTGCCTCTAACTCGTCTTTTTCACTCTGCATTGATTCGATTTGTTCCATTTGAGATAAAAGCAAGCGTTCATATTCTTCTAATTGCTTTGCAGCCTTTTCCTTCCTTAATTCTGAATCACCTAATCTTTCTTTTTCGAAATTCAACATACTCGTCAAAGTCGTAATTGCTTTTAAATATTGAGATTTCTCTTTAGTTCTTGATCTTAAGGCTGATCCGTATAAATCTTCATAGCCTTGAATTCCACCCTCAAAGGAGAATTTATTACAGAAATCCGTATAAATCTTATCCTGAAGTTTCCTGATCTTCTTATTCGTTTCTTCATACTCTTTATCGATTTTAGTTGCAATTTCATCTCTTTTCTGTTTGATTAAGTTTTCATTTTCGTTGATTATTCGCTTATGATATTCGACATCTTGCCATCTATCCTTTATGACTCTTTCTATACTTTGCTTTTGGTTTCTTAACAAAGGCAACTTATCTTCTAATTGATCAATTTCATCCACCAATTGTTTGATTGTAATCATTTTTGGTTTACTATCGTTAAGGTCCGAAAGTTGAGCTAATAATTCATCCTTGAGTTCGCTTAACTTCTTCCATTCATTTCTATCCCACGCAGCAGCACGGTCTCCTACTTTCTTGTCTTGCTTACCACCTGTCATCAAGCCAAAACTATCAATAATAGATCCATTTAAAGTAATTATCTTATTTGAGAGATCCCTTTTACTGCCATCCCATTTAAGTTTTCTGGCGATCTCTATGTTGTCACAAACAATAGCATCTCCAATAATGTATTCAATTGCATTTTCCAAACTTGAGTCATCATACTCAACTACATCTAATCCTGGTGTGCAATCTCCTATCCTTCTCAATTGACCCAATTCTATTCTATTGCTAACCATGTCTAAAGGGATAAAAGTTGCAACTCCGCATCTTCTCTCTTTGAAAATTTCAATACATTTGTAGGCAATTGATGTGCTCTCAACTATAATGGAATCAAAATTTCTTCCTAACAATGTTGATAACGATGTTTCGTATTTACTCTCACTGGGTCTCACCAAGTCGTATACTAGACCCCTAATGGCAGTTTTTTGATTGGGGAACATCTTCTTAAGCATTGAAACATTTTCTCTGAGTTTACGCTGCTTCTGTGATTCTCTTTGTTGCGAAGATAATTCATCTAGTTTGATTAATATATCTCTCAATTGTGTGTTCAATTGGAGCTCTTTGTACTTGGCTTCCTCTTTGAGTGTTAACAAGTTAGATCTAGTGGTTTCTTTACTTTTCTTTAACGTCAAAATATCGTTGATCGAAGTAGTCAATGAAGAAAGCTTTGACTCTAAGTCATCTTTGATGATAGACTGAATTGACTCTGTTTTCTTACTGCTATTGGCAACTTGTTTTTGAAGGTTAGAGATGGAGGCTAAAATGGTATCTTTTTCGTTGCTCACGAGTGACAATGTTTCTTCTAATTGTGACCCTCCACTTTTGAGGAAAAGATCACGAAGAGACTCGTATTCTTGTTGGCAGTCAATGGATATATTACCAGAAGTGGCTGCTTCCAAAACCTTCTTCGTAAACTCATCGTACATTCTCTTTCCTTCGTTCAATTGCTTTTCAACAGACTTGACTTGATTTGTTTGCTTGACAATTTCCCTTTCGAATTCTTTTATCTTATTCCGGCACAAATTAATTTTATTGGTGACACTCTTCTTTTGAGCTTCAAGAGGAATTATGTCCCTTTTCCTATCTTCAATGTCACCCTTCAATGTGTCAATCTTGGTTTGAATTCTCTTCAATTTCAATTGATCCTTGGAATATTCACTCATGAGCAGCTTAAGCGAATTTTCCTCTACCTTCAACTTCTTCTTCAAAGAATCAAGTTTAGCTTTCTCGGATTTAATTTCATTAACATTTTCCTTGTGCTTCATCTCATTATGGTAAAGTTTGTACAAATTTATCAACTTAATTAAATCATACTTTTCTATCAACTTCTTTTCAAAAGACTCTTGTTCAAGCATCTGTTCCTTATACTGCTTGGATTCAGAGTTGAGAACTCTTTTCCTAGCAAAAACACTGTTTGCTTCTTCATGGGCAGCCTCACGTTGCTCTACTAATTCGTCATACTCCTTTGTGTATTCACTTGACCCACTTATAGTTTCGATCAACAGAGTTAAATCTTTGGGTGACTGCGATGCAATCGCTTCTACATCACCTTGAAAGACCAAGAAATTCCTAGCTTTAATCAATATATTTTCTCTCTTTAAGATTGAAGAATATTGAAGTGCAGTCACGGCCCTACCATTGATTCTGTATTCGCTAGAACCATTCGACGAAGTTATAAGTCTTTGGAGGGTCAATTTTTCACCGTCATCCTTCTCGTAAATGGCACTCACGTACGCCCTACGAGCCACAATCTCTTCTCCTTCTTCTCCTCCTACATCGCTAGTTTCGCCAATTCTACCTCTGTATATCAAATCCTTGACATTCTGAGACCTTAATTGTGAGGACTTGATCCCCAATACAAATGAGATCGCATCCATCATGTTTGATTTACCGGCCCCGTTAGGTCCAATAATTGAAGTGAAGAAAGAACTTCCGAATCCAATAGTGGAAGTCCCTCTATAGGACTTGAAATTGTTTAGTTCCAACCCAATTAGTCTACCCATCTTAACCAAAGTCTGCAAGAAAGAATAGTAGCTACTAAGTAAAGTGATCTATAGTTGCCAAAATAAAGAAGAGCCTATAACGAAAGGTAAATAAAGGAAAGACGCGTCGCATCGTATGGAATATATGCAGGAACTACAACATATTCGGCCCCATACTGTGCGGCTGGGAAAAGGTACTATTGGGGACAGTTGAACCAAAGTACAATCTCGAAGGTAGGGTTGTTTATGAGCCTTGAAGTAGAATTTGGCACGCATGAAGGTAAGAAGTACATCGGCACATTCTTTCGTCGGAGGAAGAGATCAGAAAATGGTCACTAAACCAACCAAATGTATGAAGTGCCATGCTTAAACAAAAAAATACCAAATTCCACTTTACTCTACGAAGAGAAGGTCTAATTAAATCATAGAACCCTCATCTATGACACTGTGACATTCAGTGTTCTCATACGAGATCATAGCCAAATGAAACGAACATGGAAAGCTATTTTTGCCCCTCTTGTAGTTTGTATTAAGCTATGCCCTATGTGCAAGGTTAAATCGGAAGTCGTGCCATGCTCAATATGAAAAGTGCAAATTGACTTCAGCAGCCAGGCTCAAAGAGTGGTTCTTCAACACAAAGGTAGCCAGCACCACACGTTGGAGTTTCACACACACACAGCGGTTTCGTACATTTCCGGGGTTAATTCATCTTCAGGAAGATGTAATTTCAAGGCTATTCTCGTTGAATAATTATAATCAACATCAAACGAACTCAATCTGGCCCCTTTCTTTAAAACTTCAACCATGGCTCAAGATATTGTTTGCAGCCATCTAGAGCAGTACCCCAACTCTTCCCACACATGAGAAGTCTAATTTTTTTTTTCGTTCATACACATTTCACAACAGCAAACTCATCACATAGCCTACTTAAACCTCTGACCTAAGCAAATTTCTCCAAGTTTCAGCCGTAGGATCACCAGTCTTATCACTGAAGTGTGCTATTTATCTGACGGTCTAACCGTTATTGTATTATATGCAGGTCCTCTTGTGCATGAATCTGCGTGCCGTTTGTGAGGGGGGCATTATCTCGGAACCATTTCGAATATGGGAACAATTTTCATTCTTTCCAAAATCAGACTTGGAAGCTTCAATTTTGTTAATTTATTGCATGGAGTATTAAACGTTGCTAATATGTCAGAAAAAACCCAATTTCATACGAAAACGGATGAGTTAGCATACAATAATGAAACCTCCATTATATCATCTTGCCCTTCCTTCTCCACACTTTTATCGTCTTGGAATATTCCAAAACTAGGTGGTCATGTGCTGTTACCAGACTCTGACAATGAAATGGATGAAGGCGACTATGATGACCTGGATGGAAATGAAGCCCTTGAGGACCTTCCTTATGTAGTCAACCCTGTGACGCTTCAAGACTTGTCTTCTAGAAGTGCCGCTGAGAAGTTATCGGCCCTAAGGCTCTTGATGAAGAAATACGGGGTAGGTGTATACATTATTCCTTCAGAGGATGAGCACCAGTCTGAATATACGGCCCTTGCTGACAGAAGAAGAGAATTTCTCACTGGCTTCAATGGAAGTGCAGGAATTGCGGTGGTGACTTTGGACGATGGTGACAAGTTGACTGGTGAGGCTGCACTTTCCACCGATGGAAGGTACTTCTTGCAAGCTGAGAAGCAATTGGACAGTAAGTACTGGAAATTGCTTAAGCAGGGTTCCGCTGGGTATCCTACTTGGAAACAATTTGCTATTGATAAGGCAATTGGCTCCAAGTTCTCGAACGTTATATCAGTAGACCCCAAGTTGATTTCTGTTTCAGTGGGAGAATATTTTAATAGAGCAAAGACTTTACAATATCAAAACAAGTATGATTTCAAGCCGATTCTTACTCCAAACTTAGTTGACGAAGTCTGGGGAGATGATAAACCGCTGAGATCCTTAGAACCTGTCTATCACTTGCCATTGAAATTCAGTGGATTACACACGAATGAGAAATTAGAGCAAATTAGGAAATATGTCTATACTTCCTTATTCTCTTCAGCTTCTTATATATATTCAAATAGAGCTTCTCAAGGGTTTACATTTGTGGTGACTTCGCTTGATGACATTGCCTGGTTGTTCAACCTTCGTTCGGACACTGATATCCCATTTAATCCAGCATTTTTCAGCTATGCCATCGTCACCCATGAAAATGTAACATTGTACATTGAAAAGATTAAATTGAAGGCTCCAGAAGTAGAGAAATATTTATCAACTGTGAAAGGTTTGATCGTTAAAGAGTACACTGAATTCTACTCAGACATTATGGAGTTGAAAAGTACAATCCAAGATGACTCGGCTCTGAATGTCATCCTCCCCTCAAAGCTGACATTGACCTACGCTCTCCTCTCCTCCATACCACACTCTACTGCTAAGGCTAATGCAAAGTATGTATCTATAATTTCCAATATGAAACTTGTGAAGAACTCAACTGAGTTGTTTAATGCTAAAATCGCACAGTATAAAGATTCATTGGCATTTATTTTGTTTCTGTCATGGCTTGAGCATCAATTGGTTAACAGAAATAACAGAACTTTAACCGAGTATCAAGCTGCTTGCAAGATCTATACCATCAGGTCGAAATTTCCTAATTTCAAGGGACTTTCTTATGAAACTATTTCTTCTACGGGCCCTAATGCTGCTATCATTCATTACGCTCCAACTCCTGAAGAAAATTCTATTATAGATCCAAACACTCCGTATTTAATCGATTCGGGTGCACATTATTTAGAAGGCACTACTGATATAACCAGGACGTATATGTTCGGGAAATATGCCAAACTGGCTCCCAAAAAATACTCTGAATGGTATACGCTCGTTTTAAAGGGACATTTGGCTGTTGCAATGGCTAAATTTCCTCCTGGTTCTGGTTCAACTGGTGTAATACTTGATGCATACGCTAGGCAACCTTTGTGGAATGAAGGACTAGATTTCAACCACGGAACTGGGCATGGAGTAGGGTCTTTTGGTAATGTCCATGAAGGTCCTCTTTACATTCTGTCTATTTATAATGGTGAATTAGATCTTTTTAAAGAAGGAAGTATCTTAACTGATGAGCCAGGGTACTACGTAGATGGTGAATGTGGATTTAGAGTAGAAAGTGAGTTGGAAATCATTAAATGTGGTGATAATCTTGGAAAAACTAGGAGTGGAGAGAACTTCTTTGGTTTCAAATATCTCACCAAAGTACCTTTTTGTAGGAACCTTATTGACAAGAGTTATCTTTCAGATACTGAAATTAATTGGATCAACAACTTTCATGAGAGTATATTGAGCGAGTTTGGTGACAGGTTGTTGGAAATGGGTGATAAAAGAGCTTACAAGTGGTTGGTAAAAGAGACTAAACCCATTTGAATCGCTCCCTCAAGAATTATACAGATATACGGTAAATAGCCTTCTCCTAATTAAGTTAAATGAAATACTATTCTAAAGAAAAATTAACAGGATAATTGTATGTTTTGTTTATTAATATTACTCTATTATACACTAATATTTTACATTTACTAAAAGTAACAAATTGCTGTTGTCTACTAGGTATTCGCTCACTTCAGTTTAAATGAAGCCGAATATAATGATGGAAATCCTATGCCAGTTCCAGATTTCCTTGGCTCTGGTTTAGAAAATGCAGGTCTTTGGAAAGATCCAGGTTTTCTCAACCCAAGTGTAGGTGGCTTTACTTGTGATGCAGATGAAGCTACCTTATTTGAGATGAAAGGAGAAACTGCTGGAGCAGTAAGAGTAGGAGTTGTCTTCTCGTACATATCAGTATTTATGGAAGTTGTTGAGTTCGTAAGTGCAGACAGTACAGATTGAGCTGACAGATTTGATAGAGCAGATTGGCCACTCGAATTTTCACTTTCCTGTTCCTGGAGAGTAATTGGCTTCTTATATTGAGGCATCTTCATCGGATTAGCATTCAACAACTGGCTGGCTTGTTCGAACACAGACTTTCGAGAATCTCCTATGGAAACCGACCGCGCCAATCTCTTAGGATCTGAACCAAGGTAGTCGACTGATTTTCTTTTTGTTGTAGATATTTTCATATTCTCTAAATCAAGTATATTCAGCCCATCACTGGCATTTGAAGATGGAGATGCAAAGTTTCTTATAGTTGACGAGATCTTATTTAAGAGTCCTTCCCCGGGGGTTGTAGCGCTTGGACTGGTAATGCCACTAGACTTTTCAAATGAATTATTGCTGGCTCTTGTAGACTTGAAATTAGAAGAAATACCCCTTGACAAGCTAAGTAACCTCTCTTTCTGCCCTGTATTATCCATCAAAGATGATAAAATACTACAAACAGCAGAAGAAACTTGCTGTAAGTCTAATATTCCATGAGTTTTGGCGTACAAAGCTGCAATAGTGGCCGTGGCAACAGATGTTGCAGCTAATGCTGCAGAAGGTTCAACCTTGGAAGTGCTACCTGATAGTATATTAAATGTGTCAGTTACGTTTTTGACAAGAATCAGATCATGGATTAATGGGTTGTCATCTTCAGATTTGTTGCCCTCTCCACTTGCAGCACTACCCACTCCAGTAGAGCCATTAGAGCTACCATTTTCCACACCCGGATCACCAAAATACTCATTTTTAGATCTTCTCTCTTGGTCTTCCTTCTTTTGCTTTGCTATTCTCTTTTCTCGCCTTTTGTTGAACTCGTCATCTACCCACGATTTCTTCTCAAAGGAGTCAAGATCTCCAAACATAGCAGAAGCACGTTTCAAAACTCTAGATCTGAGATCATTATCCTTGTTTCTCTCTGCATTTTCTTCTCTCCATCTTTTCTTTCTTTCCCTATTTTCCATACGAATTCTTTCTTTATACTCAGGCGTATCACTTTTTGGCTTTTCTCCAAGTAGAGAGGACATCCTCCAGTGCTTTGAATTGGTGAAATTTGATACAGAAGATATCACAGAATCTCTGATACTAGAAATTGCATCAGGTTTTAAATCTGCCAAGTCAACTGCTTCCATTCTGGTTACAATTGGTTCAAACTGATTGGTACTGGTTTTCGTGTTGAATAAACCAAGTACATTATCAATCACACTGATGGCTTGATTATCAGAATCAATGGACTGGCTACTCTCAAGAAAGTTTTTCGCGAGCTGCAAAGATTGGGTCATAACCAGTAAACTCTCACTCTTATCTTTATAACTAGCTACAATTTCTTCGGCCGTAGGAACATTCGCACTTGTATGTGCTCCGGAACCGATAGTACTACCAAGGAAGGTGTATCCTTGTAACTTATTGCTAGATAATGAGTTCGTCATTTGCCTGATGACATTAAGTAGATTGGTTTCTCCACCTGTACTTCCAGAATTAATATGGGAAGATAATGATGAAAGCGCATTGGAAAGTTGACTGTTGTTCACAAGAGACATGTATGGATTGTTGGGATAGCCAGCTGTTGCAGAAACTGATCCGGTCCTTTGTTGTTCACTTCTCAAGACTTCTTCGATCGATTCTATAGAAGAATAATCCCTTCTAGGTCCACCGGTCATTGAAGATCTGTGAAGTGCTAGAGTTTCTGCAATGGAAAGAGATTTCTTTCGTTCTCCACTGCCATTACCAGTTCCATTGTCACTTATTGCGTTCATAAGATTCTTAGCAACTGCTGCTATTCTTTCAGTTCTCTTGTTACTTCCACCCAACTCAATGTCTTGACTCCTATTTAAAGATTCTAAAAATGTTGTTGTAGAAGAAGGTATTGGATGCGAAAGCTTAGCTAATGCAGCGGCCACCGCCGAGTTGGAAGCTGCTACACCTGTAGATGAGGCATTAGCCAAATTCTCTTCGTCCATATCCAAGTTCAGAAGCAAATCTTGTGGATTTTCCATAGCCATGTTAAAAGCATTTTGAAGGATATCATTCATTCTAAGCTGATCAAGATCGGCTCCACCTCCAACAGTGCCATCATTCACATTGGAAGTAATGGAATCTCTTCGCCTAGTAGGGTCCACGCCTAAAATAGATCTTTGCCTAGCATTATTATCTCCCAATGTGGTAGAATTGCTTTCAATTGCATTCCTGACTACAGTTGCTAATGCTGCTTGCAAACTATTACTGTCGATTTTACCAGACGTGTTTCCCGTATCGTCTTTTCCCTGTTCATCTTTGTAAGCTTCATTCTGGAAATGAGCCAAGACATTATCATCAATTTGTGGCATGTCGGTTAACAATTGAGGTTGTTTCTTTTTGTTTTGGTTACCATGGTCTTGAACTTGGTTAGTGATTTCTAAGGCTAGTTCTTGAAGAATATCCTCCGGGATACTATTATTTTGGCTAGCATTAGAAGTAGAAATCGCTTCATTATTGTTTGATATTTGGCTCACAAGGTTTTGAACAACAAAAGACAAATCTCCGGCAAGAGATTGTGACTGAGGCTCTGTGTGTTGTTGTAAAAGTGATTGTGGTTGTTCATTTGATGTTAATCTGCCAGCAGATGGATCATATGGCTTAATTGCGGACTTAAATGCTTCACTAATCGCACTTTCAATGTCCAAATCTTTTTCCTCTTCAGTTTTGCCGTTATCCGATATTGGGAGACTCAGATTTGACTGTTTGGGTCGAGGAGGTTCATTTTGAGAAGTAACAGTTTGTGAATGATTCTCTTCTGGTTGCTGTTCACTTAACGACTTGAAGGCATTTCCAATCGCGTTCTCAAGATCAAGGTCTTCTTCGTGATCATGACTGTGTTCGTGATTATGCTCATTGAAGTTCAGGTGGCCAAGATCGTGGTTATCCTCACCACGGTGATCATTCTCTTGATCAAGATCGTGAACAGTTGGATCTTCGTGTGATTTTTCATTGATCTCTTTGAAAGCATCGCCAATGGCACTTTCGAGGTCTAAATCTTCGTGAAGAAAGGATCCTGAGGAGTTTACTACTACTGGGATTGGCGCTGTAATGTGGTGTGAGCTAGGTTCTTTGTTAGGAGCAGAGTGTAGCTCCTCTTCTTGCAGAGCTGCTGGTTTGGTTATCTCAACATGTTCCTTGTTCGTGTCACCTTCTTCAGGATTGGATTGCTCTCCGTTTCCCGTTAAGCTTTCAAACGCATTTCCGATAACCGCTTCAAGATCGAGCTCACCATCACTTTGATCTGAGTGGTGATGCGATGCAGTTACATCGTCGGTCAGACCCCGTTCCTTGACTTCTTCCTTAACTTCTCCACTATCTTGCTCACCACTGACCATCGCAAAGGCATCTCCAATTGCAGCCGACAAATCAAAGTCATCATCAACTGAGTTGGTGTGGTTCCCCTCCACATCTTCGCTACCAGCGGTCCCTTCCTGTTCGGGGGGTTCATCAGGGTGTTTATCGTGAGCCTCAGTGTCTTGCTCTTGCACTTGCACTATGCTTCTGTGCTCTTCGAGACCGCCAGAAGGCCCATCTTGCACCTCTTGCTGCCTACTAGCAGAGTAGTCCTTTATTTCGCCATCCCGTATATGGCCATGCTCTAATTGCAATTGCTCATCTTGGGAATCATCATGACGGTGTTCGTCTTCATGTTCGTGTTCGTCTTTTCCCTGCTGGACTGGACCACTGATCTCGTCCTTCACTTCTTCGCCCAATTGGCCGAAATCAAACTGCCCAAACACATCACCAATGGCGTTCTGTAAGTCTAGATCATCCTGGTCCACAAATCTATCGATCTTTTGTTTATTGTCGTCATCTCCAACCGTACCAGCGTCGGAGTGTCCGTTCTCATTTGCAGTATATTCACCACTTATATCAGCATTGCTTGTATAGTCGTGGTTAATGTGAACATCGTTCCCATCACCACTCTCATCATTTGCAGCCATATTTCAGATTGCAACCAAAATCTAAAAATCAATGTGACTGTTTTTCCATTTTTGTCAGAAAGTGACTGTTTTTTTTGGGCCGGTGTTGTTTTTCATGTTCGATAGTGTGGGTCACGGGGTGATGACATCCGTACACCCACTGAGTGTAGTGCAGAAAAAGTTCAATGAGAGATGGAATAAAATGTGTGGGCAGCAGAAATGAGATGATGGAGTCTTGCTAAGGAGGTGAAACGGATGAGAAAATGTTCAGCAGTTGGAGATGATGGGCCCTCAAGTTGAGAGGTCTCAAAAACTGAGAAGAAACATCGACCCTTATGGTGTCTCGGTGGTTTCTGTAAGTGGTTAGAGATTGCTATACATTGGGGCTAGAGAATATCTTGAAGAGACTCGTTCCTGCATACGTGCCACGAATTTGGGACCTGCTTCTCTGCTTCTCCAGCTCGTCTCACTGGAAGTATACCATGCATACTTCGCATGATGGAATATCATCGGACTCTCCTTTGCGTCTATGGTACCATAAGTTGTATATTGTAATGTTTATAAACTACAGAAGCCACTAAAAAGTGGGGAAAAAAATAATAAAAGGCATAGGCTTTGCTGAATGTCTTCTTGTCTTCTGCTGTACTACTAGTACAACTTTTTAGATCAAATGTCCTGCATGCTCGTTGCTGCATATATCAATCAACCGTGTTAGTATCAAGACTACTCTTACTAGAGGTTTCTTTAGCTCGCTTTTCTTTCTCGCTACCGTTGGTAGCATGTAATTCCTCGTTTGCTAAGGCAAAATTTAAAACTAGTCCTGTTTCTCCAAAGCCGACCCCTTCATACCCATCAACTTTGATCACCCAGTTGAAATTGTTCAATGTGTCATTGGCATATCTCAATACGTCAATATCAAATGTCTTTCCTGCAAAAGTTGGAATCAGGACTGAATATTTTGAGTCGCTCATGTTCAAGTAGTTTGTATCGAATTGCAAGATATACGGAATCAGCTCTAAAAAGGTGAAATCTTTGGCATGGCTTAAATTGTTGAAATACTTTTTACGGTCAAGACTCTTATCGGGAATCTTAAGTGAGTCTTTGGCTCCGTCAACCACACTTAGTTTCTCCAAAAAATTGAAATCTTGCTCCTTGGTCACTCCAAGTAGCTTGGTCTGTAAATTCTCCTTCTCACTCTCACTTATAAACGTAAAAGAATTCAACGCTAATCCATATAAGAATGGCTTATCGTTATAGACATCTCCCTTCACGGTCTTACTGATGAACCAGGTGAAAAACTTCAATCCCGTTTGTAACAACAGCGTAGGTAAAAAGTCTCTAATGGGGTAAGTGAAGTCATTACCAAAGAGTAAATGGTTCCCCGGAATTGGTCTATTGGGTGTAAACTTACACTCTATCCTCAATTTAGGTGAATTAGGCTCGTCTTCGTCAGAATTTCCGCGACTTCCGTCTAAATGGTTTTGGTCACCCAAATTGTAAAATGAATTTGAGAGGTGGGCTTTGCTACCATCAAAGTTTTTGATGTTCACTTTAACTGAGAACAACCCGACAGAAGTTTTGACTTCAATATAGCCACCATTGACTGGGACGATCTTGAAATCTCCATCATAGCTTGCTCCAGCCTTAATGATTAATCTTTTTGCTATCGACATTTATATAAGTAAGAGAGTGAGAATTGAATATATGAAGTTTTGATATTAAACAGTAGAAGAAAGATAAGTTTTGTAAGCAATCGATCAACCCTTCCGCTTCTGCCTATTTGGCTTTTGTCTTGTGCTTGAAATTGCAAAGAAAGCAATCATGCCCCAAGAAGTACATCGAAGAAACATTGCTTGTTATATGCAGGCGGAAGTTTCATCACGGTGATAACGAAAAGGTGGCATCGCCCGAAAGGGAGATAGTTGTCGTAGAGCTTACTAAAGGATGATTTTTGTGGCTGTTATTCTTTACGTTATACCAGTTTGTTGTAATCGGCGTTCTCTTCATGTAGATGTCTTAATACATGCAGCTAGGGTGTGTCAGAGAAGTAACACTCGGTATATAGGGTGTACGGATGATTGTTCCCTATCTGGCGATGAAACTAGGGTAAATGAGTAGAAAGGTCGGTTTGCTGCAAGATTTGGAGTTTAAGTATACACATAAATCCTGGTACTCTTAGGGGAGTGTGGAATTGTATTTAGCTGTAGTTTCCTTGCTCAGTTTGCTTAATAGTTGTTGTATATAGTGTTTTCGTCCCTCAACTGTCAAGAATGCTGGAAAGATATCCTAATAGTCTTCGAATAATGTAAGTGTAAACATAAAGTCGAAACAGCACGTTCTCAAATGTGCTTGGCATATCTATAATAAAAGTGGCACGTACGTGACGCCAACTTAACTGCCTGGTAAGTACCTATCGTGAAGTAATGTATGGTTGGGCTCCATCGCAGGTACCGTCCACCTAAACCCCTTGTAATCCACGGACACCGAGAATTCGAGAAACTAAACTACCTGTATGTGACTTAGGAAGTAAGAAGAGCTTGCTTTCTGCTCTGTTTTCTTCATGAGCTAGTCTGTGGAGCTATACTCAATGGCTGCAAATTTGGGGTGCTATCCGTCTCCCCACAATCCAAAGTGCAACCTATGCGCATAGACCAAAAAAAAAGACATATGATATCACGTGACTTTCCCCAACATCCGGGCCCTTTTCCACATCACGCATATCATCTATAGAGAAAAGGGTGCAGATACCCCCGGTTCTTGTAGTCTGTAGCAGAGCGGAGTTGGCAGGACCATCTGCCAGGCAAGCCCTTAGGACGCACCCCAACAGACCTATTTAAAGGCCGCATTTATCCTCGTACCATTTTCTTACACTCTCCCCCTGCTTCATTATTAACCTTGACTAAAATTTACATTTTTCGCTACCCATTTACTAAACTTTAGATTTTCTAGAGTTTCTAATCAATCTAGAATTATCCCCCATATTATTAATCGCTCCAGCGTGGGGGTGCGTGCTACCCATAGTGCGAGCCTGGAATTTTCGCGGAACCGTCTGAACAAAACGTTGGTCGATACTGAAAAATGCTACCAAGAGAGCAAGAGAGCAATTAAAGAAGGATGAGCTATGACCCAAATTTGGATCCATTCAGAGCACCAATTACCTCGCATTTGCCACATCCAGCTATTTGAACGCACATAACCCTTGCCAGTACTCTTTTTCCTGCGCTTTTGACCCTGTTTGGCCACTCTTCTTCTCCATTCTCTGCCTGCCTGCACCCCTTACCCGGACACGGAACTGACTTCTCCAGAATTTGTAATATATAATGACTCCAACATTCCGCCATACCCTGTCTTCTTTTTTTTTTTCAGTTCTGGATTTACTTTTTCTTTTTATAGATTAATCCAACTTATAAGTTACAATACATTAACAACAACAATGTCTAACTCTCTCGAACAATTGAAGGCTACTGGTACCACCATTGTCACTGACACCGGTGAATTTGAATCCATTGCCAAGTACACTCCTCAAGATGCTACCACCAATCCATCTTTGATTCTTGCTGCTGCTAAGAAGTCCGAATACGCCAAGCTCATTGACGTTGCTGTCGACTACGCTAAGAATAAGGGAGGATCTCCAGAGGAAAAGGCCAACTTGGCTCTCGACAGACTCTTGGTTGAGTTCGGTAAGGAAATCTTGAAGATTGTCCCAGGAAGAGTTTCCACTGAAGTTGACGCCAGATTGTCCTTCGACAAGGAAGGTACTATCAAGAAGGCTCTTGAAATCATTGAACTTTACAAGCAAGAAGGAATTGACAAGGAAAGAATCTTGATCAAGATTGCCTCCACTTGGGAAGGTATCCAAGCTGCCCGTGAATTGGAAGCCAAGCACGGAATCCACTGTAACTTGACCTTGTTATTTTCTTTCTCACAAGCTGTTGCCTGTGCTGAAGCCAAGGTCACCTTGATTTCTCCATTTGTCGGCAGAATCTTGGACTACTACAAGGCTACCACCGGTAAGGAATACACTGGTGAAACCGACCCAGGTGTGATCTCCGTCAGATCTATCTACAACTACTACAAGAAGTTTGGTTACAACACCATCATTATGGGTGCTTCCTTCAGAAACACTGGTGAAATCAAGGCTTTAGCTGGTTGTGATTTCTTGACCATTGCTCCAAAGTTATTGGAAGAATTGTACAACTCTGATGCTCCAGTTCCAAAGGTTTTGGATGCTGCCGCTGCCAAGGGTGAAGATATTGCCAAGGTTTCCTTCGTTGACGATGAAAAGGCTTTCAGATTTGCTTTGAACGAAGACCCAATGGCCACTGAAAAGTTGGCTCACGGTATCAGAAGTTTCGCTGCCGATTGTGTTACTCTTGTTAACCAATTAGAAGCTAAGTTCAAATAAATTGATGATGCCGAATGAACCACCACCACCACCACCTACCTAACTCCCTAAAAAGAATAATATAATGCGATAAGATTTTAAACATGAAGGCTCCATTTGTAGAAAGGAATGTAGAAACAGTGTGGGATGTAGAGACTTGCGGTGGCAGATAGCTGATTTGTAGTCTCTTCTTGATATCATCTAGCCTTACCAGCTACTACTGAATATGCTAGTAGACCATTTTCCTCTGACTGCTCACTCCAAGTGCCTGGCATGCCTCATCTAGCCAACATGGGGTGAAATATTTCATATAGCATTAACCGTCCTGCATACAACGAGCTATTATCGATTTTTTTTTTTTTTTTTTTTTTGACATTCGTCGCTTTTCTCCCAAGGCAAATCATGAAACTACTTATCGTAGATTAGTATCTTCTGTATTAATTCCTAGCTATTGACCTATAGATGCCTAGACCTAGTTCGAATATTCCTGAAACAGTTTCAGACCCATATCCTATATTTCAAGAATCTCATATTGTCAGTGGGTTCGGTAGAGGGTCATCAGAATTGGGTATCCCAACTGCAAATATCCCGATAAACGATAAACTTAATGTGTTAGATACAGGAATATATTTCGGATGGTGCAAATTGAAACCAAATGTAGATTCGCCATGCCCGGAACCAGTTAGACGTGGAGGTAAGGGAGATTTGGTCGAATTCAACAACGGCTCTGAACTTAAAGGAGACGAATTGGATGTTTTACCCATGGTTATGTCGATTGGCTGGAATCCCTTTTACAATAATAAAGAGAAGGCCGCGGAAATGCACATCATGAAGAAATTTGGTGCCAATTTTTACGGAAGTTTGGTGGAATATAACGTATTGGGGTACATTAGACCTGAATTAGACTATACCACCAAGGAAGCATTGATAGAGGATATAAACATCGACATTAAGATTGCCTTGGAAAGCTTGCAATTGCCTGGTTACCAGAAATTCGCTTCTCAGCTCCAGTAGACCAAACCCATCTATATACAGGAATCACAGATCATCAGAATATGCTTATGTGTTTTAAGAGGCAAATAGAGGTTAGAGTAGTTAATACTGTGGAGAAACTTAATACATATTTTTAGACTATATGCACGTAATATTTTGAGAGTCATTGAACGGACTACCTTCAATTGCCTAAAGTGTGTAGGCTTTCTGATAAGAATGCGCCTCTTCTAGCTTGATCTGACTTAGCAATGACCTGTTGATGCCAGAGAGAGCCACTCGAAAAAATAAAGAGTCACGTGAGCTTCTAATAGCTTGATGTGGATTGCTCTCGTTCGATGGATGTATAAAAAAGCTTGGAAGTCACTCTGGGGCTTTTTATTAGAAGAGTTAAGAAAAGAGTATCTCACATTTCGTTTCGAGGACGCCAATAAACGAACTAGCTTATCCGGGCTTGATTAGGGAAGAAGAATACTACATAAGCGAAAGAGAAAAGCCCTTTATTGTTCACCTTTATTGTTTATACCTGCAGGTAATAAAAATTAAATAAAAAAAAACTGCTGTGTAAAAGTGGAGAGAGAATCCTTAGTGCTGAATATTTCTTCTCAAAGACCATAGCGAACTGGAAACTGTATAATAGAAAGACACTAATTGCTTCTTCAATATGGATATCATAGCCGAAAAGACTAAACGAATATCCTTTCGTCGACTATTGCCCTTGTTCTTGATATCATGTTCAATAATATCAGCCATCTTGCTATATTTTGCTTATCTGTTTGGCGATCAGGTCCTGCATGCGGCGGAATCAATGTATTCCAATACAAGCGGAGATGAGTTCTCGTGTGAGATAGGTAACTCACCTTCTAATGCCAACAAATACTGTGAGTTTATTAAAAAAAAGTGTAACAGTGAATATTTCTGGATAGCTGAAAGGTATTATTGCTCGCTGGCTTCGAATAAGGTGCCTTCACTTATTATATTGACAATCATCTTGATAGTTATCTTTTGGACCTTGGTTTTGCTTTTTGTGTCACTTTCCATTTTGGTTGCGAAATTTCTTTACCCCATACTTCACTCTCTATGCATTGAGTATAGGATTAACGATAAGTTTTTGAGCTGTATACTAGTACCGTTCATCAATTGCTTCCCGGACATTGTAAATTACTACATAGCAATGAAACTGAACTCAATTGACCTCACTTTGGGGCAGGTAATTGGGTCGATATTGATTATCTTCACTTTAGTATTGGGGAGTATATGCTTTTTGCAGCCGTTTGAAATAGGGCAGAATAAGACATTGCTCATGAATGACTTCGTTTCGGTTTTCATAGTAATATTAATCTTTCTGTACATTGTGTCGGATGGTGTTATTACGAAAACTGAATGTGTGGTTATGGTGATGGTTTACTTTGTGTACGTGATATATCTATACCTTATAATTGACAAGGCTAATATAGAATCGCTGGATGAAGAAGAAGCTATTCCCGATATTCAAATTGAGCAGCTGTCTTCCTCAAATTTACTTACAGTACCATCATTTGGCATCGAGGATGCTCTCAGTGTCATATCGGACGATATGGAGACTTCAGAACAAGCCAGAAGCGTCAACTATGGTACCTTTGACCAAGAAAATTTTGATTCTAATGTCCAAGATGGAGTAGGAGATGATGGGGAATCTTTTCACGGAACTTCTAGCAAGACGATTGGATTATCAACCTCGGAATTGTCCTTGCGTTCTAGTATTTGGGATGAAAATAGGAATTATCCCGTGAACATAATGAAGCATGGGACAGTAAGAGTGTTCCAGGTTATCTTCAATTTGATCGATCTTTCTTTCTACTTGATTGTGCCTTTTATCGAAAATGAAGGTTATGAATCAGGAGAGGCTGTGAGATCATCTGAACAAATGATATCTGCATGGTTGAACTGGAGGGCTTCTGCATTTCCAGTACTATTTTCCGGTTATATTTCAAATTTGCGCTGTTTCCTCATCCCCATCATGCTACATTTGATCTACTTTCCCGAGTTGCCTTACACATATATCCTTCCTGCCATTCTACTTATGATGATCTGGAATAGTCTACTTATGCCATACACGCCAGCCCTTCTAACCAAAGTACTCGCAATATTTTTGACACTCAATATTATATCCATTCTTGCGGGAATAATATTGCAAATGCTTAAGAACTTGGGGGTTATCCTTAGAATTTCTGAGACGCTCCTTGGACTCACCATATTTGCGATCAGTAATAGTATAAATGATATCATTACTAACGTAACTTTGGCCAATTTAGGAAAGCCAATACTTGGTGTCAATGCTTGTCTTGGTACACCGTTACTCTCTATTTTGCTAGGGGTCGGTTTCAATGGACTACTTGTTACTTTTCAAAAAGGACTTCCTGATCTTAAACTTGACGTTAACTTACACATAATCGTTACTACAGTAGGGTTGGTGATTTTATTGGCATTTTACTTGATATACATACCATTAAACGGATGGAGGTTTGATAGAAAGCTAGGTATTCTGGTGATTTGTTGGTGGGCATTTATCACAATTATTAACTGTATAGTAAACTAGATAATAGAACAATTAATCTAGAAAGTCGATCAGTGCATCGGTAGACCATTAATTCACTTCTCCCTTCATTTTCAGATGTGCTACAATTTGATATCACTCATCGCTATTTCTATTTCTACTACGAAATGCGAAGTAAATAGATCGTTAGTATCTTCATTATTCGAAAGCTTGCAAGCTTTCTTCATATATTCTACTGAATTCAACTTCCTTAGTACCCTTCTTGGACCATTTCTTGAGAAATCTTTCACCAAGCAGATCATCTAGAGCCCTTTTCGCCTGGTCAAGTATTTTGTCAGCATCCTCACATTTTGCAAGTGTATTATATTCCATGTACGTATCCCAATAGTTGAAAGAACTTGCGAAATTGTCCTGTAGTCTCTTGAAAAAATTAACGACTTTGTCCAGACTGGACAAATCTATGTCATACAACAAGACTTCTCTAATTAATAAGTCTCCTCCATCCAATAGTGTCAATTTTTCAATTAATTGTAATAAGTACTCGTCATCTCCAGGGTTCATCAACCTTTCAATTTGAACCAACTTAGTCATGTGCGGTATCGAAGTCGGTTGTAACCTCAAATTTGTTAAAACGATATCTCTCGCCTTGATAAACTGACCTTGGAATATCTCCAAATCACATAGCTTCAACTTCAATAAATAATCAGTTTGTTGCACACAAGAAATTCCTCTTACGAGGATTTGCTTTGCGTTTTCAATTTTCTTTCCATTGGCTATGAAATAATTGGCGTACCGTATCCAAAATTTGGGATATAATGCAGTAGCTACGAGGCATCTTTCATATGTTAGTTTGATCAATTCTAGAGGGAAATGGTTGATTTCCAAGAAGTCCAAGTATTGATCCCAATTTGTCAATTCAGACTCCAGCAAGTAAGTTACATGGAAATATGGTCTGTTTATATTCTTTTCATACTGGTAAAGTTGGTATACTTTATGTTGAGTGGTAATGTAAGAGTCCGTGAATATCTTCTTCAACTTACTCGTTACATTTTTGCCACTTCCTACTAATTTTAAATCGTGCCGCTCTCTCCTTGGAATGAACTGTGCTACCTCATCGCTTTTCTCTATTATATTGATGAACTGATTGAAAAATTTACCGAAGTGGTACATAGGTATCTCAATTACAATACGAAGAAGAACGTAATACTTCTGAGCCATATCTTTGTCACTGCTACTATGTTCCCTTAAAAACGATAAGTACAACTCATAAAACTCGTGAGCATAAAAGTGCAACCCTATACATTCGCGGCCCTTCTCGAACGTACGGATCACATCTTCTAAATTATCTACGGTGGTTACTACTTTAAATCTCACGTAAGATGTCCAGACTTCGATGCTGTATGGGAGTTGGGATATGGCTTCTAGGTAGATATCATTGGCTCTCACAGTGTTTCCAAGCCTGAATTCCCATTCTGCAAAATTCAACCAATATTGATGGAGGAGTGGAAATCTTGATAGGAGAGATCCATAGGTTAGTCTCATGATTTCAAGATCTCCCTCAGAAAAGAGTTTATTGATATTCTTTTCTTTTCTCCAGTTAGATATGGAGGATGAGGAAGAACTGCCCCTTTCAGCTAGCTGAATTAGCTGTTCCCATTTTTGAAAATTATCTGGCTCTGAAACAAGCTCCTCAGATAATTTGGACCAGTCCAGCACTACTTCCATTTAGTTTTATTATTATTACTATTTCTCTACAGAATTACGATAATATCCACCAGTTTTTTTGAAGTCGAATTAAGCAAGACTTTTTCATATACTACTTATGGAACAGTTCGAGTGATTCTAAGAATGCTTCTTAGTCCCCAGCCCGAGAAGTAATTTACTGTTTGGTGATGAGCAACGCCTAAAATCTGAGCGACCATATCTCGAAAATCATGTATCCTGCATATAACAACACACAGAGGTTGCACTGTCAAGAACGACTACATGAATTGCTGCAAAGAAGGTGCCAATGAAAGCTCGCTCATAACTGGATAGGAATTGAAGATTGGAGGACACTTTCGAAATACTAAGCCAACACTTAGTAAGTCTTATTTACTGCGACTGTAAAAGAATATTTGCAGAGTAATGGCCAGCATTAGGTAAGATGACGGACATATCGGTGTACTAGATTAGAATTATTACTAACTGAGTATATAAAATACCATGGTGTGGAATGTTGAACTAAGATTTTGCGCCTTTCTTAATTTCTAAACTTTTTAACTTCTTTTCCATTAGGAATTTATGAGCTTTTTAAAACTTTATGATTACCCAAGGGGACCCTATCCAGCCCGTGTACGTATAGCATTGGGAGAGAAGGGCCTTCAATCACAAGTGGAGTCTGTGTTTGTCGATCTCAGAACTGGAGCACACAAGAAGCCTGACTTCCTCACTAAGAACTATTCCGGAACATTACCAGTCTTGGAAATCGAGCCTGGATTATTCATAGGTGAGTGCACTGCCATTACCGAATACATTGATAATCTCGATGGAAATCCAATACTCACGGGCAAAAGTCCTAAGGAGAAGGCCATCATACACATGATGAACCGTCGTGCCGAAATTGAATTGCTTGATCCAATCAGTGTTTATTTCCATCACGGTACGCCAGGTCTTGGTCCGCATGTCGAGATTTACCAAAACAAAGAGTGGGGACTCCATCAACTTGCCAAATCGATAAAAGGAATGCACTATTTCGATAGCTTTCTCAAAGGACAACCATATGTAGCAGGACAATCCTTTTCAATGGCCGATATCACAGTTATCGGAGGCTTGATTTTTGCTTCCCTTTTGAAGGTTCCAATTCCAGAAGAGTGCGAGGCTCTTTTAGAATGGTATGCTAGGATGCAGAACCGTGCTAGTTTTATAAACAGGCTAGATTTTTAGTAATTTGTAGGTTTCCTAGATGAAAGAAGACCTTCTATTTAGACTGACTATGATAATGAATATATATGAGTAATTGTGAATTGAAAAATGGCTCTCTGTTGCCACTTCTTGCAAACTCCATTGATATCAGAAGCTAAACTGTAAGCTAAAACGCACCTACTTCAAACAGAGCTACCTTGTTCCTTACTTCTTTTTTAGTTTCGGCTAGCATCGTTACATTGCTTGTATCTTTCTAAATCGGTGTACCTCAGCAATCTGCGGCGTTTGTTCACTTTGAAACTGTTTCGAGCATCGTTTCTATTTGAATCACAATGAGCATGTGCCACTATTCAAAAATAATAATCGACACTAGAGATACTAACGCAGGCTTGATATGATAGGTACTACCAGAAACGGAATTACAGTAGTTGAATTAAAAAAAAAAAAAAAAACACTTTCACGAAATAAGCAGTTATACATCTAGAAGCGTAGTTAGGTGGAAAATGTGTATCTTTTAAGCACTAGTTAAACATCCCCAAACCTACATCTTAATATTTTACGAATGTACATTCCCCCAAGAGACTTGCTAAAATAAGGTAGCCAATATGCTTCACAACGTATGAATACTGTTTATTATCCGTAACTTCACTTCGTTAGCCCAAAGCTTGATGGAGGCTTTTCCAAGTTCAATAAACCGACCGCCCCAGGATCAAATCGCGAACGGACTTATTCAAATTATCAGTTTCGTGGTGTACTTTTATTTTCTTGGAGTATCCGAATGCACCTGAGTCGTAGAATCTTGGTGAGAGTTCTGCCTAGATCTGCTGCAGAGCATGCTTAGATTCTTTCCCCCATGCACTTTGATAGGTATTGGGCATAGCGTATCGGACTGTGTGCTGATAATAACTCGCTTTTTTTGGCACAATTCTGGGGCTTAGCTTTTGTTGCTGCAGTTAGCCTAAAGCAGCTTAACGGAAAAAAGCAAATACGGCGGGTTCTTCAACAAAGTAAAAAATAAAGATGAATTATTATTTTAATTTCCAATAGAGAGCTAGGCTAATACTTGTACCCCACTTAAATACTAGCTAGAGATAAAACGCTTTGACTGTTGTGGTTCAATAGTAAAACCGAAGAAAACCACAAGGAAGCGACGGAAATGAGGCGCCAACGTTTGCTGGAAGTGGCGATAGGGAAGGGGTGCCGCCATAGAGTGCTGTAGAGAAAAGATGAGTAGCACATCCACACATGGAAAGACTAGACTAGTGTGGCCCAACGTGCGTAAGTTTCGGAGTTTCTATTCATGTAACAGCAGATCTACTTTCTAATCGAAGATGCAAAGAAATGTGAAGCTCTTTTTGGTTCAGAACGGGACATACAAGTGCGCTTGAGTATTTTTCCCTCGGCATTAGAAAACTCTAATCATCATAAATTTAATTAAATCTCTCAACTTACATTCAAAGCCAGGGCCAAATAATATCCACCACTTGAAAAATATCTATTAATAACTATTGGTCAAAATATCACCTTTTGGGTACATCCAAACCTAACAAGTATGGTCTTATTCTTCAGTATATGATCCATTAGTGGTGTCAGTGTTTTTCTTAATTTTTTTTTTGAAATACAACTCCGTTTGTCACCTTCTACTATTGTATTTAATTTGACAACAAGACCTAGGTGAGGTTCCTGCATGCTCGCGTTCTTCTTTGGGAAATGCTGCCGAATATGCAGAGTAAAAAAATATTTTGTCGTACGATTCTGCCTAGCCCGTGGAAGGGGCCGAAAATCAAGTCTTCAACAATTATGGGTGCATCTTACATAAATTTTTCGCTCCAGCTAAAGGAAGCGCACGGGGATATTTTTTCTGCATAACCATTGTTGCATTTATTTGCTGTATTTTATTTTTTTTTCCTTTTCTTTTCAAAAATTGCTTGCATGACAGACAATTGTTTATTAAAACTTGCTATAGAAAAAATTCTTTTATGGGATGATAATGAAGTTAAAAGAGGTCATATTTTCAGCGTCTCCCTCTAATAATTATTCCCATCTCTGACTAGTTCGATATGAATCCTTCTTCTGAACTGACATGTCGCTATAGAAGGTTCATTCAGGACTATAACAATACTCGAAGTAGTGGCAAAGCAGACCAAACTTTAATTTTAATTCTGGGGCTGGAACAAGTGTAGCGCCACTATTATTTTTTTGAGGTTCTTTTCTTTTTCTATTTTTGTTTGTATATTTCTTTCCCCGAAAGACAACGTTCGTATCCAAGAAGTGCATGATGCATTAATGTACTGGGTACAAGAAAGAAAATCTTCCTTCGATTTTGGTGGTTATCATCTACTACGGTGCATACCCGCGGGGACTGTCAATCTGAGATTTAAATCAAAACTTTTTAGTTCAAACTCTAAAATACTTTATCAGCCGCGGGACTGTCAAAAGTAAGATTAGATTGTTTCTTTGTCCATCAATTAAACTGATCACGTGCAATCAAGTCTTTATTAAAGTACAAGTTAAAACTAATGTGAAACAATAATATTACGAAAGTAGAACATCAGAGAGTTGATGGATTGCTTCTTCTAGATTTTGGAAAAAGAAAGAGCAAAAGGATGCCTAGATTTTTAAATTTAGCTTGATGTTTGCTGGTTGGGGCGTCGTCTTTTCTCATAACACTATCACTAGTAATCAACTTGTGTTGAAAAGTATTGCATGGGAAGAGTAACGTAAAGATCATAGAGATAAGAGTGTTCTAGCAAAATTTTTAGAAACGTGCATACAGACCTGCAAACTAGTCATCTGCACTTATAATTATTTATTACACGTAAGGCGGCTTATCCGGCATTCAAAATTAGATTCTATTGTCGGTGGAATTAATAATTTAATTCTGCAGCACCTGCAGTAGCTTTGGAGTAAGATTTCGTTAGGGTTCTGATAGTACTACCTTTATGGAAAGAAACGATCAGCAAGAAGACAAAATTCCAACCTTAACGTTCACGTTTATGTTGCAAACATGAGTCGTCTCATCTGCAAATCGGCTCTATTGTTTCCATTTATATTACAAAAACGCAACTAAATGTAAGCAGAAAGTTATTTTTTATAGTCGTGGCCGATTGTTTTGAATTAGTTGCTCTGTTTTAAAGTTTAATATTTTCTCTCCATGTCCTTCCCTTTTACCAATCTCTTCTGGGCTTTCTTTTTTTATTTTTTTTTTGACTTTAAGTTTCATGCATAAATATCTAACCTACAGGAACCCGCATTGCATGAAAAAATAAATCTCAATAATACATGAACTACATCTGCTACAAAATTATGCACAAGTAGCATTCGGAAACTAAATTTGAATAGGAAAATGAGCCATTCTGGAGATTACCTGGCAACTTGAGCCGAATATTTATTCTTTGAACGTTATCCTTTCATTTATTTAAGTTCATTTGCTTTATTTTATTTTTTTCAAAGCAACAGTATTCTGTTTTAGAGAAGTAGATTGCGTCCCTAAAAGAAGAGCCCTAGAAGCATTCATTTTTCCAAGTATCAACTTCCTTTTGCTCCACAGCCCTTATTTACTTAAGGAACAGGGTTTGTTCGAAAGACTTGAAATAAAATAATTAAGAAAAGTTTATACTCTACGAATATTTTTTGACAATTTGTGTTTTTTTTTTCTTGCAGGTACATCTTATATCCCCGTAACCCCGTATAGAAAATTTTAAGACATTGGACTATTTTATAGGTACAGTAGCCAACGTTGTACAAGCTGAGGATAATTTGACAAAAATTTTGGAAAGACAAAGTAGACCTGACAATATTGACAACGGTAAACAATGATGTTGGACTACGACTCTAACTACCAATATCAAGGTGCCGGAAACGAGTACCTACCCGCACCCGATAACGATACCAATATAGTTGGTAGCAACGAAATATGTGATCCTTCACAAATATATGCTGGAGCTACTCTAGCTCCTGCGGTGAGCCTCAACAACACCGGTGTAAATACAAATGAAATTTATACAGATCCGCAGTATGTACCACAGTCGATGTATTATCAGTCCATAGGTGCTCAGATTTATCCTGGGGAGGCCGCTACTGCCAGCTTAGGGCGTGTTGGACAGTCTTTCACACCGTTGCAACAACATCAGCAGCTATTACAACAGGAACATCTCTCTCACCCTGCGCAGCAGCTTCAACAACCGCTGCAAGTGCAGCAAGCCACACAGCAGCAGTTGCAGCAACAAGTGCCACAGCAACAAGTACCACAACTGCAACAACAGCAGCAGCAGCAGCAGCAGCAGCAGCAGCAGCAGCAACATCAACAACAGCAACAGCCATACCTGCCATACCCTACATCTCAACCACAACAGCACCAACGCCACCAGCATCAACAACATCCTTTCCAGCAACAGCAGCAACAACAGCAAGTCTTTTATTCGTACCCTTCCCACCAACAGCCAGGGAGCACTCCAACTCCCGGCCAAGTAAACCATTTGATGGCCAATCAACCAGCAGCAGGGGGATTCGCAACACATCCAACCATAGCTAATTCTCTCTCGTATGACGTCTACACAAGACCGGAGCCTTACTACGCAGCTTATCCATACCTGGATGGTGCTGTTTCGGAAGCTTTGAACAGCCAGTCTCCGCCGATATCTGAGCCATCTCCTAGAATGTCTGCTGCAAAACACTCTCTGTTGGGACAAGGTTCGACCACCTTTTCATCAATTTCTTCTTCTTCTTCTGGCCACATGTTTAATGGAACTCCACCATCATCGGGCTCTTTGATGAATTCAGGAATCTCTCCTTCGTCGAAGGACGTCGGCTACTCCCAAAACTTCGCACGGCCTTCGATAATGGCACAGTTGCGAAGTAATCCCTGTCTCTGGGAACAAATAACTAGCAATATCGGTAGTGGTAGCGGAAACAGCCTCTCTCCAAAGAAAGGCTCTTATAAATGCTCACATTGCACAGATACATTTACCGGTTTGTATGAGTTGGTCGAACATTTGGATAAATATGAGATTCGCAGGGGCCATTTCTGTCCCGTTGAAGATTGCCCCTGGAGCGTCATAGGGCTTGCCAGAAAGGCAGAACTCCGTAGACATTGTGTGCTGCAGCATTTCCTTCGTGGAAAATTGAAGGATCTGGCTGATCAGGCAATACGACCAGATTCTCGCCTGAAGATGGTGAAGTTGCTTTACTCGTGCAACAAATCCAATTGTGGGAAGCACTTTTATCGTAAGGATTCCCTCCAGAGGCACCAGAGATTGGTTCATGAAAATAAGGATAGTAAATTTAACAGGAAGTGGGGCAAATTAGGCTTAGGTCAAATGGGAGAGAAAGGGCCCTACCAAATAGATTCTGTATACAACTAGTCGAATCAGTATCTTGATTCCTTTCATCTCCTGCTGCTTTACATTCAGTTACCGAAATTTTAATATTCATATCTTGAAAGACGATTTTGTCAAGATGCACAATTGGTGGTACTTTTTTGCACCCAAACTCATTTTGCAGAGGAACATACGCCAATGCCGACTTAATGGGTATCGAGCGACAATTGAGTACATAATTGTTGAACATGAGAGACTTTAGCTTCGTTTTGCTCATTTTTTGTGCAACGGTTACAAACGAAGCACGAAGTTGAACAAAACCGGTGTCGCTCCCGACTTTCTATTTCATAATCCATTCCTTACCTACTTATATATAATTTATTAATACCAGATGAGATTGAAATTATCCATCTTTGCATTTGTTGCTGGAACAACATTTGCTACTAATATCCAACGAGTCTGCAGTCCTGCAAATGGCCGGGTTGAACCATATACGGGATTTAGAGTAGATATTCAACTTTCATTTAATTTAAAGCAAGAATTTCATTTATACATGTGTAAGGAGGGAAGAGCCACGATGGATTTAGTTATTCCTCAAAGTTCTACTGTAAGAGTAGACCTGGAAGAACCTAACATAATTCCTTGGGGACAAGAGATTTGCAATAACAAATCCAGTCCGACCATTTGTTACACCCTTGCTAGGAGGAGATCTTTCAAGCTAAGGACGTTGCCGATATATTTTCCTGGAACAGTAGTTGGTGGTGTATTTGAAGGTGACACTCCCGTTCTACCATTGGTCGCAGAAGACTTCTGGCTGAACCAATGGCTCGAAATCAAAGGATTGAGGAAATCAGTGTACCATTTTCCAATTCTATCGTCCCCTCCCTTCGAACACAGCAAGCATCCAGGCACTAACCGGCCGCATCTCATGGGGACCAGCAAATTATGGGCAAAGAATATCTTACGCAACGAAAAGTATTTGATAAACGACAGTGATGACACAAGATTCTTATTTAGGAAGGGCATCGATACAATATTTGAGAAGATTAACATTTTGTCTAGCTTAAAGAAATTATCACTTATGGGTGCATGGGGAACAGAGGGGAACCGGTTTAACCCATTTTTTAAATTCCTTTTGCTACTGAAGGTACTAAGTAAAGAAGTATTTTACGGGTTAGTCAATGACATAGACAAGGTTTACAATAGATTGAATTTTAATTGAGAGGATCTCTGTAGCCGTTCCTTCTTCTGTTATAAGTGTAGTGGGTTAAAAATGGTTGCACTTTTTATTTTTCAGTTAGCCTCTTTCGCAGCCAAACGGCTCACTAATGGTGAGCCAAATACTCCTACTAGTGCTTTTTGTCACATTTTCTACATGTATATTTCAAATAAAAATTGATACAGCTCTGAGATTGGGAAACCGGTTCCTCTCTGTGATTCTTCATTTGTCTCCTTCTGCCACAAACACTAGCTTTGGCATCACTAAAATCGCAAAGCACTGTGTAACTAAATTTTCAAAGTGATTGGCCTCTTTCTTCTCTACACACCTACACCAGCCAAATGTCCTCTCCTTCATCAACCTACACGGAACTTCCAGCACAGGCCTTCCTTGCTAGAGAAACCAACCGTCCTGCAGTTGCTGCTCTTAATGGCCTATTTTCGTCGTTCCCTGTTATTAAGATCTTCACATCGAATGCTGTCCCAATAATGGTTTATCGCGAGCAACAACAAAAGAAAAGCTAGCGAGCGCAGAATTTACATCATCATTCCAATGCTACGGGTAATTACATAGTTGAATGAATGGATCAATAAATAATAAAAAAAAAATATATATATATATCGGCAGATTTCTAACCCGACTAGTAGTATTACCTTCTCTCGCTCCAACAAACTTACAGGCCACTCTTTACCTTCCCGGAATTACTCTCACCAAACACACACAGGCTGCTCCACCACCTTCTTGGGATTGCTCTTTACTGACACCTTCTTGGGATTGCTCTTAATGACCTCGCTGGTGACCGAGCTTTTGCTCAGCGACTCCCTTGTGCTTTCGGATTTATTCCTCCACTAATCTCAGATAAGATCGTATCTTCACAATTCTGTCATTCCCTAAGATTATTGTGCAACAAACACTACACCAAATACCTTATTTAAAACGCCGCGTTTCCCCACCAATCTAGACTAATTTCATCCTGTTATGTTCAGTTCGTTTCTATAATCGGACTTATTCGGCACTTTTCTCGTCTTATTATTTCCTTATTTTATTATGTACGATTTCTTTTGGTTTGGAGTCCTGCAGTTTTCAAAATTCGTATCAATGAATCTTCTGGGCTCACAACTTGCATAAAAAATAATCTCACTGTAACCTTCACCAGGGTTTCAGATTTTTTTTGATTTCGATTTAACCGCTCGTGCATTATTTATTTCCCGCTAATTACAAAAAATGCTGGAAAAGGCACTCATCAATGTAACTACGTTTCGTATACTTAATAATTCCATCTGTGCATTGCATAGGAGTCACCACCATCTCACTATCAGGCTATCACACTGCCTGTATGCATGTACGTTTCCTCTCTGCAGTCTAATAATAAGTTCTTGAATGCTTTACGCTTCTTATCTATGTAATAATGCTTGTTTACCCTGTTTACAATATTTCTTATTACCTGGGATGTTCACTTCCAGTTGCTGACTCTAAGGGAGCAGTATTATATAGTGTTGCGCTTGGCAATTATAGCAAGTACTCTGATAACAAATAAAAACCGTTCTATTTTTTTTTTTTTGTTGTTGTTGCTGCTATTGCCTGCTCCTCTTGATCATCTCGTTAAATTCCAAGTCCTCTTCCAAATCGGATAAATCATATATTATGTCTGCGTTTGAAGTGCTTATTGTTTCAGGATACATGACAAGAGGTGTTGTTTCTTGTTTCACCGCTGGATAGTCGCTATTCGTTATTCCCGGATTAGCACCATCCAGCACTCGGCGCAAATGCTTGAAAATTGAAGATGAATTAACTGGAATCCGCACAGGTGGGCGACGACCAGGTCCAGGCCCAGGTCCAGGCTCATGCTCCTTCAGATGAGACATTACATTTGCTGAGATAATGTTCAGGCTTTCGCTCTTGGTATTGCTGTGCTGCTCCACCTTTATATTCTTTCTTCTTTCGGTTGCTCCCCTTTTACTGAGTCCAACTGGTCTCCGCTTGACCCCAGTTGGTGGGGTGGTAGGAGATAACGGTTTATCAAAACTACTTTTAGGAATGATAACATTTCCGTCACTTTCGTATTTTATGCTTACTTCTTTACTTGCTCCAGGTGTGCTCCTCTGGCTGTCCCTCTTGTCGCTACTAGGAGCCGCTGCCTTCTTTTTTTTAAACATTATCGATATATCTCTTTCATACTCACCAGTCTTCTCATCTATCTCCACCAATATAGGAGCATTTGGCAATTTGAATTGATTACCTGACAGTAGATATTCTTCCTCAATCTTTTCTCTTGACTTGTTAGGAGGGAAAAAGTCACTTGCAATCATTTCTCCACTTTCACTATGCACGTCTATTCTATTATTGAAGAGATAGTACTTTAGGTTACCATCCTTCCAGTTCTTGGTCTTTTGGTGGACCCTGTTGGAGTATAGCACGCTAAATTCTTTGACTATGGATGTCATATCAGGTCCTGAGGATTGGCTCTACTGCCATATACTGCTGCAGTACTGTGAAGAGGAGAAGTAACCTCGAACCTATTCTGGAGAAGCTGGGATGCAACTGCGGAATGCAAAGCTCAAAAAAATAACTGTAAGTACTGCAGATCGAAAGGTCTTTGTCCCACACATATACCTTTGTTATCCAGGGGTTGACGATCTTTTTTCTCGAATAAAGATAGCGAAGTACCACAATTTTTTTAAGTGGTAACGAAAATCAAACGTACATGATGTTGCTGTTTCTAATTGTTTACCTCTCGCATATGAGATCTTCAACAATAATATACACACTTATCGCTAACAGCTGCTCGATAGTTACGGAATACGCAGATTCACGCCTTACCAGAAATGTACCCTACACAAGGTATTCGGCTCATCAACACCTATATCGATTGATCCGGACGATCAAGTACTACATCTTTTCTTGTGAAAAGTTTCTAAATTGGTAAATTTATATTACTATTTACATGAAACACATCACCTCTCTATATAGTCGCTCTAGTTCACAAATATCTACTGCACATTCTTGACTTCTTTATAAAATGGTAAGCCCAACGAAGTTAACAATGTTCTGGCTCTTTCGTCGGTACCAGCATTGGTCTTGAAAGTGAGATGGAACCCAAATAAATTAGGAAACAATTCTTGGAAGTTTTCAATCTCAGGGAAAAACTTGATCTCTTCTGGTGAGAGTCCGAAGGTAATATTACCACTTTTGTCTCCCAGTGAGTCCTTGATACCCTTGAAAGTTCTAATTCTAGGTAAAACCAATTCAACTAAAGTGGAAAGAAATCTAGTCATATCTCTTCCTTCCAACTCAACTTTACAACCACACTCCTTACCTTGTCTGACTTTCCAAGGTAAGACGTTACTCTTATTGTACACCACTTTAGGTTTGACATTTGTTATCTGAGCTAGTTGTAATCTTGCAGAGATATTAATCCAACTTTCTTCTAAAGCAGCCTTATTATATAAATTGATACTAATTCCAGTCAACTCGGGAATATTACGAGGAGTAACAGGTTTGATATCTCTGGTGGCTCTACTTAATCCCTTTGGCTTACGATCTCTACGATATACGGCATATGGAGAGAATTCTCCCCAGGATCTAGCCTTATTACCAGTGACAGCTTCCAGATCGTGCTCATAGTAATGGAGTAATAAGTCCGACTTTAACACATTCTGGTAGTACTCATTAACTCTATCTTGATAGACATCTTTAGGCTTATATTGAGGAGAACGAATATCATCCTTGGGTATGTTCAATTCAGGGAATCTCTTACCAAGGGTTTGCTTCTTGATTGGAATCAAATGATGTACAGGCTGCACAGTAGAATACCCTACTTTGGATGCTATTGGAGAAGATGAAAAAGAACGAATTGATAATCTAGACATAGTGGAGGATGGCTCTAACTCTAATTAAGGTAATAACGATCGCTATTTTCTGTATGAAAATCTTCCTTATGTAATTTATGTAACGCAGTGGTATTCGCTGAGATTCAACCTGTTGAGAAACAACCTATTTTGATCCAGAAACCTATCTTCTTGTGTTGGATCGCTCGACTGTTTCTGAAGAGCTACGGTTCATGAAGCATTTTTTTTTTTCACTATGAATTTGAAAAATTTCGCGTGACCGAAAGTACGCGAAAGACACACTGAGAGCGGTAAATATAAGCACGAAATGTAGTACAGCGTAGAGTAACCAAAGGAGAGAAGAACACACCTTCCACCTACGTGCAAAAGGGGTGAAAACCGGAGCATGGAAGGTTCGAGTTTGATTAACCCCAGCATAAAGAACGTTTCCATACTCAAAAGTATTGGTTTTCTAGTTTGCTGAATATCCGTATTTTTCACCAGAATTGGCTCCAGTACTGCGGCGCCTAGGTAAAGCTAGAGCCAGAGCTAGAGCACTGCACGGAACACGACACCCACTCATTTTCGGTAAATGTGACACAGATTCCACGCCTCAGTGAAGACTCTGAGATCAACAGTACAGCCCTTAGCAGCATATGAGCCGAGCTGTGCCTGATACCACTGCCCTCTCCATGTCTCTTTCGATTTGCAACCTTTCTCGGTCAGCACTACATGCAGGAACGCATGGATTTTCATTCTCGCTCTTCGTCTCTTCTTTTCACTGGAGGTAGTACATTACTTTTAGCAGTAAACAGGTCACCAAGACGTTACGTAGATAAAGCAAGCGCCTTCTATGAGATTTGGAATTCCTTTGGACCTAGACGACTCTTCAAACCGTGCTAATGGTGGCGTCGTACTGAGAAAGCCATACCCTTCGTCAACGCTTTTCAACTCACAAGAGACTGCTTCACGTGGTCCAGGGTCAGTATCGATCAACTTCAAGTCGAAATCCCCATCTCGTTCCACTTATGATGCGTCAGCCTCGAGAAGCTACGGCAATGACGGCAACGGTTATGCTAACAATGTGGACGATAATAAAAATACGCCTACCCTAGCCCCGATGCAACATACATCAACTACAATTACAATCCCACAGTTTAGTGCCTTCTACGATTCAATTGACAAATTAATGCAGACCTATACTGAAAGTATATCAAGCAAGCTTGGAGAACTCGGATCGAAGAACCCAGATGCAGTTTCAAGCGACTTGGACCACGTTACCTCTAATTTTGACGCTATTTTAAAGTTGCAGTCGGGCCAGGTTGAAGAAATTATCAAGCAGGAACAGTTGGAAAAGAAGAAAAAGCTCGATGAATTGAAGCGTAAAGAAGCTCTTATTGCCCAACAGAAGGAGCAAGCAAGGCTCGAAGAAGAGGCAAGAATAAAGAAGTTGGCTGAAGAAGAAGCAAGAAAAAAGCAAGCAGAAAAGAAAGCAGAGAAGGCAGCAGAGGCGCAGAGGAGGGAACGCGAAGCACAAGAGGCACAGAAGAAAGCTCAGCTAGAACTTGATGCAAAAAGGAAACTAAATGGTACCACAAACTTTGCTTCTATAACAAAGGAAAGACTTGCATACAGCGAGGACATAAAAACCATAAAACTTACCGTGGTTGACCAATTACTGAAGGAAAGTGCCGATCTTCGTAAAGCGGTTTCATCACTCAAGCGTAAGATCAATGTTAAATTCGGACAGCTTTCAAACTCTAATCAGCAGCTTATGAAAATAACCCAAGAGGTAATCCAGCAGATCGACGACGCTAAGACCAACCTGCACAGCGAACTAGTGTACAAGTGGATACTTAACTTTGTGGCCAAGGCAATTGTTTCGCAAGCTGAAACCGAAGTCATTGTCAAATCCACGGCAGCATTACCATTGGCCAAACTATCACTTTCCTTGCTTCAAAAGTATCCCGAGTTTGCTTATTTTTTCAAAGCAAGGCTCATAAAGAAATGCCCCTTCATAATAGGTTACACTTCTAAAATCGACACCGAAGAAGGAAGAATACTCATGGGCTGGAGAAGAAGGGACTCCAAGTGGGAGGACGAAGTAAAGTATGATGAAAGAGTTGCTGGCATCTGTACATTATGGGCAGTGATTACCAGAATAGACGTGGATAAGACTGGCATCGACGAAATGTTCACAATAGCTGCTTCATGGAAGTTTTTAGCCAGAGCCTGTAACACATCACCGGCATTAGAGCTACTTACCAATGCCCATTTCGGCTGCTTAGGAAATTGGTGGGAAGCTTGTGCCCTGAATTTACTTAATGCATATCATGGGCAAGGAAGAAAAATGCTTCAGGTTGTTTCAATGGACCTCACACTGGCGGTCTCCTCATTGAAATACCCTGCAGCAGCCAGATTAATGATTATGGGAGAAGATTACTTCACCAATAACAAAATAGAGACGATCAAAGAAATGGAATACTAAATCAAACTTTTTTATTATCATAATTTTCTCTTTTTGGGACACATTCTTACTTAGATTTGTATAGATAGAATATTATAGAGCTTTACAATGCATCTGTAACTAGAATTTAGTAAAAATCAAACTATTATGGCCTGCCAAACAACGCTATAGACCAACTTGCAGAAATGCAACCCTTAGCTTTGCAATTTCCACAAAGGACGAACTGCTTACATAAGCAAGGATGTAAGGTGCAGTGCACATCAGTAGCGTGGAACAGGGTGCCTCATCCAAAGGACGGAGAAGGTAGAGGGAGCAAACATAACCAACAACAAATGACAACCACTATGAGTTTAGCTCCGGAAAGTGCATAAGCTTTCAAGACTCTTCTAAAAGTTTGGAAGCCTAAAATCTGAGCCTTGACCTTGTAATATCTCTCGTAAGTCTAAGCTTATTCTTGCTTCGATACTATCCATACTGAACGTAAATACAGTACCTGCATATACTCTCCTCTGTCACAGAATTATTTTTTATTGATTTATTTTTAACTACTCAAAAATTTGAGAGTCTCAGTCGTTTAGAAACTATGTGCAGTACGACAACATTGTGCATTCTCATAAATTAAATATTCATGTACTTGCACCGAAAGCTGGTGGTGGTGGACCGCCATTTGCGACAACCGAGGAATTAAATAGCTATTTGGGATCATGGACAAAGATAGGAGAACATCTAAACTTTTCGGTTCTCGAATTTCGTCCATTTTCAACCCACACACGAACCCGAATGCTGCAGAAGTCAAAAGTCTGATATTACAACCAGCTCATGGTACAAGTAAGTCTATTCAACCACAGCAGTCTTACCCAGCGACCGGTCTGAGTTCTACTTCCGCTACAGGAAATGGCACCGGAGGCCATGTTGGCTCTGGATCTAGTTCCGGAACTGGAGCTGGAACTGGAGCTGGAACTGGAGCTACCGGCACCGGCTCTGGCTGGCCCCAGCGCGAACCCACCACACCAGTGAGATCTTCTTACTTGTCCCCGGGCCAAAACCCCCAACGACAAGTGGACCACCTGCATCAACTGCAACCTTCAGCGGCTAGTGGTAGTGGCCGTGCGGGAGTCTCACCGTCACCTAGACCGTTAAATCATCTTTCTGGAAATAACCGTCACTCTACACAATCCAATACTACAACGAACTCGAGCACTACCATCAACTCAGATGGCTCTATGAGTGTATTGAGACCAATGTCGGCAATTCCTGATCACTTGCAGCCACAGGTAATATCACCAAACAAGCATAGGTTGTCAAGAAAGCCGCCCCCAGCATCCTCGATAGACGAACTCGATGACTACAGCAAGAATATGCACCCCACAAGAACCCCACCAACGCCTCCTCCACCCCCCATACACACGGTCACAAACCCTGCTGTATTGGACCGCATTCCTCTGTTCGACAGTCTTAACACGACACCCCTGCCAATGGGAGGCACCAACAACTATCCAAATACCCACGCTAAACCAGTTGGCTTGGAAATGCCTGCGTTAAGCAATCCAAATACATCTAGTAATAGCGTCAGCAAACTTCGCAGATCTGGTGACCGTAAGGACTTGCTGGATATAATTGGTAGTCTTGAGAATGACATTCGACTTCTCTCACCTGGAGAGCATAACCACGAGTACCAAGAAGACATAGATTTCATAGACGACATAGATCCTCTCCATACTTCTCGCTTGGGAAGAACGGGTCTGCCACTGCCCAATTTATCCATAAACTATGATGATGCGAATCCCTTCTTGTATGGTGATGATAGATCAGATACACAAAGGAGCCAGAGAGATAGCAACTATGATACAAGTGGAGGTGAAGGATCGATTACCGAATTGAACAGTGCTAGAGGAAGTGCAAGGCTATCATCTTCATCTTTGTTACTCCAATCTGCATACCATACCAATAGTCAAGAATTACTTTCTCTTTCATCAGAATCAAGGGCTGGTACTGGCATTAGTGGTGTTGGAGGAGATTCCAATTTCGAAAATTCCAGGTCTGGAACTCTTTCGGTTACTAATAAACTTAACCTGGTGGACTCTGTTCCGTACCCACTTGATTCAAGCAATAGCTCACTTAACTCACCACTGGATGTATTCCAACCGATCTTTTCTAATAATTCAATTGAAGGAAGACAATATGACACTGCAAGAGGAAATGCTTCTATACATTCCGGGCCCATTAGAGGAAATAGTCAGAGACAACTGCATTTACAGTATCAGCAACCACCGACTGCGTCTCTCCAGCACCAACTGCTGACATCACTGCTGATCACGGCACCATACCTGATTATACAACCACTGTTGACACTGACACTGACAGCAGTGGCTACAACGCAGGCCCCCCCAAATCATAGAAAAAGTTCATCGATTTCCTCATTGATGTCGTCTTCCTCCTTCCGTAATGTTAACTTGGGCTCTATCAAGCGTACCCTCAACCTTCAACCAGGGGAGGGTGAACGCAGTAACTACGTTTTGCAAATCAGAAGGAGTGCGGGGACAGCTTACAATGAATCTCAACCAGGTAAGTGGAAACTTCCCATTGGGATCCTTCCAATTGACAAAAATGCTAACTACACACTTTCTAATGGTAGGTACATTAGATTAGCTGGTGCATCGCAAGGTAGAATCAAAAAGGGTAGTGGTGTGGAACTCAAACACGGTCATTTGGCCCCTAGGTTACTTGCAGCAGAAGTAGAAGATATTGACAGTTCCATTCCAGGAATGAACTCCAGACTAGGTAGGGCCGGAACCGCACCTTCGTTGCAATTGAAGTCTAGTTCAGTTCAAGAGAAAAACAAGTCCTCCTCGTCATCGATTCATGGAAGCAACCTAACCAGGACTACGACAATAGGAGACTCACAAAGTATTGTCACCGGAGGAGAATCAGCCAACTCCGAACTTACCAGGTCACTTTCGTCTTCATCATCTGGAAGCGTGCCCGAAGCATATATGGCTAACTACCAACACCCGGGATACAGAATAGACGATGACGATGACAGCAGTGAAATTCAACCATTCAATGACCAAGAGAATGATGGACCCCAAACTCCTCATCTGAACAACAACAAGAGCAATGGATTTGGTGGGAGAATTGGCAATGCAGAAGTGGATACATACGATGACGATGCCGGAACAAACAGCATGAACGGATTGAATTTGAACGGAGACTATGACAGTACTAATGGCTACGATCTTGAACAGGAAGATAGATTACCTAGATTGGTACTTGCAAATCCCGATTCAAGTGACAGCGAATAATCATAGTGGGAGGATTTTCCATTAATTTCTCTTTAGCTTGTCTTCTTAATTACATACACTATATACTATCAAAAAAATAGTAATAATGAAATACTTTACAGATAGAAGTAAGAAAATAAATGAAAATAAGTATTTTACGATTTCCAGGCTCTTTTTTCTGGTCCATAACCATAAGTAGCTTCTTTTTGTACAGTTAAACGTACCCAATCAACAACAGTCATACCATCTCCCATAGCAAAGGCTCTTATGTTTGCAGCCGTTCTCCTTCTTCCAACTGCAACCTTCGTCCCGCTTAAATGACACAAAAGCAACGTGTGGTCGTGTACTTTTCCCGAAACACCGAATCAACTGCACCAAAACGAGAACAAAAAAAAATTAAACACGTATAAACTGAAAATTCCAAACACACGGAGTCTAGTTTTATCTATATTGATTGTATAACCGTCTTTTTTTAGATTGATAATAGTGAATTGTAAGTATTGAGTGTTAGTTAGACGAGAGATTTGGAAATTGAATGAATACGAGCCAAGAGAACTTGTTAGTTTGGGGGTACATGTCTCGCGGTGCTGCGAGTGAGGATACGCAGGAAGTGGAGGAAGTACGAGGAGATTGAAGAAGCATCCACACTGGGTCCAAGACAAGGTTTGGACGAGTGTTCAACCACAATTTGTACAGCAAGGAATGAGTGTGACATTGCGCAAGATGGAAAATTGGAGAGCTGCAGTGTTGCGGACGGCTGGCCCAAAAGCTCAGCTTTCGACATGCACATGTGGGACAGGGTGTCTCTGACATTTGGCTCTGTGCCTGTTTGTCTAGTCACCAATCAACAATTCCACTACTACAGTTGCTTAATCCTTACCGACAGATATGATCTAGAGCTGACATTCAAAAATATACATTGTGCTGTTCTTCATCAACCTCTATCCGGGTATCATAAGCATCAAAAGTTTGATAATTCTATTATTTCAGTTTATCTCTCTGCCTATTCTTTTCATATTACTAACAAACAGATGTCAAATACGGGTTATACGCTCATCTATGAGCCGAACTCGGCTGCAAAGAAGTCGCTTTCGGAATTCAGAACCTTGTTGGAAAAGGGGAAGGATGAAAGTAAGATCGACACCATGAAGAAGATCTTGATAACCATGCTCAATGGTGACCCACTTCCAGATCTTTTGATGCACATTATTAGATTTGTAATGCCAAGTAAGAACAAAGAGTTGAAGAAATTATTGTACTTTTATTGGGAAGTTTGTCCTAAATTGGATGAGCATGGCAAGATGAGACAAGAAATGATTTTGGTCTGTAATGCTATCCAGAGAGACTTGCAGCATCCAAATGAATATGTTAGAGGTAACACATTAAGGTTTCTTAACAAATTAAAAGAACCGGATTTGTTAGAAACGTTGGTCCCAAACGTGAGACAATGTTTGGAACACAGACACCTGTATGTTAGAAAAAACGCAGTTTTCGCCGTTTATTCTATCTTCAAAGTTGCTGAGCATTTAGTTCCAGATGCAGATGAATTGATTTACAGATTCTTATACGAAGAAACCGACTCTGTTTGTAAAAGAAACGCATTTGTTTGCTTGGGTGAATTAAATAGAGATGCTGCTTTAAGATATATGCAAGATAACATTGCCAACTTAGAGTCATTGGATTCTTTGTTACAATTAAGTTTCATTGAATTTATCAGGAAAGATATCATTCAAAATGGCGACAGTACCCTTAGAAGTCAATATGGTCAATTAGTAGAGGAATTGTTGGAAAGCAGTACTATTAACAATGTTGTCATCTATGAGGCTGCCAGTGTCTTAACCAAATTAACTGGTTCATCATCTGCTGTTTTACTAGCGGGTCAAAAATTTGTCGACTTAGCTACTAAAGAAGCTGATAACAATGTTAAGATTATTACATTGGAGAGAATCAATGAATTGCACAAGGAACATCCAGGTATCTTACAAGACCTAAGCTTAGAAATCTTAAGAGTATTAAACTGTCAAGACTTAGGAGTGCGTAAGAAGGCTCTTGATGTGACATTACAATTTATTACCAGCAGAAATGTTGAAGATGTAGTTAAATTGTTAAAGAAGGAAGTACAAAGGACTGCATCAAGCAATGAAGATAACAATAATGAGTATAGACAGCTATTGATCAATTCCATTCATCAATTGGCGATTATGTTTGTTGAGGTTGCCGAAAATGTTGTTGATTTACTCTTAGAGCTGATGAGTGATTTGAACTCCAGTGCAGCTTATGATGTCATTGTTTTCGTCAAGGAAGTAGTTGAAAAATTCCCACAGTTGAGACAAAGTATTGTGACTAGATTGATTGGCAGTTTAGGAAATGTTAAGAGCGGTAAAGTCTTCAGAGGAGGCTTATGGATTTTAGGTGAATACTGTGTCGAAGAAAAAGAAATCCAAGATGCTTGGAAGTATATCAGAGGCGCAATTGGTGAAGTTCCAATTATTGCCAGTGAAAAGAGGGCCCACAGTGGTTCTGCAGAGTCAGAAGAAATCGAAAGGAATGATACTCCTAAGAAGAAGAAGGGTCCAACAGTAAATGCGGATGGTACATATGCCACTGAAAATGCCCTTACAGTTGAAAGCGTTGAATCAACTGAAGAGAAGCCACCACTTCGTAAGCTTATACTTCAAGGTGATTTTTATCTTGCCGCTGTTCTCTCCTCAACATTGGTAAAATTGATTTTACAATTACAAAGAATTTCCAAAAACTCATCTATTTTAAACCCATTGAAAGCTGAAGGTTTACTTATTATGGTTTCTATATTGAGAGTGGGCCAGGACTCTGCATATGTTACTAAAAAAATTGATGAAGATTCTGCTGATAGAATTTTCTCATGTATTAACTACTTAACCGATGAAACAAACAGTGAGTTGATCGAAAGGTCCTTCTTGGATGATACAAGAGAGGCATTTAAGACCCAGGTTGAAACCGAAGAAAAGAAGAAATTAGAAGAAGAAGCTAAACAGTTTCATAAGAATGCTGAACAAGTTGATGATTCTATCGTATTTGAACAATTTGAAAGCTCAGCTAATAAGAAACCCGAAGATGCTAGTAGCTCGGGAATTGAAGAGGTTACAGTTAAGGCCGATTCAAGACTTAATAAGATTCTTCCATTAACTGGATACTCAGATCCAATTTACTGTGAAGCTTACATTAAAATCCACCAATATGACGTTACTTTGGACGTTTTACTCGTGAACCAAACCAAGGCAACTTTAAGAAATCTTTCTGTAGAGTTTGCTGCATTAGGTGATTTGAAGGTTGTCGACAAGCCTGCTACCGCCAACATTGGTCCACATGGATTCCATAAAGTTCAAACAACGATTAAGGTTACATCTGCTGATACTGGTGTCATATTTGGTAACATTGTTTATGATGGACAGCATTCTGATGAGTCTACTATTGTCATCCTTAACGATGTCCATGTAGATATTATGGACTACATCAAGCCAGCAACTTGTACTGAAAATGTTTTCAGGAAAATGTGGAATGAGTTTGAATGGGAAAACAAGATAACTATCAAGTCAACTATGAATTCATTGAAGGAATACTTAGAGGAATTGATGAAGGGAACAAACATGAATTGCTTAACCCCAGGAGCAATTCAAGGAGAAGAAGACTGCCAATTCTTATCTGCTAACTTGTATTCAAGGTCATCATTTGGTGAGGATGCGTTAGCAAACTTGTGTATTGAAAAGCAAACTGATGGAGGTCCAATCATTGGTCATGTTAGGATTAGATCTAAGGGCCAAGGGTTAGCATTGAGTTTGGGAGATAAGGTTGCGTCAATCAGTAGGAAGAGCCCTAAGGCCATCACTGCCTGAATATGACGAGTAAGAAACAATAAAATATTAAACACAACTAGCATGTTAGAAACAAGCAGCTACATAACTCAGCTCCACCAGCTGATAAACCATAAGAGGGAAAAAAATAGTATATAAATTAATAAATATGTTATAGCAAAACAGAAATGTAAGGAAAAAACTGAAATTATGTACAAACATACCTCTCCTTATGATCGGAGCTCAACGAAACCTTTATGCTCTTCTACGCGAAGTAGTCTCTAAACTGCGCTTCCAAGTCAGATATCACTTTTAGCCTGGTAAGACGATTTTTCACATCAGCTTCTAATTTAGGATCGGTAGCCAACGAAGAGTCCGAGAAAACTTTCCTTGTTTAATCTATTGAGTTGTATTATCCTGGAATACTAGAACTTTCCCCACTTCCAACCAATTGCAAAATATCTAGCCGTAGTCCAAGTGATAATACTAACTACAGCTAGCCCACCCTCGTAGTAAATCAAATTCGAATAGTTGGCAGATGCTCCTGTTCCAATAACAACGGAAGCACAGTACATTCCTAAAATAGTAGTAAAGGTTAAGAAGAAATACAATGTTCCATATACTTTACCAAAGTTCTCTACTGAGCAGATTTGCCCACAGCAAGCAGGAACAAGCGAAATAATTGCAGAGTTGGCTACCCCAAACACAACACCAAAAGCATATAAAACTCCTAAATTTCCCCCAGCTGGAAGCCAAAAACCAAAGATGCTGATAGTGAGAATTACCGAAGTCCCAATCATAACGTTGAATCTACCATACTTATCAGCTATCCAACCCAGGGTTAATCTCGAGGGAATACCACAAACTCCGATTACAGTGATAAGCAAATAGGCAGATTTTTCGTTTACTCCTTGCTGGAGGGCATAAGAGGAAAGATAGGTAGTCGTACAAACAGATGCTAATTCTGAAATTGCTACTGAAAGTGTTAGCAATATAAATTTGATATCTTTGGCCACAGAGAAATCAACGCACAGTTTGACAAAGTTTATAAAAATTGTAAGCTTCGATTCTTTAGTAGATTCGATATCTTCGGTATCTTGTACTCTAAATTGGTCTGCCACTGCCCTTCCTCTTACCAAAAATATGGATACCACCATACAAAACAAGCAAATTAGGGCTAATATCCTAATCGCCCATTTGAACCCAATGGATACGTACATGCTTTGCAACATAACTGCAAATATTGAAGAGCCAACAAGTCCACCAGCTGTCGCAATGGAACAAGCCATAGCTCTTTTCTTCAAAAACCAATGTGAAATTGCACTAATCAAGGGTTGAGTTGCGATTGAAATACCCAAGGCAGTCAAGACACCGAAACTCAAGATGAACTGGTAAACAGTTTGACATTCAGCCGTTAGAAAGAGTCCCAAGCACATGAGAGCAGTACCGACAATAAGTGGAATTCGTGCACCATATTTATCGAACACACCTCCAATGAACGCACCTCCAAAGAACATTACACCCAAATGTATCGAGAAAATCCAAGACAAGCTAGTAACTTCAACACCTTTCAACTGGTGAGTGGAAACGTAAGACTCAATCGCTCCTAAAGAGTTGGGAATACCAAAGTCTGCCATCAAGCCGACGAATGATCCAAAGACGACAACATAAGCTTCAAACCCACCGTCAGGAAAAATTTCAGGATTCTTCTCGCTACCATACATGAGGTTGGACAGAGGGTTGTGCTCTAGTTCAGGTTCGATCGTTCTTCTTCTACGAACACCATTATTTGAACTTAGAGACTCGAGCGCAATATCTGACATCGAGTTCTGTTTTATTACCTAAAATACGATTAAATTATGGGCTTTTCGCTACTGCACTTATAGGTTAGGAAAATATGTGGAAGGTTCGCTATCAGGTACACTATATGTACACTATATGTCAATGGTGAGCCCATGCATATATGACTAACTCGTATTTCGCAGCCATAGATAAGAAAATAGGAAATCGAGCATCCCTCACCGAGAAGAGCTGAAAAGCATTAAGTACAGTCGCCATCTTCTAGTGGCTTCATAATTAAAAGATATCTCTATACCTGTTCGATTCATTATAGATGCAACGGAATGGTAGATTATATTTTGGTAAGAAGATGGATTACCGTACGCCATGAAAAATGGCTACGAACTTATGTTAGCCCCCACCGCTTTAAAGAAGCGCAATTAAGTGTAATATTCGGATTGAATGCCAAATTTGTATTCTGAATGGCTCTACTCTCTTTGTGTATACCATATCCATTCAAATTTTGCCTTATAGCTGGAGAAAATTGTCACTATTTACTGCTATTTCATATCTATTCTTACAGAACTTTCTGAATTTCTATAAACAGTAGTACTTCCTCGGTCAGGTTGTCTAGAACCCCAGCATTAACTTCCTGCCTTTGAAATAATACAGGATTCCCATAGTTTCCAGTAACCAGTACCTGCTGTATAAAGTCATCGTCAATGTAGTAGGGGCCATCTGTAGCAAGTTCATCTCTTGATTGAATGATTATTAACAAGCTATTGAAGATCGAATGGAAGTCTCCTCTTATATATACAGTACCTAAGCTATTAGAGCGGCAGTACGAATCGGAGTAGTCAAACACTCTGGTGCCATTGCTTGCGCCAATTGCTGCCCATGACTTGGCACCACCGTTTCGAGGCCTTTCGAAGAAAGATAAGCAATAGTTATTGGACTTTAGAGTAAACGAATTGCTGCTCAGAAAATTGTTCAACTTAGCAGCCAAGCAATAAGATATATATACAGATGCTCTACATACAGAATTTACACTACCTGATAAGGTGATAAAGCGGTCCACCGAGCCTTCGACCTGTTTCGATATAAAAAAGTCGGTCAATTTAAATTGGTCAGTTATCAAGTCGATAGTTGATGTGAAGTATTCTGCTTCCGTTAAGGAAACAATTATTTTAAGTACTACGGTGCTATCACTAGTCTCTGAAGTTGTTGTCGAACTAAGTTTATTCAATGCATTTATAACTTTATCATCATCGGGGATTTTCTTTATTGGTTGTATCTTACCACCTGGAGAGTCCTCCAAGCCTAAAAAATTTTCAATTTTGGTGCTGGAAGTAACGCTCGAGCTCTCGGCCTTCCTCTTGCGAAACTGGGGCATCCTGAAGATCAAGGGTATGAATCACGTAGTTCTAGAACTGTTCTCTGTAAGTAACACCACTAAAGTCATGAAGAACGGTACCAAAATCAATTCCACTATATGCAGGTCGGATACTCCAAATCTTTAGTGTGCGATATTCTTAGATGTAGAGTAGGAAAGGTTGCAGACTAACACCCAAAAACCTAACCGAACTTGCAAATGAACCCAACTTCTAAATTTTTTTTCCCTATAACCGGGAGCTATTATTTTTGGCCGTTGCATCATTGATTTCTTTTCCCTCTGTTTCTCTCTAATAGTACTCCCTTTAGACAGCCTAGCTCTTCACCGTGAGGTCCTTCAGTGAACCACCTGCAAGCTGAGAGTCGTGCACGACCAAACCCATCGCAGAAATTTTTCAATTTTATTTTATCAATAGTAAAGAGAAAAAATTAAGGAAAAATCTACAGGTATACCCTTCTATCTAACAACGGATAACTAACGAATTAAAATGGCTAAGAAAGAAAAGAAGAACGACTCCGTCGCTGTAGATGAAGAAGACAACTATGAAAAGAGAATGTCAGCTATTTTACCATTTGCTAAGCCATTAGCTCCAAAGAAATTAAATAAGAAGGTTTTGAAGACTGTCAAGAAGGCATCCAAGGCTAAGCATGTCAAGAGAGGTGTCAAGGAAGTAGTTAAGGCATTGAGAAAGGGTGAAAAGGGACTTGTTATCATTGCTGGTGACATTTCTCCACCAGATGTCATCTCACATATTCCAGTTCTCTGTGAAGACTCCTCTGTTCCATTCGTATTCATTCCTTCCAAGGAAGACTTAGGATCAGCTGGTGCCACCAAGAGACCTACTTCTTGTGTGATGATCGTTCCAGGCGGTGGAAAGTCCAAGAAGAATGCAGACAAGACCGATGAATACAAGGAATCATTCGACGAGGTTGTCAAGGAAATCCCAGCCTTATAATTCTCCAAGAAGTTATATTGAACCATTTTTTACATTTAACCCACTGAGTATTCCCAACCCACTGCACCTAAACCATCAAATTTGCACATTTAACCATCAGGTATCTTTTATATGTCAAATGAATTTGACCTGTACTAATAGCTAGCATGATCTAAGAGCATCCTAAGAGATCCTTGATGCTGATTCTTTACGAAGAACAAAGAGTTTTTTTTTCCATAAATAACGAAATATATATAAAAATTAAAATATACAAAGAAGAAATAGTTCCAATGTAAGAAATATGGCTATTGGACCAACTTTTCTTAGCAGAGGTTGGCTTGAAGGTTAAAGAAAAGGGCGCTGGAGCCCGATTTACAATTTATGAAATTGGTATTGTTTTCTATGATACATTTATTTTTCTGTTAGTTTACAAGTTTTACAATTATGGTACATGAAGTTAGTTTTATAGCCATGGTCAGTCTGGCCCTCTTAGCAAGGGCACACTGATGAACCCTATGGCGCTTATATCTGTATGTTCTCCCTCTCCGTGTAGGTAGCCACAGGGGCACAATCCTGTGCTGGTCGCATTGTCTGCGGTGATGTCCATCTCGTCTGCAGCCATAGGAAGAGGTGAAATTGGCGTCAACGGTCTCTCAGCTTCTGTTGCAATTATCTTTCTTCTTTTGGGTTCGGGTATAGGGCTATGTATGGTGTGAGTGATGGTGTGAGTATGAGTGCTTGACATATTGGAAAGGCAGCGCTCTATGTGTGACTAATGATGCAACGATGAGCAATAGCGAAGGAGAAACGTAGTATTTGAAGGGCCACTAAAAAATAAATCCACTGGTATGGGAAAAGCAAGATAGGAAAAAAAAAAAAAAAAAAGAAATGAAAAGGTGCAAAGGGTGCACTTCGGTATACTAAAATGGGGAAGAGGCTACAATGAAAAGAAAAGAAGAGAAAGAAAAGTGTTCCAAAAGGGCACCAATATGGATATAGGATACCGACAAAAGCATCTTAGGGACCTATTTTTGGCTAACAAAAAGGATGAGTCTACTCCCTGGATTCATAATATTTCAGTGAAATAAAAATAAAAGCCATGGCTCTATTTTTTGGCAGTCCTTACTCACCCTGTATTCCCTCTACTACTGTCAACTGCTACCGTTAAAATACACATTGCCCTCTCTGCTGTCGCACTCTTTCTGGAGATTTTTCGTTTTTTCTATTTTTCATTCCTGCACATTCCTGGAATACCAGAATAATATTTCCTTTGTGTGCAGGACCGTAGCACCTTCCCCAAATATAGAAATCCTGCCACGCAAAAGGTACGAGGCTTATCAAGTCATCAGAATTTGTACAGAGACTAGCTCAGATCTTTCATCACATTTCTACGCCATATAACCAAGTAAATAGACGTACTAAACCATGGGTATCAAGAAGATGTTCAAGAAGAAGGACCCTACGGAGGATGAACTCCGTCAGGAATTAACAAACGCAGGAATCACCACCAAATCGAACGTCGGTAACAGAGAGGAGAAGTTTGGGGCGTTCAGGCAGTATGCTCAAGAGAGACAACTGCAAAAGCCAGGGTTTACGCCGGTTAATCCCTATGCTAATGTAAACCAGGGTGCTCCAGGCAGCAATCCCTACGCAGAGAACCAACAGGGAGGACAGCAGCAGGGGAATCCATACGGTGGGGGTCAACCAGAGGCTAACCCATATGGAAGTGGTGCCCAGCTGCAGCAATCACAAAGTCCGTATGGTCTGCTGCAGAATGCGAGAGCTAATCCATACGGGGGGCAGCTGCAACAGTCTAACCCATACGGAGGTCAACTGCAACAACCTAACCCATACGGAGGTCAGCTGCAACAATCAAACCCATACGGAGGCCAGCTGCAACAACCTAACCCATACGGCGCGCCACCCAGGGCTAATGGTTCTGGTGCTTCTGCTGCTGCTGCTGCCTCCCCTTACGGTATTCAAACAAATAGACCATATGACAGAGGTCCTAGAAGACGTGACTTTGATGAAGAAACTCTTGATCTTAACTCACCATCTATGGGCATTAAGTCTGTAAACAACAAAAAGAAACCAAGCTATGATACTGAAACTTTGGATCTCAACGAGGCTGCTGACGATGATGACGACTTGAATGTTGTGCTTGATGAACTTCCAGAGGAAACGCAAGTGAACTCAGAAGATGAAGAAGTGGAAAACATCAAGCAGGATATTCGATTCGTAAAACAGGAATCTCTTTCCCTGACGCGTAATACATTACTGATGGCCCAGCAAGCAGATGCACTGGCTACCAACACAATGGGTATGCTTGGATCACAATCTGAAAGACTTTACAATGCAGAACAAAACTTACTCCTTGCTGACACTCAAACCAATATTGCTCAAGATAAAGTGGAGCAACTACGTAGATTGAACAGATCTATTTTTATTCCAGCAACTTCAGTGAATCCATTCAATAAAAAATCGAAATTAAGAGCCCAAGAGGCAAGACTTAAGACAGAGAAAGCACAAGAAAAATACATGAGAGATACAAATAGACAAGGAGTTTATGAAAGTGAAATGAGAATAAAAGAAGGTCTCAATTCCACCAATTCTGACCTTTATCAAAAGTATAAAGGTGATCAATCGTTGGAAGCTGCTAAAAGGTATCAGTTTGAAAATGATAGTGAAGATGATGAAATGGAGAAGGAATTAGCTTCGAATCTTGATCAAATTGCCTTATATTCAAAGAAGTTGAAGGCATCTGCCCACACTATGGGTAAGGAAGTCGATTCACAAAATGATAGGTTAAGAAAAATTGAAGATGATGCTGATAGATTGGATATTAACGTTCATTTGAATAGTACTAGGTTGAGCAACATCCGTTAAGTGTTCTTGATAGAGATCTATTCAGTCGTTTTTATTTTGATTCTGAGTCTGCAGAAAGTCAACTTAAGCTACATAATTTTAATTCGTAAGTTGGATAGCTTACCAGTTAATGGCGGTTTTTTCTATAAGTACACACATATGGTACTTTTCATTAATTTAATAAAAGAAATATTTGACAGTAGAGAGGGAAGGAGTAAGTTAGACGTGGGTTTCAGGAAAAGATGTTTTCTAGTCTCTCTTGTTTAATATAAACACTAGCTTGTAGGTTTATATATTTTGTTTTCGTTTATTCGTTAGCATTTATTTATGTTCAATTCCATTTTCAATATCCTTTTCGTTGATCATCTTTTGTAGTTTGCCAAATATTTTATCTCTGTATATGGCTAGCTCATTCTCGTCGTCGTCAGGGAAAAATTGGTTCCTCTCGAAAGATTCATTGTCAGATTCATGGAACTGGTCTTCTTCAAGTAGATTAAGATCATCCTCGTCATCATCGTAAAATTGGTCGTATAAGTCTTCAAATTCGCCATCCTTCACATCTTGGCTATCTATGTAGTCATACCCTTCTTCGGCATCTTCTGTAGGTGCATTGGGATTGATGATATGCACGCTCCCATCCGTTTCGAACGAGGAGCCAAGAGAGCCTGCATCCTCATCACTAGGATAGTCGTTTTGATAAAAGTCCTCAGCATTGGAGTCTTCGTCATCTGAGAATTTGGGCCGGTCTTCGGCATCTGAATCAGACTGATACAAGTCGTTCTCCTGGTCATCGAAAAATCGCACATACCCAATAGTTGAAGATGGATGACTGGCAGTAGTAAGAGGGGAGAGTTGATACACATCATAGACATATTCAAGGGAAGGATCTATTCCTGAGCTTTCAATCTCGTCATCCTTCTGTTGAAACGCAGTCGGCTCAGTTTCTTGCACTTGCTGCTGCTGTGACAGCGTTGAATTTAGGATCCTATTTCTTCTCTTCTTTGGTGGGGCGGGGTCCTTTGACAGGACTCCTTCCTTGGTCAACAAACTGCTCAACATATCACTCAATTCATTAGGGATCACTGTATCTTCTTCCAATTGTCTTTTAGGAATGACAAACTTACGCTTATTGGTAGAGCCAGATGCCTCGCTCAAAACAGATTCAATGACCTCGGAGTCGTCACTAACTCTTTCCCTATCACTTACAATATCCGTCCTAGCCAACGTAAATAGGAGAGACTCGTGAAATCTCTTTTGAGTTTGCATATTTTTAAGGTCAGTTTGTGAGCTCTGGGCGTAATTAGAGGGAGTCAGTATCATGGAAGATGCGAGAGATGAAGGTTTAGACTTCTTATGCCTCAAGAGCGAAGTGTTGCGATCTTCCAAAATCAAAGCTTGTAGCGGATCTTGGTCTCTCTTACGCTTAATTCTGAGAATCTTAGGAGGTGAATTGAACGACATGTTATAAAGATTGCTGTACGTTCTGTTATTGTTGGCATATCTGGTGTTTGATAACTTGCACATTTTGAAAAGATGGGGGTGATGCATAAGCAGAGTTGCCTTAGTTACACAAAGCTAATTACACAGTGTATGCTTGGGGTAGTTGATGGAGATGTACTGAGAAGAGTAGGTACATAGCAGTTTATCTCTCTGCAAGCTGTCCAAGAATTCCGATATTGCATTCTTTCAATTGGCAGATTTTATAACTCGTATTTTGTTTTCTTTCAAACTTTCCTTTGTTGGAAGTTCAGCTAATTCTCTGCTTCTGAACCAGATTCGCAGCCATATCTGGGCTCTTCGTATGGTTGCACACAAAGGAACCTAGGCGCTCAAAGAGAAAATATGAATAAAATGTAGATCTTGAAGGCTCTTCATTCAGCTTGTTCTTCTTTGTCCTTGTGCTGAATTTCCATATTGTTAGATTGCTAGAAAATGGGCCCCCTATTGTGCACCCTCTTAGTCTACCATCTCAACAAGCAATGCCGCAGAGTTGCCAATGTATTGTTGGGTCACTTCTATGAGCCACACAGAGACATAGTCTGTGTCACTGGTGGATCATCTGGGTTAGGAAAAGAAATCGCTAGAGTTTTTTCAGAATCAGGAGCTGTAACTGTTGTCCTTGATATCACCATTCCTCCAGTCTCTGATCAACTTCCAAACGTCAAGTACTACCTCTGCGACGTCAGTAACTGCAATCAAATTATTGAAATCGGTGAGGTTATCACAAGGGAAGTAGGAATTGTATCTATCCTCGTTAACAATGCTGGAATATCACACGGCAAATCATTATTAGATTTAAATTATGATGAGATTGAGAAGACAATTAGGGTCAATTTACTCTCAAGTTTCTATACAATTAAAGTATTTCTTCCAAATATGTTGAAGCAAAAAAGAGGGTATATTGTTACAGTTGCTTCTGTCTTGGGCTACATGTCTCCTGCAAGGTTAAGTGATTATGGAGCTTCTAAATCTGGACTTATCGCCTTACATGAGTCTTTGACCTATGAATTGGGTCCGCCATCGCTAAGTCCCAATGGAATTAAGACCTTGTTAATTTGTCCTGGTCAATTGAAAACTAATATGTTCAGCAGTATTCAATCCCCTTCATCACTTTTTGCTCCCGAGTTGGAACCCAGCTTTGTAGCAAAGAAGTTGATAAATGCTTTGGAATTAGGCAGAAGAGGTGAGATTAAGATTCCATTTTATGGGAACTTCATGCCAGTGATGAGGGCAATTCCGTGGCCGGCGGTCGAATTTTTAAGAGATATTTCTGGAATGGATGAAAGCATGAAAAAGTTCAAACTGTATACTAGCAAGCTCAGTGGGATATCTGATCAAGGTTCTAAAAACCAATCAGAAGCGAACTCCATCACAGAAAGTACGCAATAGTCGAGATTCGAGATTCATGTGCACAAGTTAATAAACCTGAATCAACAGCTATAATTTTTGTAGTCTAGAGTGTTTCTTTAGAGATCCTCTAATGGAGTATTGCTTGCAACTTTTGATACTTATCTGTTAATTTGCAGCCGACTCGATAGATACCAGCGAAACTTAAAAACTTATCAATGTCGGGCCTTATCTCGTAAATTCAGTAGAAAATATGAATATTTTCGGGGACCCTGGATAGTCCACCAGTTCTTTCAACGCTTAAAGTGATCTTCAAGCATAATCCCCCAAATCCCGTAATAAATAACACAGCAAAGCTCCTACTAGTCAGTTGCATCGTAGCATGAGGTAGAAAAAGCTTGACCCCACACTAAACCGATCGGAGAAAATAGCCAAAAAAAAAAAAAAAAAAAAAAAAAGAAATTCAAGGTGCAAAAATTTTTACACAAATATGCAAACAGATAAGCAACAAACATACAAAATATGAAGGTGTCTTTTTATTTGCAAATTATAACATGTAACAGCTCCCTTCAGAATTGCTATAAAGGTAAGCTAAGTGTGTACAGCTACACGAGATGACTTTCTTTGCTTTTCTTCTGAACTTAAAGCGACGATCAACGATTGCAAATAGATAAGCAATTTAGCTTGCAAAATTTTGCATAAAGCTTCTGAGCCGCATGATGCACTCGATTTAAGCATAGTGTGACTTATTGATGAAATCGGAATTTTTCATATATAAACTACCATTCCTCGCAACAATAAAAGTCTATTTTAAATATCTTGTTCCTTAGAAATATTAGACGTATCTGACTTTCCTCAACAGAAAAAAAGTCAAAAAAGGGTTTCAATTTCTACTCAACTAGAATAGACGTCTACTTCTCTCTCTCACATATCTACTCAGTCACTGCGCTAACTTACTCATTTTCATTCCACTAGTTTGCTACTGTTCTTAGTACCTGTAAAATATGTCTTCTCTTCCATATACTATTCAGGATAAGCTGAGAATATCAGAGAGTCTTGTCACTCACGATAATATTAATTTCTGTACGGTTTCCATTTCTCCACCAAAAAATACCTTGGTCAAGGGAAAGATGATGTTCATTCATGGGTTCTCGGAACATGCTGGGATGTACTATAAGTTGATGGAGACGTTCTCTGACCAAGGATATGAATGTTTTACTTTTGACCAAAGGGGCTCGGGAAAGACCTCCTTGGGAAAATACCGCGGACGTGTAGGAAGAACAAAAGAAAAGATATACACCGACGTGGATAAGATGATGGAAGTTGCCTGGTTTGCTGACGAAAAGGAGGTTCAAGTCCCTCTCGTTTTAGTAGGCCACTCTATGGGTGGAGGCATTGCATTAAGTTACGGGGTAAAGGGTAAATATCGCAATCGTATCTCAGATATTATAGTAACTGGTCCTTTAATCCAATTGCATGAATCAATTACTCCACATCCAATCATTGTATATATCTTAAGCACGATAGCTAGTTGGTTCCCAAATTTGGCATATGCTACCTTGGAGGGTCCCACAAGAGTCACTTCTTCTGAGCCTTGGAAAGAATACCTCGCTGAAGAAGTTCTATGCAGAGGAACTGGTACTTTAGGTCAATTAAACAATATGATTTCAAGAGGATCAGACTTACTCTATGGAGATATCTCAACAATCAATCCTAAGTTGAGAATCTTGCTTCTACATGCTGATAATGATAGCGTTACAAGTATTAAGGCCCTGGAAAAATTTATTGATAGAGTAGACTTACCAAAGGAAAATAAAAAATTCCTTAAAGTGAAAAATGCCTGTCATTCTTTATTTATTGAAGACGACGTAGTGTATGACAATGTCATTGAGCTGATCAATGCATTTCTTAATTAGACAAAGATTTTATTAATACACAATTTAATTTTTGAATTGGAATGTGAGAATTCAAGCGTAGATTGGGTTCTTTTCATCCTTATCTCTATAACCCTGCCCAAGAATTGAATTAATGCTGAGATCCTCACTCACCCATATAGGAATGTCGATTCTATCTGACTGGGTCAGCTTCCTAACCAAGTTTATGTCCATGAACTTTCTTCTATTCTCTACTAAATATGCGTTAAATGGGTGATTGTACAGTTCAACTTTAGTATAAAATGTTTCCACGTAGTCGTGAATATTATGATTGAAAAAGGACAAGATATCTTGACCTTGTAATGTTATCTTTAATGAATTGGAGTCGTTGAGAGTAAGGCGACTTTCATCACTTGAGTCGTCGCATATAATTATTTGCAATTCCCGCAAATATGGATCACCTACTTTGTATCTTGAGTAGGTCGAGTCTAAATCATAACTTTTAACGCAAACAAGGGATAAGTCCTCCGGTATCGTGCCAACAATGAATGCTTTTGTTCTATAATAAGTTGAGCTGTCTATCTTAGTCACTTGATTCAATTCAGATATTGAAAGAATTGGTGGCTTATCATTTTCAGCGTTAGTACCAGCAAAAGAGGGAGGAAAGGAATGGGTAGGAGGTGAAAGCGGTAAGAGATGCAGAGGTTGAGGAGACTGGCCTGGGGCAATCAGCATCAACTCATTCTGCACGGTGACTTTATTCAATTGTGAGTTGGGAGGTATTTGGCTCGATGGAAATAGCAGCTCATCATTTTCCAGAGGTAGGGGACTGGACTTCAATTCATTTGAATTAAACCTATCTGCTCTTAAAACATCTTCTTCTTCATCTCGTTTCACCTGCGTATTACGAATAAACTCGTCTTCTTCTTCTTCTTCTTCTTCTTCTTCTTCTTCTTCGTTTAATGCTCTTTCAATTTTGGGCCAAAATTCCCCAGGAAGTAACTCTTTTAGAACAACATTATTCTTTATAATAAAGCTGTTAGATACGGACAGAAAAAACCTTTCATAAAATTCCCGTCCTTCTTGGCTCTCATCTTTCATCAATAGTTCACTAGTAAGTAGTTTCCCCTCTAGTACTCCTCTATAAATTTTGCATTTCACATTTACCTTGAGAAAGCAGACTTTCGAATCGATTTCATAATTATTCAACTCATTTAAAAAGGAATCTTCACACAAATCCTGCTTATGAAAATTCTTATAGCTAGCAATTAGGGGATTCCAGGTTTCTGGAAAGCATTCTAGCAGGAAAAGCATATCCATCGTCTTTAAGTTTTTGTTACATAGTTCATAATTTTGTGTGTATGGGCCTGTGATTATTGGATTAGATGTGAAGTCAGTTACAAAGAGTTTATTCCATTTGTAAGGCTGCATGTAAATAGCCAAACAGTACAACTGTACAGTCAGTTCTCTGCTTTGACTTGTCAATTCAGAAATCAAAGTCATCTTTGAGATAACCCCAACGGTACAATGACATTAACTAACTAAACAACCAGAGCATTCATATGTGATAATTTGTGGTGTACCGCGATTTTCGAGCTTCAATAGAAAATATGCTGCAACTATATCGAAAAATACGAGAGGAACTAGCTATACGAAGTATTAAAATAGCAACCATACTCAAAGAATGGCTGCGATAGTATAATATGAAGATCAAAATTAAGTAGCCACATTTTCGGGATAGCTACTATGAAGAGATTCTTACATACAGATGAATAGTTTCACTTCTTTGTATGTGTCTAAATATTTTTAAATCTAAATAATCACTCAAGTAAGGCTAGAGATATAGTCATATGAACTGAAATAATACTAAGCATAAAGGTACACTTATTTTCAAGGAAGTAATGGTCCTTGCTCATTATCCTTATCTACATCTGGCCATATTTTATGGTAAAGTTTTTTGAAAATGCCAGGCTTTCTTTGCTGGGCTAATTTGAATTCAACAATCGAATCATAAGAAGGTGGTTCAATTTCTTGAGGTGGGACATTCGAATCTGATGGAGCAATTCCATCAAGAGATTCAATATCTGATTTTGTTGACTTGGATGGGTAAATAAGAGGAGTAGTTTGAGTAGGTTGTGGCAAAGCTCCACCTATGCCGTGATTATCTAATTCGGGTCTAAGTAAGGATGTGTTTCTCGCAATCTGGGCAGGAGATTGTCTGAAGACCTCATTCAATGGATCAGGAGCTGGAGCTGAGGCATTAGATACTGACACACGACGACCAACAGAAACATCCTCAGACCCATAAGAGTTATTGTTAACCAGCGAATGGAACAGGAAAATTGAACTAGAGTCATCGAAAACAGATCCCATATCCTCTAAGGTCAAACCCTTAGTTTCTGGAAATAAGAAATGCACACAGAAAAATGACAATAAACATGAAGCGGCTGGAATTAAATAAGTCTTCCACTTGATGGCATCTAGTAAAATCGGAGTCATTTCTCCTACAATAAAATTGAAGAGCCAATTAGTAGCAGTCAGTAAAGCGGCCCCTTTACTCCTAACATTGTTTGGGATAACTTCATTCATCATCCACGGAATTGGTCCCCAACTTGCGCCAAATGCAGCATTGAATATGATAACACAAACAACAACAGTATTTGCAGTGTATTTGTTGTTAAGCATAAGAGAATAACTGATTATTAATAAGGGGAAACCCATTAAAACTGCACCTGACAATAATAATGGCTTTCTACCCCAACCATCAACCAAATACCAAGGCGGAATTGTACTCAAGATATAAATGATGGAATTAATTCCTGTCATTAAGATTGCCTGTCTTCCAACCCAACCAGCCAGTTCAAAGATCATTGGAGCATAGTAACTTACAATGTTAATACCATTCAATTGAGCAAACATCTGCGAAAAGCATGCAACTGATACTCTTTTCTTGTAGCGTTGCAACATGTACTGATACGATCTTTCCCCTCCTTCAATTCTTGCAATTAAAACATTTTCCTTTATGTTTCTATATTCAACTTTAGCTACTTCCAGCTCCACGTCACCATCGGCGTATAAGTCTGAAATAACAATCATTCCTTCGTGATCTTCATCATGGTCCAAAAGCCATCTGGGGGTCTCTACAATGATGAAACTACCTAAAAATAATAAGAATCCCACTAAACACTGGATGAAAAGTGGTGCCCTCCAACTGATATCATTTTCAATGTACAGGAATCCATAATCAACCCAAATACTTGTTGAGTAGCCAATAATGTTACCAGTAAATTCCAAACATGCATAAAACCCTCTATCATCAGGAGGGCTAATTTCTGACTGATAGCAAGGAATAATTGTAGTCAAAAATCCTATGGCCACACCACTAATTAATCTACCAAATCCTAAATTAATAATGTTGACAGAAAACGTTTGAATTAGTCCACCGACTACGAAAATTCCCAGTCCATATCTAATAGTCTTCCTTCTGCCAATATTATCACCAACTTTCCCAGCGATAAAACTTGAGAATAAGGCACCTATTTCCAAGATTGCAATCATTGTCCCAACTTCTGCGGGACTAGGATCATTGTAGTAGTCCTTGAAATACTTATTAGTAAGTAAGGAAGACATTAATCCCTGTTCAAATCCGAAGAGAAAGACTCCTAGAGAAACGAACACAGAGGTGAAGTTCAATAGTGCCCTTCCAACTAATAATGTTTCCTTGATCGGCTGATGATGTTCTGAAACCATAGTTAAATAATTAGCCTGACTTAAATAGTTATCTCTTTCTGAATATTGTTGTTTGTGTTTTTATAATATTGCAGCCTTGCCTCTTATCTGTAAAATTATTGCGGAGCAATCTAAGATTGAGACTGATTTAAGGGTCCTACTATTTATGTTTCTAGAATTGTATTGATAAATATCAAATATTAAAGGAGAACAACGTTTCTAGAAGTTCAGTTCCCTAATCGTCCTTAAAAAAAGCTATTTTAAGTTTAGCCTTTATCAAATCAAAATGAGGAAAAAAGGCACAGGGAAGTCAAGAATGGAAAATTTAATAATTCAGTGATAAGCATGGTCTATTAAGATGGAAGGTAGAAGGTATACAAATATATATACAAAAAAAAATAAAAAAAAAAAAAAAATTGGTGAACAAAGCGAAATCAATATAACAAGAGGGGACTCGGAATTGTTCATAGGTTGAACACGGTCATCTTCGACTTTGTATTACAATACCCCGAATGTATAGATGCATGTAGAGCACCTGGTTACACATTAAGACTAAGAATAAAATGGGTAGATAATCTTTTTATGACGTAACAAAAACATTTCTCAAACTAAATTACACACAGGAGCTAACAGATAGACATGATCTGAGATAATCTTCAACGCTTACATTTGAATTATAGACATTGCTCGGGGTTCAAGTTCAGCAATCAGTATATACACTAGGCAGCAAATATATTTCCTTCCTATGGTAAAACATTCTCAAGCAAATTAAATGTGTCTTTGAATGGAAGTCCAATTACGTTCCTATAATCTCCTTGGCAATCCGTCCAAAGAAGACCACCAATTCCCTGGATCTTAAATCCTCCTGCAGCATTCAACCCTTCTTCGCTATCCACGTATGCCTGTAGGAACTCATCGCTTAATTTTTTGTCAAAGCGTAAATAGGAGGTAACTATTTTATGAACTTGTGCCTCAGTGATTCCTAACTCACTAATTTTGTATATATAAATTGCTGTAATAACTTCCACTATTGGATTTAATCTGAAGGAATACAAGTTTTGTAATTGGGAACATTTATCTTTGGGCTTTTCAAATATCTTTCCATTATTAACGACAATAGTATCAGCTCCCAATAATATTATGGGTTTGGTTCTTCTGTTATCAATTCTCTGATCCAGTGCAATTCTTTCCCTTACTGCGTCAATCTTTCCAAATGCCGTCTGTGCAACATATTCTTGCGGGGTCTTTCCTACCTTTGTAACGTTCTCTTCAAAGTCTGAAGGAATAATTTCAATCTTTTCAATTCCCAATTCTTTTAAAATTTCGTACCTCCTAGGGGAGGTTGAAGCTAGTATGAAATCATATTCCTTGAGCCTTTCGTAGACTCTGTATTGAAGCATTTCTTGTGTGTCAAGTGGATGAAAAGAGAGTTATATTTCATTCTCATTTTTCTGCTTGCTTTCTTCATTTTCTGCACTACTGAACCATACAAAAATTCTGAGAGATGGCCACTATCAGGATGATAATGGTTACCTTTTACTTGCAAATGCTTATTCTTATTTTACAGTTATCTAGTTATACAAATTCTAATTCAGCAGTAAATCGCAAGGAGAATCAATTTACACCTCTTGTTTCTTTGCTATCGCATACACTTTTTTTAAAAGTGAAGTTGCATTACTACCCAATTCTGAAATAGTCAGAGCTTCATCTTCCTTGCCAGCGGCTTCTATAATTTCATCGTCATTCTCTGCAATGTTACTCTCTTTTGCAATGAGGACATTGGTATCATCACAATGAATATGCTCCCTGACTACTCCAATTAATTCCCCTGAATCATTGAAAACCATGTCTGATCCAACTAAACTTTGCCATTTCCCCTGATAGATTTTTCCATCTACCGAACTTGAGGAGGAGTTATTAATATCAGCATTATTCGAAAGTTTAATTAATGGATGCTTATAGTCCAAACCCGCGACTTGAAACTCTGATGTAGGTTTGATTACATTTGATCTTTTTTGGGATGCTAATTCCTGAGTAAGCTGATGTGCTACATCTGGTTTAGTAGATCCATCTTTGGGCAAATTCGACTGTGCTTGCAATTTTGTGGACTGTTTGTTCAAATTGGAAGTTTTAGTTTGAAATAACTTCGGGTTTGATGGATCGTCGAATTGAGAGAACTTCGACTCGCCGATAATCGGGATATCAACGGTCACATAGAATTCCTATTAGCTAGTTAGTACAGGTATTAAAAAAGTCAATAAACGGTAATCAGTCACTTCATTTCCAAGTCAGTTCTTCATATATCTCTACACTTGTCTACGTGAGAAGATATGTCAATTGGATATGAACATTCACCTATAAATATCCACAAATGAACTGAAAAGTACGTCAGTAGTGTTAAAAATTAGTCCCTTAATGTTCACTACTACAACATTTGGTTTCTTCTCTTACTTACCTCCATCTCAACATCTTCCTTGGGCTCTGGGGTTCCAGTTGCACTCTTCGCAAAAGCTCTAGCCTTAATATCTTCATCAGATCCAGCTTCAAATCCCAGTTGGAAATTCCAGTGCATTTCTTCACCCTTAGCTAAGAATTCAGTGTTCCCATTCATCTTGAGCTCCCACAATGACTTATTACTTGGATCGTGGCCCATATCTCCTACAGTATATTTATCTAAGGAGCAAGCTCCTGCTCTTAACCGATTCTTATCCTTATCCAAATAATCATGAACACTTGAATGACCTAATAATGACATTCCAAGGGCAATTTTTGTAGCAGCATGGGTCATAATCAAAACAATCTCAGTTTGAGGGTATCTCTTCTCAAACTCAGGTATAAACTTTTGCCAAAATTCCAGAGCTCTATCGAATATTTCTTCTTCACTTTCACCTTCCAAGTTTGGAATAACTCCAAGACCATCTCTTTCCCAATTTTCACTCGTAGATAAGGTAGAGAAGAATTGGGTCAAGAGATCATAATTGGCAGGTTCCGGAACAGTAGATCTGCCCTTCTTATACCATTCACCCACACCTCTTTCAAGCACTATTGGGATAGAAAGCATTTCAGCAATTGGCTGTGCTGTTTGTACACAACGGTAGAAAGGCGATGATAAAATAAATTCCGGTTTTTCAGTAGAAGGGAGACCTGTAAGGTATGCTGCCAACTGTTTGGCTTGATCCACCCCGTGTTCAGCCAACGGAGGATCTGAATCAACGCCTGTTGGGTTTGGTGGATGTGGTGGTGGGAGCCAATTTGCCCGGTAGCCATGGCGTGCAATGTAAATGGTCTTGAGTACCATTTTACGCGTAAATAATCTAAAAGTCTAGCAATGAAGTGAAGTTGTTCTTCTTCTATATTACATTCCTGTTCTCGATATTTTTCTACGCTTTATATTTTTTGTTTTTCGATTTCTTTGCGCATAACATGGTGCACCCGCAGGTGGGCAGGTACTCACCTGTGCGCAGCTTAGGTTAGGATGTTCCATCAGGTAAAACACAATAAGGTAATAAAATCTGACAATGGTAATGATTTTGAGATTTCATGTTGTGTAATGCTTACGTATTATGCTAAATCATATTATCCATATATTCAGAATATTTAACAAGTAGAGTAGATTTCTCTACTTAGGTGTCCTATAAGTTCAAGTAGTCTAGTAATAATTTTCTTAATGCATCTATATATCCATTTATGAAAGACCAATAAAAACACCGTTAACGTGTGACATAGTCAAGTAGGTATTCTTTCTTGGTGGATATTCGTCATCAAAGGATTCAATATTTGGGAATGTTTGGCATAAACGTGCAACCACATAACTTGCCTGAGTCAAGGCAAACTGCTGGCCAAGGCATATTCTTGGGCCACCATTAAATGGTAAATATGCCCAACCTAACTTCTTTGTCTCTCCAGTAAGCCATCTCTCTGGGCGGAAGTAGTCGGCGTCTTTTCCGTAATACCGTGGATCTCTCTGCATTGAATAAGGAAAGTACACAACATTTTCACCCTTCTTAACTAATATTGGAGACTTCTCATCTGGGCCACCGCCAACAGGTAAGGTAGTATTTTTTGTTGCACATCTGAAGTTGAATGGAACTGAGGGGTACATTCTCAATGCTTCGTTTAACACAGACTTAAGATATTGGCATTTCTTCAAGGTTTCAAAGTTCATTGCTTCAAAGTTTATATCATCACCAGATCCAAAACTTTCATACACTTCTTCCTTTAGTTTTGCCCAGACATCGGGTCTCCTTGCCAATTCAAAAAATGTAAATGAGAGTAATCCTGCTGTTGTATCTCTGCCTGCAAGCAAGATGTTCAACAATTGGTCTCTCAAGACCTGAGGGTTTCTAGTTTCCTTTACTAGCTCATAAAGGAATACATATCCTTTATCTTCGGATATTTTCTCAAGGTCTTGGGGATTGGCATCTAAAGCCTTTTGAACATAAAAATCTGCAAATTGATGAACTAAGTCACAATTTTCACGGAATTCTTTATTGTTTATTATCCAATACAAGTTTTGAGACATTCCCCTGTTGCTCACTGTTATCTGGGAAGTATCAAATGCCTTTTCAAACTTATTCTTATTTCCAAACTCCGATACTTCAGTCATACTTATATTTTCTTCTTTCAAGGTTCCCACTGTACTACCGAACAAAAACTCGGTTGAACTATCCAATGTTAATTTGAAAAAGAGCAGCTGAATGTCAAATTTATTACCCCTTGTAAGTGTAACGTGCTTTGCAAAAGATTGTAAATGCAATTCGAGTGCTTTTACTTGGGAAACTTGTTCCCTTGCAAACTGAGGTCTTAACATTGCCCTTGAGTGTTTCCAGCCATCACCTTCTAATGTGAAAATACCATCTCCAAGCAATGGAGCAAAAGCACCGTGTCTCGTCCCAAACCCAAAATCGTTGAACTGGGTTGCAAGCATGGCCTTGATGTTATCTGGTTCTATCGTTTGGATAAATTTCTGTCCAGCAAATGCAAAGTCAACGGTATGAGCATTTAGCTCTTTAAATCTATTATTTGAGAAGTCAATCATCACTCCTTGCTTTTTCATTTTAAAAGACTTCAAGTAGAATGGAATTCCAAATAACAAATTACGAACTTTAGCGTTGATTGGTTTACACCCATGCTTCCGTTCTAGATATTTGGTATATAGGGAATTTAGAGTTCTATTCACCAAGTATAGGGAGATTATAAAGGCGAGCCAGTTCAAAACTGGGTACTCAGAAACGAACAACTCCATATCTAATATTCACTGGTACAGACGTAAGTAGAATGAGTGATTTTAGAAAATGGTAGCCAAGATTTCCTGCCTATATATATGCAAATACCTATGCAACAGTTGAGCAAACCTTAATATCAATGTACTTCTTTTTTTACCGTATTGCCCCACATGATTTGCAATAGAGAGAGGGGATAGGATATACTAAAGCTTAAATTCAGAGAACCAGAAATTGGGTCGCAGGGTCCTCGGCTATAAGCCAATTATGGGTGTGTACGTTCCAGTGCTCGTGAATATATAGTACACTTGCACAAAATAACTCCACTCCTCTGACTGTTGCAACTGGAATTTTCAGTTATAACCCTTGTATGCCTTGCTATGACCTTCGGTTCTAACGCTTAAATGGGAATATAGCAGCACTATGCATGGGATCAGACATTCGCGGAGCTGGAATTTTCGGAGTTTATCCGAGGCTGAATTTGAACTTCACTGTTATTGAGAGAGGAAGCTAGAGGGGATTGCTACACATTCGGCGTGCAAAAGAAATGAACTGACCCAAAATAATAGCTCAATTTCAATTATCATGTGTTTAGGCTTTAAAGGTTTCATCTTCTTGAAACGCGATAGTGGCAAAGTACTAGAACAATGTACCTATTCTAGAAATACCTAGGGTCCTAAATTTATTGTCTTCGGCAAGCGAATGTGAGTTTCCACTTGGCGTATAGATGGTTGCAGAACGTGATACGTTCGTTCCACTCGAATAATTTCAGTGAAATTAAGTCAACGATTCAACGGTTCCCACACAAGAATAATTTCAACGAAATACAGTTATACGTTGAATCCATGGCTTGAACGTAACCATAGAGATTTTAGCTTTGCAACAACCGTAACCGTATTTTCAACGGCTTAAAGCTAAAATTGGATCCTAAATTTATTTTTTTTTCCGGTCGAAAAAGCTGCAGTGCAAACTGTTCTGTGCGTAAAATGAAGAAGCAGGTCCAAGTTTCTACTCTTTCTCTCAACATCAGCACACCCATACATTTGAATATTCCACTTATGGGACTACATTTTATTTCGTTTAGTTATTTTTGTTTTAGTCTAGGATATACTATGTATTATTTTTTTTCTATTTCAAAGTCATCCACCCTATGTATACAATATTTCTTTTGTCTTGAAACTCAAAATAGTACAATCTGTGTTGTTAAACATTAGTTTTAACTCGCAGATTCCTCTCTACATTTGTCTCAACTCCGTATTTTTCGATCTTCATGCTTAGATCAACATTTCCAAAGGATTTTCGATAATCTTCTTTAATGCCTTGATCCATTCACCTCCAAGAGCACCATCAACAACTCTGTGGTCAAAAGTACCGGTTATAGTGATAACATCATCAAAAACAAATCCTTGTTCGTTGACAGAAGATGGAACAGCCTTCTTTTCAGTAGTTCCAATAGCAATAATGGCAGATTGAGGTGGGTTAATAATGGAAGTGAAAGAGGTAACAGCGTGGTTCATACCTAAATTAGAAATAGTGATAGTACCACCTTGGTATTCTTCTGGGTTTAATTTACCAATCTTAGCTCTCTTACCTAAGTCCTTAACTTCCTTGGAAATAACAGAAAGACCCTTAATGTGTGCATCCTTAACGATTGGGGTGATTAAACCAGTTGGCGTGGCAACAGCAACGGAAACGTCAACATTAGAGTAAGTTCTAATGATACCTTGTTCACCTAACCAAGCAGAGTTGACTTCAGGAACTCTTAATGAAGCTAAGGCAATGGCCTTGATTAAAAGATCGTTGACGGAAAGTCTGTATCTGTCATCAGCAGAAGCATTAAGAGATTGTCTAAGCTTCAAGAGTTTTGATACAGAAATTTGGGATTGAACAATGTAAGATGGAGATTGTTGAGTGGATTGAAGGAGACGAGTAGCAATAACTTTTCTCATTGAGGAAATTGGAGTGTCGGTGAAGGTAGCAGAAGCTGGTGCTGCAGCAGCGGCAGCTGGGGCAGCAGCTTCTGGCTTGTAGTTTTCAACATCCTTTGCTACAATTCTTCCACTTGGACCAGAACCCTTAATGTTCTTTAATGAAATGCCCTTGTCAAGAGCGATGGTCTTTGCAAGTGGAGAGGCAAAGATTCTGTTAGTTGGAGCAGATGATGAAGATGATGACGAAGAAGAAGAAGAAGAAGAAGAAGGAGCAGGGGTAGAAGATGGAGCTTCGTCCTTTGCTGGTTCTTCCTTGGATTCTTCCTTTGGAGCTTCCTTTGGAGCTTCAGCACCACCAGCGTCAGCTGCAGTGAAGCTTTCAAAGGCAGAAACATCACCCTTTTCTTCAACGTAAACGGCAATTGGAGTACCAACTGGGACGTCCTTGGCACCTTCATCCATCAAGATCTTAGCTAAGTATCCTTCTTCTTGGAACTCAAAATCCATGGAAGCCTTATCGGTTTCGATTTCGGCAATTGGTTCACCAGGAGTCAATTCATCTCCAACGGCCTTGGACCATGAGACAATACCACCTTGGGTCATAGTTGGAGACAAGGCAGGCATATTAATGACAACGTGAGATGGAAATTTCGAAGCATAAGTTCTCAAGCTTGTGACGAAAGATGATCTAGTTAAAGTAGAAGGACGAACTAAACGTCTGGTCATGATAGACCTTGAAACTGCTTGAAGAGACATGATTGAATGGATATGAACTTATTAAAAAGATGTACCTAAAGAAAGTTTCTTCAAAATTGGAAAAGAAAAAGAAAAGACTTTTTATTGTTGGGTTGTTTCTGACAGTTAGGCGTATTTTTCGGTTTGGACTAGGGAGGAGAGTGTGTATTGAGAAATTAGTGAACGGAGATGAACCGCATTGGAGTTTCCCGAAAATCGGGTCGTGTGTGGGATACGGAATTTAATGTCCGATTTCGAAACAACCTGTGCTACACATAGATCCCGGAGAGATCAGGGAATCGATTCTTCACTCGAAGAAAAGCTTTCGCCTACAATTCTCTGTAAATTACTAGATATGTTTATTTAAAGAATGGTGGCCTATACTCATTAATTTGTTTATCTACTTAGTGCTTTTTAGCTGTATCGTCGATTTGCTCTAATGTTCAAAAAGAAGTAGGTGAATTAGTTTTTCCGGGTGATGCCGCTTTTACTTTTTGCAGCCAATTTGGAACTCTCACATATTTAGTCAATGTAGGACATGAAGGAAGTTCATTAGGCTGTATAAAATAATGGTGTATTCCGACGCTTGTCTAGCTGTTAGCCGGTCGTCATGTTCCGATAAATACTTTGCTATTGCAGAACCATATCTTTGTAAGCTGAACCGATTGTACTACGCTCAGGTTCAGGTTCAGTAGTTAGCGTATGTTTTGCTCTCTGAACCTCATCATATAAGTATCGTTACCTTTCCTTTCCCTTCATTTATAAGCTTACCGCTTTACCATAAAAGTCATTCTTTAATTTATCAGTTTGTGGATTCTCACAGAAAAAGCTGTCTATCTCAACGTAACCTGAGTCCTGCTTAATACAATCTTCCTCATATATCACCTCATGTGCCCCATGTTTAACTAGAGAATCCTTTGCTGTCTGCCACAGAAATCTAATCAACCCAAAATTCCATCCAAATGCCTTGTCAACGTTCCCATTGAGCCAACGGCTGGTGTTGGGATCAGACGGATATCCTGATCCAATCGACTGTCCTTGCAAGTATTCCAAATTTTGCAAGTAGTATTTCAAGTTAAAATCACGCGTCACCTTAGCAACTACCGACGCTGTACTTACTATGGGGTATATGCTATCAGCTTTCTTGGCTACAGTTATAGAACAGTTTGGAAACTCCTTCTGTAGTTTCACCTGATAACTTGCAGGTGGACCAACTGTATCCACGTAGATGTACTTTAAATTAACTCCCTTGGCTAATACCTGTTTAATAAGTTGTATGGTTGTATCATGGGCCTGTTCATTCAAATTGTAGGCACCCTTACCATGGCTGGACTGTAACATCCCACTCAGTATATCCTTGGCAGTCATAGTGCAGGTAGCCCATCCAACGTTGTCATTTAATTCGTGATCATGCTCTTCTATTATTTCAAAGAGCTGCTGTCTCTTGTCTTCTTTCAAGGTCTTCGAATCTGCAAAGCCGAATTTTTTAAGTTCTTTCAGGTAAGATTCAAGACAATACGATATTCCATAGACCATTGGTCCCATTACAGGTCCTCTCCCGGCCTCATCAACTCCAAGGTATACTGGTTCGTTTCGGTTTGTCAAGACGGTCTTTGGAATTTCGGAGTGGAACGTGGAAGTCGAGTAAGAAAAAGGACTTTCCATGTGCGTCACAGAAGGAGGAAACCATTCGCTGTCGGTTTTCTGTCTTTTGCTTTCAGATTCAACAGTCATGGCGTGGTAATTATGTCTAGCTCCAGGGCATAGAAAGATCATAAGCTTAAAAAATTCAAATAGGTAAACAACGCGTGCCAGCGAAAGTGCGCGGCGCATCTGAGCAAGAAGAGCCATAAACAGGCTGCGAATAAGAAGACATGAAGTATACTTGTCAGAGGGGGATGCTAAAGAGTCCCTTTCAATGTCTAATAAAAGACACTTTTGATGGTGAGAATATTTGTAGCATTTCTGGATTTATTTTAATGTGGTCTTTTATATTTCTATGAAGTTCTATAATATAAATTAAAAATAAGTATCGTCCTATATGTGCGAATTGGAACTCTTTGCTAGCGTCAACGCCCTGCCTAGTTTTCCCTTTACTAAGTTAATGAAGTAGGTCCAAAATAGACCAGATGATACTTCCTTTTGCAAAATTTAGATTTTGCATCTTTCTCTTCCTCTTCCTTTAATGAAATCGTTGTTATTGCCTTTTCTTTAAGAGATCTTTTACACTCTCATACACCACTAAAGTTATACAAGTGGCAGGAACAACTCTAATCATGTTAGCTCCAACTCCCTTGTAAAATCCCTTCAATTTACCTTCATTATGCCAAATATCCTTACATACACTTACTATAGTCTTCCCCGTCCCATGGTAATTTTGGAGTCTCGCCTTCACCATTTGACTGGGGTACATAATCACCATACTCAAAATTTTTGAGGTTGCAGATATATAAATATATTGACCGGTGGAGAGTGAATATGTTGATGTGGAGCTTGGAGTAGAAGTGTAATAGTTCTTTAGGTGATCATAGAATGTAAATTGTAGACTGGCCTGGAATACCAGGAACATACTGGGAATCGTTCCCTTCCAAAAGCTCTTTGGTCCCTCAGTCCTTAGAATTTGTTTAACTCCATCGAATATCGATTTGTAAGCGTTATTGTCATGTTTTGAAGAACCAAGAATTCTGGTCTTTAAAACCCAGATCGGATTTGTTAATAAGGAAGTCGATACTCCTGCTAACGTTGAAGAAGCAAAATAGTTTACAGTGTTCAGGTCAGTCTTAACTAAGTTTGCTTTAAATTCTGCGTACAATGTGAAGTACAAACCCCATGCAGATATATTACCAATTAAGTTGGGACCAATTCCTCTGTAGTACTGGCTTAAAGTGTAGAAACTTTTAGGTAGTACAAGTCTTTTGTGAGTTTTTGGTTGCTGCTTCAGAGTTTGATATTCAATATTTGCAGTTTCGTGGATCTTAGAGAGGACATTCTTCAATAAACTGAATGGGTACTTGCTTCTTTCTGCAGAGAGCTGAAGTCTCACTTTGATTAGATCTAGAGGATGGGTCACAATCGTAGTTGAGAACCCTGCCGCTAGACCTGATATGGTTTCAATTTGTCGATCGGACACCATTTCTTCTACGTTTATGGTCTAGAAATATATACAATGACCACTCTATCCTAGTAATAAAAGAGATGAGTTCGATTTTATGAGAATTTGAGAATTTTCAACTCACCCCCACAAATCAGTAAACTAATAACTTTGAATACAGTTTGTCCTAAAATATTGATAAGTAACTCCTTCAACAGAGCTTGATTATTACAGAATTAAAGGGGATCAAATAGTATAGTGGAGGAGTTTACAAAATGATAATTAAAGAGTAAATATGCCCTTTAAAGAATGGGGAACCACAAAACCTACACTTTCAGACCATAACAAATAATACTTCCTGGTCAATTTAATGCTGATTTTGATTTCCTTATACTCATATAATATAATATATTTAATTTCTTAAAAGCATATATATACAAATATATATATTTACACGATCTTTACAAGCTTTACCACCAGCCATGACTATGAATGTCCTTTTTTCCAACTCTTAGTTGAAGTATTAGTTGAAGTATTTAAATCTCCTTCCTCACCTCTTCTTAATCTCCATCATTACCATCATTTTGCAAAACCATTTTCGCTTAAGCAGATGGGAAAGGACTCAATAAGTTAAATAATGATGGCTTATTTGGAGTAGCAGACCATCCCAAGTATAAAACAAATGGAATGAAACCGTAGTGAGCAACAGTCTTTGAGTAATCTAAAACTTTGACGATTCTTTCCTTTGATTCGTCAGATAATGTGAATTGTGTATTAGCCATGTTTAATTGTATATGTTAATTGCTTTAGTGAAGGGAACGGTGCTAGTTAGAATTTTTCTTTCGTTGAAATTTTGTAGCAAATGTGAAAAAATGATGAAAATGATGGTTGTACTGCATATAGTTATAATCAACAAATTCATTTGACAATAACGCCAGAGGTTTACGGAATTCATCCTAAAATGGCAGGGATACTTGCTGTCTTTGGTATATCCTACATTTGAACATTGCTTTGTCTTTTTCTCATCATCTTTAAAGCATCGGTGCTTCATATTCACCGTGGTGATTTCCAGTGTAAGTCTCGTGCAACATTGATATTTTACTGCATATAGTCGAAATTTTCTTCAACCAAATCAGCCTAACAAGTTTCAAGACGGGAACTGAAAAGTATACGTTGAAAGCACGATACATAGACTGCAAACAGTCACGATATTATAATGAAATTGGTATATAAAGAAGATCCAAGGACTATCGTTATAGCTTCTAATAATTACTCATTAGGATTTCGTGCACTTCCTTCCACCCCTAGTAGTATCGACAATGCCAGTAGCCAGCTGTCGGTGGCAGTAGAGTTGCTTCCAACATCTCAGGTTACAAGAGAAAATGGGTACAAAAATTTATTGAATAAAGAAATATTCGGGTGTTTAGGTCTTATTGAGGTAGGTAAAAAGCCATATTTAGCTGTCATCACTGGTGCTATTAGTCAGGTAGCAAGACCAATTAGTGGAGAAAGTGTCAATAAGATTTATTCTGTAGACTTCATATCTTTGATTGATTCCGAGTGGGACTTCGCTAATACTGACGAAGATAACAGACCTCCGGGCTCTGGCTACGATGATGAACTGGTAGAATTAATTCATCCCTGTACTGATCTTAGGAAATTACTTTCCAATGGATCATTCTACTTTTCCAATGATTTTGATTTAACCTCGTTGCTTCAAAATAGAGGGATTAAGGACCAACAACAGCAAGAAGACACCAAGAGGAATGAGCTGAACCAATCTACGAAGATATCTTATGTGAAAGAATATATGTGGAATACTTTCATGATGCAGCAGCTTTTCAAATATAGATCAAATTTGGAGCCCTTCAATCAAAGAATTTTGGATGACTTAAAGGTTTTCACAACAGTCATAAGAGGTTTTGCTAAGACGATAAAGATTAATAACTTGGACACATTAACTATTATTTCAAAGCAATCATGGAAACGAGCTGGTACACGTTTTAATGCGAGAGGTATCGATGATAATGGGAATGTGGCGAACTTTGTTGAAACGGAGATGATATATAATAACGCAAGTAAGTCTGAAGTTTATAGTTTCACACAGATAAGAGGCTCAGTGCCAGCTTTCTGGGAACAAGACACAACTTTGCTCAATCCCAAAATTACTCTTACGAGATCCATAGAAGCAACTCAACCAATTTTTGATAAACATTTTACTAATGTTTGTAACAAGTATGGAGTCTGTCACATTTTGAATTTACTTTCTAAAACTAAACCTGCAGAAGTAGGTTTAAGTAGAAGATATAAGGAACTTTACTTTGCATCTAATCATAGAGATGAGATGGAATTTTCAGAGTTCGACTTTCATCAAGAAACCAAGCAACTCGGTTTTGCAGGAGCGACTAAAATTTTGCCCCTTCTTCAAGGATCTTTGGAACAGTTTGGTTGGTTTGTGTATGATACTGAGCATCAAGAAGTTGTTACAAGACAAGATGGGGTCTTTAGAACTAATTGTTTAGATTGTCTTGATAGAACTAACTTAATTCAGCAAGTAATCAGTAGAAGTATTGTTGAACATATTTTAAGAAATAGCTTTAATGGAACTCACAGGGACACTTTAGTTGGCGAAGATGTACTTAACAAACATAACCTGTTATGGGCAGATAATGGAGACGCTATATCACAAATTTATACTGGTACAAATGCGCTAAAATCTTCATTTTCCAGATCTGGAAAGATGAACTTTGCGGGTGCTCTTTCTGATGTTACTAAATCAGTGAGTAGAATGTACCAAAACACATTTGTTGATAATAAGAAACAAACGTTAATGGACATATTGTTGGGAAATGATGCTAGTAATAGACCAGTGAAGATCTTTGACCCTATTAACGAATTTGTACAAGAGAAGTTACAAGAGAAAGCGAAATTATTTACTACTAGTGATAATATTAATATTTTCGTTGGTACTTTCAATATCAATGCAGCAAATCCTAGTCAAGGTAGATTGATTGACCTTACTTCGTGGTTGTTTCCACCGGAAATAAGCGATGATAATTTACCTGATATATATGGTATAGGGTTGCAAGAACTTATAGAGTTGAATGCAGGTAGTATACTTGCTGCCGATTCTTCAAAACCTCTCCTTTGGGCTAATTTAATTGAACAGCAATTAAGTTCTCAGGGTGGACAATATCTTTTACTTCGTACCGAACTGATTGCTTCTATGGCATTGTTTTTGTTTGTTAAAAAGTCGCAAGTCCACAATATAACACAAGTCACTGGATCATCAAAAAAAACAGGTTTAGGGGGGATTGCTGCTAACAAGGGAGGCTGTGCGGTTAGATTTGAAGTTGGAGTTACTTCCTTTGCCTTGATAACATCCCATTTAGCAGCTGGAACTAATGCAATGGTCGAAAGATATAATGATTATCAGACAATTATGCAGGGACTTACTTTTACGAGAAATTATACAATTAAGGATCATGATCATATCATTTGGTTTGGTGATATGAATTATAGAGTCAATCTTCCTAATGATCAATGCAGAGATTTGATAGAAAATGGCGCTTTTGACGATTTAATGAGACAAGATCAATTAAACCAAGAGATGACATCAAAGGGTGCTTTCCATGGGTTTAAAGAAGGAATTGTTAAGTTTTATCCAACATATAAATTTGACAAAGGTACATCTAATTATGATACATCTGAGAAACAAAGAGTACCTTCTTGGACAGATAGAGTGTTGTATAGAAGTGAACCCGCAAAGAAGCATGACTTGCTGCAAGTCTCCTACAACTCCATCATGGACATATTTGCTAGTGATCACAAGCCCGTTTATGGAATATTCAAGAGCAAAGTGAACTATGTTGATGGCTCAAAGAAAAAGGAGATTGCAAAACAATTATATGTTCAGTATAAGAAATCGCACGGGGATGAAGGGGAAGTTTCATTGCTTGATTTGGGAGAGAAAAGCGCATCAAAAGGACCCTCATCACCTTCGATGGATCCTTCGTTTGCTCATTCTACCCTTTCAAGTCTTAACCTATTAGATGTTAACCTGCCACCTAAGTTACCAGCGAGAAAGAATACTCTACCTAAGAGAATTCCACCTCCGCCTGTTAGTAGATTGACACCATCAGTTAATGGAAATTCTGACAATATGAAAACCCATGCATCAACTCCATCTCTCCCTGTTAGTTCAGCTCTGCTTCCCCTTCCCCCACCTCCTAGAAGGGCAGTGAGTACAGTTCCCGTTGGATTTTCTTCAACCCCATTAATTCCAAGCAGATCCACATCTACAACTCCTATAAAAACTTCGCAAGTGAACAGTAGACAGAATACACCAACGATTTCAGACCTCAACTCACTGCCTCAAAATAAAACGAATGGCTCATCTCAACAACCTCCTACTACAATTGCTCCAACACCAAGAAAACCATTGGTACCATCGAAGCCAGTTTCCTTGACAGCTACGAAGACACATCATGATGGTGACAAAGAAAATGAAACAAGTCCAAAGAATTCTTCTACATTTGCTCCAATTCCACCTGCACCAAGGAAGGCAGGCTCTACCACTCCCAGTATGTCAATGAGCGATTGGAAGCCTTTGGTACCTAAATAGTTTTGCATTATCAAAATCTGACGCATATTTTCAATTCTTAGACAATATTTGAACTACAATAGAACTAGTTTCAATTTAAATAAATAAACGTATATTAGGAACTAGAAACCAATAAGAAATTAATCAATAGTAATTAAGTAGGTTACTTCACTCGCAGCAAATCAGAAAATTGGTGTCCTGATGTTGTGTTTCTTCTAAATGTATGTTCCAAAATCAATTGCTGCAAATAGGGGTTCTTTAGTTCTCTCTACCTTTCTTAGTTTATTAATTGACATTTGTATTACATCAGTCATTTGGGAACTCTAAACCAACTTCAATATGTGAAATATAGCAAAGCTTAAACACTGAAAAAAAGCAAGTGACTTATTTTTTTCCTAAGTACCAAAATTGAACCTATATATATTTACTACGATGATAGTATGCTGTTCGAGCAGACAAATAACTATGTAGCTTAAAAATTATTCTGTATCTAATTATATAGCTTATATAGCTTACGGCTAGTACTCGATTTTTTGAATGCTAGAGCAAGCTCAGATTACAGAAAAGGGCTTCTTTCTCCTAATTGAATATGGATGAGTAGAACGCACTAATGTGTAAATTGAGTCAAACGCGGCGTCAGCCTCAGCTCTCTCGACCCATCTGTGCTTCGGCTTGAGCCGGCATTCTGAGCTTGGTTAATGAGAGTAGCTGGTTTTACAATAGGGGACTCATCGAAGGAAGTTGAAGCTATAGAGAATGTTAAATCCGGGAGACATTGACAGAATGGAGATAAAATTTATATCCACACCCAATTAATTCCAGGAAACTTTTGACAGAATGGAGATAATTTTCATTTCCATACTCAATTGAATACTGCAAATCATGATGGTCACTCTATGCTACATAGGAGAAGGACACAACTCTTACGAGCTAGATATCTCATTACTTAAATTAATACATGAGCAAGTTAGGACCCTTTAAAATGTTGTCTAAATATTAGATGTTTAAAAAACACAAAGTATATTCAATTTAAGCTAATAAAACGAATTGCCAGAGAGCTACTGAGCTACCTCCTTACACCACTATATTTTTCGTTAGGCTGCTTCCCCATATTTTTTTTACTGTCCCCTATTCCCCTATTAAAATTTCACTTGTTTACCTTCATATAATGAAGCGCGACCTTCTATTGTTGTTTAACAAATTTTCATGCATATATTTATTGAAAGGTTTTTTCTTTGCTCTCAAAAATTTTGGAACTTTTTCTTTTTAAAACAATTCAGTGACTTCACTTCGTGCAGCTTTTATTCAATTTACAGAAAATATAGGCATGTCTGGATCCTTGTCTCCACCATCAGACCATCAACGTCGCCGTGGAACTTCAGTGGGTAGTATCAATCTCGGTGATAATACAACCCCGGCCTTATCTACTATGCATCGCTCTAAGTCATCGAGAAAACGTTCCAATGCTAGAATTGAGCAATTAAGCCAGAAGCTGACACTGGATTTAGACTTATTATCCAAAATTTGGATAGCGTCAAGGGAATTACAGTACAGACACACTTGGATCGGCCCTCTTGTAGTTTTGCTTGTGACCATTGGGACCTTCTTAATACTGTCTCCCGATTCGTTTATTCATCAATTCCTTGGCAGAGGAATTGCACTCTCTTACCAAGTCGGTGAGACAGACCAATATGGTAAAGGAGCTAACGATTTTTATTTTGTTGCTTATTATGCTATCTTTTTTACATTCTTGAGGGAGTTTGTTATGTCGATGGTTTTAAGTCCATTAACTACATTTTTTGGAATTAAGAGGGAATCCAAGAAAAAGAGGTTCATGGAACAACTGTATGCTATCTTCTATACTGGAATTCTGGGACCATTTGGATTGTGGATTATGCATGGTTTACCAATTTGGTTCTTCAACACTACTGAATTCTATGTCACTTATCCTCACTACACCAATTCATTTTACTTTAAGATCTACTATTTAGGTCAGGCTGCTTATTGGGTCCAACAAACTGTTGTATTGGGTTTACAATTGGAAAAGCCAAGAAAGGATTTCAAAGAATTGGTTTTCCATCATATTGTCACTATTGCCTTGATCTGGTGTTCGTACAGGTTCCATTTTACATGGATGGGTATTGCCATTTACATTACAATGGATGTTAGTGATTTCTTCCTCTCATTCTCCAAGACTTTGAACTATTTGGATTCACCTTTAACAGAACCATTTTTCATTTTATTTGTCATTACATGGATATACCTCAGACATTACATTAACTTGAAGATCTTATGGTCCGTCTTGACTGAATTTAAGACTGTTGGTCCATGGGAACTTAATTGGGTTACTCAACAATACAAGTGTTATATCTCCCAACCAATTGTTTTCTTTTTAATCGGAGCTTTGCAATTAGTTAATGCCTACTGGTTGTTCTTAATTTTAAGAATTTTGTCCAGATATATCAAGGGAAATGCTCCAAAGGATGAAAGAAGTGATGATGAAGAAGAAGAGGAAGAAGAAGACTCTGATAAGAAGGAAGCTGTAGAAACAAAGAAAGATCAATAATTTTTATATGTATTGGAAGAAGAAGAATACGCTGCTAAGAAGGAAATTTTAGAAACAAAGAAAGATCAATAATTTAATATGTATTTGTAATATTACTATCTCATTGAGATATTGGTATTTACTCCCCTACGATCGCTTATACTTTATCTAATTTCAGAATGATTCAATTTGATTTATCTGTAGTCTTCAATTTTTATGTAGTATCTTTGGTGCAGGATTTTCAAATATTATTTTTTAGAGCATAGGGTTAGGTATGACACTCTTCCTTTCAAGTGATAATTATGCATATTACGGTTCAAGATTTATAATAGTTATGCATATTACGGTTAAAGATTTATATGAATTTCGGAAAAAGAACTATCCATATGAAAGTGAAGTCAACTTGAAGGCTGAATTATTTGAAGCAGTACAACATTCACAAGATCTGACTGAGGAGCCTTCCTCAAGTCAAACAAATTTGTTTGATTTCTCGAATCTTGTTGTAGATGCTGAGACTTTAGAAGAACAAACAAAGAATCGAGAAGAAGGTCAAGATTCTAATTCCGAGTATGCTAAATCACAAAGAGAGCACAAGATACGGTTTAGGAAAGAGATTCAGGAGAAAGGATTGAACGTGAAAAATGAAGTGCAAGCTTCGCCAACCTTAAATTATTAAGATGTATCTATGGGGTTGTTTTTTTCACAAGTAATGTTGATGAGGTTAGTGTATAATAATAAATGATGAATATAGCATGAATATGTGTTTTGTATTTAAAGCTACAATTCTTTCAAATAATCTACAATCTTTTATTATATGAGATAGTTATATATGTACATGGTGCAATTTTATAAAAAATTAGTTTCTTCTTTTAGAAAACTTTTTAACGACTTGAGAAGTTTCCGACCCAGCTTTAGCGGCATCTTTTCTATATTTTGAAACAATTTCGTGTCTTTGATTCAAGCCTTCCTCAGCGGCTTTCGATAAAATACCAACCATCAATGAGGTAGCTCTCATGGAGTCATCATTACAAGGAATTGGATAAGTCAACAACGAAGGCTCCATGTCAGTGTCACAAAGTCCAATAGTTGGAATTCTCAGCTTTATACATTCGTTTATACAGTTCCTGTTTTCCACTGGATTCAAAATAACGACGAGATCAGGCTTGATTATTCCACCGTTAACAGCAGGATCCAAAACACGATTTGTAGGGAGGTCCAACATATCAACCTCCTTCCTACTGTTGACATCAACTTGCTTGGTGACCTCTGTGAAGTTAGTAATAGTACCGGGGATCCATCTCTTTGAAACGTAGTAACCATTAGAGCGATTTGCAGCTTCTTCTACACTTCTCAGTTGTTCCCAGTTTTTGCTTGTACCAACGTACAAGATAACACCACCCTGGCCCGCTACTCCTTTGGCAACCTTAGCTGCTCTTTTTAAAGCAACCATGGTTTCATTCAAGTCAATAAGATGTACACCGTCATATTCACCATAAAGAAATGGTTGAGTAGATGGTCTCCACAATGCCTTGGAATGTCCCAAATGACATCCAGCTGCCATTAACTTGTTAATAGTAACTTCTGAAATAGTCTTTGGTCTCCTAACTTCATCTCTAGCTCTATAAATATTAGTTAACTCAGATCCAAGAGAACCGGAGTTACGTGAATGAGATAGCTGACGTAAGTAAAGCTCTTGTTCAGAATATGGCTTGTAATCAGGGGTTGGCTTTAAATTTGGAAATTCATTGGTGTATGAGTGAGAGGAAGTTGATTTTATTGTTGATTGTGAGCCAGAAGTGGATGATGAGTCCAAAGATGAATTAGAGGTCTGCTTCTTTTCAGATACAGATTTAGCAGCCCATGGATGATTTGAAATCTCTCCATAAGGAATATTCATTTGGTTGAACATGAACTCTTCCAATTCTTCATCTAACTGTTTGATCTTGTCTTGATTTTTTAAACCTTTGATGCTAGACTGAAGTTTATCTAACCTAGCATGAATGAGCGAAGTAGGAGTCTTATTTAAAGTTCCTATCAATTCTTTTGTCTTTTCTTTTAATTCACGCAATGCTTTTACTTTAGCAAGAGCTTCTTCTTCTCTAGCTAATGCATCAGCAATAGCCTTTTCACGAAGTTCTCTTTGAGATAATTGTAAAGATGACTCATTTGATTCCGTGGAAAAATAGGATACTACTGGGACTCCCCTTCTTTTCAATATATGAGTGTATGACCTTAACATTCCCGGCCTTGAAAATGAAAGCATGACAGTCATTACTATGGCTACCACTTAAGGAATTCGTTGTCTCTGAATCTTCAAACTTTTTTTTTTCTGTACGAAGATTTTTGAAATTTTTCACCTTATATTATTGTTTGGTATAGACACGATCAATAACATTTCCTGCAGGTGATTTAGATCTCTATGTCAAATCTATACATACCTTTGTTACGGCATAATTGAATTTATGGCTCTAAATATACATGATTTATTACTATCAAAATGACATTCCATTTATTGAGTTCGCTAATAAATTATCAAGTAATGGAGTGGAATCATCTATAATTATAATGGATCCGGCCTTGTATAATTCTTCTTTTGAGTTGGAACCAAAATTTGCAACTGTTAAGAATACTCATCAAATGGAACATGTCAACGTGATTTTAATTGAAAAGCTCTCTGAACTTACTGATTTACTAGAGCAGACAATAAGAGGTAAGCTGGGACCCTTATTTTCTTCATCAATTGTTGGCATTTTTGATATTTTTCTGGGATTCTTGAGCTTCGGGACAGCTATTGAAACTTCATATTTCCTAGATTACAAAGACTATTCAGCAAAGACGTTGAATTACATATGCAACCTCCTTTATAATGTTTCGTATTACAGAGGAGTGAATATTTACATATCTGATAGAGGAAATGAATTGATAACGCTTGATGAGCCTACCTTGATTTCTAGGCATCCCCTAATTTGGAATAGTAAGCTTCCAAGTACAAACACAACCTCACTACAAAAGGAAAATGATATTGATAATGAATTAAAGAAATCAGTAGTGGAAGTTCCATTGGAATTTGTTCTATCAAAATGGATACTGGAAGTAACATATTTACAGTGAAAGAGTACAGGAAGAAAATAAAGTAGGTCGATAATAACATTATCGTAATGATAACGAATGTTGAGGTAAAAAACTTTTACATTTCTTTTATTTCTTTTCATAATTTTGGATTAGTTTGTACAAATAGCATATAATTAACTATTTAATTTGAATATATGCTACGTGCCTGTCACCTTATTTAACTTCTTCAATTGGAGCTGAAGCTTCTTCTTCTTCACCTTCTCCCTCTTCACCATCATCTAAGCCAGCGCCACCAGCTTGTCCCAATTGACTAGCTAACTGACTTATGTCGAAGTCTCCGCCAGGCCCACCAGCACCACCAGCACCACCCATTTGTTGCATTAATGAAGCAATATCAAAACCACCAGCACCACCTGGGCCACCAGCACCACCCATGCCCGGCATTCCACCCATGCCTCCCATGCCTGGCATTCCTGGCATACCGCCCATTCCTGGCATACCACCGGCTCCACCACCCATCATGTTTGCCATACCAGCCATATCATCTTCACCTTCAGGTTGTTCATCTTGTTCGTCTTCATCGACCCACTTGTCAAAATCAGTCTTAATGTAGTGTAATTTCAACTTATCCTTAGTCAATCTTGGCCAATATTCTTCTTGAGCCTTCTTCTTTCTTAATACTAAATAGATTTTAGAGCCTGAATCATTTTGCTTGCTGTTTTCTGTGTCAATTTCGTCAAAGAATTCAATCTTTAAATGATAGTGGGCATCAGAATCGCTGGTGTCAGACGTGAATTGCAATTCAGTGCTAGTTAAATCAATCTTAGTATTCTTTGCATCTGCTAATTGAATAGTCAAGAAAATCACGTTCTTTTCAGGTTCATTGGCATCTGAACGTTGTGCCCATAAGACAACTGGATTAAGGGTTACAGCCATTGTTAATATGAGAAATAATAAACTAAAAAAGGTTGATTAATTCAATTGGTTTTTAATTGAAAAGTAGTTTCAACACTCATTGATTAAATATTAGTGGAAATCATTTGCTGTTGAGTTTGTTCAACAAAGAGAAAGTTCGAGAACTTCCTGCAGGAAAATGAAATATTTTACATGCAGTACGCAATCAAAAAAAATAGAAGAAAAGCAGCAGAAAAATATTGCTAGATCGAGTATGAAGGGTGATATGATAGATCTGCAAAGGATAATACACTCTCGTTCAACTACGCCTAAGCAACATCAAAGCGTATTCAGTACGAAAGCTCATGAAATTAGATGAGTGGAAAATAAAATCTTGTTAGATTATTGCTTCCCTGAATTCTGTGCATTGAATGCAGCCTACCAATGAAAGTATTGGTATACAAGGCAGTGAAGTAAGTATCGCTCACCTCATTCATGTGGAGGTTTTGATTATGGGCACTGGTACCCCATAGTAAATTTAAGTTTCGCAGGTAAAGATTGCTAGTATCCCTCCATTTTAAATTTTTTGTTTTGTCGCAATACAAGAAAATCGAGGATTTAGATCCTTATCTATACAATAGCTATTATCGCAATAAGGACGAATATTGGTCAAGGAAAGAAGAAAGCATATATATGGATCAATTAATAGTATGATAGGTGATCTTCCAATTGAGATTCAACTTAAACTATTGTCGTTGGCTCCAAGAAGTTCTTTAAAATCCGTGAATTCTCATTTTTATGTGCTCTATAATGATCTCTATTACCAAAAAATTGTTCAAGTCTTCGGAGAGTCAATTATTAATGTGCTAATAAAAACATCGCCATGGTTGATAACATATATGAAATCTTTAGATGTTATAAGAAGCCATCTAAGGAACTTGATAGCATCCAAGTTAAAATTACCTATACCAAATGATAAGAATAATGCAACAACTGAAAATGTACTTCATTTTCAGTACTTGGCTGATTCTTGGAAGTATATCTATTCATTGCTCAAGAATAAGAGACTATTTGCAGAGTATTCTGATTATAAAATTGATGAGCCTACAAATTATGTGTTTAATCATTTCGTGGAGATAAATAGAACTTATCTTCTATCTTACTCCAAAACCCTTTGGCTATCCCCAGGAAAATACAACCTAAATATAGGACTAGTAATAAAGCATGGCAATGGATTGGGTACGACTAAATTTGAAGTTAGCTATGGTGGCGATAAAGATCCAATAAGACAATCATTTTTCGCTCCTCGGAATATAAACGAAATCCTACCCAAGAAGCAATTTTGCTTTTTGAAGTTGGGCGAATTTGAAATAAAGCCTGCGAACAAGACGAAACTTGAAAATCCGCTAAATAAATTGATTAAAGTTAATCTAATTATGGAAGAGATAGGATTGTATCTTAAGTCTGGATTTAGGATCTTTTTTATAGATGTCTCACAGCCATCTACATTATTTAACGATTATGATTTACTCTATTATACCGTTAAAGAAATTGATTATAGATATTTCATAAATATACCATTAAAAAATTTTTACAAGGCACTTAATTTTGTGCAAAATGGGGGTTCTGAAGATGATGGGGATGCTAGAGAAAGAAAACGGAAGTTAAGCATTGAGGTTGAGCATTATGAAAAAGAAGAAGAAAATTCAAATAACGAAGAAGACTACTACGGATCAGGAGACCCGAATGAGATTGAGACTTATGAGACTGAACTTTCAATCGCTGAGGCTGTAGAATCGAATAATGAAGCTAATGATCTTGATGAAAATGAAAAGCAAATAAAGGCATATGGAAAGTTCTACTTTCTAAATCGATTCGGTAAGAGATACTTCAAATTTAACACTGTATATCAGAGAAGACAATTCATAAATAGATTTGGAGATTTCGAGTTGGATTGGAATGACGAGAATGTTAAAGGAAATGGCGATAAAAAGAAGGCATGTAACTATGATCTTAATGGCTTGAAATGGAAAATGCCTATTCTAGGTGAGTTATAGGAATTAGAAAAATAAACATTATTTAAAATATAGTTAGTTCATATTTGTAGCTCAGGCTTACTAAAATAAAAGCCATGTGACAGATCACATTGGTAGTTCAGGTTATTCATCGGATTAGCCATTCAGCAATTGAAGCATCATTCTTTAGCTTGAATGTAGTAAGCTTTTTTTTTGGCTGCAAATGCATTAATATCGGCTATATACAGGATTTTCATATTTTGATTTCTTTAATTTTGATTTACAATCATTGGAAGAAAAGGGAACTGATCACCGACCTAACTCAAGTCGTTCAGTTGTAATGGACCTACCACTTTCCGGTACTATCAATCAAGGCTCGGAAATTAAGAACCAGGACCAGAAAGAACCAATTCAACTGGATTCTAGGACTGAAGCTTACGAGATAGATAAGAGAAGAAATGATAAGGAAGTTGAATCCACAAATAATACAAATTTGCAGAATAATGATAAGCAACACTTAGATCATACCGACAGTAGACAAAATAATGAAAATAATGATGAAGATCCGCGACTGGAGGAGGCCGATGAATCTGAGTCTGGAAACCTACCTGAGTTCAACAATAAGCGTATTGTATTGCAAAGGTTTACAGTGTACAATTCATTGAGGACCATGTACATAGTGGGAAGTAATGCTAAGGAAAGTTTGTTTAGGATTCTTGAAATATGCAAAGACCCTAACGATGCCGCAGCAAATTTAGAAATTATAGAAGACAAAAGTTATTTTTATACTCGAAAAGATATGATTGAACTTTTGAATGGATTAAACGATTCTCTTGAGGGAGGAATTTATAAAATCGCTAGAGGATACGGGATTCTCGGTTTAATCAAATTCACAAAAGGATACTACTTAAGTTTAATAACGAAGTGCAGTCAGGTTGCAATTTTAGGAGGGCATTTTATATATCATGTAGATGAGACGAAACTCATTCCACTTGATACGAAATACAGAAGACCAGATAAATATAGCGACGAAGAAAGATTGTTGTCAATTTTCAAATACTTAGATTTGGGCAAAACTTTTTATTTCAGCTATTCGTATGATATTACGAATACTTTGCAGACGAATTTTATTCGACAAAAGAAACATGCAGAAAAGAACCAAAATATGCAGAATGAAGGAGAAGATCCAAATGGAGGTAACAAATTCAATGCTTCTAGCAATCTACACCTGTTTGACCCCTTCAACTCGTTCGAACACAATGAAAGATTTGTCTGGAACAAACTTTTACTCAAACCTATTTTGCAGAATCAAGATATTGCGATATACGAATGGTTTCAACCTATAATACACGGCTTTGTTGACCAAGCGAATATCTCAATCTATGGGAAGAAAATATATATAACTATCATTGCCAGAAGGTCTCATCATTTTGCGGGAGCCAGATTTTTGAAGAGAGGTGTGAATGATAAAGGCAACGTTGCGAATGAGATTGAAACAGAACAAATTGTTACAGATATGCTACTCTCATCATTTCATGACCCAAAATATGGGTTCTTCAGCAATCCAAGATTCACTAGTTTTGTCCAACATAGAGGCTCAATTCCATTATATTGGACGCAAGACTTAAATAGATTGCCAAAGCCGCCTATCGAAATAAATCTTTCCGATCCATTCTATCAGAGTTCTGCTATACATTTTAATAACCTATTTGAAAGGTATGGACTGCCTATTATTATCTTGAACTTAATTAAGACGAAAGAGAAAGTACCGAGAGAACTGAAATTAAATGAGCATTTTGTGAACTGTGTAAAATACTTGAATCAGTTCCTTCCCGATAAGCACAGGCTCCAAATGCATTCATTTGATATGTCTAAACATTCGAAAAAAAATCTAGATGTAATCGGACCACTACAAGAAATTGCTGCTTCATCACTAAACCAAATTGGATTCTTTCACAATGGTATTGATATCGAAAGTACTAAAATTCAGAAGGGAATTATAAGGACCAACTGCATTGATTGTCTCGATCGAACCAATGCAGCTCAATTTATTATTTGTAAGGAGGCATTATGTCACCAATTATCCAGTTTGAAATTAATATCTGATTCCACCACGTTGGATTATGATTCTGACTTGATTAATATACTTACAGAAATTTTTCATGATCACGGAGACACAATTGCTGTACAGTATGGTGGATCCAATTTAGTCAATACGATGGACTCTTATAGACGTATTAATCAATGGTCTTCTCATACAAGAGATATGTTAAATAGCATCAAGCGAATATATTCTAACTCATTTATGGATCTGATTCGCCAGGAAGCAATAAATTTATTTCTAGGAAATTATATTTACGATCCAAACAAACCAAAGCTTTGGGAACTACAAAATGATTTTTACTTACATAACAACACTTTAATTGAGGATATTAGGGTCAAGAGAAGCTATCAACACTGGTACAATGAAAAGTTTTTAAACGAGGCTAGGTTTATATTGACCTCACAAACTGAAAAACCACTTGAGTCAGATTCGACCGAACTTGAAAAGATAGTGAATGCGTATGGTCCTTTTCCACAATTAGAAGCATATCCAGAATACAATGATAATTGGTTCAATGAATGTTACGTTCCGAGGAAATTTCAGTCATTTGGAGAGTTGTTCCAATTTAATATGAATTCAAATGCTAGGTATTTTCCATCTAATATCAGCAATGACTTCACTAACAAATTTGACTACAGCCCATTTGAGACCAGAAAACCTACGTTTAGAATTTCAAAGTCAAATGAGATGCTAAATGCGAGTAATGAAAATGCGACGAGGAATGCTGGGTTAAAGTATTTAGAATCGTCGGGTGATGATGGAAAATATGACGAAGGCGACGACTACGAAGATGGTGATGAAGTTACAATTAATGAAAAGGAACATGATACAACCATGAAGTACAGCGAAACTGATTCATCTAAAGCAAGCAAGTCGAATAGAACTTCTTCATCCAATTACTTAAATATGACAAACCCGAATAAGATTAAGAATTTCTTAACTACAAAAATTGAAAAATTCGGATATACAACTGGGCAACTCCAGGACCACAATGAAAATGAGAGTCAAAAATCGTACTCAGATTCGTACACTCATCGAATGAACGAGAAAGAACATAAACGAGATGTCAATATTTCAGGCACCCCTCAAATTTCCCCAGAGGACTTAAAATTATACAAGGCACAATCTGATTCACCTATAACAGTCCCAAAACTACCATCTACCACAAGTCTCAATACTGGTATTAGAGCTTGCGAAAATGACAGTAATATTTACATGTATTACACAAATAGATTAGTACACGGAAATGATCACACCTTCGATAATAAAATGGAAATTTTCGATAACGTTGCTAATTTAGACTTACTGGATGCTAATATCTACAAAAAGTACTTAGGAGTAGATGATGATAAAAATTATGATTTTGACGCTGAGGATAATTATTTTCGTTGAGACTAGATTGTATAGAGAATAAAAATAAGATTATGCAGTGTTTAGTTTATGTAGGGCAGTAAGTACCATCTCTGAAGCACACACTTTACCCCTAACAAAATTAATGCCACCGAAAACATAGAATCAAGCATAGCACTAACAAAACTTTTACGTACTCAATGCTGATGAGAATGTAATGTAAAAGAGAGCCATAATAGAGCCAGCACGGAAAATGAACCGCCACTAAAACATATCCAAGAAACGAATAAGGAGCAACAAAGACGTCACATAAAAACAAAATAATCACAAACTACACCATTAACTAGGCGCATCACTTGAAAAAGCGTATTAGAAAGATGTAGAATATACAATGAACTTATAATTGAAAGACAGCAAGTTCCTATCTGGCATCTCGCAATTCATGATACTGCAACTTGTGGCCGCTTACATCAGGGGATCAGGAAGCATAACAGTATACGGAATAAAATTCAATAAACGCAAACGCATACAACTTGTTCAGATTCACAGAAGAGACACACTTACTTCGTGCCTACTATACATTCAATAAAACGATTTTAACTCTTAGTATTAACTAATGCTCTATACTATAATTACGTAGATCAAGAGAAAGAACAGAGCCAGGCTGATGTACAATTATCATTATAGGATTTATTTCCCAACATGAGATGCAAGAAGCTGTTCTCTCGTTGTAATTTCGTGAGCTCCAGGGATGATACCCTTAATAGATACCCTCATGAAGTACGCTTTAGAACTACATAATTGTAGATTCGATATTTTTGCATCATAAATAAAAATCTCGTGATGAAACTGAATGTCGATATATCGGGACATAGTTTCTTGTTGAGAGAATCAGTACAAAGAGATTCTACTCATAAAAAGATATATATACTAGTCTGAGAAAAGCCTTCAACGTAGACTTTGCCTATGGTAATAGCAATAAGGAATCTCAGTTTGTGCATCACAACGATCAAAAAGATCCATTCAGGATTCAAGCAAGAATCAATTTCAATATATATATATTAACTGTGATTGGGAGCGTCCTAGTACTACACATATCCTAGTATTTACTCCAGATTCTATAGGGGATTGAGAAAACAGATTGGAATCTATTGGATTACTAAGACCAATCGCATAGTAAACCGATATCAACAGTTGTTCTCTTTTATTTTAGAGCATTGGAACTTTCGAATGACATAAGTTCTGACTTATTTGGGATTCAACATATGTTTTCTGACAAAGCAGAAAATAAGATGCAAAGACTTTGTAGGAGCAAAAACAAATGATCCCTTATTTTTGATTTGTAGACATGAAGAATGTGAACCTGATTAGACAGTCTATAGAACGTAAGTGCTTGCAGTAAATGAGACGACGTATCTCTTCCCATCGTCACCATCCTTTAGAATGCGCCTCCAGTCTAACGAGATTTATCAATATAAATACCGGCAAGGTTGATTAGACCAGACCAGTATGACGTTCAGAAAGTCGCCTCTCGTTATCAGTTCGTTAATTGTCGCTCCTGTCGAAGCCTGATTCTTACTTCAAGGCATATATATAGAAGACATACGAACATAAACTGTTCTAGGTATATATGTACGAAATAGAAATCAGATTAGAGCCTAAGTATAAGCATAATATATATAGAAATAGCTATCAAAACTGGTGCACACTTATCTATAGCAATAAGAGAACTTATAGTATCTAAAGTCAGTGGCATGAAAACGTTCTCAGTCTACTACAGAGAAGAACCCTTTTCTGCCTCTGCCTCAGCTAGTAATTGTATATTTCCCTTAAGAGTTAGTGACATCATACTTCATCCTTCTTCACAGCTGTTGTTGCATCCTGAGAGATCAGAGTGACATGATTTATTTACTGGCATGTACAATGTAATGCTTCAAATATGAAGAGACTGCTTATTTTCCATCATGCCAAAGGAAGCGCAATAGGTGCAACTTATACCGACTATATCATTATAATTCGTCTCTTCAGGTGTGGTTTGCAGTTATTCAAATTGCATTCACTTTCATAAAGCTACTCACAAAATCTTCTCAGCTGTAAATTCCGGTTTGAATAATTGTAGGGTACTCATTTCTTTTTAAATACAAAAGGTAGATCTATTAACTGATGTTCAAAGAGAAAAATGAAAATGCAGGCAGAAGTTCTACGAGATTGCTGGTTTGAATCACCAAAAAATTCATACATTCTTAGCGCTCACATCTGCGCTTTCTAGAGGCCATACTCTGTTTTTTACTTATTCATCTATCCCTTTTGAGTGAACTACAATATGTAGATGCTATTGTATGATGATCCCTGGTAGGAATTTATTGTGCATTCTGTTCTTGCGTTTTATCTTTCTTGTAGTTTTGAATGTTTTCCATGCGATTATAGTTTTCATTGGGACACTTTTGATACAGATGCATGTTTCACTTGCTTCTAGGTTCGAGCTCTTATTGTCGCTTCATTTTAACTTAACCAAAATTTGATATACACAGCCATACATCTTCACATGAGCTTTGATTTTCTCAGTTTACTATTTTAATTATGGTTCTTACTTTAATGGGCATGTAAATTAATAGATATTTGGCTACTGGTAAAATTAGTTTCGAGTATGGATATTTTCCTAAAAATTGCAACCATTTTGTCCCACATTTCAGTTTTATATCGATAAAATCTTACAAGGACTAGCTTGTCATAATTACTAGTTGAAAAAATGGTACTCTTTAAATTATGGTTCTTACTATAATGGGCATGTAAATTATAGATTTTTGGCTACTGGTAAAATTAGTTTTCGAGTATGGATATTTTCCTAAAAATTGCAACCATTTTGTCCCACATTTCAGTTTTTATCGAGAAAATCTTACAAGGACTAGCTTGTCATTTTCGTTTTTAATTACTAGTTGAAAAAATTGTACTACTTGTTAGTTCTTAGCTTAAGTGGGCATATAAATTAATGGATATTCGGCTGCTAGTAAGATTAATTCCGATTATAGATATTTTCCTACAATTTGCAACCATTTTGGCTCACATTTCAGGTTTTTCGATCCAGAAAAATTAACGGGAACTGGCTACGTCATTTTTGCTTGAATTGAATCACTAATCGGAGGAATTGTACTACTTGAATTAGAATTTTAGTGGATTAATTCGTTTCAGAATAAGAGATATTGTGTTGAGATAATATTAAATTTCCAAATCAATTTTTTATGTAAGGAGTATTGTTAGATTTTTCTGAGAAATGAGTTCTTTGGTAATTAAATATTATTTGATTTTCTCTACTTACTATAATTGAAATTGGGAGTCGCAATGGAAATGCATAGTAATTCTTAGCTTTTCTCGAAAATTGACATGCTCAGGTGACCCAACATCAAGAGGAAAAAGAGGGGATAATAGTAAACCCGGCAGTCGAACCCGCATAATTCCGCACATTCTCCGAAAAACTCCGAAAATGAGCTTCACCTTAACCTTCTTCTAATGTTTATACCAAATGAACAGCTTGTACAGAACAGGTGACAGGCAATGATCTGATATATAATCTGACTAGCAGACTTACCTCAATATCTAGGCTGTAAAATGATTCAACGCTAGTTTTGAAACACTCTTCAAAATGTTCTTTCGATAATGTGTAAACCGCGAGGCTAATGCATACCTATCTCGAGTACAAAATGTAAAAAGAAATACAAATGAGGGGCAGTGAGATACTAATGGCCAGGAGATGCAGGTAAACAATTCTCCAACGAATATTTAGGTTCCTTCAGCTTTCATATATATATGCCAACGAATTTAGATTTATAAGCTCTTCATTTTATCCAGCTCTCTTATTTTAAGGGTTTATCTTGTCGTATATTTATTGTGTCCCGTTTAATTAACGACATAATTACTTCTGCAGGCCATCTCAGATAGCGAAAAAAAGAAAAACTATCACCACGAAAACTTTAGGAACATATTTCTTTAAGTACTTCAAATATATACTGTTGTAAAATACACATGGAGAATGTCTAAAACTCAAGAAAAAATTGCTTATCCGTATGTACATCATTCTATAACTAAGAAATTCAAGCGGCAGAGAGTTCCTTGCTCTAAACAACTCTAAAAATCAATCAGAATTATCTGTTATGAGCAAGTAGAATTCATTCAAACATACCTAAGGAGCTACTACACAAAGAATAAGTACCCACTGACTAGTTGTAGTTTGCAGCTGTGTCATAAAAATTGAGTTTATTACTAACAATTCTGTAGATTTTGGTATGGTGGTGCTGCCAGTATGGTTGCGTGTTTAGTGACACATCCACTTGATTTGGCTAAAGTTCGTTTGCAGACGGCCAGTAAACCTGGTCAAGGTCTTGCTTCAATGGTATATCAAATTATTACCAAGGAAGGTTTCTTCAAGATCTATTCCGGATTAACTGCTTCTCTTTTAAGACAAGCAACTTATTCCACTGCAAGATTTGGTATATATGAGTTCTTAAAAGAATCATACACTGAGAAATACAAACATGCACCTGCCACCCATATTTTATTACCAATGTCAATGTTGGCTGGGGCACTTGGTGGTCTAGTCGGGAATCCTTCCGATGTTGTGAACATTAGAATGCAAAACGACTCTTCTTTACCGATTGACCAAAGAAGAAATTACAGAAATGCTTTTGATGGTATTTACCGTATTGTGAAGGAAGAAAGTGTTGGAACTTTATTTAGAGGATTGACACCAAATTTAGTTAGAGGAGTCTTGATGACAGCTTCTCAGGTTGTTACATACGATATTGCAAAGACCTTGTTAGTTGATAACTTACAATTAGACCCTGCAAAGAAACTGACTCATTTTAGTGCTTCTCTTTTAGCTGGTTTAGTTGCAACTACTGTTTGTTCGCCTGCTGATGTTGTCAAGACTAGAATTATGAATGCCAAGGGCTCTAGTGAAAATGCTGTATCAATCCTCACAAAGGCTGTGAAGAATGAAGGGGTAGGCTTCATGTTCAGAGGTTGGTTACCATCTTTCATTAGGTTGGGACCTCATACAATTGTAACATTCTTGGCATTAGAACAATTAAGGAAGTATAAGATTGGTATTTTTTAGGTTTTTCAAGGAAATCCTTCTTTAAAGTGACATTCACTAGCATAGACATGTATGAATTGTTGAAACATAGTACATTCAGAGAAGTACCTGTATACAAAGGTAACTTGAGCAACAAAGTGCAGACTTTCAAAATTGTATTAATTTATACATACTATTTAGATACTTTGCTTGCTTGATATATTTATAGATTTTTTTTTTAATTGCCCAAGTTCGTGGCACTAATAGAGATAAACTTTGATACATTTAATGTAGATTGGCCTTCTAATATCTCCGCAGTCTTTAACAGCTCGATCTTTCCAACTCAATCCTAACAAAATCTCTTCTAGTAAACTTACATTCAAAGCCTTACAATTATATATATTTATTTAAATTTCTTTTTTGCGTAAATGGTTACTCTATTTAGTGATGACGATGCTGTCCAATTCTGCCTTTTCGAAAGCTTCCTTTTCAGCTTCTAAAATGTATGGGACAAGGTAGTTGGTATCTTCTTCTGGCTTTACTGCTTTACTCTCTGGTAATAATTGATGGGATAATGATAATTGGTGAGCAGTTATGAATCTGTAATTTCTAGCATAGCTTTCATCAGCTGGTAATCTGGAGATAGCCTTTTGCATAATTGGAGTTTCTTCAAGGAGTAAATCGTTGAACCTAAAATACTGTTAGTATATGCTAAATCAAGAAAAAACTTAAAGTGAAGTAAAATGTATCACATATTAATTGAGTAAACCTTTTGATATTCCAGTTGGAAATGATCTCTGCCTAGAATCGACAAATCTTTCAATGAAAAGATGTAGAATGTTCTCCACATTTGATGCGTACTAAGACACCTTGAAAAGTTTCCACTAACTATGAAGTTTACCTGTAGATCGCTAATGACCATTTAAAACAGATATATGCCTCAAACAGAGGTCTTCCTTTGATGTATTGCTGGACTAATCAAATTTACTAAGGTGAACTCTAATTTGAACACTTACTTTAAACCCATTTCTCTGTAACCAGCGTAGGATACAAAAGTCTTTGCAATAGGGGTGATGATCTTAGACAAAGTTGGTCTAGATAAGATGAAGTCAGCAGTCTTCACAATGGAGGTAATAGAAGCCATATTTGTGTAGATATGTTGATGGGACTAGAGCAGTATAGGTTTCTAATGACATTTCAGTTTAAAATATGTTTGATATTTTTCGCAAATTTAAAATTGTGTTTGTCTAATTGGCTGAAGTAGACTTCCTAATTGGGAACAATCTAACTTGAGCACTAATTCTACTTATTGAACCATCATCCGCAGTAAAATTCGATAATGTGACACGTGACTGAACATTGATTTCATAAGCTTTCAGAGCCAACACATGTTAAATCAACCGGCTACTGTGTTAAACAACAAATAATATTTATATGTATTCTAATTTTAATCTATGTCTATGTAAATAGCCAACTATGGAGACAATTCAATATTTGAACTCTTCACTATGATCAGCAGCCTGCTTTGGAAATCCAAGCTCTTTCAAAATAGTTATTGGCCCAACTTCTTTACAAAGCGTTAAATATTCCTTTTCTCTACACAATATTAAACCAGCATATCCGCAACTGTTAACTCCAAACTTCGAGCCATTGTATTTGCTATGAGAACGTGGAACGACCATCATATATTCAGTGGTCATGAGTACATTGTAAGAGATATGATCGACCACCTCATTTTCCTTTATAACTGTAAGGGCTCTCTGAAGTAAAGAGACGAAATACATTGATAAGTCATCCGCTTCCATTTCCTTTAAGTCAGGGAGTTTAGCTACAAAGTGAGCGAATGGTAACGATTCGTTTTGCAATGGTTCCTCCTTGTCGTTGGGCATGAAAGGGCCACTTTTCTTTGCAACATTTTCGGCAAATGGTGTGAATTTCGTTTTATCAGGTAATGTCATGAATTGTACATGCTTGTGTGGTTGTGATGCTCCACTTTGTGGCCCACAGTTGTAGAACGCTAACCAACTATGTGTCTCTTCAGATGTCGTACTCTTAAGTTTACTCAAAATAGAGTAAACCCCAACCAATTCATTTGTCGACAAAGGGGTACTTTGAGGCTTGAATTCATTAGTTACCATCATGAAATGTCTTGGTACTAACGGAAATTTGTTGAAGACTACCTTGAACTCGTTTTCCCCTCCAAACTCCTCAAAAATGGTGAGTTCAGGTTCAGGCTTATTGAACGGATTCTTGTCCACGGTACCATGGGCAGGCTCAACGGTTTCTTTTCTTGGATTGAATGTAGTATATTCAATATCAATTAGATCTTCTTCAATTTCCTTCAACTTCTCATCATCTTGTATTTGGCCAGAATTAGCACTGTAATGATCTATTTCAACCACAGCATCTATTCCGTTGAAGACTAAAAAATCATTCTTTAAAGCATATTCGTACTTTTCAGTAAGCTTTTCAGAAAAGTCATCTGGAATATCAAGTAACATATCTATCTATTAGTATTTACTGTGTCGATAAAAAGAGGCTCATTTCGGAATAACTTTGCTGCTTAAATGGAAAAAAGACCACGGACTTATATAAGAGTTGCTGCAACTACATGCAGTACACATACACACTGCCTTTATTAAACCTTCATAGAAAGTATCATTAGTTATTTAGTTAAATATGAAAAAGTTCATGCATTAAATTAATTTAAATATGGCACTGGGTATTAAAATAGTAGAATGAAAATGTAATTCTATGCTAAAGTGTGATTAATTAGGATGAGTGAATATACTCTTTTTTTTTTTTTGATTTTTCAACAGTTTTATTAATTTATTCTTTCTTGATCTCGCTTTTCTAATATTTCCTCTTTAACCAATTGATAAATCTACTGTTTCTTTTACCTGTATTCAGCCTCAAACTTCTTAAGTCATCATTCTCATTTTCTTGACCCGTTGATAATGTCACTGAGTGCGACTTTCTGTGAGCAAATGTGTGATTTAAATTTTGCAGGCGATTATTAGATAATGCAGGTTGTTGAAGTGGTGGAATTGACCTGTTCTGCAACAGTGAAAACAGAGACGACCTCGATGATTTAACTGTAGTACCAACTTGTTGATTAGTAGAAGTGGAAGCAATAGAAGTCGAAGAAGAAGACGACGTATCCTTCTTAGATTTAGTAGGTGATCTAAATGAAGGAATTTGCGTTTGTTTGAGAAAAGATTTCTCTTGAGGGGATAATGGTCGTCTTGAGGAAACATCACTTGATGGCGAGGAAGCCTTACTGGCCTCCTTTGAGTTCGAAACTGAGTTATTAGAATTCAATGGGAATGATGCAGATATAGGTGAAATTGCAGAAGTAGGATTCGTCTTCTTATTTGGCGATGTATTATCAGTTAGAACAATAATACTCTTCGTCAGATTTGAGTCTATGCCATTCGTTTTATCAGGAATCGAGATCGGAGAAGGCTTCTTTCTCATATCGTCTTCGTTGCTTACTACAATTAGTGGCGTAGGAATAACTTCTGTTATAGTATGTTGTTCCGAGTCCTTAGATGCAAATGAATTCGTTTGTTGTTCATGAAGTGAAGAGTGCTCCGTGGATTGAATTGTAGCATTCGATGAAATGATTGTCGATGAAACCTCTGAATTAATGCTGATTGGCGAATTTGAAACATTCTTGGAGCCCGAGTTCATTGGAGGAAGTACTACCAGGATTGTCGAGCTTCCAGTCATTGTCTTAGGGGTTGCATGAATGCTATTGGTCGATTCCTTTGTATTAACTTGAACAGGTGGGGATAGTTTACGAACAGAAACATTAGCTGCTGTAACGCCGTTACCGGAAAATCCGCCACTAGTAACTCGAACTTCATTGAATCTTAATTTTTGATTACTTCTTTTATTCAGAACTGTCTTTAAACTTGGCAAACTTGACGAATGTCCTAATATCTTTATCTCCTTAGGGAAAACGCCGCTTCCACCACTGTCATTACTCGTAGTACGAACAATGTTAACGCTTTCTGTAGATGAAATTTTCAAAGCATTTGAAATCTTATAAGATTGATCGTAAAATGATTGGTATCGAGTCGCCTTTGCTCCTGATCTCTTCCCATGATGATTTGAATGAGAAGACGGTGGAGTATTAATATTCAGATTCGAATAATTGTTTGTTGAATCGTTTGAAAAAGTCTTCTCGATTAACGGGTTAGATACATTTCTAGTAGTATTGCTACTTCTTAACGACGAACAAGAAGAATTTGCAGAGTCGTTTGAATAAAGCCCAACTAATGCAGATTGAGGGTTTGGAAAAATGTCCTGTTCTAAGTCAGAGACTGAAGCTGAGTTAGTTAACCTACAAGCTTCTCCCTCTTCTTCCTTTGGTAGCTCAATTTCCATCACTTCTTCTAATTCATCTGTAAATTGATCCATCTCTTGAATCGGCTGTTGAAATAAAGGATTGTTACTCGTGGATAAAGGAGATGAGATGAAGGGACTTGGGTACAGTTTGAAACAAGGAGAGGACAACAGCGCACAATCGTTTTCATCTGGGTACATTTCAAAAGGAGCCACTACCATTGGTGATGCAAAGGTATTATCCTTTGAAGAGGTGTGGCCGTAGCTTTGGCTACGGCCATGGGTATGTGAAGTGACAGGTTGTGGCTGGGGTAAATATGTGTTGCTACTATTGTTCGAACCACCCTGATCTCCAATATGTAAGTTTGCGCTTAATACTTCGTCAAGATCAATTACGGGGTCTGGCACTCCACTTTCGTTGTTCAATTGCGTTTCTTCAGTTAAGAAAAATCTCGTCTTCGGAGGCATATGGAAGGATTGTGCTTTTCTTCCGAGGCGTATTGGCGAGTTCAAACTATTGAAGGAGTGATGATGCAGTAATCTTTTAGGAGGTGAGGTAAAAACAGCGGAGCTCCTTGGAGAAGGTACGGACGCCGAATGGAGGAAATTTGCACTGGCTGAAGTTCTTGGAGTAGTTGATGCGTTTGGAAATGAAAAATCCACATTTTTGTTTCCATCTGTAAAGTCCTCATCATTATTAAAATTGAAATGTTTGTCAATATCAAAATCGGGAAGTGACAGCTTCTTCGATGGAGTATTGCCGGTTCCAGTTGTGGCTCCGGGAGGCGAAAAGAGCCCAAGACCCATAGCATCGAAATCCCCTGAGATCGCTGCCGATCTTCTATGTCCATGTCCACGTCTTGCAGCAGAGCCGGGTATTGGTGTTGCTAATAGTAATGGTGAAGAATTTGGTAATTGTGACATCACAATGCTATTAGTATGCAAAAATTAAAAAAAAAATGAAAATAAATTGAAGTATGAATTAAAATGAGCGGCGATTGGGCGTCAGTAGTTGATTAGTCTTATATCTATAAAAAGATTCAACGTATGTTTCGGGTTGAAGGTGTTGGTAAGTCCAAAATTTGACTTCGTAGTTAAAGCGTGCGTTGGCAAAGAATGTCTATTGAACTAAGAAGACACGAAGGATTCAAGGTACTGACCAGAATTGAAGACTAGTTGGACTTGAGATAAATGAATGAATAGTCAGTCTCAGTAATCCGGCGATTTCTCCTTATAATCGTTGAAACTTTCTAAAAAATTTGCTTAGTGAAATTGGGACGCGTCAGAACGTACCCAAAAAGAAGTTGCCGTCAACTTGAACAAAGGTAAGCAACTTGATAATAGATTAAAAGTAAAAGACCCGATAAGAACCGGATATGCCGAATACAAGTTTATGTATATATCTAAATGTAAATATATATATCTTATGCTTCAATTAAATTTGATTTCTTGGAAAGAACGGTGAGTGGATGCCTTTATTATTTTTTCTCTTTGAGAAGAGTAAATAAAAATTTTAAACGACGGAAAGAGGCAGTCCTGTATGCGGTCCAGTTAAGAATCAAGATTTTGATATATATAGTTACTAGGCCTTGTTCAAGGGCTTCAATAATATCTATCAAAGAGAAGAGGTGTTCTTTCGTTACTGAAATTATAATGAAAAAGGAGTTTGATAAAAAGGAATTTCGAAATACGAAGGAGAGTACTTTAATGTGAAGCCTTTTCTTTTTTTTTTTTTTTTTTTTTATGTGTTAAGCTTGGCCAGGACACTTCGCATATCTCAAAAATAAGGTTCCATCCTGCAGACGATCCATACTCCAAAGTGGTAAAACGCAGACGAAGTTAAATTCAGTCCAAAAAAGTGTTTCAAGGTTCATGTTGGGGGCTTCCATTCTCCTTTTGCAATTGGGCCCTCTTCAAATAAAGTTCTAGCTGAAGTTTTTATTAGGAACGAAAAGAGGTCTAAGAAAAATTTCACATCACAGGCGGAAGACTACTGGAACATTTTTAAAGTTATATCTTGGTACTCTGGAGTGAGTTCTTACGATATGAACAGGAAGTCACAGTAGAGAGATGCTCCCAAAGAGGAATGTATACAGGTTATTTGGAGAGCGATTCTTAAAATAAAGGTGACTAAAACAAAAAAAAAAGATGCGTACGAGCCGCACCTACTGCTGCACGAATTCCCAAAAGTACACCACCAAATGACTAAAAAGATGAGAGAAAAACTGACATCACCAACTTTACAATCTGATAGACAATTACAATAGCCTCTTCTACTGCTTTGTTTCCTAGTGGGTCAGAAAACATACATGCTGCACTGGAAACCTTCTATTTCCCAATATTTTCTTTAATTAATATATTTGTAGACATTTGCCAGTCTCCTTATCTTTTAATAAGGCAAGACCCTGCTTTTTCCAAACGGCATTTTCGGTTATAGATGAACAGGATGCTGCTTGACAATATAATACATTACTTTTTTTTCCCTCCCTTTTCTCTATGGCACATAAATAGTCTATTTTAACTTTTCCTCATTAGTAGCGATGTACCGTTCCTCACTAAATATCCCAGCCCCAGATTGGCTTAACCAGGATAAAGTTTCGTTAACGCTTTCCATCTAAAAAGATTTCATGCCATCCGACCTATGGATAGCCTCTTCGTCACAAGTGTTTTCTAAATATAGGTTTTTCATCCATTTCTTTTATTATTTTCATTATGAGTGACTGCACTTGTTATGCAACTCAACTGGAAAAGATGACTACTTTTGATGTGTGTACACTTATTAAGAGATGAATATAGAATGAGCGTTTTTTATTTCAATTTCTTTTTATTGTGCATGCACATTTTATCTTGATTGTGCATGAACAACGCGAATATATTCTTTTATATTTTTTATATTTTCTAGTGTTTCATAACCCTGGAGGTCTCCTTTAAAATTCATTCTTGAGACAAATTACCATCTTGATCTGGAAAGGTTTCAGTTATATATTTGTCTTCTGTACTTTTAATGAGGTCAGATTAGACGTGTCAAGCTCTGTTCTATTCAAACAACTATTTTCACGAAAGAGACCCACTCATCGAACTACTGGTTTGTCTTCGCAACGAGTCTATTTAACTATAAGCCTAGACCAAAAAAAGTTTCTTTTTGCTCTCTTTCTGCAAAACGTGGGACATCGAATTAAGCTGTTCAAGATTTAAAATGGAAGAAAGAAATAACATGTAAAGAACCCTCCCCTCATAATGGATTGTGACACAATTCTAGTTTCCATGTTCGTAAGTTTTCGTAAATAAAATTAAATTTGCAACCTACTTTAAAGCGCTGAGTGGTCTCAAAATTGGGGGACCCTATCCACGCATTATGTCAAATGTGGTATGTCCCCATAATATTATTTCTTTTCGCACACAAGATCACTCAATAGTCACACATAAGGTTTCGGTTTTACGAGCAATTCCCCGTTCCAGAATTTTACTCGAAATGGATGAATGAGAAAGCATTGCAGAATACATTTCACTTGGGTGAAATTAGGAAGTCACACAAAAGGATATGAACAAAGGAGATAATGCTTTCTCAGTAAGTAGAAAGAATGGAATGTCACATAAAGATATGAAGTAAGACAAGGATGCGAGACAAGGGGTTTAAAAGGATGTAAGAATTCTTTTTGAGAGATAATAATCAATTGACATGCTTTAGTTCTTTATTAACTTATATATACTCCTATTTCTTATGCTTCTTTGCAATTCTACGTAATGCTCTTTGTTCATTCTTCATGACACCATCCACCATCTTATACTTACCCTTAATACCCTTTGGTCTACCACTCAAACCCTTATTAGAACCAGTAGCAACGACAAGAGTAGCCTTTGGTCTTTGCTTTTGTTTCTTGGTCATCTTCTTCATTAATTTTTGAATTTCATCAGCCTTATCTCTTTCAGATTTATCGTTGTCATCTGCGATAGTATCGGACTTCTTCTTCAACTTCTCCAATCTTCTCAATGCTCTCATCTTCTTTCTACCTTGAGCTTCCAAAACCTTCTTAATAGGTCTGGCATTTAATTGCCTTTGCTTTTCTTTGATGGCTGCAGCAGCTTCTTTAGTGATCGGTTTCGTCATTTTCGAATGCTTCTTCTCATCGTCAATGAACCATTCTGGAAGGTCGTCTTGGTCTCTAAATGAGTATTTATGAATACCATCGTTAATAAGATCGTTCTTGTTCTTGTGCCCAAGTGCAAGTTGATGAGCCAAGGTCATTGCCTCGACAGTTGCAATATCAACTTGAGACTGATGATCCTTAGCTGAAAACTTTTCATTATCAGAGTCAGAATCAAAATCAGCATCATCATAAGGATCGTTATTACTTGCAACAATTTCGAAGTCAGAATCTGAGTCGGCCAGTTCTTCATCCGATGAGTCAAGAGATGCAGAGCTGCTAGCTACCACCGAAGTACCAACTTGTGTGTTCTTGGTCTCATCAGTCTTTGGTTTAGATTTATCTTCCATTGACTTAATCAATTCATCATCTCCTAATTCACCGAAGATGGAGTCTGATGCAAAAAATACCTTTGCTCCTCTTGATAACCCATCAATTTTCTTCTCAGCGATCAACTTAGTAATATGCTCATCATCGTCAGAGTCAGAATCTTCTTCCATTTCATAGTCTTTAGCTTCTTCTTCTTCCTCATTCTCTTCATTCTCATCCTTTATACCGTCCCAGCCTTCATCATCAACATCGCCTCTCAACTTCTTAGCTCGATAGTTAGCATCTCTTTCTGCTCTTCTCTCTTGATAACTGTTATACATATCGTCCAATTGATCCTCTAACTCATCTATTTCATCAGCTGAATTCTCTTCAACTTCAACATCGTCACCTATGTGAATATCGTTGTCCCTCATAATTTCCTCATTACTGAAAATCATTTTCTTCTTACCCCTTGCCAATTCATCCAATTGACCACTCTTTTCCGCTAATTTTAAGTTGAACAAAGATTCCAGGCCCAATTGTGCAGCTTCAATACCAATATTCATATCAGTTAACATATTCATTTGCATTCTTTGAATTTCTTTTTGCTTAGCTTCGTTAGAATTCTTTTTCAATCTCTTTTGTTTCTGCTTTTGCTTTTCAGATAATTTTTGTAATTCCTTATCAATTTGCTGGTCCTCAGTAAGCGGTTCAACTTCAATCGCGGCTTCTTCCTCATTGTCATCTAATCCGAGCAAATCTCTAGCTTGCTTTCTAAATTTCAAGATTAATTTGAAATCCTTCTTTCCTAAAACTTTCAAATCCTTAATACACTCTAAAAGTTCAGTATTACAACTTTTCATCTTCCTTAATATTTTCCACTCGTGATTATCCTTTTCTGGTTCTTCCAATTTATTCAAAGTACCTAAGATATTAATAGGTTCTTCATTGCGGACGAACTCTAATAATGGCATAGTGTGGTATAACAAATTATCACCTTCTTCATAACCATCTCTCTTTCTAACCTTCTTTTCCGGGTTGAAAACTTTCGATTCATTATTTACCGTGACTGGAGCTAATTCTTCAAAAACTGACTTTGGATCCAATAATCTTGGATCCATCTTCTTAGGAGCTTTGAAACCTTTACAGACTACAAAAATTTCAGCTGAAACATTACGAGAAGCTGGAGGCTTGGTGGCTTCAACTTTGTCAAATAATTGCTGGAAAATCCACATCAAATTATTATAATCTCTTGATCTGAAAATCTTAGTAACAAAAGTCCCACCAGGGGTTAAATTCTCCACAGCCAATTTCAAAGCTTGTAAAGTTAATTGGGATTGTGTAAAGGCATCCTGAACCCAACCTAAACCAACATTTGGAGCACCATCATGTAAAACGGTATCTGCCTTCCAAGTCTTCATATGACCTCTCAATCTGGATCTACAATCTTCCGTGGTAATATCAGATTGGAATGTTATACAGTTTGGTAATGCCTTTATTGGGACAATATCAACACCAATAATCAAAGAGTTTATAGGACAAAGCTGGCTGGCAACTTGACACCAGGAACCTGGTGCAGCACACAAATCAATCACCACTTTGGACTTTTCTAAGAAATGCCCGTACTTTTCATTAATCTGAAGAATCTTGAACGAAGAACGTGCTCTATAACCCTTTTCTTTAGCATAGTAATAGTATTTATCCAAACGCCCCTTGGAGTTTTTCTTTTGAGTTTTACCCATGTTGCTCGATGATTACTGCTAGACTTTGAAAGAAGTGTACTATCTTTGTTAAACAACTGGATTTTTTACTTGGTGTTTTGCGAAGAGCACAAAAAAAAAAACGAGATGAGCATCTGGCTAGACATGACCTGCATACAAACCCAAGATAAAAATTGGGGAGTCTTAACTATTATGCAGGTAAATTTGAATGGTATCTAATGGTGTGTACAGAAGAATAGACGGGAATCCCAAAACTTACTGTTACTTACGCTACTTAGCTGTAGTTATTACTTAATTGCTTTATTGAGGATATTTTAATCCTTTTTGGTACCTGGGTATATTTTATCTGCTACTATATAAGAACCGCAATCACAAAGCCCAGCTATCTGCTTCACTCTTTTCTCCTTCAAGATCAATAATATTATCATCTATAGTGTTAATATTAGATTCGTTACACAAGACACATTCTTTTAACAATATCTCATCTAACTCTAGTTTGTTCTGTGAAGATGGAATTCTTTTGAAGTTCTGAAACGTTTTCTTGAACTTATATTCTCCCTTCAGCTTCAAATAATACTTCACAAGACAATCCTTATGGAAGCCATGATTGCAGTTGGGGAAGCAAACAAACAGTTTACTAATAAGCAAGTCCCTACATATACCACATGGCTCACCAGGCTCAACGATTGTATAGATTCGAGCACGCTCTGTAAGAGTTGCAGACTCCTTGATTTGCTTTTTTAACTTAGCTGAAATCTGAAGGGATTCTTGCATTTCATGGGATAATTGGGAAATCTTGCTGTTGTATTGATTTAATGACTGAATAATTTCTGTCTTAAAGTTGTTTATGATAATAGTTGATGGGAAAAGTGGAAGAATATCTTTAAGTGATAAGATATTCGAATTAGTTTGTGGGGTGTATGAGTTAGATAAGAGGTATTTGAGGAGCCTTCTAATGACGAGGGGCAGTGGTAAATCTTTTAAAGCATTTGAATCTGATTCGCCCGTCATTTCAGATATAAGTGACTTGGTGATATTTTCTTTGTTTTCTTTCGTACTCGAACTTCCATTCGGTTCCTCCTTTTCTCCAATTGTTTCTGATATTTCAATCTCGTTTAAAAATTCGAAGTCATCTCCTTTACAGATACCCTCAATTAGATACCTACTAAACATAATCCACAATTTCTTTCTGCTACTAAAAGTTTCTTCTTCCAACTTGATCTTACCAACATATCTCATATCCTCCTCAAGATCGTAAATAATGTCTACGCGACCCAGTATGTTATCATTTTCAGGTTCTCGGTTGAACAAATAATCATCATACTTCTTCAAAACGACTTGGCCCAATTCAGTTAGGCCGTGATCTAAGGCTAGTTTCAATGCTTGTTCAAATAATTGCATGTCATTCATTAAAATCAAAACAGCGGGATGAAAATGGTCATAGGATAAGCATTGTCGTAAAATAAAATTGGGATCATAGAGTGCAGCTCCTGATCTAGTTGCTGTAGACGATATTTCATGCACTTTATTAAGTAGCTTAATAATTAGTTTTGAAGAATTATTCTTCTCTTTATCAGGGTAGCTAATAAGCAATGACAAATAATAATTATTTATGACTTCACTTTTAACTCCCTTATCATAAATTATTTTTTGTAAAAATCTAATCAGTTCATTTTCATTTATCAATGTCCTTTCCTGAATGCTTTTACTATACGTTAAAATCGAAGGCAAGACTCTTTCGTAATTCATCAGTGGAAATTTCAACCATGTTGCAATAGTTTCTTTCGGAGAGTTAACAAGTAAAACAGTCGAGTTTTTGTAAATAACATTCATCATGTCATCATTGTTTAAAGTGTAGATTTTGATCAAAATTCTTAACAGATTCAGCCAGTCTTCTCTCTCTATGTAATAATTCAAAATAAATTCATAATCTTGTATAAGCTCAGCAAAATATATTAACTTGGATGGATAGTTAAACCCTGCTATGATCTGGTAAATAGTCTTAGGATCAAGAATCTTGTAGTTTTCCGAAAGAAATGATTCAAACATTGAATTGAGAGAAGCATCATCTGCTTCATCTGGTATTTTAATCTCACCACCCTTGTTACTGTAGATTAATCTTAACATTAACTCAACAATCCATGAGGACAAAACAACAATTCTTATCTTAATTTTCTCACGCTTAGCCACCTGAAACTTAACTAGTAAATACTCTACTAATAATCTCTCGCTTAATATCCTATGACCTTGCAGAATAGTAGAGTCTTGGGTATTGTCCTCAGAATTTTGAGTTGCATTTGTCAACATCAAACAAATTTTTTCAAAAGGTTCTGACAGCTTTGCTAATATCTTGATTCCTTTTTTCTGGAGGTCAAATAACTCTTTGTTGATTTTACCGCCATCAAAATCAATTCCAAAACCCCCTTGTTGGAGGAATGAGTAGCCTTGTTCAATAAGAACGAGATCAGTTTTAATTTCAATTGACGTAGTATCACCATTGCTGGAGAGGTCATCTCGTTGCTGTTCCCTAAGACACTTCAATGCTTCATCGTATTTACCCATTTGGTAATAATTGTACCAGACAGAGGAGGTTTCATTATTGATTATTATCTCATAGATATTATTGATGGAATATAGCCAGAATGTAGAGGAAGTATAGTCTGCAGTAATTCCAAGAATTCTATTAGATCCTGAGATTGAAGTTTCTGTTTCAATTAATTTCCCAGGTTTGTTTGACAATTTTATGAATGCAGCAAGCAGCTCATGGTGCTTGCCAAGCAATGAGATTATATGGTGATTAGTTAGGATGACTGAGTGAGAAGGAGTTAATTTTTTCCCATTCACTTCCATATTTAATTCTTCTCTTACCATTTCTGGGTCATTTGAAACAATGCGGGTTTCTTCTCCTGAACCAATATATATATACGTAGTACCATCAGACACAAGTGTATGCAGCGCAGGAGAAGACATCGATGAAGATTTGGTTGTTATATGAGTTGGTGGTTGCCTGAATCCCTTTACTATATCATTGTAAGAATTATTGCCTGATGACCATTGTAAAAGCTGGCCATCAATGCTTGCAATAACACTGTTGTTATCCAAATACACCAATCCACTTAAAGTACCAGCGGACTCCGAATATATTGATTTTAAATACTTGTCGTCTCTTTTGCTCTCATGGTACCTTATGTCATGAGACTTTAACAGACACACATACAACGCGCCCTCCTTAGTTCCTATTATAAAATCTCTTGTGTTTTCGTAATCCGATTCTTCTTCTTCCAGTTGCTTCTTTTTAAAGGCTATATACTTTACGTGTAATCCTTTAAGCCTAGGCAATATCTTGAATTGCTTGTAGGTGTCATGCAAATAGAAATATTGATTATGGTTCGTTTGAATAATGAAATGGTGGCCATTCCAATGAAGCCAAGCCGAAACAATTCGCACACTGCCGCCACCATCAGCTTTTGGTACTTCCACATGCTTGACAATTGAAGGGTTAGAAAGATCAATCTTATATATCGATTGAGTTAACACCAAGTACATAACATTGTTCTGAACTAGTAGCTGTTGCAAAGATTTATTTAAATCAAATTGAAGTTGAACCTGTTCAACATCGAAAGTTGGATCTTTGTTTATAGATTCATCTAGAGTTACAACAGCCATCCTAGCATTCGATGAGAATAGAAATGAGGAGAAAGAATGATACTAGAAGAGGAGTGAATTGAGTCTCGCTTGAGCTGGTAATGAAATTTGATAACTTCAATTCATATCGATCCTGCACAGAGACAAATCTTTCAGTTGGGATATGAGAGCTCGGAGTTGCAGCGAAGGAACAGCCAGATTAGCTGAACCCCATTAATATATACAAAAATATAAAGAAGACTAAGACCACTTTAGAATAGGGATAAAGCATTAAAAGATAGTTCTCTTCTTAACTTTTAGAAGGAATAGTAAGTGATCCTTAAAGTCTTTAATCATTCTATCAGCTTATCAAACAATACTGCATATAGCAATTTAGAATGGTTCATTTGTTAATGCCCGAAGTAGTGGCGGCTCAACATGTATGGAACACATATAGGAAGAACGGAGTATAGACAAGATGATGCAACCACCAAGATCCATAAATCTATAAAAAGCTAAGGCATTCATAAATATAGACTTCACTACCTACCCGATTTATAGTGTATTTCATAGCCTGTCGCCTAACTTCTCCTATTCCCTAAATGGGATCATGTTAATTCTTGATTAGGTCCGGATGATCTAATGAAATACCTGCATATACTCTAGCAATTTCGCATTTTGTTCATGACTTTTTATTTTTCCACAGCCCACCCCCTAAACAACCGACGCTGGAAGAAAAGCAATATATATGCTAGGATATATACCTACATAAATATCTATTCATCAGCTTTATTCGAACCAATTTTCACTTATTCAGACAGTTGATTAATTACATAGCTTTCATTGATTGATTTATCTTGAAAATGAATGTGTTGAAGCTACAAAAGAAATTTCCTGTTTTGCAACAATCTGATTTGTTTCAAATCATTGAGGACTTTAGAACAATTGATTTAGAAGACAAAGGATGGGTAGAAAAGAAAGAAGTAATCAACAGTGTTAGCAAGTCTGGAAGTTACACTTACGACGAAGCAAGAGAAACCTTGAAGAAGGTTGATGTTGATGCATCTGGGCATGTTGAATTGGATGACTACGTCGAGTTAATTGCCAAGTTAAAGGAAAGTGGATCTTCACCAGGATCCGCTCCAATACCTTCGGGATCTCTTGCTCCGGCTTCATCAGGTCTCAATGTCCCCACGACTCCCTCAAAATCATCTTTTGGTGGATCTTCTGCCCCAACGTCTCCAAATCCAAGTAAAAAGACTTATATCGGAGGTAAGACTTCTGGTACCACCCATACTATCAACGATGAAGAAAGAACTGAATTCACAAGACATATAAACTCTGTCCTTCTGGATGATGTGGACATCGGTTCAAGATTACCATTTGATACTGAGACTTTCCAAATCTTCGACGAATGTAGAGATGGTCTTGTGTTGTCCAAGTTAATTAATGACAGTGTCCCAGACACCATCGATACTAGAGTTTTGAATTTACCAAACGCAAAGAGAAAGGTATTAAATAACTTCCAAATGTCAGAAAATGCGAATATTGTTATTAATTCTGCTAAGGCAATTGGATGTGTTGTCGTCAACGTTCACTCTGAAGATATTATCGACGGCAAAGAACATTTAATCTTGGGATTGATTTGGCAGATTATTAGAAGAGGCTTACTTTCTAAAGTTGATATCAAATACCATCCTGAATTATACCGTTTATTGGAAGATGATGAAACTATTGAACAATTTTTAAGATTACCACCAGAACAAATTTTATTAAGATGGTTCAACTACCATTTGAAGAATGCAGGACACTCAAGAAGAGTCAGCAATTTCTCCAAGGATATCAGTGATGGTGAGAACTACACTGTATTATTGCACCAGTTGGTACCCGAACACTGTGATTTATCCGCCTTAAATTCGTCAGATTTACTCACCAGAGCCGAAAAAGTTTTACAAAATGCTGATAAAATTGGCTGCAGAAAATATTTAACTCCTAACTCACTTGTATCTGGTAACCCTAAGTTGAACTTGGCCTTTGTAGCCAATCTCTTTAACAATTATCCAGGTTTAGATCCAATCGAAGAAAGTGAAAAGCCAGAAATTGAAGAGTTTGACGCTGAAGGGGAAAGAGAAGCAAGAGTATTCACATTGTGGCTTAACTCTTTAGATGTGGATCCACCAATTGTTTCACTTTTTGAAGATTTGAAGGATGGTTTAGTATTATTACAGGCCTTCGAAAAGGTTATGCCTGGAACAGTTTCCGTTAAGCATATCAATAAGAAGCCTGCTAATGGAGGTGAGGTTTCTAGATTTAAGGCATTGGAAAATACCAACTATGCCGTGGAAATTGGAAAATCTCAGAAGTTTTCCCTTGTCGGTATTGAAGGGTCCGATATTGTGGATGGTAATAAGTTATTAACGTTAGCATTGGTTTGGCAATTAATGAGGAGAAATATCACTCAAACTTTAGCCCAATTAGGTGGAGCCGGTGGTAACCACAATTTAACTGATAGTGACATGATTAAGTGGGCTAATGCACAAGCCAGTAAGGGTGGAAAGTCAGGCTCTCTTAGATCTTTCAAGGACAGTTCATTAAGTAATAGTGTATTTCTTTTGGATGTGCTCAATGGTATCAAACCTGGATATGTTGATTACGATTTAGTATACCAGGGAAATAACTTAAGCGACGAAGAGAAGTATGCCAATGCTAGATTAGCCATTTCTATTGCTAGAAAGTTGGGAGCATTAATTTGGTTAGTTCCTGAAGATATCAATGAAGTAAGAAGTAGATTGATCATGACTTTCGTTGGTAGTTTGATGTGTGTTGCTGAAAATTTGTAAACTGAAGTGAAATTGTGACTTCACTATTATTGATCTAGCTTCCTCTTGTTACTTGTATCTCCAATTGTACTTTTCCAAAACTAGTACATTACTTTCCTCTCATAAAATAGAATGCTGTATGATTATAATGAAATATGAAAGTGAACCTTGCATTAAGGGTAACTTAGGTAATTAAGAATTGAAACAAAAAAACAAAAGAGAAAAACAAAAAAAACTGACAATAAAAAAGATAACAATACTTACAACCCCTGTAAATTAGTAGCTAATGTCTAAGAGCCTGCGATTAAAGTAGTTAGCCTTGGTCTTCCTGAAGTTGCAACCAGAATGCTTAAAATCCCAAAGTCCGGCATATAATTCATCCACAAAGTCGTCCACCAATAAAAATTAATTTTTTCATAAGTCTTTAAATTCTCACACAACTAAAGGACTTCAGTACCCTTTAGTTCATAAGAGCAGAGTAACCCATACAGAATATGTCTAATATACTCCCATTCACAGAGGCCAACACCAAGAGAGTGTCCTCACTCTTTAGACAAGCATTAAGAACCGCATTTGACCATTCCATGAAATGGGATGTCTACAGAAGAGAACAGAACAAAATTAGAACCTTATTTGACGCAAACAGTAAAATTGATGATTCTAAAACCTTGGAAAAGGTCATTGCCAATACTGAATCCAAATTAGCTCAATGGAAACATCCAGATCCATATATTCCACCATGTAGACCAGGTGGTACCAAATATCAAAGAAATGCCTTCCTTCCTGCAGAAGAAAAGGTTTCAGGAGATTGGTAGTAGGAATTACATTTACGCAACAGGAGGAGAAGCACAGTTGACTTGCTGGGACCTTCATCTAGTACAATAGTAGTCAAAAACGAAATATAAAATTGAAAAAAAAACAAAATAAAATGCACATAGCATGTTATATTAGGTAGTTTAGAAGGACATAATACATACATTTAACAGAATATTTGAGATGGTTATGCTTGTACTTGTAAAGAGTATTGATTCTCACGAAAGTGGTTTCTCTTTATTTGTGTTCCAATCTTGCTTTGTAATTTATAATTTTTTAATAAGACTTTTTCTTAATAATATTGCCAATTGGCTCCCCTAAGCTTAATGTACTGTTTAGAGACCGTGATTTCGTTACTTCGTGGAGGCATTTGGAGCTCATTTGTGAGGTTTTTGCAAGGGTTTGCTCAGAATAAACTTCCTTTACTCGGAGTTCTGAAATTGACTAGCCTGACAGTTGTGACACCAACGTTAGCCGCAAATGAAGCGCCAACACGAAGTTTAACAGGGTCTACAATGAGCTATGATATATTATTCAAGCCTAAATACTCCCTTCCCGTTAGGTATCCATCTTACAGGTTGCCAATATCAATTTTATTGATACTGGGAACTATGTCGCTTTTAATTTTGGCTGCGAAAAGAAAGTCGAGTGGAGGAATTGGTATTGAGCCTAGAAGGATGAAGATAAAGAATAGGAGTAAAATTTTAGTCAATAAAATGAATTACGATTTGTTGGAGGAAAAACCCTATAACTTTTTTAATCCAGGGAAGTCATCGAGAATAAATTCTCTGAGTGGGTACTGCTGGAATGTGGGGCCAAAAATTAGTAGCTGTCAAGCAGATATTGAAGAAACTTCTGACACAAAATTAGATTGCACAATCAACCAATACTGCCATTCAGTCGACTACAATAATCATGAACCACCTAAATCATTAATTTTGGAATTACAGATGAAAAATATTTCTGTTAAAGAGTATTTAGAATTATTGCTTGAGGAGAGTGAAGATGAGGAAGATGGCCCTGAAGTTGCTTATACACAGTGCATTCACATGTCAAAGCTGAATAAACTTGAACTAGAATTGAAAGTGAGATCTGAAATTGACTCGATCTGCTTAAACAGTGATGAAGCAAAGGTGTACCAGGTAAGTAAAACACTTAGAACTCTAATGAGCTACGAGCCAGTGGATGCTCTTAAAGACAATAATAACATTTCGATGAGCGAAACCTACCTCAAAGAGTTAAAGGCAGCCCTACCAAGGATTCTTCAAGCTGGAACTCTGAATGCATCTTACAAAATTCCTATCGTTTTACTTTTGAGAGACTACTTCCTTTATAGCGAAAACAGGGAAACCGAAGTAAGACAATTCAAGGACTGTATTTTGTACTTCTTTGAATTTATAAAGCTATGCGATAGCCCAAATGACAATAAATTGGCTTCTAAAGCTTTATTGCAAGTCTTAATCGCAATTGAAGAAGACATGTTTAATGTGACTATTCCAATTATTTGTAAATCCTTAAATACAGAAAAACATGAAAATAACCAATGTTTCGTTCCCATCTTAAAGAGCCTTAAAATAGCTTTGGCAATAAGTGAAAAGGCGAAATCCAGGATACTCGCTCTCAAGAGTATTCGTACAATTATCCGAAAAGTCATACACACTAGTCAGAGTTTAGATACTGAATTCTTAAGTGAACTAAACGAAGTGTTTTGGGTGTGTCAGAATGTGGATTACTATGTCGATGAGGCTAAACTGAGGTCCATTTTGTCAGATATTAACGAAGCCCTAGAATATATTGAAAGTAAAACTTCAGACAGAGAGAAGGAGAATAGTACGAGCAATGAAACATAACTGAAAAAGAATTAGTGGAGCTAGTAAAATGAGCCAAACTCCATACTACATTTTGCAGCCATTTTCACGTGACCAGTGTATTAATATTTTTTTTCTCTTTTTTTTTTTATGAATTTTCCAGTTGCGCATCGGAAAGAGTGAGATGAGCACAAATTTAAATAGTATTGAAAATTCAGATGGTCTATTTCTTTCTCTCCAGTATATCTACAGTTTCAACTTAAGCTTATAACAATATGCCAAGATCCAAGCGTTCCAAGCTCATTACATTATCTCAAACGGATAAGAAGGGAAGAGAAAACAAGACCAGAATTTTTGATGAAGTCAGAGAAGCTTTAGATGAATTTCAATTTGTGTGGGTTTTGCAATTAGATGATGTTAGGACTCCAGTTTTACAAGATATTAGATCTGACTGGAAAGGATCTAAGTTGATCTTAGGTAAGAGAAGAGTTCTCGAGAAGGCACTTGGTGACAACGCAAATGAAGAATATAAAGACAATTTACACAAATTAACCAAATTATGCACAGGTGTGTCCGGATTATTATTCACCAACGAAGATGTTGATACCGTCTCATCTTACTTCACTTCATACTCCAAGGCCGACTATTCCAGAGCCAAATCTAAGGCACCAATTGACTTCACTATCCCAGAAGGTATAGTATATTCTAGAGGTGGTCAAATTCCTCTCGAAGAAGATGTCCCAATGTCCCATTCTTTGGAAGAGACCATGAGAAACAAATTTAAGGTCCCTACTAAAATTAAGGCAGGTAAGATCACTATCGCAGAACCATACGTAGTATGTAGAAAGGGTGACAACTTAGATGTAAGACAGGCATTGATATTGAAGCAATTTGGTGTTGCTGCATCTGAATTCAAAGTTAACATGGTTGCTTACTACAATAACGAGTCATCTGAAGTTGTCAAGCTCTAAGCATCTCATATTCTCACCTGAAAATATAAATTCCGTTAACTAAGTTCTTGCACAAGGTTCTCTTAAACATAAAATTATCACCGACATTAGCCAATGGTATTCCACTGCATGCCCTTTCCCAGAGGAGGTAAAGTAACTTTTCTTCTCATGATTGTATAATAAAAATTACATTATTGCTATATACATATAAATAAATTCATATATATATACATACATATATATATATATACTGCTTTTATCCCTATATTACACTTATTTATACAAATTGTAGATTTGCCCTCTATAAATAAATTTAATCCCAGCTACGATCTGATTCTTTTAGACCGTCCGGATCAACCTCTTGCAAAAATACTTTTGTTTGTACAAAAAACAATCTGGCATTACTCCTTCCCAAATTTTTTAAACCGTAAGCATTCCCTCTTGGTACTTCAAACGAACATCCTCTAGTTACAACAAACAGTTTGTCATTAATTGTAACCTCGATTAGTCCCTTTATCACATGAAAAATAAAAACATGTTCTGCAGTATGCCTAAGCAGCTTGATCCCCTCAAATGGCAAGTCCAATATTCCTGTAGCTGTGAAAGCCTTATCTTCATCGAATAAAGTAGCTACTTTGAAATTCTCTTCTGGATTGTTGGAGTCTTTTGGGGGCGTTTTGAAATCTCCAGAATTTGGAGTCCATGCGATTCTTCTACTAGTTTTATCATCTGTAGTCCCATAAACAAAAACGGGTAATTGCAAAGATTGATCTTTATACCATTCAGAGCCTTCTATCTCAGGATCAGATTCGTAATCGTACCTATCGCTCTCAGATTGGTTCAGAAGTGAAAGTTGATTTTGACGATTAGCTTTTGAAACGGGTTGTCGAGACTTTGCCTTCGAAGATCTTTTTCTGTTATTATACAATGATGCATTTAGTTTCGCTTCAGGAATATGAACTACTTCTTTTATCTCTTGCAATGGGATAAATTTGATGTCATTAGTTAGCGTGTTATCTGGTACATCATAATCTTCGCTTGCTCTAGTATACACTATTCTTTCATTCCTCCAGTATGCCAACGGAGCAATTTTAGTCCTCTTCGACCTTCTAAGTCCATCTGGAGGTGGAGATGGCAATGGAGAGGGATTCACCGTTCTAACATGAGTTCTCATGTTCTGAGTAGGGTTTCGTTTTCTCCTGTTCGAAATGTCATCGGTTGGAGTATGCTCTTCCAATATTATTGGTGGCTTCCTTCTCTTGGAAGAGTTTCCAAGTGCCATATTCTTAGTTAAGGAAGATACCCTTGCTGGTGAGCTGATTCTATTATCAGTATTATGATTATGATTATTATTATTATTATTATTATTATTATTGTTATTGCTGGTACGAGTAGGTAGTTTCTCGACTGATATAGGCAGAAGTTTCGAAGCATCGTCTATATTATAATCATCGAAGTCTTCATCATCATAAAAATCGTTTTTATACATGTCATCTCCATCATCCACAAAGAGGTCATTCTCATCTTCATAATCGTATCCATCATCATCGTCATCAAACTGTCTCTCAGGCAAGGGAGATCTCAATGGCGATTTCTTTGTCTTTTTCTTTGGAAGTATCTTATTCCCCTCAATTGAAACTGGTGACAAATGGAATGATTCAGCTTCAGCTTCGGTGAAGTCTATCTTCCTAGCAACAATATTATAATCATCTCTGACCCTACCGTCTGCTCGTCTGCTTTTATCCTTTATAGGCTCTTTGCTGATAGACTTGGATGCAATGGCAGATTCTTCATCCTCTGCGAAGAAATCATCAACATCCTCCATATTATATTTGTCCCTCTTGACGCCCTCACGGGGCTTTATCCTAGACTTACGACCTTCTGTCCCTAAGTTTAGTATGTCCATGGTAAGGAGGAACGTCAGAGGTCTATCTTGTATTTAGTAATATTGAATATGTGAATTAAGCGCGTTTTGATCTGAAGCAAGTGAAAGAAGGCAACCGCACAATTGCCTTTGACTCTTATTTATATTATTCGTCTTGAAAAAAATCCTGGGAAAAAGATATCCAGTTGTGTGCTCTAAAATAACGATTTCTGTACTCCTGTACAAAATACGGGGAAAGACGTTCACCTAAAGGTTAAGCACCACTTAAGATGTGTTATTATTTGCAACTATCCTTAATTGAAAAACAAAATGTGTGTTATAGTCATGTAAAAACAATAATAAAGAAGGAAAACGCGGTTGTGGTAGACTTCCCAAGTGGGAAACAAGTGAGCGCGCAGATTTGAAAGGAATAGATTTGCACCCAAAACAGAACATTCCAGGCATTCTACAATGAAGCTTTCAATTGCCCTACTCTTTTTCCATTTTGTTTCTTTACATTTCACGAACTCTTAGGGGTAGTTCACATTGCAAGAGTCAAGAAATTTACCTACATATACAATATAAAATTGTTCATTTTGGTGCTGCTACCCAGTACTGGCTAGGCAAGGCAGTGGCATGATAAATTATTAACATATATATTTTATATACTCGTATAAGACAGCTCCCTATATCATATCTACTTCAATTTCATCATTTTTACTTAATCTTAGCTCATACGTAAGTACAATCCCATCAGAATATGTCAAATAGACATAATATCGGGGCAAACTGGAATCTGGTGACATGTTACGACATGCCATACCAGTAATCGTTCTATAACCATTGTATCCCAATGCTAGGCTCAATGCATTGGGGAATAAATGTTCTTGCCTCATTGCATATAATCCTCTATGTTGACACAACCTCATTAATGTCACAAGTCCCTGTTGCGTTAACGCCAAGAAGCACAGTAATTCTGGTATTATTTTAGTAATTGAGATTCTGTTAGAAAATTTACTGTCATCGTTGAATGGAATTGAAACATCAAAGACCTTCCTTGTAGCTGCAGTACAAAAAAGGGTATCAGCTCTGAATAAACCAAGCCTCTTTGAAGTTGAGACTGCGAGAAAGAGCTCATCTGAAGCACATCCTGGTGCATTTTTATAATACGTTCTACCATTTAGCGATTTCTTTCTCGCTTTGTTTTCATCCATTTTCTGTAATCCCTTTTTGATACGCCTATAGTTATCGTCTACTCCAGTCAATTGAACTGTGTCAAAAGTTTCATTATCAAAAGTGGGCCCATTCAAATGTAAGACCGGCGACTCGAAAAATTGCCATTTGGCACTAGCACCAAGATGACTCGTCTTTATTGGGTCGCATTCGGACTTTAAGATTCTCAGCTCTATCTGGATTTCTCGTATTTCCTTCTCCTCATCTAGCCAAGGATCTCCTATCATGGCTCTGATAGATTGGACAGTCTTAAAGAATTCAGAAGAGACAGGTTTACATGTCCAACAATCTTCTCCCAAAAGAGCTCTGAGTACAACTCTCGGAGCTTCCCATTGAATTCTTGGAAATCTCATTGCTCTTTGCTCCTCAGTTGGTATGTGCATAGTTTCCAGAAACTGATACATTGCAATGCTGGTGTCTATGTAATGTGCCTTTTCATTACTGAATAGGGAACGATCTTCGAGATTTAATGGCCCTTCTAAAAGTCGAAATTCAAATTCAAATACAATAATTTCACCAGATATAGATGAGCCTGACACCTTAGCTACGAAGGAATCACTTTTTTCGGTAATACCTATAAATGATACTTCTGGTACATTGTGTAGTACTTGATGTGAAGTAACATTATAAAACCTTTCATCAACTTGGTGATAATAAAATAAGGTAATACATTGACTGTTATCTGAGGCCACTATCATATTATGCAGTGAAAGGAAATCCAAGCCCCAGCATGAAGAGCCCATTTTAATTGTGAAGTCTGGCTTAATTCTTAAACCAAAAAATCTATTTGTAGAGTCAGAGAATAACGAATTTGGGCTACCCTCATCATCATCTGTCAGACTTAGTTCGATATGGCCATTTTCAGTCCTATTCACATTCAAATTCTCGGTATTTCTTCGGGGATCTACTCCAACTTTGTCTTTCGTATTTTTTTTAAATCGCTTGATCTGCTCCACAATTGTATCCAAATACCAAATTTGAACTAAACCATCATCCAAGCATGTTCCTAGGACTTTTTGACCCAAAAATTCTCCCGTAGTGATGTAGTTGATAGTATGCGGAAAATAGGGCCAAGTAGAAACCAATCGGTCCGTTGTATGAGTTATATTCGGCCGTATATCAAACCTTAATATTGGATTCCTTATTGGCAATGCAGTGGTTTTATCAAACTCGTAAATAATTAATTCGCTACTAGAACTTGTTATTAGATACTGATCATTCAAGGTAGCACTTAAGTTGTTCTTGTACTTTCTTGAATTCTCTAGCTGATGCAACTTGGTTACACCAAAGTGATCCAATCTTAACAGGTCCCTATACTTGGCAGCTGGGGCAAGTCGTGACATTGCAAAAGGGTCATTTGCATCTACAATCGATAAATCAGGCCTGAAAGGGTCATACACTCCACCGTTACCATTCGGTATTATTTCTCTACGTGTAATTGCATCATGGAATTCCCAATCTTTGAATCCTTGCTGAGAATTAATAGGCAAGCGAGAAGAAAATGCAGATGTACGTGATGTAGACTCTAGATCTTCGCTTTCTCTATCGCTTTCATCCGAATCCGTAAGAAATACTTCATCTTCTACGTCTTCATCTTCATCTTCATCGCTATCACTATCTCTATTATTGTCATTATCATTATCATCATCACGGCAATGTAAATTCTCTTCTTGATCTGGATCTCTGGAATATCTCCTGTCCCTGTAAGACTCAAGTGCAACATATTCTGTCTTATCAGGGTTCTCCATTTCTTCATAAAACTCGTCCGCATCTGGGTTTGATTCGACTCTGCTTAATCCAAAGTAGTCCACAACCCTCTCATCATCAAAATCAATTCCTATGTCATCGATGTCTCTCAATGCTTGACTAGAGCGTGGTGGAGGATAATGCCTGACGCTTCTAGTCTCAGGTTCCACTTCTGAATCAGTGGGAACTGTAGTAGGAGGAGGCGATCCCAAGGGAGTGTTTGTAATCTTCTCTTTTACAGTGCTCCTTATTCCTCGATGTAGAAGAAACCGTTCAAATCTCTTTGACCATAGATCCATTATTTATGGCGGCTTCAATGCAAAATAATAACAAAAAATTAATGAATGGGATGAAACTACGAAATTTAAGCTGCAATAGATAAGGCTACCTTTCTATCCGTTACTTAAGTTTATCTCTTCTCATACACTACCCCATATTCCTGCACATATCAACATGGCTGCAAAATCGCATAGAATATGGGGTTAGGATTGCTGAACTCTACAGTATGTTTCTTCTGATTAGTTAGCCTACAGTGTTCAGAGTGGATGACCAATAGTGCTTTATACCCAACGAGAAGAATATACGGTCCGTGTTAGCTTGGAGGAGCCATCATTGATCGAAGCACCATTCTTAATGGAGCCTTTTTAGAACCTCATTAAGTCACGTGAACACCTTTTCTTGAATATGTGGCTTACAGAAAAACGTTAAAATGAAAAATTGAAAAGTCAGATTGCAAAATCATTGCTACTCTTTCTTACTATTCATACTCTGTATTCAATAATTCAAGATGGGGAACCATGCTGACTACTCAAACTATTCATCTGGCTTGACCAAAGAAGAAATGCTAGTAAATTTAATAGAGTCATATGTCGCGCTCACAGCTGATACAGATAATTGGGTTGCAAACCTCTCGAATTGTTCCTCGCTAATTTGGCACGGTTATCATTCAGTAGGCACACCGGTCAATTGGACTGGGTTTTACGTGGTTGATCCAAAGGATCCACTGCAACTCATATTAGCTCCATTCCAGGGGAAGGTGGCCTGTCAAGTAATCAAAATTGGAAAGGGTGTTTGCGGAACAGCAGCAGCTTCCAACCTCACCCAAGTAGTTCCAGATGTAGAGAAGTATCCTGGCCATATAGCCTGCGATGGTGAGACACAAAGTGAAATAGTCGTCCCCTTTTTAAATACAAAGGGAGATCTAGTTGGAGTTTTAGATCTTGACTGCTTAGAATTGAATGGGTTTAACGAAATCGACAAGAAATATTTGGAACAATTAGCAAATCTCATTAGTAAAACATGTTCATGGTAGAATTGTTACGTAATTCAACAGCGTTTGATGCGAATATGTGATTATACTTTTTTAGCCTCATACATATACGCTACATTGTAAATATAAACGTATGGGTTTCATCATAAGCTTTTTGTTATCTTGAGTGAAATGGCAAAAAGTCTACATGTACTCTATCCTTAGTCTCAGTTGTTTCCAATTTATATACACATATATAGAAATATATATAACACTAATAATTGGCTAAAATTAAACACTTATACAAAATTATACAAAACGAGGGACAATCATCTCTCTTTTTAACACAATGTCCAGATTGGCAAACCTGCATTTATCCTAAGAAACCGATTCCAGTTGGAAAGAATTCGTGCCTCAAAATTCACCACTACCAGGTCTTTACTAGTTCATTATTTTTTTTACTTTTTCACTTTTTTTCATTTTCTCTCTTGAACACTCTGTGTATTGGTTTGCGATTACTTTCGATTAACTCATTTCGGCTCTTCTTTGCTCTTCCCTCTCTAAATTATGATACAACAAATCTTTTGCCTTTTCGACCGCGTACGACGTACCGCTGATCGTGAAAACTCTCTCATTCAGTCCTTCTACTTCATCCGATATGGCTATAGTAGCGCCACTGACTTTTCTTACACCTTGGATTCTAGATCCACTTTTACCGATCAATGCACCAACAATGTCATTGGCAAATGGCACTTGAGTGCTCACCAATGATGAATTTGGTTTGCCATTATTAGATCCACCCTTTTCTGAAGAAGAAGGTGCTCCTCCTGTACTGGAAGAAGATCCGGGCGCACTTCTATCACTAGTTTTCTTGTAGCCTTTTGGAATGTAGTAGTTAGTTCCAACAATAGAACTGAAATCTTCAATAAGACATCTGGAAATGATTCTTAAAGATTCATATAAGTTATCCACTGAACCTTGCAATTCAACCAATCTTTCATTGGAATTCGGTAAAAACAGCTTGGAGGCAATCATTGATATCTCATATTTGGATTGAATCTGTTGAATTCTTAAACCTTTCGATCCGATTAATGTACCCATTTGCAGGTTTGGAATTAATAGTCTTAAAATGGTGGTCTTTCCTTCAATACAAGGGATTGAAGACAATTGCTTTAGTGGGAAGAAATTATAGTTCGTTAAGTTTTCTGAAGATGAGTTACATAAAGCTTGAGCAAAGTATGAAAGTGCCTTGGAACAATCATCAAGTGTTCCACTGACTGTTAAAATTCTTTCATGGGAGCCGTTTTGAAGTTTGGAGATTCCTGCCTTAGTGTTCGTGACCTCACGAATAGAGTTAATCACTGAACCGTTTTGTCCGATAAGACATCCTGCTTCTTTGGCAGATACAAGTACTCTGTAGTTTATGAGAGCTGATGATGGAGTTGTATTATCAATTGATGGGAGTGTGGTCGACTCAGTGTCGTGTTCCCCACTAGTTGTTTTAGCAATATTTGCAGCAGCAGCAGCTCCAGCAGCACCAGTAGTGGCAGTACCGGGGACGTCAGTTAATGCTGAAGATGAAGCATCAGTAATATCTGTTTGTTTCTTGGATTCATCTTGTTTACTTCCCTTCCCTTCCTCGGTGGTGAACTTGGTATCAAACAACGATTCAGTCATAGCGTCGTTGTATGTATATGCGCGATAATATTAATTTTTGGAATGAATGCGTGTGTATTTGTTTATGTGGGTGTTTTGTTAATGTGTGACTCGTGATTGTGTGACTTGTTCGTATCAGAGTATAAAGTGATTGATTGTTAAGGGGGGAATGGTCACAGGATTGTTCAATTATTATTTACTGTTGATAATTATAAGAAATAACTCACTTAGCTACTTGTCTTTTCGTTCGGGATTTTTTTGTATTCGAAATTTTCAAATTTTTTTGCTTTTTCTCTTTTTTCTGTTGTCGCTCAGCTTTCCTTGTTATTTTTTCGAGGGAAAAAAATTATTGTATACTAGAAAGTTATATGGTGTTTGGATGTGAAATGCTAACTTTAATTCGCCATGCAAAGTTATAACTTTAAAAAGGCAGCTTTAATATTGGCAGAGTGATGAAGGATGAGCGAGTGGTATTTGACGTTGAAAAATTGATCAATTGAGTCAAATAGAGGACGTAAATAGAATTCCTTACTGTGTGAAGTGTCTAGTTGAAAATTCTCCAAGTTTTCACTATTTCACTTTAAATCTATAAATTGCTTGAATAAATTTGTCGCGTTTCCTAAGTGGTGGCTACGGTGCAGAGCATTTTTTATTATTTGGAAGAATAAGAGAATTTTTTAGTGAGGGGGCAAGCTGTTTACGATAGTTACGACATCATACAGGAGAAGCTATTGTTAGCACTATTATGCTACATTGCAATTGAATCCGTGCTGGACCAATTAGATAGTGTATCCAGGTCAAGTATGGTAGACCATGCTAAACACTATTCCCTTTACAGTAGATTGCTAATGCCAAGTACTTCAAATCACGGCTGAGTGGGAGATTCCGTAGCTCAATTGCCTCAATTCCTTTTTCTGCATTTTGAATTTTGCATGAATTGTTGATTGTATTGTTCAATTTTAACCGAGAAATCGAGATTTGTGCAGTTGCCTTGTCGTCGTATATTGTTAAGCGGAATTGACGAGAATGTAGAATGAGAGGGCTAGAGATGAAGTATGGGTTACTTTTATAGTATAAGCTAAAGCGTTTTACGAGTAACTCTTATTATTATTTTGTACTTTTCTCTTACATATTACTGAAACTGTCCATCAGAGCAACATTATTTTTACTTCCTCCCGATAAAAATATAGAGTTGTGGCGTTCTGGTACTGTTCAATCTGCTGGAATTGAGACATATTTCAAAGTTGTCATTAACTTCGCTTGCCATTATTCGTCAAATTAAGGTTTTTGAGAAGTCTAACACCTACTCGCAGAGGAAATGCATATGTAGAAATCCAACAAATTCCATCTATTATTAGTATACTAGCACTTGTACGCTGATTTTCATTCTCACATTCTGAAGTAATTATAGCGATATTTGAACAAAACGGATGAATGTTATCAGAGGGTGGAAATTTTTCACATTCTCGTTAAGATCCACTCAAAAATAACTCCATTGTTAATGGTCTTTTTTTTTTTAAGGTTCCAGAGGGGAGGAATGAAATATGGTCTTGATTCCATGAAGGCGGTACTCTCTTCCTATCCTGTACATGCTTGAGTGTTTCATAATACTACTTGCATAAATATTTTATTGCTTCTATGCTTCATTCTATTGGCATAATCTTGTGGACTTCTATTCTATTCTGTTTATTTTTAAGCGAGTGCATTATAAGAGTTGTGAAGCTTATTAGATTCTTTTTTTTTTTTCATTGTTATGCTACTTACGTCATACTACTAAGATCTCTGGTAAACGCCTGGTAAAAATTATTCATCATCGTCTGAACCGTCATTTGACTTTTTCTTTCTTTTATTCTCCAATTGAGCCTCTCTATTGAAGTCCTCAAAAACATACATTCTAGCTTCTCTTTCCGGAGCAGGCTTAGTGGTATCTCGAACACCATTGGTTCGTCTATGGTGATATTCAGGCAACATTTTCCAATCTAAAAGTCCGGATTTTTCCAATCTTAGCCCTTCACTACGCGCTATCAGCTTGATAGTCCATGATCTATATGGTTCTCCCTCGAAAAGTGAAACAATTATTTTTCCAAATATACTATCCACTCTGCCACCATAGTTATAGCCTCCAAAATCATTCTTTGTCTGGTTATTAACCAATTTAAATACTCTTTTACAACTTTGGAAGAATTGTAACATCAATTTCTGATGATCTCTAATATTACGATCTTGATCTTTCATTCCTCTTCCAGTATGTGGGAAATTGAACACTACATAGTCTAAATTCTGATTATCTTTGAAAAGTGCCGACGATTTTAACTTGATTTTTAAAGTCTCTGGCAATTTGGTAGCGTCAATTTCGAATCTTACATCTACACCTTCCTGAGCTAGAAACTTTAAGTTGTTCTCTGCTGTTTCTGGATATTTACTTAGCAACTCTTCTTTGGAATCGAAACTAGTTGCAATTACATTCTTCGGCTGCACAAAGTTTCCATTTACTATGGATCTAGCGAATGAAAAATCCCCTTCTCCAACAAGTAATACCTTATCTTCAACATTGAATGGTATTTTGATCCCTTTTTGTTCCTGTTGTCTTTGTTGTTGTGCTTTTTGTTTGGTGGAACCACCCTTCCCCTGCGCTATAGATTTTTGTTTCTGAATTTTTTGTTCCTTCTGTGCATCGAGCTTGTTTGCTATTCTTTTTCTTTCTTGTTCTTTTAAATTTTGACGAGCTAGAGCTCCAGCCAATCCTTTGCTATTCACCTTTTTAGCGAACTTCTTGGCCATGATAATTATATCTTGTATATATTGTGTTGTGTTTAGTTGTTGGTGGTATCGATGAAATATCTCATCTCATCTCATCTCGAAATTGATACTCCAACGCGCACATACATTAAAATTCTTAATTAGAAAAATGTAAGCTTGAAGAGAGGTCTCTGTCCGTATGTGAAGTACGTCAAGTAGTCCTGATCTAATAAAACAGCTCTAAAAATTTCAATGCTTCAATTATGGGAAAGCATTTTAGACAAAAATTGTCTAGTTGGAATTTAGTGGTATGTGGAAGTGTTATTAAAATGAACAAGCTCTTACAATTGCTACCTTGCTTAAATAGATCTATCAGCAATGCTCGGTAAATTCACCCTCATATTCGTCAAATATTCCTAAGTAATTCTACTTCTATATATGAAATGCTCTACTGTCTTCAGTATTAAATTCTTCTTCTTCTTCTTCTTCTTCTTCTTCTTCTTCTTCTTGTTCTTCTTCCTCTTCTTCTTCATCCTCATCCTCATTCTCATCCTCTTCTTTCTTATCAGATATTTCTTCAGTTTCGCTTCCTTTACTACTTGTAGATTGCTTCGACAAGCTACTCAAGAATTTCCCATCATCCTCACCATCGCTATTAGTTTTACCTTCACTTGCATCTTCACTTGCATCTTCCTCTTCCTCTTCTTCCTCTTCATCTGTCAATTGTTCTAACTCTTCTACGCTACCATCATTATACTCATAAAATAACATGAAAGTACCTTGACTGTTAATAACTTCATCTTCTGTTACAACATATACTGATTCATCACTTATTCTCCACCAAGTACCTCTGAGTTTACGGTAATTAATGTAATGTCCATAGTTATGCGTACCATAATGACTAATGACAGCCTTAAGTGAGTATACCAACGATGGATTTGTAGTTTCAAAGTCCAGACCATCATGTTTTTCTTCCTTCTTCAAACTTAATCTAGCGTCTGTGTTAATATGATCAGGATCAGCAGTGTACTTAGATAAATCCAACTCTACTGGGAAAGTTACGTGTGAGCCGTTTTTGACAATTTGATAAGTTCTAGGATCGAAAACAGATCTATTAATGTGCATGGACAACAATGCAGGCGGTCTACTGAATAGAATCTGTTTTGATTTCTTCGTCTTCCTAATCATTTGCTTTATCGTTAATTTATCGAAAACTTCATCCGATATATAGTTCTTAGTTAATTCTGACACAATCCCATCTATACGACTCTGGTACATGGATGCAAGTTTTTCGTTGGACGAAGGTGTCTCTTCGACCTTTCCACGAAGTAATTCTTGTGTTTGTTCGAGTCCACACCTATTGCAATTTACGTTTTCAATAATTTCAGGAGCTATCCATTCATCCAATAAGTCGTACAAATCATATGAATGATAGGAAGTAGCTTGTTGAGTATTAGGAAGGTTCAATGAAAGCCCACTGTTCACTGCATAACGTATCCCTCCATGTTCACCACATGTGAGACATCCAACTCTCTCAACGGTGATTCCATCTACAGGTGTAATTAAGTCCAATGGAAGGTATTTGTTGAGGTCATTAGTGTTTGGGTCGACTTGAACTGCCGGCACGTATACTGAACCAATATACCCAAGATTCTCAAGTCCATAAACAAACTTTTGTACAGAGTTACGATCAACATATTTTTCCAAGTCACTGACTTCAGATTCTTTTTCATTACTGATATCAGGATTTTTCTTTTGATCCAATTTCTTATGCTCTTTTTCGAGGATTTCAAATACTAATTGATAAAATTCTTGGGCATCTTCTTGGTTGTAACCCAGGAAAAAGTTCTGCTTTGGGCCGTTTGGCATATTTTGAAGCAAGTTTCTAGTAGAAAACTCCTTTCCTTTGGTGCCATACCGTCCATTTACACCATCTAGTAATGTTTTCAAAGCACGGGTAAAATCGAGACCCATTTTGACTTGATTGGTTCTAACTATTTCTCCATTTTCCAATTGTACTTCTTCATACAAATATCCATCGATAAACTTCAAAAGTGATGTAGATGATGCCAACAGCTGTATAACGGAGTTCATAAAGCACGTGTTACCATCGTTGGCAATACCACCAACGGACCCACCATTCTTTATAGCAAAGCGATACTCTTTAGTCCGCTTCGTGTTGCGAAATCTCGATTGCATTAATGAAGAAGAAATTGACCCAGGGAATAGTTGTTCCAATCCAAACTTAATTTGATTGATATTGATAAAATTCGAGTATACTCCCACTAATAGGGATGTAGCCAAGATGACAAGGGCCGCCGTTCCTGTTGAGCCGAGTGTTGCCTTCGATAAAGATGAGAGAGCCTTTTTCCACCACCCAGTCAAAATTTTGAGTTGGAAGGTCAATTTGGAAATAAACGAATAGTTTTGTGCGATAAAGGTGGCTAAAGATAAGATTAGGATTAAATTAACAAGCAAAGTTGATACTTTTATCGATTTCATAAAGGAAGAAACAAGGGAAAAGAAAGTGAGGTAGTTCAATACAGATAAGTTTTGCTTCGTTCTTGATGTAAACTTTCTTTAGCTTTCTTTCTTTTTCTCTCCCTAGGAAAATGATTATGAGTCTATGTTACTAAAAGTACTATAATGAACAAAATGTTTTCTCCCTTTGTCTTATATGTGCTGCTGCTCTCCGTCAAGGTTGATGAGTTTCTGATTTGGATGAGATTTCGATGGAGAAGCAAAAAAAATTGAAGGTACTGCAGATAAGAATACACGACCTGCACAAGTGGGGTTGCAAGATAACAAGAACATGCCTTTCTACGATTACTAGTTGATGGTGGTTGTTGTCAAAAACAATAGTATATATTCAGGCATAGTAATAAATTAATCTACTCTTATGTATGGTACATCTATAAATTGGCATAATTGAGGCAGGCCAGCATCTTTTCTTACTTCTATTATAGACTCCTATTGTAACTGAGTTACTCAGAAGAGTAATGATCCACTGACTTTCATTTTTCCTTTTCTTCTATATTGTAACTCTTCGTATAATCAAGTTCTTTTTACTTTTATCCGTATTAATCTATTGTCTTTGGTACATTTGCGGTAGTGGACCTCTGAAGTTATTAAATTGATGGTTCATTGGAGGTCTGTCCTTACCCCATCCACACTTCAATGGTCTTCCATTCACATTGAAACCCGCAAGTTGAACTATGGCCAATGCTGCTCTCTCATGTGTATCATATTTAACAAATGCACAACCTCTTTCAGGATGGAATTTGAAATCGACAATAAACCCAAAATTTTGCAATAACGGGATTAAATCTCCTTGCTGTGTGAAATGCGCAATGTTTCCGAGATAAACCGTGGTCTGCCAAGAAGGTGTTTGCCTAAGGACTATGTCATAAGATTGTGGAGACATTACAGGCATATTGCTTGGAGGCATTACACTATTATTACCGTTGTTGTTATTGTTTTCCTGTTCATGTTGGAGAGCATGGAAGTCGGCTTCAGGTAAATTTTCATTGGAGGGATATTGTTGGCCATTGATAGATTCATGCTGTTGTTGAAGCTGTTGCTGAAGGCGTTGCTGTTGCTGATGTTGCTGATGTTGACCATGATTTTGCAATTGTTGGATAAGAATATTAGGGTCCTGAGATTGGAACTGCTCACCTTGCTCAAACTGTGGGGTATTGTTGTACAGCCTGTATCCATTGAACTTATGCCCATTATGCCCATTTCCAATATTATTATTGTTACTATTGTTATTATTATTATGATTATTATGATTATTATTATGACTGTTATTGTTACTGTTGAATCTTCTCCTCACCCCATACTGGGGTTGGGCATTATTTTGGCTATTTTGAACCTGTTTATGACTGGCCCAATTACATCTGATAGCTCTGCCACAGATCCACTCTCCATTCATTGTCCTTAATGCTTCTTCTGCATCTTGCTGCTCGCTAAAGTTTACAAACCCATAGCCTCTGGATCTCGAGGTTTGCATGTCCCACATTACTCTTGCCAGCTTCAAACTGCCGAATTTTTGGAATGCCTTATTTAATGCTTCATCATCTACCTCAGGCAGCAAGTCTCCCACGAAGATGTTGAACATCGGGTCAGAATATCCACCATTCTGGTCAGAATTGGATATAACATTTGAAGACTGGAAAGCCCAATTGATTTTAAGCTCTGCCAGGGCTAGTACAGTTCCATTCAATTGGGTTAATGCTGCTGTGGCGGAGTCATTATTATCGAATTCGATGAATGCGTAGTTGAACCCAATCTTATTTTTATCATTAAGAAGTTTGACACTCTGGATCGAATCGGGACCAGCCACAGCAAAGAGTTCCTTAATTGAATCTTCGGAAACGGACTTGTGAAGCGAACCCACGTAAAGAATCTTATTCGAAGTTTCACGCCCACCTTCTAAAGCAGAGGCAACAACGATATTTTCAGCATTTCTAGCAGCATTAGTAGTTTGTGGTTGTTCGTCCCCATTAGCACTCCCTTCTTGCACTTGATCAGCAGCTACTTCAGCTTGCTCAACTTTCGCTTCAGCAGCCTGTTCATTACTATCTTGCACATCCACTGCCTCTTTTTGGGCTTGGTTGGAAGGATTCTCTGGTGCGGGTGAAATTTCCTTAGTAGGAATAGTTGTTTCGGACATGAATTTGCTCTCTAGTGATCCGGACGTGTTAATACTTTTTTGCGGTTTAGGTGGTGGATGTCCTAGAGTTTAGTTTGGGTATGGTGAAAAGGAAGGGATCGATATGGATATCTGATTGCACGGATGGAAAAAAAACCTATTGTCCTATTGTATAGAAGATCTATTGCATTCACTTGTCTTTGTTGCCAATGTTAAATTCAATTGCCTGCTTTTTCAGTTTCTTTTTATTTTCTTTCTATTTTTTCCTCGATATTCTGGCAGAGAAAAATAGATCAAAAAATCAAGACGGGAATAAAATCAATATAAGTGAATGTCTAAGTATACTTTACTCACAGTAAAAAAATAGTCTTGTATTTTTCTATCTCTTTTCTTATCAATAGTGTGATTACTATTAGCAACTCTTTAATGTTGGCTGGACTTTTCTTCTATGCTTTGCAGGTATACGCTTCACTATAGCTAGATCAGAAACGCGCTAAGTTGGTGCGTTGACTTCTCGCTAAATTCTAAAAAATATCCCCAAAATAATCGACGATCCCAAATGGACTTTGACACGAACAAAGTTAAAATTGAGAAATTATATGCAGTACCATAGAATCTGAAAACTTATATGGTGAGGTTGAGTTGTATAGCGCTTGCAGTGTACAGTTTAGCTCAAGCGCTGACGCAATTTTGATGGGCGATAAAGAGGCCAGTAGAGCTATGGGTAGGATACAGGCCATAGTTATAAGCGACTCTACTATGCTAAAAGATGTCAAAACTAAACTAGAAAAGAACAAGTATATCAATAAAACTAAGAAGATAGAGAAGAGAGGAGATGAGTTTGTTATATACACTACAATAGATGAGAGTGATTTCACTAGCAAACAGCTCCTTTGCTCGATCCTTTCATCAGTACCGCATACTATCGAATACCATGAAATTGATCTAAATACTATCGACAAGGGGTATTCCATGCCCAGCACCATTAATAAGAACACTTCTTTGGCTACTTGTCTCTATAACTATTGCCGTGAGAATACAATACCCCCACCTGTATATAATGCGCTTTTACAAAACTTGCCTAAGAAATGGAGTATATATCCACCCATGGTGCTATTCTCTTCAAATACATTTGAATCCGAAATCTGGAGAGACCATGCTGGATTTTTCCCCTTCTTGATTTCAAGTATGTTCCCTTCAGCGACTCATATCGCAGTTAATAAACCTATTATTGAATCTGATGAGATGAGACGACCATTTAACTTGGTTCCTGTATATGGAGAATTTGGACCTGCTCAAAGCTCAGATCTCTTTGAATGTCCTACTCACGAGGACTTCGAGGATGAATTGTGGTGCTCTGTTGTACAAAATGGCATAACTCAGTGCTGGGCTCCCAGATACACTATGTTCTCTAGAGGAAATATCAAGGAAAAGAAAAGAGTATTGGATACATTTCAATTGAACCCCAATGACGTCATTCTTGACTTATACAGTGGCATTGGGTATTTCACCTTCTCTTATATCAAGAAAGGAGGAATAGTGTTTTGCTGGGAGATAAATAAATGGTCGATTGAAGGCTTAAAGAGAGGAATGATAGCAAATGGGTTCAAATTTAAAGTTGTGGAGAAGGATGAAGTAATCAATGCAGCACAATTCCAATCACTATTGAATGCAGGAACAAAGGCATTCATATTCAACGAGTCAAACATCACTGCACCGAAACGAATTGAGCAATTGGACCAGACCTTACCAATCAAGCATATAAACTTAGGACTATTACCAAGCTCTCAACAGAGTTGGGAAATTACTTCCACAATTATTCAAAAATATAGCAAATGTCCAACTTCCGTACATGTCCATGAAAATGTTTCAATACATGCTTTTGAGAAGTTTAAAGAGAGTACTTTAAGCTACTTTTCTAATTTTGGAAAAACGGAGTTTCTTCACCTAGAGAAAGTCAAGACATTTGCCCCTGATATCTGGCATATTGTCGTAGACTATTTACACCACCCCAGCTAGAGATACCCCAAAAATGAATTAGACTTGCTACCAAATCTACACCTTTCGGAAAGAGGCTGATTTTGCCTAAGTCATTGGAAAGTTTATTTTCCTCTTATATTTCAGATCTTACAACTTTTAAGGTTGCCTCATTTCCTAAACAACTTTAAAAAATTAGCAAATGGAAGAGCTAATTCCTTTCAAACAAGTTTAAACAATGGGCGAAGCAAATTAATAATTAGGTAGTACTATCTTTTTCTTTTTTTATTATTTTATTTTTTGCAACTGAAATTTTTTTGGCATTCTTGTTCTGCATACATAGAGAGGCTGTGCAAAGTATAGCCCGACCGAATATGATTAACGGTTATACCTACATATTGGCTTGTGGAAGACTTTTCATTGGAGGGAAGCATGCTATTTTTAGGTTTCTTCCATTGAAAATACAAAGAAGCTGGATATTCATCGGAAATAAAATGTAGAACTTTTGACTTTGTCTAAAAGAAGATAATAAAAATACGAAACTTCGCAAGGAACACGGTCCAAGAAGGGCCGTTTCCACATATGTAGCCGATCTAGAACAACAACTCAATCATTAGCAATACTGATATTTCAGTCATCTGAAATACCCCACGATAGTGTCATATCCTAAATTCTAATTAGAGGGTCATCTGTGAAGCAAAAGCAAACCACGACTTGAAATCTTCAAGTCTACCTTAACTTCCTAATCAAATTAATAGAACAATCTTACAGTTGGTCTGAGTAGTTTTTTGGAACAATAAGAAAGAATTTTAAGTCTAAATTAATTACGTACTACTCTTTGTGTGTGTCTTTCTTTTAAGCTAATCGTATTCCGAAAATCATATCACCAAGCAATGATTACGCCACCAATTACACATATTTCCCCTACCTACTTCACAACCAAATAAGTCAGATCCTCTATGTAATATTTCCTCCTGCATTTACCTGCGCTTCCGCTATCAAAACTTGTGCAGAAACTGCACAATTTGGTCAATTCTTTTGCTGCGCCCTACAATGTATACTTTAAATGATCTCTTTAATGTAGAATTGTCCATGCACGGCGTTATCCCACATTTACCAACCTAATGTTAACTTTCGTATTTATGCCACTCTGGTACAGTCGGCCCGCTTCTAAGAATACTATATGAAGTTCTTTTGGGAAGTACAAAAAAATATTATTTGCCATATTCTACTTCCATACTTCCTTACACCCAACAAACAGTAGAGCGATTTCAAAAGTAAAAAATCCAGAGGGAAAAAAATAAAACTACCTGGTCATAGTTTAATAAATAAAGGATAGTCTGCAGAGTTCAGTTTCGTTGAGTTTCATATTCTGTGTCAATCCAATTCCTTTATCTAGTATATTATCTTTCTATACTTATACTCGTGTCTCTCTACTTGGAAATTTTGTACAACGAGGGAGATTGAGAGAGACATAGATACCAATAATTAGTAACCCATTCAGTGTAAACTTACCTTCTATTACCCACAACAAAAATTGACCCACCGATGTCCAACGGCACTCCTGGTGGCAACCTAGAGAATGGTGATGACGATCAACTATACGACATCTTGAATCTTCTGCCTCCGATGAGTATCAAACAAATTGGAGGTGGAATAAGCTCAGGATTCAATTCCCCAGAAGAATACAAGAATGTGAATTTTGGTTTCCAGCAGTATGACCAGGGCCAGCAGCATCATCAGAAGTTGAATGATAACCAGAGTCTACACCAGCAAATGAACCAGGGGCTACAAGATTTACAACTTGGACAACAGGTGCAAGACCAGGGCTCTGGAAACTATCAAATGGGCCAGACCAGTTCCTTCCAACAGAATCAAAATTATGATACTGTTCCTACTTTCAATATAGACTCGAACCAGGGAATATTTGATGACTCTCCCAACACGCAAACATCGGCAACGAGCTTGCCCCCACAGATACAGGTTAATAACAGTTCACTTGGGTCCAATGGTAGTGGTCTCACTTTAAATACAAACAACCTCCAACAGCTTAACACACAGCAACACGACCTGCTGCAATTATTACAGCCGAACATATCACACCATAGGGGATCTTCTTACACATCACAGACCAACTCCGTGTATTCTGACGTCTCGCTGAACGCTGCTAGTCCTTACATGGATGCAATGTCGCATTTCTCGGATGCTGGCGGCAATCCTCCCAATACAGGTACTTATTTCAACTCTTTCGATCAAGAGATAGCCCTTGGTGGCTCTATACTGAGTACAAACTTACAACAGTATGGTCAGAATCTGTATCAACTGTATCAACAACAGGGACAGGTACAATCCCCAATACCATTTCGTATCCCTCAACAGGTGGATCAACAGCAACTAGATTACCCACAACTGCAAAAACTAGAACAACCACAGCCGCAACAGGAATTTACACAACAGTGGAATGCTGGTAACAATTCAGACATGCTTACAGAAAATAACCTTTCTAAATTCCAAACTTTTGGACCTAAATCCGAAGAAGTGATCATAAATATTGATGCTGCACCTGAAGTCGCAGCAGCCAATAGAACTCCATCACTTTTCTCCAACTCTTCGCATAATTCTTCTACCCATAACTCACCAGGAGGTGGGTTGAAGAAGGAACATCATTCGGGTACAAATTTGCTTCCAGGCGGCTCTCCTGGAGGTTTCTCGGATTACTCGGACTCTCTTAGACCGGAAGAGTACCAAATGATGAAAAGAGGAAGAAGGAGAGCTCACCTGGTGAGGTCTGGTGCAAGTTCTGGGAGATCCAGATCTCGTTCTTCTTATTTATCTGAAGATGATAGATCAGATTTGGAGGATGCATCTGACATGGATGAAGATAGAGATGATTACGATGAGCATGAAACCGGTGGTAGAGGTGGGAAAGATCGTGTTTCGTCCCGTGAAAAGATGCTTGAATTAGCTTCTCCAAACCAACCCTCGAAACGAACACAAAAACACCCATCTGTATATGCGTGCCACTTGTGTGAAAAGAGGTTTACCCGTCCTTATAACTTAAAATCTCACTTGAGAACTCACACAGATGAAAGGCCATTCATCTGTAGCGTATGTGGTAAGGCATTTGCTCGTCAACATGACAGGAAGAGACATGAAGACTTACACACAGGCGAGAAGAAATTCCAGTGTAAGGGGTTGTTGAAGAATGGTGAACCATACGGTTGTGGTAGAAAGTTTGCCAGAGCCGATGCGTTAAGAAGACATTTCCAGACCGAAGCTGGTAAGGAATGTATAAGGCTATTAGTGGAGGAAGATGAAAAGGAAAGATTAAAATATGGAGATCTGGGTAGCGGAGGTATGGGTGGTTCAGGAGATGGCTCGGGTTATTTAAGTCCAACCAGCGCTATGCTCAGCGGAGCAAATATCCCTCTGGTAGCAATCTCACCTCCTCCAGAATAGAGAATGAAAATGGAACAGAAAGTCAATTTCCTTTCCAGACGGGTTGCAGGTGCTTCACTCGTTTTTTGTGACCAAATATGTAAAGTAGGTTAGTAAAGCCATTGTAATATACGCAATTGGGAGGAACCAAGTACAAAACAGCTTAATCTAGGCCGTAAGGCGACAATTATGGTAACTAAAAGGGAATCGACTGAACAATTTGATGATCCTGTATATAGATCCAATATGGACTTCAACGGTCGTTAGCTCTTCGTCATTTTTCAAATCAGCTACAGCTAACGTCTGCAAAGGTACAATTACGCAATCAAATTAGATCCTAAAAGATGTCATTGGATCATGATCTGATGGTAGATAGGCTATCTTCATCTAATTCTCCAAAAAGTGACCTGAAAAGCCGAGCCCAGGAACAATTGGAGAAATGGACACAGAAGAAACAGGAACTCATGTTGTCACAAAATCGAGAATACATGGAATCGTTATTCAAACAGAACGCAACCAAACCCATAAAAATTGGACCAATTCAAGTAATTAATAGTCAGGGGTTCAGAGACTCATTTATAGAAGCTCAAATAGATCCGCTCACGCAGACCAATTTGGTTACATTGGGTACGTTTTTCAGCAAGTTGGATCAAGTGAGTTCCAATTGGAAAAATAGTGGAGCGGTAGAGAACATGTTCATACAACTCCAAGACAGTAAGGAGATAAGAAGGCCACAGCCATTTTTCCGTAGTGGCAGACAAACAGGAGGCGACGGTACTGGTAGAGCTGGTAGCACAATAATCTCTCCGATAATCCATTTGGCACCTGTAAAGCGTTTTTACGCCAAGACTGGTACAAACGTCGGGAATGGTGAAGGTGATGGCTACATCCAATTTCAATTGAAGAATTTGTTTGGAGGTGCCGAGAATTTAACCTTTGATGCCACCACGGGTACCAAAACGCAGTCCTCATACTTGTTGAACTACACTCAGCCAATTTGGAATAACACTAACTTAAGGATGGAAAATGTCTTTTACATGAATACAAGAAACTTAGATTGGTTGAAATGTGAGGCAACAGTTAGAGGTCATACAATAAAAGTATCTCATCAGAGCCTTCAGAATCGTTCAGTGAATTTGGACTTCCTGATTGAAAATTGCTGGAGAACTGTATCCAATTCACAATCTAGAGCTTTAGATGTCATGCTTCAACTGGGGAATGATTTTAAGCTGTCTGCATTATTTAACTGGAAGTACGACACAAGAGACAATGCACATTTGCCAATGAAGGGACACATGGTGAGGATAGGATTGGAATATTCAGGTTTGATCCCACTGGTGAGTAGTTACAAATTCTTTAAATCTGTGTGGGAACAGCAACACTCCTTCAAAGTATCAGATGTGCATAGCGTAATCCTCACAAACAAGGCCGGAGTTATATCACCACTAGGAGGCTCTCTTTCCACGACGCATATCTTGGACAGATTCTATATTGGGGGACCAAATGACGTACGTTCGTTTTTATTGAATGGTTTGGGTCCAAAGAGTTTCAACTCATCCATCGGAGGCGATTTGTTTGTGAATGGTGGTGTTTCTCTTGTTTCCAAGATTCCTAGACTTGATCCCGAATCAAATTTCAAGATTCATAATTTCTTCAACTTCGGGAAGCTTATACCGATGGAAAAGTCCGATCACTATCTTCTGACATTAAAGTCTTTGTCACAGGTTTCGGCAAGTTATGGTTTTGGAATATTGTACAATCACCCAATGGCTAGATTTGAGCTTAATTTCGTGCTTCCATTAATCACTCATGACAGAGACTATGTCCGCAAGGGAATACAGTATGGAATTGGTGTATCATTTTTGTAAGTTCAAAGAAAGAAAAGGCTTGAAAATTACTAAATAGTAACTTCTATCTGCTACAATAATACCCTTTCAACGGCCAATTTACTCTAAATTTGTATATAGCATTGTAAATAGAGATATTATGTCTTGTTTGATCGTAATTAATTGTGTTTATGGGAATTGAAGATCTGATTTTATACAAAAAACTTCTAATAACTATGGATTCTAAATAATATGAATGCATTGGTATAACAAAGAGACTGGAATCAATGTTTATGAGACTCGATCCAAGCTTTATGCTCTACCATAACCCCTGGAATAATCAACGATTCAATCTCTACGTTATTTTTCTGTTCTTCTTCATTTAGTCTGATCCATGTTTGCTCCCCATCTGGTCTTATAAAGACTACTTCCCATTTTCTTGTCTGTAAAAGATTCCCAATAACGAGCTGATGTTGATATCTAGTCAATGCTCCCAAAGCCTTCTTTATTAAAATCAGATTATCTGTTTCTAATTTGAAGGACACAATCATGGCCAGAGGAGCCCAGTTATCTACCAATCTTCTTAAAAATTTAGGAACCTGCTCTAAATCAACAATAAGCTTTCCCAGAGTTTGACTCTGAATCTTGTGTTGAGGCATTCTAGACTGTGGCAAGAAGAAATCAGAAACAGCAGCAGCTAAATAGAACAAAGCCTTTCCTTCAAGGATCTGTAATAGTTTACTGGTCAGCTTCAAAGTGTACAAATACTGATTGACCGTAGTAAATGGGATAAGTAATAGAGACTTCAGATCTTGTGCTGCCTTATATTTTCTAAGTACATGCAACATTTGGTCTGCATATTTTTCATTAATCTCTATCTTGTTATGCTTTTCAATCATATAATCAAGGAAACAATTGTTAGTAGTATGCGAATAATGTCTCGAATAAGGCAAAAGAGAGAATTCTCTATGTAAGAATATTACAGCATACCCATTTTCCAAGAAGTATTCAGCAGATGTAGCACCTCTAGTACCAGCTGAAAAATTATCGATAAACCTAACAGTATTGTTTTCAAGTGGCACAGTGGTACCACCAGAAGTCACCAATACTACAGGCTTTCCTGACTGTTCATGATGGAATTGAACGAAATCTTTAACCAGTGACTCAATTTCAGGGAGATACTCCGGTGCCTCATGAGTATTAAAGTATATATCTTCGTCGTTGACTTGGGCAATTGGAAAATCTGGAACAGTCCTGTCGATTGCCGTCTCCGTTTTTGGTTTGGAAGTATGATAATTAGGCATTACTATGAATAAATGTCTGACTCTTTTAAAAAAAATGTGCCTATGGTTTTCTAAAAACTCTTATGCACGGCAAATCAGTTCTACTTGACTATGACAAATTGATTCGGATCTCTGGTAGCCCTAAACGACGTATAGCACTCTCTTATAAAGAATTTTTCTTTTTCTTGACTAATTTTCGTTTCTGTTACTGAAATTAAGTCCGCTAATTCCAGTTTGTTTCGGGTCACTTGAATCTACGCAAAGGGTACCTTGAGTGTTTGATTCTTTTATGATTTGTTGAACATCATTTCATTTTTTTTTTCATTTGTGGGGAATTTTTTACTTTGCAAGAATTTCAGTTTGAGATAAATTCCAAATTACTTCATTACCATATAGTGACACTTAAATACAGCTGATAATGACGGTGGTTTTCATAGATGTAAGTTAGGCAAATGACTTCTTGTCTTGCAAATTAATACTTTAGGATTTAGGTTACTAACAGGATTTCTAGGTTCAACAAGGTGGTAAGTATGGTGTTTTCCTTGAAAGATAGCTACGAATTAGCAGGGATAGCATTGAATACCGATCTTGCTTAAATAAAATTTCAACTCGTTTTGCAGAGTTTCTTGCCATCTTTCTAAATTCCTTTATCTGACGTACTAACTGGATGGTAGATAGCTTAATAGGTAGAATCAAAATTAAATTGTACAGCGAAGAATTGCCGAAGTAAGTATAATCCACTTTCGCTATAGCTTCTCTCATACTAACCCCTTTAGAACCTCTGAAAATTTCAGGCAATTTTGTACTGGAGAATTCCGCCAAAATGGGAGACCTGTGGGGTATAAGGGCTCTATATTCCACAGAGTTATACCAGGGTTTATGATACAAGGCGGAGATTTTGTGAAAAATAATGGAATGGGAAGTTTCAGTTTATATGGAGAAACATTCCCTGATGAAGGGTTCCAATTCGATCGTATGTATTCTATCCAGGAGAGACCGTTCCTACTTTTAAGCTATTCAATGGCAACTTCCTACTAACAAAATAGACAAAAAATATCTGATTTCGATGGCCAACTCTGGTCCAAATTCCAATGGGTGCCAATTTTTCATTTGCTGTACTGAAGTCCCCCACCTTGACGGAAAACATGTGGTCTTTGGGGAAGTGGTAGGTGGATTCAAGGTAGTTGATTTTATAGAGAATGTAAAGGTTGGCATGGCTGATGCCCCAGTAGAAAAAGTAGTAATATCTAATTGTGGAGAGTACTAGTCATGAATCACAGTTCAATCAGCTTTTAATCAGCTTTTGCATAGTTTCGGAGTATGTAACTTTAGACCCAAGCACAATCAGCTTTGACATAGTTTCAGTGTACGTTAAACAGAAAATAACATAAAGTAAAAAACGAGGAACCCTAAGAGATCCCTTTACCAAATAAGATAATAACATCGTAGATTCCCTCCATCTTATACCACGCATGTACTCTAGCATATAATACTCTACTCTATTTGCAGCCTCTTACCTGGAACCATGATGAAGGTGATAGTATATGCAGGACGATATGATTTTCCATGAGAAGTATTTGCTTGGCCCACTCAACCCCCAGAGTATGTTTCTTCAACCAGGTACACCACAGCCAATTTATTATCAATTAACTCGTGAACTTGACATATGCATATATAAGAAGACATGTCTGCGGATTTTTGGAATTCAACTCAAAGGACGAAGTGGCAACTCACTCGATACCTGTTGTTTGAGAATCGTAGGAAATTGTTACTCTTAGAGCGTAAAATGATTCACAATGGAATTATCAAAGATGCACCGGGGATCGTCTATGATGCCAACATGAGAATATATTTACATAATTGTAAGTAAAAGGAAAGCAATGAAGACGAAAAATACGAATATAATTAAGAAATGTGTGTTTTCTTGCCTGTTGAATTGCAACATATATGTATATCAATGTCCATATGTATACTAACCATCTCTAGTGCTTGTAAAATTAGGAAGAAGATTGAATATCCGACAGATTGCTCTTGCTACTGCAGAAGTCTATCTTACAAGATTCCTCACCAAAGTCTCATTAAAGGAAATCAACTTATATCTATTGGTTACGACTTGCTTATATGTAGCTTGTAAAATTGAGGAGTGTCCACAACATATAAGAGTAATAACTTCAGAAGCGAGAAATTTATGGCCCGAGTATATCCCCCAGGACATCACCAAAGTTGCAGAATTTGAATTTTACTTAATAGAAGAAATGGATCTGTACTTAGTGATACATCACCCATATAAATCTTTGCTACAATTGAGAGATTTTTTTACTCTGGTAAACCCGCAGTATATGGGAGGAGGATTCTTGTTGACCAGTGAAGAACTACAGAATTCTTGGTCAATTATAAATGACAGCTACATCACTGATGCACATTTGTTGTTTCCACCACATGTTATTGCTATAACTGCAGTTTATATTACGGTTGTGCTAAACCAACAGAATAAGCATGGGAATGATGGAGTAGGGGTTGGCTCTACAGGGGGTAGTAACAGTGCTGGCTCACAACAAACATCTATTTCCAATGAGAAGGCAGATATTCAACTAGATGATCTTTTATCGCTAACATACTCACTTCCAAATGAAAATGGTGACAATGGAAGTAATACTGGGAATAACATTGGAAACAATTCTAACAATGGGGATAGAGTACCGAAAAGTGGAGAAATAAATAGTGGTGCTAACGGTGCTAACGGTGGAATGGATCATCTAGTGAGGATTGACCAATTTCGAGAATTTTTGGCAAGATCGCATATCAATCTTGATGAGGTTGTAGAAGTACTTCAAGATATGGTGAACTTGTATGCTATTTGGAATAGATACAACGAGTCGCAGGTAAAGAGAGCATTAAGCTTTCAGTTGTTAAATAGGTAACAGCAAAAAGATATCATTAATATATGAGCAGAGAAAAGGGTTTCAAGCAGTCGACGATATTGTAGTAAGGTAGAAAGCGAATCTGGTTCAATCTGAGTGGATTTTTATCGGAGAGGGTGATTTAATAAAAAAAAAGAAGAGACTCTTTACGTTCATTTCATGAGTTTTTTACTGGAATTGCAATATGTAGAGGGTAAATTACCAATCGAGCAGAAGCAAAGGAGCTCTAAATAGAAAAAAGGGCTACCAGACCGTTTTTAAAGAATGTGAGTGCGTAGGAAGTACAACGGACACTAAGGCTGCAACAGCAGCTCCACCATAGCTCTACCGAACCCAAACCCAAACTCAAGCTCCAAACAAAAACTCATTGTTCCGCAAGAGTGGTACCCTATGCCTGAAATTTTAGCGTGTTGGTATTGCAACCATTCCACCGCCTGCAGGACCATCCACGAATTGGGTTTCTTGTCCCGAAATTTAAGCTTTGTAGGAAAAAAGTAGACTCGTGGTGAAATGAAACCACCGTTATGCAAGAAATCTAACAATCACAGGGCAAAATGTCACCTGAATGGAAACTAATATACACTTGACCTAATAAGAATTCGGAGCATAATTGGAGCAAAATTGGAGCAAAATTGCCGCAATTTTGTTGCAAATGTTATTCTCTACCCTATAGAATTCTTTCTTATTCGAATCATCACAGCCCCCAGCCCTATGCCGATCAGCCATCTGCTGCATTGCATCGAGTCGATACTGCATCTACCGTAAAAAAGCCCAAGCCCAAGCCCAAGCCCAGCTCGTTCCCTAAATTTTTCAAACGTGCTTTGAAAAATCTCGAACCTTAGTGGGAAAAATCTGCATGGTAAGCTAGGTGCAGGAAAAAAAAGACAGAAAAAATAGTGAAGGAACAAGACAACTAAAACGTTCACAGAAGAGGCCACCATTAGCACCAATATAGACGGGTACTTGTAAGGATCATAACTATTTTTTTGTATAGGTATGGTATATATGCACTGCAATTAAAGAAATTCTCATATAGACAGACACAGCCCAGCATAGGATGCCTAAATCACATACAGTGTTGAACGATGTGTCAATGAAAAATCTTTCCAGCATACAAGATGTAAATCAAGAACACGACAAGAAAAGAGAACAGGGGAAGTTGGCACCCAATCAAACAGCAAAGCTGGTAGTCCAACGTCCGTCGTATGCATACTCATTAGCGGCTTCTATCGAGCAAAACCAGATCCACATCTCGAGGCTACTTTTAACAACGCTCTATGTTGTTCACGTACTCTACCCTCCAGCAAAGCCGTACACAGACAAATTCATACATTTACAATATGAAATACCACCAAGCGAATACAGTGAACTTGCGGGAAGAACAGGAGCATCAGTAAATTCACCACAGGACTCACCTCTCTATGATATTGGTAAAGATGATATCTACTACGTTGTCTTTTGGGTAGTTACATTGACGTTCTTAAGATCTGCCCTCATGCTGTACATATTCACACCCATTGCAATCAAAATTTGTAAAATACACTCCAGAAAGGCAGTGACAAGATTCGCAGAACAAGGCTGGCAAAACTTCTACTACATTTGCCTGTTCTCGCTTGGTGTCTACTTATACGTGGGCAGTCCATATTGGATTATGAACTTGGATCATTTATACCTTGGATGGCCCCACTACCAGTTGGTCCCTCTTTTCAAGAAATATTATTTGATTTCCATTGCATTTTGGGTTCATCAGATGGTTGTACTAAACATTGAAGAGCGTAGAAAGGATCATTGGCAAATGTTCTCACATCATGTAATTACATTTTTCTTAGTAGTGGGATCATACTACTACTATTTTGGTAGAGTGGGACATTCTATATTGATGATTATGGATTCTGTGGACATCATTTTAATCACTGCCAAGATGTTAAAATATCTGGGTTTCGGTATTATATGTGATATCTTATTTATATTGTTCTTGATATCCTGGATCATATTACGACACGGAGTGTACAATGTACTTTTCTACCATGCTTACTTGAATGCGGGACCACTTATGAATGAAATGAAGTGCTTCCCAGGAAATGACTTAAAAAGATGCTGGTCGCCCAATATCATTAGAGTATTCTTATTACTATTGGGTGGCTTACAAATAATTACATGTATTTGGATGTACTTTATATTGAACGTGGCAGTTAAAGTAGTTACAGGGAAGGCTGCAGAGGATGTTAGAAGTGACGAGGACGATACCGATGAAGAGGTGGATGTGGTAGAAGAAGTTGAAGTTGAGCATGAGGAGGAGGAGGAGGAGGAGGAGGAGGATGATAATGACGACATCGACGAAAAAGAGGATGAGGAATAGAACTTTTTTTTATACAGAGAAATAAAAAAGTCCAAAGGTAATGAAAGGTTAATAAAGAAGACACTTCTGATAATTTCTTTGCTTCTATATGGTCGTATTTGGACCACCTGGGGACAGACCATATTGCCTACTTTATGCGAGTCCCGTAGAGAAGAGGGTACAATAAAGTCATATAAAAGGAACGACCACCGAAGCATCGACTCAATATTTGTGTTTTCAAGGAATCAAAGTGAATCTTGTACCTCTATATAGATTATTTTATAGGTTCACGAAGAATATACAAACTTAGGAAAATAAATTGTAGAAATGGCTTCTGTCTTATCAAGTGCTCAGAGGGAACTGTACAAAGTTGCTTGAAACATTAGGTAACAATAGCAATGGCCAGTTATAGCATGATCGCACACTTTTTCTAGGAAAAAAAATAGCACATACTTCCCAGAATTGTAGTTTCTATACGAGTCATATCGTAGGTCTTTTCTACCCATAAAGATCAAAAATAGACCCATTCAAGTGCAAACAACACCGCCACCTGGAGGAAATTGCAACCAAAAAAAAAGATAATGAAGGATGCGAGGTTCGAACTCGCGCGGACACAGTCCAGTAGATCTTAAGTCTACCGCCTTAGACCACTCGGCCAACCCTCCATTTTCTGAAAGCTTATTTGATCCAGAAAACCCATAAATAGCTGTTGACTGTATCGTTAATCGTGTTTCTCTGAAACTGTAACTTTGAATTGAAAATACTGCAATGATTTGAAAAATGTCCATTTAGTTGGCTCAGAGCCATGTGCTGATATCACTGAGGGAAGAAATGAGAAAGAACTGAAAAAAACAATGTAATAAATCACCAATTGTAAAGCAGGCCACATTCTACTTGGGCAATGATAACCATCATGACCTCAGTTTGTTGGCTGTGACTACTTCGTTACATGAGTTTTGAATTCTTTCTATTTTCATGATGTATATTTAACAATAATAGTAACCGTTTCTATTTAATATCTAGGTTCCAAATTTTATAAGTATAAACTAGTATAAAGACATAATATCATAACTGCAAAACCCCAAAAAACCAATACCAACGATAAGAACTTTAAAATCTTTTCTGACTTTTTTGGCTCACTTACTCCACTCCCAATAAGCTTATATCCAAATAAACCTGGTAATATGAATGAAATTGCTGTAGAGCCTGTAGCTCCAACAATAGCTAAAACAAGCGCGAAAGATTTGACAGTCACAGCAGCCGTGTAACCAACAATAAGAAGCGTCGTAGTAATGACGTTGAATACATTATTTGATAGAGGTACCACAGGTGCTGTAGCAACTCTATCACTTTCTATTTCATCGTTCTGTACATCTGCTTGTTCTCCCGCTAACAAAGGCGTAGTTTCCTCAGGTCTAACTTGCAACCATTGCAGAAACCAAAAGTAAATATTGTTAACACTAATTCTAGCAGGATGTAACATCAATGGGAAAGAAAATATCACCATAAATACGATACTCGATCTACCTATCGTGGCTAAGATTCCATTGGGGAACATTTGAATGACATTTCCTGAAACGTTTTGACCAAAGGTCAAATATCCTGCTAAGCCAACAACTATGAATAACACTGCGGAGACAATAATGGCCACAAACACCAAAAGAGATAAAGAAGCTTGTGACTTATTTTGAGCTTCATTTATGATGGAGAACATGTTCTGATGACCAGTGAATGCAAAGACAATGATTGAAAAGGTTGAAAAAATAGCTGAAAGCGACTGGGGCCACAACGTAACAGGACCTTTCATTTCAGGATAATCACGTGCAATATCTCCTACGAAATAGTGCCCGACTACTAACAAAGACATATAAGCAATGGCAAGTAACCCCAAGATTGAAGTATATTTCAAAGAGTCCAAATTCTTCAAAAACGAAAGTGGAACACAGATTATGGAAGAAGCTAAGGTCCAAGTTTTGCTATTGGCATAGTTTCTTACTATAGTTGGCATCAAATCACCAATCAAGACGAGGTACAGGATCGCACAACCAAAGCATTGTACTGCAATTGCAAAATCAAACATGACTGATAAGCTTGGGTAGGTGATTGAGCATATGCTGAAAAACGTCGCTTGCCCTGGAGGAACATATTTGGAAACATATGTCTGTAAGAACAATCCAAATCCTGAAGTTAAACCTGCTAACAAGATAATCCACCACCCAAGAATCAACCCATCAGTGCTGAAAGCCAATGGCATTGACAAAAGCCCAGCACCGATGATGGTCTTAATCAAAGACACTGACGAGGATAAGGTTGAGGCGCCAGCTTCAGTCATTCTATACTTGATAGGGGAGAAGCAATGAAGTAAAGAAGAAAGGTATATCGAAATTTCATAACTAAAGATGTTTTTTTTATTTCCGCATTCTTCTGTGGCTCCAGAAATCGAAACTATTCAAATTCAAAATTGGTTGGTTCCTCGCGCGCAATTCTAAACGGAACGGAGAGCACACGGCGCAAATATGATGAATCGGTGGGGCTACATGGTTAAATGTGGTAATCTATTGTGCTTCTCTTAAACGTCTATAGTTATATAGAAGATATGATAATACTGCACTTAACCAGTTAACTAGTTTTTTTAGATACGGCTACAGTTGATTTGAGAACCGGCTCAGTATTGTATCAAGTTGAATAGCCTTGCGCATTCCTTGAAGAAGATGGAGAAATAGATGGGGCACTAAGCTGTGCCCAATTCTATCAGGGTGCTTTTTGGAGTAAGCCTAGCATCTCAAATCAATACATATATCAATTCTGTACATACATTGGCTTTGAATTTTATACCAAATCGATTGCATAGTGCACTTATTCACCCCGTCTTTACACCAGCTAACAACTTAAAAGCTAGCACCACCTTGGTATGGCTGCAAAAGTGCTCCTGACTCAGCTGGTGAAAGGAAACAGTGAATCAAAAAAAAAAAAAAAAAAAAAAAAAATGAAGCGCGCTTGTGCAGGAACATCTCAAAACGTAAACAAACGACTGAAGGTACAAACAGATCAGAGAGAGCACCTTTTGCTCTCCACTAAGTGACAACTTTACTATAGCAGACCATTCCTATTTTCTGCTTAAGTATTCATTTATATTCATGAGCAAAGAAAGCTCTATTTCGGTGGCAGTGAGGGTACGGCCGTTTACAACCGATGAAGAAAGAAATCTAGTTGTCCAAGTCCAGGATCAGCTCTTTCAAGGCGATGGATCATTAAATGATGGGAATGGGAACACAACTGGGATAAAATACCACATGCCCAATGGAATACGTAAAGTAGTTTCAGTCGTTGACGATAAAATGTTGATATTTGACCCTCCAGAGACCAACCCACTAAATAAAATGAGGGAGAGAGCATTCCCCAATGGAAGTGGAAGCATCAGCTCGAATAATGGTAACACTGGCAGCCCCAACGGGAGGGTAAGAGAACATCGATTTGTGTTCGACCAGCTTTTCGATACTGAAACAGATCAATACCATGTATACGAGAAAACAACTAAACCTTTGCTTGATTCTATATTAGAAGGCTACAACTCAACGGTTTTTGCATATGGTGCAACTGGTTGCGGAAAAACACATACCATTGCCGGTTCACCAGATCAGCCAGGTATAATCATGTTAACGATGAAGGAACTATTCTCTAGAATTGATGAAATATCGGAGACCAAACAAATTGACGTAAACTTGCTGTACTTGGAAATTTACAATGAAACAATAAGAGATTTACTTTCCCCTGAGACTTCATTCAAGAAATTGTTAATTCGAGAAGATTCCGCTTCCAAAATATCTATTTCGAATCTCTCTACTCATAAGCCAACGTCAGTAGAACATGTGATGGAATTAATAATGTTTGGAAATCAAAATAGAACCTGTTCTCCCACAGAAGCGAACGCAACCCTGTCCAGACTGCATGCTGTTCTACAAATCAATGTTCTTCAAAAGCTGCAGAGGATGATAGACTTACAGGAAAGTCAAACATTTGCAACATTATCAATTATTGATTTAGCAGGAAGCGAAAGAGCGGCTGCTACAAAGAATAGAGGCGTAAGACTTCATGAGGGAGCCAACATAAATAGACTGTTGCTTGCCTTGGGGAATTGTATCAATGCTTTATGTGATCCAAGAAGGCACAACCACATCCCATATAGAGATTCAAAATTAACCAGATTGTTGAAGTTCTCCTTAGGCGGGAATTGTAAAACAGTCATGATTGTATGCATATCGCCATCACTGCATCATTATGATGAAACCTTGAATACTTTGAAATATGCCAATAGAGCCAAAGAAATCAAAACTAAACTAATCAGAAATCAACATAACCTAGATAGGCATGTGGGATCATACCTTAAAATGATTACCGAACAGAGGGAAGAAATAGAAATTATGAGGGCAAGAGAAAAGACCCTAAAGGAGAGCATCCAAAAGAAAGAAAGAGAAGTGTGCGCCAACTGCATGAAGCTAACTTTGGAATACATAGATAGCTTGAATAAATCATTAAGTTCACATACTGCTGATAAGTGGAAGAAATATCATTTATTGGCGAAAAGAAAGATTTTACTACTTCAAAAAGTTGAAGCTGATCGCTTGTTGAAGAGGGAAACTAGAGAAAAATTCGAAGACGAAGGATATGATGAAGTAGAAACAGAGAGAAACGAAGCACACTTTTTACTAACTCAGGTTATCAACAAATGTTCTATGCAAATTACAGAATTAGAGAATCAGTACTCCACACCAAATGATAACTTGGACCTTATCTTTAACGAACTGGTTGCGCATTCTCTCAAGCGATTGCAGGAAGTGGAAAGCTGGTGTGATTATAATACGTTAATATTCCAGCAATTGGTAACATCTATCAGAGACACTTTGGAGAAGGATATATTGTTTAATTCTTCAGTATTATTTGATTATTTGGTTCATAATCTTCCAATGATAATAGAAGATGGGTACCGACGGGAAAAATTAGAAAGTTTACTTAATGGAGAGTTTGATTCGCTAATCGAAGAGCACACTTCCAATTTCATGAGACAAAAATTGAATATAAGAATAGCAGAATCTCGCCCGAAGCGGGATTCAAGATCAAGATCACCACTAAAACTTTCTCCACCACCAAAAAGGCAACTCGGTTCTTTTACAGCACCACCTACTCTTCTACCGTCCTCTACCACCACCTCCTCCAAAAAGGTGAGATGGGAAGAAAATAGTGATACTAGCATTGATGATCACAATAGTACAATGATCATGGACGATAGCATACAACCTGGAAGCGAATTAGATTTATCATTCAATCCTACAATTGAATCACCTCCAATCACTAAAAATAGGAGCCAATTCAATACCGGATCGATATTGTCTGAATTAAAACAGCAACCAAACATCGCAAGGCCCCCAACCCACATACCTATCAAAAGTTTTATAAGCCAGCAAGAAAATGGAAATGACAACAAAAAGGGCCCACTACTTAACAAAGAGGGAGCAAAATCCAGTAAATTAGCAGAAGATACCCCATTCAAGTTGAAAATGGCATCTCTCGGAGCTCCGTCAAGGCTTATCAATAATAGTTTTCCTATAGGTGAAACCTTGACCACTTCAAATTCCACTAGCAGCGGATCTGACAAAATAGACTAGCATAATAATATAGATATATATATATAACTTTATATATAGAAATGACGAATAATGATATCATTTATAAATCGGTTGGGTAAATGGAGACAAATGGCCACAGTAAATACACCAATCTTCTATTTTCTCAGCTACAAAATTAAAAAGCATATATACAATGAAACATTCATAATTTATTCATATGATCAACATACAATATATATAACAATTCTTATAGACCCAATCCTTTAAGTTTATTCTTCTTTGGAGACAATTTTATCGTCAGCCGTGACAATCATCTCATCATGTGTATTCTTTAAATACTCTTCCAACTCCTTCAAGTAATCCATACAGAATTTCTTATCAAATTCACCTGAACTATCGATCATTTTCTCTTTTAAATGAGAAAATCTCTTCTCCATTATGTCTAATCTACATTTGATCCAGTCTGGGTAAAAATCGTTGTACCTGGATCCGGTGTTCCATTCAGGCTTGACAGTTTTCAAAACTGATCCATCGTGCTTCAAAGGGTCTTTTGCTCTATACGATGTTACCATAGTGATTCTTTCCAGTCCTCCCAAAGGTTTAGGAGCAATATGTTCGATCAATCTCCCCTGCAAAACTGCACCATATCCAAGCTTTGGACCATCGATAGACACAACCTTACCCTTCTTGTCACCTCCCAAACGCAAAGATGTTTCACCTCCAATCATCTCAGAAGTATCGGAAAGCATCAAGACACAGACAAATGGATAGGAGTCACGGTGCCAGCCCACGATTGCAGGAATATCTTCACCATCAGATTCACCACTGAGTGCTCTGGTTCTTGCTGCCATAATCACTTCACTTTCGGTTGCAACATCTTCTTTCGACTTAAGACCCATATTTACATGAGCAATTTCGTAGTCCATTATAACTTCTAATTCTACTCCAGAAATTTTAGAAATCAATTCAACAGTCTTTGGGTGGGTCCAAGCTTCATGAACGAATGGAGTATATACATCTTTGTTCTTCTTTACGTATCCTCTAATTACACAATCTAAACCTGAGGTAGCAAGATTACTGTATCTAGCGAACTTCATAAACAAATCCTTTTGTAAGATTTCAGCCTTCATAATCGCTATAGCATCATCAGTGAATAGTGGGAAAGGATCCGATACACCTACTTGGGAAATTTGCTTTGGGTCAGAGAGTCCCAACTCTTCCATTGTCATGGAGTGAGTGTTATCGAACTCTTTTCTGACATCGTCACCGAGTGCGTAATATCTAAGATGCTTTTCTGGTTCAAAACTAATGGTTGTTAAAGACTCTGGAGTCAAACCAGCCTTTTCTAATAATTCTTGGAATTTAGGTGCAAGGTCATCATCGTAAGTAGATTCGGCAATGGACTTGTGAAGGTTACCAGCCTTCATTGTAGCAACATCGACTGACATATTTCAATTAAATTTGCAGTTTTCTTTCCCTTTGTTGTGAACTAATGTAAAAATACAATTTGTATACTTCAAATATACTAACCTTTCTTTATAACACAAGATCTCTTGTCCTATTTATAATGAATCATCTATAGATAACAGAATAGGTTCAGGTGCATAAATTTGCAGCCTTTTTCCTTCGTTCCTGTATCGAAATTGCCTAATTGAGATTAAAAATCCATAGATCAACTTTATTTGGGAACAAGTTTCAGTGTACCAAAATCCTTATCTATAAAAAAAAAAAGAAACTGAAAAAATACAACCCCCGTTGATTTTTTACAAGGTGTACATTCCGCTATTGGATGACTACTATGAAACCTATTCTGAGCTGCCTAGTGCTGTCGGGGTACTGGAAAAGCGTTCTACGTTTCCAGCTTCCTGCGAAAGGTCAATAGGTTTGTAGGCTATCTTTGGTAACTTCTCTCTCTCTATCTCTACCGTCCTGCTAAAGAACAATATACAGTACGAAATTTAAAATGCAACAACATTGCGCACAGCAGTTACTGACAGACGGGGATTGGCATGCAAAGGGATTCATCCTACACCCGGAAGTAGAGAACTACTTCTTGTCCGAACGGAAACAGGAGTAGTGAACCCTCCTACAATGTCCAGTGGGCTTTAATGGTCGGCGTAATTCCCCTTTTCCCTGATATTTTCTTGCTGTTGCTGGTGGTTGAGCGGGAGGCGGGTCGGCATTTTCTGATATTTTTCGCGGGACAACTTTCCGATATGGATCCCAATTCCAAATTTGGTTCACATTCACTTAACTCTGGCAGTGTACAAGCAGAGCGTATAAATTATTATGATTTCCCCAGATTTACCTTGATTTGGCGAAAAAAGGCTTGAGCAATGTAATTGGCATTAAATCTGACCGATTTCGGAGCAAGCATGTGTGTATGATACTACTTTGCCTATATCAATAGTGGTGCCATACTGTATCTACGTAACGAATACCGACCAAAGCCAATCACCCTATACCGGTCGTAAGACGTGCCCTCTTTTCCCTCTTATCCGCTACTTTCTTTTCAGCCCTTACGTACAATAATTCACTTGCACTTTTCCTATCAGTCTGTAACTGATTCCAAAGAGAGTGGAGCCGTTTTTTATTATCACGTGACCCATTTTTGTATCGACAATTGGTAGGCATGACATCTCCATCTCTAGCGTTTTCCGTGCTTCAATCGTTTCCACAGCTACTAGCTACGACCTAGTCAGCCTTCTCTCTATTTGCGCTACTTTAAAGCCAATCTCCGGTTAACACATAAAAATGTCTCACCAAGGTGCAATTGATGCCAATATCAAAGCGTTTCATGCAGCAGAAACGTACGACGCAAGAGAGAGTATGCAAGTGCTAAGTACTATCTTCACTAAAACTTTACTAGAGTATGAGCAATTACCTGTAGATCCGGTACCAGTGTATGGTGATGCACAAAAGCCTACTAGCGGAATCGACCTAAACATTATTCACTATGATAAATCCAAATCCCCGAGTACTTCCCTCAAGATTATGGATTTCGCCTGTGGGACTGGGTTAGTCATGGAAAAGATGGTACCATTCTTACCAGAAAAATCTGAAATTGTTGGAATTGATATAAACCAAGCATTTTTGGACTCATTTAACACTAAAGTAGAAAAGCTCTCTAAACAATATCCTACGATTTCTGTGCATAGCAAAAATTTAGACATTTTGGACTCTTCTAACGAAGACTACATTAAAAATAGCCTTGAAGGTAAATTTGATAAAATCTACTGCACAATTCTGTATCACCACTTGCACAATTACGAAGATATTACTAATAAAGTAGCCACATTTCTTAAGCCTGGGGTTGGTAAGTTGTATATCATCGATTTTTACAATGAAGACGTAGAAAGACTGTATAGTGATAAAACTACTAGTCATGCTGTTCAACACATGGGTGGTTTAAAGGTTGAAGCACTTACTAAAGCCTTCCAAAATGCAGGATTGCACCAAATCGAAGTTGCAAAGCAATATGAAGTTAACATCTGGCAGCAGCCAGGCTTCATTCAAAATCATTGCAATGATGAAACGCTTAATAAGTGGAAAGAAGGGAAGCTTGAGTCTAAAATTAGTGAGGTGGAAGGTGAAGTTTTCCTGATTAAGGCTAGTATTATTATGGCTGTAGGAACTAAGATATAGTTATATAGAAGCAGAATAGTTCATAGCAATAAATATTGAACTAAGATATAGAAATATAAAATTAGTGTAGTTCATTTTTAATAATATTGATGATTCTTCTATAGGAGGGTTACTCCTTTCACTAGCCTGCCTACGAGTCTGTTACTTGACTTCCCAGTCTTCTATAGAACCGGCTGCAAAATTAGGAACACCAATATAAATTGTCGGAGCTCGCTCTAAGAAACTAAATAAAGGAGCCCTTTCCTCATCATTCTAAAAAGTACTAAATAGAGCAAGATCTACTTGCTGGAGCTTCAATAGGTTCCCAATCCAAGCTGGTAGTTTGTGTATGCATCACCCTAGGCGGTGTTGAGTGAACCAGAAGCTGCTTATTCTATTGTTTATCTCCTGCATACAATATCTGTCACATGCCTTAAATCCAACTTTCCTTTTTTTTGGGGTTTTTGTGGCAGTGATAAAGTCACACCCCCAAAAAACAACTAATCCAAAAAAAGAAAAGAAAGGGAAAAAAAGAAATTGCCTAAGTGAAAGAACAGGGTATCATATACCTGAGACAAAGGCATCGCATATATAGGGACGGACTTCAAGAATTTATAACATATATATACACACAGACTAAGAAAAGAACATACGAGGTATATAGTTTAACGGAATCATGGCCACTCGTCAATCACAGAAGAGACTCACAAAAGAGTACAAGGCCTTAACGTCAAATCCGCCGCCATATATCAGTGCCAAACCAAACGACGAAAATATATTTGAATGGCATTTTGTGATAACTGGCCCTCCTCAGACCCCATTTGAGGAAGGGCAATATCATGGGATGCTTAGATTTCCACACGAATACCCATTTAAACCTCCTTCGATATCGATGATTACCCCTAACGGTAGATTTGCCTGTAATACTAGATTATGCTTATCCATGAGTGATTATCATCCAGATACCTGGAATCCGGCATGGAGTGTTGCTACAATTTTGACTGGATTACTTTCTTTCATGACTGGGGATGAGAGTACCACGGGTTCGATTACGACCAGCGAGACAATCAAGAAAAAATTGGCTAAAGAGAGTAAGAAGTGGAATATGAACGAAAACCAGAGGTTTATTAGACAGTTTCCTAATTTGGTTGCGCAGAATAAATTGGACATTGAAGAGGAAAAGAGAAAAGCGCAGATTCAACAGCAACAGCAACAGCAAGGTGCTGTGAATAATGACGGTGAGGGTGGAGAAAATTGCATCAACTTAAAGGACCAGCTCGATTTATTGGACCCGGAAGATAGGGCAAGGTTACTTGTAGAGCAGGATGACAGTGTTCGTCTGTTTTGGCTCCAAAAGTACACAATTATAGGTATTCTTTTAGCGGGTTTAATTGCTGCTTCGTTTAATATAGTTAGGCGCGCGTAGTTGTACATATATACATACACGCATGTATATTTGTAGTATGTTTGTTCCTATTGAATGGAAACCATGAGAGATGTGTTACAGAGTTAAATTGGGTTGGTATTGGCAGTTCGGATCATCGAATAATTAGTATGTGATTTTATAATGATACAAATAGATTAGTTGTTAACCTGGCCCGCCTGCTGGTGTAGCAGTTGTAGTAAAATGGACTGGTAGATGGCTACCGAGTAGTCTCTTTCTTCCCCTGTACAGTTCCCCGGTGTAGCTCGTTGCATCAATTAGGTGCAGCTCAGGTTAGCGAGACGGACTTAACATGTTTATTTTTAGATTTTTTTAGCAAGGAAGCCACCATTATTGAACATTATGATGAAAATTAAAGGCGGGCATCAGCCCGGCAATGAGAAGAGCGCACAGTAACTTTAAGGCATGCCTACGAGCTTAAAATGGTTCTATTGCTCAAAACTGCAGCGTAATTCTATCTCGTAAACGTTTCACATTCTATTTGGAACGGTTACATGGCCGAATTAGCCTGCCCCAGCCCTTATTGCATCTGATATACCCGCCAGAGATGGATCTGTTTTATCGTCCCTCTTTGACGTACTGATACGTGCTCATAACGCATTTTTTTTTGTCAACATGGTTTCCCGGCCTCGTGCAGAGCTCGTAAATCTAAAATCTTTTTTTCTTTTGGCATTTACGCGTTTGTAAGGAAGCCAGTGATCGGCAAAGGTGACAGTAGTCAAGTGGTGTAAAACGAAGTGATGCACATGGTGAAATAGTCACACAGAAAAACCAACACATTAGCATTCAGTGCATAGATGAAAGATTGCAAATTTCAGGAACAGAAAGTTCATGTTCAGAACCAGAGAGATCAGGGCCTGAACCAGGGATGGAATGCTGCAAGATGCAACTATCCAATTAATGATTGTTATTATGCCAATGATTTATGCACCGTTGCGCGATCCATAATGTAAACAAAGAAAGTAAAAATAAGAACAAAAATTCAGGAGGCCTTTGATCCACCTTTGGGCTTTGCATTAAGAAAGAGGGCTCATAAAACAAAAACAAAAAATAACGAACCGAAAAGAGAACCGAAATACTGGGGACTGGCTACGAATAACCCAAGGAACTGTTACTGAACATGCCTAGATATAATCCCCTCCCGCACTTTCATATTTTCCATTTCATATTTTGATAAACCCGGTTTGGGCAACTGGACCAAGACTTATACCCCTCCCAAAAACTTAGTTTTGCAATTAATGTGTGGAACCTTTTCGTGTATAACCTCGAGGCACCAGTGCAATTTCTGGATTTTTTCTGGTGCTTAGTTTCCTTCTTTATTTTTTTTTCTTCTTTTTTTTTTTTTTTTTTTTTTTTTTTATTGTTTTGGTAGTTTAAAAAATGTGGGTTTTAAAAATATGACGATGCC